TGCCGAGTTTTCCAGAGGCGAAGCCGTACAAGAGAGATAAAAAATAAAATGAAAAAGAACAGCACTTTGATATGTGACCCCGCCAGAGTCCACGGGATTTCAGGGAATAAGGCAACAATGGCAAAAGTCTGTTCAATTAACCGACCCATATATGCCAACATCTGCGCACAGTAAATAATACGCGGCTTCGCTCGGAAAGCTTCGTTTTGCCCCGGCTAACTAGCGGTTATTAATTAAGAAAATGTCGATTTGCATAGATTGAAAAACAGCAACCGCGTCGATCAGGAGACATGGAGCCGGAAATCTGTTGCTAAAGGATTCACAAAGGCTCGGTACTGGGTTTATTAACTGCAAGAAGCGATAGGGATTTTTATTTTACAAGGTAAGAATTACCTTGCTCACTGAATTCCTTGTGAAAATCCCGAGGGAAAGAGCCGTGATTTGCCATGAATTTTCCTTGTTTATAAGAACTTTTGAATAGGACAGAAGATCTTCTTCATTTTCGCCCATATTCTATGATAAAAACATTCCAAACAGTGAGGAGCCCTTAAACTGGTGAGAAATTGGTTGCGTTTCTCCTCTCTGTTGGCTGTAAAACACAACAACGCCCAGTTTGAAAAAGATATTAACTGTTTCCACTGATCCAACAAAGATGTACCCCTGTAAAGAAAAACGGTGACTTATTATTTACCCAAAGTTTTTGCGTGATGTTATTTCATTCCCTTTAAACATCAATTCAGCTCCATTTAGCCGTAAAACAAAACAACTACTTTAAAAAAAAATTAATTGTTTCCAAAAACATCCTATTCATCCAACAAAGATACACCCCTGACGTAATATAATACCTCATTAACATCTATGTAGCTCCAGTTTGCCGTAAAACACAACAATGCCTACTTTGAAAGAAGATGTGAACTGTTTCCAACAGCATCTGAATGATCCAGAAAAGATCCACTCCCGTAAATAAAGAGAGTGGCTAATTATTAATTGAGGGTTTGTTCGTGATGTCATTTCATTCCCTCTATACATCAATCCAGCTCAATTTAGCCGTAAAACAAAACAAAGCCTCGCTTGAATAAAATATCAACTGTTTCCAGTGGTATCCCACTGATCAAACAAAGATTCACCCCTGTCAAGAAAAAAAACTACCTGTCGAGAGTTTTTCCTTGGTGCTATTTAATTATTTAGTCGACATGGTATGACATGTCGCGTTCAAAGTCTACCGAGTTTTCTAGAGATGAAGCCGTACAAGAGAGATAGAAAATGAAAAAAGAAACACACCACTATGATATTGTCAAATAGTGGAAAATTGACGAGATTTGCCTAAGAAAACATCTAAACGTGCATCCACCCTTGTAACACAGTTGAAACGACTTTGAAAAATATTTACCAGTCAAGAAGCCATAAAACACGCAGATATAAAAAGAAAGTAATTGTTACAGATTACTGAACTACATCGTAAGCTGTATTGGGTTATTTGTATCATGTACTATGGTGGTATTGGAAGATGCTTGAGGGCCAATTATAGATGTGTTACAATTATTTATTCAGGCTTTCCATAGTTACGGGAGTAACAGTACAATTATGCAATCACTCTTAAATCTAGCTATTAGTGCCTGCTCCTGAAAAGTGGCATAATGACCATCTACATTTCTAGGTAAGCTACAAGTTACATATAAAAGTCTATTTTTCAACCACTTTTAAAAATTTTAAACAGTGTGGAGCCCCCTTCAACAGCTAACAATTTTTTTCGTTTGTTTTTTGTTTAATTTTTTTTTTGTTTGTTTTCTTATAGTTATAGAGCGCTGAACCTCTTGTATCAAAGGTGAGCTTGCTCTGGTTTTTAACCAAAGAAGTTTCTTTCATTATTTTACTCTACATGTTTTATTTTCGCAAACTTCTAAACGTTTATGTTCCAATACCAAAGCTGACTTCACGCGGTTAAAGCAAACAATGGTAATCACTACGGGGTCTTAGAGCTGTTTTGTAATATAAAAACAAGAAGATTAAAAAACTTTAGTTCAATATCCCAGGATAACAGCACTGAGTCAGCCTTAATAGCTAATTCTTTACTGTTATGTCTACCCAGCTGTGGTTAATGTAGAACAAAACAGACAGTTTATTTCCCGAAAAGAAAAGCTCACAACAAGGTTAATATATGGTGACGCTTAAACCTATCTTCTCCTTTTTAGTTCAAGCATGATATAAAAAACGCGAGAAATGAGTTGGTCAGGGACCTGGATCTAGATTCCCCGTGCTAACAACCTGATCATCAAGTCAAACACAATGGTGTCTACCTTATCTCTTTACACCTAAAGTGTGACCAGCATTTAATTTCTTCTTACAGTAATACTGCTGAATCATTCATTAATATCATGGGAATAAAGGAAATGGTTACCAACCTAACAAGCTTTGATTGTTAAATAAATTCTCCTCGTCAGTATCCAAGGAAAGTATAGAGAAGAATTTGGAGAATGTGGATACTGATCAAAGGGTGTAAAAGGTTATGAAAAAATTTAATCGTTCTCCATAGCATCTCCCTGCTTCAAAGATATTTGCATCCCAGTGGCTAACTATTCACCAAACGTTTGTCCGTGATGTTTTTTTCATTCCCTCTTAACATCATTTCAGCTTCAGTTGGCCGCAAAACACAACAATGCCTAGTTTGAAAAAGATATTAATTGTTTCCACTGACCCAACAAAGATGCACCCTTGTAAAGAAGAACGTTGGCTTATTATTTCCCCAGAGTTTTTCCGTGATGTTATTTCAATTCCTCTAAACATCAATTTAGCCTTAAAACAAAACAACGCCTAGTTTGAAAAAGATATTAACTGTTTCCACAGATCCAACAAAGATGCACCCCTGTAGAGAAAAACGGTGGCTAATTATTTACCCAGAGTTTGTTCGTGATGTTATTTCGGTTCCTCTAAACAATAATTTAGCCTTAAAACAAAGCAACGCCTAATTTGAAAAGATATTAACTGTTTCCACAGATCCAACAAAGATGCACCCTTGTAGAGAAAAACGGTGGCTAATTATTTACCCAGAGTTTGTTCGTGATGTTATTTCAATTCCTCTAAACATCAATTTAGCCGTAAAACACAACGCCGCCTAGTTTGTAAAACATGTTAACTGTTTCCACTGATCCAACAAAGATGCACCCCTGTAGAGAAAAATTGTGGCTAATTATTTACCCAGAGTCTGTTCGTGATGTTATTTCAATTCCTCTAAACATCAATTTAGCCGTAAAACACAACACCGCCTAGTTTGAAAAACACATTAACTGTTTCCACTCATCCAACAAAGATGCACCCTGTAGAGAAAAATTGTGGCTAATTATTTACCCAGAGTGTGTTACGTGATGTTACTTCATCCCCTCTAAACATCAATTTAGCACCATTTAGCCGTAAAACAAAACAACTCCTAGTTTGAAACACCATTAACTGTTTCCCATAACATCCCACTCATCCAACAAAGATGCACCCCTGTTAGGAAAGACAATGGCTAATTACCTGTTGATTGGTTGTTCGTAGTGTAGTACAATTAGCAACAGTTGGCGGTAAAACACAACAATGCTTAGTTTAAAGAAGTTATGAACTGTTTCTAGTAACATCCGAATGACGCAACAAAGATGCACCTTGTAAAGAAAAGAGGTGGCTAATTATTTACCGAGAGTTTGTCCCTAATGTTATTTCATTCCCTCTAAACATCATTTCAGCCCCATTTAGCCGTAAAACAGAACAACGCCTCGCTTGAATAAAATATTAACTGTCTCCAAAGGCATCCCACTGATTCAACAGAGATGCACCACTGTAAAGAAAGAAAATGACTGACTATATGTCAATAGTTTGGCCTCAGTGTTCTTACATTTCCTCTAAACATCATTTCAGCTACAGTTGGCCGTAAAACACAACAACACCTCCTTTAAAAAATGATGAACTGCTTCCCATAGCACTCCATTGATCCAACAAAGATGCACCTGCGAGGGAAGACAGTAGTTAATTATCTGCTAAGAAGTTGCCGCGATGTTATTTAACTCTAAACATCCTTTCAGTTTTGTTTGGCCGTAAAACGCAGTTAAATCTAGTTTGAAAAATATATATTAACTTTTTTCAATAACATCCTATTGTTCAGAGAACGGTATTCCCCTTTGAGGAAAGACAGTGGCTAATTATCTGCAAAGTGGTTGTTCGTGAAATAATACAACTCCCTCCAAGAGAATATTACTCCCTCTTAACATCCTGTCAGTTTTAGTTGGCCGTTGGCAACCTACTATTGGCAATAATGCTTCACACCCTAAAAAAAGACCAAACGGAGACAGTTAAAGAAACAACGTGTACTTCTAACTAGGTATGTGTATCATGTTTTCGTAGTTTGTTATAAAATAACTCTTTTCAAATGAAAACTAAAAGTAGCATTTTATTGTCAACGAAATTTTTAATGATGAAACTGGACGGATCGGTTAAGAGATGAATCTGACGATGTAAAGAAGGACTTTAAAATGAACTACTAAAATAACTGTGTGTTGCGAGGATATTCTTTCATCGAGAGAAAGATTGTTTGATTCATCAATTTTCTTTCTTAAAATCATCTACAAGGAGTCAAAAATGCATTTTTTTTACACAGTTCCCCATCCTTTCCCGCAAACTGATCGTCAGCAAGAAAGACTACAAAAAGAGAGGGTGGAAAGGCGGATTTTAAAGCAAAAAAAATTCATTTTTCTTCAATTACCCAAATGGGAATTTTCTTCAAAATAATATTAAACAGGTTTTTCTTTCTTTCTTTTTTTGTGAAATTTTGATGCTGTAAGTCTGTCCTGGCTTAATCGCAAGATTACTAGGTACGTTTTTATTTAGATATTTGTTTATCACTTGGACTTCACCAGCCCTGCCATCCTCCTTTTAGATTTTCAAATACTCCTCCCGGTTAAATCAAACACTTTTACCATGAAAACACTCGCCTTCTTCTTCGCAGGTATCACAGATCTGATGTGCTTCATATGGCTGGTCGACAGGCTTCATTTTCTACCGCGCTGTTTTTCATTTCTCTCGTTTTCCGTGACATTGCCAGTCAGCAATGCCACGGAATATACTCCATTTATCAAATGATGCTTAAGGGCCATACCTATAAGATGTTTAAGACTATACCAGGCACGCGGGAATGCAGAGACATTTGTCTCGCTGATGACAGATGTCAAAGCTTTAATGTCGTCATGTTCATTGCAATCTGTGAATTAAACAACCGAACTAAAGAGGCCAGACCAGAGGACTTTGTCAAGGACGAGTACAGATATTACATGGCGAAAGGTCCAAAACGAGGTAATAGAACTTGCAAAAATAAAATAGCAGGGTGCTTACGTTTATGGATTTTGCATTACTAGCTACTGATTTTTCTAACTTTTATTCAGCCAAAGAGAAATATTTCCATTTCAGTTCCCCTGGGATCAATCCGTGAGCTGCCTGCTGAATCGTGCAAGGAAATCAAGGCGAGTGAGGGAGGACAAGCAGTTAACGGTAATTATTGGCTGGATTCTACAAGATCTGGGAACTCTATTTCAGCTCGTTGCGACATGAAGACAAAAGGTTGGTACAAGACATTTTCCATGGCTATTTGCCTTCGTGCCAATGAAAGGCCTTCTCTTAATCAGTTTTCTTTTTAACTAGTTGCAGACTATTGTGTCAAGCACCAATGCCAAAACGATGCAAACTGCGTGAACCGTGAAACCAACTACTCGTGCGCGTGTAACTCATCTGGTTGGACAGGAAAATATTGTGAAAAAGGTTTTTCTTTTGTTGAAAAAGTTTCTGCTAAAGTTCATGCTGAACAAATAAGATGAAGGAACGACATTAAATTAACGTATGCTTATCCATAGATATCAACGAATGTAAGGAAGGCCAGCATGGTTGTCATGTAAATGCCATTTGTAGCAACACTAATGGCTCTTACAACTGTACATGCAAATCGGGATTTATTGGCGACGGAAGAAACAGCTGCAAAGGTACGGTTGTTATCTGTTATTGTCTTTGTCATTTTCATTATCATCTCCATTAGAATCCTTTACGGCTCCCTTTCCCCTCGCTTTCGCCCAATGTTTTGTACGAGTCACAGATAGCTTAATTATGATGTACAAGAGAAATTGTTCACAACTTCTTGTGAGAAGTAAGTTACCGTTGATCAGGCGATCAGTGAAAGAGAAACGCATATATTTTTTTAGTTCATTTACGAGGGGAGAGTATACTTTGACGTGGGAAACAGCTAAAAATGTCGTTTCGGCAGGATTTTTGCACAGATGACCTCCGAGGGGATCAGCGATGATCTCCTCGTCATCACAAAGACCATCGCCAATTTAGAAGATTGGAAATTGCGCGGTCAAAAAAAAACCGCGAAAGGGATATATCACAAAAAGTTTTCGAGCTCGTAAAGCTCAACAATGAGTTTGAAAATTGCCTAAACCCAGCAAATGCTAATAAGTTCGTTATTTTAAATCGCTACGAACTGAAATTTTTACCCAGTGCGAATACTGGTTAACGATTTTTTCTCCATGGAATATGGTCATATGGTTCGCCCGTAACAAGGGCGAACTTCATGGAGCTACTTCTTTCTACAATAAGCTCCACAAGTTTCAATTTTTGAGATATCGGCAAAACAATTTCCTAAATCTGTGAGGTTAGGAAAGGTGTGGACGTACCACTCACCAATCGCAGATTTACTATTACGTTTGGTTGAAATGATTAGTAAGGACGTCGAAACGAGGGGAAAATTGCACTTTTTCTTTAAAAACTTGGAGTTTCTGACATATGGTATTTTTTTGAAATTAATAAAGTCACGGCTTTTTTTTTTCTTGTAATTCGAATGTTTGGTCAAAGAGCTTACTCTTTTCCATGATAAAGGATATGTCCACAGACATACAAATCGCCATAGATAATTCCAATGGCCAATTTTTGTGATAACGATACAGCATTGTCTTACATTTGAGAATTTATAAGATGAATGGACCTACAATTCACCAAAAGGTGATCATTGTGCTTGCCTCACAGCGTAGAGTTCGTAGACCATGTTTTTAAATCATTGCAGTTTGATCCACGCTCAAAGTCTATCCTAATTAAATCATATTGTTCTTCATTGGGAAGCAAAAAAATGAATTCAGGAAAATATAAGCCTTACTGTTTGATTCATCTTACTCTCATCTAGAATGTAAGCCTGCTGGCGTGGCAGACAAAAATGCAATCTCCGATGCCAGAATGACAGCAAGCACATTCAATGAAGCAAGACATAATCCGAAGTATGGCCGACTTCATGAAAGGAGGGGGCATGGAGCATGGTGTCCTAAGGCCAAAACTAACAGAAAAGACTATCTTCAAGTTGATATGGGTACAGTGCTGTCTGTTTGTGCTGTGGCCTCCCAAGGAGAAAGGATATACCCTTTATGGACCACTAGCTACAAACTGTACCTATCCACAGCCGGTGTAACCTGGAACGCTTACGAGGAAACTAGCACTGCGAAGGTTTGATCGGCAACTGTTAGTAATGATTATAGGACTGGGAAGAGTCCAATTCAGTGAATTACAAAATCGACTTAAAAAATTGCACCACTGCCAGCAAGACTGTGAACTGTTGCTATTCATGAGTATGATTACTGACCGAACGGTGGGACAAAAAGTCCCGTGACCAATCTGCCAAAACCGTTTTCAAGCGGTAGAAACAAAATAGCCATCAGTAGACGCATTCATGAATAGCAGTTCACTATTTTTTACAGGAAAATGGGCCCAATACTCTGCTAATAACTATCACGATTTCGAGATCTTTACCAATATATTAAGTGAAGCAAATTATAAATGATAAAGGAGTGACGTTAAAAGAGTAAAATAGCGCAGAGTTTTCGTTCCAGAGTTTTGGCAGCTCTCAAGCTTGTATTTCTTTCACAATAAAGCTTTTGGAATTATCTTAAGTTTTTTTACTGCGACAGTATTCAAGATAAAAAGGTAACAGTTCTATCATAGATTAGTCATAAAGATGTCCCCGTCTAAAGTTATCTAGATACTTTAAATGCAACATAAGTTTCTTGGCCAGCATTGATGAAAGTTAGATCGTCTTCCCCATCTCAACCTTTCCATAAAACATTTCCCTTAAGACTTACATCATGCGTTGTCGAACTACACTATTTTCTCGTTATGTTGTATGTATTTTTTCCTCTTCCAGGTTTTCCCAGGAAACTCAGACCGATACAGCGTCGTAAAGCATTTCCTCACTACTGACGTCATGGCCAGATACGTTCGGTTTTATCCCGTCACGTACCACAATTTTCCATGTTTGAGAGCTGAAATATTTGTGCGAAAATGATGGCAATTATCGATTCTTTCTTTTTTGAACAATTTAAATGTAGATAAAAAATAACAAACGATGCGAACTGTCGATGCTCAAGCCAAGCCTGTCAATATTCAGTGTGAATTGTGAAATAACCTGATCACCAACAGAATATGCCGTTACATAGTTACATATAAAAGTTTATTTTTCGACCACTTTTCAAAAATTTCAAACAGTGAGGAGTCCTTATTGCTTTGGTTTTTATCGAAGAAGTTTCTTTACTATTTTACTATATATGTTTTATTTTTGCAAACTTTCAGAAGTTTATGTTCCAATGCCAAAGCTGACATCATGATAGTCACAACGGGGTCTTAAGGCTGTTTTGTAATATAGAAACAAGAAGATTGAACAACTTTAGTTCAATATCCTGGGATAACAGGACTGAGTCAGCCTTAATAGCTAATTCTCCACTGTTATGTCTACCCAGCTGTAATCAATTTAGAACAAAACAAACAGTTTATTCAGCCGAAAAGAAAAGCTTACAACAAGCTTATATATGGTAACGCCTAAACCTATCTCCTCCTTTTCAGTTGAATCATGATATAAAAAATGCGCGAAATGAGTTGGTCAGAGATCTGGATCTAGATTCCCCGTTCTAGCAACCTGTTCATCAAGTCAAACTCAACAGTGTCAGCCTTATCTCTTTACACCCTAAGTATGACCAGCATCTAATCACTCCTTACAGTTATACTGCTGAATCATCCATAACATCATGAGAATAAATTAAAGGAAATGATCACCAACCAAAGAAGCTATGATTGTTAAATAAGTTCTCCTCGTCAGTATCCAAGGAAAGTATAGAGAAGAATTTGGAGAATGTGGATACTGATCAAAGGGTGTAAAAGGTTATGGAAAAATTTAATTGTTCTCCATAGCATCTCCCTGCTTCAAAGATATTTGCATCCCAGTGGCTAACTATTAACCAAAAGTTTGTCCGTGACGTTTTTTCATTCCCTCTAAATATCATTTCAGCTTCAGTTGGCCGCAAAACACAACAACACCTAGTTTGAAAAAGATATCAACTGTTTCCACAGATCCAACAAAGATGCACCCCTGTAAAGAAAAACGGTGACTAATTATTTCCCCAGAGTTTTTTCGTGATGTTATTTCGGTTCCTCTAAACAATAATTTAGCCCTAAAACAAAACAACGCCTAGTTTGAAAAAGATATTAATTGTTTCCACAGATCCAACAGTGAGGCACCCCTGTAGAGAAAAACGGTGGCTAATTATTTCCCCAGAGTTTTCCCGTGATGTTATTTCGGTTCCTCTAAACAATAATTTAGCCTTAAAACAAAACAACGCCTAATTTGAAAAAGATATTTACTGTTTCCACTGATCCAACAAAGATGCACCCCTGTAGAGATAAACTGTGGCTAATTATTTACCCAGAGTTTGTTCGTGATGTTATTTCAATTCCTCTAAACATCAATTTAGCCTTAAAACACAACACCGCCTAGTTTGAAAAACATATTAACTGTTTCCACTGATCCAAAAAAGATGCACCCCTGTAGAGAAAAACGGTGGCTAATTATTTACCCAGAGTTTGTTCGTGATGTTATTTCGGTTCCTCTAAACATCAATTTAGCCGTAAAACACAACACCGCCTAGTTGAAAAACATATTAACTGTTTCCACTAATCCAAAAAAGATGCACCTCTGTAGAGAAAAACTGTGGCTAATTATTTACCCAGAGTTTGTTCGTGATGTTAATTTAATTCCTCTAAACACCAATTTAGCCGTAAAACACAACACCGCCTAGTTTGAAAAACATATTAACTGTTTCCACTGATCCAACAAAGATGCACTCCTGTAGAGAAAAACTGTGGCTAATTATTTACCCAAAGAGTGTTACGTGATGTTATTTCATCCCCTCTAAACATCAATTCAGCACCATTTACAACAACTCCTATTTTGAAACAACATTAACTGTTTCCCATAACATCCCAATCATCCAACAAAGATGCACCCCTGTTTGGAAAGACAATGGCTAATTACCTGTTAATTGGTTGTTCGTGGTGTAGTACAATTAGCTCCAGTTGGCAGTAAAACACAACAATGCCTAGTTTGAAAGAAGATGTGAACTGTTTCTAATAACATCCCAATGATCCAACAAAGATGCACCCTGTAAAGAAAAGAGGTGGCTAATTATTTACTGAGAGTTTGTCCGTGACGTTATTTCATTCCCTCTAAACTTCATTTCAGCTCCATTTAGCCGTAAAACAGAACAACGCCTTGCTTGAATAAAATATTAAGTGTTTCCAAAGGCATCCTACTGATTCAACAGAGATGCACCCCTGTAAAGAAAGACAATGACTAACTATCTGTCAAGAGTTTGACCTTGGTGTTATTTCATTCCTTTTAAAAATCATTTCAGCTCCAGTTGGACGTAAAACACAACAACGCCTCGTTTAAAAAATTATCAACTGCTTCCCATAACAATCCATTAATCCAACAAAGATGCACCTGCGAGGAAAGACAGTAGTTAAACTATATGCTAAGAAGTTGCCGTGATCTTATTTAACTCCGGCCTCTAAACATCCTTTCAGTTTCATTTGGCCGTAAAAAGCAATTTAGTCTAGTTTGAAAAAAAAAAACATATTAACTTTTTCCAATAACATCCTAATGTTCAGAAAATAGTATTCCCCTTTGACGAAAGACAGTGGCTAATTATCTGCTAATTGGTTGCCCGTGGATCAATATAACTTCATCCAAGAGAATATTGCTCCCTCCTATCATCCTGTCAGTTTCAGTTGGCAGTTGGTAACCTACTATTGGCAATAATACTTCACACCCTAAAAAAAGACTAAACGGAGTCAGTTAAAGAAACAACGTGTACTTCTAACTAGGTGAGTGTATCATGTTTCCGTAGTTTGTTATAAAATATTTTTTTTCCAAATGAAAACTAAAAGTAGTATTTTATTGTCAACGAGACTTTTAATGATGAAACTGGATGGATCGCTAAAGAGATTCATCTGACGATGTAAAGAAGGACTTTGAAATGAACTACTAAATAATTGTGTGTTGCGAGGATATTCTTTCATCGAGAGAAAGACTGTTTGATCCATCATTTTTCTTTCTTAAAATCATCTACAAGCAGTTAAAAATGTATTTTATTACACAGTTCCTCATCCTTTCCCGCAAACTGATCGCCAGCAAGAAAGACTACAAAAGGAGAGGGTGGAGGGGCAGATTTTAATGCAAAAAAAAATTCCTTTTTCTTCGACTACCCAAATGGGAATTTTCTCCAAAATAATATTGAACAAGTTTTTTCTTTCTTTCTTTTTTTGTAAAATTTTGATGCTGTAAGTCTGTCCTGGCTTAATCGCAAGATTATTAGGTACGTTTTTATTTAGATATTTGTTTGTTGGCATTATTATCACTTGGACTTCACCAGCCCTGCCATCCTCCCTCTAGATTTTCAAACACTCCTCCCAGTTAAATCAAACACTTTTTCAATGAAAACACCTGCCTTCTTCTTCACAGGTATCACAGATCTGATGTGCTTCATATGGCTGGTCGACAAGCTTCGTTTTTTACCACGCTTTTTTTCATTTCTCTAGTGTTCCGTGACATTGCCAGTCAACAATGCCACGGAATATACTCCATTTATCAAATGATGCTTAAGGGCCATACCTATAAGACGTTCAAGACAACAGCAGGTACGCCCGAATGCAGAGACATTTGTCTCGCTGATGACAGATGTCAAAGCTTTAATGTCGTCACGTTCATTGCAATCTGTGAGTTAAACAACCGAACTAAAGAGGCCAGACCAGAGGACTTTGTTAAGGACGAGTATAGATATTACATGGCGAAAGGTCCAAAACGAGGTAATAGAACTTGCAAATATAAAATAGTAGGGTGCTTACGTTTATGGATTTTGCGTTATTAGCTACTGATGTTTCTAACTTTTATTCAGCTAAAGTGAAATATTTCCATTTCAGTTCCCCTAGGATCAATCCGTGAGCTGCCTGCTGAATCGTGCAAGGAAATCATGGCGAGTGAAGGAGAACAAGCAGTTAACGCTAATTATTGGCTGGATTCTACAAGATCTGGGAACTCTATTTTAGCTCGCTGCGACATGAAGACAAAAGGTTAGTACAGCAAACATTCCATGGCTATTTGCCTTCGTGCCAATGAAAGGCCTTCTCTTAATCAGTTTTCTTTTTAACTAGTTGCAGACTATTGTGTCAAGCACCAGTGCCAAAACGATGCAAAGTGTGTCAACCGTGAAACCAACTACTCGTGCGCATGTAACTCATCTGGTTGGACAGGAAAATATTGCGAAAAAGGTTTTTCTTTCGTTGAAAAAGTTTCTGCTAAAGTTCATGCGGAACAAGTAGATGAAATAACGACATTAAAATAACATATGCTTATCCATAGATATCAACGAATGTAAGGAAGGCTTGCATGGTTGCCATGTCAATGCCATTTGTAGCAACACTAGGGGATCCTACAACTGTACATGCAAACCGGGATTTATTGGAGACGGACAAAACAGCTGCAAAGGTAAGGCTTTTATTGTCATTTTCATTATCATTATCATCTCCATTAGAATCCTTTACGACCCCCTTTGCCTCGCCTTCGCCCAATGTTTTTTTTGAGTCACAGACAGGAAAATATTGTGAAAAGGGTTTTTAATTTGTTGAAAAAGTTTCTGTTAAAGTTCAAACTGAACAAATAAGATGAAAGAACGGCATTAAATTAACGTGTCATGTAAATGCCATTTGTGACAACACTGAGGGCTCATACAACTGTACATGCAAACCGGGATTTATTGGAGACGGAAGAAACACCTGCAAAGGTATCGACAAGGACGGATATTACATGAAGAAAGGTCCACAACGAGATGGTAGAACTTGCTAAGGTTAAGTAATAGTAATTCACTAAAGAGGAGAGAGAGAGGACATTCACTTTCTAGTTCTCTGATGAGAATGTAAGTCTAAAATTCACATACAAACGTTTCTCAGCATTGTGATACATATTTGGTAGAGAGAAGTTATTAGACTACTTATTTAAGCGCGCTAAGGTAACGTAAAGAAATGGCATGGGTCACCTGGCGTTCATGGATTTTACGCTGCTTGATGATAACGATTACTATTCTTATCCTTTTCCACCCATTCAGCATGATCCGCAACCAAAGTCTGCATTAGTTATTTCCTATTGTTTTAGATAGGGAAGGAAAGCAATAAACACTGGTAAAGAAGGTAAAGATAAGTCTAACCGCTTATTTCATTTACTCCTATTTAGAATGTGGGCCTGTTGGTGTGACAGACAATAATACAATTCCAGATGTCAAAATGACAGCGAGCAGTTTTTACAATAAATATCAGTATCCATACTACGGCCGACTGAACGAAACTAGGGGAAAAGGAGGGTGGTGTCCGAAGAATAAATCTGATGGAACAGAATATCTTCAAGTTGATATGGACGAAGTGCGTTCTGTTTGTGGTGTGGCCACACAAGGAGTATTGCGTTTGACTGAATGGACCACCAGCTACAAACTACGATTCTCTACAGACGGTATAACTTGGAGCACTTACAGGGAAACGAATTTCGAAAAGGTATGGAGAGAACTGAAATTAACATTTTTTGCAATTAGCAAAATGTTTGAAGTCAATGCAAATAAGTAGTAAACAGAAATACACTCAGTTGCTGAATTTGGACATTATATTCATTGGCTACTGCAGCAGAGAACGTCGACGGAAATGATAAGCTTGTGAAGTATGGCGGGTTTGCTTGAAATCCTGAAAGGTATCTGATGTGTCTTTTATAGAATGCTTCAAAAGACTTAGGATCTTTTTTTGCGTGTGGTGCGTGAAGTCGAAGAGATTTAGAAATTAGTCGAGCACGTGTTGCTATGACTTTTCCATCCAGTATATATAGCTATAACATTTCTCATGACGTTTTCCGGATTTTGTGAGACAGGAGGTCTCCGTTCTGTCTCTCTTTCTGTCCCTAACCTTGTCTTTGTCATGGGTTCATTTGGTTTTCTTTTGTTTTTGTTTTATTGTTGTTTGTTTATTTTACTTTTGCAAATCATGATGGTAACATAATATGTGCACGCTGCAAACAATAGCTTAGATGTCAGCAGCGTTTGTATTCGGGAAAAGACTCAACAACAGCCGTCTTGCAGCTGGATAAAGGAACTTATCGTGTCACTTTGACCATCTACTTTTGGCTATCGGATGATGAGTAATAAAGACATCCATAATAAAAAAAAAGAGTGAAAAAAGTGACGGAAAAATGACCTCTGTTTGAAAAGGCCGGGCCCCAATGCAATAGAAGACAAAATTGTGTAAAGATGTGAGCAGTTAAGACCTGTTCAAATGGCCCCCGCACTTCCCCTCCCCCTCCTCCCGGTAACTCCTTACTTAGCTGTATATAGAATTGGTGCACCATACCAATTTGAAGTTGTTCAATTTCTTTGTTCGTTTTTTTCGGTTTGCTTTATTCCAGGTGTTCACAGGAAACTCAAATCAGACCAGCATCGTGAAACATTCACTCAGAAATGACTTCAAAGCCAGATACGTTCGGTTTTATCCTGTAACATTCTATGGTTGGCCATCTTTGAGGGTTGAAATATTTGAGCTTAAGTAATACTTCAAAGGGTTAGTATATATGTGTAGTCACTCACTAACACAAAAACTAAATGATAAAAAATATATTCACAGAGTTTAAAAAAAGAAAATCAACATTAGCAAGTAATGAACCTAACAAACTAATTAACAAACTAATCATTCCCAGACGAGAATCCAGGATTTTTTGTAGGAGTGGGTGCACCATAAACGAATCACCTAACTGACGTCTCTGACGAACAGAAGGGCTGATACTCGAAAAGTCAGTGCTAACTTACCATTTTCACTGCGTTTAACATAAATTCTGTAACCTCATGTTTTACTTCAACGCAAATAATTCACGCAGTTTTATTTATTGTATCGTTACTTTTTTTACAATTATTTTGCACCATACTAATTATATAAGAAAGCCGCAGATTATCTCAGGGGGAGGTAGGTGTGCACCCCCTGTACTCCTCCCCTAGATCCGCCCCTGACCACACCCCCTTCGCTGCAGCATAATGAAACAGTTATACAGAATAAAGGTAAAATGGAAAAAGTATTCCAGATCTGTACAGAAAGATGTGTAAGTCCACTGTTGCTTTTTCATTAAGCATTATGCTTAGCTGCTAACGGTGTGAGTTTTCTTTTCTCATAAGTTAGTAGTGTATGAAAATAAAAACAAGAGATACAGTAGAATCGAGATTCCTGAGGCATGGATACCTGTCACTTAAAAGCAGAGTACTCAGCCAAAAACAAAGCAGATTTCCAGGAGAACAACATTAACTTGTCAAACATGGGTGAACCAACAGGAGCACGTTAAAACAAACCAAGAACAGCTCAATATGCTACACTAATAGCCATGGGTGACTATTCAATGTCATTACATGATGAAGAAAAGTAGTAAAGCTGTCGTACGAACGCGATTTGCAGATGATAGCTTGACTCTTCTTATTATAGATTCGCTTTTTTGGGAGAAAACTGGTTTCGTGTCCATTTAGTACCTAGGATCTGTTTTTTCAAGCACTCGCTGATATTATTAGCTGAATCCACCAAAGAGGTCTTCATACCTCTCTGGTATTTGATTTAAAACATGAAAGATTGATCGCATCATATATTTTATTCGAACTGTTAGACAGACACGGTTGTAATATTATCTAGTTAAGAAGGAATTAAAATTGCAATAAACTACAGTAATTCAACTTTTTCTTTTGTGTGTGTGTGTGTGAGTGTGTGTTACTACGCCTTTTTTTCAAATTCCAGTCAAACCACAACAGCTTCGATGGAAGACACCTGTCAAGTTCGATCGTCGACACAAAACCTGAGTACCGGAGTTTATGGCCTTACTAAACCATAACTTGCACAGCTTTTAAGACATGCAATTAAACATTTTGATGATTGTAGCGGATTGAGTATAAATCAATTCATTGGGCTGTTTTGTCATTTTTTTTTTCAGTTTTTCTTGTTACTAAACTCAAACCATCAAGTTATTAAATCAGTCTTAGCTGACAATTTCCCATTAAATTCCTACCGGTTTAACTATTTCGCTAATGTATTAAAGTAATTTCTAATGAATTATATAAAAACAGTGGAATTTGGTATTGATTTCGTCAATCTGTTTACGTTAAGTCCCATATATCCAAAGGCAATCCAGTTGGGTCAATAGAGAAAATAATTTTGCATAGAAACTATACAAAACAACAGCATAATGTAAACCGTGCGAATAAATGAATGCATTATTAAAATCTCTCATAATTATCATGACCCGATGAAACATGCGCACAACTTACTAGTTGACAACATAATTCCCCAAGCATTTCAACTCGATTTGGTTCCTCGCCGCTTCGGGCATCAGAAATAACTTAACTGTCATTACCACTCAGTGGTCGCTACTCATTGTGAAGTACGCTTGCGCACTTGGTATTCTCGGTGTTCTCTGCGGTTTCTACGATTTGAAATAAAATGCAACCCTCCCCAACAAAACAAAACAAAACAACAAAAAACAAAACAAAAACAAAAACAAAAACCAAAACAAACCAGAAAAAAAACTGTTGATATCATTAAAACACTGATTGCAGTCAGCTCTCACTCTAGGCATTTTATCTCTTCACACTCCCTCTCCGAGTCTCCTCGCACTGGGACGAAACAACATATTTCTTGTAGACAAGTATGAGGGAATTTACCGCTTTGACCGAAGAAGGACTGTGGGCTCATTCCGCAGGGGCAGTGGCTGGGTGTTTAATCTATACGTTATTGTCTGAATTTTTCCTGCTGTTTTTAACCACTCGAATGCCTCGATCACGAATTATGAACACTCGAGAACCATAGAGTAATCATTTTTTGTGTGTGTGACGAGCGTAGGATGTAGAAAATCTGCAAGTATCCCACGAAAAAGCGCACCCTAGGGTCCAATGCTCGCTCTTTACGCGAATGGCATTTGGCAATAATGGTTTTCGGTCTGCTTTTGGTAATCATCGTGGAGAAGACATTTTTTTGGTTATTTCTCTATCAATCAGAGGTGAACTATGCCATTTGCATTTGCAGTTACCACAATTTACCCAGTTTTTTATTCATATTTTTGCTGATCTTATTCACAGACTCCAATGGAACTGATCAGGCTACGCCAAGGTTGTTTGTGACAATTCCTTTCACTATGGTAGTCACGTGACGATTATGAACATTCAGGCGATAAGTCACGCGATAAGTCCGACGATTTCTTTGTGTTCGCATTATTTTAGTATCTAGATCAATATTTTGTTGAGTGGGGGAAGATGGCGGGCCTTACACGTACTCAGATTTTGTTGACTGTTGGAATGCTGATCGCAGGTTCACTTAACACTGTCACTCTTAAAGCACAAAACAACTGTTCGTAAGTTTCACTAAAGTTGTTGTGTGAGAAGATTTAAAGGCTGATATTGGGCAATCAGGAAACATTTTATAGAACTGTATTTTGTGTGTGTTTAATTGCACATTCTTGCTGGGCTGTTGCGATATTGACTTCTTATGTTCAGTTACGTTGTTGACGCCTCGCTTCAGCGTTGGTTGTGTGCTAGTGAATTCAGTTGTGGCACTATTGAAACTGAAAGAATCATAGGTGACTCTGATATGAATTTTCTACACATTGTTGAGTCTTTAACACGGAAAAGCTTGATAGATTGGATTGTGATATCATCTTACTTTTATTGATAAGGGGGGATCTTGAAGCCATCTTTTAAAAGGACACTTCTTGCACTTTGTACTCTTTTGTTATCTGCAGTAGATTGGGTTATCATGTCAAGTTTAAAGTCTTCCAAATCCCTTGCTCATGTACAGTTCTTAAACTTTTGCAAACTCAGAGAAAGTCTACTTTTGCAGATTGTTTTAAAAATTTTTCAACAAAACTGTTATTGAATTTGGCTTTTGCATGATATCATGAGTTATCAAATCCCAGCCTTCCACCTCAGCAGATAACTCAGACCTCAGCACTGATAATTCATAAAATCATGCTCAGCCTCATCCAATGATTTCTTAATATATTTATATCTCCTAGAAACAAGTCATTGCATTTTATCTAATTGATTTTGATATGCTGATTGATATATTGCATACTTCAAAAAATTTTTCCAAAACTAAATGAGAAATAAATTGTTACACTCATTCTGTTCCATTTTGTTTAGAGCTAGGGGACTGAAAGATATGAATGGTAAGGAAAAACACCAATTTGAACATCCATGGATTCAAACTGCTCTAATGTTTCTTGGTAAGTTAAGATGTATGTAACCTTTGATAAATGTGTTTTTCATTTCCAGTTAAACCTGTATTTAAATATATTAATTAGCTGAGAAGAAAGATTAGGTCTGAAAGCAATTTTCCACAGTTGTCATGAACATGTGCACCTGTACGTATCTTACAGTAGTGTGAAAAATAGTATGTGATCATGCACCTATGTGGCTCAACGCTCTCCCCTACTGTTCACAGTAATAATAATGTGTGTTATCAATGCATATAATGTAATATTTAAGGCAGAGTTTGTACTTTTTCACCTCAATAGGGGAGATGATTTGTTTAATTGGTTTGTTTATTCATCGGAGGAAGGAAAGACTGAAATACAAACAGGTTTGCATCTCTCTAAACACATCTGTACATATAATACTACATTTTTATGTATTTTATGGAGTAACTGAACAGTGGCACATGCAGCCACATGGAATCTTTTTGTGTACTTGATTCATCATTTATACATATTAATTTATCCTTCAGTTGATCATCAGTACAGTGGACCAATCAAAATGAGATTAATACTAGATCAGCTGAAATATCATACATGTAGATTGATCAAATTAACAATTGGTTCATACGTCAGCTTGCATTCATCGAGATATGAAGCACGCAGGAAGTTTAGAGAGCACAAAAGATGCGTAAGAGTTGCTCAAGGCATAGCTGAGAGCAACTCTAGCTTCTTGAGTGCCCTCCAAACTTCCCAAGTGCTTCATATCTCAATGAACACACAGCTAACGTGTGAACAGATTGTTTTATAACATTTTCAACCTGATGGAAATTTTTTTTTTCTCGAGGGATTTGTTTGCTGACGTCATGAGTGTGCCCAATAGGAATATAAAGCACACTAACTCAATTGAATTTGATTAGACAAATTTACTAGCTATGTTATAAATGTGCTTGATTCAGAATGCAATTTTTCTTATAATATATTTTTATAAATATATGCACTTTCTTCATTTATTATTTTATTTGATATTATTTTATTTACCTTGACTGTTTTTCAATTAGAGATTGTTACATGACGGAATAGATAGAAGATCTTACAAAGAAGCAACACAAACCAGAAAAAGTCTTCAAAGGAGGTTTGCAGAGTGATTATTTCGCAGTTTTAGTAAGAATTCATGTTTTAAGGAATAAACATACCTTTGTTAGACTGGGTTGGAGTCAACACATTTGCCAGCCAGTCATGAAGTTTTTAGTGTGGGATGGGGGTGGGGAGATGATGGGTTCCTCAGCCAGAGATGATATGGACCTGAATTACTATTGCTATGATGTTCTGTTTTAAGGTAGGTGTCCTGTTAAGTGTGGTGAGTACTCAATATGGCATGCAGTACAGTTATAAGGATCATTTTTCATACTTGTGATTTGGAAAATGTTCTTAGCATCTCCCAAATCTCTCAAGCACAAATCCAGTTTTCCACTGAGGATGACATTACTTTGAGCTGAATTAAATTTTATAGCTTGACAAAACCATTTTACTCATTTTCTCAAAAAAAATACCAAAACAATTTATGGTTGACAATGATGTTAAACATACTGTATATGTCTAATACTTGGAGTTTATTCCTCTTGCAGGGTGTTTCAGTGGATCTTTGCCTTTCCTGCTTTATGTGACCTGTGTGGAACCACTTTAGCAAGTGAGAATGTGTATATTTTACCTTTATTTTCAGAGAATACCTATAATAATCCCTTTGAGGTATTCCCATACCTAAAGCAAACTTACAGAAGGATATTTATAACCATGCAGAGTGCCTTTTGTGTACTTTTGAAATGGGTGAAATACTGATAAGTTTCTCCAATCTGAAGCTCCTAGGTCTCTAACCAATTTATGTATAATGTTACTATCTCAGTAAATCTTGCCATTAACCTTTTTGTTGAGCACAGAGAGTTTTTCTTTCATGGAGGTTAATGAAATCAAAGACACCTTCTGAGCTACTGGGAGACAGATACTAACTACTGTAAGAGTAATTTTCCTCTTTTTCGTTTTACCCCAGCAATTGGTCTGCTTTATGTTAAAGCATCAGTATGGCAAATGCTGAGAGGTTCAATTATAATATTTACTGGTTTGCTTTCTGTAAGTATTTAATAATGTCCAAATGCTTTCGGAGGCATACAGCAGCAGATACTCGTTGAATTTAAGTAATATTCCAAGTTGACTTTGTTGAGATATACGTGTGTTTTTCATTAAAGGTATATCTGTCTTAATAAATTAGCGGAAACTGCAGTGGTGTTGGAAGTATAAAATGATGTTTCATCTCTATTCCAAGTTATTCAGTTGCTCACACACTGCATCATTTTTTCAGTCATTTTTAATGCACTTATGAAAGGACTCTTGCATGTGAAAGAATGATTTAGAAGTGAAAAATAGTTATATATGCGGAATTTTTGCTTCTTCGTAAATAATAGAAAATCTTTTTGAAGAGAAAGTTGTGGCCAATTCACTGGATAGGAATGATTGTAACTGTGGTAGGTGGAATCCTTTAAATTCATTCAAATCATGCAAGTTTCTAATTGTAAATTATTAAAGAAGGTACATAAAGTACATGGACGCATGGAGAGACGATTATCAGCTTTGAATCCAACTTTCGTAATGCTAGTTACCGTAATTTCCGTCCATTTACCCGCGCGGCAGATTACCCGCATCGGCCAATTTTTGCATCGACGAGGAAAAAATTTCAACAGATACGCACTGGCAGATAACCCGCACCCAAAAACAAAAGAAAATCATAGTCCCACACAAAGTTCCTTCATTGTTTTTGTTGACGTAATATCCGTTAACGTGCAATTAATAAATTTTCACTCTTTCTGTCGTCGCTGTTTCATTGAGAATGATACTGCTTGTGAAAATCTGTTCTAAAAAATCGATATCTCGAGATCTACTAAGCCGGAGAAATCGCTTAAAACGGGAAAATACTCATTATATCAAGGCACTGCTAGCCAAGTAAATTTCACTGGTGCGTCGAATATTTTGTCGCGCTATAAATTATGCGGCGCCATGAAAAGAACATGTCGGCACATTTTCCGAGTGAATTGCTCTTAAGCCAGCTTTTTCACAATTAAATTCTTTTATTTTCAAGTTCACTTCCTGTGTAATTGAGATTTGTTTTTTGAACTTAACAAAGAAACAAGCTGTAAAATTGACAGGGTAAGAAAGTAAGTACACTTAAGATAAAAGCTTTCTTACCGAGATTTGTAGTTAGGTTTTCGTTTTGCATCGGCTTTCATTGAGAGCATTAAAGTCCCTTATAATAATGAGCAATCAGCTCGAAACAAATGAAATATCACATAGGTTCTTTGAAGAGTATCTTTTAGTGGATCTTGTCATCTCTGTTTTTTTTCCTGCTTATATTTTTAAAACTATAACTGAAGCTTTGAAATTATCGTATTACCCACACCTTCCTGTAACCCGCATACCTGCGGGTAGTCGGCCGGAAATTATGGTAGATGAAAAGCCCCAGCCCTCCCGCCCCGGACTCCATGAAAACTCGAAAAGTCATTCCATGCATTAGAAGTGGGAAGCGAGCAGCGCGAGTCACATAATGACTAAGAGAATGTAGTAAGCCACCCAGCTTTAAAAAATTTAGTCTTGACGTTGCGACCGTCTGCACGTACGTAAACTCAAGGAGCTATGTTCAGCGGGGTATTTAACGAACGGAGTAATCCAGAATTAATTGATTTTGAAAAAAAAAAGGAGAAGAAGAAATGAAAAGGGAAAATTTAATGACAAGGAGAGGTTTCCAGTCCACCATCGAAATAAATGTGAAAACCATATGGTTGGTGAGCCTAGATTTTACCATTAAAAGGGCCTGAAACACACAGATATGCATAATTGATGTATCCTTTCCCATTTGTTTCTCTATTTTAGTGAACCATTTGTTTTAGTGGAAAAGGATAAATTCCACATGTAATATTTGGCCGTAGAACAGCGCTGAAAAACTTTGAGGAACCTCACTAGTAAAGAGGCGTAGCCAAACTTAGCCGTTTGCCAGTTGCCTAGTGCTAACTAGAATGTTTCATTTCTTTTACCCTCGTCAGGTTGGCTTAGTTCTTGTTGGACTGTCAAGTGTTCTCAGAGATAAAGAGGCATCTCATCCTAAAGCTGGTTTAGGTAACTTGTTACAGAATTGCTATACTGTTATTACTTCTGATGCTGATTCAGTATCATTTCTATTATCTTCTTCTGTTATACGTTTATTTTTCAAGGTTTAAATGATAAAAAAACCTCGAATAAAAGTTCTATCGGATAACAATGCTCCAATTGTTATCTTACTCTGAAATATTCGGCTACAATTTAGTATTATGACTCTGATGTCCAATGCTTCCATTTAAAATTTATTGCACTCACAAATTATTTTGCTTATCCTGATTATACAGGTATTGCTTTTATTCTTATGGGTCAGTGCGTCAGTGCCACACAGTATATTGTAGAAGAACGGTTCCTCAAGGAGAAGAACTTTCACCCTCTACAGGTTGTTTTCGGTCATTTCTTTCTTTTTATTGAAGTAAGAGCGAATTTTCAGTGGGTGATGTGCCCTCTTTTGCTGTGTTTTGGTCGAATTTCTGTAGTATTCGATATATCCTTTAGGAGAGAGAGAAGTTGTAATTTACCTTGGTATTTTGACGATTTCAGTAGACGATTCAATGTAAACATATTTTGGAGTAAAAAACTCTGTAAAGCATCAATTAAATCAACTATCTCTCGTTTTTTTTCTTTCAAGTCGGTCCCTTCCCTTACCAGTATCGATTTAATCTCTTCACATATAAAAACACAAATCGCCAAGTGTGTATGAAAGAACTACTTATACTAGTTAGTTTGCCTTCGAACGACGTAAGCTTTTGAACATCTACTTCTGAGGTTGAAATTCTTTTGCGGTACTTTCATGTGCGGGTAACCATAATGGAGAGGCTGATTTTATGCTGTTTGTCTCATAATTCATACAGGTTGTTGGAATGGAAGGCTTTTTTGGATTCACAGTCATGGCTGCTGTAAGTGCCGTATGAAGCTCAGTTAGGAAGGCTATTTAAAAAATGTTTAGCAACAACCTAAAACAAGAAAAAAATTGCAAATCAAGGCATTTTTTCATTTAGTGGGTTGGTTTTTTTCACGGAGTGGCGCTGCAGTTATTCCACTTGATGGTCTTTTAGTGGAACAATAGTCATGCAAATTGTTGGTTAATTGCAATATGGCATTATCAATTATTTTAATTTACATGCACGTATGACACGGTGACTTTACTGCTTAGAGTTAACTTAAAATGTGAAGTTGCTGTTGTTGTTGTCGTTGTTCTTTTTTTCATGGTGTATAGTGTGTGATAAAAGGGATAAAAAAAGCACCAAGAAGTGTGAATCGAGGAATATCTGATGAATGTAACCCCAGAGCAAAGAGAGTTTCGGAGTTGTGCTCCGCTTTGGAGGAGAGCCTGGGTATCTTTCTAGTTGTTCCAAGAAAAACGTGGAAAAAAAAACTTTCTAATTGATTAAATTAATAAAGGTATAAAAAATAAGCGATAAACATTCTCGCCCTAGAGTCATTTCAATCAAATTGTTTTATTTTAAAAGATATCAAAGGGGCTAATGCTTTTAATGCCAAATCTCTCAAAGGTTCTTTCCTGATGTCTCGACTGAAATCAATTTAGTTGTTTAAAAATTTTTGTTTATTAATTTAACAGGTGGTCCTTCCTGTGCTGTACTTTATTCCAGGAAGCCAACCTCACCACAGCTACGAAAACAGCCTTGATGCTCTGCTGATGATAAAAAATGATACGACTCTTGCGACACTTATAGGTCAGAAAAATTTCATATGTCCTTTGGCCTCGTCAGCTTTATTAAAGTAATTTTCAATGAAATGTCAAAATTAGAGCAGGCTTTCCTTTATAACGGGCTGTGATTTTCAGGGTACAGAAAAAAATTTGCTACCCATTGAACGAGGAAAAAAATTGAAAACAGTCATTATTTGGTCACTTGTGCTTTCCGCGTTCAGATGGTTAACCTACTTTCGCTTTGCTTTCGCATAGTTGAAACATTTTGTTTATATTTTGTTTATATTTCTTGGTTAATTTGTTGATTAGATATTTATCTACTGACTTATTTCGTTGCTTGTTTCTAGTGTTTTATACTCTTTCTATCGCATTTTACAATTTCTTTGGATTGACCCTTACGAAGTCTCTAACAGGTAAGACTGGTGTTTCATGAAACCAACTTCAATCATAGAGCATCTCCGGCTAACGTTGCTTTGGACATAAATGGATTTATGTACTTAATTTAGTTTTACAAAGAATCTAAGACAATTTTTACAAATCCCTTTTGTTAAATTTACAAGACTACAATAAAAAAATGGACCCGAATTCCCATTTTATCATTTCCACGCCAATTTCATTCATGTGCTTCACTACCCTAGTTAGCTCAAGTAAATGCCCGTTCGTTTCGTTTTTATGTTGTATTGCAAATGCACACAGAACATTCCACCTCATAGTGTTCATGTGACTGAAAGGTCTGGAAACTACACCAACTGTATTTCCTTTTCAGCGGTCCACAGAACATTGATAGACGCCTGCAGAACAATTGTGGTGTGGGCTGTAGAACTGTTCATACACTATGCCCTTCATGAGGTATTCCTTCATCGTGATTCCATTAAGTGTCATGACCTAGTTTCAATGATGGTAATTTTTGCATGGAGACAGATTTCAGCTCTTGAACAAAAGCGTCACTTGCTGCTTCATGACACCCCTTCCTTCATGACACACCCAATGGATATCACATGATTTCATTCGTTAAAAGTGAGAGTTAGAGCAAGATAGCAGAGCCAAATAAACGTTTGCGCACAGCGGGAGCTTCACAGGTTCCATAGCAACGTTATATGAAAATTGCGGACTCTGGAATCATCGTTTTCATTGGATTACTCATTCAAACAACGTCTTTGATTTACGCTTGCTCGAATGCAGTTTGTTGTTGGAGGTTTCTTGAAAATTTTCCTCGCCGCATGTCCCCGTTTTTCCGAGTTTATCTCAGAACTTATTGTGTTGGTTTAATTCTTTATATGCCATTTGTTTAATGTTGGACAGTCGCAAAATCAAGTCAACCTCACCTAACCTGCTGTAGCTCCTACTTGAATCGGTTGTCGGTTGTCACTTGTCCTGAACGGTCAAGGGGTAGATAATTTCTTTTTCTTCTGTAGCTCGCTCTGTATATTATCTTGGTGTCTTCATCGTTCTTTGTGGTGGTGCGGTGGCCTCATGGTTAGTGCGCTCAGCTCCGGATTCCGAGTGGTCCGGGTTCGAGCCCTGGCCGGGGTCATTGTGTACAAATGGGTACCAGCAAATATGCTGGGGGTAACCCTGTGATGGACTAGCATCCCATCCAGGGGGGAGTAGCAATACTCCTAGCCGCTTCATGCTAAGGAAACCAGAGCTAAGCGCCGGCCCCATAGGCCACCTTGGCCAGTATAAAGGCTTTTTTACTTACTTCATCGTTCTTATGTACTCAATTAATTTCATCCTATTATTATATTATCTCCCCAGGATTTTGGTGAAACGTGGGATAGAAAGTACAGCATATTTCAAGGTAAAACTTGTTGTCTTAAAAGATCCGTGCGACCAGCTCATTCTGCACTGGTAGACAAATCTTTTGAGTCCAAACCGATCGCTACTAAATTTCCCACAAATCTTATTTCACCCACAAACCGTTTCAGTCTATCCTTTAGGGAACAACTGCCAAGTTTACAGTCTGCAATAACTGCAGCAACCAAACCTTAAATTTTATAAACCATTTAAGAGCGGGTATATAGGAAACCTCGATCATATAAATTAGTTTTAAAACTGCTCAATTTGTTTTTTGATGATGGAATTAATATGACCAATTTGGTTTAATTTGGAAATCTTTTATTTTTTGCAGTTGATGGATTTCTTTTCTTGATGCTTGGCACAGCTTTGTATAACGAGCTATTAATTATTCCTCCATTGATGCCCAAGCCTGATGCATCTCAACAGGCAAGATAATCACACAGTATATAAAATAGTATTTGTTACATTCCAAATTCTGATTCTGATCCTTCCGTCAGTTTTTGCACGTTTGCTTTTGTCCTAGATTATCGAAGTGCTCCCCAATTTCAAATGGTAGCGATATTTAGCTTTGAAATCGCTTTTTATCAAGCGCTCCTGATCATACCCACGATTGACAATTACCCAGAAAATAGAAGTATATGGTTTTTAGAACCAGTGACCAGACTATGAGAATCTTTCTATTTTATAGCAACTTGTTGTAGCTTTAAGTATCTTGTATGACCACTGTCAATACATAAAACCAACTCCTATCTACACAGGATCAAGCTTCAAATGAGATCGAAAATGGCGATGTAGACTTACCGGAGAATGAGCCATTTCTGAGAGGAATTGACAAAGCAGGACCTTACACTGGTGTTATGTGAACTGAGACCGATTCTATCCACATAATTACCCTTTGTTTCATAAACACGTGGTTCCAATTGGAATGTTTTGTTTCCCTCATTGAGAAATACGAATTTTGTGCAAGCCTGGCATTGTTAGTTGAAGAGAGTATTGCCTTGAATTATCTACAACAAAGCCTCATGCATGCTGGGGCCGAAGATGCACCTGCCCTTAATGAAGATTTAACGTACGCGCTATTTTGCAAGGCTATTTTGTTCACGTCTCTACCAGAGCCGAGCATAGCATTTCATTGTGGATGAAAACTAAGGTTAATCGCTCATCTTGTTTTTTATAATAGAATTGTTAGATGTCCGGCGTGTCTTTTAGAATGCCAGTCAACTTGATCGTAATCAGCAGTAAATTATAAAATAAAGTCGCTAAAGAAAGTGGGAATGAATACACCCAAAAGTGTTGTATATGATGTTGCCTTGAGTTTAAATGAAAAGCTATTTTTTAAACTGTCGCAGATTATGTTTTTAACAAATGATTTATTTTTCGACAAGTAAATTATGTAGTGTATGTACAGATCGCAACTCTTATATGTTCTCTCAGTTCAACGTAAACACGCTTCCAACAATAAGTCTTCATATCAGTTTGACTGTCCATTGAAAGGGACAGTTAGTCCAAAGGACAGTTAACAAAATCATCTCACCATCTACAACAAGATGATAAAAATTATGATAAAAGTAATGACTTTGTATCATTTACTACAACGCCAAAAGGCTCATGCGGAATGAAGTTTAAGATAACTATATGTACAAAATACTTGTTGATATATCACAGCTGTGCATTTACTAGGGTGAAATGTTTAAAGAAATTTTGCCGTGTAAAGGAAAGCGCTGCATTTTATGTTTACCTTTATGATCGAGTTGATTATCTGTGGAAGTTCGGACGGGTATCAGTTCATATTTCAGTGGATATGATTTGATATTTGCGTCGGTTTTTCTTGATAAGTCATCATGAGGTAAAATGAAATTTTTTTCTGTACAAGTGCTTGCGTTAAGAAGACTTTGTGACTTGTTTTTCTGTCTCTTGGAATTCAAACTCAACGTTGGCAGCTAGGATATTTCTCTTTCGAGCACCGCTTTGCGGAGCTTTCAATTCATCGATCTTTGACATTTGCTTTGTTTTGGGGGCATCGTAAGATACTGTATCTCCAACAGAGTTAAAATTCATTGCTGGAGTCAGAGATGGAAAAACCTTGCGGGACAAACGATGGAGTCTACGCCTTACTTCCCGCTTAAAATGCGCATGTCGAAATGCGTAGAGAAATGGATCTAACAGGGAATTAATGTTTAGACAAGTAACTGGAAGCCATTGACCGATGGAAATTTTAAAAATCGTGCTTTTAAAAGAGTCGCCATTGAATTCAAAAGGGTTGCTCTCCAGCTTGGCAAAGATTGAGAACACGAGGATGAGAATAATAGGGATAGCAAAGAATATAAAGTTTGTGAAAACCAACAAAGCGATTTTTCTTGCAAGAGATATCTCTCGCTTCACCCCAACCTGATTGCTACTCCTTTTCACAAACCTAAAAACCTTCAAATATAAGGGAAGGTTCGCCAAGTAAAGCAAAACAATGCATGCTAGAGAAGAAAGAAGAATCAGTGATGATCCTGACTGGAATTGTTCATCATAACTCAAAGGAGTGCAGGCTCGCTTTATGTTGTAATGAAGACCCCCAACACCAAATATGGGCAAGACAGCGAAAGTGATGGCAGTAACCCAAGCAAATAGCAATGAGATGTGCGCACCTTTCGCTGTCATGCGCTTGGAAGGGTTGACACAGTACACGACAGCAAGATACCTCTCGAGTGTGAGAAGCAGTGAGATGGACACAGAAATCAGCTGTCCCGAGATAAAGATGGGACCAGTGGAGGGCTGCAGCTCTTTTCCTGCCCACATAACCTCTTCTAGAATACTGTCGATGTTCGAGATGTTTACATGGGCCACCCATATTGCGTATATCCCAATAAGCAGGTCGATAATTCCTGTATGGCTTATGAGAATAAAGGACGCTGTCTTTCGCAAGTTGCGGGACGAGAGAATAACAAAGATGACAACACAATTGAAAAGGATTGTAAAGGGGCTAAAAATGTACTGCACATAAAACAAGTGCTGAGGAAGGGAAGTCCGTTTTTTAAAGTATGGCATAACAACGTGACGGAATTCACATTCCGACTGCTTCACGCACATGCACTCGGGCGAAAATCGGTGTCTTACAAATCTCGTAGGATCCTTCTTCCCAAATTCAAGAAACTCCATTTCATCAAACTCTCGAAGGCATTCCTCAGCCTTCTGCTTTCGTTGCGCCTCGTTGACGAGATTTCTTGGGTTAACGACAGTGCAGTTTGGGCAGAATTTACACCAAGTTACCCCCCTGAGTTCTTTGAGTTTAGGAAGAGCCAGAATATTTTCATCTGGGACCCAGTCGATTGTTCCAGTGATATCCAGGTATTCAAGATCGCGGGTACTATTTGACTGGTTACCAGACCAACTCCTTATATTATTCAGACTGAGATTTCTGGGGAAGAAAGTTATGGGAAAAATAAACTTTGTTTCCTCACTGAAAAACCCATGTATTTAATTAGATTAGCAAGCACTGTTTGATAAAGGAGCCTTCGTTCCAATCCTGAAGAAAAATCGTCCCCTCTCGGGAGGTACGGAATTTGGACTTGGGGACGCGACTGAAATCGAATCTACTACGATATTTTTCCCACCGATATTTTCAGTATTTCTGCATCACAGGCAGCCGTTCTATATCAAGGTTTCGCGTCAACCTGTTTTTTTCTCGATGCCTCTATTATATCATTTGGCGATCTGTACCCATTCGCTCTGACAAAGGGCTAACGCTTAAAACGTCAGCTTTGAAACTCTTTACGGTGACCAATTTTCATTATCAACTCAGTTGAAAAAGCCAGTTTATTTGGTTATACTCCCCCTATCGACACAGCACCACAGGTTCTTAAGAAACTTGCCCCTCCATTCTTTTGTAACTAAGTAAGTTCCAATTATAATAAATAGTTTGACTAGGAAATAAGTGCTCCCTGGTTAATTCCTGTTCACACCCAGACATGCCAGTTTATGAAAAGGCTAGATATATTTAGGAAACAAGTGCGTGTGCAAAATTTTCTGGCTTAAGAACTATCGATTTTTCTCTCAGCACAGGCAACCCAGTGACATCTAAACACCTTTTATACTTACAAATATTTCAGGCGGTTGAGGCCGGCAAAAAATTTGCTGTCAACCTCCCCAATGAAGTTTCGTTGAATCGAGCTGAAAAACGAGAAGGAATCGAGAGCTTGAAGCACAAGTAATGGTGAGAATTTTTTTTTCCAAACGGATCTCTTTATGATCACTTTGGTAGCCAACTAACGCCCATTGCACAACAGACCCATGATAATGGGACACAAACACTTACAGAAACTCCAGGAAGAGGAAATCAGCCAACAGACCTTCTTGAGTCAGATTATGTATCTTGTTTCCGTCTAAGACCCTGGTGAAGAACACAACATAAAAAGATTAATAGATAAGGTTAACCCGCGCCTTACGCGCCTCTTTTTTTCAACTTACTCACTGGAACAAAGTACAATTAATTCCCATGGACCAAAACCTATGAAAGCCGGGACTTAACTCGAGTTCCACTTTGCTTCACATTGATTCACAATATTTGTACCCTCTATGAGAATAAAATCCAGTTAATCTGAAGTTTACATTTCCTCCGCGCGGTCATTTCCATAGATTTATGATTACCTTGTGTTGCTTTGTTGGTAGTGTTGCTGTTTACCGAAAGATGAATTGTATTGTTCCTTTTGATAAACTGTTTGTTCGTAATGAGCGTCCACATACATTACAGAGTAAAAAACACATGTTGATAAAAGTTTCAATACGAAATTTTAGGACTATAACGTTTCTTGTTATCAGACTTAATTTTCTTTTAAATTATTTTCATTTTCAGTTGGTTTTTTTTTAATTTTTTTTTATTTCAACGCTGTTCATCACCCTTTCCCTGGCTCTCTTCCAGTAATGACGCTGAAGTCCTTGGTATGACATTTAATCTAGGTCTTTTAAAAGTTCACAACTCTGGGAGAGTGGTTTGGAGTGGCAGCCAAATTAAATATGGTGTGTGGTTAATTTTTCAATATTGCTTTTTATTGAACTAGTTCTTTATGATGCATTTTTGCCTTTTTTTAATTTAATTTTTAATAACAAAATTTACATTACATATGATTAGTACTTACAAGTTTGTGATATTGCGATATTTACGGATGACGAAAACTGGCACTTGAGACAAACCGTTGTCGGACAAGTCTCTGCAAATGTAAAAGACAAAAGACGAAGTGTAGTTATTCGTCTAAAACAAAAGGAGTGAGTGAATATTATCCCAGAACCTATATGGTACAAGACGTAAATTTTGAGGGGAATTTTGAACGCTTTTGCAAACGGTTCACTGTTTATGAGTTTGGGACTTTACAATGTTCCCTTAGGCAATCCATTGCTAGTTTTCCTCTTTAATAGGTCGTAATTGCTCTGGATGAAAAAGCACTTGCGTTAGGATAAACTTGTTTTCACTACAGGGAATTCAACTTGCCTGCGTTCATTTTCATTTCATATGATTCAATTTTTTTATCGATCAACAGGAATGTATTGAAAAAAACGTTATACTACAGTTACTGAAAAAAAAAAGTCACAAATTGTTTGTCAGAGAAAAAATTAATTCAAAGTAGGAACAGGTAATTTTTTTGAGATATAATAACACAAGGGAATAGCTGATTTGAAATCTGGCTCTATTTTTCGTCACTTGAAACTAACAGTCTAAAAAAAGAAACGTTTAGATTGAATCTTTCCTGTTTTACACCCAGATTATAACCTATTGATGAATATCTTTAGATAACTCTTCCTGTCCACCTTCCGTAAATAAAGACGCATTTTTTATCCTCCTATTCTCTTATTTTTTCCTTCACATAATACCAGTGACGGTAAAAAAGCAAACAAAACATTAATATGGCAGAAAACGCTTTGAGATTTCCTCTCTTGTGAGGTCTACTATTTTATGCCACTGTCGCTCTGACATAACTTGGGTGAATAGGTTTGATAAATACTTCCTTCCATCTTCCGCTGATAAATAATAACTTTTCTGGCTTTTCTTTGAATTTTATTTTATTACTATTTCCTGGAGATATCCGCAATAACAATAGTTGCTTTGCATTCAGGGAGAGTTATTGAAAATCAGCAGGACTGTTTTCGCCACAGAAAAACAAAAAAGACATTTTCTGATGCCCTCACTTCTCCATCTCCATCGTGCAAAACTAAGAAAAACAAACGAATTTCGATAAAATTGTGCACTTTGCAGTGAATTCTAAATTCCGCTATTGTCTCCAAATAATCACCTTCAAACGTCAAGACAGCGTCATCGCACAATTCTTTATTGAGATTATAATTTTTTTCCCCAAAGAGCACCTGTAGTTCAGTGGATATACGACTGGCTTTGCAGAAAATTCTCGATAAGGCTGTTAACTAATTGCAAGAGCCTTCTTCTTTACACAATGCCTCTGGTTAGTACTTCAATGCATGTGCTAATGAATAGATATATTTGATCTTTTAAAATTTCAGGCGAAGCTAAAAAAAATCTTTTCTTGGTAATGGCAATAAAGATGAACCTCAATAAGAGTGGAAAGTACAACAGCTCAGTACAAAATAACTTTAAAAGAAACCTTTTGCTATAATACAATAATGGAGATCTACTCACAAAGAATCCACATCTGGTGGTAGAAGAAGACTATTCTCACTTAGATTTTTTCCGGCGAAGTTGCATTTGGCCAAAACCTTTCCGGACACTTTTTCTCGCGAACAGCGACAATCGTTTGCACATGACAGGTAGCTGTAAAAGGTATCGTCGTCAGTGGTGTCCAAACGTGTGGGGAATAGCGATACCAAAAGAGCACACGACAGAAATCGCACGGCCATGACGAAAATCCGTTTGAGTGTCTGTTCACTTAAAGAGATAGATGTCCTCTGCAATTACACCAATGTTATTTGAAAAACTTTGAATTTGCATTTAGTTTATAAACATGTGTTTGCGAAATTAATTGTCACCCTTGTAATTAAAAGTCAAACAAACGAAAGACAGTGTTGGCCGATAAAATTTTAGCTAACGGAGGCTCAATTTGTGCTGAGTTTAGCCACTCAATTTTCCCTGACAGATCTTGACCCATTTGGTGAGCACTATTCGAGGCTATCAGAGTATTCTGTTTAAGGTCCGTAATTTATATAGACATACCTGAATCACTGATGAGGCCAAGAGCTTTTGATTTTTTGTAGTTTCCACAGACGTGGAAATAGGAATTGTCCTCTGTAAATGTCACTTCTTGACATGTAGTCCAAAATATACGTTCGACTGATGGTATACTGTGTTGCCGTTTGAGAATTGAGCGTGGGATTTAAGTGTTAATTACAAGCTATTCAAACAGCTTTGCACCTGCTAGCAGCTGCAGGAGAAAAAACATATCCTCGCTCGTAAGCCATCATCTTTGCCATCGATTGGTTCAGTAATATTAAGGAATACTTTAGGATAAGAGTTGTAACCTGATCACAACATTGTTACATAGTGATATTAAGAGGTTACTACGTAGCTCATTTATTTGGATTTGTGATGTGCACCTCGCCATTAACAAGGATGACTTGGAGATTTTCTTTGAAAGAGTCACTAGTACGTTGATGACAAAATTGTCACCATAATGTTATTATTTAATATTACTGGGTGATCGTGCGTAGGTTTTTTCTTAATCTGAGGTTGGGGAAGAATTTTTTGTTATCAGAATTGGTAGGAGTATTTTCAAAGTAATTTTTTGTAATTTTTAAATCTATTCTATTCCCAACCCTTTTGTTAGTATACAACACATCTTTATCATCTATTTATTCCCAGCAAAGCAGGTATGAAAATAAATAGTACCACACGCTTATTTTCTTCCAGCGAAACAGAGCATTGCTTCTCTTAAATCTCTGTGTCTAGAATGTTTCTTTCCTTTTCTGCGCTTGTTATTTTATTTGCTGCTTAGAGATTTGGTAGAGATATCAATTGGCACCTTCAGGATTTGCACCTATTCATTAAGAAAGAGCTCTTTCACATGAATAAGTAATTATTTGAAGCTTTGGAGACTATCTATTCAGCCCTTGAATTCGAGATGAAAAGAAACAATGTCCGTGACATGCATTTCAATAAGTAAAATTACAAAACGATCAGTGAAATAAAAAGTTCACATTCAGATTGCTATGAATTTGAGCAAATTTGTACAGTTGATTTCATGTTTTTGACGTGGCTATCAACATCTCAACGTCATTTCAGTGGCCGGGTTTAAAACAATATTGTTACCAAAAAGATAACCATGCTCATCTATTTTCGTTCCTATTTATCTTTTTTTTTTTTCTATTTCTTTTTTTTGCGCCTCGTATAAGTTTGAAGTAAAACTTATCGCAGGCACGCTGCTTTTTCCACTCCCTCCAACGTAATCTAAGTCAGCTGTTAGCTTAGTTTATCCGTAAAGATTATCCTCTTTTTGCAATCTATTTTCAATTATCACTATCTTTGTCTTTTTATGATGATCTAATTTTCATAGAAAGTGGCAAACGTTACTTGGGATATTCATCGAATGAATATTCCTTTAAAAAAGAGAAATTCTTTATCTGTTTTGTGACTTTCTCCTTTTGCTCTTTGGTCCACACCACTTTGTCTCTTGTAACAGAAGGAACTCCAAAAAGAATACTACTACATTTTTCAAAGTAATCCTCAGAACAAGTAACTCCTAGATGATCGCATAACATCTGCAACGTTTCTCTGGGTTTCAGCACTGTGTTGTGCCCTTGAATATCGATGACAGCATTCCCGTAACGTTCCCTAATGCGTTGGTTTGCAGCCGCCAAGCTGAAATATGACTTAATGGCTAAATCAAGTTCCTTTGTCATATTCACCTGGTGTAAGAGACGGACGAAAAAGAAACAGTTATGTTTTTCCTCATAACGGGAATAAAAAATAAAAGCATTTTTGCATTGATTCCTGACATTACAGCTTGCAGAAGAGTGTGTTCAACCCCGCCCCACCCTCCTCACTGTCCCATTCCAAACCATTTTCCTCGTCAGAAATGAAAATGCCTTCGTAATCTAAGGGCAACCTCGGCAACGAAAAATGATTTCTTTTTGAGCTGAGATGATGCTACAACTTTTTGTCTTTCACTATCTGCGTCGATAAGTGCGCTAAGAATCATGTGGGAATCTTATATGTAGGAAGTATAACCTCTCATCATTTTCCTTTTGAAAATCATAATTCCTCTCGTTAGATTTCAGCCAAACATTCCTTTCATTACAGCTGAAACATTTTCATGTTGATATTTAAGAAAATTAAATGCTTAAATCTTCGTGTCCTTCTAACCTACCGTTACTCCATCTTCTTTTACGACGTCACGTGACTCTGTAGCGCGGAGCATGATGGTTGCTATGTTGTCAAAGGGGTTTCTGATGACGTGAATGAATTTTATCGGTATCTGAAGAACTTCTTGAATTTCATAGAGGACACTCCAGTGATTTTTATTCCTTAAAGCATTTGCTGTGCCACCGCCCTTTTTGTCGCCAATTACCTATCCAATAGGATTAAAACAAATTATTATAAATAATAATTTGCATAAAAGCAAGTTTGTCGTTTCCTTTGGTGATACACACTGGAAGGCCATATTTCAGTTTTTGGGTTAGTGACCGCATTTTGATTTATGTGATCTATAAATGAAAAGATACACTTCAACTTGGAGTAAATTTATGTAAATAGATGGAACACCTTCCATGACGCACTAACCTTTATTCCTTTAAAATATCTTCCTTGCCATAAGCCGGGCACTTGGTAGCTATACCTGACGTTCAAAAGGGAGTTATTGGCACGACGGCCAAATGTAGCGTCTCTCACCGAAAGTTCATGAAGGTCATAAAAGAGTTGATATTTCTTAAAGCTTCTCTCAACCTCTTTTGAAGAGCGGAATTTTCCCTCCCAAGTTCGAAGCACGTGGTATTCATTAGCAATGATGATTTCTGGATGTGCATCTAAGATGGCAGCCACTAGGCTGTGGCTGCTGCGGGGGTAACCAATGAACATCACAAAAGTCTCCACTCCATCGTACAGTTTGAAAAGATCTTCTGCTGAGGAACTGAGTGTGGTTGGCACTTCTGAAATCAAACCAGATTCATCATGCTATTCGACTGTTCATATAATCTTTTCTTACTCTATATCGGACTCATGTCCATCGTTCTAACGAGGGAAGTAGAACGACTTGGCCTTATTCTTATACCCGTAGAGTTATAATCAAAGCCTTCTCAAAGACGTTTTAACTTTAATTTAATTTTTATACAAATGATGACCTGAGCCATATTCGGGGTCCCTCGCATCTAAGAGGGAGAAAATCGAAGGGCAAAATTCGAACGTCTGATGTTCTTTTCTCCGTGGGGGGCTCAAATTGTTCTCGTTATCCCGTGCTTGTGACAATTACAAATAACACCTCTCTTTATTAGACTACAGAACTCGAAATTCGCCATCTTTCCATAGAGAAGTAAGTATGAATAATGTGATTTTGAAATGGAGTGGGAGATCCAGTGGGGTCGAGTGGTCCGGGCTCAAAAACTGGCCGGGTCACTGTGTTGTGTTCTTGGACAAAACACTTTACTTTCACAGTGACTCTCTCCACCCAAGGGTACAGATGGGTATGAGCAGATTATCAGGGAAGCCTGATGAAATGTTGGGGGTAACCTTGTGATGGCTGGCATCGCATCCAGGGGAGTAATGATCATCCTAGTCGCTTCATGTTATGCAAACCGGGATAAGCTCCGGCTAGATTACCCTCTTGTCTCCAGTACAGACTTTAATCTCTGAAACGGATCATGTGATCTAGTGAATTTGCTAAATGGTGCTCATAACTATCCCGCACACACTGGGGATAAATGAGTAACCAAGCCAGTAACTTTTTTACGTTCAGTTCGCCTTTTATGACGAAACTCGATTTCTTTCATTGCAAGATCCATGTTTTAGCACTTGACAAAAATTACGTCTGTGCTGTAATCGCTACATATATATGTATATAGATCAAAACTTTTTCCTTCAGAAACTGAACTTTTGACCTTCTTACTTAGACATGCAAGCTTCACTCTGAAGTCACTACTTACACGTCGTGTTCGAGTGACGTATTTCAATATGGAGTCAGCACAACAACCACTTTTTAATGCTACGCGTATGCAACGAGTTAAAAAAATTCATTTTCCATCAAGAAAACACACTCGAAGCGTTTTATATAACTAATTCAGATACAAAAACAGCATGGGAGCTGCGGGGCGCTCTCATCAGAACTCCTTGTTATTTCACCTGCTTTTTGGATGGACTCTTTGTTCTCAGGAAAGTCATTCTTCGTCGGTGAGCACATCTGCAGGAAGATACTGGAAGCTCCATGTTCTGATTTGTTGATCACACAATAAATTACCAACAAGGAACAGATCAAAACTGTCGCATAAAGCAGAGAACATTTCATCTTCAGCATTGTTTCTGAAAATTCAAGAGAGGAGAGAATTCTTTCACAATTATGGCTCATATTTATGGCTTATTCTGTGTATTTGTTTTTCCTTTAAATTTACTTCTTATGTTTAGGGATGCGTCGATGTACATAGCAATAGCACATATTTCACAGTTAGTGTCCCAATAGGAGTTCGCAAGACCGGCCGATAGCAGTAGTTCCTTCTAACGCAGCTCATGGTTTCCTTGCATCCATACCTTTCTCTCTTCTCAGCTTTGCCATCCATTAATGAACGTAAAAGGATGATTTTTGGTAAAGATGAGAAAAATAATCTTGTGTTCATAAATTTCATCTAACGTAGGTACCTCACCATTGAGACGGATTAATCTGAAGTTTCCAGATTATTGATGTCCTTTTAAGAGATTTTCACTGCCTAATAAACGGATCTCTGGCTGTAGAGCAGAGAATTCCTCATTCTATTATTATTCCATCACTATTTGAATTTCTCTTTGCCGTGAGTTCCATAGACAGCCACCGCGCACGCTATTTTCCGTCAAAACACATTCCCTGACCCTTACCTTTCACTTCTGCACTTAGCACCTCTTCTGTTTCTGCACAACACGAAGACCGGAGATTCGAAAAACATTGAGTTCGCTTTTGTCGAAACTGAGTTAATTGAGAAAAGTTTTCACAATGACTGACAGATTTGTGTCACTGCAGCTGTACAAGGTGCTTAGATACGCCAGTACTAAACAAATATTAACCATTACTTGCCCTTTTTTAGTAAGTAATTAACAGTTAAGTAGTAGGCACTCGAATCATTTTTGTTTCTTTTATCGCGTCTTTTTTTGGGAAACGCTTAGATAGTTGACTAGATATAGGAATCTTAAGAGATAAAGGTAACATTCGCGCTAAAAGCATTTTATTAATTAACCAAATCAAAACACGATTAAGAACTTTGAATGGCGAAAACAAGCAGAAAATAAGAGAAGCCATATGTTTAATCAGAAAAATTGCCCACTTAACGCTGAAATTGCATTTTTTGCTCCAAAGTAATTTAACTTTGTATATAAAAGGAATTCAACGTATCAAACGAGTTCTGTGATCAAAAGGGACACCAAGCCGGCATTTCATTTAATCATGAATCTTATGTTCCTGAAACAATAGTCCCCTACGTGGGAGAACTGTGCGCTGCACCTAAGATTTTAATAGATTCTACTTGGCAGTTGGCGTAAAAAAAAAACAACAACAACAACAACAACAAAGAAACAACTCTTTATATTTTTTCATTTTTTTTTTAACGTACAACTTAGGAAATAGTTAAGTTGGCAACAAAACGGAGGCAATTAAAATGAAAAGTTGATCCCGCAACTGACAAATGAAAGTTTATCGTGAGGGGTCGGTTGCTATGCAACTCACGTAGGGGCATCGAAATTACTAAGCCCGTCTTACCCGAGACATTCTGATTTCGCGCTCAGACACCAAACCACTGCGCTTCAAAGGACTCATTGGTGAGCTTGGCCATGAAGAAATTCATACGTGACACGTGTCGTGCACACTGCTAAGATCAGCCATGTTTAAAAGAGCATCACATGTTTGGAATTGAAGTAATTTTGATCGTACTGGCCCGCGTAACTGTACGAGACTCTAAAGTCTCTTGCAAGAGACTATATAGCGTCTTATAAAGTTAATAAAAATCAGGACTGGGACAATAATGGCAGAAAAGGACGTTCCTCAAAGTACGAGACATTTTTATTTACAAACAGAAGGAAAAAGGGCTTGTTAGGGAGTTCTTTCTCTTCTTTTCCCAGATAAACGTGTTTTCGGTGTACTTTGCGTAACAACGTTCTCAAGAAAAAAACAAAACAAAACAAAACAAAGGCGACATCTGTCTGAAAACACAATTTGCCGTCAGCAAAACCATATTTCGCTGTGGTCTGTACAAGAACGGTCGCCATTGATCTCCTTCCCTACACAACAGTCATCCGTTTCCATGCGCTCAAAAAGCTGTGTAGCTGATGAATCTCCTACTTCCAACACTTTTAGCTGAAGTTAACGAAGGTTTTTTTAAGGTACATTATTTGTTAATGAGGTGGAGGGGGCCCAAAGCGAGGTGGCGGAAAAGGACCTGAGGAAGGAACATAATTTCGTGTGATTATTATTGTTACTGTCACCATCATCATCGTCGTTATCATCGTCATTTTCATTATTAACCCTTAACTCCCAAGATCTAATTGTTAATTCTCCCCTCTAGCGGCTACACATTTCCTTGTCAATCAGTTGTGACAATTTAGTGTTGGATCAAGATAACAACTTCTACCTGATAAGTTGGGGTTTTCTCGATACCTGTTTGCTGGATAATGTTGAATATTATAAGGAGAAGTTCCATATTAATCTCTTCTGGGAATTAAAAGGTTAACGAGTACATACTTGTGCACAGATGCTCAATTTCAGTCAACAATCAAACCAGCCACGGTTAAACCTTTTCGTAAAAAAGTACACAACAGCTAACTGTTTTTTGAAAATACAAGGTTGTCTTGAATACAATAAAATCGGAGGACGACACCTTTCCATCAATTCGTTCATTCATCGATCGGTCAATCGCTATTCAACTCTTGTATCCCTTGATTAATGATACTATACTCTATATTTTTCTCTATCAGTGCCCGTGACACTCCTATCTTCATGTACATAAACAATAGCAGACTCAAGATATTCAACAACTATATTGCGAGGAGTGACAATGCTGTTACAGAAGTTTGCCAAACACTGCGCCTAATGTGCAGACTAGAAACCTAGCCAGCGTCAGCACTTACCTCGAGGAGGCATCCCAAAAGGCATAGGAGGAGGCCCAAGAAGACTTGGTATTCCGCTTGTTGGTCCCATATCATTTGGCGGGTGTGGTCTGTTGCCAGGAGGTTGGAACTGTGAATGAGGAGGCCTTGGTAAAAGATTTCCTTGATCTGATGACGGTCCTTGACCAAGAAGAGGCTATGGAAATACGAACAATAAGTATTAAATATTCAGTAAACCTGAGAGGGCCTACAGAATCAGTAATTTATCTTTTTTCTTTCTGCAGGCACCTGTTGGACAAATTTCCTCTTCATCATTCACCTGTGAATAGTGCTTTCAGCGCTCACTGATTGGCTAGTCGAAGGTGATTTGCGAGCACTATTCACCTCAGAGCAGCCGAAGAGACAAAATCGCACGTCAGAGATTAATTTACAACCCATTTTTGCTATGTTGACATTACTTGACTATTCCAGTAAAGCGGTCTGACGAGAACAGGGGCGTATCCAGTAGAGATTTTCTTGGGGTGTAAACGACTCTTTTTTTTGAGAGACAAATTTTACATTCAAATTCTACAACTCAGGTCTGCTAAAATGCGCAAATCCAAAGAATTTACAGAGCATAATCTTTTCCCCATTTTCCTTTTTGCCACGTGGAAATGAACTTCCCGCAACGTAATGTCTCTAAATGTCAGGCCCATGGAAATTTTGGTGCTGTCCACCTTCTCCAACCCTTTGTCTTGGCTACACCCTTGAAAGAAAAATACAAGATTGGGTCTCCTGAAAAAAGAAAAAAAAAACAGACTGACACACTATCAGTACATGATACTGACCTGAGGAGGTGGTGGCATGTTTGGCGGCACAGGTGGCATAAACTGACCTCCCTCCATTGGAGGGGGTGGAGGTGGCATTTGGCCTGGTGGACCAAGTGCACCGGGTGGGGGTGGGGGTGGTAGTTGGTCAGGAGGTCCAGGCATCATAGGCATGCCGGGCATTCGTGGAGGGAACATTCCTGGTGGTGGGAAGCCAGGTGGCATCATGCCAGGAGGAGGCATACCTAGAACAAGAAACAAACCATGATGCAAAATAGTCCATGAACTGAAAATAAAGTGTACACATGAATAAAAATGAGCTTATCTACCTAAAGGGTTGGCTACAAGGGTAGAGAGAGAGAGACTGGACTCTCAACAACTCCAAGAATTAAATGTAAACTGATATTGTAATGTGCCATTAGATGCAGAACCACTTACCAGGAGGAGGCATACCCGGTGGAACAGGTGGCATTGGTGGTCCACCAGGAGGCATGTTGGGCATATTGGGCATGGCAGAAGGTGGAGGTACAGCCATGACTGCAGGGGGCATGATTGAGGTAACTGCTGGTGGTGCTACAGAAGCAGCAGGAGCTGGAGGTGCATCTGCAAACAGCTGATGAGGTCTGTCGGCTTGGGCAAGAGGATTCTGTGCTGCTAATAGACGCTCTGGAAAGAGAAGATAAATTGAGAGTAAGCTCATGTCATATCAAATGTGGGGGGGAAAGGCTCATTTCAAGGGGAGAGGGGTTTACCAAAAATCATTGATGAGAGCCAAAATGCAAATTATATGCTTTACCTCTGATTGTTACTACACTAACAGGAATATTTTCATAGCTTTTGTCCACGGGGAAAAGGGAGGGGGGGAAGGGGGGAAGGGGGCTTATTATAGGGGTGGGGAAGGGGGGAGGGCAGAAGCTCCAAATAATAGAAGGGGTGACTCTCAGAGAATGGAGCTCAAAGGGCTATTAATGGCTACCAGAAAGAGAAATTGCATAGAGAGTTGATATCGTGAGAGAAGTAAATGAAAAGCAATTTCATCAGAACAACATTCTAACACACTAACAAGACAATGCACCTAACAAATATACTTGTGTGAAAAATCAAAGTATATTATTTCAACCTTTAAACTCCCAGAAGTAATTACTATGTAACCTCTCCCTAGAGTATCCATACATTATACAGCTAACAGGCAGTGAGAATATTAAAACTCATCAGGTACAAGTTATTACCTTATTTGAACACCAAATTCTCGTAATCAATTTACAAGGAAATGTGTAGTAACTGGAGGGGAGAACTGATGATCAGATCTTGGGAATTAAAGGGTTAACAAGTTGTGCATGTAAGAAAAGCAAGTTAGAAAACACCCATACCTGCTGCAGACCCATGTCTCTCACCCTTTGATTCCTTCTTAAAGGCATAAGAAATTGTAATTGGTCGATTGCACAAGTACTGCCCGTGCATAGCTTCCATGGCAGCATCAGATGCTTCAAAACTTGCAAAGTTGATGAATGCAAAGCCTTTGGAGTTACCAGTCTCAGGATCCCGCATGATCTACAAGTGTTTAGGACATTCCACGATGAGATATCTCACATAATTTGATTGATTACAACAATGTTACATGTACATGTAGCTGGACCACCTGATTGTATATGAGACTATTAAATTGACTGATTAAATGACTTTTTGACAAATTAACTTTAAAATGTGAACAAATGTACAGTTTATCCTGCGCAATTTGTTTTCAAAACTTCAACCACTCCCCAAAAAATATATTCCATTGATAATTGGTACATGTGTGCTTACGATCAGTGGGAGATACTTAACATTGAAATCACTACAGAGATATTTGTGTATCTAGTGATAGCTTATTCTCTAAATTTATTTTATTTGCACAATCAAAGAAAAATGGACTAAAGGAACATGTAAGTTTTTATTATCATCAAAAATGCAAGTTAAAGAGGTTAAACTTATTTCATTGAAATTTATAGTCAGATTATTCCATGGGAAAGAAAAACCCTCTGAAATGTGCCCCATTCCCAATGTGTGCCTTCCTAGCTCACTTGGTAGCCGGGCCCAGCTAGTACATGTACATGCATCTGGGAGACACTGGTTCAAATCCCAGCAAACCCTGAATTTTTTTGCAGGCTTCTTTTCTATAATTGCAGCTCACCCTTTACAATCAATGCTTTACTTGTAATCATTATGCCAACCCACAGTTCTAAGTACAAAAATTTACACAACCAAATATCAATCACCCTTCACTCATTTCTCTTCAAGCAGCTCTTTGCAAGTGGTAACATGTAAAATGCATTACCTTTGGGGTTTGAAGAATAACTCCAAAAGCACTAAATGTGTCATACAGCAGTTTCTCGTCAATCTCTGGATCAAGATTGCCAATGAAAATGTTGGCACCCACATCAAGGTTCTTATTGTGCGCTGATGCCTGAAATTCCAAAATAAAGTTGGTTCTTACAGTAGAAACAAAACATGAACTTGACACTTTCAAGAACAACTAATCACATCTAATTTCCACCCATTCATTGCATACAGTAGATAAAATAACACAACTTGAAGAGATTATCATCTTTAAGGTGCTTCTCTAACAGTGCCAAACAATTAATAACAAAACATAATTATACAGTCAGGCATAATCTACCTTGTTCACTCTAATTGGCTTCCCGTATACTTTTATCATGTTCATCACTTTGATGGCATAATCAGCATCCTCTTCTCCAAGGAATTCAATAAACCCATACCCTTGATGAAGCTGGGTGATGCGATCTTTAGGCATGTGCACATTCACTAAAGAAATAGGTAAATACATGTAGAAAGTCAAGAATTGAGCTGATGGGCTTATATGGCCATAACTTTTCCTGTTTTCTTTAGAAGGAAGCAGATGAGAACATTGTTGAGTCTCCTGGATGGCACTAAAGTCCATTGCAATTTATCCCCCGGCATTTTGCTGGGTTACCCTGGCAGTTTGCCTGTGCCCATTTGCACTCCTAAGTAGAGAGAGATGCTGTGAGAGAAAAGTGTTTTGACAAAAAATGCATCACAATAATCACACCAGGTCTGCACACAGGACCTCTTTACCCTGAGTCTAGGGCCAGAGTGTCTCCTACAGAGATCACCTTTATATCAATAAGAATGCATACTGCACATACAGTACATCATGTAGCAATGATATACAAAATCTCAACCCTGGTTGCTTGGTATGAGATCAAAACTAACAGCCTTCACTTACCAACTGGTCCAGCTTGAAGAAACAGTTCCCACAAGAGGGTTTCTGCAACTTTTTCATCTAATCCACCCACATAAATTGTGGCATCTATTTGAATTGAAAAGAATAAAAAATGGACATAGTAACATTTGTTTGCTTGTTTTTCATCATTTTGTCATACTTTGAAACTGCATTAAATACTCAACATAAGCACTCTGTAAGCATTGGTTTATTCTGAATTATTTTACAACAAAAACAGCTGTTCAGTTGCATAAGTAGTTTCAGACTACACCACTGGTCTTGAGAGTAGGGAAGGGTAATAGAAACAATTATTATGTACTAGCAAAAATTGAGTAAATAAAGAAGATTAAGTCTGAATAGGCAGAGAACTTGAACAGTGATTTGTTTAACTTTTAATCCAAATGAGAAAATCTTTGTAAAACATGGGGTTTAGAGCGATTTTAATTGCTGGCAACGAAAAGAATTACAGATCTCGAAAATCGCCGGTCCACAGCCAAAGGGGAAGATCCTGAATTTCCGTTTGTCGTTTCTCGCATTGATCAAAGAAAAGACACAATATTCAAAACTTAAAAAAGGGCACTTTGAGCTTTTAACTCAGCGACTCCTAAGCTTATTCTGTACTAAGCAGTCCCTCACGTGAATAAAAAACTCGATGTTCAAACGTTGCGAGTTTATCTAGATCTCAACATGAATAAGATCTCAACGAAATGCAATTAACGTCCTCGTTTCTTGTGTGTCTTAACAAAGATCACCTGAGCACACTAGTACGACAAGTGAAGAATTCCTGCTTTAACTGACAAAACACTTTCCTTAGAACGCATAGATTTAACGAGAGCTGCATGTAGTGTTTAACAAATCATGATCAAAGGACCAGAAAACGATCAAACGTTCTTACTACGATAATTGATGCTGTGGTAATCAATTAGTAAATAGGCATCGTAAACACGAGTTGACGAATAGCGTAGCAGAAATATACCCAGTGATATCATAGATACTTGGCATAGGCAAGCCAAATGGCAGAGCCTTCTGAGAAAGAAAGAAAATTCGCACATTACCTTGATTGCGCTCGGCTATCGGTCCGGCCGCCATGCTGAAATTAACAACTTCCCGGCAATCATCGGGGTGAAGATGCAAATAACCGCTGATCAAGAATTACGGGGGATGCGAACAACCGCTGTTCAAGAATACTGCTTAGAAATATCCTAGTAAATTCTAGTCACGCTCTGTAAACGAAAGCAAGGGTTTTGAGTACTCTTAAATTAGAATAACAGGTTTCGCCCTTGGCTCTACTAGAAAGTCAGACTGAGGCGAGAAGCAATCGACGGAAAAACGATGTGGGGGGATGGGGAAGTAGGCCTCCAAAAATTTCCGCCTTACCTACGTGTAGCCGTTCGCTTCCCACCCCCCTCTCCCAATCAAGGTGGAGCGGAGGCGAGGTGGCTTTCAGGAACACCTGTTGTTCGCCCAGGCTTGGTTGGTCTTGACGGGCAGGACTTGCAAAAAGAACTAGGCTACATTCCCAAGAACGTGCGCATTCTAAATGGCATTTGCTTGTACTCAAAAAGCTGCAAAATGTGGCATGTTCCAGGCAGTAATTACCGCAAGTCAAATTTAGACCGAAAGCAGAGAATGTGGGGGGATTGTCTCGCCTGTGAACGATATGTAAAAAGCGCACTCGGCAATAGGCAATCGTTAGATGCCACTAAACGAGAGGATCGGCGAAATCCCAGAAGCAATTACCCAATCCAATTTTTGTCGCCCAAAAAACAAGTCCCTTCGTCTAAGTAATGCTCGCCAACTTCGATCGCAAATGGTCAAGAAGCTTTTTCAGCTCGCCGAAACCATTAAAAAATCCAATAAAGGCCAAGAGGGGCTTTGTAGGACTGTTAGAGAAGGGAAGCATTACAAAAATGGAAAGGGAGCCGGGTAAAGCTGGAAACTTTAGTGCGATAGTCGTCGGCCACCTCATTCCGTCAAACTTAAAATTAATGATACAGTACTTACTGGTCGCGCAACCGGTTTCGTAGGTGATATGCAAATTCATCATGTTTTCCAACAGGAGTCAGTTACCATTTCCTAAAATTTGCATTATAAGAAAAACCCTAACCTTCGGCAGGTGCGTTAGAATAATTTTCATTTGTAGCAAAAGTAAGCCTTAAATACCAACGTATTGCACTCTGGCAGTGGCCACACACACGAAACGGAATATGGTTTGAGAAAGACATCACAAGAAATCAAGTTTTTCTTGAGTCTAAAAGTGGACGTTTATTGCTTTATTTGAGGATTCTGTTTGGATAAGGTCAGAGGTTGTTTATCGTGTTACTTTCCTTCATATTTCTTTGCCAATTTTGCCCACAACAAGTACAAAAATTGAAATTTGTTTTGATTTTTTGGCGAACAGTTTGATTTTTTAGCGAACAGTGAGTTGTTGGTTTCATTAAGGTAAAATATTGGAAAAGTTATCGATTTTAACAGAAAGCCAAACTTATCATTTCAGTGATTAATTTCCCTTTTTACTTCAGTTTATTTTCAAGTTCTTTGCATGAAGAGAATGCTCTAGAATACCGTTGGTCAAGAGCGGTTTCTCGAGATTTTCTGAGGATAGTTTCGGACATACCATGCAGTCGAGCGAGTGCATATCCCTCTTACGATGTACTCGAGACATAAAGCCTTATTTATGGGGCTTAAACGTCGTTGATGCTGCTTTGAGAAGCGCAATTCAATCACTGTGGGCTAGAGTTGGTACCGAGACAAGTTTGATGCTTACGCGTCGATCAATTCGAAACTTCAACTTCCCTCCCCTGTGAAAATTGAACTCTTAAAAATTAGCTCTTCAAATTCCAACCCCCAAGGCCAAAATTATGCTCAAATGCCTTAAGTAAATTTTTTTTGGAAACGGAAAACTCAGCGATCGTGACTTTTTACACATTTACTGAGCTCTAAAACTCTTGACCTTGAAAACTTTACTTCTTTAGCCCTCTAGAAAGACTTGACATTTCCGGTTCAAATTCCCCACCCCAGCCACATAAGGTTCAAATTTCCCATTCCCCAGAAACGGACGACAATAAAATATCAGAGGGGGGATGTTAAATTGATCGATGCGTTATTTCTTAGTCCCGCTTTCGTTCGTTTACATGTACTCCCTTTTTGAAAACGTTTGTGTCAGGGGTAAGTATTTGTTACTAAAATGGGATGCAAAACGTGACACCCAATAAGACTTGAACTCGTAAAGGCACTGATCTATTTAATGTTCCACATCGACGGCAGAATAGCTCATTGCTCATAAATTATTTTCCACTTTTGTGTCAGAACATCGCAATATACTTGGTACAGTTTAGTCCGTTCGCGTTTTGACTCCAAGTCGACCTAGTGTAATCTAACGCGACACGATGTGTTGTATCGTGACGAAGTGCTGACTACTGGCGCAAGTGTCAAGTGACAAAATATTCTTCTCGATTTGCGAAAATTTTCTGGAGTTTGAAAAGATTCTTGGATTGTAAACTATTTTCGGTTTTCATGAAAGTTATTTGTCAATCAATTAATTAAACCAGGATTTGAAATTGTTTTCTCGATTTGACAAACGTTTCAAAAGCGATTTTTTACTAAAAGATATCGATTCTGAACGAAGTTTTTTCGGATTTTCAAGATAATTTTTGGATCGTCCCTTTTCGGCTTCCGTACCTCTCTCATTGCCATAAAAAATAGATGAAATATGGGTTTTCAGTTTTCGTGTCGCAGATCTTGGGTCTTAACTTTCGTTTTCACTACAACCGACAGTTCAGTGATGAACAAGGATTCAACTCGAATTCATAGTTTCATTTTTCATGTAGATTATGTATAAAGCTAGTGTTAAGCCATCGAAAGAAGTTTTAAAAAATATCCTTCACGAACGGTCTCTCAAAGCTAAATAGATCCTAGGGTAAACTCAATTCGCGATTGCGTGCGCATTCCAAAGAGGTGACGTTTGTTTCAAACAACACTCAATTCATGTCTATGCCCTTAAGGGCGTCTCGTGTAAGCATTTTGCGCTCATCGTTAGTGAAAAAAAAAATTGCAAGGAAGTATCCTGAAAGGTTGGGTTTCCTTTATGCTGATAAGAAAATTGAAACATGCGGAAAACGGAGATAAGAACCACTCAAAAACGTGATGTAATTTACATAATATCTAACGAAGAATATCTAAACCGCTGGCGTGACAAGGAGGATCAACTGCAAATGTAGTTTACAGGCACCAGATTTTTATTAAGTCACCAATCACCACCAAATAAACTAGGTTGGAATCCACAACAACTTTTCTTTTTTCGAAAGTTGTCATTCTCAAAACGGTAAGCGAAATCAACCCTTCCGAGCGTTAATACTGGATCGATTGTTTACATTCATTGAGTAACCAAATATTTATTCCATTGCGACATTGTCACTCAGAGATATTTCCTTTTGTTCAAAATCAACAGACACTTTCATAATATTAGGAAAACTTCCGAAGCTTGGACTTTATTTCTGACCGGTAAGCTGATTTAGGAACTGATCCCAATGATGGCTAAGTCATCATAGATTAAAAACTTTTCTCCATTGACCTTTAACTTTCCCCCATTTTTTTAATTAATGGAATCAATTCATCCATAAATAAACATTGTTCCAAATAAATGACAACTTCTGGATCGAGGTAACATGGGAGATATCAGGCTAACAAGTTGGGGTAATTCTTTTACTGTTTAAAGCGGCGCGAAACTACCTTCGAACGTTGAGATAACCTGTCATCAAAATCTGTCACTTCCCACACTTTTTCCGATAAATGTTAAGGAAAAGGGTAGATTTTTTTTATTTATATCAAGAGATAGTAGGAAATCTTTACGACAGGACTCGAGTCGAAGTCATAAGAACACCTTCGATACGCCAAGTTGGCGGGCAAGTATGGGCTGACTTGGGCGGCTTTATCGTTTTTTTTCCCAAGCAAAAACAACTGGAACTTTTTAATACCCAGTTCATGGTTAGGCCCCTAAAATTAGTCTTTATGCTAAATTTCAGCCAAATCAGTGAGGTTAAGTGGCCGCGATTGTTTTTGAAAATTTCGAAAGTTACAGACCATTGAATGACTGATCGGTCTTGGATCGTTCAGCCTTTTTCCGGATGGAAAATAAGGAAGATCCCTCTTTTTAGCTTAGCTAGTGAGTCGCACAAGCTAATAATAAACCACTTGTCATAACGCTCGAAATCTGTGCGTAACGCTTTATTTCTCCCACTAGGAAAGAAGTCTTCTCGCTGCGGTAGCCTGCGGGTAGACAGTGTCTCGATTGTGCTCGTAAAATGCTGGAAAGTCGGTCACTGGAAAGTCAAAAGTTGCTAAAAAAATAGCTAAAAATCTAACAAGTTGCTACTTGAATATCAAAAGTTGCCGAACACAATCGGGACTTCCCAACCTACCGGAAGGCTCCCATTGACACATTGACGTCGCTAAACGAGTATATCACGGGCTTCTCGCCAAGTTTGCGAGATGCTCTGGAGAAAAAAAAGGGTCATCGCTGCGCGAGTACTGGGATAAAGATTTAGAGGCGCGCGAGAACGTTTTCGGCAAGTGAATATTTTCCTCTCGTGGGCCGCGCACGTCCGCTTTGTGTAACAAAATAAATCTCGCTTTACGTGAGGTGTGAACGTCAACAAGATTAATAGACAATCAGTAGTCATCAACAGGAAAGTAACTGTCATTTTGTTCAAATCTGTACACGAGTATCCTACTGTGTTAGTCATTACTTTCACGTTTCGTTTTCCTTCGTGGCTAGTTTTAAATCACAGCGTTCATTTTATCAGCTCGGGTTATCTTAATCCCCTCAAATATTGACCAAATAAATTAAAATCGGGAATTTTGCTCTTCTCTTTGTTTCACTATATCTCTTTTAGGCCGGTTGACGCCTGTTAAAAAAAGATACTAGACTTCCATGGCAAAACTATAATTGTCTTTTTCAGGTGGTCGGCAAGTGATCTTGACAGAATCACTGGAAAGAAAACAAACAAGTGCGTGCCATGCATTGATACACTTCAGCCTTTTATGCAAATTTTATTCGGCCGCAATTATCACAGAGATAAACATAGTCTTCTGCGAGAGCAATTAGTCTTCTGAGCAAGCGAAGAACCACCGGCGTGTTACGGCACCGGCATAGAGCATTTTCCACGGTAATTGAGCAAAACACATTACTATTGGTAAGTTTGAATTGTTTTTGCTTTAGGTGAGTTCAAATGACTGATCTCTTGATGGAAGTGCGTTCATTTCAAAGCCTCGTTGTAAGATAGCAACCGAGATTAGGTCTCGTAATGCTCCTATTTTATCGGCATCTGGTTCTGTTTGAAGAAGCTGAAAACTCTGTGTTTCATTGTGTATTTTTCACGGCTTCGAAGTCATCCATAGAAATGTAAACATGTTCGAAAAATTCCAAACACACTCACCATTTTGTACATATTATTACATCTAGCCTGACGGAGACGAGCCCTAAAGGAGTTTCTTGCTTCGCATTCGTCACCAGATATTTAAAACTACTTGCATTGATTGAGTTGTCAGTGAGTTGTCATGCTCTCGATTCAAACGGCATATTTTCGAACAAGATAAAAATTTCTACAAAAATATTCTTATCTACTAAAGACAGCAAGAAAACGTTACTCTGTTTTGATAACGAATTTTTGAAATAAATGAGTGCTATCGCACCGAGGCACATTTCGCCTTGATGTAAATTAAATATGCCTTTCTGAAAACTTAAATCCGTCATTTCTTTATTAAACAAATTTTCCTTCTCTGGGATTTAATGTTCGCATTTGTTCCTCCATGTGTTTTACTGATGAATTATTAATCAGACTGAAGTTATTTTGTTAACATCGGTTTTTACATAACTTAAACCACCAACTCTAAAAACAAAATAGTACTGACAATCTCCGTGTCCATGGGACGCTTTGGAAAAAGAAAAACGCCAACCATAAAACTAAAAAGCAAACCAAGGAAGAATTTCCACTTAAAATTGGACTGGACATAAATTTGTTGCTGGCAGTTAAAAATAAAGGTAACACTGTGGGATTTGTTATGTCGAAAAAAGCTGTTTTCAAACCAAAAAAAAGTAGATGATAGGAAAGAAAGAAAGAAAATGAGAGAAAATTTCGTAGATGGATAATATTACTTAGGATCTCTCTCGTGATCCAGTTCTCCAAATGAAACTCGATTGAATCGAATCCAAAATTGGAGTTCTGATCATTTTAAAGATCGTAACCCCTCATCCAAACTGTCTAGGCCATCATTATTAGCGCTGCAGGACGCGTGTTTCTCCGCCCGCGGGAAGATTTGAGACGAATCGAGGAGAGGCTAGGAGTCTGGCACAAACAATGCGAAGTAGACCGTATTCAGACCCTCTCGCCAGCTCGCGCTATTCAACTCATACTTTTTTTTCCCGCGGGTGAAGCTTAGAAACGTTCGTGCAGAAACTCTTTTGACGGCCTTCTCTCAGGCTACAAATGGCAGACAGTTAAAATTACGAGTAACACAATTAAAACTTCCTTGTAATCAAGGCATTGACGCTTGGCGCGTTTTGTTGGGGATTATCCATTGACATCTCCTTTATCTTCCACACGTCCCTATGTACAAGCGATTTAACCGATTTTTGTATGATCTGCGAAGGCATTTTTGAAGTTTCTATTGATTGGAATTGTTTTAAACATGTGAATCAAGAAAGTGTCATATGAGCAGGAAAAAAAAAGGGAATATCTATCCTTTCTCTTAGACTTTTTCAAAATTCTCAAATTTCACAGTAAACCGCTACAACGAATTACAGTTTGCCAAAGTGCAAGTGCATTCTCAGTTTCATAATGTGAAAAATGAGACCTGTCTTTCTAATTAAAAAGTGTTAATAATCGACGATTACAAATTATATTTCGCATGCAAGTTATCCTTTGTTTTAAGTGAGTCTTTCATTTTGTGTCCGCATAAATTTCCCAGACTTCAAGTTCAGCTTGGAATCATCTACCACGAAAAAAAAAAAATTTAAATTTAAAGAAGGCGTCGCATTAACTATAAGGTCGCTTGTTAATGAGACATCATATATAGTGAGACAGGAGTAGAAAATTTACTTTTTCAAGAAGTGCAAAAACCAAACGGATTCAAAACGTTTTCTTTTTTTTGTTTGTTACTTAGGCGCAAAAATGAAGATGATTCCAACAGATCCGGATAATGTAGTGTTCAAAGAGCTACCATACAGACAGAAAGCCAAGAGGATCATAACAGCGCTTGCCGTAATCATTATCCTGTTGTTCATTCTTTGTGTCATCTTTATCGTATTATTTGCAATGAAGAAAACCAAAACTCAGGAAGAAAAAGGGCATGAAGAATCGGTACAAAAGACTTGTGCCTCAAAAAAATGCTTGTTCGCTGCTGTTGGTAAGTTGGCTGTTTTTTTGTTAAAAATTTCGATAGTGCAGTTTTATTTCAGTTTATTGTACGCATGATGCCAACTAAATCTTATCATCGTGGTCTGTCAGGTAACACGGACAAGAGAACGTAACTCCCAGTGTTGGGATCTGACTTTGTTATCGTTTATACAGGTTCCCATTCAAGCTTAAAGCTGAACTGGGCCAGTCTGTCTAAATATTGCGAATAAATACAATCAAAAGAATTTAAACAGTTAACATTCTCTTGATTCAATGCGTACATACATAAAAAAGAATTAGAAAAAGAAACAATTCCGTTTTGCTTTTACGCAGCCATGCACGGCGACCGAGCGTAATGCAGTATTGTTAGACCAACATTAAAGCTTGTGTAAATTTACCACTGCGCTTCCTAAAATTCTCTTGTTATTTCCTTTTTAAATTTTTTTTTTTAATTTTTCGTATTTGCTGATTTACTCCTTTGAGAAGATCTTGAATCTCATCAACCGGAATGTTATTAAGCTGCAGCTGCCATGAATCAATTTTGGTGACGTACACAAATCTGAAATTTGACTCCAACGGTGCTTTCGATCGAATCAGTTTCGTCACAAACTGCCATCCGGCTGATCGACTTCGCGATCTCTTTTTGCCTATTATATGCATTTTTAGCCGTCTCGAATCCGTTTTAATTTTTTATTTGTTCAAAATACATTGTGGCGTTGAACTACATGTGAAAATATGCGGGAAAAGCTCACCGAATTTGAGGAAGAAGAAGCCGTCGACATAAAGTACAAATTGAGGCATTTCACCAAGTTCAAGGTTTTGCTCGTGGTCACCTCAATTTTAGCTGTGTTATTGATCACGTTTATAGTTTTATATGCCGTCGAAAAATCCATCGATAACGATTTAGCAAACGAGCAAGGAAAGACTCCACGTGTACAGACGTACTGCGGCACGAAAGTATGTTTTGACGCAGCACTCGGTAAGCCCAATTCCAATTTGGAAGAACGTTTCATTTAAATTTATTTTCCTGATTTCGTCTCGTTCTTGAGGTAATTCAATATGCTTTTCACATTTATTGATGGTAATATCATGGAAAGAGTACCATGTCTGTAAATTTGAATCAATTGAAAATTTTTGATATAAGAGCCGTTGTGTGACAGTTGTCAGGCAATCCCATCACGCACGAGAAATATGATACTTAAGATCTTGAGACCTCGCTCATGTGATAGATCTGAAAATATATTGAATTACAGTTAGCTTTTATTATGATCGTTTTTCTTACCAAGAAACGCCATTATTCAGTGAGGGGTTTGACTTCCCTTTTTCCGGGAAAAGTTTGGGTTTTCTCGGAATCAAAAAGGAAAACAGAAGCGTTGGGAAGACTCCGTGAGAAATAGAAAAATATTTGGGAATACTCTAACTAAAATCGTTTTTTTCTCGAAAAAAAATAGAAAGAAAAGAAAAACACCATTATCAAAACGTTCATTTCGATGTTTTTCTGAGAAAATTATTTTTGTCTCACTGAGAGACCACTTTGTTACGTCTCAAAGGTTGGCTTTTCTCGGAAATAAAAGGGCGAGAGTTTAGAGGATATAATGGGGGAGGGGAGGGAAGGAATGAGGCGGGAGTGAAGGGGTGAGAGTGGCTATTTCCAGGAATATTTCGTGTCAAAATGAATTTCACGTGGTAGTGGTACGGTCCCAGGTTGAGACAAAGCTCTCCTTTATTTCACAACAAATGGAACCATTCAACCGTTTGGTTTATTTGCATTTCATATTTAATTAATTTGAAAGTGCTGCAGATGCGTTCGTCATTTTATCCATTTGCTCAAACACTGCCGAGTTGATAGCGACAAAATGGTTAATATGAGGAAGTTAACGGAACACGAGGGCGCAGACGACACCAGCGTCAAGTATAAATTGAGGCATTTCTCAAAGTTTAGAATCTTGCTCGTGGTCACCGCGATTTTGGCCCTGTTAGCGATCATATTTATCATATTGTTTGCCGTTGAAAAATCCAAGGTTCACGATTTAACAAGCCAGGCACAAAAGACTCCAAAAGTACAAACCTACTGCGGCACGAAAACATGTTTAGACACAGCTTTGGGTAAGCATACGTAGTACAGAAAGTGTTCAGAGTTTATTGATCGCAAGTAATGAACTCAGTTCTGAACGTTTTGTACTTAGATTCAATCAACATGCATCGAGTACCACTTATTACTAGTGTGTTTACTAAGGCGATGTTGGACTGATTGAACACTCATTCTGTATTGCTTTTGACTGAATTCAGTCTAATGTCATCGGGCAAGATTTCGACACAGCCCCGCACTTCATTATGCATACAGTTCTTAGATAAAGAAACCAACGGCGAAAACAATAGATTTATTTTGGGACTACAGCTATAGTTTAGAACAATTTGCGATTTTATGGAAATATTTCCATTGATCTTTGTGTCGTATCTAATGACAAATTTTACCGAGATTAAAGCTTTCTATAATGATACGCGCGCAAGCCCCGAGTGGATTGAAGGATTACTGAACGCATGTCTCCTATAATAGAGTTGAATGTTCTAGCAGCTGCTTTACCAGCGTTGCAAGATGTTCGGCACGCTTTTGTTACTCCATCAAGGAATTTTCCAGAATTTTGAGAACTCGATTAAATACTCTTAGTAATTTTTTAACTGATTTTAAAAAATTTCCTAAACTCTTGGTGGTGTGGAGATAATTTGACATATTCTGGCAACTTTCAAAAAGATTTTTCGGTCCATGTTGCAGAAATGTTGTTTTTTGATACCACTTTTGACAATTTTGCCTTTTAGTCAGTAATGACGTCAATGTACATAGCCCTGCGAAGCGAAGCGATTTCGTAACAAATCACGCCAACAGCTTTTCTCTCATTTGTGCAGGGCTGCCGTATCGGTTGTCACCTGAGCGAAACGGCAAAATGGTATTTCTTTGCAAAGTTCTCTGGGTTTGTTTAGAACGCTTAAGTCTGAATTTTTCATCAACGAAAAACTGCGACTGTGACTTTGCAATTCGATCAGTTTAATAGATCACGACAGTATGCTAAATCCTTGACTTTACGACCTTCAGACTAAAAAGATTTCCATTTCATTTTTAGGCTTGTCTTGTGCAAACCAGCTTGTAAACACAATTCTGAAATTGCTGAAGAAACCCTCGACCACCTGATAAACTTTAAGATATTTGGGATTATACAAAACTTTGGTTGCAGTTTATTAGCTTAATTATGTAACGTGGTCCGACTATCAGAGTGGGTTCCGCGAGTTTTCAATTAGTCAACATGTATCATTACACTTTACCAAGAAAACTTGGTTTTTCTCGGAAATTGAAGAAGAAAAATGAGACGCATGGTAGAGGGGGTGGGGGGAAAGAGGAAAGTGAAGAAAGGAGGGGAGGGGAGGGGATAGGCTAGACAGTAAGAACAAGAGGGTACGACGGATGTTATTTCAAAGGGATTCAGTTACTATGATACAAAAGATTTTCAGGAGCTTTAGCTTTAATCTGAGTTCACCTTAACAAACATCTTTCACTACAGAGAGATAACTCAATCTTTATGTGAAATATCGAATCTTCGTGATCGAGTTCCGGTATTTTAGAGGTATTAGATACATTGTTATTCGATAATGATTTGCCTGATGCGAAGAAAATAAGGTCCAAGAGGATTATAATGAGGCTATTAAATGTTGCAAACCTTCCACAGTTGTCTCCTGTGAAATTTACCCCCAATTTCTAACAAAGACATTGTTGTATCGAGTCGCTAAAGAAGCACATGCGTTGAGTTTGAAAATCGCCTGATTTTGGGATTTCTTCTTTGTTCATGTGCGATGTTTTGTTCTTGCAGACATGTTAAAGCAGCTTAACCAGACTGTTGACCCATGCGAGGATTTTTACGAATATGCCTGTGGAGGTTGGGAAACTGAGAATGCTCTGAAGCCTGGGGAGACCCACGTGACTGGATTCGCATTGGTCAAAGGGAAAAGTTACCAAGTCCTTAGAGAAGCACTGGCGAATGCAGAGAAAAATTACTCAACCGTGAGAAAAATAGTTCATGTGAATGATCTGTTTGTAGTGTGTATTTTTACGCTTGGTTTTCGATAGATATTCATTCTTGTAGTTCGACACAACCTTAATGTTAGACTGTCGTGCAGGAGTGTTAGAGTGTTAGAGTGTTAGACTGTCGTGCAGGAGGTCGGAGGTTCAAGCCCCAGACCGGATCAACAATGACTCAGGGTCTAAAAGTAAGCGAGGATAATGTACTACCTTTGCTATGGTTTCTGCGTGTGGCAAGGCATTGTAGTGTTCCTAGATAAGGACGATAAACCGTAGACCTCGTCTCTTGCATCTTCTCTGTACTGGTTAGCCGGGAACGTTAAAGAACCCACACACTTCTTGCAAAGAGTAGAGAACGTAGCTCTTGCTATTTTGATCTGGCCTTGATTTCGAAATTGGGAGTACTTGCAAGTATATCCTTCCAGACAAATTTGCAAACTGCTTACTGCAAATCGCTTAGCGAAACTCCTTGTAACTTCATTGTAAGGAACTGGGATATAAAGCTAGGTTTGGTAACCCACATGGCTCGAGTAAAGACTTTACCCGTACCTCTGAATCCTGTTAGGTTCGACTTAGCAACATTCTACGACGTTCTCCGTGATTTTTTTTTTTCAGAACGAAGCTGTCATGAAGACCGTCAAGTTTTATAACGTCTGTATTGACAAGCCGTCGGTTGAGGCCCGAGGGGATGGTCCGCTCAAAAAGCTGATCGTTGAGATGGGCGGATGGCATGTGACGGGTAACATGACACCTCTTTCATCCATGAACATCATAGAAAGAATTGGCAAAGTGTCCAGGGAACTGTTTATAAAGCCATTTGTCGATGTGACAGTGTTTATTGATCCCCATGATTCAAACAAGCACATTTTACAGGTAAACTCTCCTCTCGGTCATTTTATCGGAGACCCTTGTTAGCGTTCCTTCGCTACAACCCTGTTTTCTTTTCTAAACGACCACCTTAAGCAAGCATAGGATGATGGTAGTCTCGTATCCAGACCTTCCACGGCTAAACGGTTGTACATGTAAGTTACAGTTACACGATAAGATCTTGGTACGATGAAGGCAATTTGGGGACCTCGATTATTGTTGTTGTTGTTATTATTATTATTATTGTTATTATTATTGTTATTGTTATTATTATTGTTATTATTATTATTGTTATTATTATTATTATTATTGTTATTGTTATTATTATTATTATTGTTATTATTATTATCATTGTTATTGTTATTATTTTTATTATTATTATTGTTGTTGTTGTTGTTATTATTGTTATTGTTGATAAAGAAAAGTAATAAAAAAGATATTTTACTGGTGATAGCTTGACACCTTCTCAACTCTCTCCATAAGAAAGAGATCTCAGCCCATACAGTTCATTGTTTCTTCCTGGTTACCAACTATTTACTGTGCTATGGACAACTATATCTAACTCGTAATAGCATTCAAAACTAACCCCTAACGTTTCGTTTGGCTGCGTGAGGTCCTCTTTTGATTACAGAGGGGTTAGTAGAGGAAATTATTCTTAATCCAGATCTGTCACCTCTAAATCCATACGATTCATTTTCAGTTTGCACAGGGAGAGCTAGGTATGCTCCGCTCATACTACACAAAGAATACTTCCGATTCTCAAACAGTAAGTTAGAATTTTAAACTATGAATAAGCTCGCCACAGATTTTAAAGGGTCCATCCACGGAGTTGTGATTATTTTGTTTTGCCTTGACTTCTTGTTGTCGTGTATGCTTTTTGTTCTTGATCTTGTTTTGGTTTTGTTTGTTTTAGGTACAATTTGAGGGGTTCACAAGTCATTTTCGTAAGAGGGCAGTAGGCTGACGGTTAGCGCTTTAGGTTCGATACCTTGCTGGGTTACTGTGTCGTGTTCTTAGGCAAGACACTTAACTCGCATCGTGCCTCTCTTCTCTCAGAAGAGGAAATTGTTACCAGCAAAATGTCAGGGAAATCTCACACGAAATGCTAAAGGGAGGGGGAGGGGGGTGGGTTGACATGCAATGGACTGGTATCACGTTCAGGGGGAGTAGCTGAGTAGCAATACTCCTTTTCTCACCATGCTACGAAAATCAGGATAAGTTGCGGCCAAATGGGCCACCCAGCTCTAGAACAGACTCCTCCATTTATTACCAATTATTTTCAGGACTAGCTTCGCCAATATGATGGCTATAAAAGGTCTTGCTTGTTAATCTTGGGCTAAACCATTTCCTGAATGTTTGGATACATAACCGCCTGTTTTTTTCAATAGATTCGGGAAGCTTATAAGACGTACATGAAGACCATCGCCAAATATCTAGGAGGAGGCCCGGACTCTGATAACCAGATGATGAAAGTTTTTGACCTGGAGACCAAAATAGCGAGTGTAAGCACTGTCTTTAGACATCTGGCTGTTTTGGTTTTTTATCTTTTTTCACAACCACACCAAATAGGCAACTTACGTTACTCGTTATCTGTCACGTAATAAATAGCGAGTAGCGTAGCCAATCAGATTGCAGCATTTGTGGAAGAATGCTCGTAGGTTTCTACAAAGTGATTCTCTCTTACCTTGCGAAAACGGAAGTATTCATCGCTGTCTCTTGAGTCGGTCTTACAGCTCTACCTCTATCTTGAAGTACGCTACAAAATAAGTGGGAATAAAAAACCAAAGAACTTGGCTTATTTGTTCTACTTTCGAGCTCGGCCGTTGAACCTTTTAAAACATGATTTGCTTCGCATTTACAGCTGGGTCAAGATGGGGAAGACGGCTCCATCATAGAAACGCTAAAGAGAGACTTACCCCCCGGAGCGATAGTCATGGACCTCAGAGTAACACTGAAACAGATCAGCGAAACAACAGAGATAGACGTGAGTCCAATACTTGTTTGCTGCTTGCCTATTTTCTTTGGTCTTTAAGATCTTTCCTTTTTTCTCTTGATGAGCCCGCGTCCACACTGCCGAAGTTTAACCCTGTTTTTCAAAACACAGCGCTCAATCGTCTGTGCATGTGCAAACGTTTTCATGGCTGGCCAGGAAGCATTCTCTCAGGCTTTCAGAGCCAAGTCGTCTCAGTAGAATTTTAAACAACCACACATGCTAGTAAGAAGCGTTGTTTCGAAATCGTATATTTTTTTTAATAGAGCTGAACACAAAATTGCAAAAGTAATATTCGTGTCCTTGTTTTCTATTACGGATTTCTAAGAACGTTTTAGTGTCCTGATGGAATATCTTCAAATATTCAGAAAGTTTATTTATTAAAGTAATCATATTTAATTAGCTTATGGAAATAAATTCATGCGCGTTATAATTATTAAATTTATAATAATAATAAATGTTATTAAGATTATGATTTTTCTTCTTGTTTTTCTTTTTGTTTTTTTTGTTCAGGTTGAAGAAATTGTTGCTCTGGTAAACGCAGTTTTTAAGAGGCAAAAGCGTACATTCCAGAAAGACGAAAAAGTGATTGCATACCCCGTGAAGTATTTCACGAAGCTTTTTTCGCTCTACAGAAACGTCGTCAAATCGTAAGTGCTGAGTTGAACAAGTAGGCATCTTTTATTTCATTAATTTATATTGCCCATGGTTGAAGTGCGGAAGGAAAGAAAACCGGAAGGGTACAGAAATTGTGAAACTATAGTTTAAGTCACTAGTATGATTTTGTTGCTGCGAAGGAAAGATCATGCAGATACAATTATTTTCAATGCCATTGCCATTGCCATTACCATTGCCATTGTCACTGTCATTGTCGTTGTCAATGTTATTGCCATTGTCATTTCCTTTGTTGTTGTCAATGCCAGTGCCATTGCCGTTATCGTTTGTATTTCCATTGTCAATGTAAATGTCATTGTCATCGTTATTGTCATTATCAAGGCCATTGTCACTGTCAATGCCGTGGTCAATACCATTGTCATTGTCATTGTCAAGGCCACTGTCATTGTCAATGCCACTGCCCTTGCCATTGCCATTGCCATTGCCATTGTCATTGTCATTGTCATTGTCATTGTCATTGTCATTGCTATTGTCATTGCCATTGCCAGTGTCATCGCCATCACCTTGCCATTTCCATTTCCATTGTCATTTCCCTTTTTGGTTCTCCTCTCCAAAGAGACCCAGAGGTTCTCGTCAATTACATTATGTGGCAAGTCATCAATAACTTCGTGAAGATAATGCCCCAAAAATACAGAGATGCCAGGGAAATGGTCAGCGTCGCCATCGCAGGCAACATGACAAGATATCCTTGGGAGCAGTGTATTGATGGTATGCAGCAAGTGTTTGGAATGCCTCTCGGGTTGCTGTTCGTGGATGCTTCGTTTGACGAAGGAAGCAAAGCTACAGTATGTGAGAAACGAAATGATGGTTATTATAAAGAATGCGTGATTTCGCAATCTCTGGATGCTGTTGCTAAGTCGTAGTCTACATCAGAAGCAACTCGCAGTTGATCTCAATTGAAACTGTTTAACGCAGAGGATGGGAACATGTCTAACCAGCGAGCAGACCCTCGTAATTATTAGCGCTGCAGGATACGCGCATTTCTTCACCCATGGAAAGATTTGGGACGAATCGGTGAGAGATTTTCCGTGGGGTTGTGCTGAACACCTTGCTGAAGTCTCACCGGCTTGCGTTGTTTAAGGCCTCAAGAAACGCCCGCACCTAAGCGCTTATTAAGAGGAGGGCCTGCTCATAAGCTAGAATATGTAAAACTCCAATTAGTTCGTAACTACAGGCATGAGCGCATTATTAATACGTGAAGGAATACCTGCGTCACGTGTTCAGCTACAGATGAGAGGCCATACTGTTTTTATTTTTAATTTTTTTTTTCATAAATTTCATTTGCATGTACTCTCAAAAAAGAACACCACTGGAATGTCGCTTTACCTCGCCTCTCGACTACCGGAGAAATTTTACAAATCTTACAAAATCTTACAAATTTGGAAAAATTTACAATTTCTTCAAACAAAAAGATGATCATGCTCCTCTGCACCTGCAAACTCATGTCTGTCCGTGCCTGAGTCTTTACTCGAGAAAAGTTCGATTTAAGGGGAAACAAGCAGAGGAACACCAATCTTTCAATCAGGAAGACTTGATAATGCATAAATATAATTTTCAGTTGTGGTTCAATTCTGTCCGTTATTGTTCGCTCTTTAAGGAAAAGAGAAGAGTTTTTTTCAGTTACTTAACTCAGTAACTTGAGATTATCGCCAGTCTTATCTGGAAACAAACTTATCAGTAATTACCTATTGTGAGTAACATCACTTTCTTTGTTTGATCCAGATAACGCAAATGACAGAGCTGATCAAAGAAGAATTTATCAGCGGCCTAGACTCACTGAAATGGATGTCTTCCGAGACAAAAAAGAACGCAAGAATAAAGGTGCGATTATTTACAGCCATAGCATTTCATAAAGACTCTCGAGTTTTCCTGCTTGACTTCAGCAGAAGTCTCTCAACGTCACCAACTGTAAAAGGACCATTGTAAATGTACTACATAAAACGGAAAGTTCAGCCAGAATAATAGACCCATTGTTTGATAAGATAGACAGTAAAAAGACCGTTGAAATTCTCCTTTTTTTTTAAAGGTTTATCGAGATTGGCCTCTTGTAGGTGCTTAGAAGGATACATTTGCAATTGGTTTTGTCTCCTTTTTCAGGCAAACGCAATTGTTCAAGATATTGGCTACCCCGACTTTATAAAGGATCCTTCCAAGCTAGCTGCAAAGATTAAAGATGTAAGCTGTCACTGGAAACAAAATTTCTAGAACCTTTTGAGTAGCCAAGGAAGTATTCCCTCTGTGGTACCTAAGTTTAGAGAAGGTGTATAACTATTGTAGAGAGAAAAATATGAAAAATGAAAAAAGCCTCTGAAACTAGAATACAATTACTTGCAATCAGTCTTTATATTTGAGAAAGAAACATTTACTCTAATCCTTCGTTATTATTTCAAGGATTGAAAGTCGACAATAATGAATAGCTTATTTATGTGACTCAGTTAAAAAACTTGTGCTTTCTAAACGATTAATGCGTGATTGAGGTATTATTTTTATAGAGGAAAGAAAACGAATTGTCGTTCTTACTTCTCCTTTATTGAAGTTTTGTTCAGAACAAATTTAGCCAGGTAGCGTTTTTACTGATCTAAATTTTGACCTCATTTACTTCACTTTGTTCACTCGAAAAAGTGTTCTTTCTATTTTTTCTTCTACAGCTGACAGTTGGTGAACATCTCTTTGAGAATACAAGGAACGCATTAACGTTTGTAGCAGACGAAACATACGGTTCATTGGACAAGCCTGTGGATAGGGACCAGTAAGGAAAATCCTCTCCCCTTTTCTTCCTCTTCTTTTGACCCTCCCCACTACTCCCGTCCTTTCTTGTCATCTCCCCTCCTCTCCTTCCCTTTACTTTTTGCCCCTTTCCTCCCATTTTGTCCCCTTCTCTTCATTTTCCTCCCCTTTTTGTCCCCACCCCTCCCTTTCCTCCCCTTTTTGTTCCTTCCCTTCCCTATCCTCCCCTTTTTGTTCTCTTCGCTTTATATCCCTCCCCTTTTGTCCCCCTTTAATTCCCTCCCTTTTCTCCCCTTTCCTCCCCTTTCTCCTCTTTTCGTTCCTTACCCTCCCTCTCCTCCCCTTTGTCTCCTTCCCTCCATATTCCTCCCTTTTTTGTCCCCTTCCCTTTTGTCCCTCTTCAATTCCCTCCATTTTCCTCCCCTTTCCTCCATTTTCCTCCCCTTTCCTCCATTTTCCTCCCCTTTTCTCCCCTTTCCTCCATTTTTCCCCTTTCTTCTCTTTCCCTCCCCTTTCCTCCCTTTTCCTCCCCTTTCCTCCCCTTTCCTCCTTTCCTCCTTTCCTCCCCTTTCCTCCCCTTTCCTCCCCTTTCCTCCCCTTTCCTCCCCTTTCCTCCATTTTTCCCCTTTCTTCTCTTTCCCTCCCCTTTCCGCCATTTTTCTCCCCTTTCCTCCATTTTCCTCCATTTTTCCCCTTTCTTCTCTTTCCCTCCCCTTTCCTCCGTTTTGTCCCCTCTCCTCCCCTTCCCTCTCCTTTCCTTCCCTTTTGCCCCCTTTCCTCCCCATTCCTCCCCTTTCATCCTCTTACCTCTGTTTCCTCAGTATCTAAGAGCTTCATGCTACTCCGGCTAGTACAGTGGTTGCAAAGGCAAAGAGATTTCAAATTACTTTCAGGTAAACTTGATTAATGTCGGTGATACTTTACCTCGACTACTGTTACTATTTTTTACAATTTTAGATGGTACATGGGCCCATCTCAAGTGAATGGCTACTACTCACCCAGGCAAAATCGAATCGGTAAGTTTTCAAGCTGTGCTGTACTTTTGAAGTTACTTCTACCCTATACTCTTCATTTCATCGGTGACTCAGTAATGACCTAGTTCATCTTTGAGTCCCTGTGGCACATTTTTTGGTTGTCATTTTTTCACTTTCATTGCTCTGATGAAGGGCTAACGCTCGTAAGGTCAGCTTTTTTACTCTTTACGGTGGCCAATTTACGTTTCAACCTTGTTGTTAACACTAAGTTACCTGCTATACTCTCCCACCGACGCAGCACCACAGTTTCTTTAGAAACTTACCCCCTTTATTCATTTGTCATTTTTTCATTAGTTTGTTTTCATTCTTACACCTGTAACTGTATCCTTGACTGTCCTGAATTTAAATTAGTCGGGGCTTAATCGAATGCCTAAGAGCTTTCAAGTCATTAACTATAACTGGGAATGATATATAACGATAGATATTACACTGTCTGGTTATTGACTTGTCCTTTCAGTGTTCCTGGCGGCCATTCTGCAACCACCTTTCTACAATCCAAAGTACCCTAAGTAAGTCATATTGCTGTAGGTTTTGTTATTAGACATTTCCATTCAGAACGTTAGAGTTTGATTCTGAAATCGAAATAATTTGTATGGTGGACAACAACGTTAGAGTTTGATTCTGAAATCGAAATAATTTGTATGGTGGACAACAAAGAGACTTGCATTCTGGGAACTCTCGTATTAGTGCCGCAATGGAGATTACGTTAGAAAAAACCAAAGAGGAACAAGAAAACGGAAGGAATGAGTGATTTTCATTTTTTGTTTCCAGATATTTTAACTATGGTGGAATTGGTATGGTGATTGGGCATGAGGTCACTCATGGATTCGACGGTTCAGGTGCGTTATCAATTGTCGCTTTGCTAACGTTTTAACGATTTTACAATGTGTTTCTTTTAAATGATTATTGAAATACTACATGTAACTCCAAGTGAAGATGTCTATTTTGCCCTTACCAATGACAGTCTCTTTTTGGCAATTTTGTTTTGACACAGTAGGATGAACTTTTACCAGCCAAACAGGAAATTCATTCGTTAAATATGAATGTCACCCAGCCTTCGCCAGCGGAAATTCCTCTTGAAATGAGAGAGTCATGGAATTTTATGTTTTTGACCTAAAGGTCACAGAAAACAGGTGGATGCGTCCACAGACTAAATGATAATCGTTTTAGGAAGAAGATTAACTTTTGTCAAAAGTTACGAGCCACCTTAATTCATTGTAACACGTGTCTCCGCTCTTTCTGGTTTACATACAGGAAGACTATTTGACAAGGATGGCAATATAAACAACTGGTGGTCGATTAAATCATATTTGGGATTTTTATTACGAACAAAATGCCTTTCGGAACAATATTCACAATTTGACGTTTTTGGGAAGAAGGTAACATGACTTGTTACGTCACGTGACGCTTAGATTTCAATGATCTTTCAGGGCCTTCTAGAGTGTAGCTGGTGACACTGACCAATGACTGTAGGAAACAAGTCGTACATTTACACTCGCTTGCAAAGAGGTTGACTCGTGTGGAGCATAATCTTTTAACGAAGAGACCAAATGGTTTTACGGCAAATGATTGAAATCAGTGCTTTACTTTTTAATTATTCATGAAAATCTATGGTCACTACAATTCTCCTCTTTCAGGAAAGCGTGAATGGCCTCTGGTATAAAGCCGTTGGCTCTCATCCTTCGTCTTCATTGCTTACGCATTTTAGGGTTAACGTTTTTGCAATGTAGTGCATCTCCCATAAAAAATGGACTTCTAAAGTCTTTTCGTGTTAAATGAAATTTGTTGCTTATTGAGGACATGAGGACCGTTTAAGACTTTTCCTAACTGTAGCTGAGAAGGTACCAAGTTAACGAGATAACGAGTTTTTTTTTTCTTTATCATTTGCCACATCCAGGTCGACGGCAACCAGACGCTGAACGAAAACATAGCTGACAATGGCGGAATCAAATTGGCTTTTAATGTGAGATTGATTGATTAAATATTAATGCAGCTAGAATACGTAGATGTTCAGTTTGAGTGTCTCATGGAAAGGGGACTATTAAATGTTAGTACATCTGCAGCAATTTTGTTGTGTTGTGTATCGTGAACGCATTTGCCGAGCTCGTGCGATCTATAAAGGTATCCAGTTTGTTTCGTTCTCGCTGTTTTAAGACCTTTTCCCGTCTTTCACGGGTTTTGTTTGTTTTTGTCTCTATTTATTTTTTCTTTGCTCTTTAATCTTTTTTCGATTTGTTTTTGTTTCCTGTTTGTTTCCTTGATTTTTTAAATTATTATTTTTCATTTTTTTCAACATGTCAAGTTTCCTCTCGTTATACCTATTTCCAGTTCCTCTTCTCTAAAATTACCCAATATAATTTTTCCCTCAGGCTTACAAATCGTTGGTCGCGAAAGAAGGCACTGAGGGAGCCCTCCCTGGGCTTGGTTTAACAGAAGAACAATTATTTTTCATCGGTTTTGCTCAGGTAGGACAAAATAAATTAATGATCTATAATTATTCTGTAATTGAAATAAAGTGTCCTTTTAAATCAGGTTATCGTATTTAAAGAATTATACGATTAACAGGTTAAAACATTTTGAGAAGCTCACTGTTGTAGCTGCTTTGTTTTTTGGCATTTTTAAGTCTATTGAAAGTATTTAGCTAGTTAACAAAAGTAATGTTTATTTTTCTTTAGCCATGGTGTAGTATTTACAAGAAAAAGGCAGCCCTTCTCCAGCTTGAGACAGACTCACATACCTTCCCCAAGTACAGGTGAGTTAGTAAATTTTATTCACGACACAAGTTTCTTTTTATTTTACATTTACTATTAAATCCTTTGTTATTGTTATTTCTTCTTTCAGGATCCTTGGTCCTCTTCACAACTACGATAAATTCGCAGAGGCATTCAAGTGTAAACCAGGATCTCCTATGAATCCTGCAAAAAAGTGTTCTCTTTGGTGATTCAAAGTTTCAAGATAGCACTTAGCATTTATCATGAGAAGACTTTCTTCCTTAGTCCAAAGATAAGGATTATTGGACAAAGAGTAAAGCTCTGTCAGTGGCCAGTCAGTGTAATCCTCCAAGTACTTCCTTAATGATAGATCTACGAGATGTTTTAAAGTTTCTTATGGGTTGTAATTTTTTTCGTAAGTCAGATTCAGTTAATAGATATAGTTTTATAATTTTGGAAGTTATTTCTATTCTGCACGAAATAGTTTTCTCATTAAGTACGTTCATTTGTATTTAAGCAAGTAAAATATAGGTTGTTTTAAAAAATTCGAATTTGATTAAAAAAAGCTGTTGCGCTCTATATCCTAAAACAGTTTTGCTGTCTTCCGTTGATGCCCGATAAGAATGACATTCCAAGGATATCTATTTTGGAACTTTTTTTATCTCAGTTGGTTCCTTGTTTATTTGTCTGTTTGAGGAGCTATTATTTCATCGACCCTTGAGAATATGGAAAGCACAAGGCATTGGTGGAACTTGTTAACAAATCTGCAGACCTGTAGACTTCTTTTTGCATAGAGAGCTGAAGAGAGACTAACACGGCAAAACGGAGGAGATTTTGCAGAAGACAGATGTTATTTCAACAGCGATGATATTCCTCTGTTTCTTTGCTTTTAAATAATTCAGAATCGCGAACCACATAAGGTAAAGTGACATCAATCCAGAATGACAACAGTTTAAAGATAACGGCATGCAAAAGATCTGGTTTTCCTTTGTAGGTCCGTGTTGTTATTTCCTTCTAAAGTGTTTCTTAATTATGTAAATTGTACTGATCCTCTTTTCAGTAGCATGTGTGAATCCCTTGTTACGAGCTTCGTAGTGTGTTTTTCCTGCGTCCAGGTATGTTTTTTTTAATTGCTCCTCCTTGGCCTTCGCCCCTGTGGATCATTTTGGTTGGACTAGCCGAGGCGTTTGATGACCGTGTGCAAATCATCTCTTGTTAGGCGTTTTGAGGCATATCTAGGGCACTAGGTTGAAGTATTGTTTCTTTTGGAATGGTTTACTAACAATTTAAAAGTTCAAAAAGATGCTCATGATTGAAAGCATGCAGTTTGTTGTTGTTGTTGTTGTTTCATTGTTTGAACTCAAACAAAGTACAAACGCTTTGTCCCACTTAATGCTTGCAAACAAAAGGGTTCGTGAGTTTGTCCCTTTCGCTTTTGAGTTAATTGGACAAGTTAAACATTTTGCGAGAGACAATTTGAGATTCGTGAAGTCAACATCGAGGCGGTGAAAGAGGTCACGAATTGTTTGTGATCTTTATCAGCTGAAGGGTGAGTAAGAGAGAGACATCTCCAACATCAAAAGGGTAAGTTATACTTGTGATTTTTAAGGGTATCAAGTTTTTAAATTATGTCTTGGTCGCTAACTGGTCAATTTTGACCACCTTTGGGTATTTTTAAGCTTAAGGTATGGCTAAGCACAGTTATCGATGTCACTTTTATTTGCTGTAATTCCACAAATTTAAAAATTTAACCGGGGAAAAAAAAGGCTCTGAATTGAGCACACTAACCGTTACTAGATAAAATAAGGGATGATATTTTTCAAAGCCTCCCGGAAAAGGTCAAGCTGCTGAGCAAGATTCAAAATGGCGGCGTCCGTAAATTATTTTTTGGCAAATTTTGAAATCTTATTAGGTGGTTCTTCTTATAATTTGACGCTCGAATAAATATTACATGGTTTCCATGTACATCCGGTTTTACTGATCATAGCTAAAGCAGGATAATGATTGCAAAAGCAAGTTATTCTCGAGTACAAAATACAAAAGATTATGATGTCTTTACTGAGGCAGAAGTTGTTTTGCAAATCATAACAAGCATCTTTAACAATTTTATTCATTTGTACAGAGCAACAAGAAAATATTTTTTAAAGATCCTTATAAACAAGTGTAAGTTGAGGGAGAAGAAGCAAGTAAGAGATATGACCCATTTTGACAGCAAACGGCACAGTTATAAGTAGAAAATGACCAAGAAAAACTCTCCAAGAAATCAATTCATTATGTAAATTCAGAATTGCCTGTTGGTTGGGGTAGACTGGTTCTGGGTGTTGTTTGTTGAAAACTGCTGATGAAGGAACCGCCCCACGTGACTCGGCTGCTGGGCGCCAGAGGACTGGGTCTGTTGATTATTTTGTCCTTGGAATTGGAACGACTGTTGCTTTTGCTAAGAAATCAAATAAAACACGAAGAAAAACATGTTAGAAAGAAGATCTACCCTTTGATGACATGACCCTTGAGATAAACTTAGAACTGCGTATTTTGCTTTTACTTTTCGTGGACCTCTCTTTCACCAGCCTAAGGGGGGGCCCATTTCTTAAGGTTCGGTAACTTCAAGAGCCCGCAACTGTTCAGTTTTCATTCGAGATTGTGGTTTCAAAAGTTTTTCAAATTATACAATAAAATCCTCTGCTAAAGAAACAAAATGGACTGGTAAGGGTACCAAAATCTGCTTCTCCATCCTTAAATTTTGACTTCAAAATATGGCTTCGGGCCCGTGAAGTTATCGAGACTTTCCAGAAACGGACCCCAGGCATAGATAATCGGATATTGACAGATGCAACTTGGATAACTGACCAGGCAATAACTGAAAAAGGACACCAGGTTGATAATTCAACAATTACTGTTGTTCTACACGGATAAATCAACCCTGATAGCAATAAGAATGAGTAGACTTTACGTAAGACATCTTACTAAAACGTAGTCCATCATGAAAGTCACGAGAAAAAACAACTGCCTATTAACGGGAATCAAATTTATTGATTTGCGATCAAATTCTCTAAACCAGTTCCATTGGACAAGGAAAGGTTTGGAGAATTTGTTCAACGAAGGCATAAGGTTGGAACCAAACGAAGCTGAGGTCTTTACATGTATTTGTGTAACTAGGGAAAGATAGTTGAGTTTGAGAGAGCACGTGATGGTTAACACAGTTTCTTGCAAATATTATTGATCAACATGCATCGCACAGCGCGTATTCATACAGCGTTTACATGTTGCTGACTTCATTAGCGTTTGAATGTACATTTCAAAAGCAGATGAGTACTCCTTCAAAGTTCAAGGGTAAGCTGTTGATATCGAATCAGGAATCAATTTCTTTTGTTTGATATTCTTGGTGATTTTACCACTTAATTTAACTTTTGTAGGCGTGCCCCAAAATCTTGCTGAAAATAACTGGTTATTGTTTGCTTGTTAGTTTGAGTTTTGCTTTAGAATTTGTTTTTGTTTTGACATGTTTGTTAGTTGTTTAATTGGTTGTTCTTGTTTTATTCCTTTCTTTTGTTCTTTTTGTAACACCACTGCTATCTAGTAATGTTAGAAAGTTAAGCGATGAATCCACGACGAGAAAAAGAAACATTCCAGAAAACACCCTTCCCTTCCAGATGTTTTCATATCTGAGTCCCGATCGCCTCAGTCTTCCCCCAGACGCAGACATTCCCCATCGTTTGTCCTGAGTGATTGTCTGCGGGGAAGTGTTTCCATATACGACTTGAACGATGGAGACGATCAGAACAGAATGATGCAGACGATCAGAACGAAATTAGGCTCTTAAATGTACCTGTGCGGCTATTAATCTGCAATGTTTAAGTTATAGGTTAAAAGAAAAACGCGTGTCAGTGATGAAAATGCAGCTGCGAAGGTTTCAATTACTAATCACGTGCGTCAAGGAAACCCAGGGGCTCGATTCAGTGGTGCCCCCAGATAACACAGAGAACAGTCCCTATCACTGAAACAGTGACGTCATCATACATTACCTGAAACTGTTCATTGGTGTGCGCAGAGACAACGCGCACTCTTTTAGCACTCGGCTGTCCGTTAGTGTCCGAGTTCTCTTGCTTGCCTGGGTTAGTCTGGAAGTGTTAATTCAAATGTTGGCCGGGCTTAGCGAGATAAAGACACTGTAATTTTCACTGTGTACCTCGTCTAATACTGGCCTGCTACTGTCAATGTGGGGAAGGGAATGTGATTTGTTAGAGTGAGTTGTGGCTACATGCATGTGCAGACTGAAAAACACTATAAGATGTGATGTTAGCTGAAATCACTCCTGGGTTATTTTCTTAGGTAACTTGTTTTACAATTGTTCCTGTTGCACAGTGTGATAACTGTAACTTGGATGAAGTTCTGCTGATACAGGATACGCCACAGTATATAACAGCCGGTCAGGTTGACATGTATATCAAAACAACTAACATTTATGAAAAAATACGACTAAAAGGAAGGTTTGTACTAATTTAAACGCATGGAAATATTACCACTCAAGAACTACTCAATTTTGGTGTATATTTTTTCTAACACTTTCTCATACTTGGGATGTCTGACACCTTTACATGACCTTTCACAACTGTTAAGTAGGTGAGTATTCTGCGACCCCAACTGAATATCACTTAATGTGGGCATAATTGTACCCTATACGCGAAAATACTCAGTTTTCTCGGTAATGGTTTGTAAAGGTATCCGTGCACAGCCAAGTCGTTTGATAAAGAGAAGCTAATGCACTTCAAATATTGGCCCAATATTGGACGATTATCAACAAAATCATCTGACAATATTGTAATGCCAAAACAACGAGGCGCATTAGCCCTTTCCAGCATATGCCCAACGTTGGTTCAATATGTCGACAGTATCATTGAGATGTAGCTTCGTCTTTTATCAAGAAAGCTGCACGTAAGATAATTCCGTGTGTAGTTAATCACCAAATGTTAGTCATTTTGTGCTGATCAAAAAGTTATAAGGTAATGATTCCTATCCTTTAACAACGGCATCCCATTAATTTTGCTAAGGTTGATGCGAGGTTGTAAGATGAAAGAATTTCATTACCTTTGCAGCGCTGGATTTGGAATCGCTATCATCATCATTTAGAAATTCTCGTTTAGGATAAGGGATCGTCATTCCTCCAAAGGCACTAAAATGAGACAAACAAACCTATCATTCAGTTCACTGTCTTCTTCTTTTCCCTCAACAAAGCAGCCGCAATTGGTTGAAAGCACAGAAAACGTTATCAAGACAGCATCACATGTACTGTTTATTCAACCTGGTGGGCAAAAGTTTCTAGTCACTCCCCCACCCCACCCCCTTCTCCTAAAAGCCCCTCCCCGCCCCCTCTCACCTGGACTAAAACTATACAGGCAGCTTTTCAGTACAAGACATACTTATATTTGAAAGTGTGTGTCAAAGAGCGTTTTGAATATCAAAGAAAGACTTACTTGTATAATTAACAAGAAAACTCGTAAACCAAATTTGAGCCGTTGAAAATCTTTTTCTGCTCCCCCATTTCTCTTTGATATGGGGCCCCGGAAATACACCAGCCCCCACCTCCCGAAGGCTTATCGTAGGGGTTTAAAGTACTTACTCTGGTGTTGGTAGCGGCTCTTCTTTGAAGTAAGGGTCTTGCAAAGCCTGGTCGGAGGTGATTCTTTTGTTTGGGTCCATTACTAATAATTTAGCCAGCTGCAAAATTATAAAAATGTCAAAATTTTATACTTTTATCCTATACTTCCCTGCAATGTAGGAATATTTTGGTGAGTGAGCGATTCGCGACGTATTTCTACGTGAAAATTTTTCATTTTTACTGAGAAAATGGACGATACGCAAGAGGAAAACAGGGAGGGGAGGGTGAGATTTTAGGAAACGTCTTTTCCTATTACCTACTCACTCCTCTCTCCTTCCAATCTAACCCTAAACCCATCATGGCAGCCTGATGAAAGATGTACAAGTTTGCTTGTCATTGGTAGCCGTGTAGTATTTTAGTGCTATTGAATTGAAGCCTATTCTTTAAAACAATAAACCGCCAACAATATAAAAACAAAAAAACTACCTCATACATACTAATGAGGCTGATGTCTCAAAGTCGTGCGCGCACGTGCGGATTTTTGACGCGCACGATTTTTTTTTATTGGCAATTGCATGCGCGTTTTTTGCGCGTTTAATTCGCGTTTTTCGGTTAACGTATACGTGAGCGGTACTGTAGGTTCATTAAGCTAACTTCTTTCCTGACAGACACCTTCACTGCAAGATATACATAAAGGAAACAACGGCTCATCTTCTTCCAGCAACATTAGGATACATGTTATCTCCACACCTTCACGTAGTTATCACATAAGACGTACAAGTAACTTAAAGATACACACATACATGCAGCACCTGAGCAGCTTGGAGAATAATAAATGAAACAGTTGCAACAGCATCTCGTATATGCATTACGCTTTTACATTCGCGTACATAAAAAAGTGTCAGTTATAACCTCTAAAGCAGTCTGTGCGTACAGGATACCAAACAGTAAAGACGTTAACGTCTTACCAGTTGAAAGGCTCTACTTTCTTGTTTGACTTTGTGTTTCTCCATATATTTCCATAGACTTGCATTGACATAACTGGAAAAAAAAAAACAACAGCAACAATAAAAACACTTAACTGATAGTCCTAATACTTGGTGCTAGGAAAAGCGGTGTACTTGATGTACGGTTACGGTAATAAATTTTGCAGACAAATAAAGAACCAAACTCTTAAACTAGTCCAACGAGTTTCTTCTTGTGGTTCAAATATTGGTTTAAAAAAAACTCCTATTTTCCACTTATTCACTTGTCAAGTTGTTATCAGACAGTTAGTTATTGGACAGTTCAATAAGCCAATCACACTCAAAAGTTGTAGTACTGTTTAAATCAACCAACCTCATTCAAGGTTGTAGTTTGAATCAACCAATCACAACCATTTAAAAAACTACCCCTCCTTTGTTAGTCTTTTAATGCAAATTTTCGCTTTCTTTCACAACTTGGCTATTCTTCTTTTCACAGAAATTTCAATTTTTATGATTAAGTGATAATAAGACTCTGTGTTGTCCAATTTGGTCTGTAATCATACTCATGATGAATGAATCAGACTCCTGCTGTGCAGTTGCCTGATTTTGTCAATCACTCGTAAGATTACAGACTGAATTGGACTCCACTCAGTCCTATTACCATTACATATACCATGCTGGCTTGACCAAGAATAACTTATGACTTGCATAATATTGCATAATAATCAGTTGTCCTTACTTAGCTTTTCTGAAGTCTTTTTGCAGTGTACCATGTTCTGGCATTTTTCTGATGTCCTCCCAGTCTTTCTCTGAAGGAAAAAAATTACAAAGTGATCATTTGGAATTTCATGTACACACAGGTCTGAATGTTATGGGCATGACACTAGGTCAGATCTGACCAGAAAGAACTTGCCCCTTCATGAAGATCTCACCTTGTGGAAATCCCATCACATTAAAAATTCTATCCAGCTGTTCATGGTGATATGGATTGCTTGTCTTGATATCTTCTTGGCGACAATGGAATATTGGTTCACACGTCAACAACTCAGCAAAAATACATCCTATTGCCCATATATCTGGAGAAAGTGTGCAATGGAAAGAACTTAATGGTATAACTACATGTGCAATATCTAGTCCTTGTATGATACCAAGACACATGTACTTATAGACTTGCCAAATGGCAGATAATTCCATTTTAAAGTGTACAGCAAACCCAAGATGTTACATGTTATGCTCATCAATTCTATATAACTTAACACCCTCACAGGCTAGGAGCAAATCAATTAATTCAACATAGTTATTAAGAAACTTGAAATTAACTGGAGAAACTTGAAGTGAAATGGTCATCAGTAAGAAGAAAATCTACAAGTAGTTACACACAAAAATGATTTCTCCCCCAATAAATACTACAAACTGCACATGCCCTAAAAGCTGATGCAGTTTTTTACATTTTAGACAATTTTATTTAGTCAAAGGTACCCTCAATCATTTGATTAACTCCAACAATGGTGAGTTAAGGATCAAATAAAAACGTTCTTGCCTCAACTCACTTTAAGCCACCACATATTGTAAAAAAGGTTCTAAAGAGTTCCAAAATATTTCAATCAAATAGAAACATTGGTAACTTTCATCCACAGCTATATTTTGCATACCTATAGCTTTTGTGTAATGTCTAGCACCAAGCAGTAACTCAGGGGCTCTGTACCAGAATGTGACCACCACTGGATCCAGATCAGCAAGTGGTTTTAATGGAGCATTGAACAGCCTGGCAAATCCCATGTCAGCTGATGATATGACACGCAAATAGATAAATAAACAATAGCCTCTGTTTGGTGCAAAAATATGCAAGATGCATGTGCTGTATTTAAACCAATCATGCACAAGCAAAAGTATTTGATGGATCATAATGAATCTTGTAGGACTTTTATGGTTAAATGCCAATAACAAAGTTGTACTGGTGAGCAGTTTTATCAACTATGAATTTTTTTCTTTTGAATTCATGAAAGGCTTTGGTAATTTTATCAGCATACATTGTAACTCTAGTTAAATTCCCTTTTTTGTTTTTAACACATGTAAGTGACCTGCTTTGTTCTTCAGTCCAAGGTTGAAATGGTTTTTCTTTATGAGCTTCCTTTGTGAACTTACATGTATATCATTAAATATCACACAAACATTTGCCAAAGCAACATGTTTATACCTTGAAATTCCTCCCTAGAATGGTTAACAACTGTCTAATGATTTGTAAAACCAATTTTCTATAAATATTAATGTATATCACTAAAGTTTCTACAGATCAATATCTGTATCTGGGCAACTGCCAACCTACCCCTCCCCTAACTCAACAACAGTCAATTGATAACAAGTTAGGGTTAATGTTGGGTTAGGGGAGGGGTAGGTGGGCAGTTACCCAGATACTGATATTGATCCATTTCTACTCACCAATCTTCACTCTTCCCTTTTCTGGCCCCTCACCCATAACAAGGATATTAGCTGGTTTCTAAAACAGTGAACAAAGGAAAAAAATAAAAAAACAAGTTACAGCTTGATCTCGATCTTAACCAGCTGTGCACATATCCTGGCAGATGTTTCTTATAAATAAAAAACTTAAATAAGACTTAGGCAAGTCAGTGAATATTCACATTCCCTTCATGGTCAATATCCTGCCATATGTGCTTCTTGAAAAGCAATCTTAAAAACATATGCTTGCAGCATATCACTAAAAACAACAGGCATTTATCCTTAGCATAGGGTGTGTCTTTGATGGATTGGGTTCATTTTTTGTTATTCTATCAAATAAAAAGCAGTTAAATTTTCAGGAAGGAAAAAAAAATCACTATCAGTCTGACTGATCTGAAATGTTTGAAACTAAGAAAAACTTTTAACTCTTTAACTCTTTAACTCCCATGAGTGACCAAGACAGAATTTTTCTTTACAATATCAGTACAACATTGACCAGACAAGTGATGAGAATAAAGAAAAATATAAATTTGGGGATAATTAGTTGATCCAATACCAAATTCTCTGAACTAACATTGTAAGAATTGTATGGTTGGGAGTAAAGAGAATTACAAATTTGATCTGGGAGTTAAAGTGTTAACTGAAACATTTTCACCGCTATGTATTTCTTCTTTCAAGTCAAGTGAGTGAAATGTTTGAGGTTGTGTAACCCACTAATGGCAAAATCAAATTTTATTTTTCTTTGGGCCAGGCAATGTATGTTAATACAAGATCACCTTTTGAAAAACAGAAAGTTTAATTTACCACAAAATTGTATGTAATTTACTACAAAACATGCATGTACTTAACCCTTTAACTCCCAGAAGTGATTAACAAGTAACTTTTCCTTATCATATCCATACATTATACAACAAAAAGGTTATGAGAATTCTCAAACTTATCAGGTTGAAGTTGTTGTCTTGATCCAACAACAAATTCTCTGAACTAATTCACAAGGAAATGTGTAGCAGCTGGAAGGGAGAATTAACATTGGGTCTTGGGAGTTAAAGGTTAACAGTTTGCAATGGGGTGTTCTCATTATAGATAGTTACCAAGTCTCTATGCAGAACCCAGTTAGAATGAAGATAATGGATGCCATCCAAGATCTGATAAAGCAAAGACTTAACCATCCCTTTAGGAACAGGAACAGCCTTCTTTTGGGCCTTGGATGCTCTATGATATTTGATAATGTGCTTTGGGAAAAGATGAAAAGAAAATACAACAGTTTGACACACAATCAAAAGCATACAATTTTTTGCATTCTCTGAGACTAACATGGTATATAGCGGCCATTAATGGCAACAATTTCAAATTGTAAATGTCATGTAAAAAAACTTGCAAAATTTACCCCCCTCTTGGTACTACCTAAAATCACTTGGAATTCGTGAAAAATCAGCCGATAAAGGATTTCTCTACCAGTTTAAAAATTCATTTTTTCAGTGTAACTGTTGTCCTTAAAATAAGGAAACACTGGGTTATGAGCTACATGTAATCAAATAACAGCCCAGCCAACAGCTGTATGTTGACAAATATTTGTTAAACAAATTCAAAGCTAAAAAAAAAGGGTTTAAAACTCACCCACAGATCGTGCTCTGCAAAATCAAAAAGAAGCCAAACTTTTCTATCAGCATGGGAAAGGAAAACGCGTTGCAATGCAATCACATTCGGATGCTTCAACTCTCGGAGAAGCTGAATAAAAAATACATGAAAGCATTATCAGGAGGGTTGATTACAAAAATTTGATAGCTGATATTCAGTCTTGAAATTCTGGAAAAGGAAAAATTAAACCCAAACTGGTTCATGAACACATGCGCTCGATTACTTCGAATTCGTGATTTCATTCATTTGCCGACAACATAAATTTCTTTTACTCACTGCTATCTCGCGGCAAGCTGACATCGAGATCCCAGTTCCTTCGATCTGCTTAAGGGCGAAATATTTCCCATTTGGACTAGCAAGAAAAGCAAACAAAACCAATAAGACAACTGTAAAATAACGATTTGATGTAAACAGCCTCGAATGCAAATGACATAATTTTTGTTCTTACCAATCTTTTTGTTTAGCTTTGTAAACATGCCCATAAGTTCCTCGACCTACTTTGCAGCCTTCAAAATCAAATTTATCCTCTACTCTTTCCCTCTGCTCATTCGTTTTCAATTTGAATTCAAAATCCATGACTGAAAGACAGACACTTCTTTCAGGGACCAACATAAACGGCCGCCATATTTTTGATGGCTTTGGTGAGCCTCGATTTTGTGTTACCTTGCTACGCAACAACCAGCGGTGTTGCAAGCCATCAAAACAGTGTTGTGTCTATGTGAAATTCTAAATAAATCTACAGATGTAATCGGTACAACCGTGTGCTTAATACTTTCAAAAGCAAGTAAATTTTCTCAGCAGAATCATACTTTGCGGTTTCCTTCCATGAAGGAAGGATTTCAAATCAATAATATTTACAAAATTCTCAATGCAGATTGGTTGTTCCTTCAAGTTGTTATCGTTATTTGTAATAGTTGTTTGTTCCTTAGGAAGCGTCGCCGTTTAGGTCTAAGTTAGGTCTAACCATAAGAAATATGAAAGACCCCATATATGTCTAGTCCATAGCGAATTTGGAATTTTACACTCTAGCCTCCCATCCCCGGCAAATCCACTCACCCACTGTCTATACCCCGCTAAGTACTGCTAGTTCCGGGAAAGATTCATCCTTGGTTCCGGGAATTTAATTGTTCACTTCATAACAAGTATGGCAGCATTTGCATTCGCACGCACACTGGATTTGCTTACTCACGATATCATTCAGAAGTGCGAATCTGTCAAGGAAAGTAACGCAACCACAAGAAAGAAGAAAAGATGGTGCGAGGTTCTAGAACAAAACATAGAACGGATCTATCCAAATCGAAAACTTATTTTGGTTGGGTCTTCAACAACTAGCTTTGCAATCGAGGGTTGCGATGTCGACTTGACCATCATTCGGACGGATAGCCCACCGTTCTACGGATTTGAGTCGGGACTGCAGATTCTGAGTCGAATACGAGATGCTTTGATCGCAAGAACGTCAATAAATACTGAGGTAAAATTTCCAGTCGATCAGATTTGTATTTTTTGGGGTACTTGTATGTATATACAGTCATTAATCATCATTTTTTAGCTATCAGCAATGTCTTGCACAATTCTATCCTGCTTGAAAGCATTTATACATGTTAATATTGTCGTTTTATATGCGATGTACCAGTTGGAGGTAAATTGGAGTCTTCTTTCAGGGTTAAGATTATCACGCCGTGACTTTCGATACTTCATGTTTGGACTTGCTTTTGACCAAGGCTGACAATATTTAACTCGTGAACTTACGTACTTCGTCTCAACAAAATCCTTTCCAAATCATGCAAGGGAGATCTTTAGGAAACTTAACCAGTTTATAAACTCGCGAGCTAATTTCAGTGAAAGAAATCCTATTAGTTTTAACTACTGAAATATTACGATTTATGACAACGACAACATGCTGATTCTCTCACAATTCCATCACTTGCAACAATGATGTGCAATCATTTCAAGTCAGGTTTTTGCAATTAATTGAACAAAGTGCTATTTCATTGTAGGCTCAATAGACACTAACTCTCATTTCAAAGCGATTGATTCAATGTACTTCACACCAAGTCAACTTTTAAGTTTTTGTTAGTTTCCGGGTATCGTTTCTCGCGTGATGTGACTTTCACTGATTTCCTAGTTATTTGCATTAAATTTCCCTCTTGGGAACTACAATTATTTCTCTCTGTTTTTTATTTGAATCTCGAGGTATCTAAAGCTTTTCTATCGTTTAAGCTGCCATAGCACATCGAAGTATTCACATAGAACGAGGGCAAGAAGGCAAAATATACATAATAGAAAGTTCGAGTGAAATTACAAACCCGCGAGTATTCGACGCGCGCCTTTTTCTTGGATCTTGCTCTCACGTTGGAAGCCACACCTCGGTGGTCTAGCGCCAGTATGTACTCATTTTAGTATACGATACATTTCACGATATATTTTCACCAAGAGAACGTAAAAATTGCGGTATAAGTCATGAAGTGCGTCATAGTTGTCTTCGACAAAGCGGTCTTATTATGTGTCAAGTGAAAATGGCAGAATAGTAATTTAATGAGAAAGCTAGCAGACCTCACTTAGACCTCTTTGCTTTTCTTGGCAAGTCTTCTTATAATCCTGAAACTAAATTAAAAGCGATTTGTTCGAGGACACGTCGTAGAGGTATACAGCCTGGTTAAGGAAAACATATCTCTTTGAATTCGGTCTTGCTGAGGATTCTTTGATCTTGAAAATGCGATGATTGCTACCTTTTCTTTCTTTATGATCATTGAACCGTTATGGTGCAAGTTTGGTGTGCATTGTATAGTGCCATTGCGAATGCGTGTAATGCACAAGGTAAGAGCAGATGCTTATCAATCGGGGCTATGGAAATGAAACACTTTTACCAGCTCGATTTACGTCAATGTCATATTGAGTAAAACTGTTAACATTCAGTTTAAACTTTTCAATGCATTTTAGTCCATTTTTGATGCGGTTAGAAAGTTTATCTTCTTCCTCTTTGAACGACCTAGAAATTTAACGCATCGTTTGATACAATTTCAGCTAATCAGCTCTGCAGTTGTTCCCATATTAAAACTCAAAGACCGCCACGAAGGACTTGAAGGAGATATCAGTGTTGATATCCAGAATTCCATATTTAACACATATTTGCAAAAGTGTTATGGTAGAATGGATCCCAGAGTCACTCCGTTAGTGGTGACCGTCAAGCACTGGGCGCAAGAATCAGGAATCACTGGAGCGCATTACCACAAGCTTTCTGGTTAGTAACGTCACTGCTCACCAGGAGAATTATTTTGGGATAATTGTGGATGTTGTTGTTAATCACCGCTCTGATTCACCATCTTGAGGCCTGCGTTATTATTAAAATTATTATTAATTTCATTATCATCACTATTATACAATACTAAGAGAATTCCCATAGTTTTCTCTTGACAATATCTAAAGATGGCTCAAACTACTAATAGCACGTTTTGATTTCTAATGACGGTGCTAAAAAAACGAAAGCTCAAAAGCATTCACATCTCTCGCAATACATTTATTCTATTAGTTCTTCGTTCAATACAATACGCAATTACTCAACAGTAGAATTTACCACTTACAATTTCACTACCATATTTCTCCTTTCCCACTAACGGCGGTCTTATCACGTTGGTCCACAAGCTTAGGAAGTCTTATTTTACCGCGACTACAGTAAGATTAAGATACTTTGGAAGATCACATAGCTTTAAGAAAGCCAGGGTTAATTAAGGCTGGCTTCTTAAATATCCTTGTTAAAAATTGCATGTCTTATTTTATTTTCCTTTTTCTTTCTCTCAAAAAGGTTTTGCCGTAGTGCTGTTGGTCATTTACTATTTACAGAGAGGCTGTAGTCCGCCTGTCCTTCCGTCCCTACAGAATTTGAATCCAACACACTTTACCACTAATGCAACTGCCAGCATTACTGCAGAAAAACTGATGAGCGACTCTCTCCCAGCGGTTGTTACTTCGTATAATTCAGCTAACACAGCAACCCTTGGGGAGCTGCTTGTGGGATTTTTCAATTTTTATTGTAACTTCGACTGGCACCAAGTATTATCTGTTCGTCTTGCTGGCCCAAGAAGAGTACCTATTGATAAAAAGTGGACTCGTCCTTACATCCGAATCGAAGATCCTTTTGATCAAAAAAATGTCACACGCGCTGTGTATGAGTTCTCAGGATTCAGTGACATTAAGCAGGCGTTCAACACAGCCAAAAAAAGGCTTGCATATGGTCACTGTCGTTTACATGAAATATTTTAGTTTTAATATGCACCCCGGAAGTAAAGATTCATTTGGGTCTTGACTCACATCACACACTCATATGAGTATCTCTTCGATCAAAAACTGAGACCTTTTTTTTTAAGAAGTAAATGAGTGTCTGAACTGTTTAGTTAACAAAGATGCAGCTGGTCAAATAGTAACCCTGCTTCATTGGCAATTTTTGGCATGAGTTACTAAAAAACTCACCAAGTGCAAGTCAATGAATTATGGTGAGAGTCCTTCAAAGAAGTTTTCTCTCAATTGATGCTACTTCCAATAAGTAAGGGATATCGGATTTGAAGGAACGAGAGTTGATTCCCAACCGTTCTGATTTAAATAGGAACTTCTTACAGAAGTGGTGATAATTAAGTCAGTCTTTTCAGAATTTAACTAAAACCTTGTTGATATTTCATCGATTTCGTGACTGTTGCAATCATACCTTGAAATTTTCAGAAACATTTTTCACTCATAGCAACTGATGTCAATATCATAACTTCGGCTCCATCAAGAAACAATCATTTGCATGACTAAGCAATGGAGGAAGGTCTCAAATAAGCCCTATCCTACATCAACAAATAAACTAATAATGAATCGTTCAAGGCATAAGTCGCAACACAATATTAAGTTTGGCTTTAGTTCATGAGAGACCTTACCCTACATTTGAATCTGGCCCAAAACTCCACAGGTAAATCGTTTATGGCAATTATCACAGCAATTATAAATAGCTTTCCTTAATGATCTCTTACTCTCGAAGCTTGTTTTCGACGGTGCCCCCCTTCCTGCGTGATTTACAACAAAAACTTTTAGTCCTACGGTTAGGATTTATCTAGTAGTCATTGTAATCGCTAAATTATTTGAGACTTCAGGAAAGACTCTAGATACGTTCATATCTGGATACCTTCCAGACCCTTTTGGCATATTATACTATGAGCAAAAGTCGTTGGAGATTTAAGCAGAGTACCTCAGCCTGAAATGAAGCTTAACAACAGGTTGTTATTATATCAGTTAATTTCGTCTTTATTCTTACTTTTCAAATAAACATTGACATTTTTTTTGCTCACCTTCAATGTAACCACTGTTGGGGTATCAAGATGACATTACATAAATTAATAGTTTTGTTTTTAACTCTACTCATTCACAGCATGTTTTTTCATGTCTGATTTGTACGATAATAGAAACCTTCTATGAATATATATACAAGTTCGCACACGATGCAACTTCAACGAGTGCAATTTACTTTAATCTATACTCCAACTCAGCAAATGGTCCTCCTGAAAATCACTAAAAAAAGAGATGGTAAGGTCATCACGTACTTTGTGGGAGATTCCACCTTCTCCATACCAGGTTGGCGGACCTTCAAGAATGACGTTGAAAAAGTAATCTATATCTGCTTGCAAAGTAAGACTAGGATTAAATATAACGCGAATGCCGTGATAGTTACCCATGTCACTCCGCATGGGCATAGATGTAAAATAGATGTCTGTCACAGAAGCCAAATAACAACCATAGTTATCCGAGACTTCCAGAGATACCTTATATTCATTGTTTTTACTACCAAATAGGCGAACGGCCTGAAGTTCAATGGTCTTGTTAACCGAAAGAGTCATTCGATCGGTCGAGAAGAAACCACCATGGCCGCGGGATCTTCCAGCCCTAATCCTAATGCTGTGTACATGCTTATTCGCCGTTTTCGCCGCCCATTTTCATTTCAAGAAATCCAACTGATTTATGAGACACACCAGCAAAGTACTTCATCAGGTTGCCGATTTCTCCTAGATTCAATATTTCGCAATCAACGACAACACCGAAGAGTTCCATCTGTTCCATGACTAGGAAGCGAATTGCCTTAACGATCCTTTCTCCGAGAATCTCCCTCTTCACAGAGCCTTCGGCGATCAAGTTTTTCTTTTCACATTCTCTTCTGGCCCAGCAGTCAACAGCTTTGAATAACTACACTTCTGTAACATTCAAAGACTCTCTCTCCACTACTTCCTCCAGTAGAGATTTCTCGATTGTTGCGAAAGCATCCGATTTTACAGCTTCGTCTCCATGTTCATCGATCACTTTCCAGCATTTATCCACCAGATTTTTCTCTTCGTAAGTCTGTGCTTCTGGCAGGACATGAAACACATTTGATGCATCAAGATTTTTTCCTAAGAAATCTGTGCACTGGTCAACAAGAGAAGGAAGCATATATTTCTTCGCTAAATACAACACTTGCATGACATTGTCGGCGTCCAAGTTCACTTCATCGCTGTAAATGAAGCGAAACAACTCCAGCAAGCTTGGATACTCGCAGTCAGAGGAGTTGATAGAATTCGTCGTCTCTGCTAATTCACCGAAGAACATGGCGTAAAATACTGGGCTACTGATCGCCAACACGAACTTGTGAGCTGGGAATCGTCTTTATACTTTCACCCCCGCCCTCAGGGTCTCGCACAATAAACTTCACATCGCTTAAGAGCTCGTTGTTAAACATAAACTTGCATCTTTCCCTGATCGTATACCTCTCTCTCTCGCTCCAATGATCTTTGCTGCCTGTACCGAGAGACATACTCCCTTGTATGCATTCAAACAGAGTCAGATATTGATGAGAACGTTTCGTTCTGTCTGCTGTATAAATTGCGACTAAACAAAAGAAAGTCGCGAGTGAGGCAAAGACATGCGCTTATGGTCACTCGAGTGTGAAATGTATTGCTTTTCATCGCGGGCTCAGACTAAACTCTGCTTCTCTCTGAAAGGGAACTCTGTGCTCTCTGCTTGTCGTCAATGATAAAGTCAAGGTTTTTAACTACAAACGTGCATATCTCTGTAGGTGAAATAAAAAATTTCATTCACCGCTGTATGTTTTTTTAATGAATCTACTCTTGAGGAGTACCCGAAGAAGTACTGTGGATCACAAACGTGTGAGCAGAAATAGGTTTTATACTTTAACTTCCGCCTTCAGCATCTCGCACGACAACATCGACACTGTTGAAGGGAAAGTTTTTGAATACATTTTTTCGGTGGACTCAATCTGTCACACTCTAATGATTTTGCCCAATACATCGACTGACAAACTTACCTCATCGTTTTTTTAACTGAGTCAGTTGAAAAAGACCGGTCCGCTTCGTTCACGTATGTTAAATTCAACGTGTATTTGGTAAGCTTCTTCTGATTTAATCGTTGAACTACATGACAAACCTTCGACACAATAGATCGAGTATGTTAATGAACCAAACCAAAACCAAAACATTTCAATAACTCAACGATGTTAGGGAGGGGTAGCTAAGTCACATGTCCAATCTCTTGGGGGCTCTCACGATTCGTCCCTTGCAGGCTCTGGCCCCAACAAGGTGACGGCGAAAAGGAATTTCCTCACCATCACTTACCTACTCCTCAGAATCATTCATCCGTCATTTTTTTTTTTTTTTATTTTTTATTTATTTTTTTAAGGGGAAGGTTCATATTTTTAACGTACGGGATGAAAAGGGTTGACGTAAAAACTGCAGCTGCTAAACACTGAGAGACTTGCTTACATTTGACTCTGGCCCAAACTTCACAGATAAAACCAAGGCAGTTAGAGGAAGTGTGGTTTTCTTCCTATCTCTTTTGTACGGATTATAAAGTCACTGTTACGCAGAATAAATACAGCAAATCGAAATCGTAATAATAGCATAGCTACTTTTTAGAATGGACACTTTTACATGTTCGCAAGTATAGTAGTTTATAATAGCAATCCTCGATCTGGCTGTAATCCTTAAAATTTAGTTTAGATTACTAAATATGATTAATAATAATACATTCATTCAATTCAAGCAAGTTTTTTATAACTCCTGCCCTGCGAAACTTGTTCATTATTTTATTTGCTCATTTGCCGCCTCGAGCTGCTGCTCATTAAGAGTTGTAAAACAGAGGAAAATATCAATAGTGACATAGTCCACGTCCTCGAAACTGTTGCTGAGATTGGTGCACGGAAATGAAAGGAAAACTTTCGCAACCAAGGATAAATATCATCTGAAGAATATCCAGAATTTTTTTCTTTTTTTTTTTTTTTTCATTTGAAAATCTCCATACTAAATACGATTACTGGGACGTTGGCCATTGTTACAAAATACGATTACTCATAGAACGTTGGCCATTGTTTCATGAGAAACAAAACAATGCATTTCTTTATTAAGTGAGACAATCATAGAATAATACATTTTGTGATCCAAAATTTTCAGTTTATACAAGCCTGAGTCTTAATATTTATTGACACATACACGTCTAAGAGGATTTTAAACATCTAAAAAAAGAGGCTTGGAAATTGTAGAAGTTATGAATTGGCATCCAGAAAAGAATGAGCTGTATTTGAATGAATTAATATATTTCAAGGAAAGCTCTCCAATAATTAAACTGCTATTTATGTCAAAAATGAACCATCTAAATCCTCCGTCCGAGGGAAAAAGTAAGTAAATGAAATAATTCAGTGGGATCTTGTGATAATTGTGGATTGCATTCACACCTCAATTTCAGGGGATGCGCACTTTGTCCCGACTGAAAATGTGCTCCCGTAACCAAATTGAATGTCATTTTATGGAGTAGCTTTCTGTAATTCGTTGTACCGATTGCAAGAAGTTTCCTGCAGTAGTCATGATCTCATGCAAAGCGTATTATCATCCTCCTATCCTAGCTCCTGAGGAACAAAGAATCTGAATCTCCCTTCCTAGTTTGTTCCAGGGAAACTTGATTCTTTTCCTCATATTTCACTGACACCGTTCGCCATACCGGGGTGTCTAAACTTTCTGAAATATCGGGGTTCCACCGGTGCTCAATAATGAGTCAAAGAAAGCTCTCTTGTATAATTGCTTACTTAATCAAAACTATAACAAAATTCTCGAACGCGATTGGTTATCACCAGCCCGATTTGAGCAATAAAAGGACAGTGTACGCGTCATGCTTGTAATTGGACAACGTAATAGGATAGGGGACACGTCATGCCTGTGTAAATGGACAGTACGCGTTCTGTACGCGCGTTGTTGTGGCCCATTTCGCCGAGTTAACGTTGTCTTTTTATGAAAACGTGTAACCGATGTCTAGTTTCTTTCTTAAATTTTGTGATAGTTATGATTAATTGGTATCAGGAATTCGCGTCGTCGAGTTCTGTCTGTAATCATACTAATGATTAACAAATCGAACTCCCGCTTCGCGATCATCCGATTTTGTCAATCGCTAGTATGATTACAGACAGAATTGGACTCCACGCAGTCCTATTACCGCTGGCTATGTGAATGTTGGATGACGAGTCCTGAACAGGATGTAGTCGTTTAAATATTTAGTAGTTAAATCATGTAATGTGTTTCTCCTTGTGTCGGCTATCATTCCATTTCAAATCAAAAGTAGTATACATATACCAGCGTTCTGTTACAAATACTGCAATTTGATTAGCTTAGCCGCTCGCTATCTAATCCGTGATAGATAGCGGGTTAAGTGCGTGGCCTAACAGAGTGCAGTTGTAAATAAAAATTTAAACATAAGCCATTTTTTGACAAGGTTTGAACGACTGGTAGATTTATAATGAAACAACTATGTTATTTGGTCTTGATTACTATGCAAGGATATTATTTCCGGCAATGCCTGCGCCAATTATCACGCGATAAAAAACCCGGGCGCATAATCGAATTGTTGATCATAGGAATTTCTAAGTATAGTTATAAGTTACTTAACTATACGCTCACGGCTGTGGCTAAATGAATATATACTTCTTTGCCCTTCTTGAGCTTTGTTTTTCAAACTCACAGGAGGTTTTTTGGGGTCGAAAATTGCATCTTAATGTCCGGATGCCAAGACAACATCTGTTCATGTACTCTTTTCCAAGCCATGCTAACTCCTTTCGCCAATGACCTCCTTACGATTTGTCTTTTGTTGTTGTTGCACTAAGGGCGATGGCGTTGAAAATTTCCAAACGAAGCCGAGATTCTAAGTGTTACGTATCTGAACCACTAATTATGTCATGTTTAGATTGTGCACACAACGCATGTCAACGCTTTCGGAATGTCCGTGTTCTGAGGACAGTAAGATTTATTGCACTTGTACGCAACAAACTGTATGAACGGGCCGTTTGTATCAGTGGTATTGGTACCAGGTATACCAACCGCGTCGTAATCGACACAGATGTGCTCCGATCTTGCAATTCCACCCTGTTTTGTCATTAAAACTCCGTGATACATTTTAAACCAGAGTGGGTAACACGTATTGCGTCCCGGAGTGACGAGTGTGGCTGAACGTTTTTCGTGCCTGCACACTGCGCAAGGGACCTGGAACATTTGGAGTTCTCTGAAGTAACTTGGATTGATTTCCCTGAAAAACTCGCATTTACTTGGATACTGATTGCAATTTTCCTCATTAAACGGTCTGAAAACGCTCATATTCGTGCCGAATCGAACGGGTGATAAGTAAAGTCCACTTGTCATGTGTCTTGTATCAGTATATTCAAAGCTGTCAGGTACACACATATATTCTGAACCAACGGCAGGATTGGTTTGTGAATGCAAGGTAGCCACTCTTCCTATACGATAAAACATTTCAATAAATGTTAATACTTTATCTCGGTACCTGGTCTTGAAGACGGACTGGGGCATAGGAAAAGACCATAACTAGAAAAAAAATCAGACGACACTTTTTTTTTTCAGAGTGGACAAGCCGAAGCCTGATGTGTGCGGTTACTATCTTGTATGCAAAAAAACAGACACAAAGGATTATAACCTGAACCTTGTTTTTAGATGTGGAATCCGGCACAAAGAAAACGTCTGCACATCCAAATTCATGAAAAAACATCATAAAATCTGACATTGTCACAATTTTGTTTTTAATACTGACGTGTTGTAGATGAAGAATTTATGGGTAGCATCTTTAACGAAAAATGGACAGAAAAAATGTTCTTTGACCACTCAGAGTGACCAGGATCTAATTTCTCCATACAGTAGGACTCCGAAACAAGAATAAAGGAGATGATTACCACCAGAAGAAGCTCTTAATTTCTTAGCAAATTCTCCTTGTCAGCACCTTAGGAAATGTATGTTGAACAGTATGGAGAATATGCATAATGATGTTTGGGTGTGAACTGTTCATGTCGATCATTATCAATCAAATCAAGTGTTTGAGTAAGATGACCACAACTGATTATTTTTCGGTAAGAAAAAAAAACCTTAAGCTAAAAAGCTATTCTGTTCTGATCTCCTGTTTTCCGGACAAAGCATTGATGTGTTAAAGAAAAGGTAGCCATCTATCATTTGTGGAAGTAAGAGGCTTGAAATTGGGGACGATGGGGATTTAAATCTGGTTCGGTGAATAAAGCAAACAGAAGAGCCGTTAACTGACCTGAATACACAGTGTATATATCTGATCCGTCATCGCATTTTGACTTTCCCCAGTGAGTATAGATGGTTGTCCGTTTTTGCTTTGAGCCTTTTTGGCTCAACGCCATTTGAGCGTTGAGGTTTTCCATACCTTGGCTAGACTTTCTATCAAGTGTCGGTTTGGTGGAAGGCTTACTTGTTGAAGTAGTTCTATCTCCTTTTCGCTTATTCTTTAAAAGACCTGTTCTGCCTGTTTGAAAACAAAATAGGAGGAGCAATCTTTACTTACTGTCAATCACTTACGTGGCTTATGGTTGCCACAAAGCGACCAGAGCAATTTTAAATCCACCTAAATCGTGGATGGGATACTTGTTCCTCGTAAGGTTACCCCAAGCATTTTGGCGTGTCTTCCCACCAAGTTACTTAACGCAGCACCCATTTATACGCCTGATCTAAGGGCAGGGGGTGAGGGTGGGAGTGGAGAAGGGGGGGGGTCAGTGTGACTGTTGGGTGTGGTATCTTAAATTCAATAGTAAGTCCACACCGCGAAACCTTGATCACCATCCTCAATTTGGCGCAATTTATGCTTGGCTATCTCTCCTTGTCAAATTCTGAACTGCGAAGTTTTCTTAGAGAGACGTTCGCAGAAAGGTGTGAGTATAACGGCCAAAGACAAATGCATATCCGCGTTTATGGAGGGTTTTGTGTTTATTATTTATTATCCTACAATTGATTTGCATAGCACTTGAAATATCATTTTTTTCTATTCCGACTAAACAAAAAAAATTAATATATAAAAAAAAATACTTGTCTCTTCTTCAGCAACAACAGCAAACTGCTCTTTCGAAAATATAATTTTCGTATTGGATTTAAGCCTATTAAATTGGTTTTGAGTGAAATTTTCTGAATGAAATTACTATAATCAGTGAATGAAACATCTCTAAGACTTATCTTACCTCCTGTCCTTGAAGGACATGGCCTTCCTCTTTCGTCAGTATTGTTATCTGACGTAGCGCATTGTAGTCTAAAAAGAATTTCAGAAGAAAGTTATAAAGCGTCGTAAAAAAAGTTTGTGTTTACTGGAGAATTGACATAGCTTAAAAAAAGAATACTTGGGTCGCTAGGCAATGACTGGAGGTTATCTGATATCCCTTAAACTTTTCACCCCTGAAAGTGAATAGCTGAGATAGACACCGCTGAGTCACACATTAAGTCAGGGGTCAGGAGAATAAAGGAAATGACCACCAACTATTGGAGCTCTTGACTGTGAAATAAATTCTCCTTTTCAGCACCTTAGGAAATGTATAGAGAACAGTATGGAGAATATGCACACTGATGTTAGGTTGTAAAGGAATATGAGTCCGTTTTGCCATCCTAAAAAAGCTGAAAAGGAAGGCATCAAACTAGTTTGTGGTCAGAGTTAGCTAGATCTTGAGCTATAAGTTCCTTAAAGTAAAATCTAAGTAAAGAAATGTCTTTGTAGTTGAGCTGCAAGAAAAGTTAAAATACGAAGTTTTTTATTCAATTGTGACAGTTGGCAAGAGCCCTGTAGAAAAACGCTTGAGATGACAATGACTGGACTGGATATTAGACATTTTATGAACTGAACAATCTCGGTCAATAGTTGGTTCAATAATCAGTCAAAAATTCAGCCAGAGGCTTAATGAAAAAAGTGAAAATACTCAGAATGCTCCTTTTGGTTTGCGAAAAGCTACAATGAAACTAAAATTGTGCATTCAAAAGTCACGGAAATTTGAGAAGGATAAATCGAATATATTCACTCCCTGCAGGCATTCACGTGTACTTTATGTGAATATATTTTCCTTCGTGGCCCTGTTCTGCACAAGGAGAGAATGATCAACTGTATTTACATATTTTGAAATTTGGAATATTTTGCAGTAAATTTAGCTTTTAGCACATAGATTTTTCTTAACTTGTGGAAAACTGGTGTAATTGAATTGTCGTTACAATCTATTAAAGCATTTTTCTCTTGTATTGCCAGAAACATCTGGATACAATTTGATGTAGAGAATCTAAGTGCATTAAGGCCCACGCAAGAAGACAACAACCCCAGGGTGTGAAATTAAGTTTTTTTCTGATAGCCACTTGGTTCCCAAATTTTTCAAAGTGGTAGTCAATTCGAAAAAAGTTGGTCGCCATTTTTAAAGATAAATGAAACCTTTTTTTACGCTGTCAGCTTTCTAGAAAGACCCTCCAAAATTAAGTTAGGAAAAAGATCTTTAACATGCTGCAAAGTGGACAGTAGGATGGACGATATACAACGTTCAAGGCGTGTAGTTATCGACCGAGATGCATGTGCGGCGTTTTTGAAACAAACTTAACCAGGAAGTTTGCCGCGGATGTATCTTTTAATTCACTATATCTCCAGGGAAGGTCCTGATGAAGCATTTTAGTCGCCAATTTGGCGACTAATTTTCAGGATTTGGTCACCAAAGTGAAAAATTTAGTCGTATTGGCGCCTGTATTAGGCGCAATTTCACGCCCTGCAACTGTGCGAAGAATTTGCAAGTAATATAGAAAATTTACGGGATTATTTGAAGGCGGTCGTTTAGGAGTCTTCCGCTTACAACAGTCTTTAATTCCTTTACAAAGAGCTTCAATTTTGTTGAAAATGTTTTCCCTTTGCTCCGTTGTTTGTTCGCTAAACTGGATCATATTCTTAATAATAATATGAAAAGCTGCAAGAGACTTGACTGAAAATGTTTACATGAAGAGCAACAATCAGACAGATTCATCGGAAGAGACTCCAGACAAAAACTCTCTATTATTTTGTCTTGCAAAAAAACTTAATATAGTAAAATTATATTAATATCCTGAAAAAAGTTTTCATGAAACTAAAGACTAAACAACGGCAATCTAGTGAAAAGAAAAAAAACTCGTGGAAGGGTTATTTTCAAAACCAAATTGACAAAATGGCAGCTAAATAATAAGAAATATACGTGACAAATACGAGTAAGCGATTAACACAGTGGGTCTCTCTAAACCTGACGGTAATTTTTCTATGTAACACGCGTTTTTAAGAATTCAATTTTCCTTGGAAAAAAAACTAGAAAAAAACGTTCTCGCAAATTACTGGCCTCTTTCCCTAGGGGGGATGTAATCCAAAATTCTAAAAGGAAACGATACACAAAAAAGTCCTATACAAGAACTACACCATTCTTACATTAAGAGCGAATAAGTGGTGGCTCGCTGCTCACGCAGTCGTTAAAATTCCACTTGAATAAAAAAAAATGCAAATTAATCTGTTCCCAAACTAAGGTGGTCTTCAGATTATCACCACAACTGCTCCAATTTCACACCTAAGACCATTTGGTAGCATTTTAAACGATAAGAAATACTGCCCACTCGTTTTTCAAATTTCGGCTATCACAATAGATTAGTTATTCATAAGCCTTAAAGGGATTTTGAAGTTACGGATTGTAAAACACCTGTCCGAGAACATTCTATTTGCTCAATGGACTAAGTGTTACAAATAATCTCCTAACACAATGGGACGTAGTAATTAATTGCTGCGCATTTCCATCAGGATTTCTATTTCTATTCTGACCGAATAAAAATGTCGGTCATTTTACGACCAGCTAAAAGGTTTAATTGAAAATAATAGGTTTTCGAATAATGAAAAAACTCATTAATAACCCTAAAGACTTTTGGTGTTTTTTTCCCTTTCTTTCGAGAAAAATAAATCCGTTTTGTTATTTTTTTTCTTCGGAGAAGAATTAAGCAAAAATTCACGAAATCGCTATGGCGTCTTGTGAGCTAAAATACTGTCAACTTCGAATTTTAAAAGCTGTCACTTTGCAATTAGACTTGTAAACAGAGTCACACAAAACCGCTGATGAAGTCATAAAAATTTCATTAATGAACAGGTAGCGAGGTGAAATGACAACCACATGGTACTCGGCTATTGCGCCTTACAAGAACGTGACTAAGCGCCCTGAATCTAAAACATGGTGGTTAATGGACATAACCTTCCGCTGTGTGTCACTGGAACCCTGTTAACTCAGAAAATTGCTCAAAACCCCGCTGAGAATCAATCAAAACGACTGCTGAATGAAATGATTGCTTTGTGTAGGGGAAGATCGTATAGTTTTCAAACAACCACAAATTCTCGCCAGAAGAATTAAACTTCTTTACGCTCATTTCTCAAGGTTCGTTCTGAAAAAAATTGCTCAAGTGAGTTGAAATGTGCGAGTAAGGTTGAACTACTGCCCTAGTCTAACCATTGCGCTGATAACAAAACAGAAGTAATATTGTAGTGGCAAAGTTTGACCGCAGTGCTATGTTAATGTCTAGAACACCCACTGCGAAGAAGAACATTCTCCGATAAACGCTTTTTATTGCAGTAAATTACATGCAAGAAATCCCATTTCTGCCTATTAAAACATGTAACCAAAATGATCAAACGCATCCATACACGGTAGGCTAGATATTGAGCTGTCATCTGCCACAAACACTGCGGAAGTCTTGAAACAGGAACTTTTACAAGCTCAAACATAATTTCAAAATTTATATCTGTTTTCGAGTTCACAAACGCCACTGTCCTCCAAACAACTCAAGACAATTCTTACCTCATCTCCAGAATCAGAATATTTTCTCGTAGAGATTCGACCATGGATTCAAGCTTTTGGACTCTGGACTTTGCGTTTTCCAAATCAGTGCTAGTTTTTCCTTGCAGAGATGCGAATATTACAATGACGATGACCACAACAAACGCTACAGCACTCCTAACAATCCAGGGATTTTTCAGACTTGTACAACTGGATTGTTCGGCCTCTGGTTTAGGAACCTTAGGCTGATAAACATAAGATCTGTTCGGCGTATTTAGACCGCTGCTGTGAACAAGTAAAGGAACTTTTTTTACGGTGCAATTAGACGATGTTGTCCCTGAATTAGCAGATATATCCTTGGTAAAGGATGCTTTTAACTTCGACTCTTCAGTCTTCATCGTAAACTTCTCAACTCACTTAATCATATCGTGAATAGGTTCTGAACGCCTTCAGTAGTTTATCTCGCCCACATCTGTGTTTGGCGACAAACAACATGGGCTTGCTCTCGTGCACTGAGCGAGAGTGGACTTAAAAATGTCTGAGAAAGATCAATGCCGTCGATAAAAAATGTCCAATTGTGTAGTTCATTATCTCAATGCTGAACAAATCAAGATGCAGTCACGCTTGAGATGTCAAATGCACCTGCTTCTAATAAACTTCCTGGCGAATCAAGTGATGTTTCGAGACATTCACGCATAGCAATGTTGAAATAAGAGCCCGTAGCGCGGAGTCGGCCCTTTAACAACGCGTTTTTCATTCTTCAGTATTCATTTGAAATGTTGCTTGTGGTGCCTGATTGTGCAAGGACGTCTCAATAATCGATAGAATTGGTAAATAAATGATACGAATTCATTAATGTTTATGTAACTCGTGCCAGCTCAACGCATGCGTTTTCTCGCTTTTTTTTTTTTGAACGGGAAGTTATAAAAGATCAACGAAAGGAAGTAACAAGGAATAAATGGATGTTTGAAATTGTCTCGGATAGTTTTAGTGAGGGAAGAACCACTGACATATCCATCAAAATTACCAAAATACTAACCATTTTAGGTATAACTCACAAACTGCACAATCGGAGATTTTACCTTAGTTTTCCTACTGTGAGGCCTTCTTACGGAGGTAGATTATTAATTTCCTACTGAAATTTGTAAATTCGATCGCACTGTATTAACATGACAAAAATTGACCTCAGAATGACGACTGACGAATTAATCGTCAGGGATGAAGTGTTATTAAAGAAAATGCACGAGGAAAGACTTTGCCGATATCAGACAATAAAGACAGTTTGTGTGTTATCTAAGAAGTTATGTATCAACCTTCATAAAACAATTTCTCAGTTCCACCTTCGATATACCTTTAATACAAAGCAAATTTGTTAAAACGCTAAACCACTCCTCTCTAAATTAGGACGCCGGCTCGGCGGAAAAGTTTTGGATGTTTGCGGTTTTCAGCGTCATCTAAATGCAATAACTCGAGGTTGTAATCTAAAGATGCGGTTTCTCATTTATCTTATCTCTGGCGGGTGGTATTTCAAAAACACGCAATTAATCGTTTCTATGTAGCATGTCACCGAAAACTGGACATTTGCCTCGGTATGGAGAAGAGGTACTGATTGATATTCAGTGTACACTAAGATAATAAGTCACCACTGGCGTAAAGGTAATAACTGCACTGCTTTTAATACTTATAAAGTACAGAAACCGGAGTAATCAGGAATCATTATTTACTCTAAAGAACAGGCTTTCAAAAAAGGTGCCGCTAATTGTTAAAAAGGTTCGGCTGGCGACATGAAGAGAAGGTTTTAATTAATATCCGCCCCGTTATTTAAAGCCATTAAGGAAAACATAGTCTAACAACTGCAAGATCTCAAAGAGTTCCCCTTTCTTATTTATCCGCTTATTAAAGAGGGCACGCGTTTGAGAAAACATCCTTGTCTGTACTTGCAAAACAGTAAAAGAGATTTTTCAGTGCCAAAGATACATCCACCATTATTTTGATCTGATAAAAACATTCACTGAATCTTCAATTTATAAAACCCAATTAACCACTTGTCGTAAATAATACCGCCGCAAGTAATGGAGCAGACATTGTCTCGAGGCGACATAACTCTAAATTTCGTTAGTTACTATACGGCATTCCTATTTAGGAAACAACTAATTCTAAGTTCCTGACCATGCGGTTTTTTGGCATTATCACGCCTGTACCCTAAAATTTGCCGATTTTTCGGGTTCAAAAAAGTCTTACCAAAAAACTTTCCTTCCAAGCCAGATATTATTTCTTTAATTTGAAATTTTTCATTTATGTGTTGAAGGTTTTTTCCCTTTTTTTGCATCACTTTGTGATGTCAAACCATATGGATTTAGTTTGAGACACCAGAAATCTAACAAAAATCTAGAGTCTGTTTAACACAATGAAGTGCCTCTTTTAATTTCCAAACTCCCTACCCTCCAAATTTATGTTTTGTATTATTTTATATAAAAATATTGTACAACATCTTTTGTCAAGGGTAGGCAAAAGTAACCTGTTCTTCGCTGATCAGTTTGTAGCGCAGGTTTGTGGCATAAAGCAATGGACATTTGTTTAGAAGAAAATAATTTTGACGAGCAGTCAGTTAATGAACTCCCTCGGCCGGAAGCTATCCACTATTGTATACCTCAAGGGATTGAAACCAGTGAAAAAAACACACGTTAACACTTCATAACAGAAAATTAAACAACCATTATAAATTCCTGAAGGTAAAGGAAACTGAACCTTCTTTCCTGGTTGTGTGTCGTAGATTGTTAGATTTCGCTAGAGTGCCTTCATAAGGACATAAGAGAGACAGTTTTTTAATTTATTATTATTATTATTATTATTATTATTATATTTTTCATATTTTAGCCGGTTTCTTTGTCGAGTTGTTTGTTTTTCAAACGATCTTTCATATCTTCCTAAGCCAAACACTTGACATTCGACACGGAGAAAAAAATAATTGCAAAAAGTTTTAGGCTTCATACCAGATCGATTTCGAGCCCAAAATACTTTTGGCTTCGTGTTTGTGTTCAAGAGGCCGGCTAACACACCGCTGAGAGTATCCGATATGGCTCCAGGCTCAAGATTGATATATACAATAGCCAACGGACAACGGCCAAACAGACTGGGAAGGAATTTCGGTAGCCATGGCCCGTAGTTGAAATACAAGATAAAATTTTTTTAGTTGAGCGGCTCCAAATCATGAAAAGTTCCTTGTTGTGTTATAACGTGTAATCTTCGTGGATAGCATCTGGTGCGACATCATTGGAAGTGTTTAAAGATTCAAAAGAATGTTCCAAGAGATGTAGGAGAATAGTGAGGAAAATTCTTGATGAGTTCCGCAAATCACTTTAAGGCATGCAGACTGAAAAGTTTGCTTTTTTGAAAAATTGTGAAACAAAGCAGGTCCAGAATGAGGTCGTTGTCAGCGTAATAATACAACAGGAAATTCAGTGAAGTGTCTGAACGCGGAAAAACAACGCTGTTTCAAATATCTTTCAGAAACGGAAATGACTAACATGGAATATCACGATTTTTCACCCGAAAATCGTTAAGTTTCTAGGAACGAAAGCGGATCTTGTTTGATGAATACAACTTATAAATTTTCCCCGAGTCAAGATTCAAGGTAAGAACTTTCTTCGAGCATCCGGCTTTCAAAGGTGGTTAAAAAGCCGGAAATTTTTAAACGATTTAACACAATGACACATATTAACATTTTTTTTTATTATGTGTGTGCAAATCTGTCTTAAATTCAAATCTAATGGAATTTTCAGGTGTCACCATTTTTTTCTAATAAAAAATAATCAACTTGATCTCCGGCTAAATTTGATAACAGGCTTAGAAATGTGTTTCAGTTAAAGCATTTCAATTCCCTTTAAAATTAATTTATTTTGTGTGTTTTCTTGATCATCCTTTTAACAAGGTTAAGATTGATCCGTATCGTAACCAAATAATAAATCCCGCAAGCCCTCTTTTGGCACGCGAGAAAAAAAACTAAGGCATTTAAACAAAAAATCCAACTTTAAAAGTCCAACACACAAGGTGTTCTGATATGTATGGAAGACAGATGTTTCAATTAACCAGTACTGGAATGTTGTGATACCCAAAAATATGTTTCGAGCATATGAAATGTTGCAGAAGATCTACAGTTGCCAGACCTTATGCAAAGATAAGGCAATTTTACAGAAACCAGCAACACAGTAAAGCGAGATCATTTCCAATAATCTGCAATAATCTAGTTTTATCTCAACCACAGTAACTAAAATGACACATCGAATATGATCTGAAAAGGAAATTTCATCGCTTGAAATATATTGCAATCAAAATCGATTTTACATGTCAGCAGGAGCTCAGGTTAAATTTACTTTATTCTCGCACAAGAAGTGCGTTAGCTTTCAACAGCCCACCAGTTTAGCATTTGTCCAGATGATGGGCTATATTTTCAATGGAAACATTAAACTACAAGTATCTCCAAACAGAGCATAATGAATATCAAACATTCGATTGTCATACCTGCGTTCTAAATGCCTCAATTGTCGTTTCAACCGCTGAATTTCGAGACGAGATGCAGAACGACTCTGTCTCTTCGTTCTGCTATGGACAGCAGACTTTTTACTCCAATCAGCGAGAACAAAATCCAATTTGCTCTCCACTTCGATTAATGACAACTCTACGTCTGTAATGCGTTCGTCAGCCAGTTGAATTTCGCGCAAAATATGCGCAACATTGTGGGAACCCGCTCTGTTAACAAGAATCTGAACTTGGCACATTGCATAGAGCATGAAGAGAACCAGTATTAAAAGTTTCGAGAGGCGGCAGTTACCACACGGCCTTTGTACCGGCCCTCCGTTGTTCCGAGTAGATTCCGAAGTCATTTCTGATCGTCTGAGAATGGTAAAGATCTCATCATAGGGCCGACGTCGTTTGATGTTTAAACCACTTAAGACAAGCCACACAGGCTTCAAACGCAGATCCAGGGTCAAATTGTCTAATTAATGAGGTAAACTAACTTTTCCCTCTTCCTGTTGGCGAGCATAACAGCAATATTTTGAAATGGAGTGTCGCAGTATTTCACCGAAGTTTACTTGTAGATGTTGTTTCACTATACAGATGTAGAGTTCCTTTATATACTGATCGTGAAAAAGTGTTTTAAGGTCAGAAATTTAATACGATGAAACCAGACCCTCCTATAATCTGACGCGAGAATACTAGACATCTGTCATCACTAATATGTTAACAGCTTTCCTCCTTCTAATTCCAGTTCTCTTGTTTTTCTTGCATAGCACTAATTTGCCTTTTCTTAGTATCAACATCAAAATTCGCACTAATACTATCCATACAGATACTGCAACTTGTTTCAGAGGACTTTATAACTACATATGGACAGTTCTCAAGTGATAAAACACTTTGTATTCCTAATTGTTAGTGGTGTACATGCTTGAGTTCGACAGCAATATATAGCAAGGAGAACTAAAATGCTTTGAAGATTTAAAGATTGGCTAACCGCGGAGAATAGGCTCAATTTCTTTCTTTTCAATAAAAAAAACCGTGAATAAGAGTTATGCCAGATTCCAAGGTGTTTCATTGACGCCGATAAAGCTATATAGGACAACAGAACAACCATTAAAGAAAAAAAAAATCTGAAAGCGAGTGAGGGACGATTATTGACTTATACAAGTGACAGTTGCAGTTCTCAGTAACGGCCTCCCTCTGTCTCTCTGTCGCCTCTTTGTTCTGAATAAACACTTGTCATTTAGTCACTCGAGAAACTGAAGAAAGCGAATTTCAAACGTCTGTGTTTTAAGATACTAGCCACCACTAATGGTATTGCTAGATTTATGTTTGAACATCGGTTTAATTGAGCCTCCAGAACGTAAGATTTTTGCTGATAAAATGAGATTCAAATAATTCAGTCCAAACTAACCACTACCTTTAATCGGAAATCAACTGTACTCTCTTCTGTCTCTTCGCTAAATATCTCTTATTCGCTACAGTCAAAGACCAGAAAAAGTAAACAATTGAAACAGTTCAGATTATCAAATACAGTGAAGCCTCTTATCATTGTAAAATTCTTGACCCTCATCAATGGAACTTGAGTTATGGTAACACATTGAGCCCGGCCAAATTTTTTTTCCTGTTCTGTAAACGTTTAAGTTGTCGTACAGAAGTATGTTGATTAAATGGACGATTCGATTAAAGCCTAGAGTTACTGCTCAACCGAATCGTCTATTTTTTTTTCTTTCTTGCTTCGTTTTATATTTCTTTACTTGTTCGGTGTTTAATTTCGTTCGGCATTACTTTTTTTTTTTAGGGGGAACCGTGATGTTCATAGATATTTCAGAACCTTTTAGACTAATTCCAAGAAGATTTCTTTACTAAAAAGTAAGCACTGTTGTTATCTGTTAATCAAAAGGTCATTTTTTTTCTTATTTTCGATTCAATTTCTAGTGGATTCTAGACAAAACCGATTGATTGGCAAAACCACGGACGATGCATCGCGCTCCACCGGCACCTCATCATTTTCTGCTTCCGAAAGAGCTTGGGGTAGAATATTTTAGTTCAAAGTGGATTCTTTTAGTTCAACATGGATTCTTTCAATCTACTAATCTATTTTTGTGTTTGTCAGTAACTGTGCACGTAATTTAGTCTAATTTGGGAAAGGAGTTGTTTCGTAGCCTGGAGCGTTGATAAAACAGATAAGGTCGGTATACTTTATGTTATTAATCTGGCGAGTTCAATTAGGTCATGGCTTTACAAGGAATAAACAACAACCAAAAAAGAACAAAAAGAACAAAAGCAACAAAGAAAACAAGACTCCAAAACAGATAAACAACAAATCGACTAATAAAATCAAAAGGTTATATTTCATATTTACTTATTTCGTCGATATTACATGCAATGTCTTGACGTTGTTGTCGTTGTCGTTGTTTTTGTTTTTGTTTTTTTTTCCTTCGTAGTTTATCGTTTTGAGCGATTTTATTACAGGGTATTTTGCTTGTGTGTTTGTTAGCGAGATACGCTTCTCTGTTTTTCCTTTCTACCAAATAAATATACTTGTTTGAACTTAGTAAACGTGCTTTCCTGTCCATTAACCAAAAGTGTCATGTTCGATGTTCGTTCCAGCAGTAACCTGAGATATTTGCACTTTTATCGGCCTGGTGTAACAGTGCACATTCCAAGTGATCTCCCAGTCTTACTGAAGACTAATCCAACTAGTCAAAGCCCTAAATTTCGTGCGGGAAAGCGATTTCATAAATCATCCGTACCTACACTAGTGACAAGTAGCATTAAATTGCTTCTGGTTCAGCTTGACTCGCTGACAGCAATCGTTTGGCGGTTTGGCGAGGTTGCCGTTTAAGGATGGCTCACGCCAATTACATCATTAACTTCCGCCAAAAGTTTCAGTTTTTTTTTTGTGTTTTTTTTTTGCTTAATCGGATTATGGTTCTTGCAAGGTAACGGGACATGAAAGGCAAACGACGGTTTGTTTACACCTTTTACCCTTTTTGGCCAAATTTCTTCTTCTTTTTTTTTTCTTTGACAAGAAGATTAAATTACTTGCCCATGGATCTACTGTTAAAGGGCATAGAAACTGCGTCACGAATACAAGATTTTTTGCATTTTAAAACAGCAGGAGAACAATCAAACCACTACAAAGTAACGAGGGTTGAGGACAAATTACAGATCAGACACAGATTATAGTAATCAGTACTGTGTTAAAAACGTGGGGATATTTGTCACAAGTGCAAAAACGCTTCCTGATAATGAAGAGGTCAAGTGGTTATCGGTTTGTTTTAACAGCTGTGATCCACTCTAGTACACTTATGATAAGCACTCGAACAGATCTGTTATCGATGCTTGGAAAGGACTTGTGGCGCAATATAAGGTGAGTTTGGGATGAACAATGATACGAAGGCTCTCCGACTCCAGTCTTTTAACAAATGAAAAATGGTAAATGCTACCAAATAGGGTTATATGCCCTGTTTTCTCCTCTTTTCAGAACTATATATCATTTCTTGATAACTGTAGTCGGGTTTTTGAGACTGTTGTGTATACTAACGGAATATTACGTGCAGTTTGATTGGCTCTTCCTTAGGATCTATCGAGGAACAGGGCATAGAAGGCGTCATTACTTAAAGCGTTTCTCAAATTTTGCTCCTTTAACATTAAAAAAAAAAAGGTTCCGTGTTTCGTGCCTCTTTTCAATAAGAGATCACAGAAGATGTCAAAATGTGGTCAGAAAAATCAGTGACACAGAAGATTGCGCCTCGTGTGCAAATTTTTTACCCATACCACGTTTTCAAGTCATCATTGATTTATTACTGATCAGACCCGCGGCAACAGCATGGAATCTGTTCTTTAAGTAGATTAAGGGATTAAGGTACTCTACTGGATGTTTTCCTCTAAAGGAGCCACGTCAAAGAAGAGTTAGAAGGCCTCAGAAGACGCAAGGTTTCCCGCTAAAAGAGGTATTTTTCTCAGTCTTTTGAAACCGTTTACAATCATTTTTTCCTTTCTTTTTTAACATTTAGTTGCAGCTTTTTTAAAAAAAAAAGAAAGATTTCATATTTGTGGTGGACAAATACGACACTTTGGAGAGGAAATCTGATCCATCCGATGTTCCAAAACTGAATCTTCTCGAGTCAATTTGTTTTAGCAATAAGGCTAACAAAACTACACTTTCCCAAAAGCGAAAAGAAAAGATGGACAACTTTGTACATTTTCTTGTTACCTATTCATATTGCATGCCTTGTGATTTCCTTTTCCTCTACTTGCTCTTCTTGGGTATTTTGTTCGTCCGCTTTTTCTGTCAATTCTTACCCAGAGTTTCCAAGCTAGCTGCTCTCTTTTCCTTGACAAGAGAGTTTAAAGGAGAAAAAACCCTAACAGTTTGAACTTTTGAAAGTATATATTCCTGTCAAGTAACCTCTGGTGTTCCCACCAGTTGCAAACTATAAGGAATCATAAGTATTGCGAAGCACAGGTAACTGAAGCTAAGGCAAACCTCAATTTCTTTTGCCTTTTCCTCGGCCCCTGTTGAAATCATGAACGCATTTTTGAGGACCAAAAAAGAAAGCACCGTTTCCTAAGCGAGATACAAGGTAGACTAGGAATGAAAATTTTAGGAATAAATCTAAAGAATCTTCCACCCCCTTGGATGTTCCACTTAATCAAGGAAGACAATTTAATTCATAAATCATTCATACTCTTTTTAGTGACACATGGTATTCTAAGCTAGACTCGTTGACAGTTATTGTTTGGCGGTTTGTATAGACCGCTATTTAAGGGTGTCTGACGCAAAAAAACTTCCTTAATTCCCGAAAAAAATTTTTTTGGTCGCGTAATCGCATTACAGTTTTTTGAAAGTATCAAGAATTGAAAGAGAAACAGTTTTTTAAACATTCCACGTCTTTTACCTTAGTTCTTTTTTTTTAGAGACCGGAATATTAAATTTACCGGCCTATCTAATCTTTTCGCGAATGCAAGTAGTAATTACCTCACGCATGCAAGATTTTTGGAATTTAAATAAGCAGAAAATCAGCCAAACCAGTACAAAGTAACAAGGACTAAGGATCAACTAGATTATTCATAGATAATTGCAATCAGCAATCTCTACTTAAAACACCACTAGTGCGTCTATCAGTTCCCAATGTTGAAGAGGTCAAGTGATTATCATTTTATTTCAACAGCTGCGATCAGCTATAATACAGTTAAGACAAGTGCTCAAACACACCAGGTGTCAATGCTCAATATAGAATTGTAGAGCAAGGGGGCGATGGTGGCATGCAAACTGCCATAGACTCTACGACTTCAGTGTCTAGGGAGGGATGGGTTCTTCTTAAAGGTGAACGCCACAAAAAGAGTATAATTACGTGCATTTCTTCTTTTCGCGTTAAATTTCATTTAGTAATTCAGTGATTGGGCTTGTGCAGAGAGGAGAGGCTCGAGTTAACAATAAATGGTGGGTTTACGGGTACTTTACTTGATGTTTCCCTCTGCAAAACCCTCGTTATAGAAGATGTTGAAGGCTTCTGAGGACACACGGTTCTATTTCGAATGAATGCTTTATGAATTCATTATTACATCATTGTTATAAAAGAGGTACCGCTTACGTTCGGTTGAAACCTGATTTACAATCAGGTAAGTTTTTCTTTCAGTATTTAGTAAGACCATCTCTTCTAATGCGGTTCAATACAGAATCTTATCAAGCCAATTTTTAAGCGAGAAGTATACAGTGTACTGCGATAACGCGATGAATTCAGTCAAAAAACGCGAAAGCTGAAGGAAAGGAAAAACAAAAATTCGACGGACTTGTATTTCCTATTGCACGTCTAAAACGAGAGGAATTGTTTCGTTTTCCCATGTGCGGTGATGAAAAGAACGTGAGCGAAGATAATTCTATGTATGTCATATTGTGTACGTCTTATTTTTGGTGACTATCGGTCGATCGAATCTTGAACAGTGGTGAGAACTTATAGTCGTGCATCATCTCAGGCGCCGTGAGGCCAATCTTAGCGTTGCAATCTCCGCTGTAGCCTCGGTATGCGTGGACCGGGGTAGCATCCAGGAGTTTTGATAGGAGGTCCAAACTTTGAACCAGTCTGGAAAAGCAAGAAACATTTGAAGATGGTAAATTTTTAATACCTCAAGTTGGGTAGCAATATGCGATCCTTCTGAGGTAAGAAGTTTGATTTAAAACAAGAAGCAAAAATTACTCCAGGTTCTGACGAGATAAGGGGGTTTCCGGGGCCCCGGCCCTTTCCGCGGATCTGTTACTGATGACGGATAGTCGTCGTGGATCTGTGTGGAATTCTGGGTAGTCTACGAGACGTTTTATTGTTTTTTTTTTAATTGATGGTGGGCAAGCAATACCATTCCACATTCTTAAGGATCGACTGTCTCAACTATTGTGAAAAAAGGCTTCATACACCAGCCTGCCTGATGATAATATAAATGATAATTCTTCCTCTTTGACAGATATGCATCGAAAGAAGAATTCATTTAAATGATACAAGGTAAATCGCACATCTTGCGCTACGCAATAAAGAACGTGCACTCACATTGTCAGAAATAGAGGATATGTCGTGTCGTGTTTTGCAAACAAAATGCATACATCTGTCCGTGAATTTTGTGCGATAAATGTCACATACCTCAAGAAGAATTTCTCATTAATTGATAAATTCAAATTTTGGAATGAACATAAATGGCAAGGAAATGGTGTAATCATCGCATTTTTATCTATCAAAACACCACACGACGGCCATTCCTGTGGGCTGCATAGAATGTGTAAGGTCTAAAGTCCTCAAATACCGCCTCTGGTCTGCAGAGGTTGACGATAGCATAATAATTTGACCGTTAAAATTATGCTACACACTTAACAAATACAACATTCATAGCCTTGTAACACGCATTTGATCTAAAAACAAAAAATAAGGGTTCAAGGTCTGAATTATCAACAACCTCGGCCTTAGAAAATAAATGTTCAAGGACATTACAATGAACTTTTTCTTAATAAGATGCTCAATTCAGTCTAGACAAGCGACCCCACAACTAAACTTTGTTTCTATCGAGGCTTGTATTTTCGGTGGCAAAAGCATCAAAACGAAGTCAGTCAGACGATCGATGAATAAAAATGACTATAATGAATGTGTTCGTTTAAATTTTGTCATGGAAATGTGGGTGAACAAAAACTGATGGCAGACCAATCATTTGATACGGAAATAATTTTTAAGCAGGACCAAGAGATTAAAAACATTTCATAACCTCTTGGCAGGGCCTAAGAGCAATGATTCTGCTCTCTTCAAGAAATTATCGTCAAAAATATGTTCCAAGCACAATTTTAAATCTGGGTCAATAACTACGTGATGCCTATTCGAACCCAGGCCATATTTATCCCACAGCGCCTTCGCCACAGTGCTATTGGATACTAGCGAAAGTTCACCTAATATCAGCCTGATGAGATTCATCTGTCGTGACCGTTGCACCACTTATTTTCCTAATGGTAATTTCTGGCAAAAAATTTCAAACCTATTTATAGTTTCATTAAGCAGACAAGACAGTTCACGTGATAAGCGAAGATCTTAATGGGATTGCAGTTTAAGTGAATGGCTATTAAAATTGAGATACAACAGTCAGAGAAAAGCCCCTCCTGCTTAGGGCTAGTGTTAACCCAAGGTCAAGTTAAAATGGTTCCATCTCGCTGTTTAAAAATCCTTCTTCTCTTATCAAAGTCACGCACATGTCAAACCAGTACCATCCAATGACCTTGGATAAATATGGAAACTGACTTGTGGATAACAGGAAGCCGGCTCTTAGAACAAATTAGCCAATTAGCAAGTCTGTCGATAAGTAAGCCTTTCTAGTTTAAGAACAAACCGAAAGAAGAAGTAAAGTGTCCATCGTCATGCATTTAGTCGATCTGAAAAATAATTCCATTGGGAACAATGGTAAATTAAAGTAGTTTTAATTGATACGTCATCGTGTTAAAATTTTTGGACCACTTGTAAGGGCAGACATCATTTCAGGATGAACATAACCCGATGTTCTCACTTGAGACAAATCGCGGTCGAAGACCCTTTATCATAACGAGAACAGACAAAAAATTGGAATCGATCCATAAAGGCCAAAACCTTTTTATTACTACTGAGAGTCCTTTCAATCCTTTCTGTCATTCGACGTAGAGAAACTCAAGGAATCGAAGGAAAAACAGCTGCAATCTAGGGTTGCCAGTCTCCGGTTGAACGTCAGAAATGCCAAGTTTGTTGACCCAAAGAATTCAAATCACTTTGGACATGTGATGCATATGGACTTTAGCGCTTGCACGGGCGTTTTGGTGGTAATTTTATCGCAACGGAAAAGGCAAAAACAGACGGTGAGCACACCTTCCAAAAATACATACGTGGTAAGGGATAAAAAGTTACATGTTGAAATTTCTGGTTTACGCGCTATTAAAAGGCTAAACAGTTTGGACAAGTCAATCAAGATTAATAGCGAGGGTAAGAGGCTTTAAATGTTAATGTTTTTAAATTCGCTGGCAATGTGACAGTACACGTTGGGCAGATCAGTTAAGAATGTTCTCCTCCGCTGTTACACCAGGTGTGATTTATATTACCAAACAAAAGATAAAAGCCTGTACGAAGGGCTACTTTAGGCATGAACGGGCTTTAACAATAGCAGGGCGTATTTGTATTCTATTACCACTACACTACGACTATTGACTGTTGTTTTGTAATTGAAATTTCAGCAGGGGCTATGGTTCCGCTTCGGTTGTCGTGTCATTTGCATGACTGAATGTAAATTCTCGGTCTTCGGAGTTTATCGACGTGACGTTTATACGGAATGCATACTTCGCACACAAAGAAGTAAACAGTTTACAAAGGAACTCGAGACAAAACTCAAACATGGTCGCCTTGTTTTTACTCTTCTTTAACGAGTTCTATCCTTCCTTTCCGCAGCGTCAGTTTATTGAAGTAAAGTGTTAGCCGAAAACGAGGTGAGGATGACGGCGCGCGGAATTTTGCGGTGGATCGTTTCTCGTTATCTTTCGCTGTCACTCTGGCAGTCACTTCAGATCGTGGTGATCGTAAGCTACATTTGGGCCCAATATGCCCTTCATGTACAGCTAAGCAATCGTTTAACGAATATCATTGAAAGGCTAGACAAGCTTGAAGATTACATGAACGGCAAAGACTACAGAAAGGTGCAGTTGAGGACTCATGATATGAAGCAAAAGAATGCTCCCTCTCGTGGAAAGCGAAATGCGGACTTAGCAGGAATGAACAACCTCTTACGGCGACTGGAGAGTTTGGAAAATCGGTAAGTAGAGGATGTCATCGTCAATAGAGCTGTAATCTTTCAACAGGCTCAACTAATCAACGTGTTTCGCCCAACCCTCGCTGACAATTAGCAAGAACGATCGTAAAAAATCGAATAGATAGATACAACCAGACGAATTCTAAAAGTGCCGAAATGCCAATCAATTATGCAACTGACTGAGTTATAAGAACTTGAACTTGTTATGATATATACAAACGACCCTCTCACAAATACACAACCGATCACCACCGGTAAGCTTTTTGTTTTAATTTCGTGTGCGTGTCCAACTTTAAGTCTGCATGACTATAGAATTTTTGTATATAATGGTGGATCCAAATTAAAAAAAGAGCCTTAATCGTTAAATCAATATCACGGGAAATTTAATTGCATTAATCGATGACAGATATTAGCTCATAAATTCCCCAGGGGATTAAGATCGAAATGTATTACATTCACAATCCCGACGGTTAGAACAAGGCAATAACGAGAGACGGGTGTTTAAGGTAAGGACCTCCACCTGGGACATTGTCTCCGTGTTATATCACAGAGGACCAAACGATCCACGTGTTAATCCAAACGGAGGTAGAATTCACACTAGGATACTTTTTTAAAACCTAATACGTAATCCTGAAAGTAAAAAGGTTCAAACTCTGCAAGATGGACTAATGCACACGTAGTCAAGTCTACCAACCGCCATCTCCAACGTTCCCGAATTTTCCGGCTACAAAGCGAAGAGGTAATTAATTAAGGCATAGCCGTAATCTCCATAAACGAACTAACGGGATTGCATTTTTATCAAAGAAAGAAAGTAATTAGCGGTATTAATCAAAGTGTGTTCGTGCACTAAAACTGTCATTTGATGAAGAATTATTCTGGGCATATAGGTTTAGTCAAGGTCACATATTCAAACATGAAGTCAACAGCATAACAATAACAGTGGTAAAATTGAAACTACTTCCCACACAAATATTTACGATTATTTTTTTACATAGTTCACATAAGTTTATTTGATTTTTAGCCAAATGCTTCACTGAATTTTCCAAAAAAAAGTTGAGCTTGTTCATTTGAAACTATTCCTTCGTAATTTTACTACTTTCTTCATTTATCTTAAGATTGCTTTGATACATATTGACAAACAATGTTGATTAAAATGTATCGTAATAGTCCATTGTTTTTTTTTTTGTTTTTTTTTATGATTCAGTTGGCCACACAAAGAGCCAAATATTTCCATCTTCGACTCTCTGCACTACTGTTCAAAATAACAGCTGCCCACTTGACATCCAACCTGAACTTAAATTGACACACTGACTGCGGGGCCGCCAATGTGCATTTTTGCACGAAGCTCATAGTTTTCGGATGAATGACGAATCCAAAATTACAGAGACGAAAGATAAATCCTACATTATATCACATAATAACACATAGAATATGCATAAAAAATTGTTATTTTAAGAGATGTACATTAGATCTTTAAAACGCCTGGTGAATATCTAAAAAATATCACCACCTTAAGAGCTATCAACCAGTGTTGTGTTTTGACCGTAAGTTGAAAAATTTTACAGACATAAGAAGGCATGTATTGATGAATCAGATCAGTAACAAGTCTTCGTAAAACAAGAAAAATTGCTAGTAACCACTATAATTACAATGAACCTAGTAGAAAATGGTTCAATGACTTTATTTTATGTTACTCGGAAAGCGGAGCGACACCAAGCACACGGTACACATGCCCCTAGTAACGTCACTTTTCCTAATCACCGGCTAGTTAAGCGAGACTGTTGTCCACTGTAGCTTTGAACAGTGACATACATAAAGTCCATTAATCAGTTCACGCGTTGTTTCCATGTGCAACAACATCGGTCAACACTGCCTAAACTAACCTGGTTGGTTGATTTCTTCAAAATTTAAGGATGTCACTTAACACGTGGTTGAATATATCAGAATGGCTTGTACCATTTACCAAAGAAAGTGTAAACGATCTTGTTCATAACCTCATTTTTTCGTCTCCTTGTTCTAAATTTCAGCTTTTCAGCTTCAAAAAATTTCAGTGCGCATGATGGTGGAGCATTTTGTGTTCAGGGACCTCAAGGAAGACATGGAATTCCGGGAAAAAATGGGATACCAGGACATGATGGGAAGGATGGAACGACTGGAAGAGACGGTGAGTAGTAAGCTGATTCTGTTGCCTTATTTTACTTTAACCATTTTTTCTTTACATAATGAGGCAGAATGTTCCTTTCGTACCTGTATGTTAAGACATGAATAGGTTCTAAATCTGCTGACAGTCCCATTAGAATAAACAGGCTTATCAAAATTGTCTTACCACTTGAGAACATGATTATAAAAGAATATGAAAGATGGTAACATGATTATACTTAGCCAAGTAAACCAATTAATCTATATAAAAAAATGAACAAAAGAAGAAAAACAGCTGCAGTTACGTGAAAAAGAAGCGAGGAAGGAATAACCAAACAAGTCGTTGAGGAAAACGAAGGCCGGACTTGAACAAAGAAAGACTAAAGAATTCTCTGTTCTGAGCGAAAAATTGTTGTGAAAAGTTGTAGTTGTTGTGACGCAGTGTTCGTGTTCATTAGTGTAGGAAGAGATGGCATCGACGGACGCGATGGAGTACCGGGTATAAATGGAATCCCAGGAGAGCAAGGATTGCCGGGTAAGTTGGCTTCATTTGCATCCAAGAGTGGAGCGCCTTTTTTAACCTAAACTTTGATTTCTTTCGGAATTTGGTGCAAAACAATATCAATTTACTATTTTCTGTTTTAACTTCTCGTTGAGGACAACCGAAACAACTCTGGGTACTTCCAAACTGGGCTGCACTGTTGAAACTTCGCACTGATTTCCATTACTTCTGGGCGAGCTTGACTCATAGACAGATTTTTTTCATGGCACGTAATTCGGATTAGTGTCCCACAGCCTCCAAAATATCGCAAATCAGCTTAGCGTGCGGGGCGAGGTAAAGAGCGGCCTCGATCAGATAAACTCCACAGCGTGGTTGTTAGCTGATTACTGGCTAAGAAATTTAGGGAACCCTTTTTAAGATTCAAACATGTCCGCGGTAAATCCACATAACACCGACAAGAAGCTACTAACTAATCAAAATATCAGTGCGTTACTTCATCTTATTAACTTGAAAGGATTAGAGAATGGCATGTTTAGCCTCATAGCTCGAGGAAATCATAGTCAACGAAGATAAGTCCACAAACTTAGTCGGAAATTACAATTACAATAAGGAGTTACGCCATTGCATGGGCAACTTGAAAAAAAAAAGCCTCGTCATACGATACCCTTTGATCTTCTTCATCCTCGGCCATTCTTGTACCTCCTTGCTTTGCTGTTGCCCTTTTTTGAGCTCTCATATCTTTCTAACCTCTTACGTCTTAATTCCTCACAGAAGATAGTCTTAAAATGCGCGAGAATTGTTAGAAATGTCGGAAATGCTGTAATTAATACTTAACCCTTTAACCAATAAAAGTGACTAGCATCTAATTTCTCCTTACAGTATCACCCCTAGATCAAACATTAAGGTCATGAGAATGATGGAAATGATCAAAAAATACAGGAGCTCTTAACTGTTAAGCAAAATTTCTGTCAGCAGCTTAAGAAATGTATAGAAAACAGTATGGAGAACGTGCACACTGATCTTTGGGTGCCAAGGATTACTAGAGGGGAACACCAAGGAGATCGCTTTGACACTCAAGGAATGTCCAGTAGCTACTACAGCTGGGTTTGTTTTGTTTAAGGCAGAGATGGTGCTACAGGACCAAAAGGGGACCAAGGCCAAAAGGGACACAGAGGAAAACAAGGCCCTCAGGGGCCCCCAGGTGACCCTGTGACGTGTTCCCAAAAAAAAGCCTCAGGAAGTTCCATGTTTATTCGATGGGGACGTAGTGTATGTCCATCTCGCACAGGCGCTGAACTAGTTTATGAAGGTATTTTTAAACTTTCGAAAAAGTATTGTCACTAAAGAAGGTGTAAACCTTTATATAGTTGTGATTGTGTTGAACATCTCAGTACAGCCGAAATACAAAGAACAGTGAAGAAATACCAAAGTACGATGCGGTTTGGGCAAAACTGTGTAAAGCTGTGAATTTGCTCTTTGAACTTACATCACCTAATTAGGAGGCTCCATTTAAAAAAGTCAGAATATTCACTCAGCAATCAAATGTTTGTTACAGCTCCAATGAGGCCTAGTTTTTCATATTTGGATTCTCGTTTGAATGCTTTTTCAAGGCCTAGCAACTACTTGGCACTTTTCCAGAATCCACACGATTCCCAGAACCCACATACTCCTGTCTAACTGTATAATTTATCCGCTATCATTTTGTTGGCATCTATTGGGTTCTTACTTCATGATTGAGGCTTTTTTCATCGATTGTGTCTCAGGCCGAGTAGCTGGGTGGCGCCCAACAGGAGAGGGCGGAGGAGCCGACTATTTGTGCATGCCTCTCGATCCTCTTTACCTCAAGAGCCCTTCATCGGGGTCCAACTCGAGGGCGCCCCTCTTTGGTGTAAAGTATGGTCACGTGGAGGATCTTTTTATGAGGAAAGGCAGCAGGGGACCTCATATTAGTTACCTTGGTGTCCCATGCGCTATGTGTCGCGTGCAACAAAGAGGATCCTCAATGATGTTTCCTGGAAAAAATGTGTGCCCGACTGGATTTTGGACCCGCGAGTACCACGGGTATCTTATGACGGACACCAACAACAACACGAGACCTGAGTACATTTGTGTTGACGCTGATGCTACTGGAGTAAAAGTGCCCTCCAACAGAAGACATGCCGGGAAAGCTTTACTAACGTCAGTACAAGGACAGTGTGGAGTGTTGCCTTGCCCGTATTACAAGCAGGACTGGGAACTGACATGCGCAGTATGCACAATGTAGTAAAATGGCAATTATGATAAAACAAGCCGCGCTGAGTAGTTACCTGTTTTAAGAGGTTTTTTTTATGTTCCGTCCGTTGCAACGCTAAAAAATTGCAACAAACCACCAACAGGCAATCCAGAAATGTGCAAATTATTTACCAACTTTAAACAAGCGAGACCTTTGAAAACCGGTCGTGTAATCGTAACAAAAAAACAAATCAAGTATATACTGTGAGACATAATCGTAAAGGAAGCAGTCGTTATTGGAACCAAATATTATCGAAGTTAAAGGATAAAATTGTATTCAGATTTAATAACTTGTTAATCGACGAAGGTCCGTTGACCAAGGTCATCCAAAGTTCTGATGCCACAACAAGGAAGCATGAACAGTGTAAATATGTCGTGGCAGGTCACGATTGATCGAATTCGCGAGAGTAACAAACGTGTCACCGGTTGTAAATCGTTGAAAACTATGACAAAAATTTCGCTTGGTTTTCTTTCCTTTAATTTTTTGTTCAAAAATATCATTACCTACTGGTCATGCTCTTGTGACACGATGTTGGCACAACATACACGACAGAATATTAAACGCTATGCAACCGAAGTTGTAAAAGCCACTTCACTTTATTGATACAAGTACATGGCCTAAAAAACGCCAATTTGAAAGTTGATCTAACATAAGATATTCTTCCGCAGTCTATAGGACGGAAAATCTAAACCGTCTTTTCCTTCTACAAGGCCGTCTTACAGAAATATTCACCTTATGATCATAGGTAAGACGAAGAAATGACGAAGAAATGATACAAAAGTTAATCACATTTTCAGAGCTAACACAAGCCGGACCAAATCTGTGGTTGGTACTCACGTAGCAATGGCCCCTTTGTGTCTCTGAAGTTTAAAGCTTTTTAAATCTGTGCATTCGAGCCTCATTCCTGGTTAAGAGTAGACTGATAAGCAGATGACGTATCACTCCTCAGAACTTCACGCAAGGCCATTGTAGCGTAAGTTGAGGTAGGTAGTGTAAATTCCAATTGCAGCGCCCAGTACTTTCCGTCTGGAACTGACTCAGGCTCCTGGGCACCAGAAAGAGCCTCCTTGTCGGTTACAACCAACGGTTGTTTGACGTCATTGTAACGCAACCAGCGCCAGCTCATTAGGCTCGGCTTGACAAGTAATTTCCTGTACGGCACAAATAATTAAAATTGAAATGGCTGATGCGAAAGTACTTTTTATGCTTGAAGTTCACAACTTGAAAATTAGACTAACTGTAAACTTACTGCAGGTAACCGAACAACAAAACTACGTAGTTTGATGCGTGCGCTGTCAAAAATTGTAAAAAAATTATGAAATGTAAAATAAAATGTTACATAATCCCTCAGTCACAGCTCAAACGCGTTAATTTCAAGGTCTGGGTAACAAAAACTAACGCTCTAACGACTGAGCGGAAGAAAACATCAGCGTTACAAACTGTTTTCCATTTAAATGTTTTAAGAGCGATTCATGACACTGCAGACTTTGAAATACAGGCCCGATCGACCGATAAACTCTCCAGAAAACCTTTAAAAAATAAATAAGGTAACGCAGAGGAGAAAAAAATCTTTTGAAAGACACTCACCGATAAGCGCCTGACAGAGCGTAATCCTTCACTTTATGCCTCATGTTGTCAATGTCCATTCCATCGTTAGCCATTATTTTTCTGTACTCATCTTTCAAGCTGTTGTCAGGGTAAACAACGTCGTATCCAGGAAGTGGAAGAACAACGTCATGGATTGTGAACTGACCTGTTTCCAGCAAATCCCTGGTAAGAACGGTAACCGATGTCCTGCTTGGCTCGGAAATAAATTCAACGGTGTCTTGCGGCCCTGAAGTGCCTTTAATGTTAAAGGAAAAAAGTCAAGCTAACTAACCTACGTCCTCGCGTCCAAACCTCCTTACCTGCGCACCTGCACACTGACGCCCTTGCAGACTGACGAACTGACGCAACTACGTGAGGAAGCATCGACGCAACGTCTGACACATCGACGCACGTCTGTAATTGAGTGCGAACGCGCATTCACGTACGTATGAGCACACACGTACGTACGCGAGACAAACAACGTATTATCAGCGTAGAGCATACACGTGATACGTATATGATTGTGAACATATGCGTATGCATATATGCGTATTACACGACGTGCATACTTAATACTCATATAGAGCATACGTATGTGACTTCTAACGGCATTTATTTTCATTCGAATACTATGAGCAAAAACACCTCTTTTTTACGCCAAAGTTGATTGGAAGTTTGAGATTTCATTTCAGTCCCTGAGTTGCTTGAACGCTACTGAGTAACACCTACATGACGAGCACGTTAGCGAAGAGGTAAGTTTGATGCGCAGGGAATTGCTTACAGAAAAAAGACAATGTGCATGAATGGTTTATGGTGGCATTCACAATTCACCTGTGTCTAAAGAACATGGTGCCGCTGATTTTGAAGCCACAACCAGGTCGCCAATGATTGGCTTCATTCCGTGTTCCTGAAAATTCAATCAAAACAAGACACATCTAATCGCGTATACACGTAAAAAAGAATTCTTTTTGCCCACATATCAAGCATAGCTCTCAAACCTCGCTAGGGAAAAAGAATCTCGCAGGAAAGAGAACCAGCAACAAACTTGACTTAGTAAGGAAAACGACAAATGGTTTGACATTCATTTTCGGCTATCGACAGAGAGGTTGGAGGTAAGGAGCTAATCACCAGATTAAAACTGATTATCAGATTCGTAGTGGACACAGTTCATGGAAATCACATCCAGCTCCTGTACGTGGAAAAAAGTGGGGTAGGACTCTCAGTAATGTTTCAAGTTGTCCATGTTTCCTCGTAATATTTCCCCAATTCGGAATAATTACCCGGTAATGGGGTAGTGACTATGAGATTGAGTTTGAATGAAGAATTGCGAAAGATGCATACAGTGTTAATAACGAATATGAATACCTTAATGTGCTTTGATGCTACGTAGTTCCATACATAGCTTTGATATGCATGGACATACATGAGTCTAGTGTTCCTGGAGATAGACTGCAAGGCTTTCACCAAACCTGAAGGTCCATGCCTCACAAGGCCAAGTAAAAGATCACTCTCAATACCCTTTCTTTTGGGAAGTTTTTTCAGAGTCTCCTTAGCATCATGGGTGTCTTTCCAGTGTTGTCGAGCAGCTGTGAGGTCATCGGACTCACCAGAACGTGGATTAAGAAGAAGATCAACAGCCTCAGACCAGTTACTGAGAAGCAATGCACAGCCTGTGACAATTAGACAGTCAAAATAAGCATACTGAAGAACTGATCAAACATTTGGATTGCATGAATGTTGGACAAGTTACTTTTTGCCTTCCATGGCGGAGCAGTTTTCAACTGTGTTGAAAAACCAATACAAATTGCCAATTGCCAATATTAACAAAGGTTAGCATCATCAGAAGCCATTAACAACTCAAATCAAAATCAGGCACACTACTGAGATGCAGGAAAATGAAAACACAAGTAACAAAGAAGTGATTAGTTTGGTTTTGCACCTGATGGGTTGTGAGAATGGCACAAGATGTTTCAACCAATCACAGAACAAAGTTGTCCAAACCAATAAAATACCCTCTCAATTCAAAAATTGCTCCATACAGGTAGAGTGGGGTAGAGTGACTAACTGCACCACCACAAAAAAAGGTTCTCCCATGTCATGTATGCATTTAACCAATGTGGAAAACAAAATAAAACTTTAAATAAATGGCATGTTGTATACATACCTATTTTATGTGTTGGGACTGAGGTTGTTCCAAATCTTTGCAATCCAAAGTAATTTATAAAACCATTGATTTTAAGTGATTTTAGACTTTCTTCTATCTCTCTGTGATCCCCAACAACATTCCTGAGAGTGATAATAAAATGATTCCCTGATAAAGAGCCAAGTTTAAGAGGCTCTTTGCAATACTGGAAGTTGCCAAGACACAAGTTGCGAAGACTTGAGTTTAATTCCTGCAACTGTTCAGCCCTGACTCTGTACACAGACACCTGCTGGGTGGTAACTGCCCTACGATCTTTGGTTCCAGCGTAACCAAAAATTCCTGCCTTGATTCTGAGAAGTTTGCTCAACAAATTGATTGCATCCATGGTGTCTTTGTTTTCTTTGTAAAGAACAAACCAGCAATAATTCTCAATTTCTGATGGCCATCGGCTGTTTCTTTGCCTGCCACTAGAATCACGCTTATGAAATACTCTGACCGCCTTTTGGTTTCCCACATCAACTGTGTCGCTATCTAAAAGTAATTAAGAGCAGTGAGTTTTGATTTTGAAGGTTGCATTGAATAATACTGACAGTTCATTCTAGGGTTGGCTGACAAAAATCCACTAAACCTCCCACCATAAGTCACCCACCTAAGGCTTATGAATGATCCCCATTCATAAGCCTCTTGTCACATTACCTAAAACACCACATGGAAGACGAAATTAAAATCTGGTGAGTGCCCTCTGTTTGACAAAGTGTCACCTTCAGGAAAAATCCTGGTTATGCCCCTACACCCATTAACATTTCTGATTGAAATGACACATGATCAGAATGATTTATATTTCCCAGCTACAACAATCAATCACCTAACCTAAAAAAGCAAAGTTTTCTCTAATGGTTCTGTGAACCAATCTTCTATGGTCTTTGTCGTCATCAGGAGATAAAGTCGCAAGGGTTTTCTTCTCCTTATCATCAATAACTTGCTGAATTTTCTCTTTCTCTTCTTCACTTAAAACATCAAGCCCAAAGTCTTTGTTCTTTTCTTTCCGAGGTAAAGATGTATCTGATAGTCGCACAAGATTTCCCAGAAGGTCCCTCTCTCTGACGATGAAATCCGTGTATCTCTGTTTCAGGACTCCGTGAAATCCGGGTAAGTTGGACACGAATTCTAAAATTCCTACGTCCTTTTCCGAAACAGAAGTCTTTCTTAAGATATCAGGGTCATCTTCAGATGCTTCCTCAATCGATGAATCTTTCCCTTGCCCTATATTTGCCTTCATTTCGTCAGTCTCTTCTGGGTTTTCATGAAGCACGTGCTCTACGCCAGTAACAATTTCACTTCGAAGTTTTCCATCGGTCTCGTTTCTTTGATCGCAGTTTCCTTGTTTTTCAACTTCACCTTTATCTGACTGGCCAGCATCTCTAGTTTCCCCCGTTTTCAGTGATTCTGAATTAATTCTGGGGCGTTTAAATTTAGGTTCATCTAGATTACAATCATCGATTTCGTCCGCCATTTTGAAATCTGAGCCTGCATGCAAAAGCAACACTAACACTTGCGAGTTTTTCATTCAAGTAAAACCATCGTCATTTATCTCATTTATCTATCGATTGCCCGCTTTAGTAAGTCAAAGGAGCCCAGAGAAGGAAGAATTTGAGCTGCCTTCTACATCGAGCTGTTTTGAACTTTCTATAAAAAGAAGGGAAAGAAAAAAAAATTATATAAAAATATGTAATAACTGCACTCACAGGTCCTTGACTGGCGGTTTATAGTCGAACCGGCAGCCATGGCCTGCTTTCAACGAGCGTAAGAGTAGCTCAGCTTCCCAGCTGTTGTGCTGATTTTAAAGTAGACATGCAGTTATCTGTTGCGATCCTTACACTAAATAATTCCTTCGAGGGGAAGAGAGGAGGGGATCAGGTAGACTTCGTCACCACCTCAACCGAAAAACTTTGACGGAAAGTTCTCTCGTCGTACGCTGAACGAGAGTATAGTGTTATTGCAATGATCACCCGCACATATCTCTCTTTCTCTCTCTGAATAATCTCAATAATCGGTAGGTTTTTATCCTTAGACTCCAGGCCTTTGTTTATAAATTTTGTCTTTTATTTGTTTTTTTATTTGCGCAATAAGTATTTTTCAACCCTGTACAGAGTACATGCACAACAAGGCATATGCGACGGTTTTTTGTTTTTGTCATGATTCGAATCCACTTTAACACTTTCCAGCTAAAATGATTTTGATCCGTTTCCAATCTAAGATGTCAAATCGTGCTGAATCTTTAATCCAAACACCTGCAATTCTGAATACAGTTTAGCCTCTTGAAAGTTACAACAAAACTTTCCGGAGAAGATTGGGCACGACCCTTTTGAACCAATCACAGAGCTCGTACCATCATTGCATGTTTTTGTATACCGAGTGTTGATTTTTACGGTAAGAGCAGCTTTGGAAAAGCTTGGCACATTAGACATAGCAAGGTAAGCGATCGAGGATCTTTATTGTGTGGAACATTTGTTTCGACATATCCAGATAATCGGAGTGCTTTGAAGCGCTTTAATTTACAACTAGCTTCTCTGAAGGCACCGTAATTTTATGCAATCTAATCTGCGGCCTTTCAAATTTCGATGACTGAAGTTTCAGCTCAAAAATCTTGGTCAAATTTTAAACCCTTTTTTACACCGATGACAAGGGATAAAAACTTGATCAGATCTAAAAATGAAATCGATCTTCGCAGCAATCAACACTGCTTAAGCTGTAGTGAAAATAAGCCCTGAAAAAATTCAGGCCCATACGGGATTTGAACCCATGGCCTCTGCGATACCGGTGCAGCGCTTTACTAGTGAGCTGACATGCCAACTGGGAGCTGATTATTGTACTGGTTTGCAATAAACCCGTAAAGTGATGAATCAATGACCGTGAATATATGAAAATCATATATGTGAACTGCGAGTAGAGAAGTGAGTATAGAAGCCAATATAGAAGCGATCTTCGCAGCAATGATCACTACTTAAGCAGTAGTGAAAACACGGCCGAAAGAAATTAAGTCCTGCACGGGTTTTGAAACCAGGCGCCATTTTCTCTATAAGTACGTTTCCTTCATTTGATATTCAAAATACAGATAAAAAGTAAATCGTAGGGGAAGATCAATACTTTTCGCTCCGTGCTGAGGTAAGGGTTGCAGAGAACCGCGTCCATTCTCATTTACATCTTGGATGTATTTTTGAATAACAATGAATGGCACATTTTTTGTCATGCATCGGTCAATTTGAAAATATGATCCCACGCTGTTAATATCTGTGGCCGAATTATTCACCTTGCAGACATGCCTTAGTTACTTTTGTAACATTTGATCAGTCATGATGAAAGAAAGCTTGAAAGTATAGTGAAAGCAGAGCTTCTCGGCTGTCACTTAGAAAAACATCTTTGTTTTGATTATTAGAAACGTCGAACGAGTTACCCAACCGAGCGAGATAGTTAAATCAATCTTCATGGTTCCGTGTCTAATTTAATTCTGACCCTTTCAGGACAATTATTAAGATCAGCCTAAGTCACGCGATTGACCGAAATATCTTGAGCAAAACCAGAGTATGGAAGGACCCTATCGAGGAAGATTAAAAGGATTGGTCCTAGGGAGTTTAGTTGGAAGCAGGCCAAAATTATCAAATTCACTTTTTCCTTAACTTGTTTTAGGCAGAAATGCAGTCGAAATCACTAATTATTTTATTTAACATGCAGCCAAAAATTATTGGACTTAGCTGAGAAAGTTTGTTTTTCTCCTCTTTAGATATCACATCCGTATACGAACGTTCACAAGCATGAAAGCAGTTCTCTATAAAACCGGTGGCGTTGAGAACCTTTATCTCGGTACAGCCCCGAAGCCGACGGCCGGAAAAACTCAAGTGCTAATCCGCGTGGAATACACAGCGCTGAATCGAGCAGACACTCTGCAAAGACGAGGACTCTATCCCTCTCCTTCTCTACCTCCTGGGCAACCCGACATTCTGGGGCTTGAGGTATCTGGTGTGATCGAGGAAGTCGGTGGCGAATGTGCTGGGACATGGAAGTAAGTTGCTTGTGGTTTAGTATGTGATAACCGTCAACTGACTGATTTCAAATAAATAACAAAAATGACTGTACAAAATGAATTTTCCTCACTTCTTCGGAGAAATGTCGAGAGGTATCATTTTTTCTGAATTGCAAGGCGTATCATTCAAGCTTGCATTCCTTCAACAGCAACAAGCTCGCTTCAATGATGAAGCGAAGTGGTTGCCCTACAACCACTTCGAAAGAATTATTGAAAGATCTTTAAAAAAAAACAGTTGGCGTTGCACACAAGAGATCGTGCGAATCGACGGAGGACAATGGACGAATTTTTCCAACGAAGTATGTTTGCATTCTCTTTGCGTAGCATTGTACTTTAAACTTTGAAAGATGGAGTCAAGAAACCATAATTAACTTGGTTCGGTATTAGTTCGGTTGCATCTAAATACACGAATGAGGCAATCAAAAAGCAAAAAGGGACAAAAACGGTTTAGGATGGAAAAGCTCACAACAGACATACAGATGTATGGTGATCTTGAAAATAAGGGGCTAACTTTTTCTTAAACGAATACAAACTATAGCTACTTTAATACTTGAACTCATAACACAGTAGCCCTATACCGTTTTCAGGAGGGTAATGCGCCTGCAAATACGGTTTTGACAATGTGTTATGATATTCCTGTACAAAGTTGACGCCATAACTTACCGACTAAATTCTTTTGGGAATAACCTCGAAGTCACGATTTGGACTACAGAAAACCGAAAAAGAGACTACCTGATAAAAACAGCATTGGAAAAAGAGACTTTTCAAAAATTTTTTAGGCACTGATGTTTTTATTTTCCTTTTACAGGCAAGGCGACAAGGTTATGGCTTTGTTACCAGGTGATGAACGTGTTTTCTTCATCAAATTCTGCTTATAAGCAAGTTATAATAAAGCCAACAAAATATTTGCTTTGATGCTCCCATGATGCCCCCCTAGCTGATCTCAAGAAACGCTCTAATTCGGTCAGTCTTCGCACAAGTTCTCTCACTATTACTCATCTGCAGTTTTACGTAACTCGTCGCAAACCCCTGTCCTTTTCACTGCTAAACAGAGATAATCATATCATGAATTCTTGTTACCTCAAGCCCAGGTTAAGCCATTTACAACGTTAAACGTTTGGTGTTGTATTTACCAGGAGGAGGGTATGCGGAATATGTTGCTGTTGAAGAGGTCCTTGTCATGCCTGCACCTGATTCTCTTGAACTTTCTGATGCGGCAGCCATTCCTGAAGCATGGCTAACAGCATATCAGCTCCTGCACTTTCTCGGGCGAGTTGAGAGTGGTGATGTAGTGCTTATTCATGCTGGTGGCAGTGGTGTTGGAACAGCACTGGTGCAGCTGTCACTAGTGGCTGGAGCACAGCCATATGTGACTGCAGGCTCAGAGGAAAAGATCAAAATGGCAGAGTCACTTGGAGCCAAGGGAGGCTTCAATTATAAGACAGGGGATTTTTCCAACTGGATAGAAAGTGTTACTGGAGGTAACATATCATCTGTATGAAAAGGAAAATGATTCACTGACAGTCTTGCATTGAAAATCTAGTACAATTAAGTGTTGGCACAAGAGCGAAAGCTATATTTCATTTTTGCAAAAATCCAATTCTAAACCCCCAGATCGGAAAAATTATGATGGGTCAGATTGATCATCTGAACCATAACAGCAGAGCTGGACTGTAATAAAGCGTTTTTGCATTCTAATTTTCCTACTCCTTCGAAGAAATATGAAGCAAAAGATGTCCTCTTGATTAATTTACAATTATTTTATTACAGGAGTATGCAATATTGAATTTAGGCCACTAAGCAGTCCTTGCATAAATGACGGAAGTAAAACAAGATGCGTAGTCTAACAATTCAGAATTCCCTTGTTTTGAAATCGGTTACTCAATGGCTCGCGAAAATCCGGGAGCCAGCCAGTTTTTTCTAGTTATTACACTTGACAGAAAAAATTCTACATCATTATTACATTTTCAGGAAAAAGAGTGAATGTGATTCTAGACTGCGTTGGTAGCTCTTTCTGGGAAAAGAATATCAAAGTCCTTGCTGTTGATGGTCGTTGGGTTTTGTATGGTACACTGGGCGGAGGAAATGTAGAGGGTAATCTTCTTGGAGGTCTACTCAAAAAGAGAGGTTCTCTGATAGCCACAACCCTAAAGCATAGACCTCTTGAGGTAAATTATTCTTAATAAAAAAATACTTCTCGCGTTACATTGCGCTCATTGACAGGAGAACATAGTCTAATTCTGGGATTCTTGCGCTTTTAAACAGTAATCTTTTACGTTGTTCGTTATCTTTTCGGCGTCATCTTACGTTACATCATATGCTTTCACTTTCGATTTCTCTCTTTTTTTACTGAAGGAAGTATGTCAAAATCTCACTTACAATATAACGAACTTTGAGAGAAAAAAAACATCTTTTTTCTGCTACATTCGTGCCGCCTTTTTGTGCCTTTTTATCTGTGTTTCAGAAAGCTTTTCCCCCCGCCCCGTACAACCTCCAGTCCGAAAGTGTCCTTACACTTTTGAACCATATATCTCATACACATTGCTTGCATATTAGGGTACGCTTAGAATCAGGAGTATATATACAAATTATGCTCCAAATTTTGTGTGCTATTTTGTGTTTCTTGCGCACTTTCAACATCTGTTGCCTAGCCCCAGGTGATCTCCCTGCAATGCACAGATCTGTAACGACACGCCCTTTAGATTTATTTTTTGTTTTGTTTATTTTGCTGTTGTTGTTATTTTTGTTCTCGTTGTTCTTCCCATGCTGGTATATTCCAAGTTTCCAAGAGCTAGTAAGACAGCAGTGAAATTACTTGTTCCCGAAGTATGTATTTTCTTCTTATTTCACAGTATAAAGCTAAATTGATACGAGCGTTTACGGAAAACAGTGTTCCTTTATTCGCCGCTGGAAAGCTGAAGACCATCGTGGACTCAGTCCTTCCCATGGATCAGATACAGCTTGCTCACGAGAAGATGGAGTCCAACAAAAATATTGGAAAAATAGTTGTTCAAATAGCAGCACCTTGAAGGGGACACGACACAACCACGTGCACTCATAGGATTTTTATCTTCACAGAAATTTGACTTGAAGTTGAATTATACTATGGTAGTCAACTGAAAACAACAAATAGCAACGTAGGTAAAAGTATATCTAAACTGATAGCAGATAGAGAATTTCACAAGGATTTCAAACCCGTAAGCTAAATTTTCAAGACGTACTGACCTGTTCCAAGCATTCAGACAGTTCATACAGTTCAGATGAGCGAAAAAGCAAACCCTTACTGTGTTTGCACGCCCGCTCTTTTGCAAAAGATATGAATCCTTTTAACTGGGTGCGAATAAACCTCAAACCAGTATACGTTATTTATGAATAAATTGTACTCACTCAGCTCGTCCTAGTATGTAACCCGATTTTTAAATATCTATTTACGATTAAAATATCGCAGTAGTCACCTTGCAGTTTTTTTCGGGGGGAAGTCATAGGCAACGCCCCCAAACTGCACCTTTTCCGGGTTACATTTAATCAATTAGACACCAATCACGAGAGAAGCATAAAAATTGTGAGTCCAACTGCAAGATCTAAGCGCTTTCTAATTGTTTTTCGGGTAATCTGTCTATTTATTTCGCCCTTTATTTTTTTCACATCTCCGGTTTAGTTTGTGAGCGATTTCCTTCGTCAGCTATACCTTTTCGCACGTTTCTCATATTGCGCGACATTTCGCAGTCCTCTTGTATTTAAAGCCAGTTTCTTTTACGCTTTATCACTTTTCAAGTCAGTTTACCTAAAGTCGCACTTAGCGCAGTTCTCTGTTTTGAAGTCTTCAAGTCATTCGATTTTCCAGCCATATATTTGGCGTTATTAATGTGAGTACTTTTTCCATTTCGCTTCGGTTGTATTCGTTTTTTGTTTACTGTTTGTTTATCCTAATTTGTTAACTTAACTCTTATTTAGGTTTTTAGTTCCAACCTCCCATAACTTCTGAATAAAGGGGATAAGTTTCTGAAGAAACTGTGGTGTTGCGTCGGTGGAAGAGTATAACAGGGTAATTTAGTATTATCACGTGAGTTGATAATACTAAATCATCCACTACTGCTGCTGTCTAAATAAAAAGCATTTCGAGTCGAAAAGATAACGTGTTTCCTGTTACACCAACCATACTATTCTAGTCTAAGAAAAAGTACGTTATTTGCTTGACCATCCTACAACCAACTTCGACTTTTTCAGTAGTAGATTTTGCGCAGAAATGAAAAGAAGATTATGGACCAAGTCGGTTCACTTTAGTCAAGAGATTATAAACTGTTTATAACCTCTTGCTTTAGTTCAATATATGACTACAACACGACCCTTGTAATATTGTTAACTAAAATGCTTTTGGAAGCACTTTAATTGAGTTCTTAAAGTTGAGCCCACTCCACTCTTACCAGCAGTACTTCGAGTAATCTAGTAAGTACTTCATATAAAGATATCCTTCCACTCGTCCCAGGTTTCCCTCGCCGCGAAGGAAACATGAGATCACTAAAATTTCTTGTAGTTTTACTGTGCGATTTATTTCTAGTCACCAAGATCGTTTATGGGAATCCTAAAATGAAAGCTGTTCTATTTACACCCGGTGGCGCAGAGAACCTACATATCGGCACAGCTCCAAAGCCAACAGCCGAAGAGACACGAGTGTTGATTCGCGTGGAATACACGGCATTGAATCGGGCAGATACTCTCCAAAGGCGAGGACTCTACCCTCCCCCTGCTGGGGAATCGGACATTCTTGGACTTGAGGTGTCTGGTGTGATAGAGGAGGTGGGAGAAGAATGTGTTAGGAAATGGAAGTAAGTTGTTATTTTAAGCTTTGTACCGTCCTGTATCGTCACACACTCTTCACAGGCGCTGATCGAATACTGCTTTAGGACCGTAAGGGTAGATGTAGGATGGATTACTGAAGTAGAATAACAGTTGCAGTGCAATTGTTTGGAATGTTTATTTTAGCTACTTATTCCAGATGGATCTTTCTGTGCCAATCACAAAACCCACCTTCCCCCCCCCCTCACACCCCTTCTATCCGAGCCTCTCTGCATAATGAAATGCTGGTAAAACGTAGCTGAATTTTTTTTGTTTTGTTTTTACTTTTACAGGAAAGGCGACAAAGTTATGTCTTTATTGGGAGGTCAGTACGTTATTTCATAAAGTCTTGCAGTTCTTTCTTTACCTTGAAAGCACCAGTGCCACAAGCAGCTAAGAGAAGATTGGGGCAATGACCTCTGTTCTCATTGTTGGAAGGGAAGCGGTTCTCAACAAGCTTTGTTCTTTAGCCAAAAAATTATGCTATGTAGATACAGGGGTATAGCAAGGATATTTTAAGGATGGGAAGGTGTGTAGGTTATTAATTTAATTGTGCCTTACATATAGGGGACTGACACATGCTCTACTTCTTTATATATATGATCTTGTATCATAATGTATGAAGGACAGGCACTAGAGAACATTCATGCCATGTACCATGCAGATTCTTTATATTCGCAGTTTTTCGCAAACGATAGTATGAGATTTGTGTTAATCTAATCACTTAATGAAAATTATCTCTCAAAGGTAAGGGATGGGTGAGTGATGAGCACCTCAGGACTTCCCCCCCCCTTAGCCATGTCCCCTGTAATAACTGGCTTTTATGGGCATTTTAATATTCTATAATTGACTAATTTGCTGTTTTCTGATAAGGAGGAGGGTATGCAGAATATGTTGCTGTTGAAGAGGTCCTTGTCATGCCTGCACCTGATTCTCTTGAACTTTCTGAAGCTGCAGCCATTCCTGAAGCATGGCTAACAGCATATCAACTTCTGCACTTTCTTGGGAGGGTTAGAAGTGGTGATGTGGTGCTTATCCATGCTGGTGGCAGTGGTGTTGGAACAGCACTGGTACAACTGTCATTAGTGGCTGGAGCACAGCCATATGTGACTGCAGGCTCAGAGGAAAAGATCAAAATGGCAGAGTCACTTGGAGCCAAGGGAGGCTTCAATTATAAGACAGGAGATTTTTCCAACTGGATAGAAAGTGTGACTAGAGGTGTTGTATTATTCAAAGATAGTTCATGAATTCTTGATGTTGTTTTGATGACAATGAAAAGCTTACATGTCTGTTTTTGAAAACAAGTTGGTAGTAGACATCTCCCTCTGTCTTCCTTTTCCTAACTTAAAACTTCCTTCTCTGGCATCAACTGAGCCTTCACCTCCAAAGACCTGATTTAATATTTCCCTATAGACTGCTTCTATAATAAAATTTTAAATTTTAAAGGGAAATTAGAAGGTTTGTCAAGATAACACCTAATCTCCTACCCGGACCCTACCGGTTAGCTGTAACTGAAATACATGGCTGTGGAAGGTCTGGGTACAAGATCTAGATTAGATAACACATTAGAAATGATCGATTTGTCTCTTCTCATCACTTGTTCACTAGACAGTGTAATGAAACTGCAAGGTAAAGGTTGCAATGGCAAGCTGTAATTCTTAATCTACAACAGTATGTCTTGTGTCAAAGACAGCTCTTTCTGGCCCCCTTCCCTGCCCCTCCACCTCTCCTCCTTGATAATGTAAGAAAATTCTACCAAATGTTTCCTACAGCTTTCTGCCAAAGAAAATACTGAGATTATAAACTGGATACCATAATGATACACTAATAGAACTGTTAGCTGTACTATCTACAATGGTGCGAGGCCTTTGCACTCTGGCAACATGCTACTTGTGTTAAGATTTTTAGGAATTTTTGCTATTTCCTCAGGAAAAGGGGCAGATGTAATCCTTGACTGTGTTGGTAGTTCCTTCTGGGAGCAAAACATTAGGAGCCTCGCTCTTGATGGTCGTTGGGTACTGTATGGTTTGTTAGGAGGAGGAAATGTGAGTGGGAACTTACTTAGAGATTTGTTAAAAAAGAGAGGATCACTCATAGCCACAACACTGAGAAGTAGATCTCTTGAGGTAAGTTTATTCATCTTGAAGAGTGGTGTCCTATAGGAAATCAGAAAAGGAAAGTCTTTAATTGCAGTGCAGTTTCCATATTGGTGAAATGCAGCAATCCTCTGCACTCCCTCAACAACCCTGTGACAAGGTCAAGAAAGACCTTGGAAATGAGATTCAGCCAATCCCCTCCCTCCTCATTTTTTTCATGTCAAAGGACCCCCAGGACATTTTGAATTTCCTCTATTTAACTAAATTTTAAATTTATTCCTCAGTACAAGGCAGAATTGGTGCAGGCATTTACAGAAACCATTGTTCCACTATTTGCCACTGGTAAACTGAAGACCATTGTGGACTCAGTGTTTACAATGGATCAGATACAACTTGCTCATAAGAAGATGGAGTCCAACCAAAACATTGGAAAAATAGTTATCAAGATAGCTACACCTCAAGTAGATGAAAACGTCACAAAAAATAAATCTGAACTCTGATCTACATTTGGCTCTCTAGGCCAGGTGTAGGTTAGCTTCTCAACCACTCACCCCTGGCAGGGGTAAATGGTTGAGAAGCTAACATGGTCGTTGAAGGGGTTTTTTGGCCCTCATTATGTACAGTTCTAGGGCATAACAATTAACTTACTGACCAATACAAACTATCCATTAATTTATTCGATCATGATATTTATCTGCATAATGAAAGACTGTGCTCGGCCAGGAAGCTTCCTACAATCCTACAGCACCTTTGCTTTCATAGTCTATTTTTGCATGATTTTCAAGCCTGTAATGTACTATATCTCGGGAGGAAAGGCTATTGGCGTCGCAAAAGCAAATGCCGAAGAACGAAGAACGTAGGTTCAGTTTTTTGACTGATTCACTGAAAGGACAGCAAAGAACAGTAATTTGGTCAAGCGACCAAAAAACGGTCACGAATGATGCAGCGATGCACGAGTATCTCATTCTACGAATAGATCGGTTTGAGTGTCCATTTTAGAGTAAGTTAGTGTATATTTTCCATCCTAAATACAATTTTATTATAACGGTAAAAGATGATATCAAATATTTAAAACAAATAAAAAAAGAAATGGTACGAACGTCTTAATAAATATTAAAAAAAACCGTGTGTTTCGTATTCTACTTAAATGATTCCCGTCTTAAATAGAATTTCATTATAATCTCATTACGTTGCATAAACCTACTTGGAACACAGCAGTTATCAGATAGCTGCAATCGTGCGTGAAATGCAAGTATTATTTATCTTAGTCGCTATTTTAATATTTACACCATTTACACACGAAAAAAAAAGAAACCAGTTGTTGAGAGGCCAACGTTAGTAAGGATAACTTCTTTGTCTGCTTCTCATTTACTGTCCTGTGGATGGATGTTCCGCAAATCTGTCAGGACAACCACAAGAAAACCACGCAACGGCGTGGCCATTTGTATCAAATTTGACGGAAATGTATGGGGAAATCGAAAAGTTCCATAACATCCCACAAACACTCATTAAACTTCAAATTAAACATTTTACTACGTGGTATTACTATATAATTTGTTTTATCAACTGAGTTGATGATGTAAATTAGCCATTGTAAAGATTTTCTATAGCTGAAGTTTCGAGCGTTAGCGCTTAGTCAGAGCGAATAATGTACTAGGTATGCTGTATTGTAGTTTCTGTAACTGAAGATGCAAAATTTTACCGATTCGAAGGGTTCGGCAACGGACAATCATCCGAGTGCATAGTAGAACGACTTGCTCTAGAAGTTTCGACATTCCCATGTATTTCCTCCAAATTCAGTTCTACAAACCGACGCACCGTTTGTGTGGGTTCCTGTGGTCAAACATCACGAAGGATCGTCAATTAACGCATGCGTAAAGAAAGTTCAAGATTGACGAAGGTGCATTGCAGCTTTGTAGTTGTATCAAACTTTCTTGACAAGAAGGTGAAGAGTTGCATTGGGCACTAAACCACATTCTTGTAAAGTTGCGTTAGGATCATCGTAAACTCTGTTAGGAAATGACGTTTTTATTTCGTAGGGTGGAGCATCTTTCGGCCTATAAAAAGAAAAAGAAAAATTCTGTTAAATGCTACGGACAATTTTCATTCTAATAAGACATCATTGTTTAAGGCATAAGACCCACTTGGGAAAGGTAAAATTACACGAACGTCTGCAAAGTGCGGTAAAACGAGAGAAGAAGTCCAAGCTCATAAATTGCGAATTGGACGTCCACAGCAAGTGATTTAATAGCAACAACCATTGATGTTTCGAACACCTCTTCATTCATTTCGATATGAGCATCGCTCAATTTGATTATCTGGTGAACCGAAACATCGACATGAATAAGTTTTAGTTTTTCATCCAAAAGTGTTCTATCGTTTCTTTACATACCTTACAGCATCAATGTGACTTCTAACATCTCGTATACAATCTGTAAACTTCATCTTCAAGATATATGTCTAAAGAGACGAAAAAGTCAAATGAAGGGGTTGAAGAGACTTGTACGACAAAAATAGATAAATACGTACATAAATAAATGAAATAGAAAATAAAATAAAACAAAACAAAACAAGATCCAACCATTTCTCCTGTCTCTGATTTGATCCTCAAAGTAGAAACTTGTGTTTTACCGGCTGATTGAGGTCTTGTAGTTTCAGCACCTCTAAAGGAATACAACGAAGACAATGAAAAGTCTTAAAAATGAGAAGCATGCCAAAACGTACAATTTTCATTTCTGCCATGTAAAAAGGTTAGAAGAAAAGTTAACCATTCCCCGCACGTAACCTATCCGCTCGAATATCGTCTTCTAATGAGCTCGAAATTCGGCCACGGATGCCGTAATTTTGAAACAGATTATTAACCTAGCCACAACTGTCCCAAAATGGCAGCAATCACTAAGCTCGATTCACAGCAGCTGCCGCTCTTGTAGTGGCAAAAGTTAGCTGAACAGCAGCAGCTATGACCCGCGCCTACTGGTTCTCGCAGTTTGAGTTGAACTCTGGGAAGTCATGCATGAAGCATCAGGTAACTGAATTGCTCCACATATACTTTTACTGGCGACGATTAAGATCAACAGAACACTTTTCTCCGATGCTAGTACCTGAAAGTCTGTGACTATGCTATACGTCCTAACGAAAGGAAACTCCAAATTTCCTAACCTTAATTTTATCTCTTGAAGCACAGGAGTGTCTAGAACTTGGACATCTGATTGTCTTTTTCCACCCTGTTAAAGCGAAAAGCTCTATTCAGCATGGAGTTGGATCAACTTTTGCAAACAACTTCTCTCAATGTAAAACAGAATACTTAAAACGATAATAGTTCAGTAAAGTACAAGAGGCTGGGAAGAGAAATTAATTTTTACCAAGGGGTGAGTGACGGGAAAAAGGGAGGAGAGGGAGGGAGTGTCGCAATGGAAACCTCGTCTTCCACGCCTCCTCCCCCCACCTCCACTACAACTCTCAGTCAAAAATGGCCGGCCGGATAACGACTGCGAGCTTGTATCGCTAGTTCGTCCTAATAAGACGCCTGCACAGCAGGCCAATTGATATCATCTTCAGTGGTTTTCAACACTTTAATAAAAGAAAAGGAAAAGATCACTTCAGTTCCTATCTGTGAGGCTACAAACCTTGATAACATTTTCCACTCCTGATCTCACATCAATTATTTTACCGTCTTTGATAACAGACTGCGGAAGCCGTGACAAAAATTGATCCACGGACTGTTGCTTTTGCCCTGAAAAATTCAAATAATGGATTTTTTGGATAAAAGAAAAACGGTAAGAATACTAAGCAACATAAGTATCATTGCGCAGAAGGTTATTGCCTCCTTTTTATTTTGCTTTATTTTCAAAGTGAATGCCACCGACTAAACAGACCTGGTGTATGACTCTCGACTCGGTGGCTTTTGGCATTTTCCTCACCAGCCAATGATTTCCCTGTTCCAGGAAACAGAAGAGCTGTCCTTCTGTCTTCAAACACAATATCTCTTTTGTCCTGTACCTGTTACACACAAAACAAGACGCGAATCAGTAACATAAAACTTGGTTGCGTGCAGCTCGTTATCGTAAATATTTCGCGGCAACAGTTCAATTTTGAAATAGATACTCGCGTGAAAATTAAAGTGTCATCATATGACGATCAAGGTGAACATTTCACCTGCACTGTCCACCTCAATCAGGAGGACATTATGTCATGAAAGGTTGAGCTGGAATAAACCCTTCGATACTGCTAAGAGTTAACTAAATTTAAGCAAGTACCTCAAAAGGAACTCCACCGGGATATCTGGTCTGTAACTCACTTGGAAAATATCCGTCCATTATATCTTGCATACATTGCTGAAGAGAGTATGACCGCAAAAACAAAAAATCAGTGTAAGCAACGATACAGGATTTTTACTGAGCATACACAGCAATTAAATACTTATCGGTGATTACTTTGATAAAAGGCATTGATATATGAATTTTAATGCACGTACTGTAGCTTGTTTAAATGTGAAACGAGATGAAAATATTGTAAGGAAACCCATACATCTTTTAAAGTTTTTTTTAAGTAACAAAAAACAAACAACAACAAAACTAAACAAAACCAAAACTAAAAACGATCACTGAAGCTCGTAAAAACAAGTTTTAAACAAAATATTTGAGATCTGTAACATCATTTTCAAAGCGGAAGCTGGAATTAGCTCAGGTCTGCAACAATCGCTAACATAAGAATAGACACAACTTTATGTCACGTGTGAAAAAACAACCAACTACTAGGAAGAGAATTGAAAGTCTCTCTCTAAATTTCCAATTGAGCGAGGAAAGTAATCAGGTATTGCATTGGTTTTGCTTTATTTTGCTCTTTAATTGGTCTAAAAAGCCAGCGCTTCCTTATCAACCAATCAGATGCAAAACTAAATCTAATCGCGACTTGGTCGCTCGCGTTTTCCCGCGCTTCACGAGTTTGCTTGTTGTTACTCTGCGTTCTCAGTGATTGCTTTGTGTTTGGTCCCATGATATCAATGAAAAACTGCTTTACGTAATAAACGACTGGTGACGGATTATTAACCTGTGTAACTGGATCTGAATATGGCCTGAAAGGTCCTCCAAACATTAGAATGCCGTTTGAATACAAAACCAAGGGCACGGAATCGCGAACCTAAATTAAATCATTAATAAATATTAGACACTGCTGAACATTTGGAGTTTAAGTCCAATGGTAAAGGAAACATTCTCAAAAGATAGGGTCATACCCATGTTAGGAAAGAGCGGAAAAAATTGCCTTACAACATGTAGCTTCCTACCTCGATTAGTAACAAAGCACTCAACTAGTATCTAGTCTACGAATAGGCCAACATTATCTTCCTTATTATAAATTCTACAAAAATTCTTCACCTTAAGTCGTGCTCCATCTTTAGTCCGTGATACATCACTACAGCCCTCTCCTGCCAGAATGTTCAGTTCCCTGATATTCTTCAAAACAACACCAAAGTCCATTTGAAAGTCATATGGTGCTGACGTAACCAGAGAGGAGTCTAACATCAAAGGGAAACATAGATCATAGAATTGAGTCAAAAGAGCGATTGATAAGTATAAGAAAAACTCATTCTTTGACAAAAGGAAGACTTGATAAGTAGGTTGTAGTTTCAAGGTCCAAATTGTGACCAACAAGTCGCCAATGCAAACTTGAGCTCAAAAAACGAAATGTCCGACATTTCTTTCTTTTAACTTTTACACATTCATCTGATGATCGTTCACATGGAGATATATGCTCTGACAGACTACAGGTTGGCCCTGTTTTTCGGTGAAGTCCGTTCGACGAGTCAGAAAAAAATTTGTGCAAAATTGATGTTGGCTTACACAGTGTTTCGCGGGGCACACTAACAATTTTTTTCACAGACTTTCTTACTTGCGCGACGGACTTCGCCGAAAAGCATGGACTGCTCGTAGTCTAGTTCTTTAAGCAAAAACACATATATAAAACCTTGGGACTTTTTTGAACCGGTCATATAATTATTTCCGCATGTTTAGATGGAAAACAACACCGCTATGGTACAAGTCCCAGAATGCGTTGCGGAGTGGGGATGCAAGGATCTTTCGACGCCACGTTTAGAGAGAAACAATATGAAAAGGCTCAGTTTACTTGGATTCCAAACTCCTTGTCTGCTGACTGAGCTGGGGGCAGGTGTGGATGTTGGTTCTTCTAAAACTTCATAATCAGAGTCACTAGCGTCATCTCCAACCCAGACCATACCATAATCAGCAAGGAATTCCTGTGGTAAAGAAAACAAACCTTGCGTTTAACAATTGGAGTTGGAATGAAGCAACGGAACTTACACTAAGTGACTCAATGTCCATCGTTTCCGGGTCAAAATTGGAATTTAGAGTGTTGCTTTTGACGGCGGGAAGAAAACCTGAACATCCCGGAGATAAACCGTCGAACAACAAACTCAACCCACGTGTGAAGTCAGCTCCGGGAATCGAACCCAGGCCACAGTGAAGCGATGCCATCTCCTCCTTTTACTAAAAATCCTCAGTCTAAAAATCACGGATGACTCTTCCTCTGTTCATAAGGCTACAATTCACGCGCTCGTGGCCATGACCATTACGTGAGCGCAGAAAGTATGCACAGCGAGAAAAGCAGGCAGTGTCCTTAAAGTAGCTCGAGAACTCATTAACCCCCCCCACCACTGGTTATTTTTACCCCCACCCAGGATGTAAAAATACACCTCCTCGCTTCATGCAACAAAACAGCCATGTAATCTAACCCTAAACCCTAAAGCCATTCATACCTCCATCTGAAACACTTGGGTCTGTAGTCTTCTACACTTCTTCTCCAACTCTGTTATTGTGCCAGAGTTGTATCCTAAAAAAGGCAATTTAGTATATTAGAATCACGTTCAAACATTTTGTGATAGCCCTTATAAAAAGTTTGAGAGCAAATAGTAGCAACTATAAAATGTATGTATGCAATCAAATACATGACTGTGCATTTGCTGACGGGTTTCTGAGTGTTAACCATTGTCCTTACCTCGAGCTTTCTCCAACAATTTAGCTTTTTCTTCGAGTATTCTGATCTTCTTATCCTACGATAGATAAACACAGACAACAAGCTAACTTGTCATTGATATACACAAAGTGATCATTTCACATTGTTCCTCTGAATCTCTGTCACAACAGCTCATGGGCTCTTCAGGCAAAATGCTCCCTGATGCCTTAGGGGTGTAACTAGAGGTAATGATGCTGAAGTAGACTATATCTCTCCCCACCCTCAAGTGTAACACCAGCACACTATCAGAATAGCTGATAAATTGGATATTCACGATTGACATAAGAATTATAGCAAAAGATAAGGGAAAAGAGAAAGAGAGAAGCAAAATTCTTCATCAAGTTTTGCCATGGAATAAGCTCCTGCTCATTGTTACTATAAATATCATAGTTATTGTTAGTAGTTTACTGCATTTTGATAGATCATAACTGTATTTAAAGCATTATAATATATGGTAAGACTTTGATGAAATGACATACAAAAAGATATCTGCTATTCACCATTGCACATTACACCATGATATATAAGAAGCAGGAAAATGAGACCTAACTATTTTCATTATGCCTCAACATTATACTTCTCATTTTCTATTGGTCTCAAGCGCACAAGTGTGGTTAAACTTTGAAACCAGACTTGTAAATCAAAGACCACAGTGAATCCTCAATACACATCTTTTAACCAGTTATTGGATGAGTATTGGTTGACTATAACAGGCACTAATACAACACAGTCAAGTGAATGAAAATATGGCAAACATTTTGGGCTACCCTAAATGTCTTCAACGATGCACACAGGGGCAGCTGGCTCTCACCTTTTCTCCTATCTGTGCCTGCGCAGATTTTAGTTGTTGTTCCACCTGAGCCAGACGTGACATCATACTGCTCAGAAGATCTCTATCTGATGGCACTATAAAACATCAGCAATTAATGGTTGCATTTATCCATGAATCACCACAAAATACCAAATTAAGGCTGCAACTTCTACACTGGACAATTTCCTAGGTTTTTGTTGGAATGTACTGTAACTGTCAGTCCAACATATTTTTGCCTCATATTGTGAGTATTGTTGTTGATAGAGGTAACTGACAGCAAGTAGGCTGATAAATTATCACATTTATAACACATGGCAAAGGATAAACTTATATGAATGATTTCAATATTTATTTATTTATCATAAAAAAAATGTACTGAAAATTACAACCTCAAAGTTCCTTAACAACATTAAACAAGCTTTATTGGGGTCTTCATCAACTGAGTGCTTTGTAGTATAATAAACAATTATTCCACTAGCCTGTGTTAAATATAAGATTTTAGATAGCCAACAAGGCCTGTATGGCCGAGTTCACTACAATCATCTAATACCCAACAAGCATGAGTGGAATGATTGATTTATCAAAAACACCCCTAAATACCGATAAATCTCCCATCTTTATTTTATTATGTTATTTTTTTGATGCATACACTTACAATATTTTTAGAGCACAGTATAATGGCTAATAACTCATCATGGCTATTGGCCAATGAAAACTCTTGACGTGCGCTATCCAATGATCCAGTTTTTAACAATTGATTTTAGAAGGAGGACCTATGTTGTTGTATGGAACTCTCCTTAATAATTAGAGAGTAAGTATGAAAAATATTTACATTTACCAGTGAGCTACCCTCACCATTTGTTGAGCTTGAGGACTTTGGTACTTTAGATAATCCATCTTTTTTCAATGAACCACCAGGAAGTTCGACTTAATGGAATAAATATCAACACACCACATTAAATGATTGCAAACTAACAAAACAACAAACTCAATCCCTATGAGGAATCAAATCTTACACGATGCTATTGACATTCCTGATCCTAGTAGTATGCAGGATGCGTGTGTCATATGAACTTTGTAATAGACCTTGCTCACCATAGAGTCTCTGTGGCTTAGTGGTAGAACATCGGAGTACAGAATCTGAAGGTCTGAAGTTTGATTCCTTACAGGGACTCAGAATTTTTTCTTTGTCCCATGCTTGTGACAAGAAAAAAAACATCTTTCTCTATTTCTTTACAGAGCTCAAAACTTACTATCTCTCTTTTTCTATTTACAATAAAATTTTGATTACTAACCTGAAGTGTGCTCTAAATTTCTGAATGGAACTTGAGCTTGCCTGAAAAATTTAAGAAAACAGATTAAGCGTATCTGTCAATAGAATTGATAACATTTTCAGGAACTGAATAATTCTTCTGTTAAGTTGAAGTTTCCTGACTTAGTTGTTGCTTCTATTTCAAAGTGTATTCATCTCCATGACAACCCATAACCTCTTTTTACAAGATAAATATTGCAGATTTTGTCTGTGTGGTGTCATTTTATTGCAAACTAACATTTACTCTTTTTTTTCTGTTTTTTACAATTATTATCATCATAACTGTTACTGCTGTTGTTAGTTGGAATAAAAATATAATAAATTTTAAAAAAGGCTCTGTTACCAAGAATAATTATGAATCATGACGCGTTATCTCTCTTGATCATGACAAATTCAAATTTTAGATCAGTCAAAACTTTTTGAAAATTTATTCATGTTCACCCCATGCAGATGGAAAAACATAACATTAATCAGTGCTTTATTGAAACATACTTTGACAAATAACCCAAACTCAAAAGATAGCCAGACGAGAAACAGTAAAGAAGCAAACAATTCAAAGCCTTGATCGGTATAGTATCGTTCAAATTGTCATGAAAACAACCAATACATTTAGACCGGTAGTAACCAGAGAAAACACAAAGACAGTCCACATTTGGACCAAGTTATCTTAGCAACGCAAAGCGACCTAGAAAATGTGCTCATTAAAACTTATCTTTGTTTCCAATTTCAACTGTTACCTGGGATCGAGTGGAGTCCTTTTCCCTTTCTTCAAGCTGGAAATTGGTGAGCTCATCGTCTTAATATTTCTGAAATTTTGCGAGCCTTTTTTTACCTAAAAATTAACCGCAATCTGCTGCGAATCTTTCATAACAAACAGAAATCCGAAATGTCCGCCATTCGCCGCCATATTGGTTGTGAAGTAGTTACCAGTCTTTCTCAAATAAGCTTCTGAGCCGGATAAACACAGTGGTCATGAGTTTTAATGCACGCCGGCAAAAAGGGAGAGGATTGAATGTACCGATCTTCTCTTCGAAGAAACAAATTTGAAACTAATTATGGGATCTAAAAGAGACCTTAAGGTAGGCACCGTTCTTCTGACGCCATTACTTGGATTAACATCGAGAAAAAGCGAGAATGATTCTTCGAACGCACTACATAATTCCATGCCATCGATTTGCTATCTTCCTTCGCGATCGTCGAAGAATTTGTTGGGGTTGGAAAGAGAGAGCGTTGAAAATGCCACAGTGTCATTACATCAGGTAAGTGAAGCAAAAGGCAATTAAATGGTACAACAGTTGGAGGTATAGCTTAAAAAAAATTTGGTTTATGCGTAAACTTGTTAATTAGGTTTTTAACACATTAACCAACCTCAGTGTAAAGTTGTTTTTCTTTCTTAGTTTTTGCGTAATTATCATTCTGAGCTCATCTTGTTGATAGCTGTTTTTAAGACGGATGAAAAATTTCACAAAAATATCTAGAGATAATCGGAAGCTCTATACTGTAGTAAAAATGCATGTAATCAACTCCCCGAGTGTAAACAAGTCTAGTGCAACGCTTGGATGTATATCAAATTTGATTAATTACTTACAAGTACTTAACATTAACAGTATCGGTAAACTTTGATGGATTTTCGCTGAATCTTTAGAGCAATCATGAAAGTGTTTATTTAAACTTTGGAAGTTTTGGAAAACGAGATGATCGTCTTAGGTCGAGTTTTGACGGCCCGGATTGAATGAAAATTACATGAATTTCTGTCAATTGTTTCCGCCCTCATTAAACGCACTTGATGGCAACATATGTCTTTTGTTTTAGAGCTTTCTTTGCAAGCAGATGAAAAAATGTTCATCCCAAATGAAATCTTCTTTGGCTGTGCACAGATATAAAGCATGAACTGGATAAATTAATTCAAACTAGTTAAGAACTCTCGATGTACTGCATCGCATATGAGATGCATAATTAGTGGAGCCCACGAGAGAATCTGAGCGAGATATCAAGGGAAGCATATTCTTTTCAAATGCACAGGGTGACTTGTGAAAATCAGACATGAAAACACAAAAAACATCGCAAAATTTATGACAGTATATTTTGAGAGGTACGATTCATCTGTGAACCAGTCAAGTTCACTCCTAAGATCCCAATAGCAATTCTCCTTACTACCTGCCATACAATTCTTATGATGTTAGTTCTGAGAATTTGATATTTTATCATTTAATAATCCCTTTATTGATATTCTTCTTTATTCTCAACACCTGTCTGCTTGATATTGTATTGATAATGTAATGAGAAATTCTATCTTGGTCACTCATGAGAATGAAAGGGTTGATTGGTGAATGCCTATATGCAGATGTATTCATGATATGAGGATCACGTCATGTCAGATAAACAGTGAGTCATTTTCAATCCCAGGCTCACACATCATTAAAATCAGCCCTGAGGTTTTCAACTTTCTTTAACTAAGAATTTTATGACCATAAAGTCAATGGCAAGCAGATCATTTATTTGCTTGCGTGTAACCTCAAAGCTGAGATGTTAATTCTTTAGTTGATATTACACCAAATTCTCTCATCTGATTTTTAAAGAAATATGTATTTTAGTCAAAGGAGAGAGAATTCCCATTGACATCTTTGGAATTAAAGGTAAAAGATAAAAACTCTGGCGGTGCATTTGTCTTTTATTGAAGTTTTTCAACTGATTTTGTCACAATTTTATCTTTTCAAAGGCGGCTCGAGATGGGAAACGGGAACTTGTAGATAGAAGGCTTGAAATATTAGGTAAAGGAAACAAGAAGATCAACAAAAAAGACCAGGATAACACAACTGCACTGCATTATGCTGTCCGCTACAATCACCTTCAAATTGTTAAGTTGTTAATGGAATATGGTGCAGGTAAGAGACACTGTGATTGTGTAGTTTGATCATCCAGGTAAGGGTCATTCTGAGAAGTACTCTTGTTGTTAGTAGTGACTGACATTTCAATAACCTGAGGGAAGTCATTGTCAGAGTCACTTGACACTGATGATGTCAGAGTCACTTGTGGAAATGCCAGTCACCTTGTCATAACTACACTTAACTGCCAGATCACACTTAAAAGCAAATGTTACCCTTGAGTTCAAAACACTTACTGTAAGGAAAATTTTAAGGACTTACACATCAATGGAGAGGCTGTAATTTAATTTATGGTGTTTACAGAATCTTCTAAAGAATCAACTACTCACCCCTGGATGGGATGCTAATCCATTGCAACATTACACTCCAGCATTTTACCAGGCTTCCCTGACAATTTGCCTCCACCCATTTTTTCCAGTATGTCATGATAATCCTTTCTTCTAGATGTTGAAGCAAAGGGAGAAGATGATGCCACACCCCTTCACTATGCAGCCAGGTTTCGACCAGTCCCCAGAATGAATGGAGGTACTCCAAGACTAACACCCCAAGTTACACCAAGTCCTAGTATGGAGAACATGATTGATGTCGGCTTGACTCTGAGGAGAGATGACAAGAAAAAGGATGGAGGTAATGGAAGCCTCAACAAGGGTGCAAAGGACAGATTGCTGGGCTCATTGAATAAACGCAGGGAGACACTCGGAAATAAACTGTTCAGCAAAGATCACTTGACTGTAGAAAAGAAGAATTCTCTGCCAAAAGATATGCCAATTGTACCACAGGGGGTAGAGACTATGATTATGTATTTACTGTCGCGAAAGGCCAATATTAATGCACAGGACAGCTATGGTTCCACTCCTTTGCATTATGCAGTTAATAAAGGTAATCCTGATGCAGTTAAGGAGCTGCTGGTGGACCCAGGTATTGATATTGAGGTAAGGAAACACTATGTTTATGATTTAGCTGTGCAGAGGGTGTCAGGTACTGTCACATTGGATCAACAGAAAAGAGTGATTTCACCAGGGAGGCTTCATTCGGTAGATAATCCAGTAGGCAATAGTGTAGTAGCATTGACCCATTATTGAAGTGGTGTTTAGAAATATGGGTGGGTTTAGATCACCTCCACCTTTGGTAATCTTGTTTTGTTAATTTACTTGAGTCATCTTGTGCCCTCAGTCAGGCATGGGTGGAAGGAGCCATGACCATTAAGCTCAGTGCTTCGTCAGAGGGTTCCTTCTCTTGAAGCATTTCTGCAGATAGAAGCTAATAGTTGTTTATATGCCTCAATCTGCCACTCAGCTAATTACTTTTAAACCCACCCCTACTTGTAACACTAAGGTCTGATGTGTGCCCCACTCATTTCAAGAGTGACCAGGGGTTTTTTGTTTTCATAACCGGCTTTCCACTGTAAAAACCTCAGTGTGCGTATTCTCCAATCTGGTCTCTATACATTTGCTAAGGTGCGAACAAGGAGAATCCATTTAACGAGAGCTCATTTAGTTTCTGATCATTTGCTTTATCCTCGTGACCTTTATGTTTGATACAGAGGTGATTTGTAAGGAGAAATTAGATGGTAGTCTCTCTTGGGAGTCAAAGGCTTAACCCCATTCACACCAGCAAAACATGTTTTGTTAAACTGCTTTTCATTGAATGAAAATTATAAACAGAGAACTGAAAAACTTGATTTTCCATTGGATTCAAAATAACTTGTTTCCAAGAAATTCAACAAAATATTCGTGAAATAGTATCTATGAAGAAAAAAAAAAAACTGTGTTTAACAAAAAACTTTTAAACATGTTTAGTTTGGTGTGAATTATTAACAGTTTTGGAGGGCAAAGAATCATCTTGAAGGTTTTATCAAAATTGAACAAATGAACAAAATTTGATCTGCGAATAGATATCTATCAATTATCAATTGCTCTGAGATTTTATCAATTGAACATGAACCAATTTGCGAATAGATTCTATGTTGCCTTGCGTGTGTTAAGCAATGAATCAAGATGATGTCACAACGTGGTGAGAACATCAGTGACACACTAGGCTGTGCCTCTTGTGCCACTAAGCTGAAAAGACGCACAGCAACGTAGAATCTATTTGTTTTATAACAAAGCAGAATGGTGTTAATGGAGACGTCATCTGTGCGTCTTTCCTCCGATGGAGCATAAGTAATAACCGACAGATAGATAGATAGATAGATATTTTATTTATCCACATAACGCCTAGGAGCATTCAGCATACTCGTTTACAATGCGCATGTGCAATTACAAAATACTGAGAATAATGAAAATTACGTAAGTATAAACGACTATAAACAATCATCTGCAGGGCACATCAACAAATTCTTATTAAGGCGCTTAACGATAAGTAAACGGTACAAGGTTTAATTTGTTTATTAAACTTCTAAAAGTATTCACATTACCAGCGATTCTAGCCACTGCGTGGAAGAGTATTCCGTAGGTGGCTGGCTATGAATGAAAAGGAATTAAGGCCCCACTTGCTTTTAAAAGAATTTTGTTCAAGCCTAGTGCCTGAGCCTCTAAGATTTTAATTGACTGTACGGAGTTTAAAGAAATCTTTAATGTTACTAGGACCATTCCCATTGAAACTTTTAAAAAGTAGGATCAAAACATAAAAAACCTTCTTTGTTCCAGTGTACGCGTGTTAATTAATTTAAGAATACAATCATACGAAGTGGACTTAGGTTAAACCTAATAACGATTTGAGAATAAAGTAATTTGCATCTTCTAATTTATCAGATGAAGTAACTATATAGTTCAGCTTATCACATAATTTCTATTGAAATGTTCTAGGCAAAAGATAAGACATTGATGACTCCCCTGCATGCGGCGTCCAGCAAAGGATTTCTCGCTGTTGCTAAATGTCTGATTAATGCTGGGGCTGACTTGAGAAGCTTGGATGAAGAGCAAATGACACCTTTGCATTTTGCGTGCATGGAAGGGAGTCTTGAGGTTGCACAATTGCTGTTTGAGACAGGTGAGTGTGATGAAATAAGAAAGCTTGTTACACAATTCAGGGTGGTCTTGAAAAGAATTGTAGTTATAGTGATATGTGTATTGATGTATCTAGAATCAGACCGGAAGTCGTCATAAGAGTCTGGAAAGGAGTTCTTTTTCAGTCAAGTGTTTTAAGGCTTTTTTTCTTGAGAACTGATAGGCTACTTTCATGAAACCACCATCAACTCCCAATAACTCGCACCTTCAAGGAAATTGAAAGACAGTAAGCTTGCAGGAGTTTGGATGATGACGCTTTGTTTAATTTTGCATGACGCACTAAAGCGTTGTCATTCGCAACGGTTCACGCTCTCACAGAGACATTTTGTTGTAAATCAAATCGCAACTTGGATGCCAATTCGGCCATATGATTGGTTAATTTGCACCACGTGGTAAAAATGTCCTATAACCTGATTGGCTATTCCCCATTATGTCCTCGCATACTACTCTGGCCTATGGATTAGCAATAACTAATTTTTAATTACTCCTACAAGCCGAGGAGAAAGGCGGTTGGGCCTTGGTATCTAAAATGGTCACCGCTCAGGATCGTGAGGAACAAACTCCTCTCCATCTCGCTGTGGAGGACGGTGATTTGAACCTGGCGAAGCTTTGCCTGGACAAGGGAGCAAACGTGAATGCACTCAAGGTGAACATGAGTACTCCTCTTCACCTGGCCGCTACAGGGGGAGACTTAGACATCGTCAAGATGTTGATAGAACATGATGCTAACATAGAAGCAAAGAATTCCGCGCAGGAGACTCCGCTGCACAGAGCAGCTTTGTTTAACAGGGTGGATATAGTAGATTATCTTCTGAGCAGGTATTGTTAATGAAACAACGCGAACAAGCTGTTATCACGACAAAACTGAAAAATGTTTTTCTCCCGGTATCCGTAATTGCTGCCTTGTTATTTCAAAGGTACTGCCATAAACACTTAAAGATATGTGCTGTTTTCCAAATCCTGAGCCCATTTTTAGACAAAGAGCAGTCCCTCCATTTGGTGAAGTCCATCACGCGATCGAAAAAGCAAAATTGGCGAAAAAACCAAATTGAAGTTAGCGCGCGGCGCAGAACACTGGAATGAGGTTGCTTACTTTTCGGGCATCACACTCCCAGAGTTTCGCACCATTTTTTTTGACTCGTGCTACAGACTTCACCGAAAAAGAGACACCGCTATTCGTCTACCCTATTTCATACCAAAACATGTCATTTTTCACACCCATTTTCAGACCAGTTTCTAAACGTTTTACTTAATTTGGGATCTATTAAGCCATGTACAAGCCTTGTACAAGCTTAGGTAAGCATCACACCGGTTCTGCACTTAAGGAAACCCAACAGAGAAATCGAACTCGAATGATTAATTTTGGTTACATGTCTTTTTCCGCTCTTGGAGCTGAAAAGATAGATACGTGCATACGCGTTTAGTGGTTCCCTTGAAAACCATACTCCATCTCAGACGTTAATTTCCAGAACCTATACCCATTTTCAGACTAAAAGGGGCACAAAAACCATATTCTTTGGGGCGGCAGATACATAGTTCGATTATATAAGGGTGCACAAGTGTGTTCAGTGTGTTCTCCATTTCCATAGTTATTTCTATTCTTTTAGGTAGTAAGATTTCAAAAGTTTTCCAAGGTTTGTGCGAAAGTTGGTTAAACATTCATAGTATTTAGTTATCCTGTAATGATTTTTTTTCCTGACTTTCATAATCTGGAAATACATATGCTCATGGGCAATTTTGTTCGTAGGGGTGCCTTCATTGAATGTCGTGACAAAGACAAAGACACGCCTTTACTGATAGCAGCGAGTAAGAATCATTTGGGAACAATTAAAACGTTGTTGAATCATGGCGCAGATATCGGGGCAAAAGACAGTAATGATGAAACTCCAATATACAGAGCGGCCTCTGAGGGATGTATTGAGGCACTTGAAGTAAGATGCCTTGTTTTGTTGTTGTTGTTTTTGTTGATTTTTTCATTTTGTTTCGATTTATGACATCACTGTGGTAATGATTCTGTTAACTCAGCGGTTTTTTCCACCGTCTTATTGGTTGTCCCCGCTGCCTTCCATGATACCATTTTTTTCTTTGTACGTTCCTGTTTACGTTGTTGGTGCCTTTGCATCTTTGTTCATTCTTTCCTTCGTAAAATTATATATCCAATCATTCAATAATGTGCAATTGGCAATACTTCGTTCAAGTGTTGAACGAAATTTTTTATACCCGAATGAAAGTACTTAATACTGGTTGTGCCTGATAATAGCTATTTTAACTGAGTGGATTGTTATGTTTTATCTTTCAGTTTCTTCTCAAGGATCGCAAAGGCAAAACACTTGCCGAGGAATACGACAAATATGAGAACACGCCCTTGCATGTTGCTGCCAAAAAGGGTTATGTTAGGATTGTTCAAGTAAGTTGAACTGTTGGCGCGCATTTTGAGTGACTGAAAAGACCAATAGCCAATCAGAACAAAGGAAAATATCAAAAGGAGCCAATGAGAACTCAAGATGAGACGGGCAAATAACCAAAAGCGCGGGAAAACGGGATTTACCATCGGCGTAAGCTCTGCATGTGATTTGTTGAGATTTTGGCGCAAATTTTCTCGGCCAATCACATTTACATAACGGTGTTTGGCAAAAGCAATACGGAAAGGATATAACCTAATCCTGGATCACACTTAAGTGAATGTTTGAATTTGGACTTTAAATTTTTAAATTTTTGCCAAGCGAAGAATTAATGCGTGCACAATTCACATTTCAGCTTCTGATCGATAATGGTTGCTGTATTGACAGTAAGAATGACGGATCATTAACACCGCTTCACCTCGCAGCAAAGTTTGGGCGAATAAGGTAAGATTTTAAACTGTTATGTGCTATTGAAACCACAAATTTTTTCCACGCCATTAAAATAAACTTTCTTGAATCTAGATCTCAGTGCGATTTAGATTCCAAAGGATTTCTTAACCGACTAAAAATTGGTTTCGACCAGAGATTCCGCTATTTTGAAATCAACTCAGTTACCGAGCTTCACGCGCAAAACGATAACGCATATTTTTACGAACATGTGCTACCCTGGGTATCACAAAGGAATCTTGATTTGAGGCAAGATTGCCTTCTTTTACACCGTCATATGATTTAAACAGGTAAATAAGCGATTGAAAAAAAGGGAGAGAGACTTTGCTACGTGATAATTTGACGGCCAGGTTGTTAAGCAAGTTTTGAAAAAGCGGCGTCGATGGAGAAGTTTTAAGCATATCTGACAACAACTTACACAGTTTAGTTAGTTATTTGGAATCTCACAGCGCGGTCAGTGTCTTAATTTCGTACACACTTTCTCAGTGCAGTGATCAAGTGTTTTGGTGCCGCTTCGTAATGGTTAAATCGTATATTTTGTAGCTGTGGGGTGAATTGAAAATTGCCAAGCTATAACATGACTTGTTTTTCCCAGAACCGTTTGTGCTCTTTTGAAGAAAGATATGTCAATTATTAACGATGAAGATGATGCCTCAAACACTCCGCTGCACCTGGCTGCATTGCACGGATATGACAAAGTGGCTAAGGAACTGATTGATAGAGGAGCCGCTATTGACGCCAGGTGTGAAATACTTAATTCTCTTTACTTTCTTCCACGAAACTAATAAGTAAGCAGGGTATGAGAGCAAAGGATGTGATTTAGAATCAAGGTGGTGAAAACAGGCAATCGAAAGTGATGGAAGGCGCGAGGTCGATTTCCGATCACAGACGTTTTTTGCAGCACCGCGAATGAAAAGGTCTATTGACAGTCCACGATATGTTTCGTCCAAATCAATTTCAATCAGTCCTGTTTAGCTGCGCGGTGACTCGAGGTCGTTGAGATTTGTTCTAAGTTTGGTTATGCCTCAGTCGTTACACAGTACATCACTGGCAAAACTGTTCCAGAAAAAGGGAATATGATATTCTTTTGTGCCAAAAGGATCTCTTATTTTAGACGTAACCTTGAATTAATAGCTCTCAAAATGTGGTTGCCTTATTACAGGTTATTGCGTTTCTAGGCTTAAAAATAAGCGCAATGTTTCTTGGTAAAATTTTGAGTCCTTGTATCTGTTTAGGCCAATTGACTGGTCTCCCCCTATAATAAATTTTTGTTCGGCAAGAATTTCAATGGTCTTCTTAGGTACACTCTGTAATTGGTTTAACATATTCTCGCCAAGTATGCAACCAAAAAATGCCAAACTAAAACCAATGGCGGCTCTGTTATCCAAGTAAACTGTGTCTGGAGGCGTATATTGTTTTGATTGCAATCAACACTGAATCGAAAATTACCCTAATTAAAATAGTCGTTATGGGATTTCTTACACAGGAACGCTAATCTTTGGACTCCGTTGGATTGCGCAGCCGCGAAAGGTTCGGTAGACGCGGCTACTGTACTGTTAGATGAGAACTGTCCTGTGGACCCGACAGACAAGGCGAAGGTAAGGGATTACTGGCCAGTAATTGTTGTCTTGCTGATTTTTCTTTTATTCTGCAGCATCTTAAAAAATAAGCCGTCTAAGATTGCACGTGGCAACTTGTATAGCTCAATTTTTATAGCATTGCAAAGATATAGAGGTTGTGAAATAACGCTAGAATGTAGTGTTGCAGAAGATTTGTAATCAGATACAAAACAGAAAACCTGTCGCATTCCACATATCCTACACAACCGCCGCTTGGTTAGCTCATGATGTAGAGCGCTCTACCAGCGCTCTGCCAAATAAGTAAGGAGAACGTGTTACCTTCACTATAAAATCTGCAAATGTATGTCTCCTGCATCTCTGTAGTGGTTAGCAGGGGACGTCAAAGAACCCACGCACTTCTCGCAAAGAGTAGGGAACGTAGCGCCCGGTGCTCTGACTTTATTTCGAAAAATTCCTGAATTTAGGGTACCTGCAACTTTCAAAGCGTTGTGAACCGCCAAATGCAGTCTGGCTAAAGTTCCCCGAAAAGTACTGTAAATTAAAAAAAGAAATCTGCCAGGAGTGTCCAAAATTGGCCAGTACAATCCAAAATCCAAAATTGGCCACTAGAGTCCAAAATCCACAATCGGCCCCTAGGCTCCAAAATCCGAAATCGGCCAGAATCAGCCACTGGTGTCCACAATGCAAAATTCCCCACAAGTGTCCAAAATCCAAAAATCGGCCATTAGTGTCCAAAATAAAACATATACTACTAGAGTCCAACAATAAATAGGTTTCGTCTTTCGCACATCGCTCGCTTCCCAAATTTAGCGGTTACTTTGGGCATATATCGCCAATTCATACCATAAAATGCTTTCTCTTCGATTCGATGATTCCTAGAAATGCAGATCACACCTATTTAGATATTTCTAAGAGGGTTATTTTTTTTCGTATTTAGAATTAGGCTTCGGCGAGATTGAAATAATTTTGAGTTGTTTATCGTCTTTTGTAGTGTCATGGCAAGAACTGGAACGCCTCATGCCAGTGGTTCTAGCCCAGAAATCACAAAAAGAGAGAACTCAAATTTGTTTCAAGTGCGAATGACGACTAAATAAGATACTCCGAAAAAAGAAATAAGAAGCACTGGGAAACTTCAGTTCAAAATTGGGTCAAAATCGGAAATCTAGTGCTACTTACCATCTCTCATTCAGTCACTCACTTATCCCCCTAACGTAGTAGCTTCGCCCTCTATTATATAGGAGGCAGTAATCAGAAAAACTATAGTTCTGAAATGACTGTTAGTAATGTTCTATTATTGTTGTCATTGGTTGCTCATTAATGCTATCACTTGTGGTGGTTCCACATTCCTTGCTAATGAAACACAAAACAATGTCAAGCAAAGAGTAAAGTTTTGTTGTGTGTTTGTCTTTCACAGACCACACCACTTCACCTGGCGGCGCGTGAAGGTCACGTGGAGATGGTTAAACTACTGTTGTCCAGGAAGGCCAACATCACTTTGACAGACAGCGCTGGGCGCAACTGTCTGGATATGGCTATCGAGAATAACCACAAGTAAGTACTAACGGCTTGTGTGTGATACAGATGCCTGATAATTCGGAGCAAGATCGCCATAAATTATTTTGCATCTGTTTGTCTGAGATAGAGTCGCTCCTGTTTCGCTAGACCAATCGCACAGCCTCATGCAGAAAAACTGAAGCAATCCTGAATTTTAAATTGATATTTTGCCCTCGTATTGCTTCATAAAAAGCCTTTGTTTCATAAAATGCTTAAACCTACATAGAAGGTGTTCTCTCTAGCGAATGGGTGCTAAATATTTCGATCGAGCATTGAAGCGATCACAGTAGTAGGTCGAGAGTGGTATTTAAGAAATTACATATTTTTGCCCAATCTCCTTCCCAGTGCACTTGTACCTCGCTGCAATTTAATTTGGCGGCTTCAACCCTCGCTCGCCAGTTAATACACTATCCACTAGCTGGCGAATTAAAACACCGTTTATTAGTCGTCTCTGTCACTCCTAGGGAAGTGACACTCGCTATTATCCAGCACAACGATTGGAAACAAGCCATGCGCAATAGGACCAAAGATGGCACAACTATTAACACGCCGATGAGGAAGCTTATAAAGAAGTTACCTGGTGAGTGATTCGGCGTTCAAGTTGTTGTTTTGCTGGTAACTGCTAAGAATGTTAGTTTTCATACGTAAGTGCAGAGCTATCGTTTCGCCCAGTAATTCGTTTGTTCCATTACATTCTCTTTGCTGTTGTCTTCCTCAACTCAAGGGCCAGGACAAATTCAGATTCACTGTGATCTTGTTTTCAATTTTTTTTTCGATGCTTCTCGTTTCCCAGAGGTTGCAGAGAAAGTGTTCAAAAGATGCGTCAAACCAAATGGGCTTCCTGTGGATCATCCGCAGTACGCCATTACTTTGAACTATGAGTTTCTTGATGACGTAAGCCTCGAGTGGGCGGGATTTTTGACGCCGGAGTCATCTGACCACGAGGCGTCTGGTGTAGACGCAGTGATGTACAAGATTAAATCGGCATTGCCCGAGAATGTTAGCAAACAAGTGGAAATGAAAAGCAATCATCCTCTAATGCTAATGGTGAGAGCAATCCGAATCCTTGTTCACATGTATTTGTTTCGTTCAAGATCGCAAATGATTTCAACATGTGGTAAGGACATGTAAGAGGCACATTAGGCGCGGTCTTCTTCACTGGAGAAAGTTTTGAGCATTCTTGGTGCTGAAAAATATGATAATTACGCGTTTTAATTGATTTTTGTTATTTTTTTATGTTTCGTTTAGATTTTTCTTTTTCTTGGTGAGCTATTGCTGGAAGTGCTTCTAATTTTATATTTGCGCAAGAGGTTTTGTGATCTTATGGTGTGCATCAATACTTCTAAGAGCTCAAAAGTACAAGATTTGTCTTTCACATTCATTTTTTTTTCGGAAAGTTTACCAGATCCTCGATTTACTAGCAGCCTGTTATTTTCTGGGTCCGAATAGACTCAACCATATCTAAATCCTTATTTACAGAAGTGCTTGTCATGTCTTTGATCGTGACGTGCGCGACGTAACGCAACATATGCATTCTTCACAGGTTACCAAAGAACGGGTCAAACTGCTTAGTCATCCTTTAGTCACGTACCTATTGCGTTACAAGTGGCGCAGCTTCGGTCGCTATGTGTATTACGGCCGTCTCATTCTGTACGGGATTTTCCTGTTTTTCCTGACTGGTTATGCCATGCTTACAACAAAGAGTCTACCCATCACACTTTGCAACGAGACTCAGTGCACGTGCAACGTGACGTTCGCAACAAAAACGGCAAGTACAGGCAGCGAGATTATGTGGAGAAAGCTTGGTCGTCCGATGATTCTCGTCACAACTTCTATAAGTTTGTTGCTAGAGGTGAGTAAGCGTGGTCATATTATTTTTAGCAAAGTTTCATCCAGCACTATACGTTAACCCCAAATTGAAAACGAGAACCTGAACAAGCAAACGAAACATGCGATTATCAGTTCACGAAAACTTTAGACGAAAATCGATTACCAACTCAAGTTTCACAGGGGAAAGACGTCATTTTGTATTTTGCGCGAAATTTAAAAAAAGCTGAGACTGGCTTACAACTCCTCGAGTGATGCAAACCCCTGGCCACAAGCCTGGCTTAACCCTTGACACCGTAAGATCGGTATGCACGTTCTCCTCACTGTTCTCTATACATTTCCTATGATAATGACATGAAGAATTTGATCAGCAGTCAAGGGCCTTTTTATGGAAGATCATTTCCATATTCTCATGGCCCTAATGTTTGATTCAACAGTGATACTGTGAGGAGATTTAAGATGCCAATCAGTCTTAGAGGTTAAAGGTTAAAAGCGATTGGTAAATTTGGTGGGAGAATCTCCATATCTGATATTCGCCTCCTTGTATCTCCTCTGTTTGTTCCTTAGATCATTCGATTCTGTTACATGTGGAGACTGTACGCACAATGGAACAGACTGGTAGAAGTGTTAGCTTACATCTTCTCGATGATGTATATCGTGGATGACTTTAGACTAGACGGAACAAGCTTTACAATTCTTGAGGGGTCGAGGTAAGTTTGTTAACCTAGCCATGCGAGAAATACGAAGAGGATATTACGCGGAAGCGAGAAGATATGAACCTTATGTTCAAGCGGCAAGAATAGTATCTCACGAGTGAGTTGAAAAGGTGGGAATCGTGACGTCATTGCGCAGTATGTCCACGCGTGTTGCATACGAAAAATAGCCACTCCGTTCCAGATTAACCTGCACTGCTGACGGGGAGGGGAAGCGGTGGACTAAAATGCCATTACAGGGAAGGAGCATTATTATTGATAACTCGATGTAAAGCGACATGGGGAGGCAAGGGGAAAATTGAGAAAATTGACTCTTGCTAGAGTTTGTCTTTACCTTTTATTGGTGACAGCTTTCGGCTCTGGAGGACTTTACGTTTACTTACCTTTTCTTGCAGTCGCGTGCGTAAATCTGTTTATCTTGAAAAGTTTTTCTCTGCATTCTTTTTTCCAGGTGTTTCGTGTGGCATAGCAGTTTTGGTGCAACGGCTGTTTCTCTGTCCTGGATTGGACTTGTTCTTTTCATGCGCAAGTTTCCCAAACTTGGAATATACGTGGTGATGTTCACTGATATTTTTAAGACTTTTGCTCAGTTCTTCGTAGTCTGCTTTTTGTTCATCGTGGCTTTTGGGTTAGGATTCCACATCCTTCTCTTCAATCAGGTACGTTTGGTGACGTTATTAGTCACTCACCAACTCACACTCTCAGTCACTAAAGCACGCACGCGCACGCACGCAGGCACGCAGTTACCCATTTACTCAGTCAACTCAATCAGTCAGTCAATCAAGCATTTGATCAAAACCTTCTTTTATTTCTCAAATTTCTGGTAGTAGAGTGGCTTCATTCGTACCTATAGGAAATAAGATATATCTATTAAGCTCATAGAACCAAGGAAAGCTTTGTCAAAGGAAGCCTTTTAAAGTCATATTTCGCGGTTACATTCCAACTGAGGCAAGAGAAGACGAAGGACGTTTACTCTCTACTAAAGAATTTCCAAGCGTACATGCGGTGGAACCGAATGCATAGAAATTATGTAATTCTTTTATGGAAGGACAGTGTTGTTTTTTTACAAGCTTCGTTTACACCGTACCTGAATATGGACCTAATTCTTGTTAAAGCGTCAACAATTGTGCATTTGGTTACGTGTGCTCTCAAAAATAATAGGAAAACATGGAAATAAAAATGCGTGCGAGGTGGGGACTGAATGAAAATGAAAAAATTGGTCAGTTCTTCTCTTTATGGCCTATAAAACTTCACGCTCGTTGTTCCCTGTTGCTAAGCGGAGTGTTTGTGGAACGCTTCAGGAGGCATGCGCAGTGACGTGACAAATCTCTTGGATCTCACAGGATATAGAATAATTGACGTTTTCGTTTCTGTTCCATCAGGTGCCCTACTCTACACCAGGCCGAGCCATGCTCAAGACAACAATGGGAATGTTAGGGGAATATGAATATGATACAGTTTATAATGATAACGATGTGCCGCCGGTCACGTGGGCATTGTATTTGTCATTTCTCGTCATTAACTGTCTTATCATCATGAATTTACTGGTGAGTCATCTAATGATTGTTTTGGTCCGTGCTTCGCATGGGACTTTAAACATCTTTCTGCTATCCTGCGTAATTTTGGCGCGCAAGTACTCAGTATTTTCTCGGTAAAAATCATAGCTGCCATCTTTGATTTTCATAGCAGCGGAAGGTTGGGAAGAGAAGAAATTTTTTCCAAATGGGTGAGTGACAGGTAAAAGGAAGGAGAGAGTAGGGGGTGCGGGAGGTGGGGGATATCAATTACATTGCCTTTTCCCTCCTTTTTCATAACTCTGAATAAAACATGTTCGGTCGAACAAACGATCGCGAGCTAGTAACGTTAACTCGCCTTAATGAGACGCCTGCACTGCAGGCTATCTTTCTGTATAATTGTTCACCATCTGATTGTGTTCTCTTTTCTTCAGGTCGGTTTAGCCGTAGATGACATCAAGGGGGTTCAAGAAAAAGCAGTTCTAAAGAGATTAGCAATGCAGGTAGGTCTTTTTATGCACACTTTGTTCCTATACGCACAGGGTCGGTTCCTGTTGAGAGGTAAACGGTTATTTTTATCGGCTGTTCAAGTAAAATTTTCCCGACTATGTCACCTAATGTTTATCTTTGGACTACTGCCTTGTTCAATCATAAAAACTCATTAGTAGGAAATATTAGGAAGGGGGAACAAAATAGAATAGTTTTTTTTCGGTAAGGCCTGAACCTCATAATTAGAATTAAAGATAATTCCTCGGGCCCAAAAAGTTAAAGGGACTTTCGAGAAACAGGTCGGTGGCGTCGTCTGCGGGTTCCCTTCATAGTCGGTTCTCGACCTTTGTGAAAGTGCTGTGAAGTCGATATTTGTATTTTCTGGTTCTCCTTCCTCTAACTAAAACCCACTCTCCTAATTCCAATTTTACCCAGAAACTGATTATGAACAACCACATCATAGGTTTGTCTCTGTGAAATTCAGCTCACTTCAATTGAAGATTTAGAACGGAAACTATTCTTAATTTTCTTTACGTGGATTTTTGTGTAGGTCGATCTTGCATTAGATGTGGAGAAGGCTCTTCCGGCCATTTTTAGACAAAGGTTTGCAACAACTCAGGAAGATGTTTATCCTAATTCAAACAAGTACTGGACTATTTGGTCGTTTTGGAATCAAACCGTTAGTCCTGCCAGAGCAATTTACGAGGCTATGAATCCCGAGAAGGTTGGTAATCGACTGAATGTCAACCATGGTTGTCTTTTAATCCTTTAGTGTTGTAAATATGGAAAAGTTGAAGTTAAAACGTTAAGATTTTTTAACTGACGAATTGTTGTTGTTAATATTATCAATAACGATAGTTAATAACTTTTGCTTTTCTCCCAGACACCGATAGAGAAGCTCCAGAACCACCAGGAAGCGTTGAAAGAAGAAGTAATGACCGTCAAAGCGAAACTGAAAACTGTCCTTGATCACACAACACAATTAGAGGCCATGATGAAAGCACTCATGAAGCACCACGCCATATCTGTGGAGGAGGAGGAAGAGGGCGAGGATGACGACTAGAAGTACGCAATGACTGCTGGGAAAGCGCTTCTTTAGAAAAGTCTTTTAGTATGAGTGTGTGTTACTAGAAATTTCAACGCCTTTCCTGTAAGGTAGCGAGTATTTTGTACACTTGCTTAAGTGAATTAGGGTATCCCCCATTGCCTTTTAGGGTACCATGGCTCCCACAGGCCATGAGTTATGCTTTAGTAAGGGAAAAGTAGTAGCGGAAATTTATTTTGGGACGGGGAATATAAAAATTTGACGACATGTCAAGGAAAATTCATAGGTCCATAATTCATCTCTTTTTCCTACCTTCTTGAATTTGTGGAGGTCTTGCTCCAAATACGTTATTTTGATTGGTTGAAAATTTATCCTTTTGAGAAGTAGGTACGTAAAATATATAGAAAGACTAGAAGCTAGGGGTTGGGAAATGTTATTTTTATCAGGGAACATTTTTCATAAATAATGATTTTGGTGACTAGACTTTAGGTTTCTCCATCCATGTGCGTCCTCTGTTCTTCATTCGCCCTCGAGTAAATGTCCTCATCAATAAATGCATACACTCTCAATTAGCAAAATAAGTTTCATTAATGTAAACCCATTTTTTGTCTATAATATTCAATTCCCATACTGCATTAATAGGAAATATTATTTATGATACATCGAGTTTCGAAATTATGTGGAGTTGACAAATAGTTTCATTTTTAAAATCATCCGAGGGAAGGGAAACCAAAACACAATACCATATGGACTAAAAGGAGAGTTATGCTACAGAAATTATTTATATTTGACCTTCGCTTTTAAATTGTGTACCTGAGATTACGTTAAGGACTGCGTTTTGAGATTCCACAAAGAGACTTAACCTTCAGAAAGAGAAGGAGTAACTCCTTACTTATAATTGATGATTATGGTGATAGAAATGACGTAGTTTCTGGAGCACACTTCTCTTTTAACTGCAAGGAAACATGTGGTTAAAAATTACTCTTACTAACAATTTTCAGTTTTCACTCTGGGCCTTTGAAGACACTGTGCTAAGGCTTCGTATAAGACAGTTAAGTTTTGCCTTTTGTACTATGGTAAAGTGATGACGCGTAATCTTAAATAACAAGTTGTGTATTGGCTGTAGTTCCCTATTTATGTTATCTACTTAAAACAACGTGACAAAAAGAGCTAAAATGAGAAGAAAAAATGGATTCAAGAGGGCACGATCGATTTCAATTTGATGCGAATATTTATCTGCAATGTTTTTGGGTCGTACCTCCATATTATTTATATAATTTACTAGCAGATGGGCGGTGTATATTTTCAAGATTTAACAATATTTTTCAAGCTTTGTTATTTATAAGCAATGGTTATTTTGGCCAAACAAGGAATATAGAGTACCTAGCATAGTTATTTACATTGGACGCGAATTGAATCCCTATGAAATTTTTACGTTAAGGGAAAGCTGGAATAAACGAAAATATGGAAAGTGTCTCGTTCTGTTTAGTCTTGTGCCGCCAGTCGGTTTTGTTTTGGAGATGTAGTATTTACCATAAACGCCTTAACATCAGTATGCATGTTCTCCTCACTTTTCGTCACACCTTCCTTATGGTACTGACATGGAGAATTTCGCTAACAAAGATGAGTATTTTTAACTTGTGATTATTTCCTTTTTTCTCGTGCGCTTAATCTTTGATTCAGTGGCAATACTTCAAGGAGACATCGTGGATCGCCTCTTTTGGCAAAGTTCTTCCAAAGGAAAGGCTCCTCTCAAGAACAAGAACTTTGATCTCGTCTGAAATACGTTTGCGTATTTGTAACTGTTATCTCACTTGAAGTATGACTCAAGGAAAATCTCGCCTGGGAAGACTTATTTCGTTGTCCCGCATCCCGAGGAAGTCCCGTGAATGAAGCTTCGAGGGACTTTGTTTTGGCACAAAACAACAAAACTTCCGCTGAGTTTGAGTGATTTAAGTCAAAAAGGAATCATCTCTCAGCGAATTCCAGTGAAAATTTATTAAACAAAATTATTTTACTTTATATTACTTAACTCAGCAATTTGATAAAAAACGTGTTTTAACATTACTTTAAAATTACAACATTTGTATTGAAAACATAACAAATGCGTTTCCAAATGTCTCAAATGTGAGCAAAACGGTAACAAATTCCTAAATTAAAACTTTAATTACAATAGTAAGCTAATTCCCAAAGATTTCCCAGAGGTATGGTTTGTTCCATTGTTTGACACACGGCAAAGTTACACAAACATGCACACTGTGGCGCCTAAATGGCCAGCAGTAACACAACCGGGCAGTGGTCACTCCCTTTAACACGCATGCGGATGAGACTATCGGACAACTTAGGCACCAGTCTCTCGGAAACTACAAAGTAGTCCAGGCGCCTACAATGAGAGAAAACAAACCACATCAAATACTATACTTTTATTTAAGGATGCGACTTCCTGACGTTCCTTAGTGAAATCATGGCCGAGTTGAATAGTGATGTTTAAAATTAAAGTATTCAAAGTTTTGGTATTGGACTGTTAATCTGTCTTTGTTTTAGGTTTTCCGTTTCCAACAAGGAAAGAGTAATGACTTCAGCTATCAATGGTACACCGTCAGGAAATTACAATAGTTCACATAACATCAATACATTCCCAACTTACTCCTTTAGGGATAATGTTGTGTCAAGGAAATTGTAAAAAGTTTCAGGGAAGTGTCCTTCACAAGTTGTTTGCCAAAGTCGATAATGTTCTAAGTTTCCGGCAGAAAAGTGCAGCAGCTACGAAAAACTTTTTACTTCGAAAGATTGGTTTAAACGTTTTTTTGATTACAAGTTTTCCAAATCAGTCTAACTGTTGTTTTTATTTGTCTCAGATAAGCGCGTTAATTTGAAACGAGAAAAGTAAAAATTAAAATGTTTAAGACATTTCAAATCAAGGAAAACTTTGAAGCGAAACATAAAAAATATGAATACATTACGAGGAAATACGAACGTTCGTCGTTACAATATTACTACAAAACGAAACACTGTAAATAGCTGCAACACAAAATGGCTGTGAGAAAATCTCGATTCGACACAAAACTTATTTAACCTTTGCATAATTTTCAACGTACCAGCCAACATTCTTTGCGCGAGCGTTCCTCATGTAAGACCAAAACGAATACTGCTTGGTTTTGTTGGGATAAAAATGACGAAAAGAATCGACGAAACCTTCTTCGAGCAATTCAGTGAAATCTTGGCGTTCTTCTTTGGTGAAGCCTGCTGTTTTTGTGTTTGTTTTCGGATTCGCTAGATCTAAAAAAAAAACAAGCAAACAAACAGCAATTGGTGTTGAACATAATAGGCTAAGAGCAATTTTCACTCAAGTGTGAAAAGTAATTCGGGATCGCATTGGTTTTGCTCTACTCCGCTCTGTGATTGGTCCAGAAAACTCACGCCACTCTCTCCGCCAATGAGATGCAAAATTTGAACCAATTTCGACTTGGTCGCCCGCGTTTTCCCGCGTTTTAGGCAGTTTGGTTGTTTTTACTTTGAATTCTCACTGGTTCTTTATTCTTCCTGATACTCTGTTGGCGACGACTGATCCCCACCGTTCCCCCTTGAAAACCGTGTGATCCGCCACCCCGAAAAACCTCCCCTGGCGATAAAAAATGGCTGGTCCATAATTCAAACAAATGCTCTCAATAGTATGAATCTCCATAAGCATTACATACCTATTTCCTTATGAGCTACATTGAGGTCTCCGCACAGGATAACAGGTTTCTTATTGTCCAGTTCCTTAAGGTATTCTCTGAAATCTTTATCCCAGCCCTGGCGATACTCAAGCCTAAACACAAATCAGAACAGTTTTCAACTGAATTTCGAAAAGCAAAATCAAATTAATCCCAGCAGTCAATCAGAACAAAGGTTTATATCATCATTAGCCAATGAGAACTCGAAGTGAACAAAGTGAAAAAAAGGAAACTGCTTAAGGCGCGGGAAAACGCGAGCGACCAAGTCGCGATTGTTTCCAGCTTTGCATTTAATTGGTTGAGAGGATGGCGTGAGTTTTCTGAACCAATCACAAAACAAAATTCAGTAACTCCAAAGCAAACCGGATCACTATCGAGACTCAATTAAAATTCCCTTAATGTTGTAGTGTTGCCAAACAAATTTGTATCATTTTTTTGTCCTCTTTTAAAAACTACGGTGATGTCAAATCGACCTGCAAGTCAGTTTAAATTCTACAGCCTAACGATGATATTTTTTTAGCTTGTAGAAAGCACCTTCCGTTGCAATTTTCAATCGCGGAACCCAAAAGTATACGGCTAAATATTTTTGAGCGTTTTATACAGAACAAAATTTAATTTAAAGGGAAACATTTACATACAGATGCCATATGATTTCACGGTAAAGAAACAGCAACATTACCTCTTAAGTCCTCTTCCTGAATTCGGTATATCTAAATGAGAACAGACAAGATTATCAGCTGGAGGGTGTTATCATTGAGTGAAACCAAATTCCCCTGTCTAATATACAAGGAAAATTATGGCAGTTAGTAAGGGGAATTACTAATTGAATCTTGGGAGTTGAGAAGTTGAGACACTATACCATGAGACAAAGATATGAAATACTTACAGGCTGTTACTAAATAGAAGTCTTCAAATTCAGCCGTAATGACTCGTCCTTCATTGTCATGCTCCGAGATCCCTGTAGAGACAGTCAGGAGTGTTGGACATGAACGACAAATACGTACTCTACTTGCCAACTCTCACGGCTTCAGCGCTATTCTCTGTCCTCAGATCAAAAGTTTTAACCTTTAACGTTTTCTCCTGCTTCGAAAATTTTTGCCCCATCACAGCCTCGACTGACAAATTTCGAAAATTTGTCAGCGAACTTAGCTCGAAACAGACATAAAAATATAGGACTTTCACATAAATAAATATATCTCAGAGACTTCTGATTTTAAAGGGAAAGCATTTAAAGGTTTATGTCAGATCTCTTCAAGATGCCTTGGAAAATTTTCAGCACGCGTTTGGAAACGTCGAGTAACTTTGAAAATGAGTTGGACCTCTTCTTACCGTCTCACTTTATAGACTCAAAAATTATCCATTTCTTCTCGAGCAAGAAAAGATATTGATATTATTGTCAGTGATTTATCAAGTATAGTTTTGTAATAAGAATACCTGTATATCATTTTACTGACCTATGCCATATGATACATTTATAGGCTTTACTTTGCTGCAAAGTCTGCAGGAACACAATAACCACCATGTAAGTGATAAAACAACTGTACGTACATTGTGAAGCATTACCGTATTTTTGCAAGTTAACACCTGTCACGGCAATCAAAACATTTCTAGCGTTTCCGATGCTGAGTTGACGGGAGGACGGCATTACTGCGAGGGCAGCGTTTATATATTCAAGGGCAGCGTTTAATTCAATAGATACAGTATGGGTAAAGAAACTACGGTCTAAAAGTTGGTCAGCTCAGTGAGCTCCAAATAAAAAGATCCCAAATCAAGCCAACACAGAGGTCAAACGTCTGCGCATGTGTGAACGTTGTAGAGGTGGCCTCGAGGTGGCGTGCTTTCAGGCTATCAAATACCATGTTGTCTCACACAAGCCAGCAAGCCGCGGTGTTTGAAAAACGTATACCTTTTTATTTCACGCAAAATGATATATTAGCTTGACACCGGTAATTAAATAAGCTTTGTGTATCAGAAGTCTTGAGTTTTTCTTTTTCATATTTTACGTATCTGTGTTTCTTCGCATGACAGCAGTTGTTTTTTATGTTTTCTTAGTAATATAACGTGGGAAGTTTGTGCACAGCCGGCCAATATTGATCCCTTTGCGCATGACCTACGTTTGACTGCTGTGCTGGTAAAGCATTGGTGATGTCATTGCGCATTCTCACAGTGCAGATGAAATGGTGGAGATTTGTCACCTGCAAAGGACAAACTTCTCATCCTAAAGGAGATAACATTCTCCTTGTCACCTCAAGCCAATTAAACCACTATAAACTCACACAGTAGAATAAGTTATGAATTCATGTAAGAGTCATGAAACTCACCCAACTCCACTGTACCCCTTTGTTTGTCCTTCTGCCCAGTAGGTATGATATCCAGGAAGCTTTATTTCCTTAAAAAAGATACATTCAATAAAAATTTAAAGTTAAAATTAAAGTGAAATCATTCTATGATTTAAAAGTTATGAAACAAAATTCATCATATTTATAAGTAAGATGTACTGCAACAAATTTTCTTGCACTTACTAGCAGACATCTCAAAAAAAAAAAACTTTCACCTCCTGTATTAATCACCATATTTGATATCAAAAGAAAGCATTTTCATTTAAATAAGAATGACAACACTTCCAATGTGAATAATAACATTTTGATAACATGCTGCTATTCATCTATAGGGTCAAATTGTTTTCTATGCATTTCAGTAATGTGATCCCACAGCAGTCAGTTTTCTTGAGGCTCTCCTGTTGTGGTTTCACTTGCCTATCCTTTCTTATCTCTAATTAGTTCTCCTCTGAGGACAGAGGCAAAGAGGTGGTGACATCTCTGACTTGTATTTCCTTGCAAACACACAAAAAATTTTGAAGTCCCATCAAAAGTCACACACCCTTTAAATTTACAACTAACCCTTTAACTCCCATGAGTGACCAAGACAGAATTTCTCCTTACTATATCAACACAGAATCAAGCAGACTAGTGAGGAGAATAAAGAAGAAAACTCAATCAGGGGACTACGATTTGATCCAATGCCAAATTCCCCAAATTTAAATCATAAGTATTTTATTGCAGACAGTAGGGAGAATTACTAAAGAGTTCTTGGGAGTTAAAGGGTTTAATTAAACTATATACTTTAGGTATCAGATTTGAGTAAAATTTGGGTTACTAAGGACCTTTGGAATATCTTTCTCTGGGCATTTAGTCTCCTGTATACAAAAAACATCAGCATCTTCATTTTTCATGTAAGCCAATGTTGAGCCATGTTTCTAAAGAAACAAAAAATGAAAATGAAATCCAAAAGCAATTCACTAATTGGCTATGAAGTATTTGTAACACATTTAGGTATTTTATTCAAATCCTTGTAGCTCTTTACATATTGCAAAAAAATAAGGAAAAAAATTCATACCAAAGATATTGAGATACCTATCAAATTACCTTCCACACTTTGCGAGTCTTAAACGTCAGCTAACTGGTCCTCACACAAAAGAGAACTAAACTCAAGAGCCAAATATTTTCCCATGAGGCCAATCAAACTCAGTCAATAAGCATTTTATCACATGACCACTAAATGTTGAAAATTTCAAAAATTTTGTCTCAGCTTAAATAGGATACAACATATTGGCACTCACCAAAACCGACAAAAAAGATTCTACAATAAATATTTTCCTTTGTTTTTTTAAGTCAGAACAATAAAAACACAAACCAGCAAAAAATGCAACTTCTTTAACTCTCTTTTATTTCTTTTCTTTAATTTTTTAGCAACAAAGCCTCTGAGTGCAAGGCCAGACAGCTGTTTCTAGACTGGCTCATGTCAACCCACCCAGCACTATACCCATCATCTTTCACTAAGGTTTTCTATGGAATTACAGATGCAGGGCTGTATGGATCATACAACAATTACATTATTATAATCTGATTGCGAGACAAAATTCGGTTTATAAAAAGAAAGTGGTAATAGATGATAATTAGACAAGGTGCCAGAGTATTTCAGTCTATATTCTGTGAACATATGGGACATTTCTTAATTTTAGTCTACAACTGCAACTTTGTGATACTAACCTGCATCTTGCACAGTCACTACCCTTCAGGTGCATTTTTATAATATTAACAGTAACTTTGGAAGCCTCTGCAACTGAATGACTATTACCTCTTGCTAGTAAACATTACACAAAACATAAATGCAGATTTATACAGTGTTCTTACCAGGCAAGCTCGGATTCCATTAACATTCCAAGATGAAATTTTAAAATTCCACTTCCTACAAAGATGACAATTTTTAATAAAAATAATGATGCAAATCAAATATTTTAAAGCAATGTATATAAAGAGAGAAAAAACTTAACCATAGGCAAATTCTAATTCTTTATCACTATGGCAACCAATTATTAAGAGCACATACATCACATCAGACACTGCCATTGAAAATTTATTCTGTTGCTTTTTATCTAATTGTTTTCTTCCACCCAAGGTACAGCAGATAGACTATCTGAAAAGCTCAATCAGAATTGATAGTAAAGAGTACTGGTTCTCATATTTGATAGCCTAAATGAAAGCACTGTTTTGATTTCTCACCTGAATAGAGAATAATCGTACTGTGTAGTTCTGTTCTTAAAACTTTTTGTGTCTTTTCAGGAGTTCTCAGTTAAGAAACTCCACCCATGCATGCAGGAATACAGTCATTTCCCAAAGTCAGCAAAACTGTCCAGCAATTTTTCTCAAAAAGCTTTAACTAGTAAGATGTATTGAGAACTAAAACTGGGTTATTGGATTTTCCATCAATAAGCTTTAGTTTTTCAGTGGTTTCACTCAAAATACCATCACTGCAGCATCTACTGGGTAATCAGATAATATCATAAGTCACTTACTTGCTGGTAGATGCACATGCATAGTCGATATCCCCATCGTCCTGCCCATCCTCAATGGATTCTTCAGATTCAACATCCGCATTCTTTGCCTTTTTAGATTTGGGTTCACCATCATCAGCTGTGTTTTTCTTTGCAGGGCGTTTTCCTTTTCCTTTGCCTCCCTTTGCAAATATTAAATAAATGATCCACAACAATATTATTTTTGGGTACTATGTATAATCTTGCCCTTTTCAACTGCTAGATCACAGTCTCTTCAGGATCAGATAAACAATGATTCATTTTTACATGCAGTATTTAATGGAGTGGTTCATAGGGATAAGCCAGAAATATCATTGCATTCCTGAATCAAGACTAAATTACCATTTGCAATGTGGATAAATATTACAAGGATTTAGCCAACATTAAAACAATCATGATGGGTTCTAAGGATACTCTAGAAGTTTCTAAGAAGCCATCTGATATTGAAAAGTGAAATTGTTTGAGGGAAGAAAAGGGAGGTCTACAACCTAACATCAGTGTTCAAATTCTCCACACTGTTCTCTTTACATTCCAATGATTCTGAAAAGGAGAATTTGTTTGACAGTCAGGAGCTTCTTAAATTGGTGATCATTTCCTTTATTCTTGTGACATTTACATTTGATTCAAGGGTGAAACTTTAAGGAGAAATTAAAAGTCAGTCACTCGCTGGAACAAATAGCCGTGGCTACATTGATATCTAAATAAATTATCATAATTTTAATTCATTATATCATCCAGAACATATCTGATAATTGTCGCTGATTAAATTAATTACGTTCATTCTTTTCTCTATGGATTTCCAAATGATTTCATCATAAAAGAAGAAGTTTTTTTATTTGTTTTGATTCATAGCAAAACCATCATAAAGTTTAACGAAAAATAGAGCGTTAAAAAATCAAAATACCTCAGTTGTAACATGGTAGTCAAGCAACTTGAAATCGCGATAAAAAAAAAATCACGCGATTTGATGAGTAATCAGACTTACAATTTTTTTCCTATTACAAACATTAAATAGGAAATCAAAAATACTTTCTGATTCTTTTTTTAAAATCAAAGAAAATTTATACATTCAAACCAAATTTTTTGCGACATGTTGCGTGGCATATGAAACACTGATAAGTACAGTGTAGCGCACATGTGCATGGAAATTCCATACCGAGTTTTGCAGTATTTGTCACATTTAGAGCTTGATTTTTCTAATCAGCTGCTAGATCTAGCTATCGATGTGTTGGTTTCCAAGTATAGAAAACCTTACCTCTGATTCTTTATTCTTTTTCGGTGGCATCCTGGCCGATTGCGATGTTCAGAGAATCTGTATACTATTAGCGCCACAGTTCATTAGCATGTCTTGTATGCAACACGAATTGTACGTGACTGGGGGAAGGCTTGACGGAGCAGGGGTCTGGTAAGAGTCAGTCTAGCCCTATGCATATGCTTTGGGTTTTTCTGCATCTCTAGCCGATTTTCTGGTTGTGGCAGTTTTATTTGAAACTCTCGATATTTTGCTGTATCTACTTGTATCCCAGAAAACCAAAGGTGCAAACCTACTCGACACGCGTCTTGTTGGGGCTCGCCCCAGTCCACTCAATGGGATAGTTTACTGTAATTTTTCTCTCGTGAAACGTGATTTTGGTTTTCAGTTATTGTCGATCCGTGTGTCGGAGACTTTGAGACTCGTGCGTGACACATGTTAGATGGTGAGTGTGAACATTATGTCAAGAGCTAGAAGCACCGCCTTTCGTGATTTTGGGACTTTGATCGGTTTGCATGATCGACGCAACCTTGAATGATCTTTAAAATCAGTGCTTAGCAACAACCAATCATAATGTAGAGAATACGGTATAAGAGAGTGATTTCTTACAAGTTATGCGGAGTAGCTCTTTACACACCCGTTGTAAATGGGTGAATACGAGAATGGATTAAAACAGTTTGATTGAGTCTAGTTCGTCAGAATTGTATCCCGAGTAAACGGGGCAAAGTTTACGAAACGTGCAGCGTGAACGAACATTTGAATTAAACGTGATTTATAAAAAATACTGTTTGTCGTGAATTAACTGAAATGTCTACAATGACATTGGAATAATGCATAAATAAGTGGTTCGAATGATGCAAGTGAACCAGCTTCATCTTCTGTTGCGTATTTGGCAGCCAATAACAGTTTAAAGGGGGCAAGTTTCTAAAGAAACTGTGGTGCTGCGTCGGTGGGAGAGTATAGCAGGTAATTTAGTGTTAACAACTGAGTTGAAAACGTAAATTGGCCACCGTAAAGAGTGAAAAAGCTGACTTTTCGAGTGTTAGCCCTTCGTCAGAGCGATCGCAGCTTTGGGTTTATACATAACGCGTGATTGACGCCAAAATTAAAATGCAAAGCATAAATTTTACGTGACACGTGGATTTTTATAAAATTCGTGCGTGAAAGCAAAGAGTGAAATCTAATTCCTTACAGACCTAATGGTATTGAGGTTTCAAGAAAAACGAGTCACCTTTGAGACTAATATAGGAGAAGATAGAAGACAATTGATCCGTGAAATTTGTTTTCAGTTTACCGTGAAACGTAAATTGCGTAAAAAAAACTTGAAAAGTTCTAATTTTTAGACGTGAATTCAAGTTGCTAAGCCTCTGATCATCACAAAGCAATTTAATATCAGCGTAGTCAAATTCAAATTAAGAAAGGACCCTCGAAGGTGAACTTCAATTATAGAAATTCCAATTAGGCCGGAAGAAACTAGATAAAGGGGGTAAGTTTCTTAGGGAAACTGTTGTTCTGCGTCGGTGGGAGAGTATAACTGGGTAATTTAGTCTTTATCAACTGAGTTGATAACGTAAATTGGCCACTGTAAAGAGTTTGAAGGCTGACGTCTCGAGCGTTAGCCCTCCTCAGAGTGATTGGAGAAATTGTCGGTTGTGTGTGGAGTTCTATGCGGAAAATGGAGCTACGCTACGTGGTAATACGGTGACGAAAAAACAAGAATAGATTAGTTGAATGAAAAGCGCTCGTTAATACCGTGGAGATAAAGAGCGCCGATTTGAAAGGATAACTTTTGTTTTAGAGTTTTGCGGCTTTCCGAACTGCCTAGATGTAAGGAAAGGCCGCAAACTGCTCTATGCTGCATAAAATTATTAGGGAGATTAAAGTGTCTAACGACTGGTTTGGATGCGTCCTTCTCATTTCTTTCTACGTCTCGAAGGTGTTCTCAGAATCGATCACCTGATCGTGTTTAACCAATGTAAAAATTTTTGCAATAAACGCAAGTAGTTGACATTGTCGGAGGTGCACGTGAAGTGATCCCTAGGTGATCTTAATGGATCTTTTGGGTCTCGACATTTTCTCTACGTTATGAATGAAAGGACAAGTTTTGCATCGTAAGCGAGCGCATTTGAAAGTTCCAGATTGGTCATTGGTTTGAAATGAACTTCTGACCAAAAAGTTGCCTATGTTTTTGTCACGTTTGAATGAAATTGACGAAGGTTGCGAAAAGATAGCACCAATCTCTCAATCGTTTTGAAGTGATTTAAAGTTTTTGAGAATGAAAGATTTAACTGCGTGGTTGTGAGGGTTAAAAATGTGAGAGTGAATGGAATGCGATCAGCATTTTCCTTCTCAGCCGTTTGTAGTGCTGACTGTCGATCAATTTGTTGGGTGTGGTGGTGACCCACTTGAACGACAGAAACAGGATAGCCACGTTTATCGAAAAACTGGCACATTGCTCCTGATTTTTTCGGAAAAATCAGAGTCGTCACTACATAAACGACGAAGTCCAAGAAACTGTGAAAAAGGTATGGAGTTCTTGATGTCTGATAGCAAGTAACTATGTGAATAAAGAAACTTTAGAATCGCTGACAAAAAGGAATTTTTAGTCTGACCTAACACCCCAAATACAAAAATATGTTCTTTGCGCGCACGGTTTTTTCAACTCAATGGTTCCATATCTGAATACATTTCTCAGTATTTTATTAGAGCTCGTAAATTTTAAAGCGGCACCAATCTAAATATGAGTGTTCATTTAGGATGTGTGAAAAACAAATTAAAATTGGGCCATTAGTAGTTAGGAAGATAATTGTCAGTTGACACGTAGAATCGAAAAATTCGGGAATCGAGGAAAAGTGCTTAATGGTATGCCGGTCGAAATACAGGACGCTTTTTCCAACCGCGTTTATGCTTTGTTTTTTTCTTTATGTGCCAAACAAACAAACAAGAATCATTTGGGGGAAAAAATACCGTATTTTATTAACTTTCGTTCTTTACTTTCCACCCAGAATCACTTCGATAGATATTTTTTGGAGTATAACGACTCAGATACTTAAAAATTCCAACCGTCTTTTTGATAGACTGTCGGTCGCAGTCAACACTGAATGAGCATTTAACAGAATTGCACGAAGTGCAACATCAAGCAAGAAAATCTGGTTGCTGCTGAAAATTTAACGCATCCAATGGCAACCCGTTTAGCTATGCATGCATGAAAGATCCCCGCTGAAATTGATCCAAACAAATGGAAACTCAGGCCGCTTAAGAACCTAATTGATTTTAAATCCTCTTGTCTATGTTCAGTGACTTTCTTCACTCATTTCCGAAGAGAGGTAAAGCTAAACTTGGAAGCAGAGAAAAGTTTTTTCGCAAGAGAGAAAAGTAAGTTTGATTATAACTGAAGCAGAACTAATTACTCAGGTTGGAACAACCGTAACAAGTATTAGTTCGTTCATAGTCAACCTCGAATGGAAGAAGACAACATTCTTGTTCTAGCGTCGAGTTAAAAAAAATAATCTTTTTCTTTCGCCTAAGGTACAGCAGATAGACTATCTGGAAAGCTCAATCAGAATTAATCGTAAAAAGGTACTGCTGTCATATTTGATAGCTTTGAAAGCGCTGTTTTGATTTTTATCTGAATAGCGAATAATCGTACTGCGTAGTTCCGTTTTTAAACGTTTCTGCTTCTTATCAAGAGCTTTCCCAAAGGAAACTTCCTACCATGCGTGTAAAAATACAGCCATTTTCAAAACTCATCAAAACCGTCCAGCATTTTTTTTTTTGGGAAACGCTAATACCCACTAAAAATAAAGAGAGACTGTTTCAACTAATAATAAATTACATTAGTCTTTCTCTGCCCGATTACCAAGCTTTAACTTTACATTCCATATTTCTATGTATAAACCTGCGTTGATCTGAAGATTAATTTCACTTCTTGAATCTTTTCAATGACCATTCAAGTTTGCGTCGCAATTTTCCATCAAATTTCTTTCAAATTTGAACTGTTAATGATCAATTAAATTAAATGGCTGAACTGTGGTAACACCACTTTTCTTCGTTTACATTCCACGCCGATGCAAAAATTGAGTTTTTTGTCGAAAGCTCGGCGGGAGACCAGCTCTCTCGAAAACCCTCGAAAACCAGAGAACCACGGTGAATCGCAAATCGAAATCAATTATCAGGCTGGTTCGAGCTTAAAAGGAACTCTTAGCGATAAAATTTTTCGCCGGATGGAAAACAGCTTTCACTTCAAAAAGAAAAACTTCAAGTTTTCGTGAAGTCAAATCAGGTATTTGTTGAAATACAATCATTCCAACGAAATAAGACACGGTATTTTTATTTCTTAATTGAATTTCTTCCACTCCTACGTCAGCTTTATTGTTGGTCATTCTACCAACTATTGCGAAATGCCTAATCCAGTCGCAAAGAGGTTTACTGTTTTAAACAATTTGCTCTGCGATCTCAGTTATTTTAATTTGGCTTTAATCGGACAATTTGACGTGAGCTTTCTCGCGAACTCAATATTTAGGATTTTGCATGATTAAGTAGCTAGTTTGACACGCTTTGTTCCGAAAATTTCCCCTGGACTGGCTGGGAAGGCAAAAATTGTTTAATCAAGAGCGTTCAATATACGATGATGTTCCTCAGGTAGCTGAAGGGTTCTTTATTCCTGTTCGTTCCTTATGTAAGGGTAGAGTAACTCGTAACTACCCAACTTTCGATATCAGGGTTCCATCATGATACTAAATTTTAATCTTCGATTGCTTGTCATACTCTTCTGATATATTGTTCATTCCGACCACACTCACAAGAGACGCTCAATGTGAAAATTTTTTTTTAGGATGAGTCAGTCAGTCTTCTAGTATTCGCATCCTGATACAATCTTAACATGTGCACACTGAAATTTGGGGTTTTACAAAAATAATCTGTGCTACGCCAGGTCCGAAAAAGCACTTTAAAAAAACCACCTTTTAAATGTGGTCAAAAAATGCGTGGAAACGTATTCCTCATCTAATGCAGTAGCACAATACCCCGAGGAAAGGGTAAACTAACCTGACTGGACTACTAATCACAAAGAAAAATCAATGATTGTAGATGATATTTTACAGGGAGTTGGAAAACCAAAATCACAACAAATATAAAACGAAAGTAGTCAAGCATAAGACTGATCGACCTAGAATGACTTGGTTTTTCCGCGAAACGTTTAAATAATTCTAAACTCCCATCATACCACGCGAACGTCTTCAACGTGCCATCAGAATATTAATTTCTGACCAATTCGTTCCCACGTCACTCAAACGTTAGAAATTACATTATTTGTTATCGTTCACAGAAACTGAAATGGATGTAACAAGCTTGTGGTTGATAATCATGATGTCATCCCTCGCATTTACTAAACCTGCCGAAGGTTTACCAAAAGGTAGGCCAACTTTTAATTGCGCTATGAATTCTGGGACATATTTTCCCAACTATTGTTTCATGAAAGATGGTCTGCACGTCAAATAGGCAGGGAGGGGGAAGGGTTCACAGTATGTCATAGCCTGGGTACGTAACAGATTGTGAGTTACTTTAAGTGTGAATGGGGGGGAGGGAAGGGGGAAGAGGGACAAGTTTACCAGATGAATATCTGAGGCTGGAAAAAAATTTTCGGCGGAAGATTCTTCGCGAGTCAGGATCATAACATCTATAGTTTGTTGACTAAAAATTATCACAAAGGGGGGGGGGGGGCGGGGAGGGAGTGGTCAAGGGGAACCCATGTCTTCCCCCATCCTCCCAACAACGCCCTTAGTAATCCTCAGTGTGACGGCTGTATTGAGCAGTTTTGAGGCATCTACAAACGTAACCTACGATTTGGTTTTTTGCCTCGTTAGATTTTTTTCAGTCGATAATTTTATATTCACCTTTCTTTGCGAAAAATAAAACTATAAAATGTGAAAACGCGCGAGCCAAAGTTCAATATCAGTAAAAATTGCTAAAGCTGTTTAATTAAAAAAAAAAAAGTCTCTTAGATGTGGTAGATTACGATAGGGACCTTCAGTAAACCATGACGGCGACGGCAAGGAAAACGTGGCAAAACAAAAGATCTAATGGGCAGAACAATCGCTCAGTACGTGCGTTTTAAAACTTTGTACATTTCTTACATAACAATGTGAAACCACTTCAATTTGCGTCGTCTGCGAACGGAAAGCGCGACGTCAAATTATTTTGATTTTAATTTGCAATCTTTCTAACTGAAAAAGGAAATTCCTTTTTCTAATCAACGTCTTCCTTGGCGTTGCCTTGCTGACTGCTCAAGATCCCAATAAATTTGAAGAAAGTCGCACTGTGCTTCCACAATGTCAAATCTCTTGTCCATAGACAAACAAGGACGTTTGATGCCTTAACAAATGAAGTAATACTCTATTGAAAAACACTGACTTATCCCAACAGACTGCTCCGAAGTTACCGAATCCCGAACTGGCTTGTACCGCATCGACCCCGATGGGAAAGGCGCGATCAAGGTGTTTTGCGACATGAAAACAGATGGAGGTGGTTGGACAGTTTTCCAGAGAAGGATCAACAACAAGGAGGACTTCTCGCGGAATTGGACCGAGTACAGAAACGGTTTTGGTAGGCTGGGAAGGAGGACAAGTTTTTGGCTTGGAAATGAAAACCTCCATCGATTGACAGTCAATCGTACGGTTGCTTTACGAGTGGAGCTGGAGGCCTGGGATCACCCCCACAAAACGTTTACTACCAAGTATCACAAATTTAATGTTAGTGACGAAGCCTCCCTGTACCAAATAACATTAAGCAAGGGGAAAGGCTCTGCTGGTGATGCTCTCCGTCCGCACAGGTCCATGTACTTCTCCACCAAAGACAAGGACAATGATAAGTCTAAGAGCAACTGTGCCGAACGCTTTAAGGGAGGATGGTGGTACAAAAGTTGCCTTTACTGCAATCTGAATGGGGAGTACATAAACCGAGAAGATAGAGACCCCCATCACTTTGGTATCGTTTGGCGGAAGAAGAAGCTGAGGAGAGAAACTTCTCTGAAGTTCAGTGAAATGAAGTTAAAGTGAGTGGTCTGGGGAGAGAGTTTAAAGTAACTTACAGAGATTCTTTACAGGATAATAATGGGAAATAACAGTTTAGTTATAATGACTGGTAAATATATAGTCATGTAACGGCCAATATTTACAAGGGTTATATAAACACGCTACTGCATTGAGTGTAAAATGGCTGCCGGTGAAATAAAGGTTATCTAAGGTGTGACGAAAGTCTACGAGGGATTTTCAGGTAGATAATTACATAAATAAATCAAATCGGATCGCATTCTCAAAAAATTTAATATGTTGACCGATGGAAACCTCCGATACAAAACTGAAAATCCATGGTTAACGAGACAAAAAAACTGCATTTATGTAGTATTGGGATACCTGAAGGTTTTTTGACTCATCACTGACCAATTTTCAAATCTTTACGCACGTAAAACTGATAAACTGGTCATCAGTAACTATTTGTGTTTAAAAAGCGAATATTTTTTGGAGCTCGAAGAGAGAAAGAGAAGTAACGAAAAAAGCGGCTACTTTCTATTCGGTCCGGGCCACTCACATATGTAGAGCGAAAAGCGTAAATTGAAACTCGGAAAATCTTATTGTTAACCTCGAACTGAGCTGTCAATCCCTGATAAACATGGTCAACCCTCAAACTCTGTGGCGTCACATGAAAATGATAATCCGAGACTTCAAAGTCGACCGTAGCCAAAATAAACAATATTGGATTTAATTTCTTGCCCGAGTCTCATAGATGAATCGACACCGTGTTTTACTCAAAGAAAATGTAAGTTCAAAGCGCAACTGACGCAAACCAACTAAAGACCTAAAAAGATTTCATTGATGTGAAAATTTCGAGTCACGACAAACGACTCCTAGTGCACCGATAACTTTCTGCTCCCTACAAAATGCAAAATGTTCGTTCTGTCTCTGTGAGGGTATAGTTTACACAATATCTATAAAATATATGTCTCTGATAAGTGACTTCAGTGCAACAATAATTAGCCGAAAGCCAATCATAACACCTTCCCAACACAGGGACAGTTTGCTTCCATCTTCTAGGAATAACTAGGAAGCCACCTTCGAAAAGATTTTCTAAAGGAAGGAAGAAGACTGACTCCGAATCAAAGACAGAGTTTTTCTTGGTAGATATTAAGCCGGTTCATTTGTTTCTTAATTTGCTGCTTTCTCTGTTGATTTGAACGATGCGGATGAGTGCTTTTCCTCGCAGATAGGCTGCACAGTAGTATGGTCATCTTTTACCTCCAATTGTAGCCTTGTCTTGATCTAAGTGAACTGCCATTAGTGATCTCTTCTCTTCTGTCTGGTTCTTGGAACGCGCACAAAAGGAGTTCAAGATTCTGTACATCGCACGAATACTCACAACCTTTATTCGGAACAATAGAGAGACAACAGCCACGACCAGTACCAGCAAAAAACATGTGGGTACTAAGCTGAGAATTACGAGCTCAACCACTTGCAAAACATTCCACCAGTGTCGAAAGGCCTTGTCGTCGATTGAAACACCCAACGACACAAACGAAGCAAAGAACACGTTCACAGATCCCAAAACAACAATAAAAGCCAGTGAAATGGTCTCAATTACGTTTGCAATACCATCACGAAATGGCAGAGTTAAAGTGTGGTGAATAAGAAACAAAACACTTAGCAAATTCATAATGACGACTCGAGGCAATGGGTCGCTGACGAATGACTTCAGCGCAGCAAGAATCAGTCGACGGCCAATCATTACACTTTCCCAACAGAGGCACAGTTTACTTCCTTCATCAGGTCTTTTAAAGGAGTCATAGAGAACTATTTCTAGATACCTTTTTGAATCTTGCCTCGGAGGTGCAATTTCAGGGACTGTGCCTCTCAACGTTGCACGCAACACACCATAAGACCAATAGAATAGCAGTGGCAGAGGCAAAAAACAAGCCACGAGGAAAGTCTTCACGGAGATAGTGTCATCGTATAGCTTACAAGAGCCCCAAAGGAGGACAAACAAAAAAGGTACCACGTAACCACAAACAAATCCCGTCAAAAGACGCTGCCACCATTGAAAACAAACAATGCTACCATCAAAAAACAAACGCTTCTCCCCACCAATATCAACACAACGCAACAAACTGAAGCTTTTGGTTGCTATGATTGTATACCCTAGCAAAGTAGCTTGCAAGATGCCACCTATATATGGACCAGGAGATGGATTCCCTTTGCCACGGAGCTTCTGAAAACCACAAAGCACGCAATACAAAGCACATATTACAAGCAACGTGCAAACAACGTGAGATTCTAATAATAGCTGCTCTGTTACCACCGAGAGACCAGTAAAAGGACAATTGAATCCCTGAAGAGAACCAGATCTGAAGTTGAACACGCCAACTATTGGTTCAATGATTTTGTCTTTTATAGCCAACTGGGATGAGCCAGAGATAAGAACAAGATTTGCTGCTTGATAAAAGTAGACAAGAATCTTCAGATACCCTTTCTCGAAGATGACCTTCTGGCCCACGGGCTCTTTCTGCTTGAACCACAAGATCTGACGCTTAATCCAAGGTACCACCGGAGGCCTAAACGTTAAGTACAAAGCCAAGAGTGATACATAAACTAAAGCTATGGCCCAGTACCGATAAATATTGCACGGGTCTAATGGTATGCATTCTGTAGAGTAAAGAGTCTTTGTGTAGTTGTCTTTACACTTCCCACACAATTGGCCAGACCGGTTTCCTTGACAACTGTTATATTCAGGAAAGTCTTCTTCCGTCGGCTGGCTACAATACCCCATAGGACACATGGTGAACCTTAGCAGCGAAGAGTTTCGCTGCTCTTTGAAGCCCCAAAAGTCACGTTTGGCGACTATATGTTTAGTACAGTTTGCACCAAATGGGCAAGGATGACACTGAAATGGTGAAACAAACTGGGTTCCTCTGGCTCGACCACGTTGCAGACTATAGGAATTTCCCTCACAAACAGAGCATCTCAATTGAATACCAGAGACTCCACCATGACGATGAGACGCGCAAGGTCGGTCTGGAGTGGACAGGATACCAGGCATACAATTAATATTAATTTTACTTCCAACAGGACAAATAAACTCCACTGGGAAGCTGTCGTTTCCAAGCATTACCTTACCACTGATGCTGGTCGCCATCATCAAACCTTTATCACGACTGTATGCCTTGCTTTCCACTGTTGTGTTGGACATAACCAGAGTTTCTATATCAACTATGTCAATAAGTGAAGAATGGTCAGAGTGATATATTCCGTTGATTAATCGTGGCTTGTTTCCGGTTTGCTTATAAATGCTGTCTAGTATCGTCAAATTGTTTGTTTTCAGCGCGTATACATGATCACCGTAACGTTGGGCGAAATTGTCAAAAAAATGACAATTCCGAATTTTTGTCTTGCAGTTAGCTAAGTACACAGCCCCACCACTAATCACTGCTATATTACTTTTAAATGTTGTGTTCTGAATGATCGCATATGATCCTTGTTGCCATTGTTCCGGTTTGCATTTCATATAATCCGAAATAACAAGGGCCCCTCCAAATGATCCACTTAAAGGGAAATTACCCACAAATGACGAATCTAGGATTTCAACGCTTTTCACATTGTGAAATATCGCCAAGGCATTTGCTAAGTTATTTGTAAAGCTACAATTAAGTATTTTTAAGGATGAGCTGGATCCAACAATGGTACATCCGCCTAACAAACCCCTACTCCGTTCGATTATTACTTTCTCGATAATAACGCTACTTTGATCGATCACGTTTACATAAATGGCACCACCTTCAATTGCTGCGGTGTTGTTGGTAAATATTGATCCACGGATTATAACACCAATATTGCTGTGCATTTGTTGAGATTTATCACCAGTAACTGGCTTGACTTGGATGGCTCCACCTTTCCCAACAGGAGCCTCGTTAGATATAAAGAAGCTGTTGCTTATAGTAACAACACCAAGATTTCCTCCATCATAAACGATGCTCAGCGCTCCACCAGAAGGCGCGCTGCAATTGTTAAATCTTACATTTCTGACTAAAACCTCTAAATCATTGTCTTTCTTGTCATTTTCTTTTTTGAAATAATTGGAAATAGAGGAGATGACACGGAGATCTACTGCTCCTCCATTTCCATTCACAGCCGTGTTACCTGTAAAAGTACTGCTTGTTAAAGTACACCTGACTCTAGCGCATTCAGTTTCGATAGCTCCGCCATTATCTTGATTAACGGTATTGTTGATAAATGATGAGTTTGATATTTTCAGCTCACATTGGCCAGATCCCTTTAAAGATACAACCCCTCCATATCTTGCCGATCGGTGACGGTTGAAACGTGAATTAGAGATTTGCAATAAAATGTTGGTTGCAGACATATTTAGTGTTCTTGCATTTTGAGCTGTTAAGTTGCTTGAGTTGATAGAAATACTCACATTTTGGCAATTGAAGGTAAACTCACTGTTCCTCTGATGATCAATCAATTTTTCCTTTATCGGTAATGGTCGGTTGTTTATGGATTTCACCTCATGGTATTGAAAGTATTGATCACCATTTTTGAACCGGAGGTAAATGAGGCCTTTTGAGTTGTACGTGTTCCCGGAAAATGTTACAGTTTCCACAACTATAAAACAGTTTACAGTCTTTTTGTTATCTGGAGATTCAGTGAAGGAAATGAAATTTCCGCCTTTGGCAATGTTGTTTTCGGACATAGTAGAATTCTTTAAAATGAAGTTTTGTTGTATAATTGGAGATCCAATCCTTGAATCCGTGACAAAAATTGAGATGCATTCCATGTTTTTAACAAACTTTGAATCGGTAATAACAATATCAGACACCACTCTTCTGTTTATCACAAACTTCACGCCATGTTTGCTGCCAACGAATTGGCAGCCATAAATGTTAGTGGAAGAGTCTTGAAAGTACACCAAGCTGTCATTTACGAATAGCCCTGATAGTGTAACATTTATCTGCGTGGCGTTTCCGGAGCCGTCGAATGTCAAACTTGCCCCCTCAGAGCATCTTATATGCGGAGGCGTGGGTCCAATTCCTACCAGGGCAAGGCTTTTATTGATATAAAGCCCCGGATGTTGTGTTGATTGACAGTTGTAGGGATCTTGGTCAGTGTTGGTACCATCCAGGTAAATTATATCCCCGTCTGAAGCCAAAGACACTGCCCTCCAAATGGTTTTACATGGTTCTGTTTGATCACATGACCAGCTGTCATTCCCTGTTGCGCGCGAAGTATAAAAGTTGGTTGCTTTAGAGACGCGACCTGTGGGAATAAAGATGCCATCTTATTCCACATGCAGTGTTATGCTTAAAAGCCTCATATATCTATGTTTAAAAAACAGAAATCCAATGTTTGAAAAGATAAGATCGAAGTGATATTACTCGTCTCAAACCCTTTTTTGAATTTGTTTCGTCAGTCTCAAAGGTTGACACCAGGCTAGTATGTGGACTTAAGCTTTCGGCCGTTTTTTTTTTTTTCGGGGGAAATTATGACTAGATTTTCTTCACCAGCTTTTAAAAGCTTTTGGGCATGTATCTATGAGATCTTAGAAAATATCTTCTTACCTAGAGACACAAGGGTCTATACTTCTACCAAACAAGACCTGGTCATTCCAGCACAATAATTGTGTTTTATAAGAAAACATACCTTGAACAATGGCACTTAGCAAGAAGTAAAGAATAATGCGGTGCATGCAATTCCAGTTCATTCTTAACAATTTTCAGCGTGTAGTTTTGTCTCGTTGATAGAGGTACATAGCCATCGGTAAAGTTGATATGAATAAAAATGCCACTATAAACAGCAGATGAACTGCAGGACCCTGCAGGTACAGAACAGAGAATTGCAATGTGCACACCTTAAAAGACATTCCACAGAGGCTAAAGAGGGGCACGCACATGGAACAGCTAGCCATTGAAAGGGAAAAAAAAGTGGAGTGAAATAAGATGGTGTTTATTGATCAGGGCCGGATTGTTCGTAGTCGGGTTAATATAACCCAGGGTTAGTGTAAAATCTGATTTCAGACCTGAAAGCTTTAAAAGAAAAATCAGTAAAATTTTTTGTCTAAAATTTGATAATTGGATGCTCTAAAAGGAATAGAAAAAGTTATCCTACGAAGGCTTTTGAACAAAGGAATAAAGAAACTCAGAATAAAATTTAACCATGGGTTAGCGCTGATCGGCCTTGGAAAAACTTGGCCTAGTATCGTTATAAAACGTAAGTGGACACTTAAGCCAAATGCAACCTGTTCCATCCTGTTCCAAGTTTTCGATCAGTGGATAAAGGGGGGAATATTTCCTACGAAACTGTGGCGCTGCGTCGCTCGGGGCATTACAGGATAATCGTGTTTCATCAGTTAAGTTTTGTTATGTGAATTTGTCACCATAGTGTCAACCATATCACCTCAATCGATAAAACCAAAATATCTCGATTAGTGGAGGCGAGTGAAACAACAGTTTAGTGACAAACAGTGGTTGTTCTTGTCAGGGAAACTACTACGCACACTTACTTTTGCGCTGATTTTCGCTGACCGAGACTCCCTACCAGATAAATGTAGTTGATAAGGAATAAGTAGCGAACAAGGTGATTTTGCCTGCCGTCGGATTAACAATGATGAAAGACTGAAAACAAACTAATTCTTCGGTATTATTTGCGTTTTTAAGTTGTATTCCGTAAGTGTCACTTTAAGGGCTTTTTATAACTTTTTTTATGAAACTTTAATTTGTTGAAAAGAAAATCTCCTTAAAAGATGGCAAAAACGTGTTCTCTAAAATCACTTTGGTACAAGCATGTAGTGCAATTGGGATTTTTAGCCCAAGTGTTTATTTTGTAAGACATATTAATGCCATCGGATGTAATGCCTACTGAGAGAATATTTCTGAAAGGTCTATAGACGTCTGCCAACGGATGGAATGCCCTCTGAGGGTATATTTCTGAAAGATCTCTGGTCGTCTGTATGACCTAAGGGTGCCTCAGGTGTCTGGGTTATCATGCTGATGATTGCTTGTTGCATAGTAATATTTGTGCATTATCGGTCCTTGTGCGGAACAATTTTCCAAATTATCCTCAGTGACTGTAATTTTAATTAAAAGCATGTCCAGAGGAAAAAACATAAAGAAAAATTTATTCCGGTATACCAGACTATTGTCCTAAGCCGGTCGGGCTTTCTTACATTACCAACAGGCATTTCAAATTGTAAAGTCGGTTACACACTTGGCGATTTTATAAGCCGATCGGTGCGAAGTTGATCGCCGGCGAAAATCGCCGTTATCTAGCATGATTTTCAACGCCGATCACGGCGATAGGCGAACAACGCCATCGCTACATCAGGCACACTTGGCTTATTTCGTCGATCGCCGTGATCGGTGAAAATCGCTAAGTGTATGTGTCGCCGGCAAGTAACTTATCAATCACATGCCAGGAGATCTCCTATTGATACAACCTGGAAGTTCCAGGCGACAGGTTGCCGCTGGGAAAACAATTGGAGCGGATGTAGTGTATTGCGTTACATAAGGTCACATAGCGTCACTACTGTAAGGAACTTTCAATCGTGCCGTAAATCTACTCTCCTAAGTGAAAGTAAAATAACTGATTACGAGTATTGTACGCTAAATATATTTTCTTAATTATTGAACAAAAGACAGTTGAATCAGAGGAATGAGAGAGATCACTTGACCAATGACTACTCTACAGCGGATGTAAGGTTGGGAGGGATGCAAATTTCGATCACTTTTCAGATAAAAAATTAAAAAAAAAAAAAAAACTCATACGAATTTTGTTCTTTTCGGCCTGAGGAAGATAAGAAATTGAGAAATTGAATAGTAACGCGCAACCGTTGCAATAATTTTTGCGTCAGACACGTTTAAAAAAAACCATACAGATGATCCGATAGGTGGAGGGGGGGGGAGGTGTCTGAACTCCCTTGAACCCGGACGCCACTGATCAGACAGTACAATATTCCTTACCCAATAACAGGAAAATGTGTGGAGATATCTCTTTTATATACTCAGTGTACATGTTGTTTATATTCACGTACTCTGTAATAATCTTCAATGCTACAATACGGGTGAATAGACGCATTATAGTTTTGATCACGACTTTTGGTTCAAATATCATACCGTGAGCTACTGAAGAGACACAGATATCCCTACAGAACCTCACCTTGAACGATGAAACACATCAGGAAGAGAGCTGTAAATCGGTTATTGGATTCCTCGGCGTTTTTGTTAATATTTCTTAAGATGACAATGGATGGATGGCGAAATTCAGCAATGTTTACTTTTTCATTGGAGCTCGTGTAATTAGTTAACTGTGGTCATGTGCGCTCCACAAAAGTTCTACATGTGATTACACTCCCACTCCCGTGTCATTGCACGCACGGACAGATGAGACGCGATCAACACGGCTCCTCGAGGTAAAGAAATTGGTAAACAAATAACTAGATAAATAAATAAACAAACAAACAAATAATAACTTTATCTTAGGTCTGGTCGAGGGCCCTGAGATGATTCGATATTCAGGACGAAAGAACAAACCTACTTCAGGGAACGTGTCATCCGGAGATAACGGGAATATTTGGGGTTATCTTGGATCGAGACTCATGGGAATATTCCTCAAACATCTAAATTTAAAAAACGCCAAGCTAGTCCAAAGTATAGAAACCATGTACCGCTTCTATGAAAACTGACCAATCACCACCACTGGATAGTTCGTCATCGGATCACCGGATAGTCGCAGCTTAGTCGAGTGTCTGAAGGATCACAATACTCTTCTGGATGGTCATAAGACCGGGCTGTGATTGAGGACGTCAGACAAAGGGTCAAGTGCGGACTCAAGTGTGATTTAACAAATATTTCGCGAAATAGGCATCTTTAATCCGAAGGAATTGTTGGAACAAGGTCTGAGTTACGTGGGGAATGTCATGGAAGTAAGTACTTCGTTAAAAAATTATCACCCCTGTGGTGATTTTGTGGTAAACCAATTTTTTATAAATATTGTTGGATTGCTATCAACGAAACTTTCTGAATTTTCACTCCCCAAAATTTAGAATCGTTTAGATGATTAAGAGACATTTTCTTGGTCGGAAATTTGTAAGCAGTAGAATCGCGTCATTATCTCATGATATAAGACTGAAATGTTGATCACGCTGTCGCGTGAAAACATCATGCGGACATCACACCTTAAACAAGAACCAGGCGGTATGCGCACTCCGATTGCGTTGCATTATGGTAGCGTTATTTTCAATATGGCGGTGAAAGTGGCAGAAACCGGCTGATTTTTACTGAACATTCCCTAGAAAAGTTGGGGTGTTCCTTTTTCCTTTCACCATGGACAAAAAATTTGATTTATTCTGAATGTGTAGAATTATTTTTTGTACGCATTTGTCGCGTATTCAACGGTTCTCAAGGACAAACACAATCACTGTTTTTTAGTATGTAAGTTGAGACTGGTTTTCGAAAGTGTCAAATTTGATGTGCGTCGTAGTTTGAAGCTTTTCAAAGATTCGGATGGCTGCTTTGATCTTTCTCTTACAGTTCTGATCAAAAGCTCTTAAACGTTCTCCAACGGTACTCGTGTTTTATGGATTTTAACTGCTAGTGTTTGAGCGAAAAGGCCTATTGTTGTGTGTAGTGTACTGCGTTACATGGCGTTACTATTGCAAGGACATTTCCTATGTATACTCAAATTGTTGTAAATCTACTTTCTTCAGTAAAATCAAATTAAATGATCGTCGTACTGTATGCGAAATCTTCTATCTTGATCACTGAATGAAGGACAATTGAATTGGCAATGAAAGGAGTCACTTGACAAATGAGTAACTCTACATTGCGCAAGGCGACACGCCGCATAAGCCGGAAAGCAAAACACAGTCGATCATTTAAAACAAGGTGTTAACGGGCCTAAGTGAATCCTACCATTCGCTGGCGGCTGCCTTCAAATTTTAGCTCTTATTATGACATTTCCTTTGCGATGTCATATTAGGGTTAGTTTTAAGGTGTCATTTCCCCATCTGTAAGTTTTCAGAGTTTGGCAAAACAGGATGAGATTGTGTTACAAAAGGCAATATTTTCTTCTGCGTAATTTATTTTTGTTATAGAGTATTCTATCTCTCTCGCAGAAAATAACTCCAGAGATACGCTTCTCAAAACCTTCATCTAGGTATCCTCTAGTCTTTAAGCGTATTTCGAATCTTTTTTAATCTTGTCAGTAGCCCTCTGAAAACGAAGTCGTCGTGGTGGAATGATAGGAGTCGCGCAGGCCCGTAAACACTTTTTAACTTTCGAAGGAACGGCATCAAACAGTGAATCCCCATTGCATTCCACGTACGCTATTCTCGCTGCCTTCAAAAATGCTCTCTTCTGTTACGACGGTAATGCAACGCAATAGTGCGGACAGCGTCTAACAATAACAGAGTAACAGAAGTAACAACTTATTTTGAACTGTCACAGTCACTCACGGACGAGGAGACTGGACACTCATCCATCCCATCATGCCTTTAGAGTTCATTTTAAAAATATAGCTTCAATGGCGTAGTGATTGAAGAGCTTCTTTGTAACGTTTCAGGTAATTTAAGGCTGTAAATAGTTTTCATTTTTACTACGAGACGCGTTTGATCGGCTTACTGATGTCATTTGTCTCGCAAGTCTGAGTTGGATACGCTTACAGATGCATCTAAGCCAACATTCGTTCGTATATCGCGTACCGTATGCCTGCGGAGTGCAAGTTGACATTCATCAGGAGCAGAAGTTGGTACAGTTTGGAACAGAACTTGCTACTTCTTTTAAGAAAAAACTGATTAACCCATAAATCGAGAGGGATTATACGTTTTGGTTTGATTCTACAGCGCAAGTTAACGGATTTTTATTTCATATTTGGTCCGCCTCACAAAAAATCCACCTTATCTTGAGTTCAGCACTAGCTAATTAAGCGACTCGAGCACCGAGTCTTTCAGCTAACTCGTTCACTCGTAAGTTTATCACAGCATTCAAAATCACATATTGGATGTCTTTTAAAACAAGATTAAAGTTTATGATCTTGGAAACAGAAACAGCTCAAAAGTAGTTAAAAAAGTAATGTGTTATCATTTTTCTCGTAGCTCATAGATGTTCAATATCTTAAGAGGGGTAAACAAAGTAAAAACAGAGAATGGGCAACACTGGATTAGGAAAACATAAGGATGTGCACAGCTCAGATTCTACATTAGAATTTGAAACTGGCAAGAAGATGTTCCCAAGTGGACAGGAAGCCAAAATGGTTTCATCAGGTGTGTGTCTATACATGTTGGGAGTTGACCCTTTCATCCCAAGATTTCATCAGCAATTCTCCATACTGTTTACCATATAATTCTTTTTATTTTAGTTGGGAGAATGTGGTATAGAATCAACTAATAATCCCCTCAGTGATCTTTTTCTTAATTCTGATCACTTATATGCTTGATATTGTATCAATATAGTGGGGGGAATTTCTGTCTTGGTCACTCGTGGGAGTTAAAAGGTTAAACCCTGTACAACAAGAAACTCTTTATCAGATAACCTTGATAACCTTGCAAGCTGCAGGTTCCTCTTAAACTAAATCAGGAAGGAGAGTCAACTGTCTGCAAGATACATTACTGCTTACTGCTTGTTTACAGTTTGCTTGCTAATGATGCTTTTCTGTGGGATTTTGCAGTGGACATTCTGCTGTAATTCTCAGTAACAATTATTGTTATTGTCATGAACTTGTATTAGTGAATTTTTTGTTGAAATCCAAAGTATTTGTATCAAGGGAAAATTAATTTGAGGAGACCAGTAATTGGATGAAACAGTTGTACTGTCAAACCTCTTCCCAAAAATCATCTTTGGGATGGATGGTAGCCTCTTTTTTTATCTTTACTGAAAAGTTCAATTTATCTTTTGTCATATTTTATGTAGCAAAAGAGCGCGAATTTGATGAAAGTGACTATGATTTTGATGATGACCTCATGGAACCAGAGCCTCCGCTGAAGAGGACTGTGCCAACAGTATTTGGTTGGGAACATGGTGGCCGGGAAGTTTTACTCTCAGGGAGTTTCAATGACTGGAAAACAAGAATTCCAATGAATCTTAGGTCAGTTATTATGAAGTCTGAGTAATAACTGTTTAGAATGCCATCAGTAGACGCCAGCCTTTTTTTTTTTTTTCCAAGGACCTACAGTATCGTACTGTATGACTGTCATTGTAACAACCCTTTGTTTCTCAGTCATTCACTTTGGTTGATTTGTTAGCAGATTTCCTTGCCTTTGTTCATGTTTGATTTTGTTTTTACTAGTGACCAGCCCCTGTTATGTACACCTTCAATAAGTAAGTTATTGGTGTTGAGGATATGCCTTATTTCCCTGTTTGTAGCCAAGGAGAATTCTCAGCAATACTTGAACTTCCGGAAGGGGAGCATGAGTATAAGTTTTGTGTGGATGGCCGCTGGATCCATGACCCAAATGCTGTAAGTGTATTTAACGAGACAATATTATAAAGATTGGTAACAGTACTAGGATTATTAATTTGTGGTCATGAAACCAAAATGTTCAGCCAAATTGGGGATGCAAGCACTTTTAAGGGTCCTAAAATTTTGGTGACCTTCAAAGAATAATTTGGTTTTGGTGACAAGGAAGACACACTCATAGGTAATTCACATTGTTCAACAGGTGCTCAAATTAGGCTAGTGCTGATAACAAAACACATCTATACACTCTTGATCACCAGTATTTCCACTTATCCTAAGTACAACTGGGAAAATAAATTTTCTAACCAGATGAGCAATTGGAGGGCTCAGAGCAAGAACGATCTCTTGATTTTTCGGCCATTTTTGAAAGTGTTCAGAAGAAGTTGAATTTTGGCATGTGGACACTTTCAAAAATGGCCGAAAAATTAAGGAATTGTTCTTGCTCTGAGCCCTCCAATTGGTTTTCCAGTTGAATTTTCAAGAATTCTAAGCATTTTGAGCTGGTAATTGGATGTACTATAGGCTGTCAAGTTTACAGCTTACCACTTGAAAAGGAGAACACTGGATCAATAGGTGTTATTATAAATAATCATTATTGATGACAATCCAGAAACTGCAAGGATTAAAAGCTGTGATCTCCTCATTCTATTTTTTCATCTTAATAGCCAACTACAAATGACAATTTTGGAGGTAGAAACAATGTGATCAATGTAAAGAAGTCTGACTTTGAAGTGTTTCAAGCTTTGGAGTCTGATGCTAGTGCAAGTATTGGTTCTGCTGGATCAATCAGTGAGTGCTTATGTTTTGATTTTGATTTTGATTTTAAATTGAAACTGAGTATTTGTAACCGAAATATCATTGTAATTTGTGCTACAATGTACATGTAATCAGGGTGTAACATAACAACCTCTTAAAATATCATGTCTGGTCAGCTCCTCGATGGCCAAACATTTTGTCTGGCAGATTAGGCATTGAACCCTTTATGTCCTAGATCAAATTTGAATTCTCATTACTATCAACTATACAACCCTAATAATGGTAGTTCAAAGAATTTGGTATTTGATCAACTAATTATGTTCAAATTGATATTTTTCTACATTCTCAACACTAACCTGGTTGATATTGTATTGATATTGTAAGGAGAAATTCTGTCCTGATCACTCATGGGAGTTAAAGGGTTAAAGAAGAATTTTATTCCAAGCCAAGTTCAGGTTTTAAATATGGTGTAAATTATTTTTCATGCATTGGGTTTGAGGCTTCAAGCACATTAAAAGCATCGGTAAATACACCTGTATTTTAAGGAAGGAGGATGTTTATTGAAATATGATATAATGGATATTACATGTATTTGTTTGGTCAAAGTGGGTTCTGTCTTTGGCTGGACAACTTGAGCAGTGCTAGCAAGAAAATTATATCAAGCCTTGTATAATTAGACTCAGTAACATGCTTTGTGGTTTGTTGAAAACTGTGGTATAGTCATGTGTTATCTAGCCTGTTACATGTATTCAGTGCTTAATCCTTTACTCCCAAGATCTCATTAGTAATTCCCCTTACTATTTGCCACATAGTTCTTGTGATGTTAGTTTGGAGAATTTGGTCTTTGATCAACTAATAATCCCCTTATTTAATATTTTTCTTTATTCTCATCACTTGTCTGTTTGATATTGTATTGGTATTGTAAGAAGAAATTCTGTCCCAGTCACTTAAAGTTAAAGTGAGTTAAAGGGTGACTTGTCATTGCAAGTTTGAATTTAAAAAAATGGTGACTGAATTTATTTTTATGTTTTTTTGTTAAGAAAGAAATGTTGTCATTGAAATTGAATATTTTTTCTTTTAGAATCAGTATCAGGATCTCCACCTGGCTCTTATGGCCAACTTATTCCATCACATCACAACCCTGTTATAGTACAAGATGGGATGCATTCTAGCGTACCTCCAGTTCTTCCTCCACATTTGCTTCATGTAATACTCAACAAAGATGTGGTGGATCACAATGACCCTTCCCTTTTACCAGAACCAAACCATGTGTCTCTAAATCACCTATATGCTCTCTCTATAAAGGTATGTGATTATTTCTGCAGAGGTTGGTTGTTCAAAGCTTGGTTAAGATAATCCAGGGTTACTGTAAAAGTTCATTTCAGATCTTAAAGCTTTGGAAGAATATTCAGTTTTCATTCTTTTTGTCTACAATTTGATGAATGGATGTTCTTAAAAGAATAAGCAAAATCATCCTAAAAAGGCTTTTGAACAGAAAAATGAAGAAAAATTTATTACAATTTAACCCTGGGTTATTTCTTATCAGCCATTGAACAACTGGGCCTTGGTCCTATATACATGTAATTTAGTATTATCAACTGAGTTGATAATGTAAATTGGCCACCATAAAGAGTTAGCTATTTGCTATGACAAAGAGCTAATGCTTGAAACGTCAGCTTTGAAACTTTTTACAGTGGTCAGTTCATGTTATCAACTCAGATGATAGTGCCAAACGACCCTGTTATACTCTTTCCACTGATGCAGCACAACAGTTTCTTTAGAAACTTTCCCCCTACATAGATGTGTACGTGTGGCATGTTGCAGCTCAATTTAAGTGTAATCTTAATTCTGTATGAAGGGTACATTATTTAGTTGTCTTGTTATTTTCAGTTGTTTTTGTGGAAAACTTTCTGCTTGAAATTTCCAGGGGCAATGCAAACCCTTTCTCTTTATATTTCTCCTCACAGTCTTCATTATATTTCTTTGTATAACACTTCATCATAAGTGTCTCCACCATGATAAATAATTGCAACCTACTTTAATCTTATTTCTCTGTGTTTGCTTATACAGTTTTTATTATAATGAATCAACTCTAATTTTCTTTTCTAGGATGGAGTCATGACGTTAAGTGGAACACATCGCTTTAGGGAGAAATATGTTTCAACCTTGCTGTACAAACCAATTTGAATGGCAAGATACAAAACATGTTAAAAGACATAGTGTATTGATATGGACTGAAGGTGGAATGAAATTACGGACCTTTTTCCCAGTTCAGACAAAATGTTTGTACTATGAAGTACTTAGACTTCCCATAATACAGCGACAATACTTGGTTTGGAAAGTTTACTTAAGGGGAACAAGGAAGGAGGAAGACTTGCGTGCACAAGCTACATGTAACGCATAACTCTCCTAACTAGCTTTTGCTTTGTTGCAAATTCTGCTTAGATATTTAGAAAGAGGTTATCTCAGAAATTATTAATGTGCTGATTCTCTATGCCATTCCAGTATGTTAATTTGCAGAGAGGTTATGAGAACTGACAAGTTTATCAGCAAGAGGGTATTTTCTTGATATAGGACTAAATTTAGTTGTCCAATTCAAAAGGAAATGCATGGGAAGCAGTGGGGAGAATTGATCTTTGGATCATGGGATTAAGGGTGAAAGTGGTGTATTTAATATTTTGCCACTCCTCTGGAAGGAGTGATTGGAAAGAAGAGACCATGTCATAGCACTTTCTAATAATTGTGGTATTGTTAATGAAAGAAAATTTTGTAGCTGTAAATTTTCATTCAGAGTTTTACAGGAAATGATTTAGAAAAAAAAATTGGGGAGAGAAATTTAGAAGTCTATCAGGGGTCACGAAGGCTCTCTTTTTTAAGCATTTTTTTGTAAGAAGGTTTGTGACTATACAACTTTAGAATCGATGAGTTGTGGCATACGTTTAATTTCTCTGTGTCAAACATGACTTATGTGCCAATCTATATGAAGCCTCAACATACTTTCATGCTCAGAAGGGGTGGGGTGGGAATTTGAATCTTACTTAGCTGGGTTGGGAATTTGAAGTGGAAGTGTGGAGTCTTTCAAGCAGAATAAAAGTGTTATATCTTAAGATATGGAGGAAATGTGTAGTCACAGTCACTGATTCTGCATTTGAGGGCAGTTTTTACCTGGTGGGGGGGGGTTTGAACAAATCAGTCTTCAAAAGTTCAAAGGTCTGGTATTACTAGAATGAAGTTGAAGCTGAAATTGAGCAAACAAGATCCTATCTTTGACTTGAAAGAGTAATCATTACTGACATTAACTCTCCTCACAATTTTAACTCTATGCAACAGAACAAGCAATCAATATGAGTCTGAAATTATAGATGGGAGGTTGATGTTCCAAACCCTCAGAGAAATGCATAGGAAATCTCCTTCTGGCTTATGGATTGTGATTATCATGATAACAGCCTTTTGTTGTGCTGACATTGTACAGTATTTAACAGAGTATTTTGTTGTTTTGTTATGGTAAATAAAAAAGAGATCTAGGAAAGACTATTTTGAATAAGGGGTCATGTCTCATCCATTTCTTATGTCTTTGTTAGCATGTGACCTTGTCTGATGATGTGCATTGTTGGTATGTGTTAGGTTAGCAGGGGTGTAGCCAGCTTTTTCCAATTTGTTGTAGGCTTGGGGCTTGTTTCTTAAATGTCTTGGTTACTCAACAGGACCGTCAAGCTGTTCTGTTTTCTTTCAAGATGGGGGTTTCAAAAGTTTTCAAAATTATACAGTGTAACTATAAGCTAAAGAAACAAAATGGAGTTGTTAGAATGTCAGAACCTGCCTCTCAATTCTTTTAAATATGGCTTGGACCTGTTAAGTTACCAGGATCTTTGAGAAATGGCCCCTATTCCTGAGGAGAGTTCATTTTTTGTTTCAATATTTGCACAAGTCATATTAAAAAAGTCAAGCAAGCAGAAACAGGGAGAATTTTTAGGCCTGGGCCTACGGACGCCAGTAAACACTTTACACTCCCAGTAAAGTTTTTTAGTTCATAGAAATAAAAAATTATTCCAAGTGCTTCATTGATACCACATGTAGCCATAATTTTTCTATTCAAGAGATTTAGTGATGTAGTATGTGACTGTACAAATTGCAAATAAAGTTATTGAAGAAGAATTTCAAACTCAGAGAATTGTTTTGCCCCCAATCTGTCTTTTTTGTAGAGAAGACAAGGCCAATAAAATATGATAACGCTAATAATAATCGTAGTTATGGTGTATAATTTTGTGGTTTCTTGCATATCCTGATCCCCTCTAGGATCGGGCATGACATAGTACTCAAAATATTTTAAGGCTTCCCTTAATTGTTCTTAAGATTGACAGTAATTGTCCATTTTAAAGTTGCGAGCTTGGTTCCCAAGCCTTCAAACAGGAGTGATGCTAAGGGTGACCTCGTTATGGTACAAACATTGCTGCTTTTTCAAACAGAAATGACTTTGTTATCATGCTTACTACATACTGGTCTCTATCATAATAAGGTCACCTTCAACCTTACTCCGAGTCAAAGGCTTGGCAACTAAGTACAAAACTGTAGATTGACCTATTTAGATTGTTGATTGAGTAAATTTTGCACTGAAAACTGCTTTTAGGCTTCACCTTTACTGATCAAATTTTGAGTATATAGCAGCATGGGGTAATATATTTTGTTGAATTATTTTGTCTTTACCCAAATATATAATAATGATAAATTCTACTCTTGCTCAGGTGCAACACTTAACTGGCACAGTTGTAAAAGTGATTTGGATATAAAGGGTTTTTATTTTTGTACCCTTCCATTTCACCCTTTAATGTCACTGAACTTTGACTAAGTTGAACAAGAATCCAAGTGTGATGCTGTATTAGGTATAAATGAGGAAGTCAGAACACATAATTTGCTTTAGATTGCCTTGTGGCCTCAAAAGTGTGTTGTGTTTTTGGGCAGGATACTTCACTCCCACTCTGTCTTTCTCCAAAGAGTACAAATGGGTGGAAGGAAAGAGCATCAGAAATTAACAGGCACCCTATCCAGGATGTGTGGTAGTATTTCTAGTCAGGGCTTAACCTTTTACATCCTTACATCAGCATCAGTATGCATATTCTCCATAATTTCCTTTACTCTTGTGATCTAAATGAATGTTTCAGATTAATGCAAGGGGAAATTAGATGCTGGTCACTGTTAGTGTTTTACAAGTTTAAACAGAATCAGGGATAAGCTCTGCATGTAATTCAAGTCACAAGGTCAATAAACCTTCACTTAGCAGGAAAAGATCAGGGAAACCACTGCCTTGTATATCACACAAAGTAAACACCATTTATTACAATTACCTGTGATAAGATACCTTATAAATTACTACATATCTGTATTTACCTATAGTATTTAAATCATCATCACTGATACAATTTTTTTCCAATGAAATTCTAACTATATTTTTGTAGAAAATTTTTGTCTCTACGACAAAAAGGGTTTCCTTTACACAATTTTGGTATCTACATGGCTACATAAAATTTCCACCCAACCCAAAAATTGGTCCCTTGTTGTTTCTTCACAAACTGTAATTTGAAAGTGGATTGTGCATTAAAAGAACTCACAACTTATGAACTCACAATTTCAATACAAAATGAATTCCTAGACAATGGCATAGTCAATAACCTTCTAGATGTCTTGTTCACTACACACTGTGGGTACAGAAACATTGTTGGACAGTTTAAAGAATGCTCAGTGAACAAATTATTTACCAAACAAGGGTTGTGCAGTTATGGCTGTAGCTAATGTAGCCTGTTATTACCACCAAATTACAGTTTTTCCTTCAAAAATTTCACGTGCCACATAGTTGCTGTCTGTTATCCTATCCAAAGTCCATCAAAGAACTCAAAAGTGTCCTAAAATAAATCACATCTGATAATCCACACCAATATTGATGCTGATACAGGACTAAATTTAATACATGTACAATCACTTAATGACAGCCTGTAGCTGGAATAGAAGATCGAAACCATCACAATTGTTGGTGAACACTAAATAATCATTGTCTCAACCACTGCCACTGATGGTTGTTTAATTCAGAATCTACCCTCTCCCCTATAGACATGTTCCCTATCAAACCCCCCCTCCCTTTAAATTTTGTATCATCAAAGGTGCAACTGCAACTACCTCTTCACAAAAGACCTTTGGAGCCCCCTTAAGAATATCTTTCTAACTCGGATGGGAGTAGACATCGAAGAGAATGTCCCTGATCGAAAGCTGGCCAGGCAAACGTCATACTACTGTGAGTACACTTAGTTGCGCGTATACACAATCATCTCAATTTGTGATATCGCTGTGTATTTATCGATAAGTTTAATCCTCCAGTTCATATCATGATGAGCTTTCTTGATGCAAACTCTGAACGGTCGAACTTAGAGTCTCCAAATTCTTCATTAACTTTTCCAGATTGCCTCCACTTCTTGGTTCTTCTTCATCTCCAAATCCTTCCGTCATATTGTCAATTTCAAAGTGAAGCTGAGCCAAATGTTCTTGAAGTTCGCGTACTTTATCCATCTTTTCGATTGTACAATCCCTACCAAATGCATACAGTTTGCCGTGATTGAAATCGTGCATTAGATCTAACAGTCCTTTCTCCATTTGTTTCACGTCTGTTCTGTCTGTTAAAAAAGAATGTTCTTGCATTTTCGGGGTGGCCTTAACCTGTGATTTCTCACTTTCTTTTGCCTCTTTAGATTTAGCTGTACTGTTACTTTGCGCTTCCATACTCTTAGCCATGAATTTTCTTTAAAATTACGTTAAGAATTTAAGGACGCCATGTTCAAATTCCCGTAATGCACTTCGCCCCATAGATATGACTTACTGCTCATGCGCTTCTTAGTTCCTTCTCTTCCACCAAAATAATCATCGTACAGCGATGAAGTAAGTTATCTTTAAAATCCTTTCCCATCCAGACATTTATCTACCACTTTAGAACATAGATCAAACATCCAAAGCTACTAGAGTTCTTTTAGTTTTATTTCAGTGAACAAAATTGAAATTATAACAATTAACAAAAGTGCAATTTTCCTCCTCTTCTTAGTGACTCTCTCATGCTAGGAATACTACTTGTGTCTGCTTGATAGCGTACTAAATTCTTCCATTTGATTGGAAATATGAAATTGAATTGGTCATATTTTCTAGGCTCGAGTTGTGTAATTACAGTGGGTACAAGATCTACCCTGGCCATGGCAAGAGATATGTTAGGCTGGATGGAAAGGTACGTTATGTTGTAGAGTTGTATAGTAGCTGAAATTGCAGTAGATGGTAGTTTGATTTTCGCATAAATGTTTTTCAGAAATTGTTCTTTGCCCTGACTAACAGTAATTCCATTGAAAGAGGAAGCACACTTGTACATTCGATTTGCAGTTTCTTTAGTCTGTCTTCTTAAATGTCAGAGAAGATTTTTTCAAAGTCGAATGAGTCTCTGTACTTCTTGCTTTTAATGTTATTTGTATAGCGAAACTATTGAATACAGGTGTACATGTAAATTAATTGGCTACATTTTTGAAAAAGAGAGGAATGACACAACAGGTGCTTTGGCCATTAAGTGTAAATGTACTAGCATTCTGTTGCAAATGCTGCAACCCGAATGGTTACTACTTGGTATCTACTCCATGATAGAAAGCAATTTAGTTTGAATACTTTCATTGTCTTGTTTAAAAAGTAAAATGAAAATAAGACATTGGCCTGTCTTTTTAGGTTCTGAAGAATTCATAAATTTATCATAAAGTAATTAGACAGTTCACTCTTGATTTCTATTGGTGATGGTGGATTCAGGCATACCCCACGTCAGCTATCATGCAACATAAATCTTGAGCTCCCAAACTAATTGAGATATGTATAGACTTGACATTGGATTCTGTATTTGTACCACTGTTGTTGAAGAGGACCTTGTCGGTTTTTGCTGATTGTAAGTTGAAATTAAAAAGATGTGTGAAAGACCTTATGACAGGGGTATTCATAAAAGCAGGTTACTGGCTGTCTGCTAATGCTTATAAGACCTCTTACTGGTGTTTTTTTAGCCTGCAAACACTTGCTCCTGTGTGGGTTTTTCCTTAGGACCCTTAACTGTTAACAGCCACTTATTACACCTTTGGCAGCCGCTTGTGGAAAAGGTTGCTACAGTAGAACCCCTGTTTATGGTCACTTTAACAAGTTGTTCGTTAGGGTGGGCTCCCTGCTGAGATTTTTTCTGTTTTATGGTTAGGTCTTCAACTTCCTCAACAAGAAATGCGAGCGAGCCTTGTTAATGCACCGTAATCCTCGTAAGATTACATGGACTGTGCTCTATCGGAGAAAGCACAAGAAGGGTACCACAGAGGAAGTCTCCAAAAAGCGAACTAGACGTAATGTCAAGTTCCAGCGTTCAGTACAGGGGGCAACTCTTGAGAACATTTTGGCTAAGCGAAACCAGAAACCTGAAGTCAGAAAAGCCCAGCGTGAACAAGCCATCAGGTTGGTGTAAAGAGTGCATTTAGCAGGGCTAAAAATTGATGGTCACACAGTTGCCATTGGCAAGTTAAAACTGACCAGGGCTACCAAAAGTTAAGGTGTGAATGCCCGATGTGCGACTATGCTACAGAATTTCAAAAAGTTGCAATGTAAATTATGCGAAGTACAAAGTTAAAAATAGAATGCAAGATATAATTTAATTGGACTACCTTTCTCTTTGTTTCTTTGCCTGGACTCTAAAATCATCCATCTAGGTGAATTTTTAGTTCTGAAGTGGAAATTCCGAGCCGTTTTAACAGTAATTTCACGAGTGATCCACATTCGCAACATATAGATGCCATTTTGATTTTGTGATTGCCACGTGACTCTGGACTTTTGTGTTCTTTCCTTTTAATTAACGCTCTGTTAAAAGCCATGGGGCGTTTATTCAAGTTTTTCATTTTAAACTAGCGGAAATCGAGGGCAACTTTATTTTGGGATGGGCCACTAAGAATTCAAGGAAACTGGCGTGACTGGCCACCAAGCACTGGAGTTAATTTTTAGCCCTGCATTTAGTCCAGCAAATTAAAGGAAGGGTGTTATAATGTTGAACCTGGTAATCATGCTGACTTTTTACGTCTTCATAAGTGGAAATCTAAATGGTGTGTTTTCGTAGGCATTGAAGATATTGTGATTTCAGAACAGATGAATTCTGGTTTCTCATTGATCTCTATAAAATTAGGCTCACTATAACACTGCTGCTTCAGAAAAAAATACACTGAAGTACAACCTTGTTGTCCAGACATAATTCCATGATGATTTAATATACCTACATTGTTTGAGATCCTCACAGAGAATCTCTGATTTAACATTCATCAAAACTCTGAGAAAAGTGTTCTGGACAGGTAGACATAATTTCATTTAAGTTTATATTGTTGTACAAATTTCTTCAATATCACAATATTCTTCATTTTTTTCCAAAGGGCTGCAAAGGAGAAGTCAAGGGCTAAAGAGCAACAAAAGAAGGTTACCAAGGTATGAATCTTTGTTAGTGGCTTTCTTTACTAAGGATTGTAGCTAGAATTAAACTTAGTGGCTGAAATTTCAAGTGAGATGCTTCAAGGAGAGACGTGGTCTGGTTATGACTATTTGTTTCCAGTCATTTGCAACGCTTTGAATGAGGCGTTTCTAAGCTCTTGTTTACAAAATGGGGAATGAAAGAAATGAAAAGAAGTTGCAATTAAAAAGAGTTCAAAACAATGATTTCTTTCAGTTACTTTACTTGCTGTAGTGTCACTAATTCAGAGGTTAGTTAGGGTTACATTTAAATATTTTTAAGCCCACTGTAGTGTTCTGTATTGAACATTTGTTGAGTGTGTAACCTCAGAAGTGCCAGCTGTGCTTTATTGAGCAAATTTGCAGGCAGCTGGCACTTAGGGAAAACAAATTACTTTTTTATCAGACATTAAATTTGTACACTTCAATTTCTTTAGGCACAGCAACAACAGCCCATCAGACAGAAGCAAAAAGCAGCCAAACCTGTGCAGACAAAGGCTCCTCGTGTTGGAGGAAAACGCTAATGAATTCATCTGTAAAATGTCCAACATGTAATAAAGCCTTTGTTGAAAATAATCTTTCTTGTTTGGTGCATTTCTTAGGGTTGGGGGGAGGGGGAAGGGGGGTAGTTTTATTTACAGATGGTTTTCTCTTGTCACTTTTGAAGGTGGGATTCTGAAGGTGGATATTTAACAAGGGCATGTCATGCACATGCATTGCATATATTTTGCACATATTTTGAACTTTATTTACAACCATCATCCTTTTTATTACTATAGTTATTAATGTACACAGAGTTTAATATGACTAGTGCTGAGGTGTGTAACTGGTCTGTATGTTGTTTGTACTTGTCAAATTACTGTGAATTTCGATCAAATTGCAAAACCAGTTGGTTCTTATCAGAAGTACTGTGAATATCTTACTTGCAATTTTGTTTTCTTTGTATACTTATTATGTTAAGTTCGCTGAAGTGGAATGGTTACCACAGCTAGGTGAAGTTCAGTGATGTGGAAATGTTTAAGCAGTGAAAACCTCCATCTCATGTATGATGCACAACTACTTTGTTATCCAACTACAGAATATATTTTTTATTATTATAGTTATTGATTGATTGTACAGATTTCTCTCTAAGCTTCTACTTGTATTTCAAACATTAACATTGTCCCTTACAATAGTACTTAAAAAAAATTAACATTATTACTTTGACATGTGCCAAAAGCCGGATGCTAATGCATGCATTGTGAGTCCTTTCTTCTATTTTTTTTCATTAGTGTGTTTCATATTAAATGAAACTTTCATTTGTTTCTTGGTTGGTTTGAGAAACAACTTCCTAAACAACCTTGAAAAAAAAGTAATGCTAATTGGTGTAAAAAATGAACATTAATTTTGAATAATTTAGACTTGAACTGGCTTACTAAACAAATCAAGTATGAAATTAGTCTGTTCAAAGTTAGCTACCCTACAACTAATCAAACTAACACTGAACATGTATCTATCTTCTCCTTATTAGAAGTACACTTCTGAGGCCAGTATGAGGGCCAGTAAGAACTTATAAATAAGTTTTTCACTCTTTGTTATTTCTAACATATTTAGTAATACAAATTGTTGATGATACTTATTACAAATACAATCGTTTTTTTCCAGAGTGTCCACTATCCCCCACTCCCTAACATTAGTCCTGTATCAATTCCTTGCAGTTGCCATTTTGTAGTTGTTGCAGATATTGATCAAAGAGAAAATAGGCCATTAAAGCCTGTTCAAACATGTTCAGACATTTATGAATTGTTAAGAAGGGATTCACGAGAAAGAACATCTGGGTAGTACATTCCAAAGCAGTTTTGGCAATGACCATGTCTCTCTGGTGCAGCAGTGCGGTCACATCCAGTTATAGTACATCTGTGAAGTGCTACTGTTGGATGAGATGCAGTAGAAGATGGGGTAACTTCCCCAGGGAAATCTGTAGAGAGATGCAAATGAATTGTATCAAATTTATTTTAAGATGGGAAAAGGGAAAGTTAGAGCTCCCGTAGATGATGTAAAAATGTTTGAAACACTACTTGCAAGAACTCATTAGTTAAGGGAGGTTGTATGTCTTATAGCTGTGATTGCAGAATTTTGCTATTGTGTAATTTGTGCACTAACTATTTTTCTGTTCTGTTACTGTTCCTTCCATTGTAAGGAGATGTGTTTGCAGATTGTACAATGTAGGTTAGAAGTAACCTACTGTTCCAGCCCAAACAATTGCATTCACTGTAAGTTTTCAAAGCAGAGAAGCACATTCATGAAATTGTGTGGAGTAGCTACTCGGCGATACTATGTTGATTTAGCTTACGAATTTAGCTTCAGTGTTACCTGGAACTGAATGTGGGTATGAAAGAGGAATGGTGCTTTCCAAAAAGCAGCGAGAGCAATATCCATTTGTCTCTGGTGTTCCGAATAGGGTGCAGTTAGTGCCACGGCATTTTTGACCACTGATGTCACCACTGCCTGAATTTGACTGAGATTGCCTCACTTGCAAGCCATACTGAGGGCTTCTTGGCTGGGACACTTGTACTGGTCCTGGAAGGTCATAACCAAACTGGCGATTTTGTGTTGGTGTTGGAAGATTGTGAGAGTTACCTCTTATAACTTGACCCTGATTTTGATGCACTTCAGAGGATAATGTGGACCTTTGTTGAATCCTTCCCTTACCAAGATAGCACTGCTCACATAACCCATTCTTCTCTGGGGTTCCAAATCTGAGACAGCCTGTGGTTTTGCATGGAAGCTCAGTTACCTTCACAGCTGTCCTCTTGGTAGTTGTCTCTGTTTGGTTTATGCCTTGAGAAGTGCTTTGTGCTCCCTTTGTAAGAGAAAAAAATAATATATGTTAGGGTTATTGATGACAGGAAAATGATTTTCCTGATTAGTTATTTAATTGGTAACATTTTTTTTAATGAAATCGATGTCTGTGGATCATTGTGAATTCCTGCAAAACTAACATCATTTTGATGCTTACTTGTCTTCCTTGAGACATTTTGCATCATCATTCTATTTGCTTCAGAAAATCAAGCGAAGGTAACAAAAGGTGCAAATAAGATTTTCTGGAGTTTATGAACTAGACTGCCCTTATAGGTAAAGAATTTTGGGTTCATTTTCCAGATAACTGCATACCTGGTTATTTGAAGCAGCAGCTGTAAAGGTGCCCTGTTGTCTGGATGATGTCTGGGAGACTGCAGCTTGTCTCTTCTCAATGTCACGTAGTTCTGCCTGAAAACCTACAGCAAAGCAATCTTTGCACAACCCACCATCCAGTTCTGCTCGTTTTCCACACAAGGCGCAATTATCTGCTTTTGATCCGGTGGATGGTGCTTGTGGGATGACTTGATAGGGATGTTGTGCCCCTGCAGATGACGAGGTCCCAGCGGTGTTATGGGTATTGGTGCTGCCACTTGTAAATGCTGGGACAGGATGCCTTAATACACTTGATGCAGTCACTGCCGTGCTGCTTGATCTTGTTAGCTGTTGCAAACCACTTCCTGAATTGGTGATGAATGGAATTGGATTTGCATTTTCACAAGCTTGACATAATCCTCGCCCATCCCTTCTTGGATTTTTGCAAGCTGGGTTGGAGCACGTATTCAGACCAGTACCATTTGTTGGTGCTGATGTTGGGTGATAATTTGGGGTTCCTGCTGCTGCTGATGCAGATGTGTAGGTCGAAGATGGTGTGACTAAGGGGACACTAGCTTCTCCTACAGTAGTTACTGAAGTGATTCGTACCTGAGAGGGACCAGACTTTCTTGCATGGCATTCTCTACACAAGTCTGAGAACTGAGATATTCCTTCATTGAAGCAGCCTGGAGAGGCACACAAGACACCCTTCCTTCCACCACCAGTTGGAACTGGATTAATTCTTGTGACATTCTGTGGTGGTGCTTCCTGGGGTGGGTTGGGTTGCATAGCACTCCCAACTGATTCACCCTTGGAGGTTATAAAACTGTGAATACAACCAGTGTAGCACTGTACGCACATACCATACAATGCAGGTACACCAGGGAATGGACAGTTGTGACGCTGGCAACTGTTAGGCTGTCCTGGCAATGCAGGGCTACGTGGTGATAAGGTATTTTCCATCTGTAAACAGAAGGTTCTGTAGCATCTGGAGCATAAGTTATGATGTTCAGGCAGGCCAAAGAACTCACAGCCATTCACTCTGTTTGCACAGTGCTTTGTGGTTGCCAATGTCAAGGGATTCATGCTTGCTGCCATTTCTTCAGCATTTCTTTCAGCTTCAAAGCACCTCTCACATAGGCCACCATGGTTAGACACTGCAGCATATTTGCACCCGGATGTCCGACATTTGGCAGGAGTTGTAGCTGGAAAGGTTGTGGGAAGGGTTGTCACAATGGCATTAGAAGCTTGTGGTGTTGCAGATGTGGTGGTTGTTACAACATTTTCCCGAGAAGAAATCTGTCTTGCTGCTGCATAATGACTTGGTTCTGAAGGTCCAAGGGTCCTGATATACTCGTTCAGACACTGAGAGCAACGGTTCCCAGTCTCTGTTGATCCATAGAAGGTGCAACCTTGAGTTTGGCATGGAACAATCTGTAGTGTTGGCTGTTTGGTACCTGGTTGAGACTGAATATTTACTTGACTGGTTCTTAGCATATGTTGATATTCTTCCTTGGCCCTTTGGAAGTATCCATCAATAAGAGCTTTCATGCAACGAGGTTCTTCACCAAAATGCAACTTTGCAACAAGAATTGACTGCCTAGAACCTCCTTGATCACTCAAAACAGATACTTTAGCACAGTCCAAGTACTGACGCACACGGTCACTTGCCAATGGTACTTCATGATCGAGAAGAAAATGAACTGGTAATGGTGATCCGTCATATTTAATTAATGGCACGGCATGCATGCAGTTACTTGACCTTAAAGCTGGCTGATTTTCATTCTCCAGGTCTAGTTGTCCATCTCGAATACTGACAACTGCTGTGAAATGTCCATTTGCATAACCAATCACTAAGGGACTTTTCACGCAGTCTACAGAGTCCCACAACAGAGGTAAATAAATACCTCCAAAGTTTATCGGAGAATACGAATCGCCATATGGTCCTCTTAGGGTGTCATCTGACATCACTATAATAGTGCGACGCAAGATATTGGCGAGGACAAAGATGTGGATCTCTTCAAGGCTCCCAAACTGAGCACCATTTGGACCAAATGGAAATTCATTCTGTGATACATGTCTGATAACTTCTTCCCATTCACGATTCCATTGTTCTTCTGTTCTCTGATATCCTCCAAGCTGGTTCAATATTTGCCGTTCTTCTTCAGCTTTCCAGCGACGATGGTAAAAACCTTGAGAGTAAAATCAAATAAAGAAAAAAAAACTGAAAGATAAATACAGGACACCAGGTTTGAACCACAAGACTAAACCAGGTGAATTGTGAGAATTATTATTACTCTGTTGGGCATAATGGCTCTTTAACGGGGCTAAAATGGAGATTTTTACATTTGACAATTTAAAGAACGGATAATTTCTCATATATATGAAAATGTGGAAAGCAAAGACTGACAAGGAGCAAGATCTAGTGACATAATAAATAACCTGGGTCAGTTAATTGTGATTCAAAGATCACCCAACCATAACAACTTACTATCAACTTCCTTACGACCGTTGCTAGTTAGCACTTGTAGTGATTGGTTAAAAACTGGAACTCAACCTATCTGAAGTACCAACCAAAATGACAGTGAGGAAAGAGATTTATGAACTATAATTAACCTGTGAATCATTTATTAACATTTTCCTTTTGGTTCTAACTTACAGTAATGAAAGTGGAGAGGTTTGGAGGAGGATGTAGCGCGGTAAAAACAGGCTATACTAATCCCATCTTCCCTTCTTAGAATCTTAACTTACTTGTACCTTCCACGTCTTCCACGAGTGCTTCGTGAGCAGTTTTCCTGAGAGTCTGATAACGATCGTTGACGGCCCACATTCCAATTGAGGCTGCATGCATTAAACAGTTTCCATCGCCCAAAGTACTCACTGTCGCCATACGACCCAAAGCGCAACACCAATTAAGTCTTTTGGCAGCTTCCAACTCTCTCATTGTGTGTCCATCCACCAAAAAGCTGAATACGAATTTTCGGAATTCGAGAGTGAAATCTTGGAACGAAGGAAGCACAAATGTTAAGTTGGAAGAGGAATCTAGATATCTGTGTTTTGTAACGTCTTCGGGTACCACAACATCTTTCCGCACTATTTCTCGCACGTCTAAAGCGGAGTCGAGATCGTTCAAAGAGATGTTTCGTTCAAATAGATGACTCGGCGGTTGAAATGAAGCCATGGCCATGGTGTTCTTGAAGGATCGTAACCAACGTACGGACCCACTTTCTGTCGAAAATTTTACTCCTTCTACCAGATCACGACGATTCAAATCTGGAAACTTATTTCTGTATCTTCTCTCAAGACGTTAATTACAAAATCCTGAAAGAAAATTAAGCAACGAAGGTTTTAAAATGCGATTGCAAAGCGGAAGTAGACTTGTGTCAGAGTTAGGGGAAACAAAACGACATAATTTGCCCAAAAAGTAACATTGCTTGCCTCACACCCTTTTTAAAATTTAAGCTTCGTTGACTAGAGAGAAACAAACCTTTAAAAGGGGCAAGACAGTTCCCAAACCCTAGTAGGAAAACGAAATCACTAGTACGACAAATCGTTATCAACGTTCGTCCCCGGGACTTTTCCCGTGGGGAGTCCCCGACCCAGCCCGTTAGTACGAGCCAATCAGCAAGCAACCCGTTTTTAGGGTACATATGAGCGTAATTTTTTTAACTGAAAATATTACCCACTTATGGAAGCATTTACCTTTATAAAAATTGGCCTAAAAGGTCAAGAGGACATTTTGTATGGATACGAGTATGTTTCATCGCACACTTTGCTTGTAGGATTGATAAGACGCTTCCAGATCTCGCCCTTACGTACGCCACCCCAGAGGATTTTGTCGTCTTCCCAGGTATCACATGCGGCCGTACTCCAAAACTGGAAATGTCGTAATTGAGTCACTTTCCCTTCTTAGCCTAGCGGGAATTTTTTCTCTTCCTGATCGGCGCCCCAAGTCGACAAACAAGGGCAGGTTCGTCAATATTAATTACTTTTATCATTTAGGGATTTTTCTTTGGTTAAATACAATATGATTAACTAACGTAAGTCAGATTCGAAAAATAAGACCGCGGTTATCGATCTACTGCTTGTGTCACGCAAGGAATAATTTTCTATGATTTTTCCCAAAATTTTTCAGCAATGCTAATTGTTTGTGTGGTGTATTAAAATACTTTACCTGCCAAAGCACACCTAACTGATCAGATCACGTTATGGCTACTCCCTTTTTGTTCATAATTTTATTCACGATACATAAATACTTATGGACACGATTTGAAATTAAATTACTTTTTATCGCACATAGGGAAGAGTGAGCACTCCGGACATACATTTACAGAATGCTATGTTTTCTTCATTTTCGTCCTTCGTTATTCCCGCTTAGTCCATCTTGGTCAGGTTTCGAGACTGATGAGATTCGCAGAAAAGAAAAGATAACCTTTCGTGTCTATCCTTTTGAGATTCAAATTGTGTTATACTAGTTACCCACAGTGACTCATCTTTAACACGACCGGAACCTCAGTTCCCCTCTACTATTGTTATATCGATCATTCATTAAGCTTACGTTCCTTCCTCCGATATCTGATGCCCTACCCTGCTAAGCTTGTCACATGGGCCATCTGACAAATTTATTGATTACAGATCTGTGTAATTTAAGACTTAACACAAAATTGGACATTATTTTGAAAATAATTTTAAAAAATCCTTTGGGATTTGAAATAATGGGTGCTATCTGATGGGATCTTAGAGATGTCTGAGTGTTTATTTGACTAATTACATAAACTTTTATTGTATTTGTGTTGATTGCCACTGACCAACTTGGGTATTGTGATGCAAGAAAAAATATTTATATTGTGTAGATCATGTCCAGCGCCATGCGTTTTTTACGTACTAAATTTCCTGTGGGGTGTAGATTATGGGTGTACCATATTTTTTTAGCCACATATAAATTAACTGCTGCATTCTTCTGATGCAAGGGTATTTTCTCATATGTTTTCTAAGAAAATGTTAATTTGAGATTGCATAGGAATTTCAAGAAAGGTGGAGGTTTGATTAAATGATATTAATCAATTTTCATGTTTCGTCTGGATAAATTTCTATTCTCAATTCATGGAGTCATTAAAACTCAAATCTTTTGAAAAATAACATTTTAGAAGCCAGTGGGCTATTCAGAGGGTACTGCTCCTTTAAGTCTGCACTGACATGAATTCCATATGTCTGTAGTGATAAAGCCAATTGATGCAGTTTTATTAATTAAACTTGCCATTGATAAATTTCACAAAAGGATAAACCTCTTTTATGTTAGAAATGGCCACTTCAAACAGCAAAGGAAAAGTCACTATTATTGGCAGGTGGGAATTTTGACACAAATTCTTTGTCATGTATTGCTTACTTTCACCATAGGCACTGATTGTCACAATCCAAAATTAATTTGGAATCACTATCCATTTCCCAATATGATTGGGCAATTTTGTGGGTGACTCCAGTTACATACTGGTAAGATGGTGAACGTAAGACCCTTTGGAGCTTGCTGTTAATATGATTAATTTCTTACTAATGTATCTTCTGGCATTGTGTTAACATGAAACTCTCTGTCAAAGAAATTCATCTATTGTGATCACCAGCAGATGTGGTTGACTTCTTTCTTTGAAAACCATTTTTTAAATTGATTCTAGGCTCTAGAGTAACTTGTTCAGCTTTTACTTGTTTTGCTTGTGTCAGAAATACAACAAACTATATATCTTTAATTTTTTAATTTTATCTCGTGAGCTTTTAATTTTATCATTTGTCTGACTTTTTTTCACCAGTGGGTTAATAGGAAGATCTTGGTCTGTGGTAAGTAATAACTGCAAAGCGCTCTATAACAATTTTTGTGTTAGTAATTGTTACAAAATGTAGCTTAAAGTTAGATGACTTAATTTGAAATCCCATGATTTCAGTTAGTGGGTGTGTTTTTTCTTCAGCTGCTGCTTGTAATGTTAGACACATGAAATCTTTTTTGCTTGGGTTTGGTGCTGCACAAGTCAAATTTGACTAACCTCAGACTAAATTTACCCTTAGTTGTGCCATTTTTTGCAGATTTTCTCCAGTGCTGGTTTCACTGTTGCTCTTTATGATACAGTAGCCAGTCAACTGACTAATGCATTGACAAGTATTGAGTCCCAGCTGCGTGATATGGAGATGAAAGGCTTGATGCGTAGTCCAGGCATGACAGCTCAGGAGGCATTTAAGTTAGTTACCAGCTATGATGACCTTGTAAAGGCATTGGATGGAGCTATGTACGTCCAGGTAGAATTCAAAGACAAATCATTAACCCTTAACACCCCAAAATCAGTATGTATATTCTCCATACTGTTCTCTAAACATTTCCTAAGATACTGACATGGAGAATTTGTTTAACAATCAAGATCTTCTCTAGTAGATGATCAGTTCCTTTATTCTCATGACCTCAGTGTTTGATTCAGGGGTGATATGGTAAAGAGAAATTAAATACCAGTCATTCCTAGGGGTTAAGGGGTTATTTGATTATTGATAAATAAAAACTGTTTGATTGAATATAAATATTGATCAATAGCATATTAATTTACTATGTTAGTGTTTTGTTTTGGATTAGGAATGTACTCCAGAAAATCTGGACCTGAAGAAGAAAGTTTTTGAAAACCTGGATAAAAGTATTACTTCTGATGACATGATATTAGCTAGTTCAACATCATGTATAGTGCCTTCAAAGTTCACGGAATCTCTGAAGCATCGCAGTCAGTGTATTGTAGCCCATCCAGTGAGTGTCAAAGTATCATTAAGACCTTACTCATTGTTGACTAGACTAACTTGACTAGACTAACTTAACTAGACTAACTCACCTTACTTGGTGAGAAAGAAAAAAGAAAAGGAACAAATGAACTAACTCCAGTAATGACGAAAAACAATCTAACCTTAACAAAAACAAATTGATAAACCAGTCCTAGTAAAAAAGCATGTTACAATGTTATTTATAAAATAATTCAAATAGTACGTATAGTATTGGCCATAAAACCATTTTACATGAGCGTATATAAACATGGTTTTCGTTCCTCTTTCATCAGTTATTTTGGTTTCCTACGCTTATCTCATGTTCTCCCAACCTCCCGCGTGTTTACATCAGGCTATGTAGACATGGAAACCATTTTACATTTCTTCAATATTATTCTTTGTGCCTCTGTGTATTCATGTGCACATCGGTATTTTAACCCTTGCTCATTTTTCCTTTTGTCCTCTTTACACCCTAAGATTAGAAAGCTTATTCTTCATTCTGTTCTCCATACATTTCCAGTGGTGCTGTTAGGGAGAATTTGTTTAACAATATGAGCTTCTCTTTTGGGTGATCATTTCCCTTATTCTCATGACCTAAATGTTTGATTTAACAGTGGATATTGTAAGGAGAAATAAGATGCAATCACTCTTAAAGGTTAAAGGGTTTAACTTTATCACATTTTTGAGAAGATAACTTATTGCATAAGCACAATTACTTTTAGCTTGATTTGCAGTGAACATTGTTTTTGGTTTTGCAATTATCAGATTAACCCTCCATACTATGTACCATTGGTAGAAGTTGTTCCAGCGCCTTGGACAGACAGTAAAATAACAAACCAGACAGTTGCTCTAATGAAACAGATTGGCCAGTCCCCTGTTGTAACCAAAAAAGAAGTGAATGGATTTGTTTTGAATCGTCTACAGTATGCTGTCATCATGGAGTCTTGGAGATTGGTAGAGGTAACAGGAAGTTTTGCATGGGGGATGGGCAGGTGATGGATGTTTGAGGGGGGTGGGGATTAGCTGGAAGTAGCACAGTGCCTGTTGTAGAGAGATTATTGTTAGTAGGTAGTCAAAATCCACAAACAAGATTAGTGTACTGCTGATCAAATTGGCTAGGTTAATTTGTGGTGTTTCTCGATTTGTGATAGACTTTCTCTTGTAATGATGTGACTGGCTTAAGGATGACAATAACATAGAAATTACCTTTAATTGGTTTGTTACCCCCAAGCACTTTTGTGTGCAATCAGTGTTTTAGTTCACCACATGTTAGAGTAATTGTAAAAATGAGGATGGGGAGTTATTCCAGATTGCACTGGTCTTGCTTTCCTTTTCAAGGAAGCAGCGTGCCAAGTGGTAATTAGTTGGAACAACGTCAGAGCCATAAACTTTTAGGCCTGATTATTTGAGCAAAAGTTTTGTTTAACAAAAGTGCGTCTTAAACATTCCTCAATGTAGCTGGACCTTTTATCTGAACATTTTATTTTGTAAACAGCGTCAAGAAAGCCAAAAGCTGATAGTGGAAGGACATTTATTTCATTAAATCATCCCTCTTAAATAGAAAGCCTGAGGCCCACTGATTGCGTAAAAACGTGGTTTGGGCTAGACGTTGAGTTAAAAACTGGCCCTTACTATTCTTTCAGTAAAGCAAATCTGTCTTTTCCACTTGCATTTTCCTGTGATCGACGCTGATTCTCTATCCTCACTTTGCCTGAGTTTACAGTAGATTTATTGTTTCGTCGAAATAAGTACGTTCCCACTTCAGTCTACGGTATTAAGCAATTCAAATTTCTAAAGTGATGTATGGTAACCTTACGAAGAGACATGATAGCATGTTTCTAGTAAATTGATATTTTTTCTTTTTCTGAGGATGGCATTTGTTCGCCTGAAGATATCGAGACCGCAGTGACAGAAGGTCTTGGACTGCGTTACGCTCTGATTGGTCCATTTGAAACCATGCATCTAAATGCCAATGGTATGTTATTATTTAGAAGTTATAACACTTTTATTTTTCCCAACGTTCATGTCGACTGAGTTGAGGAGGGTGGGAGAGAGGGGTGGGGAAATATTTGTCTCGAAGCCTTTATTCTTTCAGCTTGTATCTCGAAAGCTATTTCCGGCCTTTCTACGACCCTCGTACGCGTATTTTTTTTTTTAAGGCGCAGCCTTGGCGTTACTTCATTACTGTCTATTGGTTTTGTAGGAAAGTCATGCAACTTTCTCAACTAACCAGATAAAGTAGAAAAACCAATCGCGACTCGTTCATTCACGGTTGTAACAACGCGAAAGAAAGAATGATTTGAGAGACCCATCGTGGCATTTGAATCTTACGTGACGTGTTCATTTGTTAGGAATCAGAGATTACTGTGAGAGATACGGAGAAAATATTGTGCGTGTCTGCGAAGAAGAAGGGGGACCGCGGAAATTAGCTGGTGATACGTTGGACAAGATTGAAAAGGTGTTTAATGAAAGCATTCCTTTAGATCAACTAAATGAAAGAAGGAATTTACGAGACAAGAGACTAGCAGCACTGGCTCAGCACAAACATCAAGAGAAAAGTGAGAGCGGTGCCATGTGATGCTTCAAGACCTGACCAGCGTTACAAAATAAGAATTTTCTTGTCAAGCAAACTACTTTCCTGAAAATCGTTCTTCCTGAAGTTGCAATGATTTTATTCAATAGCCGAGATTTTTTTAAAGTGATTCTATTTTCCTTTTTCGCGACCTGTCATTGTTTGAGATTCACAATGATTTATGAAAAACTCATAAATCGAATTAGTGCTTAGGGTACTTTGTGCATTTTGTAATGATAAGTCGATTTTGTTTTACCGATATGGGGAGGGTCACTGAGTCGTCTCGGACAGAATTATTACGAAAAGCTGTTAGAAAAATGAAAAGTTTTAACAATGATTATTGTTGCGAAATCCCATCCTTTCTTTCCAACTTCTTTGCTCACATTTGCGCACGCTAAGATCGTCAGCTTAGCTTGCATGGCATTACAGTGCATAGCAAAGAACGTAATGCAGTTTGTTCAAAAACCTACTTTCCCTTTCGTCATTGGCTGGGGTGGACTAGGTAAAAAACACACATGGGAAGGAATTAAAGATCGCACCGTGAAAGAAAGGGAAAAAAGGAAAAGGAAATGAAAAGAAAGCAAATATAAAGAAAACATTTACTGTGCTTTCGGCACACTAAATTTTTAGGGAACAAAAATGAAGCCTTTTTTGAGTAAATGTAAAATGTAACTAGCTACCTCTAATTAATAATTTAAAGTGGATTTAACTAATTTAGTATCGCGAAATCGTGCTTTAACTTACTTTTTGTCTGTCTATTTTTGGATGAATGGATGTTTATAAGTACATACGAATAAAGCGTTCAATTGCTATTTCAATTTAACCATTAGCGTTTTTGTGAATTTTAGTGACTTGTAAAGTAAGATGATACAGTAATCAAACCGAGATGTTGATTCTGGGATTGACTTATTTCAACAATGGTTGATTTTTCCACCAATTATAACGGAAGTTTCGTAGGTGAAAGCGGCCCAATGATCGTGAAAGAGTTGTCCGTAAAATCGAGCTCGCTACTCACGAGAATGGTTCTCGTTAACCACAACCAAAAACAAAAAAAAAGTGTTGACTTATCATCAATGACAACGCAGTATTCAGGAATATTTTACCAATTTTAGCCCTGATACCCTCACTTTCAACCCCTCTCTCCTTGTGCTATGTTGCACCTGGTTTTTCGATCCGTGATTGCACGATATTGAGTGGAAGAAGGAGTGAGCTGCACCTGAATTCAAGTTTTTATTTCTAAATACTTCCCTAAATGTGGCTGCACGAATGTTACGTGTCGACTATTTTTGTCGCTGATTTTAGTTCGCAGAGGAGGGGAAGTGCAAAGTGGACGAGAACATCGAGCCAAGGGCGGGACAGGGGAGGTTCACACTCACTTCGTGCTTTCTCCTGTTGGTCTGAAGCGAAGGAAGTGCGAAGGGCGCCGCATACGCGAGTAAGAGCGCAAGAAGAAACTTTTCCACCCACATGTCTACCCCCTTAATAAGCTCGCCTCGCACTTTTCTCTGCTCGTCTCGGTGAAATGCGTATCTTGCCCTAGCCTCGCCCCGAAGGTGAGGCACGAACCGATCGCTGGGGAAGAGGTCCCAAGAATATCATCTCCTCGCGTCTCACCGATCATGCTCGCAACCTGCTCGATGTGAAGTTAATTGATTCAAATTAGTTACTAGTTTCATATATTGGTATATTTTTCTCCGGTATCCCGTGGAATTTCAAAACCAAAGGAAACTTCTAAATCTTAACCTTGAAAAGTAAGTGCCCTGTCCACAGCTCCCTGATTAAGAATGTGCTGGTGTTAATTTCATCGTGAAAGCGGTCGTAACAAGGGCTGCTTGTATCCATAAGAGAGCATCAAGTGATTTTTTTCCGCTGGTGTCTTTTTTGAATGAAACCACAAGTGTATAACCTTCAATAATGAGAACCCAATATTTCGAGTTACTTAAGCCTTGTTTGTTATTTAATCAAGGTCTTCTATCAGTTTAAGTTGGACGGCTTTGTCGATCTTTTTATATCCTAGAAAAAGTATCCTGAATTTTCTAAGATTGTCATTTGCTATCCGTATCACTCTCCTCAATCCCGGTACCACTCCCGTCTGCATTTTTTGCCGCAATTGTCATATATTCATCGTTCTATTTTTCTACATTGCAAATTTCATTTTTTTTATTTTCGCTTTCCAACAGAAAGTTTCCTTCCTTACGCTCAATTCGCTTTTCGAGGGCATTTTCCCGAACCCTTTTCCCAGATTCTACATTTAGGACTTTCACTTTTTCATTTTCATTCACTCGCTTTCCCCATCGTTAAACAATATTTTTGCACAGCGGATTGAGCAACTATGTAAATGTTTCGATTTTCACTGTTTTGTTGCTGGATGAAGGAGCCAAGTTCAGGAAAGGCATAAAACGAGGGAAGATTCAAAATTTGCTTCAATCTTAAGGTTTTTGTGTGAGTATTTTTGCTTTTAAGGTAAAGGTTTTAGGGTAAAATCAAGCTTACTGAGTGAAAGCGGATTGTGGAAGTGCTTTCTGTAAATCAAGCTTCGGGCAAGATTTCAGTGCTGCTTCGAAGATTTCGTTTTTCAGAATACTTATATCATTCGTTTCAAAAACTGGTTGCTGGTTGTTCTTATCGTGATGAACTTTCCATGTAAATATAAAATCGATTTAGGAGAAACCATAACAAAATACCTCGTAACTGACTGTAAATATATGAAAATCATATGCGTGAATTGCAAATAAAGAAATGAATATGAAAGCGATCTTCGCAGTTATGAACACTACTGGCCATTAATGACCAGCTCCTGGTTTGCTTGTTAGCTCAGTTGTTAGAGCGCTGCATCGTTATCGCAGAGGTCATCCCGTACAGGCCTGAATTTCTTTTTCGGGCGTTATTTTCACTACTGCGTAAGTAGTCTTCATAACTGCGAAGGTCGCTTCTATATTCAAAATACCTGATGATCTTCATGAATCTCATAGAAGTGTTAATTTTTGTGGTATTCCTTCTTGTTAATTGGTTATCGATGGTTTGATTTATGAATCGCTGAGAATTCTCAAGATAAATTCTTGTCATCACAAAACGTTTCACCCGAGCACAGGGAGCAGAAGAATAGAAATTTATTGTTCTTTTCTCATAAGTTAACCGTGTAATTGTAGCGTGACTCGATTTTGTTGATTGATCTATGATACATGCGATTCTAATACGAGGTTGTTGAAACCCTGTCTGCAGCAATGGTCGGCTAGAAAAACCCTTCCGCTCGAGACATGTTCGGAAAGCGAAGATTTTCCTGCGAATCATGAAGTGCCCTCTCTCTGGCTAACGGTAATCCCTCGGTAAGTACTGTTTGTGGTTTTCGTTTCGTGAATATAATTAAACACGCAATCGTATGTTTCAACGGTAAATCAACCTTATCAAATTTTCTGCAATTGTACAGTTTTATTTGAATGGAAATCCAGTTAATTCAACTCCTCTTCTCCCTGTAATCTGAGCGTTTGGTGGAGATTTTTCTACGCCTTTGTATCGCAATCTCCATCTCCATCTGGGCATTCCCGAGTTCAAAAACCCACCATTTTGGAAATGATGTTTTGTGTAAAGCTTTTCTTGTTCAAATGGGTTTTATTTGCATGGAATAAAAATAAATTTCGTTTAAAGGCCTCGCACTTACCTCGTTTTCAAGGAGAGGCAATTGGCATCTCGCAATTTTTTAAACTCTGGTGATTACTCGCCTGCTAATGAGTAGCATGTAAGGGCATAAATACAATGAAAAAAAACAAATTGCTTTGTGAACCCACATCAAGTAATCAAGTTAGGAAATTTTTTGGCGAAAAGTTTAGCATAAAGCACTTGTCAGTTTGGTGATTTTTTTTTATTCATTTACCATAATACCATAAAACTCAGGCTACTTTTGTGCTAAAAAATATATTGGCGCCACACCGGGTATAACTACCAACTAGTCTTCAATCGACTACGGCCACGGGGTCCCGAGAGACTAGCTCTACCGCGACGAAGGGGACGATGGGAATTTTACTCTTTCCCATCTTCCCCACGCTTCCCACGTTGCTTAAAATTAGAGAGACGACTAAGTGAGGCATATCAGTCTCTGGATTATCGTATGACGTCTTAACACGGTCTTGTTTTGCTTACTCAGAGCTCGGGTATTAATCATGGAGAAAGAACATATCTTGAAAGATGTCTTGAAAGCCGTAGACATGTGTGTATCCGTGGGACTTTACTTTGCGAACATTCACCATGATCACGCAGCAAGAGAATTTTACAAGGAGTCGACGACGCTGTTAGAGTTCATCGAAGAATCCTTACACCAAAAAAATGCGCCACGAAAGGTAATGGATCAAATAAATGTTAAACCGACACTCCATTGGAATAATTTTATACGTGAAGCATACTGACAAAGCATTTCTAAGTGAATTTATGACCTTATGCTTCCTCTGTGCGACCCAATATTAGCTTTCCTACTGCAATCTAGAATCACTCCGAAATTTCAACTAAATTAACATCGCCCAACTTTTTAGCCTGTAGTGATCACACACTGAATAATTGTAGAGCGCCTTATCACGGCTTTCTCGTTATTCCTCAGAGCGCAGCGTTTAAAAAGGACGAAGTAGATGTCTGCAAAGCTGCGGATAAAACAGTGGCGTGTTACTCTGAAAACGGCCATCGTAGCCAAGCAGCCTCAGAATTCTACAAAGAATGGTTGAACCTGTTGAGATCGGTCCAAAAGTCCTTCAATTTAATATCAGAAGCAATACCTGAAGCAATACGAAAGACTTTGTTAGGCCCAAGAAATGAAGAACCACGAAAGGTAATAGATCACATGACAATGCTAATACATCTTGCCCTCGCTGAGAGCGAATCGTGCCTTGGTAACTACTTGGAGTCAAAAAGAAATGCTGAACTTGCTTTTGCAATTGTCTTAAATCACGAAAATGCCAGAAAAGATATAGCTCGAGCGTGTTACAGAATATTTTGGAAGTGTTTTATGAGTGTTGAGCGATATGACCAAAAGATTGAATGTCTCATGAAAATGCTTGCAATTAAGAAGGAAACTGGTGACACAGTGAAAGAAGCAGAGGTCTATTTCCAGCTAGGATTATGTTATTCCTTCGTAGGTCAAAAAGAACAGGCAGTAGAGTTTGTTGAGAAATCAATAAAGATACGTCAGATCAATGGAAACCAGGAGAGACTAGTTGATTGTTTAAACCTACTGGCAAATAATGTGCTTTCGCCAGGCCAGCAAAACGAGGCATTCGAGAGACTGCAAGAAGCCCTTCGAGTTAGCGATGGGATTGAAGGGGGAATGATTAAATCTATAGTGCTCATGGCATTGGGACATGCTTATAAAGATATTGGTCAATACGATAAAGCAAAGGAATATTACCAGAAAGTGATTCGAGTCAGTGAGAAGTTTCATGTCCCAGACTTAGGAACATGGGCCTACTATCACAACGCTGAACTTCTCATTGAACTTCAACAATATGAGGAATCCATAAAGAGCATAGAGAAAGCCCTTGAACTATGTGAAAAAGGAAATTTAGCAGAGCAGACCACACTCTCTAAAGGCGACATTTACATCACATTCTGTAAGATACACCTACTGCTTGGCCAACACGATAAAGCTGATGAATATGTGAAGCAAATATTAACGGAAGATTGGCCCAAAAATAACTTGGATCGGTCTTTAAGCCTCTTTCAGTTAGGTTCCTTTTTCAGTGTAAATGGGAAATTGGAACAGGCATGTGACATTATTTCTGAAAGTATCAAATGCTATGAAAGTGGGCGTGGCCTTTTCAATGATGAGTTCAAACTTTCTGCCGGGGACATGGAACAACACTTTGAATTGTACAGGTATCATTGCCTCTTGCTTATGGCTCTGGGTAAGCCCATCCAAGCTTTATGTACAGCAGAGAGAGGCCGTGCCCGCCTACTGGCGGAACTGTTAGCAGAGAAATATGCCATTCGAGAAGAGGCAGAGCTAAGTGAAAATGACCTCAATATACTTCTAAAGCGTCTGAATAATAATCAAATTTTAGTATTTATCGCCACTCCAAGAGGTAAAAGAATCACGTTCTGGATAATGAAGAATGATGCCACATTGGAGATGAGGAATCCAAAAGGGGCCAATCAAGATTCTCCCCTGAAGACTTATATCGAGTCATTTTCTTACGGCCGTAGCATTAACTGTGAGGACCGTTCATTGTCAGCTTTGTATGACATTCAGTATACTGCTGATGATACCCAGCACGACGGAGTCAGGGGGAAACGTCTCCTTGAGGAGACAGACGACGAGGACCTTGAGGCTGAAAACTTACCAAATCAACTGTACAAGTCACTCATCTCTCCATTTGCTGATCGAATTCAGGGCCGAGAGCTTGTACTTGTTCCCGACGGATCTATGGTCATGGTTCCATTTACCGCACTTCAGGACGATTCTGGAAAGTACCTATCTGAGTCGTGCAGTATTCGCATCATTCCTTCGTTGTCAACACTTAAGTTGATTCTTGACTCCCCAGAGAATTATCACAGCCAGAATGGAGCGCTGATCGTTGGCGACCCACAAGTAAGTCATGTCACACCACTTCCGCAATTGAAAGCAGCTAGGCAGGAAGCTAAAGAAATTGCTGATCTTCTGGAGGTGGAGCCTTTGTTGGGTGAGCAAGCAACGAAGGAAGAAGTACTGCGACGAATAACGGATGTGTGTCTAGTACACATCGCCGCCCATGGTGACGCAGAAAGAGGGGAGATTGCTTGTGCACCCAACCCATCCTCCCCTCAAAACCCAACGAAGGAGGACTACATGCTGACTATGGGAGACATCGCCAAGGTTCAGATCCGGGCCAAGCTTGTTGTACTCAGCTGTTGTCACAGTGCTAAAGGAAAGATCATGAAAGCCGAGGGAGTTGTGGGGATCGCTCGAGCCTTCATTACTTCAGGAGCTCGTTCAGTGCTGGTTTCTCTGTGGGCCGTGGATGACAAAGCCACAAAGGAGTTCATGATTCGTTTCTACGGACATGTGAAGTGTGATAAAATGAGTGCCAGCGAAGCTCTTCACCGGACCATGAAGTGGATGAGAGAATCTGAGACGACAAGGTACACGGTGAGGGAATGGGCTCCATTCGTTCTGATTGGAGATGACGTCAAACTGGACTTATAAAAACCATGTTTCAAATGAGGTGCAGCAAGACAAGAACACAGAAGGGAGAAGTGTATCAATTTTCTAAAATTAGATAGGACTTCACCTTTCTTATGCAGTTTTTTTTGTCATTTCTCAGAAACTTTTTTCTTCAAGGTTCTATAGGATTGTCAATGAAAGAACTGTTTTGGATATTATACGATTATCATGTAGTAAAGCGAGTTCAATTATTTGTTAAGCTCAAACTTCTGATAAAGCTTTTAAAGTAGTTTTTCGGAACCACGGCAAGGAATTCTTTTTTTTCCATATAAACAATAGTTTGATGAAATTTCCAAATTTTGGCTGCAAAATTAAAGAGCCATGGCTTTTTAAGGAAATTCACACAGTCGCCGTATATTAATATTGCGATAAACTTAACGTTATTGATAACCTCAATAGACACATTGTCCTTTACTTTTATTAAAAGTAAACCAAGAAAAATTTAAACCGCTTCGAAATCGTATTGACTGTCCTTTCTTACCACGAACTTTAAGTGTTTCCAATGCGGTTAAACTTATCGATCTGTAGAAATCGCGGTAGAGCTTCAGTTGGTTAGCGCGCTCTGATTGATCTAAGACTGTGCCTACTTTTTTTCGCAAAGAGCACTTCTTTGCTCGTTTATCCTCATTGCTAAGCCAAGAAAATAACTGCCATAATCCGTACTATTTATTCTTTTTTCCACATGAGACTTTACGGGAGAGTAAGACAAGGGGTCTTTACAAACGTTTGGTTATCTAATGGAAATGGCATTGGCATTCGATTTTTTCAAATATCATAACTTGTCTATGTTCCGCTATAGTTTCAATATCAACAGACTCGTCGCCTTTTTTGACATGATGACAGACAGCAGGGACTATCATTTACGGAGAATGAGCACATCATGCGGAAAAACAAAGACGTAAATAACCACATGTCCCCTCGAGCCTTTCCTGACAAACAAAATTTCTTTATCGGATGGAATAAATGATCATTACAATTGATTGCTTTAGTCTGATAAAAAGCGCAGCAAAATTTCTATAAACATCGTATATCCACTCACTCTATCAACGATATCCACCGTGACGTATTCCACTGCTCTCATTCTTAATTCACGTGTCTTTGTGTTGTGGAGAGACAATTCAGAGATCTATATTGCAGAACTGTCACCAAAGAAAAAAGATTTAGCCTACTCTATCTTCTAAGCTATTCTCTTCATTCTGCATTTACTATTCTTATGGAATTTTCCATGTTCTATTTTTCCACCAGAAAATTTATTTCCTAGTTACTGCTTTCGAAAAAGAAATGATTTCCCTTAGTCCTATTCGCTTTCCAAAGCCTGTTTTTCGATCCCTTTTCCTTGATCTCACATTTCCTAACTCAAATAATGACTCATTCGTACTTCACTTTTCGTTAAAAATTTGTGAAACATAATGTCTTTGCCCAGCGGAGTAACACAATAAGCAGTTAAGTAGCATGTATCTTTATTAAGGATTGCAAAGGTCGACAACGCCTGTAAGACGAATGTTCTGTTTTTTACTCCGTTTTAGCGCAGGATGATAGAGCAATTAACGAAAATGACACAAATAGCAAAGGAAGGTTCTAAAGTTGCTTCAATTCAGAGGTTTGTGCATAACTATTTTTGATTGAAAGTTCATGCTTTCAAGGTGAAAATCAAGATGACTCCGTGCATGCACTAGTCAAAGCAAGCTGAGGCGGAACTGTTACGTTGTTTATGATCTGGGCTTTAGCCAAGATTTCCTTGTAATCCGTAATTCAGTCCATACGTACATTTATACTTGAAAGAAAAATTAGAGAAAAAAGATAACCTACGACACTTTGTTCTCAGATGGAAACTCTTTTAAAACCAGCAAAAACCCAAAAAGGTAAATGGAGATTTATGGCGAATTGACAGCTGCTGGCGATTTCTATATTTCTTTCATTTTCAAAGCATTTAGCTCAATTTCAATTCTGAAAAGTTAATTGTTTATGACTGTGCGTATTTTCAATGTCAATATAAAATCAAGGGGAGCTGCAATGAAATGCCTGCTTATTTTCGGAAAACATATGAGAGCGTTAACCATTTACAGCCTAATATCAATATACATATTCTCCAAACTGTTCTCCATAAATTTCCTAAGGTGCTCTCAAGGTGAATTAGTTTTATAATCAAGAGCTTATTTAGTTAGTGTTCGTTTTCTTTATGCTCTTAATTACTTAGGGGTGGAAGGAGTGTTTCGCAAACATGAAAGCCTTCAATAGTAATATTTGTGCTCTTGGTGAGGCGATATAAGTGCCACTCTCGTTAAGAGCGGTCCTCTCGACTTCCCGTCGGAAAAAAGTTTCCTTTTATTTTTTGCCCATGAAAAGGGTTTTTTTGATATGCAAATTAAGGTCGAAGAGAAGGGTCTCCTCTGATCACGCTGGTATGAAAATTATTTCAGCTGAAGTTTCCATATTTTGTCTGTGAACTAACTGAATACACCTTGTAACTTGTAACAAGATAGAATTCCGTGAGCTACATTGTTGCAGTCGCTGCGCGCTGGACAAAATCGTTGAAATTTACATTTTCGATCGCTGTCAACATGGGTGGTCTGGCCAAAAATCATTTTTGGCTTGTGGCGACGCAAAAAAAGAGAATTGGAGAACAACTAAACTACTTTTGAAACATGTGTCCTAAACCCTTTTCATGGGCAAAAAATAAAAGAAAACTTTTTTCCGACGGGAAGTCGAGAGGACCGCTCTTAGCGGGAGCGGCACTTAAGCGTTGTCAAAATGCAACTTATGGTGATATGTATGTTGATAGAGATGCATGGCAGGCAGGAGTGCAATTGTGCCTCAACCTACCTGCAAGGCAGGTGTGTGGAGGCAATAATTGAATTATAAGAATTAAATTGTTCACATTTTTTTAATCGTTGTGGAGATGGCTAAAGAAAGTCAAACTTGCATTTAGTGGCACCATATTTAGCAGTTACCTTGTATTAAGCAGTCACTTGTCAAAGTCCCGAGTTTGTTTCCGCTTAATAATTGTAATTTTCATCTCTATTAAACGGCCACTCCTATTAAGCAGTCGTAGTTACCTTTAATAAGTCCCAACGGACCACTCAAACAAAACTAAGAAAAGTCTTAAATAATTTTTCATCCATTTTCTCTCCCAAAATCAGAAGTGAGTATTATTTTCGAGCGAGATTCTATACATTATGTGGTCAATTAAAGCATACAGTGGCGTTATTTATGCTTTTTATAATACCCCTAATCTGTGGAAACTATATTTAGAAGTCAACCTGTATTAAGCGGTCACATCGATGACCGCGTAATACAGGTTCGACTGTATGGAGTTTCTTACGAAGACTTTACTTAACTCTCACAGAGAACGGCGTTAAATATGAACGGAGTGGATGCGTCGGGAGCTGTGAAGATTACAACGTTAGTGGCACGCTTCCTAGAAAACACCAAGCGTCAACGAGCAGCTCTACAATTGTACAAAGAGTTGGTGACACTATTGGAATTCATCAAACAGGAGTTTAATTTATCAAAAGCCACACTGAATGATAAAACACGAAAGATACTCGATGAGTGGACTATATCAGCATTTGTTTCCCTCGCTCAAGTCAACTTACATTTGGGTGAGTATAATGAGTCAAAGACATATGCTGAACTTGCCCTTGCTAAAAGTAGAGAAACTGGAAGCAAAGAGACAGAAAAGTTATGTCATCGAATGATATGTTTATGTCTGGCTTTTGGTTGTAGCCAACATGACCGAGACACTGTATGTTTAAAGGAAATGCTCTCAGTTATCAAGGAGTCCGGCGATACAGAGTCAGAAGCAATTGCCTGTTATTTACTTGCTATGAGACATTTTGAAGTTGGTCAAATGGAAGAGGCAGCAGAGTTTCTAGAGAAATCAATTCAAACGAGTCAGAAAGGTAGTTACAGGTGGTTAGAGATGAAAAGCCTAATCGCACTAGGACATACGATGCTTTTGCCAGGCCAGAAAAACAAAGCGTTTCAAAAACTTGAGGAAGCTCTTCAAATAAGCGAAGAAATTGAAGACAAGAGGTGGAAAGCCAGTGCTCTTTTCAATTTAGGGAACGCTCATTATGCTGATGGTAGGTACGAAGAGGCAAGGAAGTTTTACGAGAACTCACTGCAACTCGATGCAAAATTGCCTCAAATAGGAATATGGCTTTATATTGGGCTCGGTACTGTTCTTGTTGAACTTAAACAATTTGACGAAGCCATGAAGCTTTTACACAAAGCCCTTGAAATCTGGGAAGAGGACAAACCAGTATACCAGACCTTACTCTGCAGGAACGAAATCTTCGCCGTACTCTGTCACCTACATCTACTTCTTGGTCAACCGGAAAAAGCTACTGAGTATGTAAACAAAATATTAACAGGAAGTTGGCACAAAAGCAAGCATGTATCTCTTAGTTACCTAGGTACCTACATTACCAGACACGGACACTTTGAAGAGGCATGCGACATTCTGGCTGAAAGCATCAAAAGTTATGAAAACTATTTTGAGTCTTTAAATGACAAATCCAAACTTTCTGTAGGGGACATAGAAGTCAACATCGTGATTTACCAGCATCGCTGCTCTCTGCTACTTGCTCTTGGTAAGTTTGCCGAGGCTCTATGTACAGCAGAGCAGGGTCGTGTCCGTGTATTGACAGAACTGTTGGCAAATAAATACAGGATCCACGAAAAGGCCAAGTTTAGTGAAACGGAACTCAATAGCCTTATGGTTGGTCTGGCGAAGAGACAAGTTATAGTTTATTTTGGCTCTGGTCTCAAAGACAGCATCTTCTGGATAATGAAAAATGAACTTGGTTCGAAATTGGAGGCGACTTCCCAAGAAAAAGCCAGAGTTGATACACTCCTTGAAGCCAACTCCAGGTCACTTTCTTGCAGTCGAAACGTCAACTGCGAGGACCGTACATTGTCAGCCTTGTATGACATTCGGTCTGCTGATGATGATACCCAGCACGACAGTATCAGTGAGAAACGTCTCCTTGAAGAGACAGACGACGAGGTACGTGAGGTTGGAAACTTACCCAATCAACTTTTCAAGTCACTCATCGCTCCATTTGCTGATCGTATTCAGGGCCGAGAGCTTGTACTTGTTCCCGAGGGATCTATGGTCATGGTTCCTTTTGCCGCACTACAGGACGATTCTGGAAAGTACCTGTCTGACTCGTGCAGTATTCGCATCATTCCTTCGTTGTCAACACTTAAGTTGATTCTTGACTCCCCAGAGAATTATCACAGCCGGAATGGAGCGCTGATCGTTGGCGATCCACAAGTGAGTCATGTCACAGCACTTCCGCAATTGAAAGCAGCGAGGCAGGAGGCTAAAGAAATTGCTGATCTTCTGGAGGTGGAGCCTTTGTTGGGTATGCAAGCCACGAAAGAAGAAGTGCTGTGACGAATAACTGATGTGTGTCTGGTACACATCGCCGCCCATGGTGACGCGGAAAGAGGAGAGATTGCTTGTGCACCTAACCCATCCTCCCCTCAAAACCCAACGAAGGAGGACTACATGCTGACCATGGCGGACGTTAGCAAGGTTCGGATCCGAGCGAAGCTTGTTGTACTAAGCTGTTGTCACAGTGCTAAAGGAAAGATCATGAAAGCCGAGGGAGTTGTGGGGATCGCTCGAGCCTTCATTGCTTCAGGAGCTCGTTCAGTGCTGGTTTCTCTGTGGGCCGTGGATGACAAATCCACACAGGAGTTCATGATTCGTTTCTACGGACATCTGAAGCGTGATAAAATGAGTGCCAGTGAAGCTCTTCACCGGACCATGAAGTGGATGAGAGAATCGGAGACGACCAGGTACACGGTGAGGGAATGGGCCCCATTCGTTCTGATTGGAGATGACGTCAATCTGGACTTATAAACCCTTTGTTATAAGTGAGGTGCAGTAAGACAAGAACACTGAAGGGAGAACTGTATCACTTTGCTAACATTATAAATACCTTCACCTTTCTGAAGCAATTTTTTTTTCAGTTATTGGTAGCTTTTTTTACAAAGTTCTTTACAATTGTTAAAGAGGAATATTTTGTCGTAAAGCGAGTGGAAATTATTTTTTAAGCTTAAACTTCTGATATAGCTTTTTAAGTAGCTTTTCGGAATTACGGCGAGGAATTTTGTTTTTCATATAAACAATAGTTTGGTGAGGTTTCCAAATTTTTGCTACAAAATTTGAGTCATGGCTTTTTAAGCAAATTCACACAGTCGCCATAATATTGCGATAAACTTAAGGTTATTGATAACCTCAATAGACACATTGTCCTTTCCTTTTACTTAACAGAAAACGAAGAAAAATGTAAACCGCTTCGAAATCGTATTGACTGTCTTTTCTTTCTCAGGAACTTTAAGTGTTTTCAATGTACTTCAACTTATCGATCTGTAGAAATCGCGGTAGAGCTTCAGTCGGTTGGCTCTGATTGATCTAAGATTGCGGCTGCTTTTTTCCACAAAGAGTATTTCTTTGCTCGTTTGTCCCCTCAGCTAACTAAGAAATAACTGCCCTATTCTGCATTATTAAAGCCTTTTTCCACATGAGACTTTACAGGAGAGTAGGACAAGGGGTTTTTACAAACGTTTGGTTTTCTAATGGAAATGGCATTGCCATTCGATGTTTTCAAACATCATAACTTTTTTATGTTCCGCAACAGTTTTAATATCAACAGGCACGTCGCCTTTTTTGACATGATGACAGACAGCAGGGACTATCATTTACGGAGAATGAGCACATCATGCGAACAAACAAAGACGTAAATAACCACATGTCCTATCGAGCCTTTCCTGACGTAGAAATTTCTTTTTCGTTTGGAATGAATGATCATTTTAATTGATTGCTTTAGTCTGATAAAAAGCGCAGCGAAATTTGTATAAACATCGTATGTCCTCTCACTCTATCAACGACATCCGCCGTGCGTATTCCACTGCTCTCATTCTTAGTACACGTGTCTTTGTGTTGTGGAGAGGCAATTCAGAGATCTATCTTGAAGAACTGTCACCAAGGAACGAAGACTTAACCTACTCTCTCTTCTAAACTATTCTCTTCATTCTGCATTTGCTATTCTTAAGGCCTTTTTCATGTTCTATTTTTCCACCAGAATATTTCATTTCCTAATTTCTGCTTTCGAACAAGAATTTATTTCCTTAAGTCCTATTCGCTTTCCAAAGCCTGTTTTTTTCGATCCTCTTTCCTTGATCTCACATTTCCTAATTCATATAATGATTCATTTGTACTTCACTTTTTGTTTAAAAATTTGTGAAACATAATGTCTTTGCCCAGCGGAAAAACATATTAAGAAGGAAAATAACATACATCTTCATTTAGGATCGCAGAGATCGACGACAACGCCTCTAAGACGATTGTTCTTACTCAGTTTTAGCGCAGGATGATAGAACACTTGACGAAAAGGACATGAAAAGCAAAGGGGGTTCGAAAGTTGCTTGAGTTCAGAGTTTGTGCATAACTATTTTTGATTAAAGGTTCATGCTTTCAAGGTGAAAATCAAGATGACTCCGTGCATGCACTAGTCAAAGCAAGCCGAGACGGAATTGTTACGTTGTTCATGATCTGAGCTTCGGGCAAGATTTCCTTATAGCCCGTAATTAAGTCCATACGTACATTTATTTGTGAAGGAAAAAAATAGAGAAAAAGATAACCTACGACACTTTGCTTTTAGATGGAAACTCTTTTGAAACGAGCAAAAACCGGAAAGGGTAAATGAAAATTTGTCACAGTGCGAAAGGAAAGATTATGAAAGCCGAGGGAGTTGTGGGGATCGCTCGAGCCTTCATTGCTTCAGGAGCTCGTTCAGTGCTGGTTTCTCTGTGGGCCGTCGATGACAAAGCCACGAAAGAGTTCATGGTTCGTTTCTACGGACATCTGAAGTGTGATAAAATAAGTGCCATTGAAGCTCTTCACCAGACCATGAAGTGGATGAGAGAATCTGAGACGACCAGGTACACGGTGAGGGAATGGGCCCCATTGGTTTTGATTGGAGATAACATCAATCTGGACCTATAAAAACTTTGTTTCAAATGAGGTTCAGCAAGACGAGAACACAGAAGGGAGAACTGTATCACTTTTCTAAAATTATAAATACCTTCATCTTTCTTAAGCAATTTTTTTGTCAGTTATTAGTAACTTTTTTAAGGTTCTAGAGGATTGTTAAAGAACTTTTCTGGATATGATAAGATTATTATGTAATAAAGCGAGTTGAAAGTGTTTGTTAAGCTCAAAGGTCTGATAAAGCTTTTAAAGTAGTTTTTCGGAACTACGGCAAGGAATTCTTTTTTTTTTTTCCTATAAACAATAGTTTGATGAATTTCCAAATTTTGGCTACAAAATTAAAGAGCCATAGCTTTTTAAGCGAATTCACACAGTTGCTGTATATTAATATTGCGATAATCTTAACATTATTGATAACCTCAATAGACACACTGTCCTTTACTTTTATTAAAAGTAAACCAAGAAACATAAACCGCTTCGAAATCGTATCGACTGTCCTTTCTTTCCAGGAACTTTAAGTATTTTCAATGCGGTTAAACTTATCGATCTGTAGAAATCGCGGTAGAGCTTCAGTTGGTTGGCGTGCTCTGATAGCGCCTACTTTTTTCCGCAAAGAGTACTTCGTTGCTCGTTTATCCTCAGTGCTAAGCTAAGAAAATAACCGTTATAATCCGTACTATTTATGCTTTTTTCCACTTATAACTTTACGGGAGAGTGAGACAATGGGTCTTTACAAACGTTTGGTTTTCTTATGGAAATGACATTGGCATTCGATTTTTTTCAAATATCATAACTTGTTTATGTTCCGCTTTAGTTTCAATATCAACAGACACGTCGCCTTTTTGACATGATGACAGACAGCAGGAACTATTATTTGCCGAGAATGAGCACATCATGCGAACAAACAAAGACGTAAATAACCACACGTTCTCTCGAGCCTTTCCTGACAAATAAAATTTCTTTTTCGTATGAAATAAATGATCATTGCAATTAATTGCTTTAGTCTGATAAAAAGCGCAGCAAAATTTCTATAAACATCGTATGCCTGCTCACTCTATCAATGATATTCACTATACGTATTTTACTGCTCTCATTCTTGGCACAAGTGTCTTTGTGTTGTGAAGAGCCAATCAAGAGACTTTTTTATGTTCTATTTTTCCACCAGAAAATTCCTTTTTCTAATTTCTACTTTCAAACAAGAAATTACTTCCTTAAGCCCTATTCGCTTTCCAAAGCCCGTTTTTTCGATCCCTTTCCTTGATTCCACATTTCCTAACTCATATCATGACTCATTTTACTTCACTTTTCGTTTAAAATTTGTGAAACATAATATCTCTATCCAGCGGAGTAACATATTAAGCAGTAAAGTAGCATGTATCTTCATTTAGGATCACAGAGAGCGACAACGCCTCTGAGACGATTGTTCTAGCTTTTACTACTTTTTAGCACAGGATGACGGAATAATTGACCAAAATGACATGAATAGCAAAGGAAGGTTATAAAGTTGCTTGAGTTCAGAGGTTTGTGCATAACTATTTTTGATTGAAAGTTTATACTTTCAAGGTGAAAATCAAGATGCCTTAGTGCATGCACTAGTCAAAGCAAGCTGAGGCGGAACTTTTACGTTATTTATGATCTGAGCCTCGAGCAAGATTTCTTTGTAGCCCGTAATTCAGTTCATACGTACATTTATTTTTAAAAAGAAAAATCAAGAAAAAAGATAACCTACGAAACCTTGTTTACAGATGGAAAAAGTTTTTATGATGGCATAAAGTTGCGTTATTTACGCTTTTTATAAAACCGCTAATCTGTGGAAACTGTATTTAGCAGTCGACCTGTATTAGACGGTCACGTGGATGACCGCTTAATACAGTTTCGACTGTATGGAGTTTCTCATGAAGGCTTTACTTTACTCACTCAGAGAACGGCGTTAAATATGAACAAAGTGGATGCCTCGGGAGCTGTGAAAATTACAACGTCAGTGGCACGTTTCCTGGAAAACACCAAGCGTCGACGCGCAGCTTTAAAATTTTACAAAGAGTTGGTGACACTATTGGAATTCATCGAACAGAAATTTAATTCATCAAGAGCCTTAATGAATGATAAAACACGAAAGGAATTGGATCACAGCACTATATCAGCATTTCTTTCCATCGCTGTCATCAACTTACATTTGATTGAGTATGATGAGTCAAGGATATATGCTGAACTTGCTCTTGCTAAAAGTAGGAAAACTGGCAGCAAAAAGACAGAAAAGTTATGTCTTCAAATACTCTGTGTATGTTTGGCTTTTGGTCGTAACGAACATGACCGAAATACTAAATGTTTAGAGGAAATACTCTCAGTTACCAAGGAATCTGGCGATACAGAGACAGAAGCAACTACCTACTATCTGCTTGCTTCGAGACATGTTGACGTTGGTCAGATGGAAGAGGCAGAAGAGTTTCTTGAGAAATCAATTCAAACGAGTCGGAAAGGTGGTTGCAGGTTGATAGAGGTTGAATGCTTAATCACACTAGCACTTAGGGTGCTTTCGCCACGCCAGAAAAAGAAAGCGTTTTGGAAACTTGAGGAAGCTCTTCGAATAACCGAAGAAATTGGAGATTATGAAAGGAAAGCCTCTGTGCTTCAAGCTTTAGGGGACTTTTCTAGGATTAATGGTAGGTTCGAAGAAGCAAAGGAATTTTACGAGAAAGGGGTTCAGCTCGGTGCAAAATCGCCTTACGCAAGATTATCGGGTTCTATGAGGCTTGGAACTGTTCTTATTGAACTTCACCAATTTGACGAAGCCATGAAGTGTTTACACAAAGGTCTTGACATCTGTGGAGAGGACCATTCAGTAGGCCAGACCTTACAATACCATATTTACGTGGAACTCTGTCGCCTTCACCTTCTCCTTGGTCAACCAGAAAAAGCTAGTGAGTATGTAAACAAAGTACTAACAGGAAGTTGGTACGAAAAGAACCATACTTCTCTCAGGGTTCTTGGTTTCTATATTAGTGAACACGGGCACTTTGAACAAGCATGCGACATCCTGGCTGAGAGTATCAAAGGTTATGAGAACAATCTTGACCCTTTGAATGACGAGTCCAAACTTTCTGATGGAGACTTAGATGTCAACATCTGGATGTACACGTATCGTTGCTTTTTGCTGTTTGTTCTTGGTAAGTTTGCCGAGGCTTTGTGTACAGCAGAGCGAGGCCGTGCCCGTGTATTGACAGAACTGTTGGCAAAGGAATACGGCATTCAAGAAAAGGCCAAATTGAGTGAAACTGACCTATATAGCCTTATGGGTAGTTTGGCTAAGAGTCAAATCTTAGTTTTCTTTGGCTCTGCGGCCGATAAGAGCATCTTGTGGATAATGACAAATGAACAAGGCCCGAACTTGGAGGTAATGTCTCAAGAAAAAGCAGAAGTTGATCGTCTCCTTGAAGCTAATTTCGGGTCACTTTTTTGTAGCCGAAACGTCAACTGCGAGGACCGTACATTGTCAGCCTTGTATGACATTCAGTCTGCTGATGATGATACCCAACACGACAGTGTCAGTGAGAAACGTCTCCTTGAAGAGACAGACGACGAGGTACGCGAGGTTGAAAAGTTACCCAATCAACTGTACAAGTCACTCATCGCTCCATTTGCTGATCGTATTCAGGGCCGAGAGCTTGTACTTGTTCCTGAGGGATCTATGATCATGGTTCCTTTTGCCGCACTACAGGACGATTCTGGAAAGTACCTGTCTGACTCGTGCAGTATTCGCATCATTCCTTCGTTGTCAACACTTAAGTTGATTCTTGACTCCCCAGAGAATTATCACAGCCGGAATGGAGCGCTGATCGTTGGCGATCCACAAGTGAGTCATGTCACAGCACTTCCGCAATTGAAAGCAGCTAGGCAGGAAGCTAAAGAAATCGCTGATCTTCTGGAGGTGGAGCCTTTGTTGGGTATGCAAGCCACGAAAGAAGAAGTGCTGCGACGAATAACTGATGTGTGTCTGGTACACATCGCCGCCCATGGTGACGCGGAAAGAGGAGAGATTGCTTGTGCACCTAACCCATCCTCCCCTCAAAACCCAACGAAGGAGGACTACATGCTAACCATGGCGGACGTTAGCAAGGTTGGGAGCCGAGCGAAGCTTGTTGTACTAAGCTGTTGTCACAGTGCTAAAGGAAAGATTATGAAAGCCGAGGGAGTTGTGGGGATCGCTCGAGCCTTCATTGCTTCAGGAGCTCGTTCAGTGCTGGTTTCCCTGTGGGCCGTGGATGACAAAGCCACAAAGGAGTTCATGATTCGTTTCTACGGACATCTGAAGCGTGAGAAAATGAGTTCCAGTGAAGCTCTTCACCAGACCATGAAGTGGATGAGAGAATCTGAGACGACCAGGTACACGGTGAGGGAATGGGCCCCATTCGTTCTGATTGGAGATGACGTCAATCTGGACTTATAAACCCTTTGTTATAAGTGAGGTGCTGTAAGACAAGAACACTGAAGGAAGAACTGTATCACTTTGCTAACATTATAAATACCTTCACCTTTCTTAACAATTTTTTTGTCAGTTTTCAGAAATTTTTTTCTTCAAGGCTCTATAAGATTGTCAAAGAACTGTTTTGGATATAAAAGATTATTATGTAGTAAAGCGCGTTGAAATTATTTGTGAAGCTCAAACTTCTGGTATAGCTTTTATCGTAGTTTTTCAGATCTACGGTAAGGAATTTTTTTTCCATATAAACAAAAGTTTGATGAAATTTCCAAATTTTGGCTACAAAATTAAAGAGCCATGGCTTTTTAAGCAAATTCACACAGTCGTCGTATATTAATATTGCGATAAATTTAAGGTTATTGATGACCCCAATAGACACATTGTCCTTTACTTTTATAAAAAGTAAACCAAGAAAAATATAAACCGCTTCGAAATGGTATCGACTGTCCTTTCTTTCCAGGAACTTTAAATATTTTCAATGCGGTTAAACTTATCGGTCTGTAGAAATCGCGGTAGAGCTTCAGTTGGTTGGCGCGCTCTGATTGATTTAAGATTGCGCCTCCTTTTTACCGCAAAGAGCACTTCTTTGCGCGTTTATCCTCATTGCTAAGCTAGGAAAATAACTGCCCTAATCCGTACTATTTAGGCTTTTTTCCACATGTAACTTTAGGAGAGTAGGGCAAGGGGTCTTTGTAAACGTTTGGGTTTCTAGTGGAAATGGCGTGGGCATTCGATTTTTTTTCAAATATTATTACTTGTTTATGTTCCGTAACAGTTTAAATAAGAACAGACTCGTCACCTTTTTGACATGACGACAGAGAGCAGGGACTGTAATTTTCGAGAATGAGCACATCATGCGAACAAACAAAGACGTAAATAACCTCATGTCCTTTCGAGCCTTTTCTGACAAAAAAAATTTCTTTTTGCGTTTGAAATAAATAATCATTCCGATTGTTGCTTAAGTCTGATAAAAAGCGCAGAAAAATTTGTATAAACATCGTATGTCCGCTCACTATATCAATGTTATCCACCGTAAGTATTCATTTGCTCTCATTCTTAGCACGCGTGTCTTTGTTTTGTGGAGAGCCAATTGAGATCCATCTTGCAAAACTGTCACCAAGGAACAAAGATTTAACCTATTCTCTCATCTAAACTATTCTCTTCATTTCACATCTGCTATTCTCAGGGCCTTTTTCATGCTTTTTTTTTATTAGAAAATTTCATTTCCCAATTTCTGCTTTCGAACAAGAAATTATTTCTTTAAGCCCAATTCGCTTTCCAAAGCCTGCTTTTTCGATTCCCTTTTCGTGATTTCAAATTTACTAATTCATATAATGACTCATTTGTACTTCACTTTTCGTTTAAAATGAATGAAATATGACGTCTTTGCCCAGCGGACTAACATATTAAGCAGTAAAGTAGCAAGAATCTTCAATTAGGATCGCAGAGATCGACGAGGCCTTCAAGTCGAATGTTCTGGTTTTTACTCAGTTTTGTCGCAAGATGATAGGAGCAACTGACGAAAATGACATGAAAAGCAAAGAAAGGTTCTAAAGTTGCTTCAATTCAGAGGTTTGTGCATAACTATTTTTGAGTGCAGAGTCATGCTTTGAAGGTTCAAACCAAGATGGTTTCGTGAATGCACTTGTCAAAGCAAGCTGAGGCGGAACTGTTACTGAAGTTGTTTATGATCAGAGCTTCGGGAAGGATTTCCTGATAGCCCGTAATTCAGTGTACACGTACAGTCTACGTTTTTCAGATGGCAACTCTTTTGAAACGAACGAATAGCAAAATAGGTAAATGAAGATTTACGGTAAATCAACAGCTGCTAATGGTTTCTAAATTTCTTTCGTTTTCCAAAGCACTTACCTCAATGTCGTTTTGAAAATATAAGTGTCCTTGACAGTGTGTATTTTCAATGTCAATGTAAAATCAAGGGGAGCTGTGATGAAATGCCCGCTTATTTTCGGAAATCATTTCAGAGCGTTAAGCATTTACAACCTAAAATCAGTATAAATATTCTCCAAACTGTTCTCTAAACATTTCCTAAGGTGCTCAGAGGTGAATTTGTTTTATAATCAAGAGCTTACTTAGTTGGTGTTCGTTTTCTTTATGCTCGTGATTCAGGGGTGGTAGGAGTGTTTCGCAAACATCAAAGGTTTCAATAGTAATATTTTTGCAACTGATGGTGATATGCATGTTGGTAGAGATGCATGATTTATCAAATGTGCGTTATTCAGGCAAGCAGAAGTGAGAATGTGCCTCAACCTACCTGCCAGGCAGTTGGGTGGAGGCAATAATTATGATAATTGAACTGTTCACATTTTTTCAATTGTCGTGGAAATAGCTAAACAAAGTCAAACCTGTATTAAGCGGCACCATATTTAGCGGTTACCCTGTATTAAGCTGTCAGTTCACAAACTCCCGAGATTTTTGCCCTCAATGATTGTAATTTTTACTTCTATAAGGCGGTCATCTCTATTAAGCGGTCGCAGTCACCTTTTACGAAGTCCCAACGGCCTGTTTTCATTGTCCTCTGCATGTATTTATATTGAATGGTCACCCCGCTATTCCACGTGGATGACCGCTTAATACAGTTTTGACTGTATGGAGTTTCTTATGAAGGCTTTACTTAACTCACTCAGAGAACGGCATAAAATATGAACAAAGTGGATGCCGCGGAAGCTGTGGAAATTACAACGGTAGTGGCCCGTTTCCTGGCATACACCAAGCGTCCACGTGCAGCTTTACAATTCTACAAAGAGTTGATGGCACTATTGGAGTTCATCGAACAGATATTTAATTCATCAATTGCAAGACCCTTAATGAACGATAAAATACAAAAGAATTTTGATAACTGGATTATATCAACATTTCTTTCCCTCCATGCAATCAACCTTCACTTGGGTGAGTTTAATGAGTCAAAGACATATGCTGAACTTGCTCTTGCTAAAATTAGAAAAACTGGCTGCAAAAAGGCAGAAAAGTTTTGTCTTCAAACACTTTGTCTATGTTTGACTTTCGATCGTAACCAACACGACCGAAATACTAAATGTCTAAAGGAAATTCTTTCAATTAGCGAGGAGTCCGGCGATATAGAGACACAAGTAACTGCCTGCTATCAGCTTGCTTTGAGACATTTTGACGTTGGTCAGGTGGAAGAGGCAGCAGAGTTTCTAGAGAAATCAATTCAAACGAGTCGGAAAGGTGGTTGCAAGTTGATAGAGGTTGAATGCCTAGCCGCACAAGCACAGGCGAGAAAAATAAAGTATTTCAGAAGCTGGAGGAAGCTCTTCGAATAAGCGAAGAAATTGGAGACATTAACCGGAAAGCCATTGTGCTTTACTCTTTAGGGAAAGCTCGTCATGCTGATAGTAGGTACGAAGAGGCAAAGGAATTTTACGAGAACTCACTGCAATTCAGTGCAGAATTGCCTTACTTAAGAATGCTTGTCTTCACTAGGCTAGGCACTGTTCTTGTTGACCTTAGACAATTTGACGAAGCCATGAAGTGTTTACACAAAGCCCTTGAAATCTGTGAAGAGGAAACGTCAGCATACCATTTGTTACGCTGCAAGTACCAAATCTTCGCCGTACTCTGTGACCTACACCTGCTCCTTGGTCAACCGGAAAAAGCTTCTGCGTATGTAAACAAACTATTAACAGAAAGTTGGCATGAAAAGAAGCATGTATATCTTGGTCACATAGGTGCCTACATTGGTAGACACGGGCACTTTGAGGCGGCATGCGACATCCTGGCTGAAAGTATCAAAGGTTATGAAAACGATATTAAGCCTTTAAACGACGAGTTCAGACTTTCTGTAGGAGATGTAGAAGCCAACATCACGATTTACAAGATTCGTTGCTTTTTTCTACTAGCTCTCGGTAGGTTTGCTGAGGCTTTGTGTACAGCAGAGCAAGGTCGTGCCCGTGTATTGAGAGAACTTCTGGCAAAGAAATACAGGATCCACGAAAAGGCAAAGTTTAGTGAAACGGAACTCAATAGCCTTATGGGTAGCTTGGCGAAAAGGCAAATGATAGTATTTTTTGGCTCTGCTCTCAAAGAGAGCATCTTCTGGATAATGAAAAATGACTTTGGTCCGAAATTGGAGGCGATTTCCCAAGAGAAAGCCAAAGTTGATACACTCCTTGAAGCCAACTCCAGGTCACTTTTTTGCAGTCGAAACGTTAACTGCGAGGACCGTACATTGTCAGCCTTGTATGACATTCAGTCTGCTGATGATGATACCCAGCACGACAGTGTCAGTGAGAAACGTCTCCTTGAAGAGACAGACGACGAGGTACGCGAGGTTGAAAAGTTACCCAATCAACTTTTCAAGTCACTCATCGCTCCATTTGCTGATCGTATTCAGGGCCGAGAGCTTGTACTTGTTCCCGAGGGATCTATGGTCATGGTTCCTTTTGCCGCACTACAGGACGATTCTGGAAAGTACCTGTCTGACTCGTGCAGTATTCGCATCATTCCTTCGTTGTCAACACTTAAGTTGATTCTTGACTCCCCAGAGAATTATCACAGCCGGAATGGAGCGCTGATCGTTGGCGACCCACAAGTGAGTCATGTCACAGCACTTCCGCAATTGAAAGCAGCGAGGCAGGAAGCTAAAGAAATCGCTGATCTTCTGGAGGTGGAGCCTTTGTTGGGTATGCAAGCCACGAAAGAAGAAGTGCTGCGACGAATAACTGATGTGTGTCTGGTACACATCGCCGCCCATGGTGACGCGGAAAGAGGAGAGATTGCTTGTGCACCTAACCCATCCTCCCCTCAAAACCCAACGAAGGAGGACTACATGCTGACCATGGCGGACGTTAGCAAGGTTCGGATTCGAGCGAAGCTTGTTGTACTAAGCTGTTGTCACAGTGCTAAAGGAAAGGTCATGAAAGCCGAGGGAGTTGTGGGGATCGCTCGAGCCTTCATTGCTTCAGGAGCTCGTTCAGTGCTGGTTTCCCTGTGGGCCGTGGATGACAAAGCCACAAAGGAGTTCATGATTCGTTTCTACGGACATCTGAAGTGTGATAAAATGAGTTCCAGTGAAGCTCTTCACCAGACCATGAAATGGATGAGAGAATCTGAGACGACCAGGTACACGGTGAGGGAATGGGCCCCATTCGTTCTGATTGGAGATGACGTCAATCTGGACTCATAAACCCTTTGTTATAAGTGAGGTGCAGTAAAACAAGAACACTGAAGGGAGAACTGTATCACTTTGCTAACATTATAAATACCTTCACCTTTCTTAAGCAATTTTTTTTTCAGTTATTGGTAGCTTTTTTTTACAAAGTTCTATATAGAATTGTTAAAGAACTGTTTTGGATATAATAGGATTATTTTGTCGTAAAGCGAGTTGAAATTATTTGTCAAGCTAAGACCTCTGATACAGCTTTTTAAGTAGTTTTTCGGAATTACGGCGAGGAACTTTGTTTTTCATATAAACAATAGTTTGATGAAGTTTCCAAATTTTTGCTACAAAATTAGAGTCATGGCTTCTTAAGCAAATTCACATAGTCGCCATAATATTGCGATAAACTTAAGGTTATTGATAACCTCAATAGACACATTGTCCTTTCCTTTTACTTAACAGAAAACGAAGAAAAATGTAAACCGCTTCGAAATCGTATTGACTGTCCTTTCTTCTGAGGAACTTTAAGTGTTTTCAATGTACTTCAACTTATCGATCTGTAAAAATCGCGGTAGAGCTTCAGTTGGTTGGCTCTGATTGATCTAAGATTGCGGCTACTTTTTTCCGCGAAGAGTGTTTCTTTGCACGTTTGTCCCCTCAGCTAACTAAGAAATAACTGCCCTATTCCGCATTATTTTAGCCTTTTTCCACATGAGACTTTAGAGGAGAGTAAGACAAGGGGTCTTTATAAACGTTTGGTTTTCAAATGGAAATGGCATTGCCATTCGATTTTCTCAAATATCATAACTTGTTTTTGTTCCGTAACAGTTTTAAAACCTGGCTCGACAGAAAACGTTTATAGCTACTGCTCTAATTTGTAGCTCGCGTTGGCAAAGTTATCTGATTGTAAGAAACATAACTTTGTCGATGTGGCTATGTATGAAAGCTTTTTTTTTTTTTGGCAGAATAATTAATAATTATTCCACGAGCGCGCGTTGAATACGAGATGGTAAACGGCGAAGGAGGTATCTAACAATTGCGAATGAAATAATTAATTGTTTTATTAAATGTTATCAAATCCTGAACGTTTGGATGTTTGGAACTTTTGTCAGCTTATTTAACTCATGTCAGATGACTCGGAATTATGAGCTGATAATCGGATTTGAATAAACCAATCAGTACACTAGAAATGTAACAGTCGGAGTTGAAAATTTTATAATACAGAATTTACGGAAACAGTAAGAAATAGCTTTGGGCTTTTAGTTTAACTATGTATTTTTACGTAGACAAGTTTACAACGCCGTTTTGAGAGTTTCATGTAATAGAAAGTTTTTCTGCTTTGAATGCTTGTTTTCTTGTTTGTTGACCTTTTCATTCTCTGTGAGTAAACAAAAACATTTTATCCCTGTTCCGGAGGGAATCAGTTTTGGTTACCCTCAAATTGCATAGTTTCCTCGATTTCGCGGAAACACGAACAGTCTTAAGAAAACAGAGATTAAGAGCACAATACCAGTAACCACCCTCCTACCCCTACTCCCCCCACAACCAACTCCAACTAACGGTCGTCATACTGTCTCAAAGAAAAAGTGGTGAAACACGGACTTACCCTGCTAAAGTGTAGAAGCATGTCTGAATGCTATAATCACACATGGTAAACGGTTTTCATTCCCGGATATTGCTTTGCTGTGTAAAGACCTAGTAACAAACTCTAAGCTAGGAGGTATTTCTAATTCAAATCTCTCAAGTTTTCCCAAGCCTTTCTTGTGTGACATCACAAAGAACGACCGCAAAGGTGACTGATGATGTTACCCTGCACAGGTGTATACAAAAGAAAAAACTCCGTGGCTTTCGACCAAAAGATTTATCAAAAGTTGATAAAGTTTCCACGAAGCCCATCTATCAACAGAGTAATCCGGCAGCGGTATTTCGACATATTTACAAAATTTTTCCATAATTAAGATTTCCTTTTGTCAAAACATTGATATGTTTTTCATTACCGTTGTGGAATCAGTACTTCTCTATGATGCACAATTATGGACACTGACTAGAAGGCTCGAAATCAAACCCCACGAATGCTTTGCGCCGTGCAATACATCTTGGAAGCAATATCAAACAAAGAAGAGCTGTATGAAAATGTCTCAGACAAATGGACACCCTATCGAGTGCGAAGGACAAGATACGCTGGATAGTGCTAACGAAGCATAAAAGAGCTCTTGTTTGGATGCAATGTTAACGCACTGCAATATGGGACTACAATAAATAACCTTCGTGGACTAACTCGAAAGTCGGAAATTAATCGATTATCTTAGGAATTTACTATGGATGATAAGGCTGTCTAGAGAGGAAGAGAGAGTTTGATCCGCGGTATCTGCCCGACGAGGAGAAAACAGGATAAACAAAAATTATTGCTGACCAAGCTTTGATTTTACAGTGACCGCATAAATTATTCACGAGGTTTCGAAACTGCAGGACTTACTGGAATTCCCATTAAATGGTGTTTACATTTGTAACGTGGGGCTTTGGTACAAATGATCCATTATAATACAATGATCACAAATCTTTACAAAAGAAAATGCTTTAGTAACAGCGATTGCAAAGCGCGTAATGTTCGGCTCACAGCTGGGGTCACCTTGTCATTGCGTAACTCACTTCCCCGCTCTAGAAGCGCGGAGAGAAATTAGGATGAGAAAGTAGCACGCAACGCCCACAAGGGACGACGGGATTGCAGCTTTTTCGCTTGCCGTTGGCTCCTGCACCGGGCCATTGTTGAGTGAATTTGTTTGTCCCAAATTCATGCAATTAGGGCTCGATGATTCCCACTGACTCAAACGTTTCCGGTAACTCTTCGCAAGAGAAAACATTATGAGAGCTCGTAGATAATCAGTGTCAATTATATTTGGCAATCTAATAAGTATACAACGTGGAACAGTAGTAGCGGAGCATTTTCACGTCAGAGTAATCCAAACCTCAATGAGTATTACATTCAATTAGACTTGAATAGCGAACGGATTAGATCTGTGACGTATTGCACGGTGTAAACGAATTAAATTCTGTGTCCACGTATACAAAGTATAATATTATGCCAGGAATGCGTGAATCATCTTTCCAGTGTAACTGAGATCTTTCAACATGCTAAAATAAAAACAAACAAACAAACAACAACAACAACAACTTAATCAGTAAGTTAAAAAAGTTAAACTGCTTGGTGCGAAGATGGAAACAAACTTAACAGACTAGTGAAAACGTAAAACCGTCTCACAGTTTTGCAACAGACTGCAGCATTTAACGAAGTAAATAAACAATCATTTAGACCTCCTTGTGAAGCAGTGCGGTTTGCCAAAAGCTGAGATCCTTTAGTAATTTTTATCGACTAAAAAACTTGTTCTATTATATGTATACCCTGAGTTATCGACTACTGCCAAACTAATAATAACTATTAAAACATTGCTATTAATTTCTAATTATGTGAAACAACAAGACGAGAGTGAAGAGCCAAAACAAACAGAAAATTACTTGAAAAACACTCTTCTAATAAAATTGCCCCTCAAATATCATTTGTTAAGCACAATAAAAATAGAGAAAAATGTTTCACAAAGGGACGAGAGTGTTTCACTCCTTTAGGAAAGTCAGCACAAAACAAGGATCTTCCTTCAATCCAATTTTTACCGAGACCGACTTTCTTTTGGAGGCCTCGAGATTTCTACAAGAGCAGAAAAAAATTACATTCTCCTGACGTTTATAAACAGCTCACCTGACAATATGATGTGTGAAAGCGTCTGGGCCACATACCCCTATAAATAGCTCCCGTTCAGTGCCTGCACTGGGGGGAGGGGGTAAGATCTCTAACAACATCTCCATGCAAACACGACCCTCGTAACCTTCCCACTCGGGGGTGGACTGGGTTACAGTGTAAAACACTTGAAATCTGCAAGAAGTGGCAAACATCAGTTAGGTTTGACAATTAATAATATTTATACAGATATCTTATGTGCCGAAGCCAATGAAAAAACACTGAACATTCATAGATTGGCACATAAAATTGCCCTCACGTTAGTGGATACAAACCTATCGATTCATCTCATCGCTGCAACTATGTCCTCCATCAGACCATATCTTACCACAGGCTAACAATTCTGTGTCCGCTACAGATCACGTGAAATCATTGGGGAATTTGATTCCTTCTCATTATGCAAATTAAGGGTGCATACCAGTATGAATCAGTTTTCACAGAACATAATCCAACAAAGAGTGAGAGTGAGAGAAATTGGAGTGAGAAACTTTTCACAATGACTGGAACTAACGCACAGATGAGTTACATGTGGCTTACTACTCAAAAAGGAAGGAAAATTGTAGAGGATTGTTCTGTGTGCCCGCACTAACCGCGTGCCACAGGGAAACGTTATCTGTAATATGATATCATGTGTTTACGAGGTTAAGCTCATACAATGCATTATCTTTGTTTACTTGCACGACAAAAAACCTCTCACCTGGGGCTGGCATTATCTGCTAGTTCGTCTATCTGCTGCTTCCATAAGATGTCTTTTTCCTGACGATTTGCGAACAAGAGTTTGACAGCTCTGTGGAAGAAAAGCACATGAAGGTCAGAACCTTTCTTTTTAGCATGAAGGAGTTCTCCATAATTCGCTCTTATCTCAGACACCAAAGGAGCTTTTCACCATTGTTAATGCATCTTGATATATTAGCACTTTGAGTCTACAAGTCTCTTTTCAATGCTTCACCAGCCTAGTGCTTGTTCTAGGCTATTTTCACTTTTCGAGTAACCAAGTAGAGCATTTGAAAAGCTTCCTTCTAGCTCTGAACAATTTCCTCAATTTACAAATAACGCCACAAGATGCAGAACCGGGCGTAACTCCATAATTTACATGTATAAAAGGATGTTATTGTTCACGCAGGTTGTCAGGAGTATTAACATCATCAAACTTAAACACTCTTAACTCCTTCAAAAGTATAATATAAAAAATAGAGAAGCAAAGAACAGTGCAAGTTCCCTACTTTTCAGCAGATGAATTCTCCAACACTGTTCGTCGAATTAGTCGGATCATTGGTGTGAAGCCTGCGCAAAAATAAAAATTCGACTTTTATTACTTTTTAATGCTGATACCAGGTTTACAAAGACAAGACTTGCATTATTGTGGAAAAAAGTAATTGAATAATTGAAATATCACTGTCTAACAAATAACTGAGTGAGTGAGTGACAGACTGATTGAATAGTTGACCGACTGACTGGCTGGCTGACGGACCGACTGAAAGACCGACCGACTGAATGGCTGACTAACTGACTGGCTAAAAGACCGACTGAATGACTGACTGGCTTGCTGACTAGCTGACTGAGTGATCTACTGTCTAGCTGACTGTAGATCTATCAGCATTGACGAGGTGGCATTGACAAACCTGTTCCAGCCGCAATAAGAAAAATTTCCTTTGCTTCGTTCAGACGACTATCTTTAAAATCTCCAGAGTAATCAGTGACGTGGAGGGTGTCACCTAAGAAACAAAATTGTGAAGATTGTAAACAAATTTGGGAAAATTTGCTGTCGATAAAAAAATTTTAGAAGACTGAACTTCCTGCAAGAACATTTCTTGCAATGACTGCTGATGAATAAAGATCAAATAAAAAATACTTTAACATTGGTTGGCGCCCCTCACTGCAAGGTGTGACAGGAAAAACTTGGAAATAATGGAACCATACAGATATACCAGTTTTTCATCATTAATACAGATTTTCTTCAACAGGGAAAATTCCTTAACGGTCAGCCATAGTTTTAAAGACATCGTTTTAGATTTAAAAACCCATGGAGGTAACAAACCACCCAGCACTGACGGGGAGTGTTGGAAATTATGAAACTCACCAGCGACGACAGGATTTAAAGTTGGTGTAAGCGTTCCTTCAGGATAAAGTTTAATCATGAGGTAGAACCGTCTGCCATCAAATTCTCGCTCTGATGGATCGACTTGTAGAGAGGGTAAGACAACTGTGTATGGACGACTGATCTGCATTCCTGTGGCGTCAGAAATTAAAATGAAGCATAGGAGAGGTTTGCAGGTTTGGAAGAGAGAATTTATCCAAGAATGTCCAAATGAAAACTTTCGGATTAAAAGAACCAAAGGCAGGGTGAGATTAAACCCTACAGTGACCTGAAAGGAGGGGGTAAGTTTCTAAAGAAACTGTGGCACTGCGTCGGAGAATATAACAGGGGAGTTTGGTGTTATTGTTAGACTAAGGGCTAACGCTCGAAACGTCAGCTTTGAAACTCTTTACGGTGGCCAATTTTCGATATCAACTCAGTTGATAATGCCAAACTACCCAGTGACCTGAAAGGGTTGTTTAAGGAGAGACATTCCCGTGATAGAAATGATTTGTACCAATAGCATGATGTTCCATGCTTTGGATAGATATTGGAGTAAATATACATGTAAGTACTTATTGATTCAGTCGGCGGGTCAGACGGGGAAATACTTGTCTCGAGGTAGTAACATACGGCTCGAGCATAACGTTAGTGTTAACCAAACTTTAACTGTTTTCTCTCTCGAGGAGAACATGATTAACGTTGAGCTACAGTAAGCCTAATTATTATTTATAGTTCCAAAACAAACCTTCAACATCTCTGGTCATGTGTATGTGATGTCCAATTGGTATTCTCATAATGACGCCTTTAGGAAGCTCACAGCAAAACAGTTTACAGTTATGTGTTACTGAATCCACTGAGATTACTCGGCAGTCCCATAACCTGGAATCTAAAAGTGGAAACAGAAGCTTGAGACATAAAAAATCTGGATTTTAATGGAATACTTTTGATTAATATAAATGTAGAAAAAAAATGGTCTATGGTTCAACATAATTAGCCCCATAGGGCGAGGAAAAATACCAGCAATTTCATTTAAACTTTGCTTTACGGCCGACAAAAAAAATCCGTTGCTAAAAAATTCATGCCTTTAAATAGGAAAAAAAAACATTTAATCCGTCAGCGTGGCCATTTTTTAGTTCCAGCTTTCCATCCATACCTTTTCACTCTCCTACAGTGTAATACCGTGGCATATTTTCTGTGATTCGGGCGTACAATAAATAAATGTGTGCGTTTTCACTGTTTTGATACCTCTCTCCTTGTGCGGCTTGAAAGAGTTATTTCCCTGTAAACCTTGCCCTAACTCTGTCCATTGCACGCCAGCCGCTTCTTTGGTCAAAAGAATATCAACTTTGCCACTTTCCCCAGACATACGTACTGTCAAATAATGAAACAGTTTGAAGGGAAATCAGTCAGTAAACCTTCCGTATCACCAGGTTTTTAAATTGTCTAAAAAATACAGTCATTGTGGTATTTATGTTTATGTATGGTTGTTAAAAGTTTTCTCAGGATGGTATATACAACTTACAAAGTTATAATCCAATTTGTTACTGTGACATTTAGACTCCACATTTACATTTGCATTAATTAAAGGGGTTTAGTTTCTAAAGAAACTGTGATGCTGCGTCGGTGGGAGAGTATATCAAGTTAATTTATTACTATCGACAGAGTTGATAACGTAAATTGGCCACCGTAAAGAGTTTAAAAGCTGACGTTTCGAGCGTTAGCCCTTCGTCAGAGCGTCCAATGAAAGGCTAACGCTCGAAACGTCAGCTTTTAAACTCTTTACAGTGGCCAATTTGTGTTATCAACTCAGTTGATAATACTAAATTACTCCACATTTGTACTAGATAACTTGGTTTCATCAACTTACTTGATAACGTGAATTGGTCATTGTACGGAGATTTTAAAACTGATGTTTCATGCATTAGCTCTTCATCACTTCTAATCTCAAATCTCTTTACAGTGGCCTACTTAAATAATCACCTAAGCTGATAAAACCAAATTATTTAGCAAAACCCCCCACAGATGTACCACCACAGTTTCTAAGGAAACTAACCTCTTTATCCACATTTAGTAATTTAACCTAATGCTATATTAAGATATAATACACAGTACATTAAAAATTTAACAAAACTTTGTGATAAACTGCATACCTTGTTGATGGGATATAAGATTGCTGAGTGCTGCGGGAAGAGATAAGATACATGTCAATTATTTTTCCCTTAATGAAACGGACCTAAGGTAACTAAATCTGAGGGGTTCATAAACATATTTGGTTTATGATGGGGCAAGTAAGCTTTATGGGAAAGGTTAACAAGGTTTAGAATTCACGCGGTAATTATACAGTCCACAATGAACAATAAACTAACCTAAGTGAATTCGAAAACTTTTTTCTCCTAAAATGAATACTGCATCAAACTCTTTTCCATCTTTCAGCTCTAAAATGATGTCTTCAACTTGGACTTCCTATGAGACACATGTATATTGTTTAAGTTGGGTAAACATAAACTGTAATTATAAGGATTTAGGAATCCAAAAGTTTATCTGATGCAGAGTAGTTTTAAATGTGTATTTAGGAAGAAAGCCCCTCTGCCATGCTTAAAACGGGTGTACATGTAACACTTGAAAACTTGTAAGCTTCACCTCAAACAATTATTCATTTCATTGCAATTATCAAGTATCTTACCAAATAAAAATAAATTAAAAATTAGTTATTACATTTGTTTCATGACAAATTTAACAATGTATCAAAACAAACCTTTTTTCTTGTAAAAACTGATATTGTCACTATTTTATCATTTTGATACCAATCATAGCTGCAACAAACAAAAAAAAGGAGAAAACAAGTTACGCACAGTGTGAAAACTGCAATGTCATGTCAACTCCTATTGACCACTACTATCTCAAGGTTAGCAGAAAATTCAAGCTATCACAGCCTTGAGTGGCAGGTTTTTGCATATATTTGAAAAGGACTGACACATCTACCTAAATTTTTGCAACATTTCTGGAAATCTTTGCTTATGATCTGATTCTCTACAAAATTGCAGTGTTCTTAGGATAAAGTTTCTTGCCCTCAAGTCAAAAGAAAACTTAGCTCAGGCACATTATATTACTTTGAGTCTTACCGAGGATCTTGTGACTTCTGTGGGGGAACAGGAACAGTGAAACCATCAACTAAAAAAAAAAATATCAATTTGAAATAAACCAGTCATTAAAAAAGAGAGTAGATCTGGAATTGTTTTGCTCTCAAAGATACATGGACAGGTAACAATCGAACTAGTGGTTGGCTTGCACGGCGTCAGTCACACTTAATAAATATATATACTCCCTACTACAGGTGAGGAAGAACAAGAGGGACTCTATGATTATAGTTACATCCCTGTTAGACAAAATAGCATTATTGACAACTTAAATCTCAGGTGAACTTGAGCCGATTTTGATTTCAACAGGATTTATTCAGACCTGTGTTTTTTCCATTCTCTGATTTCTTCCTTGTTTCAAAATGATTTCCTTGGTTACTGGGAATCAGCTGAGAGTATTTTGAATAACAGTGACATGACCAGGAATAGAATCTAAGTAAAAAATATTTTATGAGAAGCCTACCTTGAGCACTTGGAACAAACAAACTATTGTGAGACCGCAGTGATCCTGACGAGACATTGAGGGAGTTTCCTGATCCTTATGAAGCAACAAAGTAGAAATTAGACATTTATTAAAATTGTATTATTGAATACGGAAGGCGTACGTAATTTCCTGAAGAGCTGTAATTCTTTCTTTAAAATATAATAGGTCTCTGCAGCTTGACCAAACAAGTAATCCATGATTGAGTAAAATATACTGTAGGCAATGGTGTCATAAGCTTTTTCAACCCTTCAATCCCGAGATCTTATCAATAATTCTCCATAATGTTTACAATGTTTGTAATAGCTTGGAGAATTTGATATTGCCATGCTTTTGCTCCCAGCTCATGTTGCTGTACCAGACTGTACTATCAAGGAAGTCTACAACTCTCAGCTTTGACATGTGATATGTACCTGTTCTGGAAGGTTTTGTCTTTTTAACCACATTGCTTCTCATTAAAGGGCCTATGAAACATTTTTCTAACATGGATTCAGCATTCACCCATTTATGTGTCTGAAAAGAGGAAAGATGAATAACTTAAACACATGATGAGGAGAGGATAAAATTGATACTTAGCAAACATTTTTGCTTGTTGAGTAAATAGCAGCACTTATAAGTAAAGGTAGTAACAGCTCCAATCAGTTAAATTTAACCCACGAGTATAAAATCTGCCCCAATAAGGATCTTTTGTGGTATGTGAACTCTCTGTTCACCATTAACCCTCTACACCCTAACATCACTGATTCAGTATGTATGTTCTCCATAATGTTCACTACAAATCTCTTACCCTGTTGACACGGAGAATTTGTTTTAACAATCAAGAGATTTTTAGTTGGTGATCATTTTCTTTATTCTCATGAACTTAGTGTGAGATTCAGGGATAATATTAAAAGGTGAAATTCTAATGTAGATACAAGTCAATCTTAGGGGTCAAACAAATAACAAGCTTCACACATTATGGTGTGCATACTGTTCTGCTCATTCCATTTAGGAACAGAGGACATTCGGGATGTTGGGGGGGGGGGGAGTAAAGGGTATTCACCTCATCAAATAAGTCAGTTGCATCTCTTCCAACCCCTCTCATGATCTCTGGAATTCCTCCTGGATGGTATTCTAAATAAGGAGTCATATTATACACTCTACCTGTATTATGTAAAAAAAAATAAAACATTCAAAGTTTGTAAGTCATAGATCAAAAAAAATAGAAAGATATATATTTTTTTACTGGTCATAAGGGTAGGGCAAAGAAAGATTTTGAGTTCTTATATGAAATCAAGCCTCAGATCTCCTGATTCTGCCTTGAGAGGCTTCATGGGTGAGGTGCTAAGATGAGTAAGGCCATTATTAGATTCATACAGGATGAGAAATTGAACATCTTCCTCATCATGATAAATCATGTTATCGACTGAAACATTTAACTGACTATTAGTACCAATTACAAGAAGCTTGTCTGTGTGAATTGTAAAATGTAGTATCTTGCGTCGAAGTCTCTAGCAAGACACTACTATACAGTTGAATCATGTGGCAAGGTACATTCATTGAGATATAAAGCATACAAGAAGTTGGAGAGCATGAATTACACAAAGGAGTCACTTGATGCATGATTAAAGGAATTTCATAAAAATGTATTTTACAGTTATAACACAGCTGTTATTGCCCTCTGTTACTGTCTAACACATCTCTAGACAACATTCAAAATTCCACATTGACTCAGAAACAGTGGACAAGAAGAGCCACTGAGTGGATTGTCGACTGCTAGATCATCATCATTATTTTAGACACAAAGGATCAAGAAAAGATTTACGGATCAATAGCACTGAATAAAAGGGCTAGTTTCAAAGAAACTGAGATGCTTCATTGGTAGGGGGTATTTTAAGATAATTTGGTTTTATGAACTGAGTTAATGATGTAAATTGGCCACCATAGAGTTTCTAAAGCTGACATGTCATGTTTTGGAAGCCCTTTGTCAGAGCAAAAGATTGTCTCTCACTGAAGAACGGCTAATGCTTCAAATGTCAGCTTTTGAAACTCCCTACAGTGGCCAGTTTTCATTAGTAACTCAGTTCATAAAACCAGAATATATTTTAAGACACTGATTGGTATTTTAAATGCAGTGTCATTTGCTGCCTTCTTAAAATTTCAAAATCCATTAAGATGTCTTCTTATCATGTTTTTTAATGAAGGAAATGCTTAAAATAATGAAAATATGATTTCAGTGATCACGAAATGGGTTTTACATGGAAAAGATAAACAACAAATCTACAGATTATTCTTAATAGCTGAGTGAATAACTGCCTTTGAAATCACAACAAAAGAAGACATTACATACTGTCAATAACCTTAAGGAAGACAGTATTTTTTCATGTAAATGACATGTCACATTATACCACTCGATTGTTGAACTACAGTCGTCGGTAACCCATTATCTAGAATCGACTTTGTTTGAGACAAGATCTACATATCCGGATTGTGACACAGACCGAACTTAAAAAACCTTTAGTGGCCACACAATCGCGATTTCTTTGGTGAAAATAAACAGAAATAAACAATTACTCATATTTAAACACGAAGAAAAATATTTCGAATTCACCTTCTTGATGTGAGATTGTTGAGGTTGTTACCTCTCTCAAAGCTATTTACATGTCTGGAAGAATTTTAAAAAGCTATGGGGTAGAAAAAAGGTAAATAACCAAACCTTTTACCTCTGATACTGATCCACGCATCTTGCTCTTTATTATGTTTGCCCAATTCCTCCTCGGTAACAACTTGCACACGTCCGCCGGTTCCAGCTAAGTCTTGTCCACTTTTCCCAAGCCTGATCCAGTCCATTAAGCTCCTCCCCGGCTTTAATGGTACAACTTTGGCCCTGATGTTTAACGAGCCCGATGATTTCGCCCGTTGAGGCGAATTTTCCGCCGGGAAGTTTATCTTCGGAGCAGTCATGGCGGCTTGGCTGTTGTCGTTTTCGTCATCACGTGTTTGTTTAGTGCGGTCTGCCACTGGTTGCGCAGCGTTCGACGACGAACAACCCAGTTTGGCGACTTGTAGAATATTTAAAACCACAAGTCTTCTTGCTGAGAGAAATCAATAACGAATTCTTGCCTTACAAGACCCCAGAACAACCCAGATTATCGTTCAAGCAGACCGGCCCAGATTATCGCTCAAGTTTGTAGAACTGCGTCGAAAATGAGTTAACCGAAAATTTTGCTTTTTTCGTCAGGTTAAAACCTCTTGCAAACGGTCACATGTCAGGCAGATAAGTGACACACGACATGCTCTTTCCCTCTAAGACACGATGGACGACATTAACTTGCATTGCCAGAGCGTTCACCCGACTGTTTAAGCCGTATAAACGCATAGTCTTAAGAAATGCAAATGTGTCAACAACATTTCGTTGTCAAGCAAGTTTTTAAGTAAACACGAATTAATCAAAAAATGTAGTGAAAGCCATTTTTCATCAGAAGAGGAAAATATCAATTTTCACATTTATTTTTGTGTTTATTTTTAATTCCACTTTCGTTTCAGACCAAGGAGAGCTGTGGAGAATTTATTGTGTTCACGAATCTGCCACTAATATCGTTTTCTTCAACAGTCCGTGGGCAGTTTGCATTATTAACACTTCAATTGTGCGTCAATACATCAAATTCAGTGCAGCCTATGATTCGCTGAAAGTCGGGCATAATTTTAATTTTTTCGCTGAAAGTATGTATAATTTGCAGTTTCATTTGCTGTTTAACCTCTTCAATTTCATTTGTTTACCTTCCTCTTTCGATTTTTTAAACACTTCCTCGGTTTCGTCGTATTAATTTTAGAAATATTACCCTTACGTTACTAAGACAAAAGACAGGCATGTGGGGTTTGATATGACAGCTGAAATAGTAATAGTCTTTTTTTCCCTGAGTCAGGCCACCTGCTGTAACGGTTTAGTGCAGTTCATGTTAAGATTCCACTATACTTATCACGCAAGACTTGTCACGCACGGCTCAGTCGTAATTGGCACTTCGTAATCCTGTCACGATTATTGTATCCTTTGACGTGACTTATCTCAGTTTGAGGTAATTTACCCCCTGCCCCCTCCCCCTTCCTTTCCTTAAGGTGTCCCCTTCAGTTATACAGTATTTTACACCGTTGACAGACTTCAGACTTACGCAAGTTTGAGCTTCGCCCTGTTTTATTACAGCTTTTGTTTTTTTGTCGTCTTTTTTTTTCCTCCACCACAAATTGGACAAAATGCGCACTAGTACCCAGTGGTCATTGGGCTCTCAACACCATGACAACTAACTGTGATCCAATGAGGGTGAAGGTGTTCACGTGCTGATCACGTGCTTATATTGATGATGATTGACGTTGTCATGCAAGGACAGGGCCGGCTAATATGTATTTGCTCAAGGGTTGTTGTTTTGGCGATGGAGGATCTACGATTTTGGGTTACGATTACCTGGAGCTTTACGGTGCAAACGCTCAAAATACTTGCAGACGTATACACAGGTCGTATTGTTCGCAGCCAATCCACATTAAAAGATATTATTGAGCGGTATTTTTAAAACGGATTGAGTCGCGAACGCTTGAAAACCATGAAAGCCTTGTATGCCAAGTATGCCAATGTCTTAGTTGTAAAACGCACACTTGTTGAAAAAATCAAATTCTTAAATCTGAAACCAAACTGCATATACTCTATGCAATCTACTGAACAACACTACTACCGTGAGACTGAAGAACAAAACTCTAATGGTGCAAACTGCTTGTGAAGAAAGACTCTGTGTTGGATTCACTTGATGCTAAGGAACGAAGCTACGATAACTGTACGAATGGTATTAATTTCACGATCAGAAAGGTGAATCTTATGTTTGTTTTCGTTGCAGTGGTATGGATATTCTTTTTAATAAATACATGATCCAAAATCCTGTTTTTTGCGTAAAATTATCTATTGTTTACGCAATTGTCTTGTGGGCTAATTTCTGCGTAAAGTTTTTGATGTCTTCAACAAAAGCTGCCGTGAATAGCTTCGATGAATGTAACGTATTTGAGAAAGCTGCACAGTTATCTGTTATTGTATATGATAATAAGCTTAATGATAGCAACGATGAAGCATTTTCAATAAATACGGTCTGTAACTGTAGATCTCGATACGTCAACTTTGTTTATTTTAATCGTCCTCGTACGCATGGTATTCGTGTTCGTGTTCGTTCGTAAGCCCAGCAGAATACCAAAGAAAAGAAGTACACGTATTTTGAAGAAATCCAGGAAAGTAAGACGTTTACTTTGAACCTACATCAGAAAAAGCATACCGAAGTCTTCCCGAATGCATCTTTTTACAAATAAAGCTCGCGAAAAAATATATGCACATGGAGTCAGCTGTGAGAATAAAGGAAGAACGAAATATCCCTCTTCTTCAGTCAAGAGGAAATATCGAAAGTCTAACAAACACAGTATACTGGAAATGCAAAATCAATATCCACATGCAATAAAAAGTCCACAGCCATAGCATTTGAATGCATGAAGGTCTAATTCAGTTCCAAATGTTTATAAAAATCTGAATCACAGGGTAAATCATTTTAAGTCCAATCTCTCTGGGGATATAGGAAAAAACCCTGGTCCTGTTATTAATTCTATTAAGACAATTCAAGCTCCTTACAGTCAAGGCAATGTTTGGGTTAAATGCCGGTACACAGTGTGTAGCCATGTCACTTGCTTCCCTCATATATAACAAGAGGAAGGATATTGTATCCTCAATGGACTTGGTTAATATCATGAACATTGGTAATGAATTGTATTCTGGTCTATCCAGGCAATCCTATTTACTGTTAACAGAAGTATGTGAAATGATAATGGTGTTTAATATTAATTACCAGCTTCAATGTAGTCCAAGCTATACTGGTACTATACATGGTACTTGTGAAGTACAAGATTTCAATTATTGTATATCATTTGCTTTTGCTATGCAGGCTTTGCTAGGACAAAATTATAATTCTTTTCTTTCAACAATCCTTAGTACTACAGTAGGTTTTTACTGTAATGGTGATGGTAAGTTTAAGATATTTGATTCTCATTGTAGAGATTCATATATGCCCCATCCTCAAGGAACTTATGTACTGTTATAAGTTACACCTTAAATGAGCTGATTAACTATTTTCAAGGTCTTTATCAAAATCCAAATGTTTTATTTAAACTCAAAGGAGTACATATTAATGAAAAACAATGTGACATGACAGATATTTCTGATCAACAGTTGTCAGCTGTCCCCCTCGAAGCAAATCATGCATATGCTGAAATTACAACTATTCGTATTCTCTTGTTATGCTGTTGTGTCACATCTTTTTATAGCGTTTGTTTTCCATTATCAAATATTGTGGGTATTGGAATTCACAGGCTCTAGATAGAATCACTGACCATGCAAACAAGTTTTACAAAGAAAAACTCAATGGCGATAACCATGCACTGACTATTAACAATTTCCCAAGGACACTTCAAATATGTGACGCAGATATTAATATTGCCTCAAATTTGGAGAAACAAGGAAATACTATGCTGTACATCTCTTAGTAGCAAATTATTGCTTCAGAAGTTAATCACAGATAATACTAGGGATAATGCTGGGTGTTTGATGTGGAATTTCAAATTATTGCTTCAGCTGTATTTTTCAGCACCATAATATGAAAACAAAAGCAAAAGGTGTTAAGTACTCTTCCTGATGGCACACTTGATATATGTGAAAAAATGAATGAAATAGATTTTCTTATTCAGTCATAAGTGGATATTGTAAAAAAAAAAAAAAATTCCAGAGTAAAGATGTAGAATATTGTATTAAATTTATATGTTCAACTAATTTGTCAAATGCTGGAAGACAAAAGGTAATGGCAAAACATAAGTCTCATAGTCAGAAAGAACTACATGTAAAAAGGAAAAAAGAAAGCTTTGCACAAATGGAACCTTCCAAGAAAAAAAAAGTTTTGTCTGATAAAGCAATATGGTACAAGTCACTGAATCCTGCAGAAAAAGAAAAGCTTTTATCTCACAGAGCTGAATGGGATAAATCACTGGATTCCGAAGAAAAAGAAAAGCTCAGCAGATTGGTATAAATCAATTGGTTCTGCAGAAAAACAAAATCTTCTGTCTAACAGAGCAATTTGGTTGAAATCACTGGATACTACACAAAAAAAAGAGAGCAGAATGGTTTAACTCACTCAATTCTGCACAAAAACAGAAAAAAGCAGAATGGTATAAGTCATTGAATCCTGAAGAAAAAGAAAAACTTTTGCCTGGTAGAGCAGAATGGTATAAAATACTAGATCCTGCAGGCAAAGATAAGATTATATCACAAGTCCAAGCTAATAAGAAAGTTCATAAAAACTCAGTTCAACATGATTTAGATCATAAGATCACAGCTTTTTAAAATAAGATTGGAGAACTTCCATATTATATTTGCTCTGTTTGTCACAGAATACTATACAGAAAACTGTTATCTATTTAAAAAAAGAAATGTACAACATTCGGCAAGAACTATTTACTGACATTAAGTCATTTGATGAAAAACAGTACATTTGTAAAACCTTGCACACAAAAGTTTTGAAAGGGCAAGTCCCATGTCAAGCTGTATGTAAAATACAGTTGAAAGAAATGATTCAGACCAAATCATTAAGTTCCTTACTATAAAATAATAGTCATCCATTGGTAGTGACAATCACAGGAAAAAATAAAAAATCCAAGTATTATTGTTAAATTTTTAAATGCTTGATTTCAACACCAATATCCAATAAATTGTTGTTTGGCTTTTAAATACAGTTGAAAGACATGATTCAGACCAAATCATTAAGCTCCTTAGTATAAAATACTTTGTTCACGTGAACACAGACAAAAATAGTATGCCATTTGAGAGAAGGACTCGAGCCCTTCTTTATGTACCTCTTAAAAGGGATATTTATCAATACATTTGTGTCATTTCACATAGAGCTTATATAGGCTTACCTATAGGCTTACCTATTTTAAAAAAGGTTCTCATAGATGATAGAAAAAAGGTCAATCCAAGATCCGGGAATACCTAGAATAACGTGTTTCTGCTTCTTATTCTAGTCAGCAAGAACACTGAGATTAATGTTGAGATATTCCAAGTTGTTTGTAGTACACAAAACCATTTTATAGGCCTTGATTATTTGTGTTTAGTTGTATACCCATGATTTCTTTCTGTCTTGGAATGACCAATCGCCTGTCGCCTGATGACAACCTTTTTCGAAATAGGTGTATGCCCTTGGCCAGACTTGAGCTCACTATTTCAGTATACTAGTCCGACACCCGTAGTATCACCACACTTGATCCCAAGGATCTAGTAACATCCAGGCATCCCAGTTACCCTGCTCACAGAGTCTAGTTTAAATAGCCTTCAGTTGCCTCTTTCTTTTTATTTTAATTCTTTTAAATCCTAATAGAGTAATTACTCAATACTTGAGTAAAGAGGCATTCTATGAAATATTGTACAAACTGTAATTCTGATTTTAGATATATGAACATTCACAAGCTGTAATTTCTTAATAACAGGATATTATGATCTTAAGCCATATTTTGGACTTCGTGAATTTTTTTCACGTTATATCATTCATTGATATGAATCCACATTCGTGGGATGGTTATCTTGAAAAAGCAGTTAAACCTGCTTGATTAAGCGAAATGACGTTAAATTCTTCGGATGGCAGTCTCGATTAAAAGCCCGCTAAGCTCCATCAATCTATTGATGATTGTAACGAAGTCTCCAGAAATAAATAGAACATTGATTTACCTCAACGCTATTGCATAAGCTGAGCAAGAAACTTCTCCATATTCCGGAACATTCTAATGAGTTATTTTAAGGATATGTCATCATTAGCGTCTAGAATGTTCTTCCTGCTAAAAATAGTGATTCAGAAATAAGTATGATGTAATCGGCTACTATAAATAAGGTTCGAGATCGTAAGGTTTTCAGAAGTTTAAGATAAATAATAAAGTGTTTAAAAAGGAAAACAAGAATCGTCTCCTGGCTTCGTGACAATGATAATAATAATGATAATGATATTGATAAAGATAAAGAAAAAGATAATGATAATGATAATAATGGTAAAGATGATAAAGATGATGATAATGATGATAATGATGAAGATAATGATAAAGATAATGATAATGATAATAACAAAGATAAAGATGATGATAAAGACAATGATAAAGATAAGGATAATGATGATGATAATAATAATGATAAAGATGATGATAAAGATAATGATAACGATGAAGATAATGATAAAGATAAAGATAAAGATAACGATAATGATAATAGTAATGACGATGATGATGGTAGCAGTAATAATAATGGCATTTTACAAACCCGCCGTTTTTGTATCTGCAGGGATTGGAGCCTTTGTTCGATGAATGCAGTCTCTTAGCATGACAATCAGTCTCATTTCTTCAGTCATGAACGCCGTTTGTTGTAAAGAGCATTTAAAGAGTGTCATAAGCCAATTCAAACTAATTACAACAACCAATTAGAGCCAGGTAAAATATCACAAAGAGCAAATGCAAACTCAAAATAAAAACCAGCAAACAGACGAAAAAAAAGAGCAATTGAAGCAGGGGGAAAACGCAAGTGACAAAAGTGCTGCTGGTTTAGGTTCTGCATCTGATTGGTTGGAAAAGAGGCCGAGTTCTATAGACCAAGGATACGGCGGAGTAAAGCGAAACCAAAGCAATCCTAAAAAAGTTTCTACACTTAGTTGAAAATTACCCTATCATGAGTAATCTAAGAATCATTAAAAATATTATAAAACGGTTTCTCTCTCAACCACAAGAAGTTCCTTGTTTGTTCTTAAAGCGTAGAGAAGCTTGCAAAGTTTATTGGTGACAATGTGCTTCTCTTCCAGCATTGGCTGTGATTCTGTATCTTTCTAAACGGACGGAGTCAGGTGCCGTTTCGGCTTCAGAGACACCCAACGAATAGTCGTTTTTAAATCCCAATTGCCTTCCTGCTATAGACTGCTTTCGAATCATGTAGTTCACCCCAAAAATCAAGAGAGAAGAAAATAATGCCACAGAACCGGCAATGTAAAATGCTTCATCATAGGAACCGAATGCTTCATGCAGCCAACCTGAAAACAAAGTGCAAACGTCGGGTTAGTCTCGACCCTTTTCATTTGAACGGCTGTATCGAATCAGTCTTAGCAACAGAAACAAAGATAAAGAACTCGCTTTGCTTTGCATCTAATTAACTGAGAGGGTGGAGCGAATTCTCTAGATCAATTACGAACCCTATAAGAGCAATCCCGGATTACACTCGACATTTGTTTGAAAATTTCACTATCTTTTACACAGCTGATCACCTGCAAGCGGAGGTCCAAGACTCATTGGTATCGCCAGAGTTCCAAACATGTTTCCCACTGCTTGAGAAAGCTTATCGCGTCCGACCACATCAGCCGTAATCACCGCCACTTGGCCCACAAAACAGCCATCAAAAAATCCAAATGTCAGAGCATAACCCACAAGTCCTGCATAGTTTTTTACCAGAGGACACAAGAGAGTGCTCAATCCAATGGAAAATATCGAAAATTGGTACAGGTAAAGCCTGTTGACGAATTTAAAGTCGGAAATCTTGCCAAATACCACTCGACCAAGCGTTGAGGTGATGGATAGAAAACCAATCAGCCAAGCGCCTTTAGATTTTGGTACTCCTAAATCTTCGGCATACTTCACCTGCAGATAATAACGAGACGAATAAAGGTGATAAGATTCTACAAAAAACTCTGGTGCCGCGTCGGTGGAGGGCATTTTAAAATAATTTGGTTCACTCAACTGGGTTGATAATGAAAACTGTCCACCGAAAAGAGCCTCAAAGGCTGGAGTTTCGAGTGGTGGCCCTTAATTCTTCATAAGGTCTACGCTTTTAACATCAGCTTTAAAAATTATCCACCTAACTTATCTTTAAACTATGATTTTCTTACGAGATCCCTAACGGCAGTCTATAACCTATTTATGCATTTGTCGCTGACCAATCATCAGGGATGAGAAGTTTTGTTGAGTATTAAACAAATACATATACAACTTACCAGGTGAATAAATGGAATGAGATAACTAAATTGAAACACAGCTACAGTAGTGACCCACAAAACATACGCTTTACTCTTCCATATTGAAGTATCAAATAACTTGGTACATTCTCTTCTTTCCCTGGTAGATTGAAGATTTTTCCTTGGTTTAAAGATAATAGCTGCAATGCATAACAGTCCAGCAAACGCGCTCAAAATGCGCATGGAGCGTTTCCATCCGACTGATGCCAGTAGGTAATTTATGACCGGCCCGGCAACAAGAGAGCCTACCCCACTTCCGGATGTTGCAATCCCATTGGCAAGCGCCAATCTTCTATCAAAGTATTCACCCAGGACAACGATGGACGACACAAAGGATAAACTAGAACCTACTCCCCATACAAGCCCGTAGGTAACATACATTATATGAACTTCCTGTATGAAGGAAGTTAGGAACAACCCTGAGATCGATAGTAACGCACCAGCGAAGGACACAACGAGGCATCCAAAACGATCACACAATGCACTTGATATAGGACCAAACAAGAAGTTTAAACCCATGGCCATGGCGCCAATCCAAGCTATGGAAAGAAATAAAAAGCATAATCTTAATGTGTGAAGAAATATGTTATTGTTTTTGTCACGGGCGTGAAGCGGAGGGAATTTTTGTGTTCTCCCACGCTGAATCGATCCCAGACCTTACGCATACCATCATCCAAATGCATCACACTCGAAAAGCATTTCATGTAAATGCTATGTATCTTTGCCCCTAAAATCTTCACGTTCTTATCCTTATAAGTATTTTAGTCTGCACTGGACAAGAATTGGAGGAATACTATATACAGGACATCAAGGAATAAGTAAAATAAGAGCCTCGAAGGGAAAGGCGCGAACAGAACGCTAAGACCCATGGGAACTAACACCCAAGGAAATTGAGGAGCCTACCCTCTTTCATCCTTTCACCCCCAAGATTTAAAAGACAAATCTCCTCATTGTTAACCTTCCATTTCTTGTACATGCAATTTTATAGCTCTGAAAAATCGGTTCTTCATCAATACAACATCTCCCATAGTTGATATTTTTGTCGCGCTCCAAAACTTTCTACGTATTGATATTGTTAGAAGATGTTTATTCTTTAGCTGCCTGGGAATTAAAGGTTAACTGTCATATTTCTTATCTGTCTCAATTCCTTTGAATGCAATCGGCACTAAACGACAAAAAAAAAAAAAAAAAAAAAAAAAACACTTTTCCTCTTCATGACGAAGTTAGCCTTGCTCATAATTCTTTGAACTCTTTTGAAAAGTGATCTATTTGTTCGTGAAAAGGGAAGGTATTTACTTGCGCTGCTTCGCAAGCGAGATACAGCGGTTCTGGTTGGCTACTTAAACAGGCTACAAGGACTCATCTTGCCAGCCAAGGCTTGCTCACTTTGTTCTTGACAACAAAACGGAGAATAATGAATACCTTTAGCTTGGTCAAAGTCTTCATGACGTCCAATGTTTATTTTTAAGAAGTTGAAGAAAAAATATGCGGCAACGACTGTTTTTACATCCATGTAGTTGTCAAAAAACAGAGATCATGTTTTTGAAGAAAAAAAAAGACGAGTTACGTGATTTTTGAGCAAATAATTTCCCTTTGGGGCTTATAGTTAAATCGGTGAGAAAACGATAGGACATTATTTTCCCGGCCTTGGTTAGTCTTGAGTGAATAAGCATGCACTTTCAAGATGCCGCTGCTAATGTTTGTTTTAAACACTTGTTTTGAGAACCTCACGTTGGGTCAATAAAGCCTTCATTGAAAAATTCTGAAACAGGCCAATTCGCTCTCTACCGGCACTGACATTCCGGCATCAGAGTTTTGAAACCTGGTTCACAAATTCTACAGTTTCAGTATTAGTCAACGTGTGACTTTGAAAACTTCTGCCAAACTTGTTGTCAATCCCTGACGCTATGATAATAAACAAATAATGCACGTGATTGGGCTGCGTATCAAAGTTCTTCAATTAGAGAGTCTTTAAGGCCTAGTTTTTACGTCGCGCTACAGTCGAATTTAATTCAAGGCCCCCACAAGCAATTATATTCGACGATAGCGCGACGTCTAATACGAATTAAATTCGTCTGGTAAATTAAATTCGTCCTAGACGTTTTATCCGTCTTGGTAAGACGGATAAAATATCGATAGCGTCTTCAGTTTTAACGTCGCGCTAGCTTCGCGTCGAATGAAATGCATATATTTTCTTAATGTATTTCAATTTATTTTGGCGAGCCCGCAGCGACCCGTGGCGAGCTTTTCAAGTATTCCGCATACGCATAACCTACTTTGGGCGCTTCGGCGCGAGTTTACGTTGTAGTTCATAGCCATGGCGCTTTGGAGGAAAAGTTTGTCATTTTCTTACAGTAATTGTGAGCAACAAACGAAGTATTCTTGTATAACGTGTGGTAAAAGTGTATGTGTTCGATCGGAATGTTCGATTCCTGAAGTTAATGAAGAAGCTATCGGCTGGTAACCAAATAAACGTGTTGGGTATTGTCTCAAGTGTGCTCTTTGTACAGAAAAGCTTGTCAAAGATTGTTAGAGCGAAGTGGATGACAAAGACCATGGTCAGAGGGATCTTACAACATGTATTCGCGAAGAAGAAGAAGAAGAAGAAGAAGAAGAAGAAGAGTCAGGTTTCATCGAGGAAGGTGAAATGGTGAGTTGATACATATTGGAAATGTAGACAAGCAAGATACCAGCAAGAATGATCAAGAAGTTGATGGTGATGATGATGACTGTGCAAGCACTTCATCCAGCCTTATGGATAGCAGTGGAGAAGTCCCATCCAAAGGTAAACGTTTCTTGGCAAAGAAACCTGCCTCTAAAAGAGCTAAAACTGAGCAGATGGCAAAAGCTGTTGAACTACTTCAAAGTACTATTGAGAATGATCCCACCAAAAAACTTTTGCAAATTTTAAGGGAAGATATGAAGCAGTTTAGAGAACAGGAAATGAGGTACTTCCAGTTGATGTGTGGCCTACTAACACCCAACAGCAATCCAAACATGCAACCCCATGGTAATTTCCATCCTTATAGCAGTTCTTATTCTGATGATTTTCATCATCAAAGCCATAATTTTGCACAGCAATCTGTGTCCAATCCCAGAGTTAGCAGCAGTCACCCAAGTACCCCATCCTTTGGGTACACACCATTGATGTCATCTGCTCCAAAAAATGATGAGCAGTCTCTCCTACATCACGTTCAGTCAACTATGACTTCACAAGGACAATCTGGTGTTTCACAGTTGTACCAATTTTGAAAGGATCTTGGCATGCACTCTAATATTTTAAAGTTATTTTGGAACTGCTTTGAAAAGAGCGTTCTACACTATGGCCTTGAAGTGCCTATAACTCAAATGATCTTTTTCCACCAGCAGAAATCTCAATATTGCACTGATATGATGGTTCATGAAGTGTACCATTTTGTTTAAATATTGGTTTTTTAAAAGAATTTGTAAATTAAGTCTGTTTTTATCTCAAACACAACCAAGCTGTGAGGGGCATGGATCTATTCCTTGTTCATGACATCACAAACTGCTTTGCAGTGCAAAAATTCTTTGAAAGCAGTCTGTGATGTCAAACAGGAATGGAGCCATGCTTCTTGTGGTCCAAGTTGGTCGTTGCTGTTATCCATAAAAATCCAGGTCTTAAGCAAATTAAGACAAAACAGTGGAATTTTGCTCAGAAAAATACAAATATATATTTGAGAGAAAAATACAAATATTTATTTGAGGGAAAAATGGGGGGAAACAGTTGGTGGGGAGGGGGGGTGGGGGTGTTAAAGGCACTTTGAGAACATATTTTAAAGCAAATATCAACGAGGTGGTGATCATGTCCGACCAGTAAGTTTTGTACCGTTAACTGTCATAATTGATTGAATGAGCTGATAGCCAACTTATAAGGTGTACCTGGCAATGTTCCTGAAGTGGATGCAAATTATGTACAGGTGCAGGCCAAACTATTTAATTTCTGGCAGCAGAGGTATTAATAATATTACCTGAGTTCCCATGTAGTTTCTTTGCACTGAGATACCATAGATAGGTAGTTTGGTATGTTATGGTTGTCAAGATACGGTCCTCAATAATTCTCTGTTTAATGTTTACTTTGTGGTTATGAGTAGTCAAAACAAAAACTTGTGCAATGGAAAACAAGTACTGCTGTCTCCTCAAGGCTACCCTTCATATAAATGAGCCTAAATACATCTCATCTGGTGACAGTGTAGATACCCTTTCAAAGTTGTTCCCTCAAAAACATGAAAGGAACAGGATCTCATAATGTGTATTACTGAAATGTACATTATGGTTTACAAATCATTTAAATGTTGTGTTTCACTTTGAATCTTTTCGTTCATTTTTTTATATCCCTTTGTTAATTTGTTTGAAGTTATATTACAAAAGTTGGAAAACAAAGGAAATTATATGGTGATAGAATCAATACATTTCTTTAACGAAGGAAATAACAACTGAATTACAGTATTGCAATTCTCATCATAACAGTGTTTATTTCATGGTACTGTATGTAATGTCTGAAAAATATACAGTGATGCAACGTAATGTCATATATTAATGGTATTCCTTGATCCAATGACTATCATTGCTTGCTTGAACATGAACTCGAGACCTGTGCAGTTCTAACTTGCATTTAAAATGGGTCACTTAAAGCATTGATGAGAAGTAATGCAACAAACGAATTAGGAATGTCATGACATTCAGTACCTTTGGTCCAATTTGATTCTTTTTTCTGTTATGTGTACTGAAAAGAAATGTAATTATGAAGTAAGCGAGTTTTTCATATAATGCCGATTTGCAGGGCTTGTACATGTAATGCCTAAGTTGAAATTGAGACAGTTCCACAAAATATTCATTTCTACCCCCGTGGATTAAGAGCGTAGAACCCGCGTTCCGGCGTGAAGTACGCGCTAAAGTTTAAGACGGTTGCCGGAGTTATCGGGAGTTTGAGGTCTAACAAAAAACTTCACAGGGGCGTTGAATATTTTATGGAACAACACACTGTTGCTTTTATGAAGTTTACCTGAAATGCGAAGTGATTTATTTGTTACAATCTACGGAGAACTTTGAAAATAACATGGATGACAAAAAATTGTTTTAATCACGTCTACATTTCCAGTTCGTTTGCTTCTTTTTCCTGCCACATTTTCCTGGTCAGAGCCTCCCTTATTGCTCCAGCTTTGCGAGATGAATCCTTTCTCTTAGGGCAGTTGCGCATCTGCAACAGATCTCGTATTTCTTCTCTGGACCTTTTCTTTTGTGCAAAAGGATCAATTGACAAATCCAGTTGGGCAGGAAGGCTGTCCTTTGTGGTAATGCAGATGTTGTGAAGTACAATACACGCTAGCGCGGCCAGTTTCACCGAATCTGGTCTACATTCTAGCTTTCGATACAAAACTCTCCACCTGCTCTTCAGTTGACCATTGGCTCGCTCAGTTACCATTCTTGCGCGGCTTAGACGATAGTTAAAATAGCCCTCTTCAGGTGTAAAGTTAGCATTACCATATGGTTTAATTAACCATACTCTGAATGGGAAAGCAGAATCGCCCAAAATCATCGGGTAAACCTCGGTACCTTCAATGACTTGAGAAATTGATGGTATGATGTTGTTTTCAGTAATGTTGTGCCACAAATCAGTGGACTGGAAAATGATGGAATTGTGTGAATTTCCTGGAAAACCAACACTTGCCCAGATGAAACGATCCTGTGCATCTACAATGGCCATCAATACTATTGAATAAAAGTTCTTAAAGTTATGATACTCTTTACAGGCTTTCAGACCGCCAGGAGGGCACTGAATGGGGATGTGGCACCCATCTACAGCACCCCAGCAGCAGGGGAATTGCCAAAACGCTGTCATATCCACCATTTTCTCCATAATATTCTGTTTGGTGATTGGAAAATGCGCTTGCACCGAAGGTTTCCACAGGTTTCTTATGATCGCTTCACATACTTCCTCTATGATTTTGTGAACGGTCGTCACACCAAGGCCAAACAGTTCCGCAATGGTGTATAGGTAGTCACCTCTACCTAATCTGTAAAGACATATAGCCAGCCTACATTCGGCAGAAATGGGCTGCTCTGTGACAAAATCTTTCTCAATATCAGGTCGAAGACTCTTCAAAATTAAGTTAAACGTATTCCTTGATACACGAAAGGTTTTCTTAAATCTTCCTTCATCATAGGACGCCCAGACCAATTCCCACCAACCTGTGTTTTTATGACTGCGACGACAACTGCGAGGTCTTCGAGCGCTAATTTCATCTTCACTTGACTGTAACAGGAGACAAGTCAGCAAACAAAGTCGTACGATAAACCTTTTCCTTATTAACACCAATGTAACCATATTACGCCGTAGTTGACGTCGCCGTTGTCTTTCCCTGGAAATTTTCTCGAGCAAAATTGTTTGCAGAGCTTTAGCCCGCGTCATGTTTGTTTCAAAATGACACCTCTGACCAGAGACACTGCATTTGGGAAGAGAATTAAATTCGACCGTATTGATTTCGACGCATAAAACCACGCCACGATTTATGTCGACGGAACGACGAATTTAATGGAATTAAATTCGACTGTAGCGCGACGTATAATCTAGGCCTAAGGCAGTTGTGAAAATAAGGCCTGAAAAAAATTCAGGCCTGTACGGGATTTGAACCCATGACCTCTGCAGTACCGGTGCAGCGCTCTACCAACTGAGCTAACAAGCCAACTGGGAGCTGGTCATGATGTTGGTTCTAAATAAACCCGTGAAGTGATGAAATAAACGGTTAAGAATATATGAAAGTCATATATTTGAACTGCGGATAAAGATTATTTTCACTACTGCCTAAGTAGTGCACATTACTGCGAGAATCACTTTCATTCACGTCTTTATCCGCAGTTCAAATATATGACTCTCATATATTCTTAACCCCAAATTATTATGTGAAAAACGGAAATGAAACTTCAGCTCAAAGGGAAATAGTAAAATTCTTATGAATACTGCGTGAGCCAAGATATCACATTAACTATATAATGTAACTTATATAGAGGATATTACATGGCCGCGCGGGGGACACGGCTGTTTCGCGGTGGAAATTTAGTTCGCGCATGCGGTCTACAGGAAAGATCGAGTTAATTATTATTTCTCTGGTTAATACAAAATTATGCATTTGCATAAATCTAGCGTCCATGGCAACCCTTTGGGCTAAGATATAGTTTAGCCAATGAAATCTTGCTGCATATCTAATGTATGCGGGTGAAATTTAGCATGGCGGATGTTTACACATGGAAGAGGCATTTGCCGTCGAAAATTTGAGTAAAATCGGTCAAATTTTGCCTGTGTTCGACGAAAACACGTTGCTATGGTGGAGTCTAGCAAGCACACCCTATTAAATCAACTGAAAACTTTGATTTCAATTTGGAAAAGGCTCGAATTTTTCCCAGCAAAGCAAGAGTCAAAAGAGAAGACTTGAAACCTTACTGAACAACCGACAGAGGTAAGTGTTTTAATCCGAATTGTTTAAGACTCCATTCGAGGCGCTTTTAATATGTTAAGATCGGCCGTTATGCGACTCCATTTTGAATCTCGGAGGTACTGAATTTCAAGTGAAACAGTCTGTAAACGACTGGAAAGGTTTAGTTTTGGTTCCAAAGATTGTAGTAACACTTTTATTCGTCTAAATTAGAAGTTGAGCAAATAAATTACACTATATTTACACACATAGTACTCGTTCTTAGTCATCGAACCGATACATTGCTATTGAAAAGGAAAGAGTTGTACTCGTTCGCTTTTCGTTTTAAATTTCTTTCTTTAGGTTTGGGAGCTTTCCCGCTAGTTCCGGACTCGTGGCAATGTGATGGTTGACAAGGATTTGACGCAATCTCGTGTCCTTTTTCTTCACATGGTCAAAATGCTGGGACTGGGTATTGAATTCAGAGTGTATTCCTTCAATCCCTTGTTCACCGTAGAATCCAAGGCCCATGTGCCATTGTCGAAGAAAAGAGCAAACATGTTCTTCTAGCATATGCAGCTTTGGTGTGATTGTCATGTCTGGAAATTTTTCCCTAAGGAACTGAAGAAAATTTGTGATGTCTTCCTCTGCAACAAGAAAACAAGAAAAGGTGGACTTAAGACATGATCTTATTGCTGTATTCATGTTTTTCCATGAAAGTCAGGTTTTTTCTTTCAGTTACCTAGCTTATCAATCTTGCCATCATTGAGATAGTCTGCACTGTCATAGACAAAGTGGCAAGCAGCAAATAACTTAAAAACTTGTTCAAATTTCACGCTAATTTCTCTTGCTTGAGAAAGGAGGGAAGGACACAGCTCCTCTGTTTTCGTCAGCACAGCACTGCATAGTTTAATGATGTTGTCTTCCTACCAAAAAAACAAATGCAACAATTCAATGAAATTTTGTGACTCAACAAATTCCTACTCTAAGGGTAGAATTTGTGTTACCTTGCAGCAAGTGTGTACATGATTACCAATGAATGATTTTCCATGATAAGCTTGTCTCTCAACATTCATTTTCTTGAGAACCTCATCCAAATGAACCGATAGTGGTCCATTGGCTTTCTCATAGGCAGCCAATTCCATTTGTTCATCTGCAAGCTTTTCCTATAATGTTGAGATAATACTATTTAAATCTGGGTTATTTGACTTACTGCTTAGTTGCTATAATTTGATAATTTGAGCCCTTGTAATATTACAAATAAATGATCTATAAAATAAAATCATAACTTCTTTAACTAAAAAATTAAGATGGGTTTGAAACATGTAAAATGGATTTGGAGGATTGTACAGCTATGATACTGGAAAGCACCAATATATTATTTTTACCTCCTCCTTTGCATTTCCAAGGAGTTTGTCTATCTCCTCCTGTAGTAGTGTAAAGTAGGCAGGCATGATATCAACATTAGCATGCAGACTTTGTACTTCAGCAACTCCTGTAAATAATTGGCTTTTTCATTAAATTGTTGTGCTTGTCTGGTATGTAGTTGGGCAGCTCTGAGTGCCTGGATTTTCTCATCATTCTCTTCACTGTCTCCTGCTAGAACCATTTGAATTTTTTTGTCCAGCTCAAAGCACTGGTTCTCTAGTTCGTCAAACAGTTTCTTAAACACACCCAAGCTAATGTGAAGTCCAGGAACACAAACCTGAAATAGACAACCATTAAGTTAGGTGGCCTGTAAGTCCCTCTTCAAAGCAATAAAATAAACTCTTGTATCTTACTTTGTCCAATTCAATGTCCAGCAGTTTCTCGTGAATCACATTGTGATAAAACTTCTGTTGACTTGTAACAGAGCCATCTGCTACAAACTTATCATAATCCTCTTGAATGTTTTCAAGACTTCGTTTTTCAGCATGCCCACGTTTATGGCAAGAGACTTGCATTACTTCATGATTTATCTTGTACCAAAGACATGGATATTTGCCTGCAAATACAATTCTTATGGTGGAAACCTGTTTCACAGAAATAGTTATGTAGAGTAGAGGCTACATTTATATTCTTTTATTGAATTGCTAAATCATTATTATTTGTATATGTGAATTATTGTCTGGATCATACCTGAGGCACCAGCTATTCCAAATAGCTTGCATAGGAACTCATAGTCACCAAACAGGAAAACCACTTTCTTTTTACCTCTAGAAATGGGCAAAACAAAAATAAAAATTTAATTAATATTATGCTATTTCAAGTCTTTATTCTCCTGATTAACTAAAAGTGTGGTAAATTTTTTTTCACTTATGCCCAGGTTGCTTCTTTCAAGGTGTTTACTTGTTCTTTATATTTCATTAAGGCTGTCTTTAAATTAGCCCAACTATCTTTTGCATGAAACATGGCAAAGACCACTGTGTTGGTTTTAGAATTTGGATGCCTCAGGTTAGCAATCTGGAAGGCCATTTTAAATGACCCACCACCAGCATCTCCTCCAAGTTTTATGAGCACTTCATTTTCTGGGATTGCATTGTTCCATGTCAGCCTTCCATTCCTAAAATGATAACCAACTATAATTAGACTATAATTCACAGCAATAGGCAACAGAAAATGATAAGCAACTAGCACAAAATATGTGTGGAGTTCGACATTTTGTCTGGACTGGTTGATCAAATACCTCTTTGCAAATTGGGCACATATACTCATGCTTGATGTTTTCAACAAACTGTTCTGGGTAAAGAGGTTCTGATCCTCTAAAGCTTTGTAGATTCTTTACCTCCTCAGAGAATGAGAGTGAGGCTGGGTCAGGTTGGAAGCTTAAAGTGCCAGACATTCCTTCCACCATTTCCACTTGTTCCTTGGGTTCAGCTGAGTCCTCTCTGGGTTTTATTCCAGGTTTAGTCTTCTTCTTCCTACCAGGTTTCTGTTGATCCTTAAAGAAACTGCAGATCTTACAGTTTCCAGTGCGTTTGTGTGGAGGCCACACATTGATTGCAAGGCGTGTGCCTCCTCTTTAAGCAAGCTTGTAACACTTGTGGCAGAACTTAGGAGGGCACATGTCAAGGTCATCTTTACGAACTTTGACACCAAAGGCTGTGGAAGTAATCTCCGTCTTATCAGCGCAAAGAAAACTGTTCTCATACTTATCTTTTGCCTTCTTCAATCGCTCTCCACAAATTCGGCAAATTTTTTCCAATATTTGTTGATGTTCAGAGAGACCAAAGTTAGCCATCTGAATGCACTAATCGAACCGAGTTGTAAACTAAACTTGGATTAAGCAACGCAGTTCTAAGTTGACTCAAGATACGTTCCGAAGTTCCTTTTTCCGGCCTTTTATTGCTTCAGAAGTGTACACCCTTAGGGCTTGTACCTTGTTTCAGGAAGGGGTGTCTATTTATCTCTCTCGATCGGTTCTTCAGGGGTGCGGGAATATTTGCATTCTTGTGTTATTGCGTGTAGTTCATTCCATTTGAAGGGAGAGGGAATATTCGCCAAAAACCATGTTAATCACGGCCAAGAAAAACGATTTAACTATCAGATCAAAGCACAAATGGTAACATATAATTGTAAGGTTTATTATCCGTGATTATGATTGAAATGTTGACCGAAAGAAACGTCTTGTCCGTGCTTTCACTATTTCAAGTAGCTCCTCGTGACAGATCGATGACATACACTTTTCGGGGAGGAAATCACACGCACGTAGTTCGACTTTCTTGCACATAACAGAAGGCCGTGGACATTTTATCAGTTTGTCATAAATCGTGTATTCTTTGTTTAGCCCATGGGTAAGCATGAGATCATTCAGAGGATAAATTCGCGTAGTTTAGGGGCATTAGTTCGAGGTCAAAGGGGAGATGGACGCCATATTTATTATTTCGGTGGTGATGTGTAATCGCAGATTACACCGCTCAAAACAATTCGGATTAAAACGTCATGGTAAAGAAACTGATGGCAAAGGAGAGACGTAAAGCCTGAGTTGTTCCTTTATTGAAAGAAAAATTCGAATCAATCAGAATCTTGCCTGAAAATAAGAAGACCTCAGAAAGGCGATGAGTCATCTCGCGTCAAAACAAGATGCCATTAAGCCGTCGCATAGTTAACTATCCCGCACACGCAATCTTCCCTCAGAGAACATTAACCAGGGAAGCAAAATACAATGTCTGCGCATAAGTTAGCTATTTCCTTGGGCTTTGCGCATATACTTTTTGCGACCTAGTTATCAGTGGGCTCTTTCTTGTTGAGCCGTTAAACGTACATTTTCAGCGGTTTCAAATTGAAAATGTCAATCTGACATGCGCGAACTAAATTTCCACTGGCGGGCGTTTTGAAACAGCCGTGGGGATACGAATTTTATGTTCGAGTGCTGAAAGTATCTCTCACAAGTGAGCGGAGCGTATCCCTAAGCGGCAATGCAATATTCTGTTTATTTTATAGATACTGATGAAATTCCCACAGAAAAGACAACTTTTTTTTCGGCCTTAACGTTCAATACAAAGATTTTTTCTTCGTTAGCCTCAGATACACCACTGATAATGTCCGTAGCCACAATACTGTTGGCTTAATCATGGAATGAGATAAGTTAGGTAAATAACGTTGATTAACACGATTAATCGGTTGGTAAATAGAAAATCAATAGGACAAAACACAACAAAAGAATAAAAATTCAAAAAGGAGATAGAAAGGTAAACTGGCATTCTTGTAACCCCAGTGAGCAGTTTTTTCAAGAAATTTGATTGTACGCAATGGCGTCAGTTTCAGATGGTCGATCGTTTACCGCATAACTAATTACGTCTCGCTGTGTGACGTAAGTATCTAACAAATGCAAAAATAAAGCCATTCCGAGAGGGAAGACAAAATTTGTTAAAAGAGGATGTCAGCATCCATCGAACAAATTTGAAATATTGTGGCAAGTCGCCCAAGATTCGTTTTCTCCCCTACTTTCGTATTTTGTAGCCCAATATGTCCTAATAATTGTGGTGTAGTTTTTTTGTGAAAATATATTTTAGTTTTCGAGAAATGATTTTTTTCGTTCGACCGCTCAAATATGCAAATTTTCATCGTGAATATTACCCGAGTTGTGTGACCTCATGTAACGAATTTACTCGACCTCCGGTATTTCTGTCAACATAATCATAATCCCCTGTCATTATTGAAGCTGGAAAATAAAAATTTATTTTTTGGTGAATATTTTTGTTCGACATGCTTTTTCTAAGTTGAAAAGTGGCATCAAAACAAAGACAGTTTTAACAATGACCGATACGACAGAAGCTGTTGAGCTTCTAGCTTTAAAAAGACAAAAGGATGGTTATAAAGTTACTGTAAAAATTTTCCTTGTGTATTTGTGTCGTTCTAACGTGAGATGAACTCAAAGTCCGGCAAAATTTACTTGCTAGCGACTATGAAATATACATCTTGTGCCTATTTGTCGCCACCGTTTACTGGCACAAATCACGACAATTTGTAAAAAAATCTAGCATAATACTCTTACCTCATTTATTTACGATTTTATGAGCTGTTTCGATGATCAAGTTATGCTCTACCACATTTTAGCCAGATTTAATTTGCAGTTTATAAACTTCTCCCCATGCCAGAAAGAATAGTCGCCTGGTCTCGTCTCCAGCGTCGCACCATGGACTCGTTAAGTCCATAATCTCAAGCGATTTCCGAGCAGTTTTCTACAGCTTCAGCCTCCGCGACAACTTTTATCCTGAAAGCCATAGTATACGACGAGCGGCGTGCTTTTGGCACGATGAGAAAAATAACAGCGACGAAAGAGATACTCGATGAAAACGTCAGTCAGGTTACAGTAACTGAGAGTATTGTTGTGTTTCTACAGTTGCGTAGTAGTATTTACATCTTCACTGATTCGCTTTTTTTTCTTTTTTAGAAAGTAACATATTGTAATATTGTCAATTCAACATAAACAAAAATCTTCATACAGGGTAAATATTCATTTGTGTGGGTATCAATTATTGCGTGACTAGCTTAAGATATACATGGGGTAGGAGGAAACAAAACGTAAAACCTGGGCTCCTGGTACAAAGTAATACCCAAGCGTAATCGAATAACCGAAACAGCTTACTGGTCTTATAAAATCATAAATAAACAAGCTAAGAGTGTTAGTTTCTTTGGCAAATTGTAGTGATTTATGCCAATAAACGGTGCCGACAAGTATGCACACCATGTACATTTCTTAGTCGCTAGCAAGTAAAATTTGCCGGACTTTGAGTTCATCTCACGATAGAACAACACAAATACACAAGGAAATTTTTACAGTAACTTTATAACCATCCTTTTGTCTTTTAAAAGCTAGAAGCTCAGTAGATTCTCTCATATCGGTCATTGTTAAAACTGTCTTTGTTTTGATGCTACTTTTCGACATAGAAAAAGTATGTCGAACAAAAATATTCCCTAAAAAATAAATTTTTACTTTCCAGCTTCAATAATGACAGGGTATTAAGTTTAGATGATAAAACAAAGGATTATTTTGTCAGAAATACCGGAGGTCAAGTATTAATTCGTTACATGAGGTCACACAACTCGGGTAATATTCACGATGAAAATTTGCATATTTGAGCGGTCGAACGAAAAAAAATCATTTCTCGAAAACTAAAATATATTTTCGCCAAAAAAACCACACCACAATTATTAGGACATATTGGGCTACAAAATTTGAAAGTAGGAGAGAAAACGAATTTTGGGGACTTGCCGCTGTTTGTCTGATGCATGTTGACATTAGCTCTTCAGTTAAATATGACAAAATTACAATCTGCAGTAAATAAAATGAAAGGGTATTTGCTATGTCGATAACCAAATGTCTCTCTTTACAGCCTGACATAGTGACATAGCCTGACATAGTGACACCTCCACGAAATCTGTCAAAAGGAGGATGTTAAAACACCAGAGGTCATCTCGGGTAGATTTCTGATGACGAAATCCGAGCTCGCCCGATGTTGTCATGAAGGCTCTATTTCGCATTTTAGAGCCGCAAAATAGAGTAGAAAGGAACACTTACTTCGTTTGTATTAGCGTTAAGATATTTGCATTTTTTTCCGTTGCTAACCCATATGACAGATTCCACAAAATACATTTGACGCCTCCTTTTCACGGATGGCCCATCACAACTATAACGTAATGACATCTTCACGAAATGTGTCAAAAGGAGGATTTTAAAACACCGGAAATCTTCTGGATTTCTGATGAAATAAATTTAACGCAGTTACGTTCAGAGTTTAAGTGATATATTGTTATTTCTAATATGGTAATTGATTAAAAAATTGTACATTACCTCGATTGGACGGAGATTAAGTTTGAATATAATGTAGCAGGCGATATTACTTTTGTCGACAAGGATAATCCGTGACTTGTCTCACCTATTACATTTTCTCTATCTGTGTTGTGCCATGATTATCATTGAAAATATTCTGCGATAATATTTTTACAATATTTAGACGAGGATTTTCAATTCTAAACGCAAGAGCGTACTTAGGGAAAGATCTACAAGAAACAGTTTCTCATGAATACATTTTAAAAATTCTTTTAGCTGACTTCTACATAGATAAAAATTACTACATAGATATATTTCACTTCGACGATTATCTTAATAAACAATTAACGGGAAGTTCTGAGAATCAGTTTCAATACTACATGTTAAATTAATGGTTATTTTTCTTCCTGCTTAAGGGCTCTTTCGCAGTTTGGACAACGCCAGTTTGCACTTGAATCTTCCAAAATAATTGTTGAAATGCATTTCCTGTGAAAAAACTCCTTGCAGCTACAACATTTCACACAACGAGAAGGAGACTTCGAGTCTGACTCTTCCCTCGGCATTCTACACTCGCACATTATCGAGACCTCTTGAACAAAAAGTGGCCTCCCGTCTCGACACTCGGGTACTTTAGAGAGGGGAAAGGGGTCGAATGATCCACTCCCCAGGCTCTTTCAAAGATGTTGTCTTATCAGCTTCCTGTTAAATGTCAGATTAGAATGATTGAGGCCATGTAGTAGCGACACCAGAAAAGCAATAGCATAAATTCCACAGTCATCGGAATTGTTCTGGTGTTGCACATTTGGTACAATGACCTTAAAACTGGTTTCTTCCTCGTATATAATTGATGCAATCTGTTTCTGCACGAGGGCTGCAATTCTTCACTTGAGCGGGACAGTTGAGTTTCCTTGATTCTTGTAAAAGCTTACCAGCTCCATTTCTTCGATAGGCGTGGTCACCGACCTATGTTTTTGGAAAAAAGAAGTCTTCTTGTTAATGAAAACTTTCTTCCATGTTGGACATTGAAATATCCTATCCTATCGAGTCCTCTTTTCAGATCATCTACTCTCTTATCTTTATGCAAGGAGGAGGAAACTCAAGGCTACTTGATCTTGACCTCTAGTTATTAATCAATGCAAAATAAAAAATCTGCAAAATCATTTAAATACAAAATACTTTCAACGTACCGCTTGGTTTCTCCTTTTCTCTCGTAGATGTCTATCTACACCATGTTGACAATCGTATACCTTGTGATTTACCACAACAAATGGGACGTGATCAAATGGCAGACGACTATCCTCCCATAATACCTTGTGTTTTTTAGCTGCCAAGTCTATATTACAAAACAAATTTTTACAAATTTGAGAAGCATAGTCAACTTGTCACCCTTCCTTTAGACTGTAATGTGTCAAAAAGGATCATGACATCGATAATGGTACCAAGTTACCTGTCACTTACGAGCATGCATAGGGCCCGTCAAATAGGTGAGATATCGTTCTTACAGTCAACTCTCATCTACCGCTCACCATCCCCCCTAAGTGCCTTTAGATCAAATCCCCCTATTTTATTCAAATGTCTACCAAGAAACATCAAGCCCAGGATATTAAATGACGGAAAAAATACAATCGCATAGGACAAGAAGATTGGCCTCTCACCTGTGTTTCCAAAACCTTTGTCAGTTGACTTGCTACAATAGAATTTGGTGACGGTGGCAGTTTCATATTCTCGAAGAATGAACTCTGCTGACCTGACATCCTTCACCAGACCTGACCTTTCAGACAACTTTCTCACAAACAATGAACTCACTTCTTGAGAAGTTAATTTACGTGCCATCATAGAATTGGAAATTTTGTTCAGAAAGCGAAATTATCTATTGGAATACGAATTGAGTGAGCAAACAGATACTTTGATATCTCGCACGATAATAAATTTTCCGCCTTTGCGAGTTTGGACCATTCAATTGTCTGGGAGTTAATCAACCGTATCATTTATCTTTCCTCTCCATTTCCCGTGTTTTAAAATCCTCCTTTTGACAGATTTCGTGGAGGTGTTACTATGTTGTGGTTGTAATTGGCCATCCTTGAAAAGGAGGCATCGCAAAAATTTTGTGGAGTCTGAAATAAAGGTAAGCAACGAAAAAAAAAGGAAATATCTTACGCCTGATACGAAGTCATGAGCAAAAACGAAGCACGTGTTCGTTTCTACTCTGTTTTGCGGGTCTAATATGCTGAATAGGGCCTTCAACACGAAGACAACATCGGGCGAGCTCGGATTTCGTAATTAGAAATCTACCCGAGATGACCTCCTTCTGACGGATATCGGAGTACGCTTTCCCGCTCAGGCGCCATAATTATCTTGTAATTGGCTAATCAGGTTAGTAACCATGGCGACACCAATATCATCACACGGGAAAGATAACAAATAGTATCTTCAACGCACGCGATGAAGATATGATTTTTTAGCAAAAAGAATTATCCTGGTATTTCATCAGTATCTATATAATAAATCCTGAATCTTGTTACTTATAACTAGTCAGTATCAATAGAGAATTCATAAGCCTCAAGCCAAGAGACACAGTTAGTTCTCTTCGAAAGACAGCACTGCGACATCAACTTCCTTGTAATATAGTAGAATTATGAATTGTAACAGCATTTATGTTTCAATTAAGTTTGATAAGTGTTTCATCCTAACGAGTGTAGTTAAATCCGCTCCGTTAACGATGAAACAGAGCTAATTCTCTGTTCGAGGTTTACATTTTTCATACTAACCAAGTAATTTCCAAAAGCCCTCGTATTTACAGTGATATTATTGAATATAAGCAAACCTACTTTAACACTAGTAACCCATCAAAAGTTATGGATGAGTAACTTCCGCATACCGGCACGGGCGCTCAGCTAAATGAACTCTTTGCTTACCTGTTTGCATCGCACCAAGTTTTAACTCATCGAGCAGGTTAACATAAACAACACCAAATGAGTTGTGAATTCCAAATACCACAAAATTTACGATGAAAGTCCCACAGCAGACTATCCAGCCATAGCCGCCGTCTCGACTTGTTGACTTCCCTCTAAGTCCATCATCTGCTCGGTTTTCGCTTTCCATTTCTCGATCACAGAAAATTGATTCGCAACCCAAATTTAGCTTGTGAAACTCTTTTTGCTTTGTGCTTCTCAAGATACATATAACAAAACCAAACCAAACACTTTTGCGAAGATTCTCGGAAAGAATATTGTTTGTTCACCAACCGCGCGCGCTAAAATAAGGCGAAACGACAACATCAGTCACGTACACGAAATACGAGAATCGAACGAAACCTCTACCTCCCCCTGAAATCTTACTCTCCCTGGTCCCATGTATAATCAACCGTCTCACGAAATGAAATGCGATAGCATGCTAATTATTTTACATTCCCTCAGCAAAAGACTTAAAGAATTTTACGAAATGAACTAACAAGTTGCGAATCAATTTTCTGTGATCGAGAAATGGAAAGCGAAAACCGAGCAAATGCTTTGAATCATGATTACAAAAACTTCCATATATACGCGCGCCTATGTATGATTCCCAATGTATTATTTTTTGTAACATGTTAGTTCATTTTGTAAAGTTCTTTAAATCTTTTGCTGAGGGAATATAAGATAATTAGCATGCCATCGCATTTCATTTCGTGAGATGGTTGATTATACATGGGACCAGGGAGAGTAAGATTTCAGGGGGAGGTAGAGGTTTCGTTCGATTCTCGTATTTCGGGTACGTGACATGCCGTTTTGCCTTATTTTAGACATTTAAGCCTTGTTTTAGATGGTTTTAGATAGTTTTCAAGTGGTTGTAGATGTTTTTGAGGTGGTTGTAGGTGGTTTTTTAAATTTTTGAGGTGGTTGTAGATGGTGGCAGCAAGATAGCGCGAATAAACTCGTGGAATGTAATGGGGATTCACTGCCTGTTGCCATTCCTTCGAAAGTTAAAAAGTGTTGGCAGGCCTGCACGACTCCTGCTATTCCTCCGTGACAAATTCGTTGTTAGGAGGCAACTGTAGAGATTCAGAAAGAATCAAAACTGCAGCCTTGCCCAGAATTTATTCATTTGACAGCAGTTACACTCAAAGCCGATGGCTGTGTGAATAATATCAAATTCGCGAGTTATTTAACAGGGAATCAACCTTTGACATGCAAACTCATCACAAAGAGACAGCTACCTTCTTATACACGAATTATTTTTTATGTCATACACTTAAAGGCGTAAATACGGGATTCGCAAAAGGAGAAGCGTTACGCCTTCTAAGACCAAATTCGTCATGCTCAACGTTTAATAAAAAAACATACAGATTTTCAAATATTCTTGAAAGAATAGAGAATACTTAAAATAAGGTTTTGAAAACCGTAACTCTGGAGTTATCTTCTGCGGTAGAGACAGTATACTTGAAAGCAAAGAAAATAGCGCGCACACATGAAACTGATTACCTTTGTAACAATCTCATTCGGCTTTACCAAACCTCAAGAACATACAGACAGGGAAATTACACCTTAAAACTAATCTTATTATCACATCGCAAAGGAAAGTAATTAAAAGATATCTTAATAACAGCTAAGTTTTCAGGTCAGAAGATTTAAAAGCGCAAGCGAATGGCAGGAATCTCACAAGTCTATCAACACCTTTTCAAAAGGCCGCGGCCCAGCATTAAAATCTAGACATACATAACATTTAGTCGAAAAATCAATTAAAATAGTTTGTACGATCGAGTTAAAGCTCCATTAACCAGTAGTTTACTATTACAACCACCTCCCACCCCTCCCTACGTAGTAATGGTCCGTCTCTCGCCCCTACCTGGGTAATCACACTCTGCCTCCCAACCCTCCCTCAATGCTGATAGACTTCATCCCACCCCTCCCTCAGCACTAATGGTGTGCTCCCCCCTTTAAAATGGTCCAAAAAAATGGTCCAAAAAATGGTCCAAAAAATGGTCCAAAAAAATGGTCCAAAACAATGGTCCAAAAAATGGTCCAAGAAATGGTCCAAAAAATAGTCCAGTCCATATTTTACCCTATGCCGAGTTATTCAGTGGTCAAGTGTCTTCTTTTATTGCTGTAATTCAACTGTCCTTCATTCAGTGATCAAGATAGTAGATTTACCATACAACACTAGCGATTAGTTAATTTGCTTCTACTCAGGAAAGTAGATTTACGACACAATTGAGTGTACAATAGTAACGCTGTGTAACGCAACAATAGGCCTTTTCTTGGTTATAATCGGTCTCAAATACTAGCACTTAAAATGCGCGAAACACATGTACCGTTGGAGAGCGTTTGAGAGCGTTTAGTCAGAGCTGTTGAAGAAGGATCAAAGCGGCCATCCAAATTTTTGAAAGGTTCCAAACTACGACGTACATCAAATCTGACCTTCTCGAAAACTGGTCTCAAATTACATAATAAAAAATAAAATAGTGTAAAAAATAGTGATTGCGTTTGTTCTTGAGAACCATAGAATACGTGACAAATACATACCAAAAATACTTTAACATATTCAGAATAAATCAGGTTATATTTACCTATGGAGAAAGGAAAAAGGAGCGGCCTAACTTTTACAGAATGTTCATTCAAAATCTGCCGATTTCTGCCGCTTTCACCGCCATATTGGAAATGAAGCTACCACAATGCAAAGCAATCGGAGTGCGCACACCGCCTGCTACGAAATGAACCTGCCTCAACTTGTGCGTACGTCACGTCCCATGACGTCACGCTAGTTACACGCTGGGTGACTTGAGTCAACCTTTATTCCTTGTTAGCGCAGATCTTTTACATTACAATAACTCGAAATAACGTTTTGTAACATGCACTTTTTTGTTAAGTAATTGGTCTGAACTTAGGTCACGCGATGTATGTGAAATCATGGTGAAATATCAACGATAGTCACGTAGACAATCCAGTTGTTAACCTTTGCTTCTGAAAATATCCCTGAGCCCCACCGCTGCCACTAAACTATAAAACACGCACGTCCCCATGATATATGACATTTAATAAACTATAGCGCCGGAATACGTACGGATATCAAGTTCCGCGGATGTCATCTGTCCCAAGTTGTGGACAGTTTTCAGAGAGCGAAGCTCCAGGAAAACTGCAAGGCTTAAGAACAGATCATGTTCACGAATAAATATGCATGTATATTTTATCGCTAACTGGAGGCTGTTGTATTCATTATCTTTCAATATTTAGCAACGCGCAGGAAAAATGTTTACGAGCAGCTTTCAGTTTGCTGCATGGGATGTTTACTTTTCAGTGTTCTCCGGTTCGACGTCCCTTCTTCTGCAGCAAGGTATAAATGGTTTATCATTTTGAATTGAATTCAAAAGAACACTTTCACTGTGGTAGACGAACGTTCGAAGATTGGGGAATATCACTTGAGGTTTATCACGGGGATATTTTCCAGTTTTAGTTGGTTGCTGGGGCGTATTCGATCACCCTATGTGTTTAAACCCACCGTTTAGACACACCGTGTCAAAAAAAGTTATTTGATGGACACACTTCGCGAGTGACAAAGTCGCTGTTGGTTTAAGATTTGCATCTGATTGGTTGGAAAAGAGGCCGAGTTTTTTAGACCAAGGACACAGCGAAGCAAAGCAAAACCAAAGCAGTCCTGGACAAGTTTCTACACTCTGTTGAAAATTGCACTATCAGTAATCTAAGAATCTCTAAAAATATTATAAGACAGTTTCTCTCTCAACCACAAGAAGTTCCTTGCTTGTTCTTAAAGCGCAGTGAAGCTTGCAAAGTTTATTGGTGACCATGTACTCCTCTTCCAGCATCGGCTGTGATTCTGTATTTTTGTAAACAGAGTCAGATGCCGTTTCAGCTTCAGAAATACTCAAAGAAGTGTCGTTTTTAAATCCCAATTGCCTCCTTGCTCTAGACTGCTTTCGAATCATACAGTTCACCCCAAAAATCATGAGAGAAGAAAATAACGCCACAGAACCGGCAATGTAAAATGCTTCATCATAGGTACCGAATACTTCATGCAGCCAACCTGAAAACAGAGAGCAAACTTCAGGTTAGTCTGGACCCTTTTCATTTGAACGGCTGAATCGAATCAGTCTTAGCAACAGAAACAAAGATAAAGAACTCGCTTTGCTTTGCATCTAATTGACTGAGAGGGTGGAGCAAATTCTTTAGATCAATTACGGACCCTATAAGAGCAATCCCGGATTACAATAGACATTTGATTGAAAATTTCACTATCTTTCACACAGCTGATTACCTGCAAGCGGAGGACCAAGACTCATTGGTATCGCCAGAGTTCCAAACATGTTTCCCACTGCTTGAGAAAGCTTATCGCGTCCGACCACATCAGCCGTAATCACCGCCACTTGGCCCACAAAACATCCGTCAAAAAATCCAAATATCAAAGCATAACCCACAAGTCCTGCATAGTTTTTGAGCAGAGGACACAGGAGAGTGCTCAATCCAATGGAAAATATCGAAAATTGGTACAGGTAGAGCCTGTTGACGAATTTCAAGTCGGAAATCTTGCCAAATACCACTCGACCAAGCGTTGAGGTGATGGATAGAAAACCAATCAGCCAAGCGCCTTTAGATTTTGGAACTCCTAAATCTTCGGCATACCTCACCTGCAGATAATAACGAAACGAATAAGGGTGATAAGTTTCTGCAAAAAACTGTGGTGCCGCGTCGGTGGAGGGCATTTTAAAATAGTTTGGTCTAATCTACTCAGTTGATAACGTAAATTGTCCACCGAAGAGAGTTTCTAAGGCTAGAGTTTCGAGCGGTGGCCCTTAATTCTTCATAAGGCCTACGCATTTAACATCAGCTTAAGAAATTATCCACCTAACTTATCTTTAAACGATGATTTTGTCATGAGATTGCAATAGGAAGATACCGAATGGCAGTCTATAACCTATTTATGTATTTGTCGTCGACCAATCAGGAAAGAGAAGTTTTGTTGCGTATTAAACAAATAGCGATACAACTTACCAGGTGAATAAATGGAATAAGATAACCAAATTGAAACACAGCTACAGTAGTGACCCACAAAACATACGCTTTACTCTTCCATATTGAAGTATCAAATAACTTGGTACATCTTCTTTCCTTGGTAGACTGAAGATTTTTCTTTGGTTTAAAGATCATAGCTGCAATCCATAACAGTCCAGCAAACCCACTCAAAATGCGCATGGAGTGTTTCCATCCGACAGATGTCAGTAGGTAATTTATGACCGGCCCGGCAACAAGAGAGCCCACCCCACTTCCGGATGTTGCAATCCCATTAGCAAGCGCCAATCTTCTATCAAAGTATTCACCCAGGACAACGATGGACGACACAAAGGAGAAACTAGAACCTACTCCCCATACAAGCCCGTAGGTCACATACATCTTATGAACTTCTTGTATGAAGGAAGTTAGGAACAACCCTGAGACAGATAGTAACGCACCAGCCAAGGACACAACACGGCATCCAAAACGATCACACAATGCACTTGATATAGGACCAAAAAAAAAGTTTAAACCCATGGCCATGGCACCAATCCATGCTGTGAAAAGAAATAAAAAAATTATCTCCATGTATAAAGAAATATGTTAATGTTTTTATCTCGGGTGTGGAGCAGAGGGAAATTTCTGTGTTCCTCCACGCTGAATCGATCCCAGACCTTACGCATACCATCGTCCATTACTTCACACTCAAAAAGCATTTCAATGTAAACTCTATGTATCTTTGCCTCCAAAATCTTCACGTTCTTATCCTTAAAAGTCTTTAAATCTACATTGGACAAGAATTGGAGGAACACTATATACAGGATATCAAGGAATAAGTAAAATAAGAACCTTGAAGGGAAAGGCGAGAACTAACACCCAAGAAAATTGAGGAGTCTACCCTCTTTCATCCTTTCACTCCCAAGATTAAAAAAAATAAATCTCCTCATTGTTAACCTTCCATTTCTTGTACATGCAATTTTATATATCTGAAAAATTGGTTCTTCATCCATATAATATATCTCATAGTTGATATTTTTGTCGCCTCTCCTAAACTTTCTACGTGTTGACATTGTAAGAAGATATTTATTCTTTAGCAGCCTGGGAATGAAAGAGTTAACCCTCATATTTCAAATCTGTCTCAATCCCTTTGAATGCAATCGGCGCCAAACGACAAAAAAATCTTTTCTTCTTCATGACGAAGTTGAACTGTTTTGAAAAGTGATTTGTTTGTTCGCGCAAAGGAAAGGTATTTACTTGCGCTGCTTCGTAAGCGAGATACAGCGGTTCTGGTTGGCTACTTAAACTTGCTACAAGGGCACATGTTGCCAGCCAAGGCTTGCTCACTTTGTTCTTGACAACAAAACGGAGAAAAATAAATACCTTTAGCTTGGTCAAAGTCTTCATCACGTCCAATGTTTTTTTTTTAAGAAGATGAAGAAAAGAAAATATGCGGCAACGACTGTTTTTACATCCATGCAGTTGCCAAAAACAGAGATCAAATTTTTTAAGGAAAAAAAAGGACGAGTTTCGCGACTTTTGGGCATATCATTTCCCTTTCGGGCTTATTGGTATACCGATGAGAAAACCATAGGATATTATTTTCCCGGCGTTAGTTAGTCTTACATGAATAAGCATGCACTGTCAAGATGCCGCTGTTAATGTTTTTTAACAAATGTTTTGTGAACCTCACGCTGGATCAACAACGCCTAACTTGATAAATTCTGAAACAGGCCAATCCGCCCTCTACCGGCACTGATTGACTCATTCCGGCATCAGAGTTTTGAAACCTGGTTCACAAATTCTACAGTTTCAGTATTAGTCAATGTGTGGCTTTGAAAACTTCTGCCAAACGTGCTGTCAATCCCTGACGCCACAATGATAAACAAATTATGCACGTGCTTGCGCTGCGTATCAAAGGTCTTCAATTAGAGACTCTTAGTGGAGTTAACCGTCAGCCATTAACCGTTATTTGAAAAAAAGTTAACCTTTGAAATTTTTCTTTTAATCACAAAGGAAGGAAATTAAACGTTAGCCGTAAAATGCTAAACCGTTAGCCGTGAGAACTATTACCAACATACCTACGACATTGTCACCCTTCTATAATTAGTCCATACTTGTGGCGCCACAAGATCATGCAACTCACTTATCAAAGACAAAAAGTATTTTGTGTTGCATCAAAAGAAGAGAAAATTATCACAAATCAACGTTCTATCCGCTCTGATCCAACCGAAAAAGATTCTAAATAAAGCGAGCCAATGTACAGTATTCCGATATTTCCAAACTTAGGTTAGAGATAAGTTACTACCTGTAATAGCTGAGCAAGAAGTGAAATAACAAACAACAACTCGTGACCATGTTTATAGAGAATAAAAGATGTTGCCTTTAATGGCACACCGTGGGGAAGTAAAAAAAAGACTGGTAATTGGGATGATTTCGAAGCAAATCAGAGATTTCGTTAATTGTAAAGTACCAAGTAATGTTCGAAGTGGAAGGTCAGAGAAACTTTGACTGTGATCAGTGATGCAGACAAAATGTGAAATATGCGGTACAGAAGCCACTTTCCGGTTGCTTCGCTAACTGGTAGTCTGACACTTAAAAAATGATGACAAACAGCAAAGGAACAGCTTGTTCCCGCTGGAATTGAAATTTAGAAGTAATTACTTGCTCATGTCGCGATCATCGATAGAAGTAAGGATTTAATTTTTCAGGCAAGGAGATGTTGATGTATTTGTTTGTTGTTTTGATTGAAGGCAGTAAAAATCTTGGAGAAAGAAAGTTCAAGTGCTTTAATCATGAGACCAGCCTCTTTTCGAAGCTTTACTCCAAAACTCGTAATGACATGCTTAATACTCGATTCATGTGCTGATACCCAACCTTTTCGAAAATGAAACTTCAGCTCGAAGGGAAATAGTAAAATTCTTATGTATATTGCGTGAGCCAAGATATCACTTTAAGTATACACGTAGCTTATATCCTCAATTTTGTTACTTATAACCAGTCAGTATCGGTAGAGAATTCATAAACCTCAAGCCAAGAGACACAGTTAGTTCTCTTCGAAAGACAGCACTGCGACATCAACTCCCTTGTAATATAGTAGAATTATGGATTGTAACAGCATTTATGTTTCAATTAAGTTTGATAAGTGTTTCATCCTAACGAGTGTAGTTAAATCCGCTCCGTTAATGATGAAACAGAGCTAATTCTCTGTTCGAGATTTACATTGTACATACTAACCAAGTAATTTTCAAAAGCCCTCGTATTCACAGTGATATTATTGAATATAAGCAAACCTACTTTAACACTAGTAACCCATCAAAAGTTATGGATCAGTAACTTCTGGATACCGGCACGGGCGCTCAGCTAAATGAACTCTTTGCTTACCTGTTTGCATCGCACCAAGTTTTAACTCATCGAGCAGGTTAACGTACACAACACCAAATGAGTTGTGAATTCCGAATACCACAAAATTTACGATGAAAGTCCCACAGCAGACTATCCAGCCATAGCCGCCGTCTCGACTTGTCGATTTCCCTGTAAGTCCATCATCTGCTCGGTTTTCGCTTTTCATTTCTCGATCACAGAATATTGATTCGCAACCCGAACGTAGCTTGTGAAACTCTTTTTGCTTTTGTGCTTCTCAAGATACAAATAACAAACCAGCCAAACACTTTTGCGAAGATTCTCGGAAAGAACTTGGTTGCTTTATTTGTTTGTTTACCAACCGCGCGCGTTAATTACGAAATGAACCTACCTTAACTTGCGCGTACGTCACGTCCTGTGACGTCACGCTAGTTACACGCTGTGTGACTTGAGTCGACTTTTATCCCTTGTTAGCGCAGATCTTTTACGTTTCAGTAACGTTTTTTAACATGCTTTTTTTTGTTATCGCTTAAAGTAATTGGTCTGAACTTAACTCCGTGTTCCTTGACCTTGTCAGGTCACGCGATGTATGTGAAATCATGATGAAATATCGATGATATTCACGTAAACAATGCAGTAGTTAACCTTTGCTTCTGAAAATATCCCAGAGCCCCATCGCTGCCACTAAACTCTGAAACACATACGTCCACGTGATATATGATATTTAATAAACTATAGCTTTCATAAGGCGCGAAAATACGTACGGATATCAAGTTCCGCGGATGTCATCTGTCCCAAGTTGTGAACAGTTTTCAGAGAGCGAAGCTCCAGGAAAACTGCAAGGCTGAAGAACAGATGATGTTCACGGATAAATATGCATGCATATTTTAACGTTAACTGGAGGCCGTTGTATTTATTATCTTTCAAATAATTTAGCAACGCGCAGGAAAATGTTTACGAACAGTTGTCATTTTGCTTGGGATGTTTACTTTTCAGTGTTCTCCGGTTCGATGTCCCTTCTTCTGCATCTTGAATTGAACCTAAAACAACACTTTCGTTGTGGTAGACGAAACGTTCAAAAATTGGGGAGTGTCCCTTAAAGTTTATCATGGGGATATTTTTCAGTTTTAGTTGGTTGCTGGGGCATATTCGATAACACTACGTGTTTAGACCCATCGTGTCAGAGCAAAATTATTTCATGGACACACTTCGCGAATGACGAAGTCGCTGTTGGTTTAAGATTTGCATCTGATTAGTTGGAAAAGAGGCCGAGTTTTTAGGACCAAGGACACAGCGGAATAAAGCAAAACAAAACAATCCTGGACAAGTTTCTACACTCAGTTGAAAATTGCTCTATCAGTAATCTAAGAATCTTTAAAAATACTATAAGACAGTTTCTCTCTCAACCACAAGAAGTTTCTTGTTTGTTCTTAAAGCGCAGTGAAACTTGCAAAGTTTATTGGTGAAAATGTGCTCCTCTTCCAGCATCAGCTGTGATTTTGTATCTATGTAAACAGAGTCAGATGCCGTTTCAGCTTCAGAGATACTCAACGAAGAGTCGTTTTTAAATCCCAATTGCCTCCTTGCTATAGACTGCTTTCGAATCATACAGTTCACCCCAAAAATCATGAGCGAAGAAAATAACGCCACAGAACCGGCAATGTAAAATGCTTCATCATAGGTACCGAATGCTTCATGCAGCCAACCTGAAAACAGAGTGCAAACTTCGGGTTAGTCTCGACCCTTTTAATTTGAACGGATGAATCGAATCAGTCAGTCTCAACAGCAAAAACAAAGATAAAAATTCGGTTTGCTTAGCATCTAATCAACAGGGGGGGGGGGGGTTGGAGCGTATTCTTTAGATCAATTACGGACCCTATAAGAGCAATCCCGGATTACACTCGACATTTCATCGATAATTTCACCATCTTTAACACAGCTTATTACCTGCAAGCGGAGGTCCAAGACTCAGTGGTATCGCCATAGTTCCAAACATGTTTCCCACTGCTTGAGAAAGCTTATCGCGTCCGACCACATCAGCCGTAATCACCGCCACTTGGCCCACAAAACATCCGTCAAAAAATCCAAATATTAAAGCATAACCCACAAGTCCTGCATAGTTTTTGACCAGAGGACACAAGAGAGTGGTCACTCCAATGCAAAATATCGAAAATTGGTATGGGTAGAGCCTGTTGACGAATTTAAAGTCGGAAATCTTGCCAAATACCACTCGACCAAGCGTTGAGGTGATGGATAGAAAACCAATCAGCCAAGCGCCTTTAGATTTTGGAACTCCTAAATCTTCGGCATACCTCACCTGCAGATAAAAACGAAACGAATAAAGGTGATAATATTCTACAAAGAAATGTGGTGTCGAGTAGGTGGAGGGAATTTTAAAATAATTTTGTTTAATCAACTGAGTGGATAACGTAAATTGTCCGGCGAAGAGAGTTTCTAAGGCTAGAGTTTCGAGCGGTGGCCCTTAATTCTTCATAAGGTCTACGCTTTTAACATCAGCTTTAGAATTTATCCGCCTAACTTATATTTAAACGATGATTTTCTTATGAGATCCCGAACGGCGGTCTATAAGCTATTTATGCATTTGTCATTGACCAATCAGGAATGAGAAGTTTTGTTGAGTATCAAACACACAACGATACAACTTACCAGGTGAATAAATGGAACAAGATAACCAAATTGAAACACAGCTACAGTAGTGACCCACAAAACGTACGCTTTACTCTTCCATATTGAAGTATCAAATAACTTGGTACATTCTCTCCTCTGCCTAGTAGATTGAAGATTTTCCTTTGGTTTAAAGATCAAAGTTGCAATCCATAACAGTCCAGCAAACGCGCTTAAAATGCGCATGGAGTGTTTCCATCCGACAGATGCCAGTAGGTAATTTATGACCGGCCCGGTAACAAGAGAGCCCACGCCACCTCCACATGATGCAATCCCATTGGCAAGCGCCAATCTTCTATTAAAGTATTCACCCAGGACAACGATAGACGACACATAGGAGAAACTAGAACCCACTCCCCATACAAGCCCGTAGGTCACATACATTTTATGAGCTTCTTGTATAAAGGAGGTTAGGAACAACCCTGAGACGGATAGTAACGCACCAGCAAAGGACACAACACGGCATCCAAGACGATCACACAATGCACTTGATATAGGACCAAAAAAGAAGTTCAAACCCATGGCCATGGCGCCAATCCACGCTGTGAAAAGAAATCAATAATATGATCTCCATGTATAAAGAAACATGTCATTCTTTTTGTCACGGGCGTGAAGCAGAGGCAAATTTTTTAAATGCGGCAACGACTGTTTTACATCCATGTATAGTTGCCAGTTAACAGAGAGCATCATTTTGAAGAAAAAAACAAGGACGAGTCTTGCGATTTTTGGGCATATAATTACGCCAATAACGCCTTTCTTGAAAAATTTTGAAACAGGCCAATCCGCTCTCTACCGGCACTGATTGACTCATTCCGGCATCAGAGTTCTGAAACCTGGTTCACAAATTCTACAGTTTCAGTATTAGCCATTATCAAAAAAAATTTAGGCGACAACGTGTGACTTTGAAACTTCTGCCAAACTTGCTGTCAATCCCTGACGCTATGATGATAAACAAATTATGCAGGTGCTTGGGCTGCGTCAGCCGTAAACTGCCCAAAAATTTAGCCGTTAGGCGTAAAAATTGACAAATTTTAACCGTTATTTGCAAAAATGGTTAGCCGTTAAAATTTGTCTTTTAATCATAAAGGACGGAAATCAACTGTTAGCCGGAAAATGACCAACCGTTAGCCTTGAGAACCATCACTTACGTACCTACGGCATTGGGACCCTACAATAAAGAGTCCATACTTGAGGCCCCACGAGATCATGCAACCCTTTTACAAAAAAAAAGTATTTTGTCTTGCATCAAAAAGAAGAAAAAGTTATAATAAATCTATGTTCTATCCGCTCTGATCCCAACCGTAAACGATTCCAAATAAAGTGAGCCAATGAACAGTATTCCAATATTTCCAAACTTAAGTTAAAGAAAGTTACTACCTGTAATAGCTGGACAAGAAGTAAAATAACAAACAACAACTGTTGATCACGTTTTGAGAGAAAGGATGTTGCCTTCTTAATGGCACACCGTAAATTGCAAAGTACCAACTAACGTGCGAAGTGGAAAATCAGAGAAACTTTGACTGTAATCAGTGATGCAGACAAAATGTGAAATATGCAGTACAGAAGCCACTTTCCGATTGCTTCGCTAACTGGTAGCCTAACACTAAAAAAAATGATGACAAACAGCAGAGGAACAGCTTGTTCCTGCTGAAAAAATTTGGAAGTAATTACTTGCTCATGTCGCGGTCATCGATAGAGGTAAGGTTGCAATTTTTTAGGCACGAAGACGTTGATGTATTTGTTTGTTGTTTTGATTGAAGGCAGTAAAGATCTTGGAGAGAGAAAGTTCACGTGCTCTAATCAGGAGACCAGTGTTTTTTTCGAAGCTTTACTTGAAACTTGAGACGATATGCACAAAACTTAATTCAGGTGCTGATATCCACCCTTTTCGGACATAAATTATTGCCGAGAAATTATTGTGTGAAAAACGGAAATGGAATTTTAGCTCGAAGGGAAATAGTAAAATTCTTATTTATATGGCGTGAGTTAGGTTATCACATGAACTAATGTCGCTTATGTCCTCAATATTGTTACTTACAACTAGAGCACAAGCCAAGAAACACAGATAGTTCTTTATGAAAGACAGCACTGCGACATCAACTCTCTTGTAATCTTTCAGAGTTGTGAATTATAACAGCATTCATGTTTCAATTAAGTTTGATAAGTGTTTCATCCTAACGAGTGTTGTTAAATCCACTCCGTTAACGATGAAAAAGAGCTAATTCTCCGTTCGATGTTGAAATTGTACATAATTACCAAGTCAGCTTCAAAGGCTCTCGTATTTACAATGATATCATCGAATGCAAGCACACCTACGTTAACATTCGAACCCATCAAAAATTTAGGATCAGTAATTTGCGTACCGACACGTGCGCTCCGTTAAATTAATTCTTTGCATTACTTACCTGTTTGCATCGCACCAAGTCTTAAATCATCGAGCAGGTTAACATACAGAACACCGAATGAGTTGTGAATTCCGAATACCACAAAACTTACGATGAAAGTCCCACAACAGACTATCCAGCCATAGCCGCCGTCTCGACTTATTGATTTCGTTGTAAGTCCATTATCGGATCGGTTTTCGCCTTTCATTTCTCGATCACAGAAAATTGATTTACAACGGAACCTAGCGTGCGAAACTCTTTTTGCTTTTGTGCTTATCAAGATACGAATAACAAACCAGCCAGACACTTTTGGATAGATGTTCGGAAAGAACTCGAAGGCTCTACTTTGTTTACCAACTGTGCGCGCCAACTACGAATTAAACCTGTCGTTACTTATGCGCTACGTGACTTGAGGCGACCTTCATCATGAAGGAACCGGTTGACGTATTTTTTAAAAAATTTTTTTTTTTTTGGGGGAGGGAGTCAGTCATCGGCAACAGAGTACACAATGTATAAAGGGCGATAAAGAATTGCTGGTCTGTAAGCGCAGATTCTCTTTTACCTACGTTTTGTAACATGCATTTACGCCTGAGTGATCGGTCAAAACTTAACTTCGTGTTGCTTGACCTTGTCAAGTCACGTGATGTTTTTTAATTCTTAGTGAAATATCCATGGTACAGATGATAGTCACGTAAAGAATGTAGCTGTTAACCTTGTCAATATCACTGTGCCCCGCCGCTGCTACTAAACTCTAAAGCACGCACGCCAGCATGATATATGATATATAAACGATAGTCCTCGTATGGGCACTCATATAGTTACGCGGGTGTTACCTGTCCAAGATGCGAAAAGTTTTCAGAGAGCGAAGCTCTTGGAAATCTGTGAGGTTGAAGAACAGATCATGTCCAATGACAAATATGCATGATTATTCTCGCGCCAACTGGAGGCTATAATATTTATCTTTTAACGCGCAGGCAAAATGTTTACGAACAGCTTTCATTTTGCTGCGTGGGATGTTTACTTTTCAGTTTTCTCCGGTCTGGCGTCCCTTCTTCTACAACAATGGATAAATGATCTATCATCTTGAATTGAATTTAAAACAACACTTTCGTTATGGTAGACGAAATGTTCGAAAATCGGAGAATAACATTTGAGGTTTAACACGGGGATAGTCTCCAGTTTTAATTGGTGGTAAGAGATTGTAATCTCTTCCTCGGGTATATTCGATCACGCGATGCGTTTAGACTCATTGTGTAAGGGAAAAATTATTTGATGGATTATGAACACTGACATAGACTGCTATACCTTGCTTTGAAAATGACAGTGGAACTGAAAACCGTCCCATGAATTAGGCCCAGTTCAGATTTCGTACTCCTGCCGTGTCGAAGTCAATTCAGAAACTATGTTCGAGTAAAGCACGACAGAAGCAAGGCCTCCGCCGACCTAAAAAGATTAAAATTATGCCGATGTATTTTGGCGGGATTGCGTTCTTGCGGGAAGTCACAAGACTAAATTGTTATTTTGCTTTATTAAATGTTGAATTCCGTACGACTTTAGCCCGATGTCTTAATCAGAGACGTGTTTTTGCTGTGTTTAAATCGAACCTAATTGCAGTAACTTCGATCGGCTAACAGAGGTACTACGTCTGAACTGGGCCTTAATTACATAACCTTGTCAGGACTATCCAAAGGTGAGTGGGTGCGAGCTTTCGCTTTAATTTGGTCACTTGCTAAAATACAAGATTCCTCCTCGCAAGTAGTTATTTCTTCTTCAAACGCAGACACGGCCCCTTAATCTCGTACCCAGATTCTACCGCATACAGTAACTGACCGCGGGCCTCTACATCCCCTTCCCTGCTCTCTTTCTCTCACTAATCAAAAACAGAAGAAACAAACAAACAAACAAAAAACAACAACAACAACAACAACAACAATACAACAAGATCTGGCAATAAACAATTCCCTGCATAGAACTGAAGCTTTATTTCATATTAGTCTAATTAAATAATGATTGCTTGATAGCAATAAATAGCCTCTTCCAAAAATAAATTATCTGAAGTACACCCTATTTTTTCTCACATTTAAATACAATTGAAGTGCAAATAGATACGCGACCTGTGGCGAAATGTGAATAACATTTCAAGAAACAATTTTTCACGTAAAGTATAATTTCGTATTTACGCTCTGCCGAAATTTTTATATTAATTTTGAAATAATTTAAAATAAAAAACATTCTCACAGTACGTAAAATATTTCCACAACCCTTTGCTTGAGAAACACAAAGAACACTGGCGTTTATCTAAATAAGCGACTTGTAGATAGAAATGTAAATAATGTCTGCATAAATAATTATTTCGCTATAATTTCCTAGTTCTGTTCCTCTCGCAAGAGTTTATCAAGCATTTCTCCACAGTACTTAAAAAATTTCCAGAAATGTTTGCACAAGTAACCCATAGTAAAACAGGCTTTTCCGCGTTAAATATTTTCAGAGAAAGTGTGCACTCAACATACATAAAACCCACGCTTAAATTTGACGACGCGAAAAAACAAAACAAAAAAATAACGATCAGAAAAGGAAGCTACCGAAGGCTCCCTTAAAAATGCGTAATCGCTCACATTAATTCCAATTAAAAAATATATATACACACACACACACAAACCCAACCCATATATATATATATGTATATATATAATTTCACAGCAAAGATCTTACGTGGTGATATGATCCACGATCCACGTCACACGTAGGAAAAGTTAAATAACACCTTAAGAAAATGCTCAGAATCCAAATTTCCTCATTAGCCCGAAGGTCATATATATCTATACACCACTGCTTTAAGTTCGGGTAAACTTATTTTCTTTGAGGAAAGTTATACCAATTTCACGTGGGAAGAAGGAGAAGAAAACTTCTACAACATTACACCGGCAAAATGAATTTAAAAAATGCCTGTTTTCCCGCGCTTCAAGCAGTTTGCTCCTGATATTCTATGTCCTCATTGGCTCCTTGAGATATTTTCCTTTTTTTTCTAATTGGCTGTTGTGATAACTTTGGTTTTCGTTTAACGACACACGATCAAAACGCGCTGTAGTCATTAAAAAAAAAAAAAACCAAACCTACAACATGGTCACGCAAGGTACTCAAGAAGTTGCGTGACGCACAAAACAAGCAACTACAGAACAGTTTCTTTATCTGCGACGATGAGGACTTCACGAGATGTCGTCTCTCCCCCTATCATGTTAGACATTTCACTTTCAGTTTCCAAACTCCCTTCATACCTACAATCTTTGTTTGAGTCCGTATTTTTACTTCCTCTCCTGCTGGAGATGTAATATTGTCTTTGATTTCGATGCAAACGAGACACGACAAAGACAAACAGAGAAGCCATGATGCCCACACTTCCACACACAAAGAATGCCTGGTGGTAAGAACCTGTAGCTTCGTAAAGCCAGCCTGTATGTAGAGAAAAAAATATAGGCCCAGATTCTTACATATATCTTACATGTTTGGGTCCTTTGGAAAGAAAAAAATGCATATTTTTTTCTATCATCATCACTTTGTTAAGTACTGTGGCGCACTTTGTGGGCCGAAATGGAGATTAAAAGCTTAAATTGTATGTTAGCCCCCTCGTACGCTCGCGTGATCATTTAGGCTGTTTTTCGTTTGATCATTTTTTTTCTTCTGTTTTTATTTTCTCGATGCCCTCTCAAAGTGATAATAATTGTAATACAATTTATGTTCTCGAGCATAAATATGTCTTGTACCCTTTTTCAAGACATTTTAACCTTCGCCTAGCGGCTCGGGCGTAATTGACTTTGGGTCGGGCCCAAAACCTATTTATCCCCTTGAAAATAAACTATGCTGTCTTGGTAGAGAGCAAGAGAACGACAAAAGTTTGAAAAATCAGCTGAAGAAATTAGAAGTGTTTAATAATTTATTTTTCCCCCGTTCGTTTGTTTTAAGCTTAAAAGGCAGAAATTTTCAAAATGTGCCACATAATTCTCTTCTTACCAGCGACCGGTGGTCCAAAACTCATGGGGATGGCCAACACCCCAAACATATTTCCCACTGCTTGTGAGAGCCTGTTCTTTCCAGCAATTTCTCCAGTGATTACAGCCACTTGCCCTACAAAGCATCCATCGAAAAAACCAAACACAAGAGAGTAAGTCAAGAGACCCGCGTAGCCTTCTGTGATTGGACAGATCATCGTGCTAAGTCCTATGATAAACACTGAAAACTGATAGACGTAAACTTTGTTGACCCATCGTAGTTCACAGATCTTCCCGAATATCACACGCCCCACAGTAGACATGATCGAAAGGAAACCGACCAGCCATGCTCCTTTGGAAGTCGGGATACCAAGATCATTGGCGTATTTCACCTAGAGGAAGATTAGTAAACAACACTTATTGACATGACTAAAGCAAGCTTCTGAGTAAGGTTGAGAGAGTGCCAACCGTCAAACAGTGATGCACTTTGAAGCAAGATGTTGAGCAGCAAGCGCCATATCCACCTTTAATAGAGCGCTTACTCAGAATTGTTTTCAAAGTATGAGCCACAAATGGGCTGCTGTCGTACAGTGTTTGTCAATGATTTTCTATTCACATTTTTAGTGATTTGGCGTTATTTCTGTAACTTGTATGCCAAATTTGCTGCATCACTTTAAGATTAAATTATGCTTTTGTCATGTTTTCTGGAAAATTCAAAGAGAACTGAAAGTAAAAAAATAATAAGCCAAGATATGATTTACTCGCGAATGGCAGCCTTCAAATAAGCATCGAATAATACTGCAACAAAAAAATAAACGAGTAAGTAAAGGAACGAAGAATTAAAGCAGTCATTATGTTGCAATTTTGAAGCTTGTCCTAATCATTTGTGCCAAGTATTGAGAAAACTCTTTTTTCCAGACCACGTTAGAAGGATGTTTTAAGTGCAGCTGGTTTTTTTTTTCTTTTCTTTTGAGCATCAGATGAAAAAAAGAACGCCAAGAGCAAAGGAAATAGTATATGTAACAGGGTAATTTAGTGTTATCAACTGAGTTGATAACGCAAATTGGTCACCGTAAAGATTTTAAAGGCTGTCGTTTTGAGCGTTAGCCCTTCGTCAGAGCGATTGAAGGAGTTTTAATTGGGTTTTTGTGTGGTTTTTTTATTTTATTTTTTTGCAGAAAATGGACTTACGCCATTGGTAACTTTTACAATGTTCACCACGCTGCTCACAATCTTCCTCAATCGTCGACAGTAGAAGAAAGATTCAGTGAAGATGACACTACGTTGCGCAACCTAATTTTGGTTCCCTCAAATTGCTCAATTATAATTTTTTTTTTCCCGCTTGGATTTTCTTTTTTTCTTTTCTGTGTGCCATGCAATGTTTTCCTATACCTTGCGCGCAAACTGCCAAAGAATTATTACGTTACCAAATAATTACTAACAGTAAGTTCCTTTTATAGTCACCATGGCACCACGCCACAAACAGCGCATGAAGGTCTCCTAACTTACCAAATGGACGAAAGGGACCGGATATCCGAACTGAAATAACGCTACTGTTAGTACCCAGGCTACGTAAGCCCGGTTCCTCCAAATTGAAACGTCACACAACTGGCTACACTGTTTTGTCACGGCTCTGTCACGCTGTCTTGTTTTCAGCGGTTTATAGAGAAAGCACGCCACAACAAGAAACGCTGCGACTCCACTAAGTATGCGCAGAGAGTTACTCCATCCGACGACCCAGAGTAAGTAATTGATGGCAGGCGAGGCGACCAATGAACCCACTCCACTTCCGCTGGTACCTAATCCATTCGCTAGTGCCAGTCTTTTATCAAAGTATTCTCCTAACATCACGATGGAAGGTACAAAGGAAAAACTCGACCCCACCCCCCAAAGAAGTCCATAGGTAAGGTACATGTAATGTAAGCGAGTCACAAGCGACGTAAGAAAAAGTCCAGTTACAGATAGAAGGGCGCCAACAAACGCTACTCGACGACATCCAAAGCGATCACACAAAATACTGCACAGCGGACCACACAAGAAGTTGAGGGAACCGGCCATTGCACCAACCCAGGCTAAGGAGAAATAAGGAACAGAAAAAGCAATGCTACCATGTCAGCGGTTACATTTATGAATAAATACACCTATTATGAAAGTGTCCTAAAATGTTACCTAATGGCTGCTGCTAAATGGTGTACAACCTGAGCAGTTTCAATGCAAATTATATGCAGAAAAGATCAGTTACACTGGAAAACTACAGGTAATGTTTTAAGAGTAGTTAACTTAACATGCCATCAATCTGTGGCCTAAGAAATGTTACTCTTATAACCTAAATTTAAACAAAACAAGGAAACATTATTTTTAAATGTCTAAATGGCCATATCTGGTAAATATATTGACACCGGCAAATCATGAAGGGTTTAAATACTTAATAAATTCATCCCAAATTAAACTAACCCTTTAACTCCCATGAGTGATCAAGACAGAATTTCTCTTTACATTATCAATACAATATCAAGCAGACAAGTGATGAGAATAAAGAAAAATAGAAATTAAAGGAATATAAGTTGATCCATTACCAAATTCTCCAAACAAACATCACTAGAACCGTATGGCAGACAGTAAGGAGAATTACTAATGAGATCTTGGGAGTGAAAGGGTTAAGAAACTTGACAATAAAATATTACACCCATGCAGTAAGTTAAAAACTATGCCAAATTAGACCATTGGAAGAACAAATTATAGACTGAGATGAATCCTGTCACAGTGAACAATGCAGTTTGATAAAATTGATAAATTGAAGACTTTCCTTTCATCTGGAGGATTTCAAGTTGATCAACCCTCCTTATGGGAGGTGTGGTGCTCAATGTAATGGACTCTGGGTTGAGAGGCCTGGGTTCAAGACCTGGCTTGGACAATACATTGCGTTCTTGGGCAGGCCATTTCATTCTCACAGTGCCTATCATAAGGGCACTGACTTAATTTGGAGCCTTGCTCTGTTATGTGTTCTGCACCATCATGGTGAAAGTGATTGAAAAAAAAAATCAATCTCCTTAATGTCAATTTTCCTTATTAACATTAATTGTGTGCTTGATATTGTATTCATATTGTAGGTAGAAGATCTGTCTTGGTCACTCATTGGAGTATAAGGATTAAGAAAATCATAATAAAACTGGACAATGATTTGGATCTGACTTGTTCTGCATCACTCAACACTCCAAGCAACTCTATGTGAGAAGAGGGAAATTCAAGACCTCCCTAACCTTGTCTTTATGATCTGTACTTCAAGTTATGCAACATTGTGTTCCCCTCTTGGATTTAAGGCACAAACATGAACATGGATAAAACTCAGTCTATAATTTACAGTGCAGACCTCACATGCAGGCTTACCAGCTAGTTATTGTTCTTACCTGTCTCAGCTTCTCCCATGTGTTGTTCATCTACCAAATACTCGTACACAACACCAAATGAGTTATGAATACCAAACACTATAAAGTTGACACTGAAGGTACCACAGCAAACCACCCAACCCCACCCTCCATCAGGCTTTTCACTCTGCTCCTGTTCTGATTCCACAGTATCATTGTCTTCATCAAGGATTTGCTCTTTATCCTCCATTTTAAACCAATCTGTACTGTTTCTTTTTTATTGGAAAATGGAAGCCATGGTTTAGATCCATAAAAGCAAGTTTTGAAGAATCTGTCTTGTACACATCAAAATGGTGTGATAGCTACAAAAGAATACAACAAGCTTAAGTTAAGTTTTTTCCATCTTAAATTTATATGTAACAAGTAAGCAGAAGTTACTCATTCACAGCAGCAACCAGATCATCACATGCATTCAGTGGAAAACAATGTCAACCACATTCAAATTTTGAGTAACACTACTCCAAGGTATATTCAAACTTATTTGTGTTTCTGCTCTCTAAAGGTAGTAATAATATTTTCCTGCCCAATTGGGTGATCAAACCCTTGACCTTGAAAATCACTAATGCATCCATTAAATCTGAGAAGGAAAAGACAAAATTGAGGTGAAAGATAAAGCAATTAAGCTTAAATTTTCAAGTGAGTCACCTTGACATGGTTGAATTACTTCTGCTCCTGGTGAGTTTATGTCAGAGTTTTATCCATGGGTAATAAAAAAAGATAATTTCAATTCTAGAGCCTTAAATTTACCTTTAGCAGTGGAGTTCATGCACAGCATCATCATGTTCAGAAACATTAAATTAATTTGCACATCTCAAAAGCCATTTAAAGGAGAAAAAAAACCTTGACTTAATTTTCATATTTCTTCTTGCAAAATTTGCATGAGAATTTTGCAAGGTAGAAATACATAATCAAAATAACTTTTGTGTGCAGTGACATATTGATTGCATCTGAAGGCTAACAGGAAATTATGCTCTCTGAGAAAATTCAATTATCCAAATGAATCAAATGGCTCCTTTGGCTTCACAGAAGGTGAAAACTTTAGCTAACAACAGCTGCTGCATATATTGCTTCAAGATTAAGGTGGCAATGTATAGCAAAACTTTGCATTTACATGTGACTGCTCTTTAACTTTTTTGCTGCTTTGGCAAGGATAAAGTTTCATGTTGCTCAGTGTCTGTTATGAGGGGAAACTTATTTTCCTGAACAATTGTTAAAATTTAAATTTTTGAATATGAATAAGACTTCCTTTAGCATTATCAATGAATTTCTGAACAAAACCTTTCTTCTCCATTGTTCAGTGAGTACCTATACTACGATAAATCATTTTGGGAAAATTCACGCAAAAACGCAAGGTTTTTGTTTTTTTTTTTGCAAAAAAATTATGAAGTGTTATCTATATTTGACAAACAGAAGCAGGTGAAAAGTGTGCTTTCAGTCGCTGCATGAAATGTCTTTGAAAAAAAATATATTTTAAAAATATATCTTGTACCGAAACCGAAACGAAAAGGCTTCCTAAACTGGTGGGTTTAATTAGGTTCAAACCAGCCAAAGGAAAACGTATGTTAACAGATTATCTCTCAAGTGAGACTGACATACTTAAGATGTGGCGAGCTGTTATTGAAATAGGACCGGTGTGAAAAAGTTTCAGTCTTCAGACATAAATTGTATGCTTTCCTCTCACGTTAAAATCCAATTTTCACTCCTGAAACCTTACGAGAGCTTAATCAATGCAATTCCTTCTGAAAACTGAACTTGTGCAATACAAGTCTCAGAATTTTAGTAGTTTAAAACTGGATTCTCGTTAAATCGTGATTTAATTCCTTAAGAATAACATTCAATTAGATACAGACTTCTTTCTTTAAAGAAAGCTCAATAATAAACGTATTATGATATCGTTTTTTTTGGCAATATTTTGTCTCTGTTGGTAAATTTCAGATGTTCGCCTGCAGCTCCTTGAAAAAATTATGTTATTAGTATTTCAAGGCGTCTCGCTAGGCCGGAGGCGCAAAGATTTTGACCAGACTTCTTCAGGCTAACTCTCTTGAATATTTCCAACATACTTCATACGATTAAGTCACTCTTACCTTGGTGACTTGTTCGATGTCCGAAAGCGGCTGAAAAAATTCGTAGATAATTTGAGACTGTCCACGAGGAAAAATATTGTAATGCTACGTAGTTTTGGCGGAGTGACATTGGAGACAGATGACGCAATAGTAACGCTTGGTGGAAAAATGAAAGGGATGGACTCCTGGATTCTGAATAACAGACCTAACGAAGCTAGCTTCTTGCCCGTGAACAGACGAAAATATCTAGACTTATATGAAATATATTTTTTCTTTTCGGATAGGAAATATTTAGCTTTTAAACTTGTGACTATATCAAGATCAGTTTTTCTTTTGTGAAAATTAGAAGGAAGAACTTTGAATTTCTGAAAAATTTCCCATTATGTCTCGTAAATGTGATGACTCATTTTTCTTAGTTTTGTTATTTTTAGCGGGACATTTAGCTTAGTATCTCGTTCTAAAGATAGTTGCATGTTACAAAAAAGCCTTGTCACCAAGAGGTGTGGGTGAGAATGGGGAAAGTGTATGTGCGTTTTTTATTGGGGGCGGGAGGGGGACTTGTTTGTACGTTGTTCATTCAATCTGCAAACCAGAGTAGCATCAAACTATGTCTGATTGTTCACCTGGTTGCCGTGTGAACTTTAATATATTTTTACCAGAGGTCAAAGTTTATTTATTAATATTTACTAAATGCACAGAATCGAAATATTTCATCGATATCGCTTGTCCACAATTAAGTGGTGTGAACCTGTATCATTGACCATAATAACTATCTGAAGAACAGGAAGGAAAGTCTCTCGCGTCCGGAAGGAACACTGGATACAGGATAAAATAAAGTGCATTTATGTCCTGGCTTTCACTGGAGATAAATTAAAAACAAAGGCACCATTTTAATGTATTTTTCGGCCATTTGTTGCGAAATGTAAAGGAAGTCTCCGGTGTGTTTTCTTGTTTTCATCGAGAACGTCGGTTTCGAACTGTCATTTAGTGCAACCTGAGTGAGATTGCGTGATGTTTGTCACACAACGATAACTTTGAGTGCAACCTAATTTAAATGCTCGACATCGAGATGAAGCAACGCGCCCATAAGTATGTCACATTTTGAGTATCTTTCTATTTCAGGTTTTAATCAGCACAATTGACTTTGATTGCATTCCAGGTTGCTCAATGACATTCAAAGATGACGTGTCCAAGACGTTTGGGAATTTGTTATTTGTCCCTGTTTAGTGACGCGTTTCCCGCCTTTGATTTTCTTTTGTTTATTTTTGTTTTAACGCTTTTGTTATTCAAACATATTTGCTAAACTCGTAGGGCGCCTTTCAAATGCAAAATTTACATATTACTAGTATTCGAGGAATCCACGCGTAACCTGTGAAGAGAGCTGCGCTGATCAATAGACTTTGTAGGCAGGTTTCTATAATTTTGGATACTGCAAAATTCCACACTTGAGGAGGACTTCGCAAAGATGGCGGCGAACGAGTCGCTTCGGAGGCAAAGCGAGACCCGAGAGTCAGCTATCTTCACGCAAACCATTCGAGAGCGGACAGGTATTTAAAGCTGTGCCGCTTAAAATGTTGTTACGTGTTCGCTGATTGCGCCTTTAAATAATTGAACAAACATTTGTATGTATGTTTCATTTGAATGCTGTTTCATATGCGGTATCCCAAATTTATCTGCCTAACGAGCGAGTAAACTGCTGTGGAGCTTTTTTAAGTAAGAGTTACTGCAGCTCCTATTGGAATGTTTTTCTTATGTACACGATATTAATTCGTGTTTGGTCCAAATTTTGTCATTTGTCGTCAACTCTTGTAAGGTCAAAAGTCTAGATATGAAATTAACTTTATTACGCCGTAGCTTCAAGGCGTCGGCTACTACTGATCGATAGTTCGATTATGAATCGTTCGAACCGAGATTTCCCCTGTGGTATTAACTAACAATCGTAAAAGTCGCAGATTGTGAAATAATTTACATAGTTTTGTTGGTAAATTAATTGTAGTGTTCTGAAGCACCAAGTGTTAAGTGCCTTGTCAGCAACATTCCCTTGGAAATTGAAGAGAAGATCATCGAAACTTGATAATTTTTATGCTGTGTACACTTTTCCTTGAAAGAGCAACACGTTGAGAATTGTCTCCTGCTTGCTGCAAGTAAATCAACTGTTAACATTTCCTTGTTTCGAAGTTGAGTGCTTCTCGTTCTTCACTGATGACGAAACAGAATTGGCGGTGACAGTTGCTCGGTGATGCCAGCTCAAAAGGGTTCTTTATCTTATCGAATCAGTTGTTTTCATATTTTGACTCCCTGGAGACAACTGAATGGTTTCCTTTCAAACTTTTGGCGCTTTCAGACACAGATCTTATTTTAAAAGGGAAATTTGACCTTCAAGTAAAATTTCTTAGCCAGACGACCCTTACTCAGCTGTTTTCGAGATGATTCGGCCACCCGTACGGTGTTTTCCAACTGACAATCTTTATGAAAATGTTTTTATTGCTCTACTTCAAAAGTTTTTTTTTTCTTATTACAAAAATATGCATAAAAAAATTGATATCAAAAGGTAGAATTGTGTATCATCGTTAAGTCATTCAAGTCTGTGTTGATGCACTCTAATATATGTTATTTTCTGTCAACCAAAGTGATTTGAGGGAGGGAAAAGAGATGTTTAATAAGTTATTTATCGGCTCGAGGTGGTGACCGACGTCTTGGCCTAAAAATACTGCCAGCCGGAAAAACGAGATAAATTTATGGAAAATGGCAACGAAGGTAGGGATGTACTCGGCGACTCACTAAAGCGTTACCTTGCCCGCGGGCAGAGATAGGAAAAGACGGACCGCGCTAAGAACCAATTGGATTGCAGGATTTGTTATCGCACCCTCTGAGAAAAAAATAAAAACAAATATTTCGGATGACAGCGATGACGTATTTCAATTTTCCAGAAAGATGTAGCGATTTTACTACATTTGTGTAAATAAACAAGTGATTAAGAGATAAAACAGATCTTGGGACAGTATGCTCTGTTAAATGTTTTGTTTATCGGATAAACGAGCAGAGCAACAAAGCTGTGTTTAAAAACATGGCACTTGATGGCAATCACTGTGATGTGTTTAAACTCTCGGGCAAGGATTAATTAGCGTAGAAAATACACTCAACACGAGAACCGCTTTTTAAGTTTTGAACAGGATGATATTGATGTCAGTGGTTTCAGACGGGTATCGCCTCTTGATTAAAAGAAGTTGCGATATTGCCCCACTGAGGGAAAAAAAACAGTTCTGTGTCCGTTTTCAGTTCGGAAGACGAGGTTACTCGTTCATCGAAACGCATTTCTGCGGAAAAACAAAGCAAAACAAAAGAAATAAAAAATTGTCGATTCTTCTTGCTCTTTTTCATTTTGACGGCTTTCACGTACTTATTAAAATGCGTCGATTGTAAAAACGGCTTGATGAGTTTTCCCCTGTATTTTTAAGCTCTGCAAGACCTTCATTCACTATGTTACAAAGGGATACTCGATATTACACACAAATACAAAGTATTCTTCTTTAAGCCAAATATTTTTCCAAGAAATTTTGTTCTATGTGTCTCAAATATGCGAAATTTGACCTCTTCTTTTATCGAACACTCTTATCAAACGTTATATATGAATTACTGACAAGCAGCCATAAGAATCTCGACTCTTTGATTGTCTCCTCCTATACCCGTTGGATAATTTAACTTACAGTTCTTATTCAAACTTAAATTACTATGAATCATGCTGTTTTTAATTTTCGTTTGTTTATATCAATAATTGATCGCAGAAGTTTTCAAGTAACTGATTGTGCAGCGAATATTTGAGCCTGCAACAGTCGATAATCGCCGGTCAGTAAGGAATCTAAGCATCGTAAGTACGTCATGCATGAGGAATTATTATGAACATTACTGTATGTATGTAAAGTATAGGACATAATATTTATTGAGTAGATAATAATTCCCCATACATGACGTACCTGGGCTAAGCATTAATATTTCCGCTAGCCACAATGCTCGCACGATGTTGCGAGTCAGGCAGATACTTCAAGGTTGTAAATGTAGTAAACTGCTTTCTTTCGTTTTCTTTTTCTTTCTTTTCTTTTCATTTTTTTTTGTCAAAATAAAAATAGAATGATATTCCTAATCATATAGACTTACTAAAGTGTTATGACCGACTCTAGTTACTAGGAGCATCCTGTGGCTAAAAACTGAAGTGCCAATAGGAACACGAAACAACCGTAGGTTTGACTCGTGCAAAGAAAACCTATTTTTCTTTTTTGTGGTGTGCCTGTGTCGTTACCGACCAGGAAATTTAACCAGCTTTCGCAAAAAGCCAAAAGTGAATTTTTTGTCGTTAAAAGCTAACCCACAATAAAGTCTGAGGAAAACTAAAACAACAGACGATTACAGCTGTAGACGAATTGCAGACTGAATATCTAATAAGGAACTATGAAAAATTTACTTCAGTGCGGAAAAAGACACAGCTCGTTGAGTGAGGGATCGATGGACACGGAGCAAGGAATTGAATATCCTTCCTTTGAAAAAAAAAGTTCCAGGTGCTGTGAGATTGACTATTTAAACTTTTTTTTTCCTTTCCTATATTTTTTACGAATATATTCTGTAAAACATCATCCTTTAGCTAGTTCCCCAGAAGTCTACCGTCAATGCTCTCATTGAAGTATACCTGAGCCGCTGTCGATTTTGAAAATACCTCTGAAGTAGAGCTCTGCTCTCTCATCGATACCAGGGACCAGAATAGAAAGTAAAGATGTCGACAAATATATCACGACAAAGTTGTAGTATAGTTGCTATACTATTCAAATTGCAGATCAGCAAAGACGCTTTGAATGATTAAGATGCATTTACTTAAGTTACCTCTCTCACGTCAAAACTGATATATCGTTTTATCATTTTACTTGCAAAAATTTGAATGTAATCAGCCTCATCTAAAAAAGTTTTTCCTTTTCATTTAATTACTGCTTAGCAGTTTTCGACTCCGTATTGCGTGCGGCTGATTCTGTATTTTGGGCAAAATGTTATTCTTACTGTATGCTAAGCGTTAACAACCTGGAACTTGCTTGCGGCATGTTTTTGTTCTCTGTTGGTTTGACAGACAGACATCGAAAGAGGGAAACTTTTCCGCTGTATATTTTATCATATTTTACGTTTTACGCCAGGAGAAATTGCGTTATCAAACGTCGATGTGGTGAAAGTATAACCCCGAGTTCTGCAGCATAGACTTGAGAAAGTAATAGGAATTATTAGTTTGGTTTATACGAAAGTTTGCCTTGAGTTTCAGACGTGGATCAAAAATAGTTATTTTAACCTCCTATCGTTTGACATAACTCTCTTCATCACCCACCACACGATATTTGTGCGATCGAAATCTGAATGAATTTTCTCAAATTGTATTCAGCAAATTATTTCTGTTCTTAAAGACAGAATTTGCAGGAATTGTGCGCCACAAACATTTCAATTTTTGAATGAAAGTGAAAAAAGACTAAGGCGACGCTAGAAGTACATTTAGGCTATGTACCGTGAACTTTGTTTTCCATCTCTTAATTTACATCATACATATCACACGTCGCTTTTTATATCAACTTACTGATGCATTAGTCGCTTACCCCAGAAGCGGAAGACACAAACAAAGATATTTAAGTAGTTTTCTATTTTCACTGCATAAAACTTAAAATTTGAAACCAGGATATAACCTGACAGCGGTAAAAAAAATGCAGCAAGGTAAGTCATATTACAGTTTTTCGGCCTCAAGTCTACACCCCACAGAATGTGTATTCTTGTAAGTGCGTATGTTTAGTTTTGTGAGCTAATTCTTGTTAGATCCTCCAGAAATTGATATATGAAAATCGCAGATACCTAGGTGATTATTCAATTACTATCACGATATATCTGTCGGAAAATAAATTATTCCTACTCCGGTAGGTTTCTAGGCTTATTAAACCTAAAACAGGCATTTCGTATTTTGTTCAAGACATGTTTATGTAATGTGAAGTTGATTTAAAACAATATTGACTTTGCAATAATTGTCAGTCAGTTGAGTTAAAACGTTAATGGTAAGAGGCGGTTGTCAGGAAATCGTCATTTTCTGATGCACCAGATGAGAACCACCTGGTTTTCTTGGATGTGTTGTTCTTTCTGTATTGAATAAAATAATTCAGCTCAAGTTATTTGTTTGCAAATCTTGTCGCGGAAGACGGATGTTAAGACCAACATGGAATGAAAAATAATATTGTTCTTTTCGGATGATCTACATAACGACGTGATTAAACTAAAGAACAAAATCAATTGAAGATGTTCGGATCCGCCGGCGATGATCTGGTTTGCGTAGGAAGAGGTAATTTTCGGTCATGATCCTTTCGGACGAAAAAGTTTTGTAGCCCGAATTTTGTTTGCTGTTAGACCTTAATTTTTCAGACTTTCTGTACCAAGTTACCTTTTAGTGGTAGTTTTTTTGCAGTTTTAAATAAAAGTAGCTTATTCTAGTCGTGGATTTTAAGATTATTCTAGAAGATCGAAGATATCTATGTTTGGGAGGAAGTAGAGTCAAAGCGACTTGAATTTTGTATAGTAGTGATTAAGCAAACGGCTAACTTTTCTCGACGCTATTGTGTTGATCTACCAGAAAATTCTCATCAAATATGAAAGCCAATGTAGGGAACATACAAGGGAGAAAACGGAACCTTAAGGAGCAGTTTGTGACGTTTTGTAACGATGTGCGTCAACGCTAGAAAGGTAGAGGGAGCTGTTCAAATGCTCAATGGTTGGCTCACGTGGCTTTGGCTTGATATTTTGTTTTTCTTAATATCTAGGAGAGAGAGAGGAAATTCATAAGAAGACCTTCCAAAAATGGATCAATTCGAAGCTTGCAATGGTAAGCTAAAGGCGTATTGGACGTCGTTGGTTGACTTTATTTATCTACAATAAAACGTATTAGGGGAAAAAAAAGAAAAGAAAAAGGCAGTGAGTTTTTATCTCTGCCATCGAAAAAGGTGTGGTTTAATTAGGAACGCATTTTGGGAAGGTCGCCGCCATATTAATTATTGCCTAGCAACCTTGCTGCTTTCCTTTGAAAAAATCGCACTTTTTTCTTCATCTGGCATCAGTGCATACATACATGCGCATTTTTTTCTACATCACATGTATATTATCGTATTCCATTACCTCCTTAGTTATACGTGTTATTGATAAAACAGTCTTGCTGACGAAAAATTACGTTTTTTCTCAAATGTCTCGTAGGCCGTGCCACCTTTAGAGGTGAAGGATCTTATCGAGGAAGTCCGAGATGGACATGTGTTCCTTTCTCTGCTGGAGGTCCTCTTGGGAACGACACTGGTAAGTCTCGTTGTAGTAACGTTTGGTGACGTCATGAATGTATCTAACAGTTGGCAACAGAAACCGTTGTCCCGTTTGATTTTTTGAGACCTTTTTTGTTGACGTTCTGTTGCTTACTTGATGCTTGTCTTCATATAGGATTGCTAATAGTTTAAAACATTGCACTGCTGGCCGAGGACCATGCTAACAAACTGATACGGGACTGTAAGGCACATGATCTCAAGTAGCTGATCTTAATGAGCTGCAGTATAGTAACTTTCTTTCACCTTTCTATCGAGAGGTGATTATGGCAAAATATACCACAATTCTCAACCAGTGAATGCTCGCATATCAATGAGTACTAGATTTACAATTAAGTATTATTATAGCAGCTGGGATTCGATAAAATTCTGAGTCGTCTGGTTTCGCAGCCGTCACGTATGTAGGCTAAGAATGCGTCTTATAACAACCGCGAAGGAGGGTTCAGAACTTTTTTATTTCTATGTAATGCCACAGGCCACGGAACAAAATGTCGGTTGTAAGGACAGCGGAGAGTTTGCGAATTACTTGTCTTTGACTTATAATTTACAAACTCTTCTTAAGACTTACAATAATTGCCATACCTGCTTCTCTACCACTAAAAAAAAGTTAGTGATGACGTTAAAAAATTCGCACGTTTTTTCGACAGAAAAGAGAGAAAGGCCGAATGCGCGTCCATAAACTCACCAATGTGACAACAGCACTGAAGGTGTTGGAAAAAAACAAGGTAAATTTGCATTTTTGTAACTAATGTGTCGATCAATTTGATGCTTGAAGCCCCTCAAGTCAACCCACGAGCATTTAACTGTCAGGCAACCCACAGGCATTTTAACGTCGTCCATTCTCGGGGTTTTCCCGGTGAGGGATGCTGAAGCTTCGAATTGATCGTCGCATCAATTTGTGTCAAACTTGTGAAACATGGAGAAAGACAGTGACAGTAACATAGACGTAGACAGTTTGAAGAAATAACTCTCTCTGCTATTTAAGTCCTTTTTTAAAGATATAAGGCGGCAATAATGTGTTGTGCTACCTTGTTTTAGTTCAGTTGTCATGTTTTTTTTATCGAAGGTGAAAACACTAATAAAAATCAACCACAGAAAATACATGTACATAACACGCGAGTTGACTCCATTTTTTTTAAAAAAGGCCTCTTTGCTCCCAAGTGTTTAGTTTTTAATGATTGTTCCAATTTGCTTCAAATGGTTCTTTGGTAGACTTTCTGCAACGAATGTGGCCATTGTCTACCTCTAAATAACTTTTTCTTCATTCTTCGAGGGTTTTTTTTATTCTATTATATACTGTTGTTGTTGGTGGTGATTCTGCATTTTTAGCTTTTTAAGAGGTCGTTTGATAGATACCCAAAACTATTGCTCTGTTAAGCGATCCAGGGTATATTTAAGTGCAAACCTTTCGACATGAAATTGATTTTGTCTCTTCTTAACACACAATCAAAACTTGTTTTAACTAGGAAGACGGCGCTATTTTCACCTTCTCCTGAAATTTATTTTTAGGTCAAACTTGTTGGGATCAGCAATTACGACATTGTCGATGGAAAGAGCACGACCATTCTTGGACTGATATGGAGTATTATTCTACGATTCCAGGTATGTAACTCATAATCCTTTAACTCCTAGAAGTGATAACATGTAATTTATCCTTGTAATATCTATGTTATTCAGCAAACAGGTAATGAGAATACTCAAACTTATCAGGTAGAAGGTGTTATGTTGATCTAACAATAAATTCTTGTAACTAATTTAGAGGGAAATGTGTAGGAGGAGAGAATTAACAATCCAATCTTGGGAGCTGAAGGGTTAATCGCAGACGAGTGAAAGTTTGAGTCTTTCACTATCTATAAATTGCGAGACCCTAAAAAGTTTCCAAACCCATCCGTTATAGTAGATTTTAGTTATTATCGTACTGAATTCGTCTTTTCAATCTATGCTGTAAGCTACGGTTTCTCATTTCCCCCTTTTGACTTATAACCGAAGTGTTACCAGTGACTTTGCAAAAACTTTGCAAAAAAACTGAAAAAATTAAGTTCAGGCCAACTGTAACTCGGTGTCACAAATAGAGACCTACTTGAAGATTTCTAAACACCCAAACGTTGATATGGATTTTGTTTTCTTTACTATATCTCAACGTCCCCTTAGGTGCAAGGCGTAATGACTGGAGATGATTCTGGAGATTCCAGCGTCAAAGATTTTCAAGTCGAGAAAAAACTGCTTTCTTGGTGTAAGACATCGCTTGAAGGGTGAGGCCCAAAATGATGAACATTTGATAACCCAAGGTGAAAGGTCAAAAGCCAAGGTCAAGAACAAACGGATGTAATCAGAGCAAATAAAATGTCACAAAGTGACCAACGGAAGGAAAATGTAGCCGTTTGTATTATCACCAACCGAGACTAACTTCCAACAGGCGCACCCGTTAAATTTTGTCAGTTATAAACTACATTTGCTCCTGAATTTTCTTATTTCGATAGTTAAAATATCTGGGTATTCCTTTTATTCTACTTTCTTTTTCTGAGGTAGAGTATCATCTCGTATCATCTTTACTTCTGATGAATTTTGATTTCTAAAAATTCCCGTTAGGTACGAGGATTCCGTTAAATTGAAAGACTTCACAACAAGTTGGAGAGATGGTCTAGCTTTCAACGCCATCATCCATACTCACAAGTAAGTAATCCGTGTCATTTCTCTGTGGTTACTTTTTTCAGTTGTTTAATAACTCTCCGTAAGCCGTGAGAGGTTTGTTGAATTAGCAATTGCAGCACAGATTAGAGAAGTACTTCTGGTGTCGTCTCCTGATTTTTTGATCGAGGGGAAGGATAATTATGTATTTACAGTAATGTAATTGAAGAAATGAGGTTTTGATATGTATAAAAGTTTCTGAAAAGGCTGAGAGGTTAATCACCGTGTGAAGGGAAGTAAGAGTCAAGGATACAGTTTAATCGAGACCGCCATCTTGATTTCAATGGCAAGCGAAGCCTGATTATAGCATTCGGCTCCTAACCCCACCCCACTAATTTACTATCAAAGACCACTATCACCCCTCCACACGGAGTTGCCTTTCTTTGCATTTTGCTTCCTTCCTATATTATCACCAAACAGTCAGAAAAAATTGAAATTAGAAAGCGGAAAGTCTAATATAAACGATTTCCTTGGTTCTGCGCCATAACATGTATTCCTTCTAGCCAGAAAGCCCCTCAGTAATTAAAGCAGTCCAATCCCTTGTGACAACTCTAAGAATGTTTGTATAGCTCTCTGTTTCTTATACTCCTTTCTCTTTTTTTTTCCAGGCCAGAGCTGTTTCGATTTGAGAGTCTTTTAAAACATGATAACAAGACAAATCTTGATCACGCGTTTAACGTGGCGAACGAAGAGTTTTCAGTTCCGAAGCTGTTGGACCCAGCAGGTGAGTTGATGTTAGTTTAAAAGTTTCACTGTTTTTCTGTTTTGGCCCAATTTCAATTTCACAGATTTTTAATCAAAGACTAAGTTGTAAATTTTACTGTCCTCACTTGGCCCCGTTCTTGTTCGCATGAAGCACATTTTAAGCCTCCTTTGGTTGTCAGCCGTTTTTCAATTTTGAAACTCTTACACTCTTCATTTAAATAAGATGTACATTTTCGTCAAAGTATGCCGGCAATAACCATATCATAGCATTTCGATTTGGAATTAAAGAACAACTACACTTATGTACGACAACTCTTCCCTTCACTTTATATGTCAGCGTGTGATGTGCGTCTCAATTTTCAGCAAGACATTCTAAGTGTACAATTAGAGAGCTTTTCTCACTTGATGTAATAAAAATATCTGATGAGTTAAAAAAAAACAAAGAAACCTACTTTTTCTCCGTCAGAGGCAGAACTTCTATGCTTTTTCAAGCTTCTTTCGCATTCTAAAGATCTCTTCAGTTGGACTGATTTGATTTTTTTCCCACTGAATAGTTAATGAATTTGTGTTAAGGTGCGGCTATCTTTCCGAAATTATTTGAAATGCTGGTTTCCTGTTTAAGCCTTAATCATCAGCGCGGGTGCATCAGGAAAAAAAATTAAGCGAAGTTTTTGACAAATACTAAAATCCATCGCACCACTCTTGAAGAAGAAAAAATATATATTAGCAAAACTGACCATGTATGTTAACATTGAAGAAAGACTATTTTATTAGATTTTTCCTATTTCTTATTAAAAAAAAATTGCTAATTAGAAAAATATAAAGATTTTTCGCCAGCGCCTTTTTAATTTACAAGCAAACACTGTCATCACTTGAGAGGCAGAGAACAACTTTTTTTAAATTCACATTGTGACATTTCCTCAAAAAATGTCATATATAACAAACTTTTAATTGAAACACCTATTTCAGTGTGCGGAAAATAATGAAGAAAGTTAATTAATAAAATTTTGGCACTTGTGAATATTTAAAACACAGTTTTACTTTTCCATAGTTTCAGGTTTTCAATGCTAAGTTAATTTAGGGGGTTTCTGCAGCGTAGTGAATATATTGTCGCTAATGATTATGGATGTTCAGTTTACTTATTGAGAGCTACATTTTTAACCCACTGCGAAAACAGAACAATGGAAAGAATTTTTTGCAATTTTCTTGAAATATTTCGTTCATATCATAAGTCGAGTCCATCGAAAATAACTCGTTTTAAGATGGAAGTTCCGATATTTTGATTAACTAAAACCAAGAAATGGAAATGTCGAAAACTAACATTTATAATAACAAGTATAATAAAACGTAGACTAGTTTGGATTTGTCAAGCTTCCCCTGTGAACCAGCCCTTCTTTTTTTTAATTTATCTTTCGGAGCACAGTTGTTATCTCCTCGTGATTTTGAGAAGCAATGTAAACTGAGATCTGAGGGTGTCATTGTGTAATGGTGGAAACACGTTTTTTTCGATTTTGTTGCCATATTTCGAAAGTAATACTCAGTTTAGTAGCCTGGAATCCATTCAAAGCTCTACCTGTATGTTGCCGTAGCTTTCCTCAGATCTCCTTTTTTTGCATTATTCAAAAACATGCCATTCAAGTGGTCCACGACATTGCGGTCAATTACACCAACAATTTGTTTGGTTTTACTATGGAACATGGGATGCGAAGAACTCAAATATGCCAAGTAACTTCACTCGTATGGTTTCGAATTTATAGCCAGTATGTGATTTGCCGGTTTTTCGAATTGTTAGTTATTCGTTAAATTCTATTTTTATTTCCGTACAGATATTGACGTGGACAAGCCAGATAAAAAGTTGATCATGATGTACTTGACCAGCTTATTTCACGGCTTGAGAGAATACTCACCACAGGGGGGAAAGAAGAGAAGAAAACTTGACGTAAGTGTTGCTATTTTATTGTCGTAGTTGACTATCATTAGCTCGCCGTGACTTTCCTAGAAAGTATGAAAGGCCTGTCATTTTTTTTACTTTTTTAAATCATTTTTTATCATATTTCAAATACAAGTTACAGGCATAATTAAAATGACGTCACAGAAACAAGGAAGTTTGGCCAACAACAGCCGCGCAATTGCAGTTGTGAGTAACAGTTTTTGGTGACAATGCTCACGAAGGCTCGCCATTCGATCGAAAGGCCTTTTTATACGAAGCAGAAATATAAATCTTGTTGTAAATTAGATACGAAAAACCTTTTTTCTGATACGGTAATGTATTGTATTGTAAAAAAGACTTGAAACGCATTTCCATTGAGCTTAGTTAAGCGAAAAAAAAGAGTGAACACATTAGAAGTCAAAAAGAAAAAGGTACTGATCAATCAGAACAAAAATATAAATCAGGGGGAGCAGGGATGACCGAAATAAAATCTTCCAACTTGCCTCGAACGAGAGAAAGTGCAAGCGACAAAAAGGGTGACTGGTTTTGATCACGAGCGTTTTCCCGCGATCTAGGCGGTTGGCTTGTTTTTTCTTCGAGTTCTCATTGGCTTTGGTTGTGATTTCACGAAACTCAAACGGAAAGCGCTTGAAATTATAGCCGACTGGTGCAATTACGGATTTCTTTAGTTTCGTCACTCAGTTCAAAATGGCTCAGCTTTTTTTGTAGCAAACGTGTCTTTTCCTCCTTTTTTTAGGATTTGGCGGGCCTTGAAGCTTACCGAGCATCATTAAGAGACCTGAATGCTTATATCACACAAGAAGAAACCCTGGTATCCAACAAGCTGGAATCGACTGGCCGTTTTGGCAATCCTTTAGACGATTACAACAAATCAAAGGTAACCATGGACAACCAAGAAAAACAAAATCCTGCAGGCTGAAGGCTCTTGCATCAATATGCAAACCTGAAATGAATCGCTTGGCCTTTGCACTGTTGATGTATGCACACAAACGTGTTTTTTTTTTCCTTTCGCGAAGTTTTAAATTCCCTTGATAAGTCCTAGGATAGGCCTAAGCATTACTTATTTGTATGAAGGCTTCCATCTGATGGGATGATACGAAGTAAGAAATCACCCGAGCTTCTATTTTCTTCAATAACAATAGCTGGAACTAAGACAAGAAATTCACTCACCTCATTTTTTCCTTTTTCCCTGTCTTTTCCAGTCTTTGATGGATGACATCAAAAATCATCGCCAGGACGTGGGAAATGTAGAGGATATGGGCCAGGCTTTGATAATGGATGACAAGACAGACGAGATCCACCGAACAGAGATCAAGAACCAGCTACTGCTGCTCCACGATCGATGGGAAAAATTGGAAAAACTCTCACAGAGACTTCATAAACGGTAATAGAAAGCAATTTTAAATTAGGGAAAGCTGGTTTTAGTTTGTTTAAGTCATTGGTTTACACACACAGAACGAGATTTTTTCGGAAAACCAAAAAGACGTTTGTGAAAATATTGATATTTATATGATGTATGGCTACTAAAATTGTAAAGTGCCACAAGAACTTCCTTTCGTTTACGAATAGTGCTTACAGAAATTATGAACATTTCAGCCTCTTTTTGTCTCGACGCGCAAGCCCACTTCCAACTCAAAGGGGAACACAAGAGAGCTACTTTTCCAACCAATGTGAAATGCAAAGATAGAACAGGAAGCCTGGTGGTGTGTTTATTGTTACCTTGCCAATTGAATTTAATTACGATCTTAATTATGCTCCTTTACTCTTTTTAGATGTCGGGGGGCTCTCGTTTCACCCCGGGAGCAACAGATTGACATCTACAACTCGTGGATACAACAAATGAGAAGTGAGATATCAAAAAGAGGAAGATCCCAAAGCCAAACAGAGATCAGAAGAGAGATCGATGAACACGAGGTTATTGAATTGCAAATCTGGATATTGAATTCCTGTATTTGAATTTCAGCTGTTGAACAGTTATTGAATTCCTTAACCGATCGTAAACGAGTTGTAGATAGCCTCATTGCTCAAATGAGGCCAATGCTTAAGTTAAAATGTTTGGCCTCTCATGGCTAGCGTCCCCTGCAGACTTAGATTTATGATGCCGTCTTTCCTGCGTAGAAATCGAGCAGGAAAGATGATAAATGTTATGCTTTGTCGTGGTATCATAAAAGATTAAAAAAGCAAGAGAAAAGGACAAAACTAGGGTACCGAAGAAAAGGGCCGACATCACCAACGGACTGCATCACTGTTGCTCTGCAACGAAGCTATACCTTACAATGGGTTCATATTCAAGGTTTGTTAGTTATCGTTCGTTGTGTAGTGATAATAATGTTGGCCTTTTTTATCTGCTTGTTTGTGTAGGGATCTATGGTACGGATCGACTATAAAAAGAAGGAAGTCGATCGCGTTATCAGTGAAGTTAACGAACTCTGTTTGGAGCCTTACGTCGACGAAGAAGATCGTGAGATATTACGAGGAAAGCAGAAAGATTTAAACATCAACTGGGACACAATGACAACAGAGGCTCATCAAAAGAGTAAAGAGTAAGATGTGACTTGAAATGATCACTGTTGGACTCAGATAGAGATGTTCACAAGAGCGTCAGACATGACAGGAAAAGAGAGCACATTGTTGACAAATGGAGCAGACTATCCCCTTTGATTTTCAAACCGACAAATGAGAGAATTACGAGCTTGCAAAAATTTGATACTGAACATAATGAAAGATTAGGCTAGAATTCAGCTTTGAACGTTTACAGCAAACAATACGTTTTGCAGTTCGTTTGTTACTTCCGCTTTGACTTATTTTGATACAATGCCATAGAACATTAAAAACAAATTGACAATTTTTCATTCAGGCCGTTCTTCTTCTATCACGAGTCTAAAGCGCATGCGTGATTCCATATTTTTCACAAGTATGCCTGACAAAACTATTTATAAAGCATGTGAAAAGACTCTTTTCCGGATTGAATGAAAAAAATTGATAACAATAATGATAATAAAACATATTCATGCATGAAAAGAAACGTATCCAAAATCATGGAGTTGTCGCCAAGTTTTTGCTTTAAAATGTGATTTGCATCTCTGTTTGCAGACTGAAGGACAAGTTGTCCCCGTCTTCTTCAGCAGAGGAAAACAGAGAAACGGAACTGCTTGTACAAGTTTCTCAAGACAATGTTCAGTCAACACCTTCAGAGTTTAGTACATTTGAGATACAAGTAAGCATTAATAAACTCTTCAACTGCAGTTCTTAGATACACGAGATCTTCATTACCACGTGTGATTTAAAGATAGTTCAGATTATTGATGAGTCATTTTCTGCCAAGCTTTTATCATGTGACCGTAATGCCCCGTGCGTGCAGTTTTTACTTATTTCCAAAGGTTCTTTGTGAGATGGTTGAGCTAGGCGATGGTGATAAATGAAAAACAGTAAAGATTAGATAGCCTTCAAACTTTTCAATCACTGAATTCTTCTATTATTCTATTGGAAATAATAAATTTCGAAGCTGACTTATATAAATTACTTAACGGCAAAAACCAGGATTTTATGGGTTTACCAAGAACTAGCTCTATGATAGTTGTACGGTTGACACATTTCTCAAAATTGATTTAGAAGATCGGATTTTATAGCCCCATCTTAATACACAGTGACTCTTATGTTGCAGCCAAACATTCAACATACTGTTGAATCGCAACCCAATGTTCACTATCTCATTGATTTCGAAGATGATCACGTTGATGGCGCAGATCAGATTGACAGGTTTGATCATTCGTATTATACTTCTTACTGAATAAATTATGATATTAGGTAAAGTGCGATCACAAGCCTTAAGTCATCTCCATCGTTGCTTATCCCAATTTCCGCAGTTTGAAGCGAATGAGAGTGTTGCTATTTTTCCAAAGGGTGGTTTGCTAGTTGATCGCTGGTTTTCACATCGGCATTTCATCATTCTTTCCTGACAGTTCACCGATACCCATTTATACTCTTGACTGGAGAGAGGCATTGTGGTAGTGGCACCAAAGTGCAAAACAATGACGCGCTCAGGTCTCGAACCCAGACTCTTCGATACCGAGCACGTTAGCCTAGTCGTTGCCATCTTGTCTCCAATAATAAGGAAAATTATAACGTTAACTGTTTCTTCATCAGCCACGGCAGAGAGGCCGAGAGGGACGCTAAACTCGACACATTACGGGATAAAATGAACGCAGTTCAGTTGGTGTTGGAGAGATGCTCAGGAAAGTTGGAGAACTTGAAATCTTCTGGTGCCCCAAATGATTTGCCGGGGGTCAAGGAACAGCAAAACATGGTGAAGGTACTGGTATCGAAAGATTAAGGACCCCCTCATGACCAGTGTTTAATCAATATAACTTCATGCAAAGTCCTGTATCAAAATGTGTCATGTTATCTTTCTTGGATTACTTTGTCAACAGTTAAATTGGTTTTTTGGCGTGAATTACGTCATTTCCACGCAAGATAAAACATTTCGAATGGGGAATTACTGCAAGACCAATTAACCTCATTTGTGCATATTCAGCTACAGAGAGTCTCTAAGAGACGTGAAATACAGACTAGGACAGATCAAAGAACAAAGAAGTGAAATAAGGCCAAGTGCTTCAGATGGACTTGATAAAATTATACGTCTGCAAAACGTACAAAATTGACTTTTCAATTTGTAGGGGCTTAAAGTAATTGCTAGACATAACAGCATTTTCTATTTGGAAACGTTCAGCAATGGTTTTGTAATGCATGAGTGAATGCTCAGTTCATTGTGAGTTTCTCGTTACTTGCATGTTTTATTCCTAGTTTATTCCTATGATTTAAAAAAAGAAAAAACAAGTGAGTGAATATAAAGGAATTCGCTCTTAATCAAACTTTTGCGTATTTCCGTCATAGGATTGTGATTCTGAACTAAAGGAAGGGGAGCCACTCTTGCAAGATGTCATTTTGTACGGAAGAGAGCTCTCACGAGACGATCTGTTTGATGATAACGAGAAGGAGGAGATCACACGTAACATGGCTCAACTACAACAGCACTACGATGAACTGAGAAACTTTATTGACGACGAACAAGAGGGGTTTGTGTTTTTACACTTTTGCTTTTTATTTATCGTAGAACTCAGATTTAAAACACCTCCATGTTAGAAGGACCTCCTAGGTTCGGATGCCTCCCATGGCATACTTGGATTTATTTCTAAGTAGTTTGTCCTCAACTTGGCCCAAAATCTGGTGAATTTCGTCTAAAAGAACGTCTTCCTGCTGGAATTTGGAACAGCATCTGTCCCAGCCTTAACCCTAACCATTCCAGTTTATTGTGTATCAACGAGAATAGATTAAATGAATATAAAGCAAGTTTTGAATAACGTTATCTTAGTTCTCTAATTATTTTTCGTTGCATTTTTTTTGCCTCAATGATTTTTTAAGAAACTGAAAAAGTGAGGCAAAAAAGGAGGTAGTTTCCAATGGGCACCATAATTACTATTTCTTTTCTAGTCTCAGTGAGCTGCGTAATGAATTGGAGAAACGAAACAAGATCCGCGACTGGGAAAGAAAACGCGATGAATTAAACGAGAAGCTATCCCGCTGCGAGGATAAGTTACGCCTTCAAATTCAGGATCAGTTAAGAGAAGAACTCGCACCCAGTGAAGAAATCTTGGCTGCAGCAAAGGTAGATATAAATATATATTTTTTCAATGAGATTAGACCGTGTATAAGCCACAGTTAACGGTAATTCGATACTTCGTTGCTCTGTGGCTTTCTCGTAGAATTTATCGAAGGAAATCTCCGATCTTGATCCTGAAGTAGCAAGAGTTACAGACGATGGAATTAAACTCGTAAAAAGTGAGAACATTGGGGGTGACTTGGAAGAAAAATTGGTCCAAGACATAAACGATATCGAAGAAAGATACGAGAAACTTAAAAAGAGCAGCAGCGATGACGTAAAAAGGTACTGTGTTTGACGTAATAACAAATCTGTGCATGTCTATCCTTCTCACAGGAAACTGTTGATGCTACATCATTGTCACGATTGAATGCCAAGAATTAGTGTTACCGTCGGAAGAATTTCGACAAATTGGGAAGCTGAAAACGGGCTCGTTGTCAAACTTGTGCGAATACTTTTTTATGGCTGGGATAAAATTTAATATTTTCTAGAGTGTAACTCCTCTTTTAACCAAGTCTTTGGGATCTTTTCCACATAGTTAAGGGATAGATACTGGAGGTTTTTAACTGATTTATTTAAATATATATATATATATATATATATATAACTAACTGCAGACAGTACTGTTTCGGCCTTCTGGGCCTCATCAGTGCAGTGCTGATGCTAGGATGGAGGTAAGACCATATAGCCACCCCAAGTGATCTCACATATGTGGGATCATCTAAGCCATGCCAGAGTGCTCAAACTAGAAAAAATAGTGAGCATGCATAATGCTAGCAGCAATGACTCATCCTAGTAGAGTGCTCAATTTGGACATGAAAGCAAAGCTTTGTATGCCAAAGAGCTATATCTAACTACATATATATATATATATATATATATATCTACTTTTTCTCAACAAGCTTTCGAATCTTTATCGCAGACTGGAGGACGCAATTTCTCAGAGAGAATCTGAAAAGAGGGAGAAGCTTGAAAAATGGCAGGAGGTTACTGAAAGAATATCAGTGATTAATGTTGATACCCGTACAAAATTACGAAACATCAAGGAAAAGAATCCCCACACCACCCCTGAAATACAGGAACAGCTCGAGGCGATACAGGTAAAAATTTTCATTGCACAATAATTGAAAAGAAGAAACGTTGTAGCATTCTAATTTTCCTACTTTGTTTTAATTTTTTTGTCCATTTTGTCCGTTGGATTCTTTTATTTAGTTATTTTTTCCTTTTTTCGTTTCTGTATTTCGCTGGTCTTGGTACACCTTATTCGTTAAGGATCACTGTTGAGGTCGTTCTTTCCTTGCGAACTAGCTTACGCTCGCTATCTTTTGCCACTATCACTCGATCGATCGATGGAATAGGTCAGCCTTTTTATGGTTCTTTTTTATTGAAGTCGTCGGTCCAAAGCTCGCATCTTTGAAGCCAGATTGCGAGTTTTGGATAAAGACAAGATATCTATCAGCAATTTGTGCTTCTATTCTCCTTAGAAATGTACAAACGACGTTATGTCTGTGTTTCCTGAAATTCAATCTGGTTATGATTACGGCAACGATCTCTTGGCTGATAATCAACTTAGTGATGAGGATAAAGACAAGATCGAGAAGGAAATGAACAACATTGGAGAGGATTTCAAAGCTCTTCAGCAAGACATAAATGCCGAACAAGACAGGTCAGCCATATCATTTCTTACCTCAGTTTTTCGCTTTTGGTCGCCCACCGCAATTTCTTTCGTTCATTATTCGCTATTTCGTGCGTATGTTTCTTCATCGGTTCGTTTTTTCCTTAATTTATTTGCCTCGTAGCTTGTTCGTTCGTCCATGCTTGCTTTTGCTTGAACATTCGCTGCTTTTGTTAAGTCTTCGTTCGTGTTCTCGTTCATTCGTTCTTTCATTCACTCGTCAATCGCTCGTAGTTTTAATCATTCTTTTGTTCGTTCTCTCGCTCTTCTGTTCGTCCTTTGTTCGTTCGCTCGCGTGTTCTTCCCTTGTTCCTTAATCGTTGCCTTTTTACAGGCTGAATAACTTGTTGTCAGAAAAGGTAGCTGAGGATGCTCGAGCTCAAGATAAATTGAAAAAGTGGCAAGATGGTAAAGACAAGTTAAACTCCAAATATAAGAAGACCAGGGGCAAGTTCAACAAAGTCAAAGGTCAAGGAATTCCCAAGGACCCGAAGAAAGTGCAAGAACAACTAGAACTTACCCGGGTGAGATAAGTGACATGAATGTCACTGTTTCCTGCTTTGTGTCAATGGATTCTCTTGCAATGCACGATGTGATTTTTGAAGCATTTTTCTTTAGAAAGTAATTAGAATCCATATTTCTTTTCCCTCAGGAGTGCTCGTCCGAGATCGCTGATTCAGTGCCAGAGATCCAGCAGGCGTTTAAGTGCGCCGAAGATCTGATCAGTGACAAAAGTGTTGACCCTAGAGATAGAGAGTCAATAAAGAAAGAAAGAAATGAAATTGGGGAAGGATTTAAGAGCCTGAAGCTTGAACTGAATGACTACGAGAAGGAGTAAGTTTGATTAGGCTAAATTAATTGCTTTTAATTCTTGATTGGAGTCATAAAACACATTGGCCTTACTCCGACGAAGGCAATTAAAGGAGCTCTTCTAGTTCCTCAGAATTTATGAACTCGTATAATCTGGCTTCTTCAAACAGCCAAGGGAACTGCCACGGTTGTTTTTTCTGGAGTAGGAAGGCGGCTTTGAAGATTTCTTTGGCTCACTTGTAGTGATTTTACTCCGGCGGTTTTCTCCACAGATTAGAAGACTTAGGCCTTCAACAAGATAAAGAAAAATCGGAGAAGATTACAACATGGCAAACATGGATCATTCGAATGAGGAAGTTGCAGGATAAGTGTCAAGCGAAGACAAATGAACTCAAGGAAGCAAATGAGCCACAAAATAAGAAAGAAGTCGAAGAACAAATGGTCCTTGTGAAGGTCAGAACTAGTTTCTTAGCTTGAGTTAATTAGATTGTGCACTAGGAATTTGAACTTCGCTTTCTATCTATAGCTGCAGTACATTTATTGAAATCTTTACAGCTCCTTTTACTGCTTCGGGACTTGTGAAGTAAAAGGCAGGGTTTTCAAAATGAAAAAAAGTATCAGGAGGAAATTTTAAAATAGCCGGAGCACCACTGCGCCGCGACAGCGGCGCCGGGCGGCAAAGCCGCCCGTGGGGAGGGTGAAAATCTGCATGCTCTGAGGTGCATTCTGGTGCATTTTCAGGACCAAAAAGTTATTTTTTAGGTCGTTGTACACTTTATTATAACCTAGAGTTTTTCTTAAATCTGACTCATTATCAAGAGTTTCTTGAAAATTATGTTTACTCATACATATTACAATGCTTTCCTTCCAGTCCCATGTTACATATTACAATTTACATCTAAATAAAAATTGACCTCTTTCCCTTGTCAGTACTTCATTGACCTGTTATAACATGAATCAACTTTTGAAATAATTATTTTTGCAGTCAGAGTTTTCCTACAGATTGAAAATACAGATGAACAGTTTCGTTATGGCATCCAAGCACTCAGGCTCGATTCTTTTTAGTTAAAAGTCACTGTCACTGAAATCACTTTCCCCCATTGCACTGTCCCTGTCACTGTCGTCACAACTTGGATCATCTTGAAAATTTGCTAAGCCAAGTTTAATGAGGGCCTGCTCTTCCTCTTGCAACGCTTGTTGTTCTTCTTGACTCTGACGATCTTCAACTTGTGGGTCCGTCTGTGTTGATACACTTGTTAATTCTGGTGGTGCAGGTTCTTTGCCCTTGCTTTCTCTTGAGGCTGACTTCCCTTTGGCCAAATTGTAGCGTTTTCCAGAGAGCCATTTCTCAGTGGTCTTCTTCACCAGGGTGTCACATTCTGAAGAATTTGCCTCTGGACCATTCATAGAGATATTAACAAGGGCCTCCAGCATCTCATTGGTCAGCCTGCTCCTGAGCCTTGACTTTATAAGCTTAACTCGACTGACTCCCCTTTCAGGCCATGCGTTGCTTATGGGCATCGTGAGAGCTATTTCTACAATGTGCATGAGGAGAGGGAGAAGAGAAAGGAAAGAAGATCTTTGTTTCATTAGCTGGGACATGCACCACTCTGCTGGCATGGTAGTCTTGCCTTCTTTTACATCAGCTGGAATGGCCATCTCCTTCATGTGGTACTTTAATATATTCCACTCTGCCAAAAGTCGGTCTTGTTGGTCGGGGAAGTAGTGCTTGGCAAGAACTTGGATAGAATCTACTCCGTAAGAGGGAAGTTCTGAAGAGCTTGCAGGAATAAGAGTTGGATCAAAGATGGAGAGCGCTCCCAGAAGAGGGAGGGTGTTCTGAAACCTCAGGTCGATGTTTTCCTTCAAAGCAGAGACATACTTGAGCAACAAATTTCGCATGGATGCAAGCTGATGCTCAGAAGGGGAAAACTGCAGCAGCACCATCTTTCCTTCCTTGATATCTTGGCAAAATTGCTTGATGGGGACTTCTTTGGTTGCCACTTCATCCAGCGCTGCCTTAGCACGAACAATTTCTGGTTTAAGGTGACTGAAATTGACAGTAGAATGCTGAAACGATTTTGACAGGTTGTCAAGAACAGGAAGCACATGCTTTAAAACATACAAGCAAGCCAGGAAGCGGACGTTGTTCATTTGAACTAACAGGCCCTGGCATGTGGGGTCCTCATCTTTCATCCTGATAAGGAACTGGATGATGGCAGAGAAGCTCTCCCAAGCGGATTGAACGGCAGCGTTAAATGACAGCCATCGTGTCTGACAGGCCTTCTTCAGCTTCTTAGCTATCTTCTTCTGCGAATTCTTGTTTGAGAGAGTTATTTCACTCACCTCAAGTTGAACTTTCAGGAAAATGGCTGTCTTCTTGTTCGAGTTGTCAAGGAGTTGCCAAAGGGTGTTTAGTGTGTTCTGCATCTTCTTTATTGTGGCAAGATCGTTTAAAGTGTCGGTACACGCCAGCGCTAGTTTGTGACAAACACAGTGGACAGATATTAACGACTGGATTCTTTCATCTGCTTTCAGCCTGGTAGCTACACCTGACCTTTCTCCCACCATGACACTTGCTCCATCTGACACAAAGCTTTTAAACCAGTCAAAACTGAGACTGTGTTTCTCAATGACTTCCAGAAGGATGCTTGTGATGGTTAAAGAATCTGCTGCGTCAGAGCTGGCGAGAACATTTTCCAAACACAAAAATTTCACCTCAACCTTTTCGCTACCCCTGTTATAATACTGGATGAAACCAATCATTTGCTCCAAATTTGCAATGTCAGTCATGTCATCAACCATCACCCCAAATGGCCCAGTTACAGCAGAAATGACTTCATTTTGAATCATTTCACCAAGAAGAAGCAACATGTTGCGAAAGGAACCTACTGATGTGTGATTAAAGCCACTCATATCACACCCCAGCTTCGCAACCAACTTTAACAGACTCTTAACCTTGACATTTGCTATATCCTCCTTTGCCAACCAGTAAAGGCAATAGAAAACTCTTTCATACACATCAACCTGAACTTCAGCATTATGATCGAGCTCTTTCTGGAAAACTGAGAACCTGTTCATAAGAATGGCAGTGATTGCATCTTTGTGTCTCTTTGTTGCAATGTGCTCCTCGAGGCAATCTTTCTTTAACCTTGTGCTTGGTTCTGCAGAAAAAATTCCTTTTTGTTTTGGGGATTCTTGGAATCAAACTTCTTGCAGATCAGACAGTATTGACCTTCTCCTTCGATGTAAACGAGCCACCACATCTGTACTTTAGGGCTATAGGCCAAATCCTTATTAAAGATAAGGCTGTGATTAAACATCTGCTTCTTTTTGGTTGTTTTGATGCGTGCTCTTTCTTCTTGAGACACACCCAAGCAGTCACGCTTTTTGCAGAGAATGTAGTGATGAATTTTCTTCGTCTGCTGTTCTTCAGTGAAACTGTTCGTGATATCACTCTCTGACTGTATACACACAGTATCTGTGGGAGGAAAATACATGTAAGATTCTTTACCTTTTTTTCTTCAGTGTGTGATGCAAACCACCAACTAGAGAAGGCTACTCTCAAAAAAAGAAAGAAATATCACGAATTGTAATAAAAAGTTCGTTTACCTTCAGCGTGGTTGGTAGGGGCTGCGGTCACAGAGATTTCTTGACAGTCGCGTAACACATTGACGGGCAAACTTTCGGCATCTTCGAAGTTTAAGGACGTACTAGGCGTTGCAGAAGACCCTTCCGTGTCTGGTGCATCTAACGAAAGCAGTGAGAATATGTATCGATGTTGACAATGTGTACCATTTATCCCCCCATGACCAACGCGTTAAATAAACCAAGCATAGTTATTTCGCGCTCACGTATATGACCTCACGTATACAAAATTTGAGTTAAAGGCGGAGATTAAATTTTATTTTTTTAGCGCGACATACAAGCTCCATAAATAATGCATTGTTAGCCAAAATTTCAATCGATTAGATAAATCAATTTTATTCCGCGGGCACAACTGTTTTAACTGTTTTTTTAGTTATCAGAAGAACAATGCTTTGCTAAACAATCAATTTCAGTAAAACTCATATATGTTAAGCGAGCCGTAACATGTGGCGCGACTTATGTCGCGACTAGTCTGGCTGTGTCGGCTTCGTATAAAATTAATTTTCCATAAAGAACTGTAAAACATTCAGTTTCACCCGCTTTACTGATTATGAAGACTTGAAATGAAACTTTAAGTCTCACAAAAATCTTAAAAATGCCTGGCTTATATAAAAAAGTTAAATGTGACCAAATTTGTGTCGGCATAAAATTTATTTAATCGCCAGAGTCTGCCAGTTCATTCTCGAAACGGCGCCTCACGAAACCAAGCGTTGAATAAATAAAAGCATCCCTTATAAATCGCCTTGTTGACAATAAATAATTCAACCTAAGCGATACAATATTGTTTTCAAGCAATGTTTCATTCATAACATGCACCAATACTTATTTTCTGATGGACTGGGGGATTGTAAACAGGAACCCGGCGAACATTTGCATTTTAAAAAGTGTTTCATACCTGCAATCTCCTTTCTTTGCTGTTTGAACCCAAACTGGGTTAAAAGCGGCTGTGATTTCTGCCTTTTCATCCGGTGACTGGGACCGTTTTCTTAAAGAAAGCGCCAAGTACAAAGCTCTCACGAATTCACAAACAGATTCAAACACGCGATGTGGAGAAGAAGACGATTTCATAATTCGCTTACGCAAGAAAAAACTAGTCACGAAATAGCAGGATCAAATGTCGGTCTTTCGTGGGAAAACGCAAATGGTTTCCAGTCCAAGTTGAATGCTGTTGAATAAAAGAGTTACGATTTCTGATGCTGGAACGTGATCAGTGGGCAAGAACAAAATATGTTATCCTTAACTTTAACCCATAGGAATCGGAACTTTATGTTTTTTTAATTTTTTTTTTTAATTTTGACTTCCAAAAGTACCCGGCGCTAACGCTCGAAGTAGCCGGTGACTTGCGTCGGGCGCCGGTTACTTTTGAAAACACTGACTTTAAAAGGGTGGTTGTAAATGTTTGCATCAAACATGAATGATTTGAGAAATAACAAACTGGTCGGAACAAACACAAGTAACATGTCAGGCTGCATATAGTTAAATGCAATCCACAATTGGGCACAAAACCCAATCATGTTTCCCTAATATTTCGGTGGTAGGATTGCAATGGAAGTGTAATGCGATCACACGTGTGGTGCATCGTTCAGGTTTACGAAACGTCAGTCGTCGATACATGGTCACAAAGTTTTCAAAGACAGCCCTTGTAAGGCAAACTTTTGCGAAAGTTTTGCATATCATATTTTTTTGGTACTTAAATGTAGGAGTGTAAGGAGGAGCTGGAGGCCGCTAAACCGGTGATTCACGAAGGTATTGACTACGGGAAGCTCTTGATAGAGGATGAAATACTTGATGATGAGGTTAAGGCTTCAATCAAGAAGGACGTGAACGATATGGAATATAATCTGGACAAAATGGAGAAAGACAACGCTGACGAACAGGGCAGGTAACAAACGGTTAAAAAAATCTAGATTAAGGCTTTTGTAAACGTGTGGAATATCACTAGTTTTATCTGTGGTCCATATTTTCTCTTCATTTATATCGAACACGATTCTATTTCGGTAACTACTTGAAAAAATGATGAGCTTTGAAAATATAATGGATTTGTATCTTTGCCTGGTAAAATGTCTTAGATAAGATGACCCACACACACAAAAACTGAGCATTGTCCTTTAAAAGAGAGAAATTAATAAAAAAAAATCGAACTCCATTGGTCTTTGTTAACCGAGTGGCTGTTGCATTTTTTCCATAAAATACTTAATTTACTAACAATTGAAGTAATCTAGATGTCTGCATATTTGCCTATGTCTTACTTGATATCTACGTAGGTTGGAAATTCTAGCCATCCAGTTCGACACCGATAAAAAGGACAAATTAGTAAAATGGGAAACTTGGAAGGTGAAATTGAGATCAATTCTTGCTTTGAAACGAAACCACCTTGACGAGGTCAAGGCCGACGATCCCACGAACCGGAACGTGGAGGAATTATTAGCGAAAGCAAAGGTAGGCTTTTGAAGCAATTTTCAGGCGAGTTTCGCAGGTAATCTGGGATTGTGTTGGTTTTACCTCTCAACACTCGGTGATTGGTCGAGAAAGCTCGCGCCACCCGCTTCACCAATCAGGAAAAAAAACCGAAACCAATCGCGGATTGGTCGCGCCCGTTTTGCCGCCCTTCGGAGATCCGGAGTTAGCATTTTTAATCTCTCAATGCCTCCTTGTGACACTTGCTTTTCCTCTTCTCGGCTGTTGTGATTACTGAGATTGCTTTGGTTTATGTTTTGCGAGGTTCAGTTGAAAAACAAAAGGACAAGAAGATAATAAACGATATACCAAAGTACACGCAGAGTCAAAAAATTTATTTAACCAGAATGACGATTTCGAACCTCTGCTTTTACATTTGCTGACCTCTCTCCTTGACTTAAAACTTTTAAACACCATGTGATTATCAGGTCTGATTTTCTTTGTGACCATTAGGATTGCGAGGATAGCCTGACCAATACAGAACCGGAGATCAAGTTTGCTTTAGATTATGGTGAGCAACTCGTGGATGACGATCTGACTGATCCTGATGAAAAGCAAAAGATCCATGATGATGTGGTAGAAATGGAACGAACTCTGAAAGACCTGAAGGAAGATACCGCTAAAGAGAAACTAAGGTATTTTGTCTAAGACTTTTCAGGATTGTACTCTGACATTTTGATTCCGCTAGTTCACATACATTACTGTATGGCCTTCAGGTCCGTACATGTGTACTTGTTTGGTTGATCGATTGATTGATAAAAGGTAGTAAATTCATCTAGCATAATTTACAAGAAGAGCATCTAATTGTACTCAGCTAATCTAGCTAATGAAATAAGACAAAGCCTGTCCTTTCCTGAGACTGCTTTTCAAGGATGCTGTGTATGCAAAGTCTAAAAATGTAATATATAACGGACTATGCACCTAAAATGCACAACACCTAACTTTTCTTTAACTGATAATATTGTTGCCAGGTTGCAGCAAATATATTTCCAACAAAACGAAGAAAAGGAGAAAAAACTGAAACAGTGGGAGATATGGGTTATTCGTATAAACAAACTACAGGGCGAATGTCAGGAAAAAGTGAAAGATTTGAAGTCTAAAGGAGATCCTCATGATAAGAAGGACTTGGAAGAGCAGATTGTTTTAGCTAAGGTGAGTTTTTTTTTTGTCTGTTAGCGAAAACCTGTACGTTCTATCGGTTTACCAGCGTAATGACTCACCTGGCATGTAAGGAGAACACGAGAAAAGTTTGCTTAAAGAATTTATCTGGAGACCAAGTTCATATAGAAAAATGTATTTTGAGACTTGTATGCGTCTTTTTCAGTAAGGTGTATTCAACTTTTGTAGGAATTCGAGGAGGAGTTGCAATCAGCCAAACCGGTGATCAATGAAGGTACTGCATATGGGTCGCTGCTTCTAAATGATGATATCGTTGACGAAGACAACAAGGCAAAAGTCAAACAGGACCTGGATCACATCGAAGAGGATCTAAAAGAATTAGAAAAGGCTAATGGCGATGAGCAGAAAAGGTAAAAATCCATAACAATTTCAGGCGACTTTGCAAAACCTAATTATACGACAACGAAAAGGATTTGAGATATTTGGGGTCGAAATTTTCAACTATAATAAATACAGTGTAGCAAGTCGTCTTCTACATAAAGGCCTGGTGCGATAATGTATGGCACTTTATTATTCGACCGTATTTTTGGTGGAGGCAGCTCAACAAGCGGTTTAGAGCCCCGTGTTTCAGATCTTGATTCCCGGGTTCAAACCTTCCATGATATACAATACAGTGGGCTTTTTTTCGGTATTCATGAGTTTTCATCACAGAGATTCACTTTGTAAAAAGGTAAGTGATTTTCCTCACACCGTTGACGTCCTTTTTTATCAATTAACGTTCTATGTACTCTATTTGTTTGTGCAGGGTCCGCTATCAGATCGTATGAGCTTAATATCGTGTCACATTTATTACTTATGGAGTCTCACTGATGTCCTTTCAGGCTTGAAGATATTCTTTATCAGAAAGGTGAAGAGCAAAAAGTCACAGAGTGGAAGAACCGGACCACACGCATCCACATTTTGATAAAGGATTGTGGTGACAAAATGGCTGAACTACAAGCTAAGGGGAATCCGAAGGACCGCGGGGATGCCGAAGAGCAAATCACTTTGTCAAAGGTACTGAGGATTTGCCTTAAGTTTTTCTTTGTTGAGAGAAAATGTTTGGTTCTTATTTCAGCTGAGTTTTGCAGAGGTCTAAATTTTTTCCTAACCTTTTGTATGATTTTTTTTTTCATCTCATTCTATTTAATTACAGGAATGCAGTCACAAACTACAGGCATCAAAACCCGAGATAAATGCCGGTCTGGCATTTGGAAAAGAACTATTGGAGGATGATTACATTAGTGACGTAAACAAGGCTAACATCAAGCAAGACTTAAATGAGCTAGGAGGAGACATGGAGAGACTGGAGCGAGCCAACGATGAACAAGAACGCAGGTAAATTATCTTTTAGTCTCAAATTAAACCTGAATGTAAAAGCCTTTCCCAGGTCCGAAGTACATGTATTCGTTTACAAAGCAAAGGAAGTGTTTTAAATATGTCTCACGTACCTTTAAACACACTTAAACGCTAAACAATAGTTTATGCAAACGGCCCTTGAAGATGAAGGATTGCCAGCGGAAATCTAACCTCTTTCGCTGTTTCGCACTCTCTTGTGAGTGTCGATAACATTTTAAAGACTTTAGTAAACGCCTACCGCACCAGTTATCCTTTTTTCCACATTCTTTAATGTTTCAAGGTTACGTAAGGGATCCTCGACAATCATCGTTCGAGAAGGGTCAAAAACGTTGTATGAAACGGTTTTTTAAGTGCCCAAAAGAATGGTCACGAAACCAAACTAAAGTTTTTACTTTTGTTTTCTGATCTTTTCTTGCAGGATTCGAGAGCGCTTAGACGCATTACAGAAAGAGGAAGCGGTGATAAAAGATTGGCGTGATAGATGTGCCAGCTTGACATCTTATATGGATGCTGCTGATGAAAAAATTCAGAATGGGAAGAACGCAGAGAGCAATGAGGACATTGAAAGCTCTTACATCCTGCTCAAGGTAATCAATGGGAAATTTCACAGACTTGTAGGTATATGTAAGAACTAGTAAGTAATTCATTGCTTTGAGTTGTATACCATGGAATATTCCACTAGTCATCGAGTCATTAGATCGCATTTCATGATAGGAAGGTTTGTGTAATGGTGTCGATTAGAAAACAGCTTTTGTACATCCTGATTGAATGTGTTTTCTATCTTCGTTTATTAATGGCTGAGTATTTGCTAAATCAGACGCTAAAATATCAATCAAAAGAATGAGTTAAAGCACTTTTTGATTTTAAAATTCCAACCGGTGTTTTGTTACTCTCAGTTCCTCTGACAATCATTTACGAACCAAAATGCATACTACCGTACTGACGAAAAGTGTCTTCAGTTGTCTCAACGGCTCTGAGGTGCTGGGAGGGGGACAGTTCTCAAAGACCCCATTGTCAAGTGTTGTCTGTATTTGATGCTGTTCTCTCGTAGTATGTTTTACTTATTTTCTTATTAATTTTGTTGAATGTTCTTTCGTAGGATCTCTCAGCAGATCTTGTGCAAACTGAACCGGAAATGATAAAGACTTTAGACTTCGGAAGAGAGTTAGCATCAAATAAAAATTTGAGCTCTGATAGCCGTCAAAAAGTGACTGACGATGTGAGTGATGTGGAAAAAAGATGGAAGACTCTTATGAAAGAGTCTCAAGATGAATACGCTAGGTAATGTTGTTGGCTTGATATGCATTGGCTTTGTGGGTAGTATAAATAAAGTAAAATGAGCGAAAAGGAGAAGAATAAATCGAAAGGCAAGAAAGGATGGATAGTAAGATGGAAGAGGAATAAAAAGGGTGGGAAAAAAGGGAAAAAGGGAAAGGGTGGAATAATGTGTCACAAGCTAATCTCGTGAGAATTCGGATGGCGTCGTCCTATTATAAAAACCGGACTATAAGTTGCTCTAAAGCTTACAAGGTGAGAGAATCTTGTGAGCAAGTATTGATTGACCATAAACATTTACACAGATGCAAGAACGTGTTCATTACTAGAGCCGGTGTTTTTTTTATACAAAATATTTGCAAAGGATACACGATTCATGACTAAACGTCTGCTTGTGCTTGTTTCGAAGCGAAAATCAGTGCGACACTGTAGCAAATAAAACCATCACCTCTGGCGAGATTGAATAAGAGATACAGTTCAATGGCCATGTTCCATTCTTTCTTTTTTTGCTATTTTAGGCTTGGTGTTGAACTAGGAGCTTCACAAGCTCGACAAAGAAACTTGGAGACCTGGCACGAGCGATGCGATGATCTTCATGGTTGGGTGACCGACAGATACACAAGGTTACGTTCCCGACCGACTTCTCCTGAAGCATCTTTTGGGGGAATAAAAAGACAACAGAGTGTTATTGAGGTAAAAATTTCTCGAACGTAGCGTCTCATTTTTCCAGATCTTATGTCGGTTTTTGAAAATGAACCGACAAAAAAATATTGCTACCCCTCCTGAAAATGATTGTTTCATCTCAAGCAACCTTCCACCCTCAGCACTTTAGAAGATCCCCCCCCTCCTCCAATTTTTAGGCACTGGATATACTCCTGTGTGCAGGCTAAGTTTGTAAGAACCATGTGTACTATCACCTTGGGTACGACTCAAGCCCTAATTAGGGCTTGAACGCTAACATCTGGATTACTTATTCCCAACGATAAGGCTACTGTAATGCTAAAAGCCCCCCACCCCTTTTAACTTGCTTGTTAGGCACTTGCTGTTTCGCCCAATTTAGGGAGTCTTTTTCCGTTAAGCTGACCTTAATTTTGTGTTATCGACTGTGCGTTTTCAGGATCTCGTCAAGGACTTAACTTCCAAACAAGATGAAGTAAACGAAGTTATTGACGAAGGAAATCAAGTCATCGACGATCATACTTATGCAGAAAAAGAAAGGAAACTTGTTCATGAGAAGATGACCGCACTTCACGATGACTGGAATAAACTAGCCACGTTGACTTCCGGTAAACAGCAAAGGCAAGTGTCGAGATTTGTAAGGGTCAGATATCTGTTATTGAGTGATCAGTAAGATTTCGATTCATTTATTGCTCTTCATCAAATTCAGTGTTTTATAAAAGCCCATAAGGAGTAGTGAAAAAGTTTGCTTTACATCCCAGTTCATCAATCGCACTTTACCACCGACATAAATACGAGATGGCTTCCGGAAACAACCACTTGTTTTCGCTATCAACTAATCATTCCCACCTTTTATACCTTCTCTTGACTTTGATATAACTGGATATCGCTTTTTTATTTCCCCTTTTCAGTGTCCAAGTCTTACTTCTTGAGAAGGAACAACAGCACCTTGACAAGACGCAGAACTGGAGAAGAAGAATTGATCCTCTTGTGTTTTGGGTTTCTTCAGCCGAGGATAAGCTGAACACACAATTTGCAATTGCCCCAGATCTGGACACCGTCAAGAAACAGAAGACTGAACTTGAGGTGCTTAGAAATAATCACTGCGGCGGATTTTCAGAATGGTTGGGATTAAAAATTCTGCGGTAAAACACCGCTTTCGAGGCTCAAAGCGCCTCAGTGTCTTAAAAGCTTTCACATTTGAGCGGAGACCAAGTTGAAAAGCACTTGAAACACCGTGTCGAAGGGACAACAATGTTCTGATTTCCTAACTTTTTCCTAATCTCGTTTTTTCTCGTTTTGACATCTTGTATTTTCTAGGATTTCAATAATGAAATGCTTTCTCACCAACGTGAAGTGAGTGAAACTTTGGAATATGGAGACAAACTACTGAAAGACCCAGAGCTTCCTGAGGACGATCGTACGGCGATACAGAAAGAAGTCCTGGATCTTAGTCATCGCTGGGAGAACCTGGAGGAGTTAGTCAACTGGAAATCCGAGAGGTAAAAAAGCATAGCATGGGTTTTTTTGTTTTTTTGTTTTTTTGTGCCGGCTTATTCTACCTGTTCAAGGAACTCATTTTGAACGGAGAGAAGAAGCCAGGTGGGTGAGGCTCTCCTTCCCCCGTCCCCCCCCCCAAAAAAAAAGACGAAAATAAATTTCAAAAAACGGAAGGATCCTTAGAAGACCCGCTCTATGACTCTATTGGTCTTTTTACGAGTCTAAATCACCGGAAAGTATGCTTGGAGCAACCGGTCCAAGATAATTCTTGACTCCTCAACGTTTTACAAGACAGCTCTTCTCACTCTGCCAACCTCTTACAAACAGAATTGACGACACTATCTCAAAACTCAAGATGCAGCAAGAGGACAAACTCCAGAAATGGCATGAGGGACTTGATGAGGTCAGTGGATGGGTAGTGAAGACAAGAGTTAAGGTTGAAGTCCAACAGAGACTGGCTACCGATGTGGACGCTGCTTTGGAACAAATAGATGACTTTCAGGTTTGCTGTTGTTTTTAATCTCCTCGTTGTTGTTGTTTTGTCTCAAATATTTCCTTTTTAGGGTTCTTTCTTCACGTAAGGCTCTTATTGTCCGTCAATTTCTTTGTTGTAATCCTGCGGCCTTACCATTCTAAGATTGAGTAATTTTGCGAATGATTCTAAGAATGAGCGACTTGAAGCAACGAATGTGCTGATACTCTATGTTTTGATTTCAATTAAGGAAATCATCAAAGACGCTCCAGGTTATCAAGAAAAGGTAACTCACCTAAACGAGTTCAGTGGCAACCTCGTTACTGACCCATGTCTTGGAGAAGAAGAGAGGCGAGGTGTCCGCGAGGAAACTGTCATCTGTAATGAAAATTGGAACGATCTGGTTAATCTCGCTAATGCTAAGCAGGCCAGGTAATTGAATGTTTGTATATAATACTCTTTAGCACCTGACTTGGTGGCTCGCTTGACCCCAGGTTGAGGGTTACAATCTGGAACTTCGGAGGGTTTATTGTGTTGGGAGCATAATTTTATCTACATCAAAACACAGTTAGACGATATTGCACTTTAGAAGAAGATCATTTGTATGCAGCTATTTATTGACCACATGTTGAAATCTTGCATTCTTTTTTCTTCCTGTTTTAGAATGGAAGAAAACCTCAACAAATTGGAACGACAAGAACAGGACGCTTTAGAGCGATGGAGGATTCGCTCAGAAAGGGCGGGTCTTGCGTTAGATAAACTGGAGGGTCAGATATCTGTTATTGATGACCCTATAGGGAATGACATAGAGACTGTCAGGAGACAGGAGGATGCGTTTGAGGTCAGCACATTCATATTTTTACTGCAACTAACAACAGTTTTGTTGGAAAGCAACACATGACATGTTTGGTACATAAGGGTCGGCTTTTAACCATTCATTAATCATTTACCTCCACTTCTACTCACTTAAGAGATTAACCCTTCATATACATGACTTCACGGTCCCGTGGTCGTGTTCGGTCTAGATTGCCATTGAGCAGATGTTGTCTCTGGAGATGGAGAACATCTTCAATTTGATTCAAATCGATAAGGCCTATGTTGTAAGCAATGCCCACATACGTTTTGTTCAAGTGACCAAACTGTTTTCTTCAATGTGAAAGAATTTATTTTTATCTGGTTTCATTACCCTGCAGATATTTTCCAATGAAATGGAACTGAACACAACTCAAATGCTTGACACTCTTGCCTTGGGAGAGAAAGTTAAAAAGGATCCCAAGCTTACCCAGAAAAGGAAAGATGAGGTGGTGGAACATCTCAATTCTTTGACAGCACGCTGGGACCGAATAAAGGATTTTGTTGCCTTGAGAAAAGAAAGGTATGCGACGCATACAGGTGTAGGTTCATATCTCAATGTTATAACAACATTTTCAAATGTATTTTTACTATTTGTTTCATAATGACATGCATGGCTTACTGGTATTCCATACTAAGCTACCTGACATGGCTGGGTTGGAATTGGTAAATAGTTTGAAAATTATTCTTCTTTATCAAACTCAAGACCTTGCTAAAATTTTTATTCTTCCTTCAAAAATTGCAGTACTGATCTCCCTAATCGCTATTTCCATATGTTTTCAAAAATAACTGAAATATGGTTTCGACTAGCTATTTTTTCTACCATTTTCTCTCTATCTAAGACTTGATGAAGCTTCCAAGAGGATGCAGAGGGACAGACGGAAGAAGCTCGATGAGTGGGAAGAAAAGGTTAATCACTTCGATAGTTTTTTACGAAAGGCAGAGAGAGAAACAGAGAGGCTAGAGCCAATAGCAGATGACCTGGAGACTGTTCAAAGGCAATATGACGATTTCCAGGTACGATATCCAAAATAAAGAATCAAATGAGTTTTGTTATCAACTGAGGATTTAATGAAAAAAAAAATAGTTTGTGCCATTGGCGTAGTTGATTGGCTGAAGAGTTGGTGAAAGACGTCGCCAAGCTATAAACCGAGTCTGCAATCTCGGGGCTGGATATCCTGATCCAGGCATCCTTATTATCACAAAAACAAATCTACGAGCGGAAGACCCCAAAGACGCCCTCAGAAAGGGAGGCAACCTCTGCACGGCTCAAAACTGTACTGATTAAGTTAGGATTTCCCTCAACAGCGTGACTGATAAGAAAAAAAACAACAACAACACCTAGTTTCACTGTTCTTCAAACTAAAATTCTAATAAAAGTACATTCTTTTTGACGAGTTCTCGAAGCATGCCTTTTATTATGTTTAGAAAACGAACCAGCTGATTGGACAGCAGAAGAAAGTAGATGACTTCGAAACTTTCACCGTCGAATTACTAGCAGACCCTGTAATTGACGAGAGATCAAAACAGAGCATGGAGCACGATAAAGACGACCGCCTTGAGAGATGGGAAAGGGTCGTCGAAAAGATTAATGATCACCAGCATGGGTAACTGCACTGTCATTGCAAATTTATATATTAAGCTGGTTCTGTCCAATACGTTTAAACAGCATGCAAACAACCATCGTCAGAACTCGTTTCTTGTTTTCCGAAAATTATCGCGATATTTCGAGCGAAACTTTATGACTTATCTTTTGGACTTTTAGAGCGTCTGCGTTATGATCCAAAAAAGTTCAAATCGGTGCAACACAACATGTTTTTTCAGAACGAAAACTGAACGAGTATTCGAAGTTATTTGTAAATAGTCTATATTTAAAAAGAATAGCGATAGCATCAACTGTTCAATATCAGACAGCTGCGAATAACTAAAAACTCTATTCTTATTTGCAGATTGGAAGAACAACTGACAAACTTGGAGAAAACTGAGGGTGAACTTTCGAGATGGAATGACCAATTTGACATAATCCAGGAGGAGGTTGCGAAAGTTGAAAGCGTCTGTGAGCAGGAAATTGCTCCAGATTTCGACGCGCTGGAGAAACAGAAGACTGAAGTTCAGGTGGGTCAAACGAGAAAACGTTGTGTGCTGTTTACGGACAAATTATTTGAGATGTTGTTCAGTTTCCACGATGTGAATGGAGCTTGCTTATTTTTGCAGAGACTGAAGAAAACTGTAAACGTACTGGATCCACAAGTTGACGACTTTCTCAAGAACTCTGACAGGTTGATCGACCAAAGTGACGTCCCCGAAAAGGATTTGGAGACTGTGGAACATGAGGCTGAAGTCTTCAAAAAACGTTGGAATAAAGTAAAGTTCGATCTTGACGCGAGACAACAGAGGTTTGTAAGGGAAATAAAACTAGGAATGTTGTGAAATGGTCCATTTAATATACAACTATATATGGAAGAGCTCTGTTTATTTCTTTTCCAGAATCGAAGATAAGCACCTCAGCCTACAACAACGTCAAAAAGATTTGTTAGGGCAGTGGAAGAACTCTTGTAACTCTACTCTTAAGTGGTTATCTGACACCTCTGCGCGTGTGCAAGCTCAAGATGTAACTCCTCCGGATCTCGATCATGCGCGGGCTCAAAGACAGGAAATTGAGGTCTGTGAATGCCCATCTTTTTGCTAAGTAGTGTTCACGATTTTAGTGTGCTAGGTGTTGCCTTTCGTTTGATAAAAAGATCATCTTTCTTTTTCTCCAAATCACTTTAGGACATTTTGCGAGAAATAAAACGGCACGACAATCAGATGGACAAGCTAGATCAACTTGGAGACAAGATTACTAACGACCCGAGCATGCGTGACTTGGAGAGGAACTTGGTTAACAATGAAAAAGCTACCATTATCGAACGCTATAAAGGACTTCTTGCATCAACGGAGGCTGCAAAAAATAGGTTCGTTGCAATTAATATGTACTAGCAGTGAGAAATACTTGATATGAGGAATGTCATCGTGCTATATTCAAACAAATTCTCTCTTTCCAAATAAAGTACTTAAACTGAAAAACTAACAACAAACTCAAGATTTTCCATTATTATTTGTTCTCATGAGAATCACCATAAAGCCACACTTTTTGAGAGGTGATTGCTTTCACTGGTGCTCATTTTTTTCCATAAAAAAGTATTCGATTTGGATATTAGCTCGAGGGTAAGTCCGAGAAATATCCAATGATCTTAAAAGAATGAGTTTCTACTTAGACCCCCTTTAGGGAGAAGATGCATTTTTTGTCATGTCCCGTAGAAATAAGCATGTTGTTGTGCTTCTGTTCTAGATTGGATGATCAAATTAACCAAATGGAGAAAGAGCAAGGAGAAAAGATGAAGCTCTGGCCAGAAAAAACGGATCCCCTTGATAAATGGCTGATAAAGAATGAGACAACTGTTCAGTCCTACGAGCCAATCGGATACGACATCAGCTATGTAAAAACACAAGAAAAAGACGCACAGGTTGGGGCATTTTCTAATTGTTTGGTGTGAGAACAAGTTCACTAGTTAATGAAATTAAATGGAAAACAGCGTTATCAATGTTTTAAACAGGTTATGTTTAAAATTTAACTTCACTATAGCTCCTGTACTCTGTCCGGCAGGAAAACGATGTTTTTTCTATAGAAGAGCTTAAAAGTCTATGTTGTTCTGACAGTGGCTGAGAGAGGAAGAGATGGTGAATTAAAGGCTTTTAGGACTAGATACCGGATCTCATCGGGTCTATTTCTTTTTAATAGGCAATGATCACTGAACTTCTTCAAGAGCAGCCAAAATTCGCTGAGATGACGGACTTTGGGAATAAGCTGACAACGGAGCCTTGTGTAGGATTAGAAGAGAGGGTAAAGATTCAGAAAGACATGCAAAGTCTCCACGAGAGATGGGACGGGCTGTATGAGTCAGCCACTTCAAGACATGACAGGTACCAGCCACTTCTTTGAATCAACAGTATTGTTTTCGTAAAAATTGCATTTGTTTTTGACCTTCTAAGTAACAGTAGGAAGACTTAAGGCTTCAGTAATATTTGAAACCTTAAAAATATGATTTACAGAATCCTACAGAAACTACAGAAGCTACAAAAAATTTCTACCTAGGGGAAACGGTTCCTGGGTAAATAATACCATAAACTCTCGCATGAGAAAATTCTAAGCAAACTTACCTTGTATGTGAGTTGATAACGGAAATTGGCCACCGTGAAGGGTTTCTGAGCAGATGTTTCGAGTTAGCCGAAGATGAAGGGCTAACGCTTCAGCTTCCACCGACGCAGTACAACTGTTTCTTTTGAAACTTACCCCCCTTCATTCATCGGCTTGTATGTGACTGACTTCCTATGCCTAAAATCATGTTAAGGTGGTAAACATAGTGTTTGGTTTCAGTCTTTGAATTATTGAAATTCTTGGAAGTTTGAAATATATCCTCTTCTAGAAAAGTGTCCTCACAGTTGTATTTGACGTTCTTAGGATCCAAGACAGGCTAAAAATATTAGAAGACGAACAAAAACGACTGGCAGATGAAAGAAAAATGCTGGAAGAGGAAGAAGTACAGAGGCAAATCGACATGGAAAGGAGGCGAAAGGAAGAGGAAGAGAGAAGAAAGAAAGAGGCTGAGGAGAGAAGGAGAAGGGAAGAGGAGGCAAGGAAACGCAAAGAAGAAGAGGAACGGAAACGGAGGGAAGAAGAGGAAAGGATAAGAAAAGAGGAAGAAGACAAACGGAAACGAAAGGAGGAAGAAGAGAAAAGGAGACGAGAGGAAGAAGCAAGGCAGAGGAGAGAAGAGGAGGAGAGAGAAAGACGAGAAGAAGAACAAAAGAGGAAGCTGGAGCAGGAGGAGAGAAAAAGAAAAGAAGAAGAAGACCGGAAGAAAAGGGAAGAAGAAAGAAAACAGAGAGAAGACGAGGAACGGAAGAAGAGAGAAGAAGAGAATAGAAAGCGGAAGGAGGAACAAGAAAGACGTAGGAAAGAGCAAGAGGAGCGCAGGAAAAAAGAGGAGGAGGAGAGAAAGAAAAGGGAGGAAGAGAGAAGGAAAAAACGCGAGGAAGAAGACAAAAAGAAGAAAGAAAGAGAGGAAAAGAAGCGACTGGAGGAAGAAGAAAAGAAAAGGAAGGAGGAAGAAAAACAAAAGGTTGGTCGTTTTACGCCCGTTTTGTTCTTTCTACTTGTATTACTCGCCAAGTGTTTCTATTTTTTTGTAGAACCTGAACTGGCCTGCGCCTGTTTAGGAAATTGTCATGAAAGGGTCATAGACTATTTTTGAAGTTTCAGCAATTTGCATCGGAGATGACTCGAAAACAACTTACATTAGCGCTAGAGCAACACAACGCATCCTCTTACCATTGATATGTCACTATTGATGAGAATTACTCACCGTTTGTTTGTCATGTTTAAGACACAGTTCTGTCCAATTTATTTCTTAACGATCGTCTATCAAAACACCTTTTATATAGCAACTCTTTCCCGTGTAGAAAAAAGGCTTCCTCATAAACTTTGGATCTTTACATCACATCCCGATGGTGAAACAGGAAACTACACTAAATGCCAGCCCAAAGATGGACGAGGTTGTGTCAGTCCCAGAAGCTGAAGGAGACAATATCAACAGGAAAAAGGTCACAACAGCACAGCGCACGTTTGCACGAATGATCTATCATTATGGATGAAAAACACTAAAAACTTTCTTCTAATGTTTCGGATACGTCCTAGTCTATCGATTCTACTATTATATAGTTTTCTTATTAGTATGTTATATTCAAGCACCTTTTTCCTGACAAATATTGTTTATTTTTCTTTCTCTCTCGTAGAATAAAGGGTTCGGGTTTAGCCTCGGGCCGTTACCTCACCTTCCAAAGATGGAAGAGGTTGCGTCAGTCCCAGAAGCTGAAGAAGACAATATCAACAGGAAAAAGGTCACAACAGCACAGCGCACCTTTGCACGAATGATCTATCATTATGGATGAAAAACACCAAACGTTTTATTCTAATGTTTCGGATACGTCCTAGCTCTATCGATTCCACTTTTATATAGTTATCTTTTTAGTATGTTATATTCAAACAACTTTTTCCTGACTAATATCTTTTATTTTTCTTTCTCTCTCGTAGAATAAAGGGTTCGGGTTTAGCCTCGGGCCGTTACCTCACCTTCCAAAGGCGGAAGAGACTGTGTCAGTCCCGGAAGCTGAAGGAGACAATATCAACAGGAAAAAGGTCACAACAGCACAGCGCACCTTTGCACGAATGATCTATCATTATGGATAAAAAAACCAAACATTTTCTTCTAATGTTTCGGATACGAAACATTAGATTCTATCTAATGTTTATCTAATATCGATATTATTATCTAATATCGACTCTATTTTTATATAGTTATCTTTTTAGTATGTTTTATTCAAGCACCTTTTTCCTTACTAATATCTTTTATTTTTCTTTCTCTCTCGTAGAATAAAGGGTTCGGGTTTAGCCTCGGGCCGTTACCTCACATTCCAAAGGTGGAAAAGGAAACCAGCCTTTTGGCCACTCCCGTGGACGAGGTAGTCGTGTCTGTCGACGAAGACATCGTCGAGGCTGCTGCCGAACCTGATGCGTTTGTTTTTGATGGAAGGCTGCAGGATTGGAAAAACGACGCAAACGATATAAGCTTGTAAGTACTACACCTGGATATAGATTATAGGGTTTTAACCATTTAAGCTCCAAGGATAACCAACATCTAAACTCTACATTTAAAGTCAAGGGCACGAGAATCAACGAACAAATCATCTCAATGGAAAACCGTTGTGATCTTCACAAATTCTCACAGTAGTTCTTATTACATATGTCTTTACGTGCTAAAAAGTGCCACGAGAGTTGACTTGTTAAAAGTTAGAAGGTTTCGAGACGACGGGATAATGAGATGAAAGGGGGTAAATTAAGCATGGAATATAGCTAATTACTGAGAAGAATAGGCTTAGCTTTTTAGGTTTAGTTTGCTTTACGGTTTCGCTTTTTGTTGGCCTTCGAAAATAAGTTCTGAAAGACTTCAAAAGCGTTGACGTTTGAAAAATAATATGCAAACTCAATTCTCACAGCTGGCTTAAGGATCAAGACGAAAAACTACCAGACGAAACTAACGATGACACCATTGCTTCTCTTAAAGACAAAGAAAGCCATTTTGTGGTGAGTTTTGAGCTTTTACTAATTGCAAAGTTAGATTAAATGAATTTGCAAATTTGAATAAGTGCTAACCTTGCACTATACCCTAAATGGTTTTTTTTTTTTTGACTTGACGCGATTGACTTAAGGAAGTCATTCTTGTTAACGATGTTATTAAATTATCAAAGTCATTAACAAAATTTGCTCCTCTGTTATTGATATCAGTAAAACATGTCTTGAATTTGTTATTGCTGTTTTCGAAAGAGGAATTGCGATTAGAGGTGTAAGAAATCTTCATTCTTTGATAATTCTAGAGCCTCGAAAAAGAAATTCCTGACTACGAAAGAAAGTTCGATAATCTTGAGAAAGACTATGAAGCGCTGATCAAGGACAAACATATATCTGAAAAGCAGCATGAAGACATCAGCGAAGATATGGATAAGTTGAGGGGCCAGTGGCGCTCTTTCAACACGGATAGAGATGTCAAGAAAAACCGGTAAAGGAATAACTTAAATGATATAAGAATTGACGAATTTTTGAACTGTGGATTATAAATGGTAAATTGATCCTCGCAATAACTGACTTTAAAAAAGAACTGCAGAATTGAAGTATGTGCTTTGGTCCAGACATCAGCATAATTGAGCATTACTTCTAAACCAACCATTAAATACCACGATTCGTTAATTTTTAAGCTGAAAGAAGACGACGCGGCAGTCAACTCACGTTTTGAAGCCGTATTAACCTGTTGTGCCCTTAGCAGGTCTTGATTTAGTGATTAAAATATATATGAATTATCTGATGCTAGAATAAAAAGGAAGCTTTGGGATAAAGAACAACAGAAAGCCGGCGAGCTTACCGGGTGCAGGGTTAACTTACAAGCAGTGAAGGACTGGATTGGACTTCGGGATAAAGAAATTGAGAATATGGATCCCATAGGAAACGATCCGAAAACTTTACAACGACAGAAAGAAGACATGAAGGTAAATATACAGATATCTATTATAGAAAACATCATGTCATTTGAATTATTCATATGTTGATCATTTTCACTTCCATCTTTTTTCTTGCCCCTAAAATTGATTTAAAAAAAATCGTTTTCCTTTTGTTTGTGGCCTTAGCGCACGCACTAAAACTCGAGCTGTAACTTACAATACAAACCAAGAAAACGAGATAGGTACAAATTAGTGTTCGGATCAATGAAAGTGTCTGTCGGTCGACTTTACACAACATTCAACTGACTACATCTTGGGATAAATGTTTGGTTATGGGAGGGGTAGGTGTGTATTCTCTTCAGATATTCTTTCACAGAGTCTTTAACGTTTCCACAGCTATTAACCAAACGACTACATGATTACGAGCCACGATTCACTGAAGCAACGGACACAGCGTACAGATTATCTAAGGACCCATACTTTTCGAATGAGCAAAGCAAAGCTCTTCGACAAGACGCAGAGGACTGCGAAAAACAGTGGGATGACGTGTTGGAAAAAGCCACAGATCGTATGGACCGGTAAATTAGTAACTTATTTCGGTTATCTCACGCCAGAGACACGCTTTTAATAGTTGGCAGTTAACACTCAGTTCATATTAATGGTACAATTAACTTGGAAGCAATTAGCAGCGGAAATTGGTATCGATTCCTAAGCCAGCCACCTCTTCTTCCTCAGAGGTGAACTAAGAGTATCTCAATCTTTTAAAATTTCTACTCAGTTAATAATGAATTTCACTAGCGTAGTCGAGAGTCAACCGCATGTAAATATATCAAAAACGTTTTTACAAGGGTTCTTATAATTTATCTGAACCAACCGGCTCGAAATTTCATGCCCACTCATTTCAGATGTGTCATTAGTTTTGTAGTGGAAGAAAAGGGGGTTATTGATCGGCAATCTAAAAAAACCTCTCAAGAGAATACAAGAAGTGTATCGCCCATCAAAAAGACATATTATTTCCTAACCCTCCAAATAAAACAGTTCTAACTATATAAAATTTCCAGTTTTTCAGTGTAAATATTGCGTACCACCAACGTTTCTTAATTATTATTTGTCTTCTCAGGATCGTGAAGAAGATTCCCAAGCTTCAAAAAGACCAAAAGGAAATAGTCGACGAATGGAATGACAGATCTGCTCGATTTGAAAAATCTTTGAAAAAAGCAGAAGATAAACTGAAAGAACAAGAAGCTATTGGGAAGGAGGTGAGAGCGCTAGTGATTCTTTGGTTTTTATGAGAGCCGCAATAAGAGTATCGATATCTTAAAAGCAAATGACCAAGCTAGTGATCAGCATCTTGGCCTGTTATGATTTTCGAAAGAGAAATAGTTTGTCCTCAACTAGTGAGCGTTTTACGGCAACTGCATGAGTATTCGGTTAATAAGTCCCAGAGAAAATGTGGTGTGAAGTTGTGGTAGACACAGGTGGCATGAAAATTGCGATAATTTTAGGCTATGAAGGTGTAAACGTTTCGACGGGTGGGAAGACCATATATCACTCCACATTGGGATGAAAGTGAGTTTCCAGGCTAATAATTTGTTGTACTCCGGATTTCCTCTCTTGTGACACAGATTGGCTTTGAGAGGCGGCTCCCCGAGATCAGGTCACCAGAACTGACAAAGAAACGAGGAGAAAACAACAATGAGTGGAAACCCACCGTAGATGAGTGCAACGCGAACCTTAGAACGTAAGTACAATTAACTATTCCTTTTCGGCTTACAAAGCTTGCAGTCTTTTCCAGCAGAATTATCCCTTGTTTACCAGTAAAACAGGGCCCTTTAACAGCCCTCCCCCCTCCCAGCCCCTTTTCATGACGGTACACAAAATGACACCCGTTATCCTATGAAAAATCCTACCTATTCCCACTTCTTTTGTAGACTAATTCATTCTTCCTTTGTGATGATTTTTTTGTTGGTTTGTTTGTTTGCTTTTTGACACACAGTGGCGCTTGATTTTTCAGGGTCAGAGAAAGGCTGCAAGATATTCAGCGAGCTAAGAAAAACCGAAAGTGGTCGATTCTTGAGGCTTTAAAAGATGCTGTACATTCAATCACCGCCAGATTTCGTGGAAATTCCAGAGTCGGAGCTGAACATGGGGTCAATTTAGACAAAGTTGTCGACCTCTTGGAAGATCATGAGGTAAAGAGAACTACGACTTCTGTTCCAATAATTATACGTTTGTGACTAGCCTTTTTAGTGCAAAATTGGAGCCGCTAAATTTTGATACAATTTAATTTTGTTAGTGGCTGCCTTTGGTAGTCAAATTTTTACTGAGTTGCCTCGTGTTCTGTTCTGGATAAACACAAACTATTTTCGGCTGATTTTCTGGATAAGCAGCGATTAATCATAAACAAATAACTCTTACCTTTTCGTTATCGGTTTGCCAAAGAAATGCTCGAGTCATTAGTATACCTCGCTGGGCAGTAAAATCACTTAAACGACGATAGTTTATCCCAGTGGACTGATTTCAAAGGGTTACAGGTGTTCCTCACAAGCTTACTTCCCTATTTTGTTTTCAGGACATAATGACCGATACATCAACCAGGCAAAAAGATGCAGATGAAGTTTTCACCTTGGGTAGGAGCGCCATTGACAGTGGTTTGCTGGAAAATGAACAAGCTAATGAAGTACACGATCGAATGACGGACTTGAATCATCGATGGAATGGATTGAACATTGATGTCATTGAGCGCGAGAAAAGGTTGGTGTTTGCGATGTTCTCGGCCTCGAGCATGTTACGTGCGTCTATTTTAGAGCTGCAGATTTAATTGGGTCGTCATTCTTTTTTAAAATATATTTTGTCCAATCATTTTCATTTATTTATTTCCATCTTTCAAAGCTCAGCTTTTAAAGGGAGGCGAAAATTCTCTATCCGATCTCCCGATCACGGAGCAGTGTTAACTAACAAGAACCAAGGCCATCCTGTTTCATTTCCGACACTCAACTCAAAATTAGTCTTGGCACTTGTTTAACTAGGTAGCATTATAATAAAAGCAAACGACTCACGTTCCAGTACAGCACCAAAGACGTAAACTTTCGTGTCATAGTAAGAGCATAATTAACGGGACATTCAACTGGAAAAAAAAATACTGCATTCACCTCTACGTAGTAGCTGCTTTTAGATTAAAACAGATGGGGAAGTTGAATACATCGAAACGGAGAACCTCATCTTGGTACCATCTAAACTTGTCTCTTTGGAAATAACTTTTTTCTATTGTTCCTGCGTTGAGGCCTTCAAGACGTTCTTATTTAACAATCATAATCATTGATTTTAAAGACGAGTAATCAGTTAAAGAATGACTCCACTTGTACATTTCTTTACTCTTTCGCCGTTGATAAATTCAGAGTTACACGGAAAATCACGAAGTTGTCAATGTAAATTAACTTGGTTTATTCGTAAACAGAAGTGTGAACGTCAAATATTAGTTGTGTATTACCTTAAATGTGACGTTTGTTTGCTTTTCCGTAACAACGGCAATTCAAGATGAAAATACGCATTAAGATCAGATTCCTAAGTTGCCAAAAGAGCGTTTTGAACCCCTAAACAAGTTCTAACAAGATTTTAGGTTTTAACCAAAGCATGGATACGGGCGATGACTATTTTGAAAAATCATTGGCTTTAGCCTTCGAAACAGTTGACTTAATGCAGAGCAGGTATACATTTCAATGATTATGCTTGGTTAAGTAAGTGTAGTATAAACTAACTCGACCAACGGCGAACAGCATTAGAAACACTCAACACAGTGGACATCAAAAGTTAAAGGACAAAATGTGTATCTCATTGAGGAATTCAATTTTCAGACCAAAATTGATCGAGCAATTCCTTATGTCTTAAAGCTTATTGCGCTCATCAAATGGGCTAAGACTCCCCAATGAATACTTAGAAGAAAGCATCTATTGTGTTCTTCTCATTAGTTATACCCCTCTTCAAAACTAACGATTAAGGTTATGAAATATTTCAAATGTGGTACTAAGCTTGCTCTATTACTTTGTGGCAAGGAATACAGAGGAGGAATACAGGAGCACCTATGATATATTTCTAACATGCATGATATGTTTGATTATCGCAGATACGCTTACGCTGAAACACAAAGAGTGCTAACTGTATTGATACTGCTAAAACGAGTGACAAACAATAGACTGACCTCCTAAAAAGCGCCAAATCCTCCGTCTCTTAAATTAATGACGTTTGCTAGTCACTGAAAACAGAGTCAACAATTTATCATGGTTCGTGAATGTATATTGCCAGGCCAACGTTTTTGCATCGAAACCAAATCACATTTGTCAGAAAAACAACTTCTCTGGAGTGTTATTTTATCGTGTCGTATTGTTTATAAATATATTTTTTACTGACTCTCTTCAAATGTTCTTATTGATAAGACTTCTAAGTTAGCCGAGAGCTCTTGATACGAAATAGCATTCGATTTCCTTTCCTGGGAGGTCTTTGCAGGAAAAATATATTTTTTTTTTGATAGACCATGGGTTGTCATCATCAAAGTATCAAGATGAGAGCACATTATCGTCAACTGCAGTTTAAAAAAGTTTAACCATTTTTCCCCCTTCTAGGCTTGAGAAATTAGCCGAAGACATTGAAAGCGAATACAAGAGATTCGACTCCTGGCGTGAAAAATGCGATAACATGAATCAGTGGCTGTCAGAGTCAGAAAAGCTCATTAAGAACGAAGAGAAGATTGGATCGGATATTGGAGTCCTTCAAGAGCAAATCAAAGATAATCAAGTAAGATCCTTTTAAGCGCTTAAATATTCCAGTATTGAATATTACATCATGTCGTTTTGAATCTTCTTTGCCGCTTAGAAAAAACGTTTTGAATCGGCTTATGAAAACTAGCAGATAACCCGTTTTTGCTTTTTTTGTAGCGCAGTGACTACAGACCCTAACTTCTTAACCCCTTCCCCCTCCCCCCGTGTCATATCTCAGGATCTCCAGTAGATACGCCACTGACTACGAATTACAATTGCATTATTCCTATTTTTGAAGAGCTCTTCTTCAGTTATCTATGTGACTTTAACGTTTGTTACGCGGTTTGTGCAGCTCTTTATTAAAGAAATGAAGGCCTATGAACCGAAAGTAGACGCCATGGTCGAGGAAAGCCAAGAACTTGTAGAGAGCAGCAGACTTGATAAAACAGACATTGATGGGGTTGACAAAACTAAAAATGCTCTCAATTCGAGATGGAAGGCTGTCAATGATCACCTTAATGAGAGGCAACGAAAGTAAGTGACTCAACCGTTTGCTAATGCCACGAACTGCAAATTTTCAACAATATTGAGTGACAATGACCCGTCTACGATTTTCGAGAGCATCTGTCACATGTTTTTCATACTCTCTTCGCAAGATCTTCGTGGGTTGATTACCGAGAAAATACCAGTGCTGACTTTCAGAATCCCATTCCATTTCATTCTTGGGACATCCAAGGGTAAAAGTATAGTTTATACAAGCACCCCATTTTTCTCGTCAGCTTTTACTGATTGTTTTCGGTATTCAGTTACAAATTATAAACTCATTGGCGCAGAGAGGTGATGTGTTTCTCACAAGTTGATACAGTGACTCTAACTACTGAGATCAGTACCAGAATTCTCGGTGCCGCTTACCTGCTTGTGTGAAAGGCGTTGCTGAGCATTGCGTTATGTCACGTTGGGTTGTTTGGGCCTTAGAATCAAGGGCGTACACACATGAACTTTGAACTCAGTATAGCGGAAGTTTTTGTTGAAGATCACCTGATCACCAATAATTCGGGGACTAAGATTAGTATTCGGTGTTCTTTCCTATATTAAGTACAATCCTTAAAAAAAAGCTTTAACTTGTGAGTTGATACTTGAAATCAACACCATGCCTTTTATCGGCTGACGCATGAAGCGTTCATTATATCCTCTCTCCCTTACCCATATCTTTTGGGGAAATAAATGCTATCCCTCGTCTTAGGATTCTTTAATTGTGGGCGTTTAACCCTCTCAGCAATTTTCTTACTTTATGCAATATAGGCTAGACTCTGCTCTCCTGGACATACTAAAGAAGGATTCAGATGGCAGGCTTGGCCGATGGAGAGAGCAATCGATAGCTCTTGGTTTGCTTGTTACGGAAGCTAAAAGGAAAGTTGATGATGATGTTGACGATACAGATTTTAAAGATATTCAAGAAAGTGCAGTGCAACTCCAGGTGGGTAAAATACTTTTTAATAAGAGCACTGACATTTATCAATTATTTTTAATCCTATCTGCCAAAAAAGTCTACACTTGAAGCAACTTGCCAGTCTTTCACTCAAGAAAGGTACACTTGTGCAAAACTAAAACTGCATTGAAAAAGGTTCGATCACACGCGCGCCATTTTGAGGGGGTTAGAATGTGCATTAAACATCTCTGCCAATTAGAGGCACATCTATTCGAAGAGGGGCGTTTTCGCAGGGAGGTGCTAACTCGAGGATTTATATTACTTTCAAAGCAGACTATTGCCTCCATAGATTAGAGGTGTCGCGGAGATTAGAGATTGTAGATCGCGACGATTCACGTCAGAGATGAGATCCAGCGCTAATCGTCATTTTTTTAGAATAGAATGAAGTTTCGCAGTCATTGTAACGGTCAAGAAAAGACAGTGACCATATTAAAGGAAAGTTATCTTTCATCGCTCAGTTCGAAAAAATCTCTACAGAGATGAAAATTTGGTCTTCATCTTTTAAATAGGAAGTCGAAAATTCGCTCAACGAGGACCTCAGTAGGGAGCTGCTCGAAGTAACGAATGATGGTCATCATGTCATCGAAAAGGAGGAGACACAGCCCGACGACAAACATGAGATAGGAAAGAAAATAGACGAACTTAACAGACAAGTTTCTGAGCTGGAAAAAGGAACAAGAGAGAAAAGGGACAAGTAAGGAAACTATGAGTCCTGGAACTCCCAAAATCTTGTTTAAAATGCCTCCCTTTGGCTCCTACATAATGCTTCTGCAAGTATTTAAGATAGAACCCTACCACTAAGTTTTTTGTATTCTAATCGCCCGTCTGTGGGATACCTGTTACACTAAGTAGAGGTTACAGCACTCGATTACATCTGGGATTTAAAGCTCACTTACTACAGATAAAAGTTTCATTCTCAGTCTTATCCAAAAAGACTGAGAATGAGTGCCTTTAGAATGCGTTATTGGTATTTTTGGATCTAGTACGTTGGTAGTTTTGAAACTGCATCGGAGAAATTTTATTTCTGTGGCACAATTTCCTTTCGTGTTTCAGTCGTTATTTGATAATGAAGACAGAGTTTGTGTATCCATTTATTCGTTAACCGAATGTGATTTTATCAAATGTATTGAACAGGATAAAAGAAGCCTCTTTGAAGTACTTTGGCCGCTCATTGGCCGATTGTGAAGAGGCCGTCGAGAGACTTGAAGAGGAGTCCGTGAACAATTTTACTGATATTGGCTCTGATATCGAGGAGGTCGGAAAACAGTTGGAAGAGTTGCAGGTGAGACTTCATGAACGTGAAAGCCATGACATGCGATATCTCTAAGTTATAGAAAAGTTGAAAGAGTGCATCGCCTGCCATTTCGCAAACATGTTTTTTTCTGTCCTGAAGAACTGTCTGGCTCAAATGTTCGTTTCTTCTTATGGCTCTCTTGCTCATTTGTTCGCTCATTCGTTCAACAGTTCGTTTTATACTTTGTTTGCTCAATTGTGTTCGATTATTCACTTGTTCGCTCGTTCGCTCTTTCCCTCGTCCGTTCCTCCGGTTGAGCGCTCGTGTGCTCGTTCGCTCGTTCGCTCGATCGTTCTTTTCAGGGTTCTAAATAGTCATTTTGAAACGCTTACCAGTGTGTTATTCTTCATCTTAAAAGGAATTTGAAAACGACCTAGATAGAGAAGAAGCAAAATTTAATGACATCAAAGACCAGTTTGTGAACTGTAAGGAAACAGATTTACTCAGAGATGAAGACCGAGTGAGAATCCAGAGACGAATAGGAGCACTTGATGAGAAGTGGGCAGAACTGAACAAAAACCATGATGCCAATCATGAAAAGTAAGCCGATTTTCTGCGTTTGAGATTTTGGCACATAATATGGAACAAAAGTCCACTGAGCGACATATGGACCCATCGGCTGACTATGATTGACTGCCTAACTAAAAGACCGAATGATCGGCTAACTAACTAAGTGACGGGAAACGCCGGGAGTATGCCGTAATTTGAAGTAAATACTTGCGCAGTTGATAACTTTTATTCACCTGGTTTTGTAGGTTAAATCAAGCGCTGATAGTTCGTCATGAAGAATTAATGGAAGAGGTCTATGATTGGCTGAGTGATGCTGAGAAACAAGCAGATTCTATAGTTGTGAATGAGGATGACATTGGTTCAGTCATGGAAGAGTATGGCAGGCACAGGGTATGACTTTCTACTTATTTGAGTGTCTTGTTTACCTCGCAACATTCGGTATCATTTTCTTTTTATCGTGATAGGTTATTGTCCATTCTTGTCCGGTTGGAAGGTTGATATTTTAGATTAAAATTTTCGCGATTTGTCTATCTGTCCGTTGATTGCTTTTTATTACCTATTTGGTTATTTTTTTGAACAGGAGTTGAAGGAAGAAATTTCTTCATTTGAGCCGACGTTCAAGAACGCAATAGGAATCAGCGATAGGCTGCTGACCGAAAGGATCGTAGATCCTGAAAGAGCTGAAAGCTACGAAACAGAGATAAATACTCTGGAAAACAGATGGAAAAATCTGCAACTTAAAACCATGGACAATGGAGCTAAGTAAGCACAGTTGGAAACACACTCTAAAGCTTTTGTGGAAACTTCGTCGAAGAGGTCGTAAATTTTGTATAAAAAGATTAAAATTCCCGTTTTGTGACGCTTCCTTCGCAATTAGTAATCTGTGCTGGATGTTGCGGATGATATGCTTCTAACGTGTTACAGTGTCATTACCGTTACTTGGTGTACTTTAATTAACCATTCAACTACGCCACCAGGTCCTGAGGAAGCAAAGAGGGAGAAACATCTCGGAAGGTCGCTACTCTTTTGTGATAATTAGATAGGTCACTCGTTTAGTCAGAGTACTTAAGATAAAGTAACATCACAGCGTAAATTCTCGATAAAAATTTGCTATGGCATCCTTTCTGTCTTTGCAAGATTGTCTGGTGTGCTTGGAAGGTACGTAACGATACGATTGGATGAAGCGGAGGTGAAGTTGACACATGCAGAAGCAAGCATCAGCAGAGATGATGCTGACTACTTAGACATAGATGGTGCAAAGGAAGCACTGCAAGCATTCAGAGTGAGTAACATTCTAGTTTGTTCAGAATTGGTTATCAACTATTTCATGGGTGGCTAAGAAGGAATTTTTAATTTCAAAGTCGATACGTTTCCAAACAGAAAGGTGCATGAAAGAAACAAACATATAAACTAGACGGTATTAACTTTTTTAAAGTTGATTTAATGTATAGTAGACACAGAGAGAATTGGTACACAGATCTTGGAGTAAAAAGAAAATTTTTGCAAAGATGATTATCCTCAGAGGAAGTATGCTACCAATACCATGAAAATTAAAAAAATGTTTTTCAAAATTCCTTGCTTATATTTGTTCGTTCGTTCGTTTGTTTTTTTATAGGTGAAAAGGACTGGCATTCATGATTCCCAAAAGAAGGTTGACAGAATACTGGACGAGTCCCGTGCCGTTGTCAGGGAAGACTTCTTCAAGGAACACGAACAGGAACATTTCCAGGGAAGAATTGATATGATTGACAAGAGAAACAAAGGACTCGAAGAGAAGGCAGACAAAGAGGAAAGAAGGTACGATATTAACCGAGTAGAGGTGGAAAGTGTTATATGCAATTGACCCAGTTCACATTACTGCAGACCGAACCCTTTTTTAGGGGGGATTCAATCGAAGCAGTCTTATTTAAGGAAATAATTTAAACACTTAGAAAAACAAAAATTTGGCTCAAAATTTGTTGTCGTTCGTGGCTTGTTGCTTATTCCTGTTGTCGTTTTTCCTCAGGTTGCTTGACACATACATTTTGCTGCTTAAACAACAATTACAAAGAACTAACATTTGGCTTAAAATGGCGGAGTCCCGGATCAAGCAGGAAGGCGAGACTGGTCCAGGCTATGATGACGTAAAGAAACAGCTGGAAGATCATCAGGTAAATGTGTAAATCACATTAAATTCAGTTTATATTCCGAGCCTATGATAACCATTCATTTCCTCTTTTTTATTATTATTTGAATAGTACATAGACATATTTATACTTCTTTCTAAACTTTTTTCAGGTCTTTCAAGAGGAGCTCAGGGATCACTCGATGATTTCAACGATTCTAGGCGTGGACGTCTCCGATCCTGACATCACGCAAGGCACCCAGCAACAAGTAAAGTCACTCAGCGACCGGTGGAGTAAAGTGTGGAACTGGTCGGAACAGAGAAAAGCTCAGTTGCTTAAGGTATGTGTCGCTGAAGACAATTAAAAGACTTGGTCCGCGGGGTTAACGTTGTAGAGCGTTTTGCATGCATGGAATAGGACACCGTTAAAATCCAAGACTACACAAATAAAAATGGCCAGTCACTGCAAAGAAAGGCATGTGCTCCAAACCGTAGGAGCCAATGAGAATACACTTGCACGTGGAAACAATTAAGTTATGTTTTGTATTTGATATGTTTAAAAAATGTAACTCATTCAGGTTTGTTTGTTTGTTTGACCTTATTTTCTTCTGTTTTGTGGCTTTAAAGGATAGCTGCCCGGTGGTTTTCTCTGTTAAAGAAAAAATAATAATAAAAAAATAAATAAAGAAAGAAACCTCGTTTTGAGAGCGACGCGCAGGTGCAAAATCGTAAGTTAATGTTACTAGCTGTAAATTATGTCGACATGATTCATCAGTATATTACGCATTTTAATTCCAACGGAAATAAAGAGGTTCTTTTTTCTCCTTTTCCAAGGTTCTAAGTAACTGGCAACGATTCCGTGACGAGCAGATGATATTATTGAATTGGCTGTCAAACAAAGAAAAAACCTTAAAGGAGATGGCAAGAACAGATCTTACTGATGAAGCTGAAGTCAAAGATCATTTAGAAAAGCTCAGAGTAAGTGTAAATCATGTGCTGACTTCTTTTGCTCTATGCCCTTCACCGAGATTCGTCAAAACTGAGATCAACATTTAAAGTTTGCTTTGACCAACCCCTTAACAGCCTTGTTATTGTTACCGATTTTTTTTCTATTTGTCAGTTTTATGTGCATTAAAACTTTTTGCGGCGTAAATATATCTATCTTGACTTCATATTTATATATTCATTTATTTTATGTCTACTTCGAAAATCAGGTAATTGAAAAAGAGTTGGATGAACAAGGAATACGTTTGCAATCCTTACACAAAGCCGGAGAGGATTTGTTAAAGAACGTAGATGCGGGAGATCCGGCTGCAAAGGAAATTAAAACCCAGCTGAAAGACTTTGATGATTGCTGGAATGACATTGCAAAACAAGTTATAAACAGAATTCAACAGGTAAAAAAAAAGGAGAAATTTCTCGAGAAGCTCTCTTGATTAGGACTGATCAATTTTTCCCTGTCTGGTTTTCCTTCTGCTGTATGTAGACAACGGTCTGTCGGGTCGTAAGTCCATCGATATAGCTGTTCGCCAGGCCTTTGTCTGTGAGCCAGTTTGCTTTGTTATCTGTACGTTGGTCCCAATGTCCGTCTGTACACTGAGTCTGAGCAATGTCCCGTCTGTCTGTCGGTCGATTAAGCTAGTCATCGGTATATATTTATTGCTAGAGCTATCGGTCTAAAATGCTTTGTATCTGTTCTGTAGCTTGAAAATTCTCAAAGTAAACTTAAGGAGTTTCATTCGGAAATGGATGCCACAAATGAATGGATGGATGAAACTGAACGGCTGCTCAAGACCTACAAGATTGGAATGGATCCAGAGGAAGCTAGCAGGCTTCAAGAAAAGACAGAGGTTTGTTTCATTGATCAAAGATTCCCATAAAAGCCCTATCTACTCTCTTTCAAAAACTGCTATGTCCACGAATATTTTTAGCTCCTTATCATTAAGCTTTTAAATGTATGGATGTTTTTCCTGCAGTTATAATATTTTAGCCAAGTGCTTGAAATAGCTTGAAATCGTCAGGAGTAAGCTGCGATCATGATGTCAAGCTTCGAATCAGGCCTCAGACGATGATAGCAGCAAAGTATTCCACTTACGTGATTCTTCTTTCTCTGCCGAAAATATTTTCATAACCCTGCAAATGGTGATCTTTAATTACAGATCAAATGTGAAGAACGATCCAAATTCGCTTCTAAAGTTGATCGAATCAACAGACTCGGCAAAGATCTGGCTGGGGAAATCGATGAACCATCCCATGATGCTATTCAGGAAGAACTACAGCCATTTAATAACCGTTGGAGCGATGTCTCTAATCAGCTTGAACTCTACAGTGACAAGGGTTACCCACAGCCTGGGAACGAGTGCTGCTTCTTGCGAATCATGAAGAAAAAACTTGGAGTGATACACTGATTTGTTACCTGTTACCAGTTTTCTCTGAAAACAGGGTGAACTGTATATTTACCATCCATTGTTGGTATGTACTTTAGAACTTGAAGTGTCCTCGGATCTCAGAGTAACACTGGATGAAGAAACAAGTCCTTTGAAAAGAAGAGAATTGCAACAAATCTTTTGAATATTTTTTCAAGTGATGCACAACTGCCTTTTTAAATCACTCCAGTAGTTAGATGAATTTAAATTTAATTTTTTTATAATTTTTTATGCTATTTCTGTGTGTAGTATTACTATTCGTTTATAATAATGATTTTTGAAATAACGCTTTCGAAACATTCTCCAAAGAAGTGCACTACCGCAAAGTCAAAATATTAATTGAAGTCCGATGCGACTGTCGCAAAGCTGTATCAATAAAAAGGGCACAAACTGCATGGCTTTATTGGCTTTTTAATTTGGATGAGAGTGCCATAAAGATTTACGAGCTTCTACCCATCCAGCAACTTGATAAGCTTTCTTTAAACACGTGCAGAGAATTCTGTGCTTTCCTTGACCGATATTATTTAACTATACATTTATTAAGCATTGTCAGCACTCATTAGTCATGATATATCTCGGTACTTAGCTTTTATATCGTTTTCATAATTATGCTTTTTATTTGCTTATGCATCTTTTTTGTTTACCCCATGTACGCATGCACACTTTGAGGCGACTTTAAGGTCTCTACATCATATTTGATACTTGATACTTAAAATGAATGCTTGAAGACTTGAATAAAATAAATGTCAATTCAGTTGTTCTGAAAATGCTTCTTTCGTTACAAACGTATTGCTTTGGAGTAACTTGACGAAATTTTTTCCTGCTTGGTGAGAACAAATATAAAGTTCAAAGACCAAAGAACTTTTCTAAGAAAAGCGGAAGTCTGGTGACTGAGTAACAAATTCTCTAATTTGCATTTCCCAAATTCCTTATTAATAAAGAATTACCTAGCCTCTAAAACAGTTGTTTGGGGACTGAATTGTGAATTTTTTTGAGGTAAACGGCTTCCTCAACCGACTTAAGTCGGTGCATGAAGATCTTTGGGACGTTTCCGTGTTTAATCCTGGATAACATCAAGGAAATACTGCCGAGCACACTTTCCTATACTAAGGAGAAAATTTTGACGACGCTATGATTCGGTTACCAAATAAGCATTCCGTTTTCTCAGGAGTTAATGGCATTAAAAGAAAGCTCTAGACTTTGCGGGTAAGGAGAGGCCCATATTTCATCGAAGTTCAGTAAATTTTCAATTGTTACTATGCGAAATATCTTTCCTCATTTAACGCTTCACATGACTGATCATGTGATGTGGTCTTATCAGGTTTGAATTACGATCGTAAACAAAAGAAGACCCTAACTTTCGCTTTGTCATCAAATTTGAGTGGTGTTTTTGTACGCAGCTGTCATCAATGCGTGCTGACGGAAAAGGGGTTTGACCTTAGTGAACCAAAACTCGTCCAAAAATTTTCATTCATTGGCCCCTTGCAGACGTTGAATTCTAGGAAAAAGTCTAATTTTAGTTTTCTACGCAGCCATATGGTACTTGCGACTTGCGGACTGTCCAATGTTATCACGGTCGCGATAGAGGTAAGATTCCAGGAGCATCTAAAAATTTAAACAGTCGAATGATACAACAGGGGAAGCTAAAGCCATTGTTGACAATAAATGCTCTTCTTGTGTTTGGTGAGTTTTTCACTTTGGTATAATGTCCAGATTTATACTCAGTACTGGGTTTTCACATCTCTGTGATATCTCGTCTAATTGTCTCGTCCTCATCATCCCGATATCGATCAAATGCTTCCATACCCTTAAGTAAAGGCTGTTAAACTAGGCTGCTGCACTGTTGCCAGGCTTGCCACTGAAAATATCGCTGAGTTTTTGGAGAGCTCATTCCAATCTTAGATTATTCGCGGTGATTTCCGAGAACAAAAAAAAGCGATAACCGACGAAAATATATCTAATTCTAAGAAGCGAGTCTCTACTCTTGCAATTGCGAAGTTCATATATTTCACCTGATTCCTAGCTACTTATGCTGACGTCGTTTGAAGCTTTTCAGAATTGAACTCGATCAAAATTTTGCATCAATATTTCTCCCCCAGTGTAATATACTTTCTACTCCCTAGAGGATATTTTTCTACAGCCTAGAGTCCAACGCTGAATTAGAATTGAAAATGAAAAAAATATTTGTGTGAGTGGCGATCCCATCTTCGAGTTATACGAATATACGGTAATGTACGGCATTTTTAGAAGATTTACTTTCATGTTGCATCATTTTTCCACTCTTAGGCCTCGCTTTGGTGACAGTTCAGGGATCACACCTCCCCGAAGGAGTTCCAGTACTTTTTACCACTGGAAACCAAATTTTAGGCGGAGAATCAACAAGAATTTACCATGCAGCTCTCTGTGGCGGTTGCAGCTTTGACGGGTTGACGGCTCAAATTCAAGTAAACTTGGTTAACAATCCATGGGATTGCGAATTGGGAGACTATATGATTATTTCTGTCGAAGATGGGAATGGAAGTGTCATTGCAACTAATGACGATGGTAGGCAGATGCCCGTGCCAAACTTTAACTTCACCTATTCTGCTAAGTAAGAGTTTCCTATTAGATAAACGTTATCACCTTAAACCTGTTTTAACAGTTCATTTCGTTTCTCCATTTTCAAAAATGCTTCGTTCATAGTTTCATATGATTCCTTTTGACGCATTGTGTGGGCTAATGATGTTGTTGGTAATTAAGAACTTATGATTATACTTCATGGAAGTACAGTAAAAGGTATTTAAAGTCATATACCTTTGGATATCAATGTCAAGTTTTATTAAAAAAAAAAAAAAGATTGAAATAGGTATATCATGATATGTGGCCTAACTTACTGAATAATCCTGGGTTTTTCGAAAAGTAGTAGGATCCTTTACAAAATAACGATTGGCAATGGGGCCAATTGAACAAGTTATTTGCTTATTAAGGTTACAATGAAACAAAACAGTCATAACAATAAGAATCAGCAATGTTATATATATATATATATATATATATTTTTATATATATATGTATGCATGTGTGTATTATATGTATATATATATTTAAATAACATCAGCTTTATTTCACCTTCATGATGTGTATAAGACCCTATTATGCCATGTTTTCACCGTCGTTACCAAATAGACTAAGGAATGGATCAACTCCACTTGCATTCCCTGTTGTTATGATGACTTTACAATCATTTTTCTTTTAGGTATAAAGATTTGTTTCTTCACGTAAAAACCGGACCGGCCCCACAGTTTTTATTTACATTAAGCCTACTATTTGATTTCAAAACCCGAGTGCATGTGCCAGTTCATTGCGTTCCCAGATGGCAAATGACAGCTTCGGAGCACGCTGTGTCACAGAAGTACAAGCAAGGAAATGATACAGGTTTGTTATGCTATTTCCCTAAATGTGTTATTCTTTCTGCTACCTTACTGTCGACTTTGATGTAATAGCAATCATGTTTGTTTTATCGAGCATTTCTATCCTCTTTTTGCTTGTTTGTTTGTTTGTTAGTTTGTTTATTTTTGTTCTTATTGGTTGCTGCGCTCATCTCTCGAACTTGCCTGAGTGACCTGGAGTTTTCCACGCGCTGCTGACTTTTCGCTCAGAAAAAAAGACCTTTACCTCCGATTTCAAAGTGCAGATGATAATTTTTTTAAACAATAAAACCAAAAGAAATAATTGAAATTAATTGTTTTAACTGTGATGTAACAGTATATAATTAGATAACTCATTAGACGCTCACAAACGCTATTTCTTCTCCATCAGCTGAACTTTACCAAGTTTTCAAAACTTTACCAACCCAAGAAGTTCCCACTGAAGAAACCAAGTTGTTCCAGCTTGGATACTGCTTCGCAAAACAAGGTGACTACAAAGTTATCATCACTGTCATCAAAGAAAACCTATCGCCTGGGCTTGCCACCTATGGCTGCACAATGTCGTACATAAAGCAACATGGGGAGTGTGACGTGCTAACTCCATACAGAGATATATCCAGTTTACCCGTCAATATTGTGCAGATAGATATAAAGGAATCAGCTGATTATGGGCCTGTACAAGTCCTTGTGTTGGGGGAAGGGCGATACGGCCAAAGCAACGGCTTTATAATTGTTTCTCGTTTGCTTCACTTACATTGATCCACGGAGAAAAAAGCACAAGAAGCGCTTTGCATAATTGCTACAATAGCCCCATTTTTTTCCAAAATACGTAAGAAGTAAACTTATATTTGATTGTTTTTATGACTGCTTGTAATCGAAGTTATTTTGAATTTCATCTTTAGTGAAGTACCAATGAGTACAGATTGCATATAAAAGCGCTCCTACCCCACTACTTTTGAATTCAATAAAGGAATTTTCATATTTGTTTCTTGTATTAAAAATTGAGTACTTCGAAAGGAGCATGTGCAGCTGTTAAGGAAAGTACAAGTATTTGCCCAATTTTGCTTGAATAAATTGAAAATTTTATGAGAAATGCGAAAGTCTGGTAACTAGACCACCCACATCCACATTCATTTGAGATAAAAATACCTTGCCTTTAAAGCCAATATTAGGGCACTACTTTTCGAAATTTTTCATGGGTAAATGAACTCCCTTAAAGGTTTTAAGTGTTGGAAGTAAGTACGCTAAAAGTACGCTAAATTTTGAAATTATTTCAAAGAGATAACGTTGAACACATTATCCTTAGTCAAGGAAAAATAACCTCAATTACATCATGGATTCGGTTGCCAATGAATTATGTTTTCTTAGAAAAAAATCACCGTGACATAGCATATTTTTAGATCGATGGTTCGTGCTGGAACGAGGAAAATAAGTTTACTAACTGATCTGGTGAAGTATTACAGAACAGATAAAAAGGATTCCACGATTCCTCGTTTTTTCATTAGCTGCCACGCCACCATATTATTGAATCCTGAAACGTGTATCGTGTATTCTTTTATAACGAAAACACATATTCAACGTTCAGCTCTTTCGAACAGCTCATTTCGTGATCAGTTTGAGATAATGAAAACAGGGCAAAACACCAAATTCCCCGAGAACGACAAAAACAAAAGTATCGAATTTAAGAAATGATGAATTGCAGCAACAGATTATAATATCTTGATTCCAAGCAAATGGAAATGAGCCAAAATACCAAATCTGTGTAGCAGGACGAAACAAAAAAGTCGAAATGAAGAAATGATTAATTGCAAGAAAATGGAAAAAAAGGTAAGATACCAAATTTGTGGACAGTAGAAAAACATAGAAATCGAAATACCTTAATATATAGAAAAAGATGTTTTTTTCGTCTCGTCACGAAACCGACCTTACTAAACTGAAAGGTCTCCAAAGAACCGATGGTCTGCGGTTCGATTCTTCATGGGGACTCGGAATTTTTTCTATGTCCCACGCTCGTGACAAGACGAAAAAACATTCATCTCTATTTCTTTACCGAGCTCAAAACTTACCATCTCTCGTATTCTGTTTACCTCAATCTTTATTTTTACCTTTTTGAAACAGAAAAGTAAACTAGACGGTGCAAACTGGATCATGAACGAATTTCCTCCTTGATTCAGTTTTGTTTAGTTAGCAAAAATTAAATGCTTACTGCGCAGAATGACTCACACTGTTTGAAAAATCACGTGACAGATCGCGTGCCAGGTCAGACGATTCGTCACAATCCATCACGTTGACTACTATTTTGTTTGTAATTCATGATTAATTTGTTTCAAAATTCTCCACTGAATGTTTATCAGTTATTTATCTTTATCGTTTTGTAACGTAGGTATCCCGGCGATAAAGTGCGAGGCTGTGTTAATTTTTTGCAACGTCAGCACGTGCAAACGGAAACCAGACTCATTCCCGGAGAAGGGGTTTTACCCTTGGCAAGGCAAGGTCTGTTCAGATTCTTTATCAATGATTGGTTCCTTGCAGACCCCTAATAAGGTCTATAAATAACTTTCCCTGAAATGCTTTTCTCACGAGCCAACGCCCGGTAATGTCGCTATTATAAAAAGCTGCTAGCTGGGATTCGAAGTTTTATCCCAGACCATCTTAGTCGCTTCATACAAACTCCATCAGTTGCTGTTGAGAAGACGATCCTTAAGCAAGAGGATGTATGCCCTTATTTTATTCAGTGAGTTTTAATACCTACTCAGTGTTATACTTAGTATTTGTTTGGCGCATTTTCGTGTAAGTGTCGAACGGAGATTTTATGCTTCCGTCTGCAATTATGCGAAAAGATCAAGCACATCCCCCACAACCTTGAGAAATAGCGGTTTGACTATCGTTGAACATGCTTCAACTTTCTTTCGGTCTACTAGTTCTCCCCAAACGACATGTCCTTGAATAGTTTCCTCGGAAAAGCCTCGTCTTCCTGAAGTCCAGCAATCGAAAATTTGAGCTCCGAAATTAGAGGTTAACTCTGTAATCATCTAAAGGTTTTCATTTACACATTTATGAAATTCATATTTTCATGCTTCCACGAAATGGAGTTTTCTAGATCTCACATTTAATTCATTCAGCGAATCTTTTTCGATTTAGGAAATAGACGCAGAAGTTTGTAATGTTTTGATTAAATTTGGCGTTCTAAAAAATTTAAAACGATTAAAAGGAAAGACCTACCGCTGAAATTATTACGAAGACTCCACACTTAGTGAAGGATTTGTTTGAGTGATATACATTAACTTCTGGGTCTAATTGCGTCCATGGTCACAGGCGTTGTGTTGATGACAGCTCAAATTTCAGCCCTCACGCCTATCCCAGTGCGTGTGCATTTTATCACCGAGCAGAACCAAAAATTAGATGGGGACACGACGAAAGACTACCTCGCGGCTCTGTGTGGAGGCTGTGCCTTTCAAGGTTTAAAAGCTCTCTTCGGTGTGAGCCTGGTCAACAGGGACTGGAGTTACGACACGGGATACTACATGACAATAACCGTGAAAGATACTGATGGAAATTTCATTGCTAACAATTCTGATGCGAGCGGCATACCAGTACCGGATTTCAATTTCACCTATGTCGCCAAGTAAGAGTTGTGCCATGACTTGAATTATAGCTTATCAGTCAGCATAGTCACGTGTTATCTTATCCACTGATCAAAATGTGATTTATTTCACAGGCACTATTTATGATCAGATTCCTTTGCAGGAAACAAATAACTTTATAAATTTTACCTCGCTCTTCAGTAGTGGCTTCGAAGCTCAGTTGGAGGTAGTTCCGATGTTTTATTTGAAATGCAGCCAGGAATATTTTGATCGGACTTCATAATAACTCAGATCTCTTTTAATCTGTAAACACATTTCGATCGCTAGTCAAACTGATCTACTCCATACATATTATTTGAAAATTAGTAACGTTAAGATAAACCTTGTTTCACTTCAGTTGTGAGACTCCGCCATGACTTCATCTTCTATAAATAGCTCATCCAACCTGATGAATTGAAGTGTCTTACTTATGCGGATAGTTGAAGAATTCGATTTTTTTTTCCATATAGGTACAAAAATCTGTTCTTCCAAGTTGTAGCAGGACCAGCGGCTACATTTGTATTCACGTTATCCCTGACGTTCGATTACACGGACCGTGTTTATCCGCAAAGCGAATGTACCCATCGATGGCAAATGACAACCTCGGAAAACACTGTGTGGCGGAAATACCGAGGAGGAAATAACACAGGTAAATTATATATGACTGTTCAATTCATTGTTTTCTTTAATCTACTGATATTCCCGTAAATTAATTCCGCAATAGGGGCCTTAATTAAGCAGTCAGGAAGGCAACGCCGGGAGAAACGTCGATTAAAAATGAATTTACATTTTCATTTAGTATGTCACGCATAGCTGGATGTGCCTACCTTCTCTTACGAGATTATACTTCTTTTGTCACAGCTTTACTGCAGCCGGTTTTCAAAACAGCAATCACTCAGTCTATTGAAACTGAGGATTTTAAGTTGTATCGCCTTGACTATTGCTTCGGAGACGAACTTTCCTATAAAATCACCGTCAGCGTCATCACAGAGGATCAAAAGTCTGGATTTGTCACCTATGTTTGCAAGAAGACGTACATGATAAAACACGGAAGATGTGATGTACGAACCCCATATCGTGACATATCCGGGGGCCCCGTGAACGTAGTGGTGATGGATGTGGAGAAACCAGCTGACTTTGGACCTGTTCATGTCCTTCTTAGCGGGGATGGGCGTCATGGCCAAAGTAACCGATTTACCTTGGCAGCCTCGGTCCCGTATATGAGCACTGATCGGCACGTAAGGCATGGAGGAGCAACAGTAACTAATTATTGAAGCCAGCACCCCTCCCTCTTATTATTCTTCTTCTAAGATTGATGCGGAAATGAATCCGTTAGCGTTATGTAGTAAATCAAAAGCATGAGAAGACAACTATTGCACATTATTATTATTTTTGGTGTTTTTTTTTTTTTTTTTTTTTGCTTAAAATGTGGCTTGGCTATTTGGTTTAGTGCCAAAAGTTTCAAGCAATTATCCGCTTCGTCAGGTCTTTGAATAAACTTATCATCAATTAACTCTATATTTGTTTTGTTATGTGCGTTTGAAGTCTTTCAAAATAATTTCTCCCTAAAGACCGGTTATAGACCAACATCCTGTTTACTCATAAAGGGTATCTGTGAAATGCCTCGTTTGACTAAACGCCTTAATGCCTGAGTTATCAATGCTACCCACTTTAACTTAAATGAGATCATTCTAATATCGCCAGAATCATTAAAAGTTAGTGCTCGTTTAATTTTGTTATGTCCGGCATAACAATTCTTCCAGAGATCTCTCCGTGCTAGGAAAGCAAGAGAAGTGCCGCATCCGATGTAAGGTTATCAAGCCCAATACAATTTTCCGTATCCGAAAGACGATTTTCCGATGAGCCAAGATTAAAAGTTATCTTTAAATTCGTAGACTTCTTTTCAAATATCATCCTGTTTTTCTGGGAAAAATGGGAAAAAATAGTTGTTAAAAGTAACAGTTACGTGCTGGAACGAAGGTAAAAGGTCACAAGTGATTTCCGGGCAGACTAGTGACCGACCGACTTGTTTCTTCCCATAAATTTTTTCTAAAAGTTTTCTTTACCTAAATTCGCAGGCCATGCAATCGCGAATTTTGAAGGTCTAAGTACTGTTCCTCTCAAAAAACTCCGAGTTTCGTGTATGCGTGACGTATGCTTATGACAATTATTGACATCTTCCGCTATTTGCGTGACACTGAACAGAACTCACTTTAATTGTTTACGTCAGAAAATAAGGCTTTCTTCTGCCTTCAAATTTAGAAAATACAGATAACCGACTTTATTCTGGGGGGAGGTGGAGGGGTGAAGTAACAAGCTTAATTCGCAATGAGGTTCGTCTATACCAGTCATTCCCGATAAGAAGCTAAATTAGAGCCACGTAGAAATTTCAGCGCTTATATGCAAATTTCCACGTTCATGTGATAGTCGCGTGATTCAGTCATGCGATCTTTAGGGTCAAAGAGGAGAACACGAAATCTTTAAATTTGGAATATGTTTATTCTAAGCTTAGAGAAAATGTTCATCAGACTGAAATCTTTCATTTTTAGGTTTCCCACTGGATTGACTGGAATACTCAATAATTAAGTGTTTCAGTGGATTGTTTTAAAGCGCCATTTTTTAATCCCATTTTTCCGATTCCGAGAATTGGGTTCTGCCCCTTTTTTTTCTACATTTTTGAGTATTGTTCGCAGAGCCAATAAAAACGGTTCATTAGCATTTGTTGACATTACCACACCTTGCAGCTGTCTAGGTCTTAACAAAGCTAAGAGTCAACTGAGCGTCTACTCAAACTGTCACTTCCGCACGACAATCAACTGCTCTGGCGTTGCTTTTGAGGTATCAAGTCCAAAATGTTTGCCTTGCTTCTTCTCGGTAAGTTTTATAACTCATCCATAGAAATCATCGCCGATTAATGACTGGAATTCTCATTTCTATATTGTGTTCTTTTATCTGCACACGCGCATTTTTATGAACTTTGTAGTGTATCCGCACTGCCAGGGCGCGATGGCTCGCATCAAGCTTCTGTTAATTGTTGTCTGCAAGAATTGAGACTGATTACATAAATGCATACCTTGAGTAAGTCGTAGATTTTTTTTTATAGACGGTCTGAAATTTCTCGTATTGGTTATTTCAAACACACCACGTTTCTCATAGCTCATCTCGCCAACCAGACATTTCTTAGTTTCTATTTCCAAGAACCCAAGCCGAAAGCGGAACTATACAGACTTCCTGTTAAGATTACACAAATTCCGAGAAAAAGGATGAAATTTGTAGATAGAAACAAGAGAGATGACACGTTTTGAGCTCGGTAAAGAAATAGAGAAAGATGTTTTTTCCGTCTTCTCACGGGCGTGGAACAATCGCCTGATGAAGACTAGCAGTATTGTAGTCGAAACATCGCGTCATCATCGCCTGATGAAGACTTGCAGTATTGCAGTTGAAACGCCACGATTAACATTCAAAGTGACTCCATCGTGAGACAAACGAATAATTTACAGGTAGAGCATTGGAGCGCGGAATTCGAAGGTCTGAGGTTCGACTCAGAATGTTTCCTTTGTCCCTTCTATCCGTTATACCACAATGAACAATAAAAACTTCGTTTCAGTATCATATATCATAATATAACCACAGTTCGACTTTCTCCCAACCTGTCTTTTAATAAACTCAAGTCGTAATTGAAATTCCTGCCAATTTAATTGAAATTCGTGCCTATTTTAAAACCTCATGTAATGTCGATCACGATGAATTCGCGTGTTCGTCGACAACAGTTAGTGGTCCTGCAAAGTCTAATCACACATGCGTGAACGGTTGGATCTTCAGAAACTCGTTCACTCGGAAGATTAGACTTGTACGGCGTTCCATTGATTCACAAACAAATCACGCATTTCTTGGATGGGTTCGTTCAAATGGTGTTATTTGCATCGGTTCTAAGAATAACAGCAAATGATTGTTTTCACGGTTATAACTTTTTGACAGTTGTCATGGAGACGTGGGAATAAAATGACGGGATATTACCGGGACAAATCACTCTAGGCTGACATCGCTGCTGGCTTTTATGCTTTCTTCTACAATAAATTTCTTTTAATTTACATCAATTTTAATTTCTTTGCGCGTATTTTAATTTGATTGTAGGTGGTACGTCGTATATCTACAGTTTGTATTTACATACATTAGTTCAACCTCTCTCCCTCGAGGTTCGTGTTCAGTGTCTGGTTCTCTATTCGGGAGGGTTCAGGTTTCCTCCCCAGATATATAAGGGGGTTTTTCCTGACGGGCAGCAGCAACGCCTTTGTAACTTATACCAGCGATCATAGACCTGTCCTTCAGAGTTTGTTGTCAACATTGTCATTTTTTTTTGTTGTTGCTGCCTTTGCAGTATTTACGTGATTGTATGAATAAAAAGGGACTGATCCTTGCTTTATACTGGGCCTCTATCCAGCACAGCAGTCAGTGCTCCTATTTTACAATGAGTGATTCACTGTCCCGATTGTCTACTATTTCGAAAATAGGGAATAGTTAAAACATGAATTTGTAAACTGCAATTGGTGAGATTGACCATGAGCCTGTGCCAGAAATCCAATGCCTTCGTTCCAACCGTAGAGGATAAAATCACTGAAACTCGCTAATATAAAATGCTGAGGGCTAGCGGTAAATTTTCTCTGTGTACAAATTACATGAATTCATGCTTAGGTTTATTCAAAATTTGGCAATTTTATTGCTCAATATCCAAGGGCCTAAAATATGCAGTGGCTGAATAGGAGGAAAAGGAAACGTCCATGCAATAATGGTGTTAAGTTTCACATATTTCAACACAGGCTCATAATGTCTAATCGAGTGGCTTATCAGATTGTTTACGTGATTCGTTTTATCTTAATCGCTCACACAGCCAGCTGTAAAAATCATGATCATAAATTAATGTAACTGATTATCAGATAATTTCATTCTTCTTTACTTTTTATCACTTCCTTCCAATTATTTCTCCATTATTCTTGTTAATTAACCATTATTCATTTTTCATGATTCGTAGGCGCTGTCTTTGTCTTTGCCCAAGCGTCACCTTTCAGGATGATTGAGCTTGAAGATAGTCTTCCACTTGCCCCAATCCCCATTCCGGTGGAAGTACAGTTTATCACACAGAAAGATCAGGTATATACTGGCAAGAAGAATCTCTCCTATCATGCAGCTCTCTGTGGGGGATGCAGTTTTGACGGCTTGAACGCTCGCTTTGCAGTTAACTTGGTGAACAATCCCTGGGACAAAGATGAGGGAGATTACATCACTGTCTATGTCAGAGCAACGGATCCTACTGGCACGATCATTGCTTCGAATGAGGATGACATTCTTCCTGACTTCAACTTCACGTATTTCGCTAAGTAAGTACAATCCCACACTGACTAAAAATGATGTTATCCAATATTTGGGGGGTTATTATACTGCTACCTGCAACCAGGTAACTATGCGTGTGTGTGTGTTGAGATGATGGATGGACGGATGAATGATGGATGGATGAAGAGACAAATAAATGAATTGGCTGATTTATAGCTTAATTGGTTGGTTTATAAAGTGTTTTCCAATGTCAAATTTCATTTTTTGCCTTTGCTTTTGATAGCTCCATCAAGCTATGTGCGATGTGTTCCAATCCAAGAACCGACGTTCATGATCAATCAATTCAAGCAAATCATCTACCTTCTTCAACCTTTCCTTTTCCTTCTCTTGGTGGAAATCATTTGAACTGTTCTTAAGTTTTTCTCTTCTTTTTTTTTTCCTTCGTCAGGTACAAAAATTTGTTCTTTGACGTCATAACAGGCCCAGCTCCCTCCTTTTCGTTCACCCTTTCTCTGACATTTGATTACAAAGACAGAGTTTATCTCCCTCGACCCTGCGTTCCTCGTTGGCAAATGACTGCTGAGGAATACGCTGTAGCGAAGAATTACAGCAGTAAAGATGTAGATTCCGGTGAGTAATTTTGTATCATTATCTTTTCATGGAGAATTTCCTTTCCATATGGTGAATATTGTATTAAATAGTGCCTCCACTTAACGTGTTAAATCCTGTCGCTATTTTGGATGTTAGCGTGAGTCACGAGAATGGGTTGGGTATCAAAAGATTTACTGAGACAAATACCTTAGGTTCCAAAATACTAGCCTTGTTCAAAGCCTTGTTCACGAGAGCCGTTTAACCTTAATGAGCGCACTAACCTTTCTTTTCGAAACGATTTTAAAAGAAAGAAAAGTTTTAAGCCATGTCTTATTTTAATCATTCCGCAGCATACGACCTTATACCAATTTTCAAAAGCGCCTCGACTCAAAGCGTCCTTACAAGGAACAAGAAATTGTTCAGGCTTGATTACTGCTTTGGTCCAAGTCATCACTACAACGTCACCATCACAGTCATTGCTAATGATCAGCAGTCAGGCTTTGCCACATATGTCTGTAGCAAGACTTACGTTGCCAAAAAAGGAACCTGCGACGTCCTGACCCCGAATTTCGACATATCTGGCGGAGCAGTAAATGTTGTGCTCATGGGACTGGATGGACCGCAGGATTATGGACCGATACTAGTCCGTGTGCGTGGTGATGGACGATATGGCCTGAGTAACAACTTTACTCTTGCTGGATCGGCTCCTTACACGATCTTCTAAACTGTCTTAAGACTTGAGACTTTTTTTTTTCTTTCCTTTCCTTTCTTGTTTTGTTTTCTTTGTTATTTGTCAGTTTGCTCTGTTTTCGCTTTAGTCTTTTTGTTCAAAGGTACTCGGTTAACACAATTTGAGTTGTTATTTCCGACATTTCCCTTGAATGATATCACGAAATTTAGCTTATTAGATCTCTGTAGAAAAACGCGAAAGAAGTAATCTTAAATCAAGCTTGGAAAAGATGATTAAAGAACGGTCCTCTGTCTTTCTATAACTAAGAAGATTTCAACCGATTTCTCTTTTTTCTCGCGTATATCCTTCACATCAGTCGTCATTTTTCGCAAGCTCAGGCGAATACAGGCAGCCGCTCCCTCCGTGCGAGAGGCGAGTCACGCGCGCCTCTCACGCGTGAATCGATTCCCGTGCTTCCTCTATGTGACTTCCACTCGTCCGCCAAACATTTTATGCGTTTTTTTTCTTTCGTTCACTCGTGTTGTCATTGAACAGCGCAGAGCGTGGGGACAGCTGTTTTCACTGGGTGTCGTAACTTTCCGTTGCTTACATGGTGTCTACAAGCGTTGCAAGTTTGGAGACTTCCCACTTTCAATTGGCTGTGGTATGTTTTCCATCCTTAGCTTGCGAATTACATGAAGCAAATAAAGGTACCCCTCCCCCCTACTTTTCCAAGACTTCCTTTTCTTCATTTCTCTTTTTGTCCCCTGTTAAGTGGCTTGGAAGCAGCAACTGAAATAATAATAATATTGAAATACAAAACAAAACAAAACAAAAAACAAAAAAAAAAATGAAAGACAAAATCTTGCTAACACTCTTTTTAAAATCTCGCCTCATCACAGATCGTTATGCAAATTTATACCACCTTCGTTTGCATTGTCATCTCTGCAGCTTGAGTTTGCACGTGCAAACCTTTCACTTATTTGCATTTCAGTTTCCCTCTCGAGTCCATCTATTTCTTTAGTCGAAAGGAGGAAAAAAATACGTCTAAAATCTCGTCCATCTATCAAGTCTAACGTCCAAACTCAGCGCTTCGCTGCATCGAAAAGCTGCCCGCGCTGAACATATACATATGAACTGATTGCTCTAAAATGGAACACACGGTTTGAGTTAGAATTAGTTTGTCGGTTATTATTTCTCGCACTTTCCTTAAGTGGAAGTGCTCAGAGCTGTTTTCGACTTGCGATGCAAATATCAAATCGTTCCTTTGACGAAGCAAGCGGCAAACTCCTCAAGAAAGAAAAAAAAATCTGCACTCAATCCTTGTAGCATACATTGTAACACAAGATATGCTGTAAGTTAAGAGTCGCGTTTCGCCAATTCAGTACGCGGCTATACCTGTGTTCGAGAAAATAAAAATCGGTCGATCAATCAAAAAAATGAGACTGAGGAGCTTGTAACCAAGCCTAGCAAAAAGGGTTTAAGGGTACATTTAAGTACCTTAATTTGGCAATTATTAACCATAATAACATTAGTCTCATTTTTCAGTATGGTGCATTGTTTCCTCGACCCTCTCGCAGACGTGATTAACATGTAACTTCTCGCAACAATATCAATACATTTTCCAGCAAACAGGTAATGAGAATACTCAAAGTTGTTTATTTAATCTTTTACAAAATACTCATAGCTAATTTACAAGAGAATGTTTAGCAGCTAGAGGGGAGAATTAACAATCAAATCTTAGGACTTTACTGGTTAAACCCCTCTCTCAAGTTTCTCTCCTTTGTTTAAAGAAAAAAAGAACAGAATAAACAAACAAAAAAATTCAGCAAACAAACCAAATAAAAACAAACACACATACAACCACAATCAAAACCAAAAGAAAATAAAAAGGCAAAAGAAAAAAAAACAAAATAGATTAAGGTGCTTCAAAAGAGAAATTTCACAAGTAGATAACTTATCACAATATAGAAAAGATATCATGATTATTTTAATTATTCCAGAGAGTGACAAAAGCTAAGCAGCTTGGGGTTTAAAAGCAAGACCCCACTGGCAAAATGTACAACTAACTGAGGGTAATAACCCTGTAAACAATATTAGTATATACCACATACCCTGTAGGTGGAGTGCCTTTCACATGCACTGATTTGCTGGTTTGGAAGTGAATAACAAGTGCTATTCACCTCCCAGCAGGCGAAGGGCCAAACATTGCGCATCAATGATTTAATATCCAACCATTTTTTAAAGAAATGTGCTTATTTGTAAACTAATTTTTTTGGTGTTTGTATGGTACTGATATTCTAAAACAATTATATTCGCCTCAGTATTGGTGAAAGCGGTGGATATTTACCACGCCACTTCCCAGCTCAGTAAATATCCACCACTATTCACCTCCACTTCCATATATGACTGTAGTTATTGACATCAACATGGTGGTAAATTTGTCAATTTTTAGTATCCATGTAAATTGCAATGAAGTAATTTTTTTGCATTCATCAACTTCATAGTAAAGTATGTTTAAAGTTTCAATATTAGACTGAAAGTATGATAGAAACACAAACCTTGATTTTTAAATATATATCAATCTGTGCTAAGGTAAGAATACTAAAGGTTACTACAATCTGATAAATGTTTTTCTTTTCATGTTTTTTGTCCTTTTGGTTTGCTACTGATGCTAGAGTGACTAGCATCTAATTTCTCCTTACAATATGAGTCCCAAATCACACATTAAAGTTAGTGAGAATAAAGGAAATGGTCACCAACCAAAGAAGCTCTGGATTACGAAACAAATTCCCTCATCAGCATCTTAGGGAATGTATAGGGAACAGTATGGAGAATATGCATACTGATGCTAGGGTGGAAAGGGTTAACAACTGAATCTTATTTCTGTGAAACACTCCAGAATGTTCACGCTGTAAAGTCCAAGCTACAGAATTTGAATTGGTCACTAAAGTGGCTAGTTCAAGGTATGAGTATGTAAAAAAAAATATATATATATATAACCATTCTAATTTTTTGACAGTTTTGTATAAAAAACATTAACATGAAGAGAAATTATACTATTGTTCAATTTGGTCAATAGTTCAAATGTTTGATCTCCTTCCTTGAAAATCATTAAGAAAATCGTGCTATCACAAAACCAAACAAAAATGAAATTCAAACTGTGGATTCGATACTACAACACAACATTAATATTAGCATTCAAGAAAACAAAGCAGAGTGCAGTGCAGCTCATCTGGTCCATTAAATTATTCAAGGCCTGTGTTTTTCTTGCCTATCAGAGAGAAACTGCACAATTGCATAGACACATTCATTTCCATGTTGTAGTAATCTTGACAGTTTTCTCAAATGCTTGTTCTGTAATAGCTCTGTCAAGTCACTCTTTAAGATTTCGTCAATTCTTTCCATGATAAATTGCAAACGGCTCATGTGTTGCTTTACATCTTTAGATGTGGACTTTGAGAAAATGGCCATCTTTGCTGCACCTTCGAGTGTCAAGTGGGAGTAAAACTTGAATTCAGTTGCACTCCTTAGTACATTTTTGCAACCACAAATTTGCAGAATCTTTTCCACAATTTCACCAAATGCGAAGATAGGTGAGCTGTTCAGACTCTCATAGGATTTTACAATCTTGTCAACATTTCGCAGTCGCTTTCTTTGATGTGACATAGCTTTGCTTGATCGTGCCATCTTGTTTTTGAGATATATTGAAAAGTATTCTGCAAAATGAGTACTGCTTGAGCTGATAAGGTCCAACTCCACTTCCTTTGACTTCACCTTTTGCTTGCATTCTTCCTGATGTTTGCTCATGGGGGTTAGACACTCCCAGCAGAAAGCTGTCTGACACATGATACAGTACATAAAACTACAGCCAAGGTGTTTTTCTATTGGATAGTAGCAGTTTGGACAATTTTGCACCATGACTGAAGTTATGAGATCCTCTTTCTTCTGCTCGATTTCTGCATGAATATGTTTGGTGAGTTCCTGGAATTTCACTTCACCTGCGCATGAAGCTGGCCAATGTGCATTTCTACCACACTGGAAACACCATAGCCCTCCACAAGAACAAGCTACAGAGACTGGGCTGCTTCTATTGGCCATGGCACCAGACTTGGAGACCTTAAAAATTTTCACACACTTGCTGGAGGGACACCACCTCAATTCTGAACTGGATTCTATGACTTTGTTGATTTTCTGCGACAGGAACTTGTCATACCAGGTAGGCACTAAAGCTATAATAGTGGCCTTGTCAACGCAGACATCGCACTTATGTCCAGGACACTGCAGGTCTGTGTTCCCCAAGCTGATCTGCGTCTTCAGGTGGACTTCCCAGCATTGATTGCAGAAGGTATGTTGGCAGTGTTTTAGAGCAGTAAAGGGAGTCAAAAGTTCACTCTCTGTGGGGAAACAAAATTTGTTTAACTATTAAATATAAATTTGATATACTTACAAACAACATAATCATGAGGATTACAGTACATAATTTTTGCACAACATTGAAAATTTTTGTGTATTACTCATAAGAATAAAATGAAATTGTATTAATGGCAGTAACCACACCACTGTATTGTGAACAGCAGATAGTGATGGAGAAAAATGGTGCATACAAAACACAGTTTATGTTATGTAAAGTCAATTATTCTCCTTTGCTTTAGCTCTTAAAGTCCCAAGATCTGATTGTTAATTCTCCTCTAGCTGCTACACATTTGCATGGAAATAAGTTATGAGAACTTAGCAATTTAGATCAAGATAACAACTTCTACCTGATATATTTGTGTATTCTCACAAACTGTTTTCTAGGAAATGTTAATGGATATTGTGATGAGAAGCTACATGTTTATCACCACTGGAAGTAAGAGAGTTATAATATTTTTCACATCAGTTTTTAATTTTCTTTTATTTATATTTTGAACGTGATTATAAAGTATAAGGGAAGGGACGATAAAAACCTAAAAACTGTTTTGAAATTTGTTGAAATTTGAATCAAAACATACATTTGTATCAAACATTTCAGTACAAAATAAGAATGATATAGAATGTAAGCCTTTCCAACTTTTAAACCTCCTTAACCCTTAACACCCACACATCAGTATCTGTATTCCCTATACTAATCTCTACACATCTCCTTTGGTACTGACAAAGAGAATTAATTTAATAATCAAAGTTTCTTAGGTTGGCCATCATTTTCTTTATTGCCATGATCTAAATGAATGATTCAGCAGTATTGCTGACTAAGGAGAAATTAGATGCTGGTCACTCTTTTGGTTTTAAGGGTTAAATCATTTTAATTTGCATATAGACCAGTACATGACCAGGTAATTTCAGTTTTAGAGTTCACTTGAACCAGATTAGTTTATATCAGTGTATATACAGTTTGTTTAAGAAATACACATGTAATGTGTACATTAAAAATTAAGCCTGGATATAGGACTAGTTGGGAAAAAGGAACCAGGTAAGCATTATAACTTTTAAGCAAAAGCCTGTAGAGCTGCAAGGAACTTGTCATTTTTATATATTGACTTAAATTTTAATACTTGAAAAACCTTACCCAATTCCAAGTAGCATATACCACAAAAGTTGTCTAGTGGTTCTGCAGTTCCAGCATCATCTGTTCCATGGCCCATCAGAACACTCATGCTGAGCAGATCTCTTTTCTTGATTTTTGCTCTTAGTTCAGATTTTATTTCTCTTTGCGAGAATATCTCTGATTTCCATCCAAACATGGAACCAAGCACATTGGTAGAATTCCGTGTTTTTGCGTGGTTGTGGGAGTCTTGCATAGAAGATGGCAAAGACCGGTAACAATATTGCAAGCAACGAGCTGCACAATTAACTACATCGCACACTCTCCAAAAGTCTTTCTTCTCACTTTCCAATTCCATGAAGAAGTTAGTGATTGCATTGCAAAGATCACCAGAGAGGTCCGGAGTATTTGTGGCATGCAAACTAACATCTGCTGTAGCACAGTTCATTTCACAGTTCAGCTGGCTGGTCACTTCAAACAATACACAGCAGGATTCATTGGTAAAGCTACCACTAGGAGAAAGAAGAGGAATTAGGTCAATTGTGAACTTCCTAGGCAAGCTGCCTCCTTCCAAATACAAGTCTTTCCAGTCCATGATGAGCTTCCCAGGCTCCAAGTCACAAACCAATACTTGCAAAGGAGCTGCCAGCTTCTTCTCTGATGGAGGAATCATTAGAGGGACAGTGGTTGGATTCTGGGATGTGTTCATGCTTGGCTCAGGATCAATGAAAACAACACTCTTCTTCCCATACCTAAAACTCTTAGTCACGGATTCATCTTCACTATGTCTTGGTTTTGCCTTCTGTTGTTTTTTCTTTAATGGCTGTCTAGAAAGTTCACTGATGTAAGAACCAATATCAAACCCATTACTACTCCCAGAGAATGTCTCTCTGGGGGTCTTCCAGCCACTAAACCACTCTGCATCCATTACACTAATTTTACTCTCAGAGGCTTTATGTGATGAGTATGTCTGACAGCGTTCACCTTTACAAACTTCTTCATTCCTGAGCTCTCTGTCAGAACAAAGACCCCACCGGCAACCCTTGTTTTTTACGCCCTTGTTCTTGCATCGTGATTTGCGTGGATTTCTGAGAGAATACTGAAAAGACCAACGATAATTTGTCGGGAATCCTTCGCTACATTCAGGGTATTCGTTGCTAGGATACCAGTAGGACAGCTCATAACCAATTTCAGGTTCCAACTCGGTTGAGTCACTCTTCTTCATTAAATCTTGCACACGAGTGTATTTGCGTTTTTGAGGAGTATACACTTCGTTTTCTCTGACTTTGTGGACAGAGATGCAATCTGCGTCGACCTTTTGTCGCATCCGTCGACGTATAATAGCAACACTGGGCCTAAACGAAGCATCAGTTGTGTCTTGTCCACTAGCTTCATCTGACTGTTGAGATAACAGCCATCGTTTTCGCTTTTTTAAGGAGTACACAACGCTAGACATATGTACTCCGCTTTCAGCACGCAGATGCCGAGTGGACGAGAGAGTAAAATCACCAAGGCCATCCTCTATCTCGTTTTCCTCAAGGAACTGTTGCATTTCATTGTCGGACATGTTCTCTGTTCCTCTCGTAAACTTGAGTAAAACTTCCGGTTCGTGGCCACGAAAACGAGAAAAAGGATGGCGAACAGTTCGTCCCGTTTTGACACCATATTTCCCTCTCTCTTTCCAAACCATGGCTTTTTATGTGTCACACGGTGGATCACGGAATAATTCCGAAAGATCGCATGGTGTTGTACAGCTCCAAAGCCGTTTTTATAACCAACCTCGACCGCCATGTTGGATTTCTTGTTGTGGTGCAATAAGAGTTTTGATTGGACACCAAGCTTTGATATTTTTAGCAGCAATTAAGACAATCAAAGTGAATCAATCAAACTGAGCTAAATTGAAAGCACTACGTAATGTGAAATGACGTCATGAAATCACTTTGCATCCATCATTAGGAGAACAGGACACAACTTTGAAGCAGGTTTTCAGAAGAATAATGCCTTTTATTATCTTCTTTTTTTTTTACTTTGCACGATATAAAGATACTAGCTGCAGCAAGTGCTTAGCCGGCAGAAAAAAATTTAGTGGGTTACAGGAGCCGCTCCTTTGGGTAACTAATCCCTTTCGAGGCGAAACTAAACACGATAGTTGTATTCCACGATGATTCTTGACAGAGTTCAGTAATTCTCTTAAAAAAAAAATTGGCTTTGAAACCATTTTTAACTATCTAATAATCTTCTTATTTTTGGAAACCTTTATTCATACGATCAAGCTGCTATATTTGCCTTCTTAAAACTTTTCTGAAATACTCGAATAATTGTGAATTCCGTTCTTCCCAACTAAAAGCATTTTTTAAAAACAGTTTTTGATCTACAATATACATACAAACTAACATTTGTCACAATACTTGTGTTATTTACAATAATGACTTACGTGTAAAACAAAAGCAACTGAAAAAAAATTAAAAAACTACCTAAAATTACCTTTATTGCTAACCTTATTAAAAACACCAACTTTGCTTAATTCCAAACTGCAGTATGCATTCCTATTTTAGCAGGTCATCCAGCTCAAGGAGCAGCGAATTCCTTGTTTTTGTTGCTGTTTTTCCTTTTGTTTTGGAAATATTTTCTTTTTTTTTTTCTCGACGATATTACTGTACAAGACTTAACATACGCACGTCACTTTTCACTACACTTATACAATTCATAAAATTGCTAAGAAATTACTAAAATATTTTTGTTTTGAAAATGTCTTATTCGTTTGTTTATGTTTGGTTTATTATCTTTGGTCTGAATAGCACGGCCTTACGATCTTTACCTTGTGTCATAGAGGCTGTTTTGTGTCAATATGTGCTGGTAGATTAATGAATGTTTTTTTTGGTCAATTTAGCACAAATATTTCAACCCTCATACAAGGGTAACCGGAAAACGTTACAGGATAAAACCGAACGTATCTGGCCTTGACGTCAGTACTGAGTGAAAGCTTTACAATGCTGTCCCTGTCTAAATTTCCTTGGAAGACCTGAAAATAAAAATAATTTTTTTGGTCAGAATTTTTTCTTTGTCCCACGCTCGTGAAAAGACGAAAAAACGTCTTTCTCTAAAAAAGATGTTGTTCCTTTGATGTGAAATATACATGCATCGTTCATCACCTTTTTGATGATGAAACAAAAGATGTACATATTTAATACACATTATCATGTATACAGTCAGATCTGTAAAAATGAGCACTTCTCCTGATGTTGATTGTCAAATATTAGGAACATGGACATATTTTAGGGGGAATAGTGCCGAATTGAAACTCTGCTGTAAAAGCCCAAGAAAATAAGTGTCCAAAACCACCAACTAAGTGGATGAACCATTACTTTGTATTAACTTCAAACTCTTTCATAACTTCTAAAGACAAAAGTTGCAGTTTCATCCGCATTTTTTCAATATTTGTCTCCTTGTAAGTGTTCCAAGTTGTATCGTCTGTGGACAGGTGTAGTTTATAGCTAGTGGTGCATGCAGACTCGTTATACAAAAGCTTACAATCTCCGACGTTGTTCTCTGCTGCAGTAGCCAATGAAGATAAGTGTCCAAATTCACTATCTAAGTGTATGTCTGTTAACTAATAATTTGCATTGACTTCAAACTCCTAATTCCTGAAAACGTCAATTACGTACAGTTCTCTCCGTACCTTTTCAATATTCGTTTCCTTGTAAGTGTTCCAAGTTATACCGTCTGTAGATAATTGTAGTTTGTAGCTGGTGGCCCATGCAGAGCTCCCTTGTAGTCCTTGTGTAGCCACACCACAAAGAAAACGCACTTCACCCATGTCAACTTGAAGATAGTCTGTTCTGTCAGATAAAGTTTTAGGGCACCACCCTCCATGGCCACTGCTTTCATTGAGTCGGCCGTAGGAAGGACGATAGTCACCATTATGAAAACTACTCGCTGTCATTCTAGCGTCTGGTATTCTGTTCCTGTCCGCCACACCAATAGGCTTGCACACTAAGTAAAGACAGGTGACACAATCATTCTTGTTTTTTTATTCCATCTTATGGCCTCGCATCCGGACTAAAATTTTCAATACAGTAATTAGAGAACTTAGAGGTAGAGATATAGCTGCAACTGATTGGGTATCGATAAATACACGACTTGTTGATATCGAGTTTAAGAAGTCCCCCTGGCTATATGCTTGGAATGGCTCAAAAACAGGGCTGATTTTGTTACCAGATGAGAGTATGTTCCAGAGATTAGGCGATTTTTATCTTTCCCATGAAAAACTGTAAATTACATTCTAATATTGACAAGTTTTTGATATTCCAATATAGTATCCTAGACTATTGGGACTTATCTTCAGATGTCCCAATTTTGAAGGAAGCCACCATTTTCATTTTAACTTAGCAAACGAACCTCCTTGACCTCTTCTTTCGTCCCATCCCCTGGGGGTCTGCTTGTATGATTAGGAGGTAAACAGAATGACATTCCAGGCTCAAACCGATTTTTAACAATAACTTCATCTTTTTCGCTTATTCGTGAAATGATTTTTATTTTTTATTCTTTTGTTTCTCCGTTATCTTTTTTTTCGCCAGAGCAGCAGTCGCTTGTAACCCACGCGGTGTGGTTTCAATTATATTTGAGTTAAAGATCAGTACTGTTCGACCAGTCCCTAACTCATTTTCAAAATTATTTGTTTTGCTTTGCTTCTGATTTTGTCCTCGTTTAGATTTTGTATTCGTCAATCAAGTGGGGAAAACTTAGTGAATCCAGCTGATTGATGTCTCCATTATTTTTTGCATGTAATTCTTTCCTTCACTTGCCTCTGATTATGAATTCCACTTGAAATAAAATCTTACCTGAATATTCAATCACTGTCGTCTGTCACATTCAGCTCTGTAGATTTATTTTACTTAATGAGGAGAAATATAGATCTCTTCCAATGAAAAATTATCGAGTCAAACCACTCTTTACCTGTCCCAACAGTCAGTCGCATTAAAGAAGATGTTTTGAACAGTTGTGCTGATGTGGCTGTACAGATATATCTGCCCGAGTCTTCATCTTTAATATTCCATATCTGAAGTGTTCCATCCGCACTGACTTGTGATCTTCCAACTGGCAGCTGGCTGTTCTCTCTCACCCACATGATTTTTGGTCTGGGGTCACCAGCAGCTTGACATGAGACTGAAATATTTTGTTTTTGTCTAACATTGAGCTGAGCAGGAGGATTTGATGTGAATCGTGGCAGCTCCAAAACACTGAGAAGTGTCAAAGCTGAGTCTTCCCCCAAATCATTTGACGCTTTGCATTCGTAAAAACCAGAATCTCTCTTTTGAGCACTGATAATTGACAGCTGTCCGTCTTTCACAACAGTTCTGGAATATGCAAGTTCACCGCGTACTCTAGACCACGTGATAATGGCTGGAGGAAAACTGGTCACGTGACATTTTGGCAAAGTGATGTTCTTGCCTTTTTCAAAATAAGTGGGGCCAGGGGAGAGTGAGATCTTCGGTTTATCTGTAGGATATTTAGAAAAATCATTATGCATATTGTAAATACCTGCCATTGCATCCAAAGACGAGGCTCATCCTTAGAGCTAAAAATTCCTTCAACTCAAATTGTCGTTCAAATCAACATTCAGCTTTTATTTTTGGTCAGCGTATCACCGTGGAATCATATTTTCACGGAACATCCTCGGAACCAGAAAAAGTGTCTCTTTTATCTGTCAGGACTAGGAATTTCGTGTCCCTCAATTGTAAAAAAAAAGGTGAAAAAATCGGAATAACGAGATTTGATCTTCGAGTTATAGAGTCGTAGCAATTATATAAGATGGTCACGTGACATTTTTGTAAAGTGATGTTCTTGCCTTTTTCAAAATACGCGGGGCTAGGGGAAAGTGAAATTTTCGTTAGATGTTTAGGAAAATCATCACACATATTAAAAATAACAGACCCTTCATCCATGGGTCTCATACAAAGACGAGGCTCATCTTTAGAACTAAAAATTCCTTTGACTCAAATTGTCGTCAAAACAACAATCAGATTTTTCTTTGGTTTGCGTATTACGGTGGAATCCTATTTTCATGGGACATCCTCGGAACCAGAAAAAGTGTCTCTGTTATCAGTCAGGACTAGGAATTCTGTGTCCCTCAATTGTTAAAAAAGGTGAAAAAATCTGAATAACGAGATTTGATCTTGGAGTTATAGACTCGTAGCAATTATATAAGATGGTTTATCATGTGCCCCATACGGCCCCGCGCGCACAATCCCACAGAAAACCATGGTGAAAGCGGACATGTGTAAGGCCTTGTGCATGACTCGAGCCAAATATTTTCTCGTCCAGCCCTCCCACTCAGTCAAAAAGTACTTAATATTTAAACCTACTTTGTACGACGAGAATCGCAGTTTTTTCATCCTCTCCAAGAATATTTCGCGCTAAGCATTTGTATTCTCCTGCCTCTTCCATCCGAACACTAGCGATTTGCATCTGACCATTTGACGTCACTTTAGTCCTGTTGCTAGGTAACGATCCATTAACCTTTGACCAGAATATTTGAGCCGCTGGATTTCCCGAAACGGAGCATAAGAACGAGGCTGTGTTGGATTCGTTGACAGTTAGTTTCGGTGGAGAAATCGTTACTTTTGGCTTTGAAATAGATTCACCTGGTTCACCTTTAGTCCCTGGGATACCAGGGATACCCGGTGGCCCGATGTCTCCTTTTATTCCTTTTTCTCCCCTTATTCCCGTTGGCCCCATGATTCCTTGTTTTCCACTTCTTCCTGGTGGTCCCATGATTCCCTGAGCACCTTTTCTTCCTTTCCTCCCCCTGTCACCTTTGGGTCCAGCTCTCCCCGGAGGTCCCGGCCGCCCACGGGGACACACATTCAAATTGCCTTTGTTGCTGCAAATCTTCCATGTAGAAGAAATGATGTCTTCCATCATTTCTCTAATCTTTGCTGAGTTGTTGAAAGGAGGCGGATGTGAAATACTACGCTTCAGACGAAGGGTTTCCGGCTGCCTGGAGGTGGGAGGTACTACTAAAATGTAACAAGAAAAGGAAGAGAGTAACTTAAAATGGCACTCCAGTGCCTTTTTCAATAAAAAAAAAGAAAACTACGATCATCTATTCTTTTTTTCTCGCGATTTTGCCCACCATTGTCTCCCTAAGTAATGTGTTTGTATGATGGAGATTAGGAGGGGGGGATAGGCTGGGGTGGGAGGACAAACCCCAATTTTTTCGAGACGGGGAGCGGAATACGCGAATATAGATCCACTGTTGTCTTCAATTTTTAATTTTGCCTCAGGATTGCTGGAAGAATGTTTTTAATTACCAAAAGCACTATGAATGCAGTTAATCCTTTGACAAATATTTACTTTTTCGCAGCTGGGTACGGTCTCAAATAGGCAAAATGCCCGGCAGCCAGAAATGTTCACGGAATTTCTACCGAAAGGTTCTTTCAAACTTCTAAAGAATATCAGACGTTTGTTTAGAAATGTCAAGCGATTCCAAAAATCAATTTGGCTTTTTTAGTTGACAAATTCGCTAGGCTTGAGCTTACTTTAATATCGCTTGGTTGTCGACGCCGGAAGTTATACGCTTCTGATCACACTGCCGGGCACGGTCTCGAATGAACTAAACGCGCGGCAGTTGGTAGATTTCGCCAGAGTATCGCCGAAAGGTTCCTTGAAACTTTTAAAGAGTATTCAGTATAAGAGTGATCGGGTTAAAAACTCAACTCTCTAAGTGGGCTGAAATTTCCTACGTGATAAAATTTCAAAATAGGTGCTGCTAACCGATTCTTGAACTCATGTGAAGAGATCCTCTAACCATTTGAAATGGCCATTTCAAATTTAAAATATTGGGAAGCCGAGGAATAATGAAAGCGGCTTGTTTGACTGTCGGTGTTTTCTTCGAATACATAATAAATACTCTCCATTACCATCATGTCTGGCTAACGTGTAATACGAACATTTTGCGAGTTTCAATTTTTGCGGATTGTTCTCGACGAATCATTAAACAAGTTCTCGTAGGCGAGTCGAAGATAGTTTCAGTTAAAATACATGCAAGGTCAAGCTGTCAGCGAAGTCCGGTTAGTCCACTTTGCTATGAATTCAACATTCGTAGTCAAAGATAACAACGCCAGGAAAAGTCGAAATAATGAGAAGCTTTGCCTGTCGTTCTTTATTTGGCTCGCATTCTGAGCGATGATTCGACAATGATAGAATGTCTGTCAGCAGGTAGAAAAATGAAACTACAAGATATTAGTTCGATTAAATGGAAAGAAACAAAAGTGGCGCATCCAGGAGTTTTCGACGGAAAGGGGAGAGGCGATGAAACGTGACTATGACCTCGCTAGTACATTCGATCAAGAAGATTTAAGTCTGTACAGGGTTTAAGTAATTTGCAACTTAAAGTCATCTTATATAAATTAGTTTGAAGAAGCATGTCTCGCAACAATCAAGACAACCATGAACATAAATTACAGACAGTTTTTGACTTCACCTTGTTCAGCCGAATGTAAATCTGTCCTTGCCTGTTCCATTTTATCTTGAGGCATGAATTCCTCCACAGTCCTCAACCTCCGTTCATAGTCATTGAACTTTGTCTCGATTCGAATGAATCCAGCGGAGTAAAGAAACAAACAGAAAACAGACAGAGCCGTTCCAGGGCTCACTGGAAAAGAACGATCTTTGAGAGACATCACGAAAACTAGATGATCGAACTCGAAAGCAACTTGTTATGGCATATTCCTGATACTTGACCCTTTAAAATTTGATAGCACTTTCAGCTCAGAAGGTTTAGTCACGCAACCCTATCAGGTAGCTGAAAAAAATAAGCAAAGCTCGTCATGTTGGCGGAAATGAGAAACACATCCAAGAAAGGCTAGATGATCGAAGGTGGTCAAACGCAACTCACTTTTTTCTAAGTGTTCCAATAGCTCTAAAATGGCTTTCAGTTCGAGCGAGAAACAGGGAAACTTAACGATGAGAACCAGGAAGAAATTTTATAACAAGATGCGAGAAGGCAAATAGACAGACACGTGCACAAGTTGTTGTTACCTGCGGTTGTGTTAAATTCAAGGATACAATAATTGAATCTCATCCCATCATTCTACATAGCAAACGTGACCTTAAAACCACCCATAATGCCATTAGGGTTTGTGCACTTTTATGCTTTTGTTTTTTTTTGTGTGCAACCTTCCTACAAACTGCTGTATGCATTCTTGTTTTAGCAGGACATCCAGCTCAAGGATCAGCGAATTCCTTGATTATGATATTGCTTTTGTTTTGAAAATATTTTTCTATCTTTTTTTTTCTCGACAATATTACTGTACAGGACATAATCATACAGAGTAATTTAGTATTATGAACCGAGTTGATTACGTAAATTAGCCGTTGTAAAGGGTTCAAAAGCTGACGCTTAGAGCGTTAGCTCTTTGTCAGAGTGATTGATTAAGGCTAACGCTCGGATGAAGGGTTATTGCTCGAAACGTCAGCTTTTAAACTCGCTACGGTGGACAATTTACATTATCAACTCGGTTCATAATACTAAACTACCCTGTTATGCTATTCCACCGATGCATAAGGTTATTTGGCATGTACAAGACCCTTCTAATCCATTGTCCCAATCCTCGAAATTCAGATTTATTTGTTTTCTGTTTATGAGTTTAAGAGGTCCTTGCTAGACATTCTGTTGTTCTTTCACAAAAACAATTAGCACTTTTCTCTCAGAAATTCCATCTCTGAAAAAAGTCTCATCCCCTTGCTTTCTTTTTTTTAATGACTACATGTAAATAAAAAAAAATTATTTTGCTTATTTTCTACAATTGTCTTTGTTGTTGTTGTCTTGTTCGTTTGTTTACGTTTCATTTATTATCTGCGGTCTGAATAGCATGGCCTCATGATCCATACCTTGTGTTATTGGGGCAGTTTTATGTCAATATGTGCTGGTTGATTAATGAATATTTTTTTTTTTGTCAATTTAGCCGCACATATATTTCAACCCTTAAACAAGGATAAGTGTGATGCGTGACAGGATAGAACCGAACGTATCTGGCCTTGACGCCAGTACTGAGTGGATGTTTCACAATGCTGTTTCTGGCTGAATTTCCTTGGAAAACCTAAAAATAAAAATAACCGTAAATAATGCGAGTTTTAGAGCACAGGAGAGTGAGAGAATGTGAAGAATCATTGATTCAGAGCGCTAAATATTAAAGGCAAGAAAGCACATTTGAGCTGTGGCTCAATAGACTCGGAAAATAGTAGTTCGAGACATGAACGTTCAAAAAATTCAACAGTTGAAGAATTTGCGTGTCTTACACCAAAGTGAATAATTGACTTCTATAAGGCATCACGCAAAGGCTGATATGAGACAATGCACCGTTCGTTCATCACCTTTTTAACGAGGAAACAATCAAACAAACAAACAAAAAAAATATATCTATGTTCATGTATACAGTCAGATCTGTTAAATGAGTACTTCTCATAGTGTTGATTGTCAAATCTTATGGACGCCCTACAACCAAAGTGAATAACTGACTACTGCCCTCTGATGTGCAACATGACTCACATCAGTTTTAGGGGGAGTAGTGCCGAATTGAAACTCTGCTGTAAAAGCCTAACGGGATAAATGTTCAAATTCACCAACTAAGTTTATGAGCCAATACTTTGTATTTACTTCAAACTTTTTCATAACTGTTAATATCAGTTGCAGTTTCATCCGCACTCTTCCAATATTTGTCTCCTTATAAATGTTCCAAGTTATATATACCGCCTGTGGACAGGTGTAGTTTATAGCTAGCGGTCTAGGAAAATTCGTCATACACAAGCTTATAATCTCCGACGGCGTTCTCTGCTACAATAGCTAATGAAACTAAGTGTCCAAATTCACTACCTAGGTATATTTCTGTTCGCTAATTATTTGTATGACTTCAAACTCCTAATTCCTGAAAACGTCAATTACGTACAGTTCTCTCCGTACCTTTTCAATATTCGTTTCCCTGTAAGTGTTCCAAGTTGTACCGTTTGTAGATAACTGTAGTTTGTAGCTGGTGGTCCATGCAGAGCCCCTCAGTAATCCTTGTGTGGCCACACCACAAAGAAAACGCACTTCACCCATATCAACTTGAAGATAGTCTGTTCTGTCAGATCTAGTTTTAGGGCACCACCCTCCATGGCCACTGCTTTCATTGAGTCGGCTGTAGTAGGGAGGAGTATAATTACTGTAAAAACTGCTCGCTGTCATTCTGGCGTCTGGTATTCTGTTCCTGTCCACCACACCAATAGGCTCACACACTAAGTAAAAACAGGTGACACAATCATTCTAGTTTTTTATTCCATCTTATGGCCTCGCATCCGCAATAAAATTTCCAAATTTCCAAGCGGAATTCATAATCAGAGTCAAGTGAAGGGTTATCTATTACTCATCATGGAGAATTGCATTCAAAAGATAATGGATACGTCAGTCAGCTGGATCCACTAAGTTTTCCCTACTTGATTGATGAATACAAAATCAAAACCTTTTTAATACACGTTTTAATGAAATAGACAAAAATAACTGGATTTTGGAGAGTGTTCTCACATCATGAATTATTCGTTTTGCCTTATCCTCATTTTGTCCTCGTTTTTGATTTTTATTTATCAATCAAGTACGGAAAACTAAGTGAATCCAGCTGATTGACGTCTCCACTATTTTTTGCATGCAATTCTTTATGACGAAAAGTAGATAATCCTTCACTTGACTCCGATTATGAATTCCGCTTGAAACGAAATCTTACTTGAATATTCAGTCACTGTCACATGTCACATTCAGCTCTCTAGATTTATTTTATTTAATGTGCAGAAAAAAAGATCACTACCCAATGAAAAGTTACCGAGGCAAACCACTCCTTACCAAAAGTCAGTTGCATTAAAGACCTTTTGAACAATTGCGCTGATATGGCTATACAGATATATATTCCCGAGTCTTCATCTCTAATATTCCATATCTGAAGTGTTCCTTCCGGACTGACTTGTGATCTTCCAACTGGCAGCTGGCTGTTCTCTCTCACCCACATGATTTTTGGTTTGGGGTCACCAGCAGCTTGACATGAGACTGAAATATTTTGTTCTTGTCTAACATTGAGCTGAGCAGGAGGATTTGATGTGAATCGTGGCAGCTCCAAAACACTTAGAAGTGTCAAAGCTGAGTCGTCACCCAAATCATTTGACGCTTTGCATTCGTACAAACCAGAATCTCTCTTTTGAGCACTGATAATCGACAGCTGTCCGTCTTCCACAACAGTTCTGGAATATGCAAGTTCACCGCGCACTCTAGACCACGTTATGACGGCTGGAGGAAAACTGGTCACGTGACATTTTGGTAACGTGATGTTCTTGCCTTTTTCAAAATAAGTGGGTCCAGGGGAGAGTGAGATATTCGGTTTATCTGTAGGATATTTGGAAAAATAATTATGCATAATGGAAATAACTGCCATTGCATCCGTGGATCTCATACAAAGACGAGGCTCATCTTTAGAGCTAAAAATTCCTTCAATTCAAATTATCTTTCAAACAACGTTTAGCTTTTTCTTTGGTCAGCGTATTACAGTGGAATCCTGTTTTCATGGGACATCCTCGGAACCAAAAAAATTGTGTCTTTTATCAGTCAGGACTAGAAATTCTGTGTTCCTCAATCGTAAAAAAATGGTGAAAAAATCAGAATAACGAGATTTGATCTTCGATTTATAGAGTCGTAGCAATAATAAAAGATGGTTTATCATATGCCCCCTACAGCCCCACGCGCACAATCCCACAGAAAATCATGGTAAAAGCGGATGTGTGTAGGGCCGTGTACATTACTGGAGCCAGATATTTTCCCGTTCAGCCCTCCCACTCAGTCAAAAAGTACATAATACTTAAACCTACTTTGTACGACGAGAATCGCAGTTTTTTCCTCCTCTCCCAGAATATTTCGCGCTAAGCATTTGTACTCGCCTGCCTCTTCCATCCGAACATTAACGATCTGCATCTGACCATTTGACGTCACTTTAGTCCTATTGCTAGGTAACGATCCATTGATCTTTGACCAGAATATTTGAGCTGCTGGATTTCCCGACACAGAGCATAAGAACGAGGCTGTGTTGGTTTCGTTGACAATTAGTTTCGGTGGAGAAATTGTTACTTTCGGCTTTGAAATGGATTCGCCTGGTTCACCTTTAGTCCCTGGGATACCAGGGATACCCGGTGGCCCGATGTCTCCTTTTATTCCTTTTTCTCCCCTTATCCCCGGTGGTCCCATGACTCCCTGTTTTCCGCTTCTTCCTGGTGGTCCCATGAGTCCCTGGGATCCTTTTCTTCCTTTCCTCCCCCTATCACCTTTTGGTCCAGCTCTCCCCGGAGGTCCCGGCCGCCCACGGGGACATACGTTCAAATTGCCTTTGTTGCTGCAAATTGCCTTTGTTTCCTTCCATGTAAAAGAAATGATGTCTTGCATCATCTCTCTTATCTTTGCTGAGTTGTTGAAAGGAGGTGGATGTGAAATACTACGCTTCAGACGGAAGGTTTGCGGTTGCCTGGAGGTGATGGGTACTACTCAAAATGTATCAAATAAAGGAAGAAAGTAACTTAAAATGGCATTTTACTGCCTTCTTCAGAAAAAAAAAACAAAAATAAAAAAACTACAATGATTTAGTCTTTTTTTCTCGCAATTTTGATCACCAATTTCTTTCTAAGTAGTGTGTTTGTCTGATGGGGGCAGAGTGGGGTAGGGCGGTGGGTGGCGTAGGGTTGGGCGGGAGGACGAACCACAATTAATTTCGAGACGGGGAACGTGATGCGCGAATATGTACGCACTGTCGTCTTCAATTTCAAAAGGACCACAAATGCAGTTTAATCCTTCGACAAATATTTCCTTTTTGGCAGCTGGGCACGCTCTTAAATAGGCAAAATGCCCGGCAGCCATAAATTCTCTCAGATTTTCCACCGAAAGGTTCTTTGAAACTTCTTAGGAATATCAGCTGTTTGTTTAGAAATGTCAAGCGTTTCCAAAAATTAATTTGGCTTTTTTGGTTGACAAATTCTCTAGGCTTGCGCTTAGTTTAATATCGATTGGTTGTCAACACTTATAAGTTATAATTATACACTTCCGATCAGACTGACGGGCACGGTCTCGAATGGACTAGGTTTACGCGCGGCAGTTGGTAGTTTTCACCAGAGTAACGCTGAAAGGTTCCTTGAACCTTTAAAGAGTATCAAGTATAAGAGTAATCGGGTTCAAAACTCAACTCGCTAACTGGGCTGAAATTTTCTACATTATAAAATTTCAAAATACGTGCTGCTAACCGATTCCTGAACTCATGCGAAGAGATCCTCGAATCATTTCAAATTTTTAATTCAAAGTATCGGGAAGCTGAGGAATAATAAAAGCGGCTTGCTTATTTGTTTTTTTCCTCCGAAAACAGAATAAATACCTCTCATTGCCATCATGTCTGACATACGTGTACGGTTAACATGAACATTTTGCGAGTTTTAAGTTTTGCGGATCGGTTCTCGACGAATAAACAGGTTCCCGCCGGCGAGGCGAAGTTATTATTTCTTAAAATACCTGAGAGGTCAAGGTGTCAGCGATGTCCAGTAAGTTCTCAGTGTGATGAATTCAACAATCGTAGAGAAAGAAAACAACGCCATAAAAAGTCGAAATAATGAGTAGCTTTGTCGTTCGTTATTTGCCGGCTCGTCTTTTGAGCGATGATTTAACATTGATAGAATGTCCGTTAGCAGGTAGCAAAATGAGACTACAAGATATTAGTTCGATTAAATGGAAAGAGACGAAAGTGGCGCATCCAGGAGTTTTCGACGGAGAGGGGAGAGGCGATGAAACGTGATTATGACCTCGCTGGTACATTCGATCAACAAGATCTTAGTCTATACAGGGTTAGAGTAATTTGCAACTTAAAGTCATCTTACGTAAATCAGTTTGAAGAAGCATGTCTCGCAACAATCAAGACAACCATGACTGTACTTTACAGACAGTTTTTGACTTCACCTTGTTCAGCCGAATGTAAATCTGGCCGTGCCTGTTCCATTTTATCTTGAGGCATAAATTCCTCCACAGTCCTCAACCTCTGTTCATAATCATTGAACTTTGTCTCGAATCGAATGAATCCAGCAGAGTAAAGAAGCAAACAGAAAACAGACAGAGCCGTTCCAGGACTCACTGGAAAAGAACGGTCTTTGAGAGCCATCACGAAAACTAGATGATTGAACTCGAAAGCAACTTGTTATAGCACATTGCTTTTAAATTTGATAGCACTTTCAGCTCAGAAGTCACGCAACCCTATCAGGTAGCTGGGAAAATATGAAAAAAATCTTTGGCGGAAATGAGAAAGATCTAAAAGAAACTAGATGATCGAGGGTGGTTAAACACAACTCATTTATTTTTCAAAGTGTTCCAATAGCTCGGTCTGAGATGGCTTTCAGTACAAGCGACAAACAGGGAAACTTAACGATAAGAACCGGAAGGAAATATTATAAGAAGTGCGAAGAGGCAAATAGACAGGCACGTGCACAATTTGTTGTTGCCTGCGGTTGTGATAAATTCAATAAAACAATAATTGAAACTGCGTCTCATCTTACACTCTCAAACTTTCTCAACTCCACATAGCTTAAAGTAATTTGCTGTGCACTGTTTATTCATAATTGTTAGGAACCTTTTTTTAATTTCAGAATTTGTTAAATTGGAATAATGTTATAGATAGAATACATAATTTTTTTAAAATATTGTGCTTCATGTTTGATCGGACGGCAGTATCTCATCGCATCAGTTTGCCCCCTGAAAGTATATAAATACTTAGTATACCTTTAGCTATACTAATTCCAACAAAATGTTTTGTTTCAACGTTTTGATATTGCTTTTGTTTTGAAAATATTTTTCTATCTTTTTTTTCGGCAATATTACTGTACAGGACATAATCATAAAGAGTAATTTGGTATTATGAACCGAGTTGATAACGTAAATTAACCTTTGTAAAGAGTTCAAAAGATGACGTTTAGAGCGTTAGCCCTCCGTCAGAACGATTGACGAAGGGCTAACGCTCTGACGAAGGGCTAATGCTCGAAACGTCAGCTTTTAAAGTCGCTACTGTGGCCAATTTACATTATCAACTCGGTTCATAATACTAAGCTGCCCAGTTGTACTATCCCAACGATGCATTATCACAGTTTCTTTAGAAACTTACCCTCTTTATTTATAAAAATACAGATGTCACTTTCCACTACACTAATACAATTCATCAAACTGAATATCTTAAAAAAAATTAATAACACCAACATAGGTTATTGTTTTGAAAATAAAGATTTCCGAACTTCTGAAGTAAAAGCACAATGTTATTTGGCATCTACAAGACCCTTCTTATCCATTGTCCCAATCCTCGAAATTCAGTTTTATTTGTTTTTCGGTGTGCTGTTCTTTCACAGAAACAATCCACACTTTTCTCTAAGAAATGCTATTTCCGAAAAAAGTCTTCTCCCCCTCGCTGTTATTTGTTTTTTAATCACTAAGTGTAAATAGAAACAATTATTTTGCTTATTTTCTACAACTGTCTTTGTTGTTGTTGTCTTGTTCGTTTGTTTACGTTTCGTTTATTATCTGCGGTCTGAATAGCATGGCCATATGATCCATACCTTGTCTTATTGGGGCAGTTTTATGTACACATGTGCTGGTGGACTAATAAATATTTTTTTTTTGTCAATTTAGCAGCACGTATACTTCAACCCTCATACAAGGATGACTGTTATGCGTAACAGGATAAAACCGAATGTATCTGGCCTTGACGTCAGCATCGAGTGGATGTTTCACAATGCTGTTTCTGTCTGAATTTCCTTGGAAGACCTAAAAATAGAAAGAACCTTAAATAATTCGAGTTTTACAGCTCAGTGTCTGTAGCACAAAAAGCGAAGGTGATTGGTTGGGGAGAGGATGTTAAGAATCATTGAATCAGAGCGCTGAGTTTTAAAGGCAAAAAAGCATATTTGAGCTGTGGCTCAATAGACTCGGAAAATAGTAATACGAGTGATGAATGACCCCCGAAACAAATGCACGTTCAAAAAAATTCAACAGTTGAAGAATTTGCGGTCATTGACGTCTATAAGGCACCACGCACAGGCTGGTGTAGGTAATACGAGAGTATGAACATCGACTCTCAACTAAGTGTATGAGCCGATACTTTGTATTTACTTTAAACTTTAATTTTTCATAACTGCTAATCTCAGTTGCAGTCCGCACCCTTCCAATATTTGTCTCCTTGTAAGCGTTCTAAGTTAAACCGCCTGTGGACAGGTGTAGTTTATAGCTAGTGGTCTAGGAAAATCTGTTATACACAAGCTTATAATCTCCGACGGCGTTCTCTGCTGCAGTAGCCAATGAAGATAAGTGTCCAAATTCGTTATCTAAGTATATGTCTGTCCGCTAATTATTTGCATTGACTTCAAACTCCTAATTCCTGAAAACGTCAATTACGTACAGTTCTCTCCGTACCTTTTCAATATTCGTTTCCTTGTAAGTGTTCCAAGTTATACCGTCTGTAGATAATTGTAGTTTGTAGCTGGTGGCCCATGCAGAGCTCCCTTGTAGTCCTTGTGTAGCCACACCACAAAGAAAACGCACTTCACCCATATCAACTTGAAGATAGTCTGTTCTGTCAGATGTAGTTTTAGTGCACCACCCTCCATGTCCTCTGCTCTCATTGAGTCGACCGTAGAAAGGATGATAATTACCATTGAAAAAACTGCTTGCTGTCATTCTAGCGTCTGGTATTCTGTTTCTGTCCACCACACCAATAGGCTCGCACACTAAGTAAAAACAGGTGACACAATCGTTCAATTTTTTTTATTCCATCTTATGGCCTCGCATCCGCGATGAAATTTCCAATACTATTATTAGAGACCCTAGATATTACGCATTGAGTCAGCTAGCGTTTATAGAGAAAGAGCGAACAACTTCCTCATAAAGGACTGCGGGGGAAGAGGGAAGCAGTGCTCTTTAGGAATTATTCTTACATTTCAGTCAGTTTACGATTTGATATCTGGTGGGAATCTAAAAACGCAGTGCCATGTAGTTTGGTTTCAAAGTTCTTAATACACGTTTCAGTGAAGTAAACAGAAACAACTGGTTATTGGAGAGTGTTCTAACATGATTATGAATGATTTGTTTTGCCTTGTCTCTCATTTTATCCTCGTTTTTGATTTTGTATTCATCAATCAAGTAAGGATAACTTAGTGGATCCAGCTGCATGCAATTCTTTATGATGATTAATAGATCACCCTTCACTTGACTCTGATTATGAATTCCGCTTGAAACGAAACCTTACTTGGATATTCAGTCACTGTCAACTGTCATATTCAGCTCTCTAGGTTTATTTTACTTAATGTGGAGAAAACTGCCCGATGAACAATTACCGAGGCAAACCACTCCTTACCTTTCCTAAGGGTTAGTTGCATTAAAGAAGACGTTTTGAACAGTTGCGCTGATGTGGCTGTGCAGATATATATTCCCGAGTCTTCATCTTTAATATTCCATATCTGAAGTGTTCCATTCACACTGACTTGTGATCTTCCAACTGGCAAGTCGCTATTCTCTTTAACCCACGTGATTACTGGTCGAGGGTCACCAGCGGCCTGACAAAGAACTGAAATATTTTTGTTTTTTTCTACATCAAGCTTTGCAGGTGGATTGACTGTAAAACGGGGAAGATCCCACACAAGATTTGTCAAAGCTGAATCATGGCCCAGATTATTGGAGGCTTTGCATTCGTACAAACCAGAATCTCTCTTTTGAGCAGTGATAATTGACAGCTGTCCGTCTTTCACAACAGTTCTGGAATGTGCAAGTTCACCGCGCACTCTAGACCACGTGATGATGGCTGGAGGAAAACTAGTCACGTGACATTTTGGCATAGTGACGTTCTTGCCTTGTTCAAAATAAGTGGGGCCAAAGGAGAGTGAGATCTTAGGTTTACCTGTAAAATATTTGGGAAAATAATTATGCATATTTTAGATAACAGCCATTACATACGTGGTTTTCATACAAAGATGTGGCTCATCTTTAGAGCTAAAATTACCTTCGCCTCAAATTGTTGTTCAAAACAACATTCAGCTTTTATTTTTGGTCATTGTATTACGATGGAATCCTATTTTTACAGGAAATCCTCTGGACCAGAAAAAGTGTCTCTTTTATCTGTCAGGACTAGGAATTTCGTGTCCCTCAATTGTACAAAAAGGTGAAAAAATCGGAATAACGAGATTTGATCATCGAGTTACAGAGTCGTAGTCATTACATTAGATGGTCGCGTGACATTTTGGTGAAGTGATGTTCTTGTCTTTTTCAAAATGCGTGGGGCTAGGGGAGAGTGAGATTTTCGGTTTATCTGTAGGATATTTAGGAAAATCCTCATGCATATTGTAAATAACTGCCATTGCATTCGTGGGTCTCATACAAAGACGAAGCTCATGTCGCTCAAAACAACAATCAGCTTTTATTTTTGGTTTGCGTATTGCGGTGGAATCCAAATTTCACGGGACATCCTCTGGACCAGAAAAATTGTCTCTTTTATCAGTGAGGACTAGGAATTCTGTGTTCCTCAATTGTAAAATAATAATCGGAATAACGAGATTTGACCTTGGAGTTATAGAGTCGTAGCAATTATATAAGATGGTTTATCCTATGCCCCCCTACGGCTCCACGCGCACAATCCCACAGAAAACCATGGTGAAAGCGGACATGTGCATGACTCGAGCCAAATATTTTCCCGTCCAGCCCTCCCGCTCAGTCAAAAAACATAATACTTAAACCTACTTTGTACGACGACAATCGCAGTTTTTTCATCCTCTCCCAGAATATTTCGCGCTAAGCATTTGTATTCGCCTGCCTCTTCCATCCGAACACTAACGATTTGCATCTTACCATTTGACGTCACTTTAGTCCTGTTGCTAGATAACGATCCATTGACCTTTGACCAGAATATATGAGCAGTTGGATTTCCCGAAACAGAGCATAAGAACGAGGCTGTGTTGGTTTCGTTGACAATAAGTTTCGGTGGAGAAATTGTTACTTTTGGTGTTGAAATGGATTCACCTGGTTCACCTTTAGTCCCTGGGATACCAGGGATACCCGGTGGCCCGATGACTCCTTTCATTCCTTTTTCTCCTCTTATTCCTGGTGGCCCTATGATTCCTTGTTTTCCGCTTCTTCCTGGTGGTCCGATTATTCCCTGGGATCCTTTTCTTCCTTTCCTTCCCCTGTCACCTTTGGGTCCAGCTCTTCCCGGAGGTCCCGGCCGCCCACAGGGACACACATTCAAATTGCCTTTGTTGCTGCAAATCTTCCATGTAGAAGAAATGACGTCTTCCATCATTTCCCTTATTTTTGCTGAGTTGTTGAAAGGAGACGGATGTAAAACACTCCGCTTCAGACGAAGGGTTTTCGGCTGCCTGGAGGAGGTGGGTATACGTAGTACTAAAAATGTATCAAATAAAGGAAGGAGCAAACTTAAAATGGCATTCCACTGCCTTCTTCAATAAAAAAAGAAAAAATACAATCATCTATTCTTTTTTTTCCTCGCGATTTTGATTACCATTTACTCCTTAAGTTGTGTGTTTGAATGATGGGGATTGGGGTAGCTGGTAGGGTCGGGTGGGAGCACAAACTATAAATTTCGAGACGGGGAGCGTAATGCGAGAATATGGTCGTACTGTTGTCTTCGATTTTTAATTTTGAAATTTTGCCTGAGGAAAGCTGGAAAACTGTTTTTACTTACCAAAAGCACTATGAATGCAGTTTAATCCCTTGACAAATATTTCCTTGATAGAGCGTCTAACGCTGTGACTTCCGACAGCCGGGCACGGTGTCAAACAGACAAAGTGCTCGGCAGCCAGAAATTTTCGCAGAATTTCCACCGAAAGTTTCTTTTAAGCTTCTCAAGAATATAAGATATTTGTTTAGAAATGTCAAGTGATTTCAAAATTTAATTTTCCTTTGTTAGTGGAAAAATTATTCGAGCTTTAGCATACTTTAATATCGCTCGGTTGTCGACACTTAGAAGTTATACGCGTCTGATCAGACTGTCGGGTACGGTCTCGAATGGACTAAACGCGCAGCAGTTGGTAGTTTCCACCAAAGTGCTGCTAAAGAGTATCAACTATAACACAGGCAGCCCAAGCCCCAGCTGTGAGATGATCATCTTGCGCAATAACAGTCATGGCAGAATTATAAGAGTTTCTATGGGAATATTTACGACCGCTTTATATGTAGGTGGAAAACCTCGAAATGGACAACTCGCTAAAATGAGTTCTTTTCATCAAAGTAAGCGGTCAGATAAGAAGTGATATCCTGTGGAAGTAAGGTGAGAATTTGAAGCATTTTTTAATTCGTTAAAACGGTCGTAAATATTCCCATACAAACTCTTATAATTCCGCCATGTTATTGCGGAAGATGATCATCTCACAGCTGGAGCTTGGGCTGCCTGTGAGTGTAAGAGTAATCGGGTTCCAAACTCAACTCGCTAACTGGGCTGAAATATCCTACAGGATAGAATTTCAAAATACGTGCCGCTAACCGATTCTTAATTTGGCTTTTTTAGTGGACAAATTATCCAAGCTTGAGCTTACTTTGATATCGCTCGGTTGTCGACATTGGGAAGTTATACGTTTCTGATCAGACTGCCGGGCACGGTCTCGGATGGACTAAACGCGCGGCAGTTTTCACCAGAGTATCGCTGAAAGGTTCCTTAACCCTTCCTAAGAGTATCAAGTATAAGAGTAATCGAGTTCAAAAGTCAACTCGCTAATTACGCTGAAATTTCCTACGTGATAAAATTTCAAAATACGTGCTGCTAACTGCTACTTGAACTCATGCAATGAGATCCTCGAACTGTTTCAAATATTTAATTTAAAATATTGGGAAGCCGAGGAATAAAAAAATCGGCTTGCTTGCTTCATTGTTTTTCTTTGAATACATAATAAATATCCTTCATTACTATTATGTCTGGCTAACGTGAGACATTATTAAACAAGTTCCCTCAGGCTAGTCGAAGATAGTTTTTGTTAAAATACATGAGAGGTAAAGCTGTCAGAGAAGTTCGGTTAGTCCACTCTGCGATGAATTCAACATTCGTAAACAGAGAAAACAACGCTAGAAAAGTCGAAATAATGAGGAGCTTTGTCGTCTCGTCATTTGGCTCGTCAACTGAGCAATGATTTAACAAAGATAGAATGTCTGTTAGCAGGTAGCAAAATGAGGATAAGATACTTGTTCAATGAAATGGAAAGAGACGAAAGTGGCGCATCTGGGAACTTTCGACGGATAGGGAAGAGGGATGAGACGTGACTATGACCTCGCTAGTAAATTCGATCAAGAAGATTTTACTGTGTACATGATTAACGTAATTGGCAAGTTAGAGTCATCTTACGTACATCAGTTTTGAAGAAGCATGTCTCGCAACAAACGAGACAGCCATTAATTTAATCTACAGACAGTTTTTGACTTCACCTTGTTCAGCCGAATGCAAATCTGTCCTTGCCTGTTCCATTTTATCTTGAGGCATGAATTCCTCCACAGACTTCAACCTCTGTTCATAATCATTGAGTTTTGTTTCGATTCGAATGAATCCAGCCGAGTAAAGAAACAAACAGAAAACAGACAGAGCCGTTCCAGGGCTCACTGGAAAAGAACGGTCTTTGAGAGGCATCACGAAAGCTAAATGATCGAACTCAAAAGCAACTTGTTATGGCATATTCCTGAAACTTAACTCTTTTAAATTTGATAGCACTTTCAGCTCAAAGGTTTAGTCACGCAACCCTATCGTGTGGCTGGGAAAAATTAAAAAAATAGACAGACACGTACACAATAGCTCTGTGATGGCTTTCAGTACGGGTGACAAACAGGGAAACTTAACGATAGAAACCAGGAAGAAATATTTCAATAAAAGGCAAATAGACAGACACGTACACAATTTGTTTTTGCTCGCGGTTGTTTTAAAATCAAGGAAACAATAAATGAAACGATCAACGGGCCTTTTCACTGCGTCTCATCTTGCACACCCTCAAACATCCTCAACTCCACAAATTAAAGCTAAAAGTAATTTGCCGCGCACTGTCTGTTCATAATTGTTAGGAACCTTCTTTTTTAAATTTAGAACTTGTTAAATTGGAATAATGTATAGTAATAAGAGATTTCTTCTTCAAAAAATTACGTGTCATGTTTGATCGGATGGCTGTACCTGTACCCATCAGTTTGCACTCTGAAAGTATATCTCTAAAGATTTCTGATTCCCTTCCTTGGAATACGAAGTAAAATTGTATATATCTAAATCCCTCCATGTCTTTGTTTGATAATAATCGCTAAGTTTCTTTTGATTGACCTCTTCACAGTTACATCTTTAGAAGATTTCAAACGACGTTGTGATTTTGTCTGCTTGTATTTTTGCGTCCCTAAAACTCGATGCAGACACTTGCATGATTTGTGTAGTATGGCATCTCTCCTCGTTCTTTCTAACACGAATCCGGTTATGCGCGTTGTATTTTACATTTCTTAAACAAACTCTAAACAACGTTGGAACTTATTACGAATGTGTTGACTTACAATGTGGCGTAGTGTACGCTGAAATTTTTTTTGACCCGATCATACTTAACGTTCCATTTTATAAGGAAACTGGTTTTTCACGGATTTTTAAATGAATCTCAATTCATATCTTATGTATTTTCCATGAATTGACAAAAAGGTGAAAAAATCGGAATAACGAGATTTGATCATCGAGTTACAGAGTCGTAGTCATTACATTAGATGGTCACGTGACATTTTGGTGAAGTGATGTTCTTGTCTTTTTCAAAATGCGTGGGGCTAGGGGAGAGTGAGATTTTCGGTTTATCTGTCGGATATTTAGGAAAATCCTCATGCATATTGTAAATAACTGCCATTGCATTCGTGGGTCTCATACAAAGACGAAGCTCATGTCGCTCAAAACAACAATCAGCTTTTATTTTTGGTTTGCGTATTGCGGTGGAATCCAAATTTCACGGGACATCCTCGGGACCAGAAAAATTGTCTCTTTTATCAGTGAGGACTAGGAATTCTGTGTTCCTCAATTGTAAAATAATAATCGGAATAACGAGATTTGACCTTGGAGTTATAGAGTCGTAGCAATTATATAAGATGGTTTATCCTATGCCCCCCTACGGGACAGTAGTGGAATAAAGTAGGGATATGCTAGTTTAGACGATAATTATTTCCATCATCAGTTACATTGCCTCAGCCGACCCACTGTCACCATATTCAGGAGTGATTTTATATACTGCGTATTCTGCTGGGAATTGAATTTTTTATGTATATGTTTTCACTCAATTTTTTTTCTCTTTCTCTCTTTTTTCTATCAGTCTTGTGTACCAGACTCAATAGACTATTTTAAGATTTTGATAAAGTGCCTCGCCTGTAATAGGTACTGATGTGATAGGGTATCTTATACTACTCAAGTATTATTAGAAATGAGACATCCGAATCAAAAACAACACTTCCTTCTTTCCATTTTATTCATCGAAATTCTCCTTTTTTTTTTGCGTCAGATGTTAAGAATGTTTTAATTATTTTCTTTTCAATTAGCTCTTGCAATTTTTAACATTTGCTCGATAACGAAATAATTTCTGGAAAGGTTTTGTGACAAGCTAAACATAGACCTTGACAATTTCTGTAATCTTTGTTTAGTTACGATATTTCATTCAATAGTTGTGCAAAATACAGGGCATGTATCGAGTTTTGAAGAGTAGGCTTAAACTCTTATTGCCTTAACACAACGAATACATAGAGTGACGAAATTACACCTCTATTTGCATCCTTTGTCAGCATTCTAGTATAACTGTGACATGGAATCAGAGGACAAATCTTCACACTTTGAAAATATTTCGTGACAGACAAGAGCATGCGCATTTTATTTCTCAACTAAATAAGTAAATAAGATCTGTGATCCTTCCCCCATCTCATTACCCTTAATATCATAAAAAAATATTACGGTTTGTTATTGAGGTGAATACACTTTCTATATGAAGCTTTATCATTTTCCTTACAATGTAGTAACCTTGGATGTGGATCGCGACGCTTCAACTGTATATTGATAGCCTTCCTCAGCATTCTTTGCCTGAGGAAGTTTATCAATATGCAGAGTAAGAAAGGTTAGCCCTTCACTCTGACGAAGGCTTTGAAACTCCCGATAGTGGCCAATTTACGTTATCAACTTAGTTGATAATACCAAATATTTTTATACTTGATCGCGATTTAGCAGAAAAAACTAATTTCGTTTGGATTTATCTCATTTCGGATCATTACCAGATAACTGTATTAAAATCGCTGCGGTAATTTGTCTCAGGATGATGAAGCTTCTTCACTTATTTCATTACCCCTTTGTCTTTTTATATCTTTTTTTCCCTCCTTTTAAGTGTGCCAGACTCAGAGCACTCTTAGCTGGTAGTCGGCCAGTGTAGTTATAACGTGCTGCTAGACTGTGAAAAGAAGGATTGGCGAAGCTAACTTAAGCACTGAATGATTTGAAGCTGAACCTGAAGCAGTTGATACCCAGAACTCCTAGCGATGATTTGCATACAAGGCTTGCGCTCAGTGAAAATACCTTGTAATTAAAAAAGTAAAGCATTGTGTGGTTTTTTCAATGCATTAAGTGAATCAGATCCTTACTCTGTGATCACGGATTAGAGTTTAAATGGAAATATGTACTCTGCTTTAGTATGTGTTGTTGCTTATCAAATTATCCCGCCATTCGCTTGGTAGATTCGTAAGTTTCCTATGGGCATGAACTACTCATGCAAGTTTGTCATTGTGTCATATTTGTGCACTGAGTTAGATGAGAAAAGTTAATGTAAAATTGCCATCATTTTCGCATGAATATTTCAACTCTTAAACATGGAAACGTGTAGTACGTGACGGGATAGAAACGAACGTATCTGGCCATGACGTTAGTAGTGAGGGAATGTTTTACGACGCTGTTTTGGTCTGAGTTTCCTGGGAACACCTGGAAGAGGAAAAGAGTCATTATTCATAACGAGAAAGCCCTACAGTCAAGCAACACAAAATGCAGGTTTATAGTGAGAGGATTTTGCGATAGAATCTAAAGTACACCGTTCCTCCAGCACAGACGCTGAGACTGAAAGTTAAAGAAAAGTCTATGATAGAGTTGTGAGCTTTCTCTTGAATCTAGCCGCAATAAAACACGTGTAAGATAATTCCGATAGCTTTACAGCGAAGGAAATTGTTGTTGTTGAACTTGGATCTTTATCACATTATTTGAGACCGCTATTGGGTCCATTTTTCCATTTCTCTCTCAAAAAAAATTTGTTATTTATGGATGAGTTTATCAGTAGATATTTTGTCTAAATTTTGCAATAGTTTTGGCAAGTTGATCACAAGAATTTTATCCCGCCGTTCGGTGATCACACTCGTAAATAACGATAGTTACAATGCAGCTGGCAGCGCCTGTGGGCACTATGGAGCCTAACCTATGTTCTGTCTGTCTATCTGGGAGAGCAAGATTGGCCCATCTTGCCTGCTCTGGATTAGCCGTTCCGATTCCGCGCAAGAAAATAAGTTTCGTGGAGTAGACTCACAAAGTTCGTAATTTTTTGACAATGTCGGTAATGGAGTCGCAAAAAGCGTCAGAAGATAGGCAAAACATAGAAAAACTAAACGACTCTCGTGGGTTTATTGTGCTACAAATAAAGTTGGCTTTTTTTAAAATTCTTATTCAAGCGGAGTGTTTTTGCCATATAATAAATCCTTCATTGAGCAAGCGTGAGGTCGAGATGGTTGAATATTAGTCTCGTTCATTTTTTTGCCCTTTAAAAGACCTTGACTTCATCTCGGTCTATAAAAACGCAAAAAATTAAAATTAAAAAAAATAAAAGAACTCGGCTAACACTTAGGTATCTTGACCCCACGCTTGGTCAGTAACGCATACATCACACTCTTGAATGCAGCAGACCGATTTTGTAAATTACTCGTTTAATGCGCAGACCGAATCGGACTCCACAAGGGCCTATAGCCGTTATTTATAGCTGCCGATCAAATTAACCCATCATTCTTTGGCATTTCCAAACCTTTTCAACATTTGATTCCTTGTAAGTTTTCCAAGTTACACCATCTGTTGCTAGATGCAATTTGTACTTGGTGGTCCATTCGCGAACAAGCGGTGCTCCTTGGGTAGCCACAGCACAAACGGACGGCACTGCACCCATATCAACTTGAAGATAGTCTGTTCTATCGAATTTAGTCCGAGGACACCACGCTCCCCTTCCCCTGGTTTCATTTAGTCGGCCGTAGTATGGATGATAATTTCCATTATAGAATGTGCTTGCTTTAAGTGCGGCATCTGGAATTGTGTCACTGTCCTCCACACCAACAGGATCACATTCTAAATGGGAGTGAATCGAATAAATATTAAAGCTTATTCGCATGGTATCATAAAACCTGCATTCTATGTTTTGTTTTGGTATCTACACCACTTTATTAAAATGATCTGCACAGACTTCGGGTTCGTATCGAGCTGGGATGGATTTTAAAAATAACAATTAATGAAATAATAATAACAATAATAATTATAATAACTACAATTGTAATGATAATAATAATGCTAAAAATAACTATAATAATGACATTAACATTAGGAATAACACCATTATTAATAGTAATAATAAAGGTTATAATAACTACAAAAAAGCAATAATTATAACAAATAAAACCCGAATATAGGAAACACAGGGTAGACTCACCACCATTAACAGTCAATTTCATTCCAGTGACCGCCTTATACACTTTGTTGGACGTTGCTGTACAGATATAAGTGCCTGAGTCTTCCACTTTTGTGTTACTGATTTGAAGTGTTCCATCGTGACTGACTTGTGATCTGCCCACAGGAAGATTGCCTACCTCTTTTAACCACGTGATTTTTGGTTGAGAGTGACCAGTAGCCTGACAGGGGACTGAAATGGTTTTGCTCTTTTCAACATAAAGCCGTGCAGGTGGTGTTTTTGTAAAACGTGGCAGCTGAAAGACAGTTAGGTGTGTCCAAGCTGAGACATGTCCTAAAATATTTGACGCTTTACATTCGTATGAACCAAAGTCTGCCATTTTCGCATGTAATATAGTCAGCTGTCCATCTTTCACAACAGTCCTGGACTGCGCTAAGCCATCGTTAAATTTGGACCAAGTAATCACTGCTGGTGGAAAGCTTGTCACGTGACATTTTGGTAAAGTGATGTTCTTTCCCATTTCAATGTAGGTTGGGCCCGGAGAAAGTGAAACTTGGGGTGGAGCTGTGAATAATTTCGTAAGTCGTTAGTACCGTTAAAATAAAGTTACAATTTCGGCCACTTTACAAACTAGATGGATTTAAGTTATTCTTAGAGTAAAACGCATTCCTCGGTGATACGTTTTGTTCATGTGAACACGAAATAAAAAGGAAAACGTGAAAAATATACAACTTACATTGAACAACAAGACTTGCAGTTTTTTCATTCTTTCCCAGTATACTTTGCGCCTCGCATTTGTATTCGCCCGCATCTTCTAAGCCAACATCAGTGATCTGCATCAGGCCATTTGATGTCACTTTGGTCCGATCGCTAGGCAACGATCCCTTGGCCTTTGACCAAGTTATTTGAACGGCGGGATTTCCAGAAGCAGAGCATAGAAGCGAGGCTGTCTTGGTTTCGTTGACAATTAGTTTTTGTTACATTTGGAGGCGAAAGAGACTCTCCTGATTCCCCTTTAATTCCCGGGATACCTGGGATACCCGGTGGCCCGATGTCTCCTTTAATTCCCTTTTCTCCTCTTACTCCAGATGGTCCCATCTTTCCTTGTTTTCCGCTCCGACCAGGAGCTCCTATAATTCCTCGGGGGCCTTTCGTTCCTTTGTCACCTTTGGGTCCTGCTCTCCCCGGAGGTCCTGGCCGGCCACGAGGACAAACATTCAAACCAGCTTTGTTGTGGCAAATACTCCAAGTGAAATAAACAATGTCCTCTATCATTTTCCTAATCCCAGCTGAATTATTAAAAGGTGGTGGGTGTGAAATACTACGCTTCAGTCGATTGATTTCAAGCTCGGCAGAGGTGGTTTGTATGACTGAAAATATATCAAATATGTCAATAGAATAGGAGAGTAACCCAATAGGACCCTTCATTTTCATCTCAAATAACATGATACAGATCCAAGTTCAACTACAAACACTAGAAGCAAACGACAATAGACCTTTTTACAGCTCCCGGCGCCATATTAGATTAGCAACCGCGCACACACGATAACGAGGCTGGGGTTGACCACGTTCTAATGCACTTTCCAATGTGATTTCTCCCTCCCTTGTCTTGATACAACAATATGGAAATTTCGTCATTAGATGACATCCAGAAACTCGAAGCAAAAGATCTCAGGGAGATTTTAAAATCTAGTTCAAAATCGACAGGCGGAATTAGAACCGACTTTTGCTTATGTTTATTATGTTTATGCTTTGCTGATGTAACACGTCCTTCCATCGAGTAGTGGAGAAAACCAAGAACTTCTCACAGATTTTCAGGACCTTGAACAAGGCCAGAGCGACTTCAAATACGAAGCAACTATGGTAAGGATTTCAGCCCTTGGATGGTCGAGCGATCTCCGTAATTTACGAGCTTTACGATTACCCCGTTGTTTCACGAGAATATCGCCACATCGTTTTGAGACGAACGCATCACAGGAAGTACCACAGAAGTTGTTCAATATGGCTTAGAAAGCGAGGCAAAGGCTGTAGTCCTCTAGGTAGAGGAGATTTGTTATTGCTGCTGTTGTTGATGTGGTACTTGTTGTTGTACCATATTCTTCAGTTAAAGTTGTTCCCATTTTGTTTACCAAGATATATGTTAGTTTGCCATTTGTACATTGTATCTTACGGGAAACTATGCAATAGAGACTGTAGAACCACTTGATTATAACCTTTCTTTCTATCAACCCATGAGGGAAACTGTAACTAATAGATGTCATAATATTTTGAAACCCATCTGGCCCAGGACAACTTATGCTCGTGATACATTGAAAACCATTTCAGTTCACGACTCGTGGTAATTTATTAGGTGGCAAGACAGCATTGAAAGAATCAGACCAAAATATTAGACAATTTAAAAACTCCCAAAAGTGACTGATTCATGTAACGTTTCCCTATAATATCCAAACACTATACAGCAAACAGATAATGATAATACTGAAACTTATCAGGCAGAAGTTGTCTTGATCTTACACCAAATTCTCATAAGGGAGAATTAACAATCAGATCTTGGGTATTTAAGGGTTAAAGGAAGAGAACAGAAATGCTACCTCTCAGCTACTGATCTCAACAATGCTAGTCCTTTACATACATTTAAGTTTCTGTCAGTGATAAACATTCTGTGAATTGATCTTCCTATTCTTAGCACTCAGAGGCCTTCTGACACAAAGGTTTGCTATACTAGTTCTTATTGCATTGTGTGAACCAATGTTACGATAATATAATTTTGAGATGTAAAGAAGATACTTAAAAGATTGAGAAATATATCCAAATCAAGATATATATTTTATACTGTTACAGTTACCATAAGATTTGTTTGAAAGAGAATCTTTCAGACCATCCAGTTGTATGAGAAATTATTTTTTGCGAGACTTCAATCAAAATTTTTATTATGAGGACAATTTTGTGAATGATAAAATTTAGTGTCATAGTTCATCTATGTGTCAAGAACTCTTTCAGTTAGTGAAACTCACTTTTTCTTTTTTTCAGTTTGAAGCATCAAATTGATTGATACATAAAGCACACAAAATATTTTTTGAGAGTTCCATCTGGCATCCATAGTGGGTTACTATGCTATCATAAAAAACAAAAACAACAACTACTGAAAACTGCTTTTGTCACAATTACTGCAAAATTTGTGTCTGCCATAATAAGTGAAAACTCTGAAGATACAGTGTCTTGGTTATTTTATTAAAAGCAGTTACTTTCTAAGAGTTTCTCTGCTAGGAGTGTTTAAGGCAAGCCATGTAGTAAAAAGGTGATCAGTACTGAACTTATTGAGTTACTGCCGGAATAAAAAAAACTCTATTGAACTTAAAACAATTCAGGTACGTAATAGAAAACTTGTACTAATCTTGCGACAATAGTTACCCTCATCCATAATTCACAGAGAATAAGATAAGTATAGAACGATAAATACTTAGCAAAAATACATGCCTCCGTGCATAAACTTGAAGAAGTGAAAGCTCGTAGGCAAACCATTGGGGCCATAAAATGTATTTGAACAACCAAAAGCGGCACACTGCTTTCCTTTCTTTTTCGAAGAAAAATTAGCTTTATCGAGATTTCGGCTAGGACCATTCATTTTCCTTAAAAATCGAACAATTTTACTGCCCACTCACGAATTTCACCAAAAGCGCTCACAGAGATTTAACACGAGTCAACCCCAGACTCGTTCTCACGTGTACGCGGTTGCATGTCCAATATGGTGCTGGGAACTGTAAAAAGGTCTATTTGACCGGAGCGAGGACAGAAATCCTTTCCAGTTATCAAGAGTGACGTAAAAGAAATTTAAATTTAACCCCTTGTCAAATGGCTCATGTTTATCTCTTGACTTGATTTCTCCACAAATATAATCATTTCGAGCTTAACGAGAAGCTATGAATATTTTAAAGCTGTATGTTTACAAGGGTATTGACAGGGAGCTTTACTTTCTTGTTCACCAAGAGACTTGGGAGAAAGCTTTCATTTCTTGTTCACAAAACGGTGGGCAACACATCGGTTCCACTATTTCAATGTCGCTATTTAAAAAATATTAGTGTATTGCTGAGCTTGAAAACATTTGCGTTTTTGTCCTTGGCAAGTCTCCAACATATTAGAGAATGAACATGATGTAAAACAAGAGTCGTCCATATGGTTAACTTTTATTTTACGTCGTTAGATACACGGTAATTTCCATATTTCAATGGAGGGAAAATAAATCTAGTTCAAATCTATTATGCTAAAACAGAAGTCAGAGGAGACGACCATCAGCTCTCGAGTACTTTTGATCAAAAACTTAATCCTGTGACAGTTCAGAGAAACTTGTAACTTACATAAATACCTTTAAATAAGCATGACTAGCAACAAACACAGACAACCATGTATCAATTAAAATAAATGCAGTCAGACATCACCTTGTTCAGTGGGAGGATAATCCGTCGTCGCTTGTGTCATTTTATCTTGAGGCATGAATTCCTCCACAGTTTTCAACCTTCGTTCATACTCATTGAACTTAGTCTCGTTTCGAATGAATTCAACGGAGTAAAGAAGCAAACAGAAAACGCTCAGAACTATGCCGGGGCTCATTGGGAAGGAACGGTCTTTAAGAGACATCGTGAGAGCTGAGTGATCGAACCTTCACGTAAACAGCTTTCGCAGCATGTTGCAGTAACCTTACACTGCCTAAATTTAATACTAGGTTTAGGTCAGAAGGCTACAGACCTTAATGTAAATAGCTAGCTTTTTTTGTCCCAATACATTCCTCTTAGGTTAAAGAATCCTAAATTAGCAAATAAACGATATATTGTGCGAAATCAAATTTTCTACGAATTTTTTTTTGACGGTTAATCGACGGCCATTTTGAAAACGTTCGGATCCAGGTAACGTGATGTGATATATCACACGTGTGTAAGGCAGTGAAAAGCGTCATGTCCAGACCTCAAAATAACACTTCGCCCTCGCTATCCAACTGCTGCTGAAATTTACGAGCGAAAAAAGAAATAAGATTTGTTTCATTCTGCTCTAGGCCACCATTTAGAGACTATGAAATACGAAGTGAGAAATAAAATAATGAAGGTTGAATTATCGAAACGCGATGGATCGCCTGTTTGTATTCGGAGCCACAGGTTATTTGCACGCCATTCCAAACAGCTGTAAAAACATATATATTCCCATAATTATTTCCTCTAAACCATTATCGAGCCCTATACTTAAAGAAATATTTTAGTCCAAGCCGAAAAGCATTTGACTTCAGATTTTGTCCGGTGTATATCACTGTGACCTCAGGCCCATCGGTTCTGGAGTGAGCGTGACAAAGAGCAAAGTGTTGTCGCGTGCTATGGAAGGTCGTCATCTGGTTTCGTGAAGGAAACTCTTCTTCCACGTTCCGGAAATGGACAAGATTTATCCTTGTTTTGAATTTTTTTGTTTTAACGGAGACTAATGAGCAGCACAAAGGAAGACTTCTTGCTGATGTAACTTTTTGATTATTTCTTTGGATGTGTTTCGTCTCCAGCTGAGAGTTCTCCAGGAATGATTACAAGTAACATTGACCAGTATATATAGCACAATCGTGTGCCTTAGTTTAATTAACTTCCGGTGGACGTGAATAATAACAGAAACATGCTGTAAACGGATATTAAAAGAAACACCTTGTTGTTTCTCATTTGCAACCGGAAGCATGATAATTAAATCAATCCTGTCCGAAAGGTTACTCGTTTCAAAAATGTATCACTGTCAGCTGAGTGAACAGTAAATTACTCACGCTCGTTCATCGTAAATAAAACAAGCCGACGGCCTGAGAGAAGAAACCATTAAAGCACAAATCGTGGTATTGCCTTGCACCCACAGTTTAAAACGCAGCGCAGCGTGCTCCTATTGGTTCATTCATGTTTGACAAGTTGATGTTATTCTCCTACTTTGTTTTTGATGAGTACTTTGCTTTCAAGTTGCAGGTATCCATGCCTCAGGAATGTCCATTTCACTGTATTTTTTAAAAATTTTGTTTGTATAAAACATTAACCGGAAAAGAAAACTCACAGCGATAGCAGCTAACCTTTAATGCTAAAGGAACAAGCGACAGTGAACGTACACATCTTCCAGTAGAGATCTGGTGAATTTTTAATTTTAAATTCATTCTGCATAACTGTTTTATTGTGCTGCAGCGAAATGGGTGTAGTTAGGGGCGGATCTAAGAGAAGGGTGCAGGAGTGTACACCCACCTCCCCATAAGATAACCTGCGCCTTTCTTATATAACCAGTATTGTACAAAAAAAATTGAATGAAAAATAGAACTGTGTGAATTATTTGCGTTGAAGTAAAACATGAGACAAGGTAAATGAATTTATGTTGAATGCGGTAAAAATGGTGGGTTGGCACTAACTTTCCGAGCATTAGACCTTCTCTTCGTCTGAGGAGACGTCAGTTAGGTGCTTCCTTGGTAGTACACCCACTCCTACAAAAAATCCTAGATCGCCCCTAGGAATTAGCAGTTTGTTAATAAGTTTATTAGTTTACTGCCTAATGTTTATTTTCTTACTGTAAACTCTGTGGTATACTTTTATCACATAATTCTTGTGTTGATGAATGACTACACACATACTAATCCTTTGAACTATTACTTCAGCTCAAATATTTCAACCCTCAAACATGACCAATGAATGTATGTTACGGGATAAAACCAAACGCATGTGGCTTTAAAGTGATTTGTAAGTGAATACTTCACGATGCTAGTCTGATCTGAGTTTCCTGTGAACACCTGGAAAAAAGCAAACCGAAAAAAACGAAACAAACAAATTGAACAACTTTGTATGGTGTACCAATTTTTTATACAGTTAAGAAAGGAGGTGCGGGAGGAGGAGGAGGGGAGGTGCGTGGGACATTTGAACAGGACTTAATAGCTCACGTCTTTCACTTAACCTTATTTTCTATTGCATTGCGGCCCGGCCTTTCCAAACGGAGTTCATTTTTCCGTCACTTCTTTAACCTTAGTTTATTCTTTTTATGGACTGTTTATTACTCATCCCCCAATAGCCAGAAGTAGACTGACCAGGTGAAACGATTTTTTCCTTCATCCAGCTTCAAGAATCAGTTACTGAGTCTTTTTCCGGAAAACTAATGTTGGTAATATTTAAGCTATTGTTTGCAGCGTGCATATATTATGTCATCATTATGATTTGCGAAAGCACAACACAAAACAAAACAAAAAAATAAAAACAAGAGAAAACTGAACGCACTTCGCCCATATCAACTTGAAGATATTCTGATCTATCAGATTTATTGTGAGGACACCACCCTCCGAATTCCCTGGTTTCGTGCAGTCGGCCGTAGTATGGCTGATAGTAATAAATATTGATGTGAATACTACTCGCAGTCATTCTGGTATCTAGTATTGTATTATTGTCTGTCACCGGCACCAAAAGGCCCACATGTAAATTAAATAAATAGTAGGGCTTATCTTAGGCTAGGTTTATTGTTTTTTTCTTCCTTATCTAGAACAATAGGAATGATTATGAAATTGGTGCGGATCATGCTGAGACGGTTGTAAGGGATAAGAATACAAGACGTACATTATTAACAAGCAGCGTAGAATCCATGAACGTCAGGTGACCTTTTGCGTTACTTTAATGCACTTTAAGAAGTAGTCTTACGACTTTTCTACAGAAAGGTTTGTATCGCAATGCTGAGAAACGCTTTTACGTGAATTTTAGATTTACATTCTCATTAGAAGATTGAGCTAGAAATTGAGTGTCCTTTCTCTCACCTCTCTTCTGTATTACTACTATGTATGTAATATGTAATATCTGTTCTCGTCCACGACAAAGTCCTCTGGTCTGGCCTCTTTAGTATGGTTGTTTAATTTAACTCTCACATTGCAATGAACATCACGACATCATAGCTTTGACATCTGTCATCAAAGAGACAAGCCTCTCTGCATTCCAGCGTACCTGATGTAAACTTGAACGTCTGATAGGTATGGCCCTTAAGCATCATTTGATAAATCGAGTATAGGTCGTCGCCAGTTCCACTCTGCTGAGTGGCAATTTTAAGGAACATTTGAGAAATGAAAAGCAGTTCGGTAAAAAATGAAGCCTGTCGACCCGCCATATGAAGCACATCAGATCTGTGATACCTGCGAAAGTAAGGTAAGCCTTCTTCATTGAAAAATAATTGATTAAAAGGGCGGAGTATTGGATAAGTCCGGGGAAGTATGGGAAGGCTGGTGAAGTCCTTAAAAATTAATGGGCAAGAAGAATATTGAAAATAAGCATACTCAAAAATACTTAGGAAATACATTATCCTGCAAAGCAAGGGCGTCGAAGCAGACGCAGTTTTTACGTTCCACACAAAATTAATGGCAAAAAAAAGAATATCATCCACTCCAATGTTTCTGAGGAGAAAATTCCTCCATGGCTAATTGAAAAAAACGAAATGTTGTCGTTTTTAACTCCGTCCCTCCACCCTCTACTCTTGAAGTCTTTTACGAGAAAAGAGACTGATATGGCAATTTCATTTTGCCTAAATTTTTTTACAGCTTGCACGGGATATCAAGAAGTTGCGATGATTAATCAAATAGTCTTTGTTCAAAAGCTGAAAGGTTTTTACTTGAGGACGCATCCACGAGGAAAGCAAAAATGTTGGGCAGTTTTCACTGGACTTCCACTTGACATCTGGCGAAATACCTGTTTGATCATCTATTTAAAATTATATTAAATTTCGAAACGTGAAAAAAAATACCTTATATGGAAACTTCCACAAATAAGCAGCATTCGATGATACTTGTGCTTAGATTTCCGCAATAACCTTTGGTCACAGGCTACTTAATTTTAATTTCATGATAAGAATGATGGTAAAATGCCACTATGGAGGCGTACTTCTTCACCTAACTTTTCCTGACATAGTTCCTTTTTCGCCTTTTGTAAAATGGCAAAGTTTAAAACAAGATATGGATAAGCTTATACACATACCTGGAAAATAATACCCGTTATTTCTTAAACTGGCTCTGGTAAGTCTTTTTCTGAGGTGTGAAGCACTTCCACAGGTTGCCACGGTCAACTGAAGCTTAAAATGATGTTTAGAGGAAATTATAAATCAGATAACGCATAAGCCACTGACATATAATTGGCCATTGTCTGTCCCTACATGGGTGGTTATTTGTGATATCATTGGGATGATATATATATATATATATATAAAATGTAGGCTGATAGCAAATAAATCAGGCAAGGTTTGTGGTCACATCTATGAGGGTATGGTTAACGATTCAAATGTTGGCCATCTGACTTTTCGGCAAACGATTAATTACTCTCCGTTACGGTTAGGAGAAATGCTGAAAATTAATTTCAACTATTTCTAGAAAAAAAAACATATTTACTCACCAGCTTTTACCTCTAGAGGCAAGCGACAAAGCCGATGTAGAATATTTTCCTGATTGTTTCTTCCTAATTT